CACTAAATACCCTCTCTAACTCTATAGACATTAGATTAATTAAGAGGATATTAATAGCCATCTAAGCGAGGTTCGGGTAGTTAAGTTGCTACGTTAGTTTAAGCCACCACTATATAGCGTCATTAACGAGGACTAAAGGGCTCTTAATAAAGTAGACGAACTCCTCGCCTATATAAACTAAGCTTATATGCCGTAAAGAAGCCTACTACTAAGTAAGCTTATTTAACTTCTCCTCTTTTAATGACACTACTTAAATAGCCTTAATCCTATTTTTATACTAAGTAGTCTATAGAGCACGTACGGCAGTAATAGCTAGTGCTCGCTATAACGAAGGCCATTATTTGTTAATGTAGGCCTTATAATAACTTAGATAGAGGAGTAGCGCGGCGGCGTAGGTAGGGGTATAGTTGTTAATTGCTTGCTACTTATCGAGTGTAAACCGGCTAGTCTATATAGCGTTAGTAAGGACTAGATTAGAAAAAGCATGCTGTTCTACGTATCTCTTATAATGCTTACGTAAGAAGTCTATTAACATTAGCACTTAATTGAGGGTAGCATTATTACCTTTGTATAACTTTGTTACCTCCTATAGTGGTTCTATAAATTTAATAAGCTCCTTAAGGAACTGCTAGTAACGCCGCTAGAGAATAGTATACTTAAAATGGTTATAGGTATGCTAGATATGCCGTATAACTGTTCGGCATTAAAGCCCTTACTTAATTATAGATAGCTAGCTATTCCACCTTATAGTGTTATTAAGCATAGTAGATATACTAGCCGTAGCCTTAAACTTACGACGACGGCGAGCTAACTTTATAATCTACTTAAAGAATTAATAGAGGTAGTTAATAGCTTTATAATTAGTAAGGCTAGTACCTTAGCTAAGTATTAATATCGCTTCTAAGGGGTCTTAACTTTAAGCTAGCATAATAGTAATAGCGTCCTTTAAGCTCGCTAATATAAGTGCTTAACTAGTAAGGTTAATCTAGTGTCTAAAATAGCGAGTTCGATGCTATATAGAGTCCTAATTAATAGATAGGCGCTCGCTAAATAGAGTAGTAAGGTAGCTTATTATAGTGTCGTTATAGGTAGCATTATTAGAAGTAATATATCTAACTTTCTACTCGATGCCGTAGTAAATAATAGTATCGAAGAAGAGAGGGGCATACTAAGCACTAGCATAGCTAGACTATAGCTTATAGAGAGTAAGCAGTACCTTACTTAATTTGCCGTCTAATATAATAAACCGAGCTATAATGCTAAGTAGCTTATAGCTACTATAGTTAGCTATCTAAGCATTATAGGTAAAGTGGATTAATAATTAAGATATTATAAGGAGGGCCTTAAGCTACTCTTAATAGAAGTTATATTCCTTCTTAACGTAATTAGCGATAGTAGAATGACTCTTAATTAAGAGACTAGAGGCGCTAGGAAGTACCTCGTTAATTAACGTATAAAGCTTCTTATTACTAGTAGTTCGGAAGGAGATGTTACTTAAGGTGATATAGTCGATAAGACGCCTATTTAGGCGAGCTTTATCGATATTAGTAATAGTAAACGACGTCTTAGAGGGTGCTATTACTATTACTAGCATCCTTAGAAGTATACCGGTAGCCTATCGCTAGCTATACCTCCTCTTTAAGTACGATCTAATGTTATTATAGTTAGTAGTATGGTACTAACGAGGACAGTCTTTCTAGCTATAGAAACAGTACTAGATCCTCTTCCTACGCTTGCGCTTAGGCTTACTATAACGGCGAGCTCTAGTATGAGACTAGAGCTCTTTAGAATCGCTATAGGTAGGAGTAAGCTTACGAGGGGGTTATATTAACGTAGCTTTAGACTTATTAAAGATATTACTTAAGGTAGATAGTGTTAGTCGCTATTGCTTTAGAGAAGAAAGTAATAGCTAGTTAACATTAGAGGCGCTAGCGTCACTCTTAAGGTTATTATCTCTAGCGATAGAACTACGTATGCGATCTACTAAGCCTAGATTAGGAAGGAAGGCCCTCTCTTTTAGAGTATTAGAGGCGAACTTAAAGAGCGTACTCTATCTAGAGGCGCGTAGCGACTAGCCCTAAGGAGTCTAAGAGTTTAATTAGCTTTATAACTCTATATTAGTAGGTAAATACATAATATAAGGGCTAGGTTTAGTGCTATTTAGTATGCTAACTAAGAGAGGAGAATAGCTAGGAGCTTAGCCCTAATATTTAGTAAAGAGTGGTTAAAAGAGTAGTAGTTAGGGTGTTAAGTGTATAAAGAGGGAACAGTTAATGCGCGTTAAGAACGACGCGCGATAAATCGCGTGGCTAAAGCCTTAACTAACCAATCGGAGACTTAGATCTAATCTTAAAGATTAGATCTAGCTAATTAGAGGTCTTAAACTCGCTACTAATGGAAACACGCGTATTAGCGAGCTTTCCTATAGAATCTACTATGCCTAACCGCTACACGCGCCAACTTCGAGCTTGCTACCTATCTAACCATCGACATTAGCTATATTAAGAGGTGGAATAGTAGAATATTCCATAAGAATTGCCCGTTCTATGCCATGCCAACTAAGTGGAATATTCCACTCAAAATCAGTGGCATATGCCAATATTCTACTTATTCCATGCCATTTATCGTCCGCTCTGGTTCCTCCGCGATTCTAATTGTCTCGGGTACGACCCTGTTCATCCACAACCACGCACATATCAAGTGCTAAATCCAGTTCTATCGACTTATAGATGACTGGACTTGGCCAGAGACGACATGATACTCTTTCACCAAGTCACCGTGGTGCTTGCGGTCTGCTTTAAGCACACAGGCGCGAGATAACACTTTTCAACATTGGATTCTGATAGATGCTACCACAGCACATATATTCTGCTCTGGCGAAGTGATGAATGTACGTGTGTTGTGAACTAAGGCTCACAATACACGTACTTACGTAGCTTGCTAATGCGCTTGTGTTCAGATTCATCCTTGTATTTGTCGACAAACATGTCTCCATCTCTCCGTGACTGTTCTCGCGCTCTGTTGTCGATTTCGCTCCTGGCTGTCCACCCCGGAGCCGTGACTGGCGTTTCATCATTTTCGCCAAAAAGCGAACGATCATGATTAGCCAAGGAACGAAATGCAGCAGCGTGAGGATGTTGCCAACAAACGCTGCTGGGGTCGAACAGATCAAGAATGCAACGCGATAAGATCTCTCTGCTGTTGCTTGCGACAGACAAAGTATCGAGGAGCACGAAAACGCCAAAAACCACGAAAACACGATGGCCGGGAGTTTGATGAGAGCGCGAAGAAAGTCGTTCTCGCAACGAGTAAGAAAGACTTGAAATTCGCTCATGATAACCCAGAACACGCGACTTGCGGATCCATGAACCGAGAAGTTGTGAACAGAAAACGCCGGCCCATGCATGCATACCAAAAGCAACAGAACACAGCAACCGAAAAAGTCTACCCAACCAACGAATCCATCGCATAACCAAGGCAAGCATATCAAACTTCGTTGTCGTGAAAGTGGAAGGCAACATCGCGAGGGCGAAGGCGGTTGGTCCTCACAAACTCGGCATCGCCAGGAGGACGCTCGTTCTTGGAGTTGCCGGTCAACATGCTTTGGATGCTGAGACAAACACTCTCGACATTCTGCACCGGCGACCATCCTTGAGAAGCGAGTAGATCCAAACAGATGATGCCGTTAGTGTAGATGTGAGGGTGGATGGGGATAGGGCGATCAGGATGGCGAATGAAGACGACTTCTGGCGGCTCTGCAGGAAGTGGTCAGTCTGAGATCACAAAATTGGGAGAGAAGATCAGAATACCGATGGGGTAGTTTGAGCTGAATTCGAATTTGAGGCGGTATGTTTCGCCCTGGTAGATGGGGTTTGCATCCATGACTTGGATGTCCATGAGCCATGTCTTGAGGTTCTCTGCTTGGACGAGGGTAATGCCAGGCGCCAGTTGTCCTTGGACTTTGATGAGCTCCTGCGCCGTGTGAGTATTCCATCAGAGTCCATTGCGCCTGAAAATATACCTTCTGGAGTCGCTTACTGCTCATCATCTTGCCGGGGACGTTCACAATGGTGGACGACTGAAGTTATCGTGGTCTGTCGAGCAAAGTCCAACGGCGGGAGTGTTGCGGCGGAGTATGGTAGTCGTCGGTGCAGAGGAATACGGTACGAGGCCGCAGACTGAACAGTTGTTTTTTTGACAAGATTGCGAGGAAGACAGATGGCAAGAAGCACAGGTGATTGTAATGCGAAAAGATAGGTATAGCTCGCCTTGAAAGATGTCGGACTTGTTGCGAGGCTGAAGATGGTGCCTTTGCCCGCGTCCGCGCCTACTCTGACGCCCAGGGTCCACGCATGTGAAAATCGGAGTCATCGAACAACTCCGCAGAGTCATGATCATAACTTGATAGGATTATTTCACGAGTGGACAGGTACAGTTCGAAATCATCTCAATCGATACATAGGTCATTGCTCGTTAGGAGTCATAGGTAAAAGTAATTTGACCAAGTCAACCATTGACAAACTGGCAGCGTCATCTTAAACACGATCCTTTTTAATAAAGCAATATCCCACGTTCAACGACCAGTCAGGGGACTAGTGAGAGTGTCTCCTGCCTGTTCTGCCTCTTTGCCAAGGGGATTCTGGAGTGCTCCTCCGACGAGATTTCCGACTCCTGATTTGATCTCGCCGATCTCCTTCTGGTCCGACGCAGGGAGGCTGTTGATTTGATCTGCAGGAAGAGAGTCGTATTAGCAACCCGTGTGAAGCAGCAGGAGAGAGAATTGTGCATACCCTTGACCAGATACGAGGCCTTGTTCTCGCCCATTGTCTCGAGGGCCTTCTCCTCCATTGCGCGCTTCCACTGGGGAGGGACGCCGAACAGGTATACTGCGCCGACTATCAAGGCGACGACCGCGGCGAGGACTGAGAGATATGTGCTGGCGGCCATTTTGTTGGTTCGCTTCGATCCTTTCAAGAATAGTCTGGAGATTGTTGTTCTCTTGTCTTTGTCGAAGCTGTTCTGCTTGCGCGAGTCGACGACGATTGACTTCCTAGGGACTCTCGTGAAGCTCTCTGCGTTTGTTTTCGAGATGTATTCCTGAGGCAGAGATCGGTCGAGCTTCAGTTGTGATCGGAGCTGCTGCTTGGATATCCGGAGGACCGAAGGCTTGGATATGAACAACAACACGTTCTTCGACGAAGGGTGATGGACGGGGCGGTGGTGTTGGAGCTCGCTCTGGAGTCTGTGATGATGAACGAAGAGGTGGAGAGCGGGGTGGAGAGAGTCGTCGTCTGAAAGGTAGACGATTGATTGCAACGTTGACCCAATGTTGACAGGTCCGGAGAAAGGATTTGGAAGGTGAGAATATCGAGGTCTTTCGGGTTATATAAGCTCTGTCTCCGTCTGCGACCATATGAATACGTAGCGGGTGGGTTCAGGTTTTGTTTGTTCCATGGAGCAGCAAACGTCAGAAGCGGCACAGCTCAAGTGCTTGTACCAGTATGACGTCCGTCGCAGCTTCCGTGAAACTTGGAAGTTGCATCGAGCCTTCGGGCACGCGTCCGACTTGTTCATCTTTGGCAGGTCTTGTGCTTCGTCCTACCTTTTCCATGTGCATCTGAGTATAGGCAGAGCTGTTTGTGACAAGCGATGCGGTGCTATACAGCTGTCAAATCTACAAGGTACAAGCTCTTCGGCTCGTGGAGCCACGCGACAAGCTCGAGTCACAACATGACCTGCACAAACAATGCTGCTGTGCGGATCAAGAGCTGATCACGTCTGACACAGCGACAAGCTCAGTTGGCATCTTGCAGGCCCCAAGTGGTGAACATTGCAAAGTGTCGTGATCGGATTGACATGTCTCAGTCCGCAAAGCACGACAAAAGACCCTGAAGTTCCCGCCAAAGTTGGAGGCGGAGCTTCACATGTTTCTCACAAGAACCCCTCCAACAACCAACACGAGGTTGATATTGACTAGGAGAAGCCGCAATGCGCGGTTCATGCAGGATTTTGCAGAAATAGACAAGCGATTGATTGAAGAGCATGACCTTTGTGTTTCAGCTCTCAGCTTAGTGCTCTTGAAACTCAGCACAGCCCGCCGTGACATTTGAGCTCTCGTCTCGAAGCCTCCGAGCTTGCGTCCGCTGAGGCGCTGCCCCACGCCGCACTGCCACGCCGGCTTCCAGCCAGAGTGAGATTCATCTATGCGAATGCGCGACACGCTTACTGTGACTTGACTTCCTTTCCTCCTCTTTGCATATTCAATCTTGGATCAGCCCGCTGCTTGCATCCCGTCTGCGACAAACCTCGGGTCCGTAACCGCCGCCGTCGCTCATCTACCCCTCTTGAGCGCAGCGCCGCAAGACGCACTTGCCCAACCGCCAGCATGAGTTGTAAGTAACGCTGCCTATGGCTCCTTCCTCTACCATATCCGCACATGCGACTTGCGCAGTGTGAGCTGCTGCTCTTCTGCTTCTGCCTTGCATACCATCACCTACACTCTCTCCAACCTGACGTCAATCAACTCTTCCCTACAATACCTGCTCCAAACATTATCTAATCAAGTCGCCGGTATAGTCACCAGCATGCTCAACAAACTCCACGGTCAGCCCGACAGCTATGACAAGAAGTTCGTCCAATGCTGCACCCTCCACCACACTCTTCCTAATGTCGCAACCACAGAGCCAAGTACAAGTTTGGCAGAACCCTCGGAGCTGGAACCTACGGCATCGTCAGAGAAGCAGAGTCACCCCAAGGAAAATGCGCTGTCAAGATCATCCTGAAGAAGAACGTAAAAGGCAACGACCAGATGGTCTACGACGAACTGCAGATGCTCCAGCGCCTTCAACACCCTCACATTGTCAAGTTCTTTGATTGGTTCGAGTCCAGAGTGAGACGCACAAGAGACGGAATACTTCACGGCAGAGGCTGACCGAGGAACACAGGACAAATACTACATCGTGACCCAGCTCGCAACTGGTGGAGAGCTGTTTGACCGCATCTGCGAAAAGGGCCGCTTCACCGAGAAGGACGCTTCTGCGACCATAAGGCAGGTCCTGGAAGCCGTCGACTACCTCCACCAGAACGATGTCGTTCACCGCGGTCAGTACTGACATGAGCATCCCCTCTATTCCTTGCTGACCACACTATGCAGATCTCAAGCCCGAGAACCTCCTCTACCTGACCAAGGCCGATGACTCGACTCTTGTACTCGCCGACTTTGGAATTGCCAAGCATCTTGACAGCCCCGACGGCGTTCTCAAGACCATGGCTGGTTCCTTTGGCTACGCAGCACCTGAGGTCATGCTCAAAAAGGGACATAGCAAGCCCGTCGACATGTGGTCTCTCGGTGTCATCACCTACACTCTTCTCTGCGGTTACTCGCCTTTCCGCAGCGAGAACCTGACCGATTTGATCGAAGAGACCAAGCACGGCAGAGTTGTCTTCCACGAACGCTACTGGAAGGATGTCAGCAAGGAGGCCAAGGACTTCATCATGACTCTGCTGGTGCCCAAGCCCGAAAACAGAGCTACAAGTGCTGTACGTTTGAAAGAGTCAGGCTACTACCGAATATGACTAACACATGGTACAGCAATCACTCAAGAACGCATGGATCGCCGGTAAGGGTGCAACCGACCACAACTTGCTGCCCGAGATCAAGGCATACATGACCAAGGCTCGTCTGAAGCGTGGTATCGAACTCGTCAAGCTGGCCAATCGTATCGAGGCACTCAAGATGCAAGAAGACGAGGAGGAGGAGGTACCACAATCTGGAGACATGCCAGCAGGCGCAAAGGAGGCGGCTGGTGAAGCACTGGCACATCAGAAGGAGAAGCCGCTGGAAGGTGGACTTGCGGTGCCAACGGACCAAGGAGTGACACACAAGCGCAGTCTGAGCAAGCTTGCCAAGGGAGCCATCTTCCGCGAGGTTGTTCTGGCCAAGGTGCGCGAGATGAAGGCCGACGAGGAAGCACAGAAGATCACCTCGACTGGCAGCTTCGAAAAGGAGAAGGAGAACAAGTAAGGGGATTGCATTGATCGAGCGGGGACTTGAGTGTTTTTGATTGGCATGGCGTTTGGGGCCACAGGAGGGTGCAGCGGTTGCTGCTACTACTTGTCAGGCAACGTGCCTAGGCAGGCGAGTGATATTCCTAGACGATTGTTCAATGAGAAGGGAATAGATTGATACGTTTTTCTGTCATCTGTTTGGGTGTCTCAGAGGGTAGTGGTGGTGTTTATAGCGATGGCAGTTGACATGGCAGATAATGGTGGTCGAAGAGTAAGGATGCTTGTCCGAGTCGAGGGGAAGCTTCTTGACAAGACCGGCATGCAAGCACGGCGGACCAAGAGCAAGCAAGCTTCGAACGTCGATGCCCATGTAGCACTTTAATCAACGAACCGACCAAAAGGTCACAGAGCAAGGGAGGATTGATAATTGTAGTGAAGGACAATAGATTCCTGAACCAATCACGTGTCCCGTGGTCCGTGCACGATAGCGGACGAAGTGGCAGAGCGAGACGCGCGACGCGCAAGAGCATGAGGGAGCAATTCGGCAGGCACGACCGACCAGCATCACCACTCATTTCAGGACGTCCGGAAGTGCCGTGCAGAGAAGCAGCAAATTACGCGACAACAGAGACACCAAATTCACCATGGACCGCAATCGCAATCGTAAGCGCAAAGCAAACGATGCCGCATCGCCCAAGGCCGAGGGCAGCGCAAGCAAGCGCCAAAAGACCAGACTGGTGAGTGCGCATTGTCTTGTCTAGAGCAGCAGTGGTTTGGTGGGTAGAGTGGATGTAGTTGTCGCGGAGGAGCTTCTACGATTCCCCTCGAAAGCACCGTCACCGCCCGCTACCACCGTCTGCGACACTCGACAAGCGCGACCAAACGCTTGGACTCTTCAAGACCATCCAGACTGACAAGTTGCGCCCACAGGAACACGAGACTCCGCAGACAACGACAACCATCGGCCTGCAGTTTATCGACCATCTGAAATCAGCCAAAGACAAGACGTGAGTTTGTCCGCGACAACAACCAAAGCATCTGCCATGGCCGAGTCTGACCCCGTTGCAGTGGCCGCTTGATCGCCGACCTGTTCATCGACTTGCCCAGCAAGGTATGCTCCTTCTCTGCTCCTTCTCTCACACTTCCCACCATCTCTCTTACTACTTCTCCTCATTCACCACTCTCTGGATTCACTATGCAACATGGACTGACACTCGACGCTGCAGAGAGAATTGCCCGACTACTACCGCACCATCAAGCTACCCATCGCCATCCAGACTGTTCAGGTACACCTTCCTCCCCGCTGCCATCGACCACCGCCCCGTCTAACCAAGATACACAGGACAAGCTCGAACGCAATGAATACCCTACCCTCAGCACCGTCGAGAGCGACATCAAGCGCATGGTCTCCAATGCAAAGCAATACAATGATGACAAGTCGACCGTCTACCAAGACGCCGAGCGCATCCGCAAGGCTCTTTCCAACTTCATGACAAAACACAACCCTGCCTACAAGGACCCCAACTACGTCGCCGCGCCCACTCCTATACCTGGTCACAACGATGACACTGCCTCGTCAGCACCTCCGACTCGCGAGCCCAGCGAGCAACCCAGGAAGATCACAATCTCCCTCAAGGCCACCCGCGATCGCAAGTCCTCAGCTGCTCCGCCAGCCGCCTCAAGCCCGGCCGCCACCGTCCAAGACGACTCAGACCCCACCGATTTCACCGCCAAGACCTTCCAACAAGCCCAGGAGCACATCATCAACGGTTTGATCAGCTATACAGATCAAGGGTGGGTTATGCCAGCAATATCTCGACCAATCACTGCTAACATTCCGGCAGGATCGAAATCTTCCAGCCGTTCGTCACACTACCTCCGCGATCACTGACGGATTACTACGCCGTCATCAAGAAGCCCATGTCGCTCACCGCTGTTCGTAAGAGAGTCCGAGGACAGCATGGTCGTGGAGCTGCAACAAGCCAAAGCGACTTCAGGACGTGGGATGCTTTTGCAGATGAGGTGTCATACATCTGGCGCAATGCAAGGGACTACAATGAGGATGGAAGCGACATGTTCAACCTGTCAGTCGAGCTCGAGGATCTCTTCAACGAACGTCTGGCATCCGCAAAGAGCCAAGTCAACGAGCCCGTACAACCAAAGATCAAGCTCAGCGCCCCGAGACCAAAGCCTGTGCTACACCTCGGCGCAAAGGCTTCGCCAGCTCCAAAGAGCTCTCTTGCCGAGGAGCAGATCACCAACGGGACACCTGCCGCGTCTCACACAAGACCAGGAAGCAGCGCCGCCCCATCACGGTCAACCTCCCAAATCCCGACGGCAATCAAAGCAACAAGCGCTACGGCATCAAGTCCGAGCGCTACGACAGCAGCAGTCAAGACGGAGAAGGCTGTCGCTGCCTCGCCGTCACTCGCTACAGTCCGCCCACAGAGCATCGCTCCAGACGTCAAACAAAGCCCGAGGCCAGAAACCGCCAACTCAATGCCTCCACCACCCTCTGTGCGCGGTCTTAGTGGCAGTCCGCATCCCTCAATGCTGCCTCATGTCCCTCACATCCCGCAATACGTGCCACCGCCAACCTTTGCCGACAAGTACACCCGCCAAAAGCCTGTCTCGGAAGCCCTTCTGCCGAGTCTTGTCATCACAACACATCCTCAACTCAATACCCCAAAGCCTTTCCACATTGATGTTCCTGCATCCAAGCACTTCACTCAGCAGTCGCTGACCATGACCGTCCCCGGCGCCCACTACTACATCAGCATAATCCCCACCGTGTCTCAGCGCCTTTTGATACAACGACAGTACAAGCTGTTCGTCACCGTCAATGGCGCCCGCCTTATGGGCACGACACGCGAGCTCATGGTCGGTGGAGTTGCCGACAGAAAGCAAGTCTACGATACCGCTCTGAACCCCGGTATCAACAGAGTCGAAGTCGAAGTTGTCGCTGTTTCCGGCAAGACTGGCGCTCTCGAAGTGGAGAAGTTGATGGTCTTTGCCAATCTTCTGAAGTAGGATCAAATCGAAGAAACGATCGGTGACATTTTCTGGTGTTAAATGGGTGGCTGTTGTGGCGGTTAAGGTCTAGCAAAGCATGGCGCTGGAGTTTGGTGTTTCTTCGTCCACTGGCAGGTATACCTCTATTGTTCTTCTGTTCTTTCTTTCTTGCGCTGGTGGAACGGAAGGTTCCTAGCATTCTGGAATCAATGCAGATTTCCATATCCCTCATAGTCAGCATTTCCCCCGATCGTACTCCGCTTCTGTCTTTCGTGGCCGACCGGACCGCACATGCTCATCGTCATCTCGCTTCCTGCGATCGACCCATACCATGCCCTAACAATCGCTCGGTTTAGGGCTTGATTCACCACATGACTTTCAGAAAGCGAATGCTTGTGGGGAAATAAGCGTCAACGGCCCACGATGTGGGGAAGGATTCCTCGTGGGGAGACACGGTAAGCTTTTTCTTGTGCCTGTCATTCTTGCTGCCCTTGTGATTTTGGGTCACAACGATCGTGAGTCTATGCTCGCCGTGCAATGATCCATGAAGTGCCGATGATTGAGGGGTTACTGGATGTTGATCTAGAAGCATACCCGACATGAAGTGATTTCACTCGGGTAAAGGAAAAGGCTAAAGCATGATTTGAGTGTATATAAACCTCCTGGTCCGAGAAACTATTCTCTTCTCTCTCACACGCGGCTCTTCTGCTCACACCCACGATGAAGTTCGCATCACTTGTTCCAGCCTGGGCAGCTCTAGTCTCTGTCTGCAGTGCTGCTGTAACGACCAAGGCTGTCTCTGCTTCCGTTACCTTTGACAACACTAGGAGATTTTTGTTCGATACGAACGGCAGACAGATTGACGCCTATGGCTCCAAAGTAAACAACTTCAACGGCAAATACTATCTTTACGGCAACTCATTTTCGGAAACTGGAGTCGCGTATGGAATCAAATCTTACTCTTCTGTCGATCTTTTGAATTGGTATGATCATCTTGAATAAACCACCTGTCTGCATGAACCGTCGCTGATGAGAGAAACCAGGCAGTACGAAGGCTTCCTGTTCAACCCTGCTGGCAACAATAACCCTTGCGCTGGCTCAGGAGGTTGCGGACGCCCTCACATCGTCTACAACCCAAAAAACAAGAACTATGTTCTTTGGGCTAACGCTGGATCCCCTGGCTACGTTATCGCTACCTCTTCATCGCCATCTGGTCCTTTTGTCTTTTCGACAAACAGGGCACTCATCGATCCTGCATTTGATTCTCTCCAACCTGCAGATTTCACCGTCGAAGTCATCGACGGAGAAGGCTATATCGTTTTTTCAGCACTAAACTTCAAGTCTCCCGATGCCGGAAGTTTCTGGCCTCCGATTTTCCAGAATATGCACGCGAGTAAATTGACAGCGGACTTTATGAACACGACTAGAGTTTCTTGGCCAGTCGTGTCGAATGCGAATGATCTCATTGACAATGAAGCCGAGAGCCCGGATATTTTCAAGAGCGGGAATACTTGGTATGTTGCTGCGAGCAACACTTGCGGGTATTGCAATGGATCAATTGCGTTGCTTTATCGCAGCAACAGCATCCAAGGACCTTGGACCCGTCAGATCTTGGAAGGGTATTCGTGTAATGGACAGGTTGAAGGCGTGTTGCCTTTGACGAACCCATCCACTGGCGCAGTCACCAATGTTTGGCACTCGACTTCAGTACCCGGAGGTCCTCGCACAGGCTTCGGAGGCCATATTTTCCAGCCGTTGAACTTTAACGCCGATGGCAGTGCTAAAAACCTCGATTGCTCGACCACTGCAACGTTCCCGGTCACCTTTACCAAAGGCAATGGCACTGCTGCAGCTGGCAATGCGACAAAAGCAGTAGATGCAACGCCCGCACTTGCCGTCTACAACCCCGTCTGCGATTCCGACAGTTTCATCCTCTATCAAACCTGGACGGCCTCCAAAGCAGGAACACTGAAAAGCGTATCCCTCAACATCGCCCGCGGCTCCCAAACCGTTCCTCTGGCTCTCACTGTCTTCAAAATCCCCTCTGTCAACGACATGTTTGTGCCTGAAGTCAAGTGGACGGCTCTGGGCTCTGCATCCTTCAACGCAAATCAGACTACCTATGTTTTTGACACGGTCACTGTGCCTGTTACTTCCAATGCTACTGTTGCAAAGGGAGAGTTGTTGGGACTGTCGATTTCTGGAGCTGATTACTCACCTTGGTGTCATTTGGAGTCTGATACTGCGAACGGGCGTGGATTCAAGTTGTATCAACAGGGTCAGGGTCAGTATTCGTGGAGAGGGCTGCAAGGCAGGAATCCACCGGTTTACGAGAGACAGGGCAAGAGTGTCAAGTTTTTCGCGACGTATGCTTGAGTCGCGGTAGAAGGGTGACTGGAGCTGGTTGCGTTGATGTATAGTGTATATACACTCTTGAACAAACATAGATGCTTTCCATCAAGTTATCCGAACAAACACAAAAGCCTTGTCATTATGGTAAATTGCTACAAGATTTCAAAACGTCAATCGGAGAAGAACAAAAAGAAGTTTCCAGCACTCCCTCGTCATCCGTCCCCAACACAGGAAGAGAAAAAGTCATCTGTAAGGACTGTGGACTTTCATGCGGTTTCTTCGCAGTCTGTCCTTAGTGCACAACAGTACCACTCCACTGGTTGCAAGAAACTTGCACAGCAGTACCCACAGCCAATCCGACGCCAGAATTACCGAACAGCGCAGTGTTGGCACCAGAGTTCAAGCACAGATCGAAGTTGAGGTTGGCGCCGTATTGGTTGGTTCCTTGCAAGCCATTCTGGGAGCACAGAGGGTTGCCAGAGGCAGGGCACAGGTTGGTGACTTGGACGACGATGCTGTTGCCTGCATTGGACAGCTTGTTGCCGGAGCTGTCGGTTTGAGCGGTCAGCTTCCAGCAGGTGCCGCAGCCGGGGCCGGCGCCTGCTCCAGGGCCGACACCAAAGGCGTTTTGGGAGAGGGCGGCGGAGTAGCCGGGCTGCGAATTGTTGTGTTAGCGATGTTGGGTTTGGAAGTGTGAGAATACAAAACTTACGTTGGTGTAGAAACCGCAAGCAGTGGTATCAGTGTTGCAGTTTCCACTGCCAAAGGTGTCACCGCTGCCGTACTGGGTGAAGGAAGCCTTGTAGGTGGTACCACTACTACCACCGCCGCCAGCAGCCTTCGAGGTCGAGACGGGAGCGGCAGAAGTCTTGGTGCTGGTGGTCACTGGCTTGGCAGTGTTGGAACCAGGCAGGCATTGAGAGTAGTAGGCATTGCTGACTACGCAGGTGTAGCCAGAGACGCAAGTCTTGTCGCCAGTGAAGCCTTGGCCACCGCATTGAGCGTATGCTGCTGCAGCTGCGTGGGCAGAAGTGCCAAAGGTAATTGCAGAGAGGAAGAGAGTGTTGAGATGCATGATGCAAGAGAAAGGAATGTGTTCTTTTCGAAGGATGGTTGCGTGAATGGAAAAGAGGGAAAGAAAGGGCACTTGCCTGGGCCTTATATAGCACAAGTCCCGGAGACCTGATACTTGAACACTTCCCTTTGTACTTTCGAGATCGCGTTAGCCGCCATCTACGGGCCGCGATCGTGGAGCTATGGTCCATGTTTGCTTTCATCGCGCCCCGTTCCCTACCCCTGTCACGCCATCTCATCTGCAGACATCAGGAAGCAGCTCCAGAGACGTATCTCATCCCATGAACCGTGATCTGGAGTCAAATCCCGCTCATCACCAATCGACAGATCGACATCATCTTGCGTGGAATACCTTTTATCCATGAGCCTCGAAACATCCGCCTCATTCACCTAGGGCATCCAGAATGGTTGTGGCTTGCATTGAAACAACCATCGCTAAAGCTTGTATGACTTTAGACTCGGCCGAAAAGGCTTGATTGACTTGACAGCTGCATGGGGACCCATGTCATGGGATTCATGGCGAAGCATGCCTTGTGCCACGGGTGGCTCCCTTCTTCCCCGTGAATTCCTTGTCGACGTAGCAAAAGCCTTCCAGCAGGATATACAGTAACTCGTGACCCAGTATCTCCTTGACATGTTTTCGCCAAAGCGCAATCTTTGTTTCAAGCCTCCATTAGTACGGTGGTACGATGAAAATTATGGTTCGTCACAAGCCGTTTTCCACGCGATCCGTTTGCGAAAAGAACGGTTAGACGGGCCGCTAGCCATGACGGCTGGTAAAGAGGTAGTCAAGTTTCAAGTTGAGTGGATCTCAGCTAAGCGATGGGAGAGACGAGTAAGGCGTAGGACCACAGGTCGACCACGTTCGAGATCTTGCGGTAATGGATGCATCGTGGAGACGCCAACGCGTGTGCATGACAATGTGTAGACCGAGAGATTCCAGATGTTTTGAGGGATCAAAGAGAGAAGCAGGTACGGAAGTGACGCGGGCGGGACGGCCTTGTTTGCTGACTCAGCAGAGCTCTCTGAACGGCAACGAGCAGAGCTTTATTCCTGATAGTAACAAGTTGTGTTTCAGCAACATGGATACATTCCACAGCCGGCCATCTAGAAGGCCAAGACATGGAACATTTATGAAAGGTCAGTAAATCAAAAATTATCTATTACGCTAACATTAGTTGGATATCATGCTGTAAGGAAAAAGACAACAACGCCAGATTCGTGCATTTCGTCTACGCAGCAATCATAGTAGCAGCTTTACTCATAAAGTAGTCCTTGCCCTTGACAAATGCAACCATAAAGCTAAACGGCACAAAGCTTCCAATCTGTCCAGTGCCAGTCTTGCTGCCGATGGGTACAAACACCATCAACTTATCACTCGCATCATAAGTCTTGAGTTGTCCAGCCTTGGTGATGGCATTCTTGATGTTGGCTGCCACCACAGGGATCTGGTCGTTGATTTTGAGATAGTAGCGTTGCTTGTAGTGGGTAGCGTCCCCCAAGGCATAGACAGAGTTGTCGGAGATGGAAGCCACGCGCATGTTTCCGTCGACCTTGATCCAGTTGTCGGCGTCGAGAGTGGAGGGGGGCATGAAGGAGGTGTTGGCGATGTTTCCTGCTGCTGAGATGACGAGAGCTGCTTCGAGAGTCTTGCCATTGTCGAGTTGAACCACGAATTTTCCGCCTTCGCTCTTCGTATCGGTAACGCGGGCCGAGTAGACAATCGTAACGCCCAAGTTTTCCAGACTGGCGTGGGCGGACTTTGCGGCCGAGGCCTTGAGGGCAGGCAGGACTTGTGCGTGCGAGGAAATCAAGGTGACTTTTGTTCTGGGGTATGCTTGGGCGATTTCGCCAGCACTTTCGACGCCTACGGGACCGGCGCCGATGATGATGATGCTGTCTGCGGCGGCGACTCTCTTCTGTGCTGCCTCGACTTTTTCGCGAATGTCTGCTCCAGTAGTCTTGAAGGGAATGGCTTCGTCGCCAACAGTGCCGGGTGTGGTTGAGCCAGATGCGACGACCAAATAATCGTACGAAATATCCTTTCCATCCTTGACGCTCACAGTCTTGGCAGCAGTGTCGACAGAGCTGGCATAGCCTTTGACAAAGGTGAACCGGGACTCAGGGTATTGCTTGAATTTGTCAATGATGGGAATCAGGTATTGGTCGACCTTGGCTTCCTTTGGCTTGGCGATGATGCGCGGCGAGGCGATGTTGTAGTAGAAGACATCCGAGGGGTCGATGAGGGTGACTTTCGAGTTTGGCACTTGCTTGAGGACCTGGTGTGCGACTTTTGTTCCGGCGTAGGAGCCGCCGATGATGACGACGTGCGACATTGTGGTCGTTGTGCTTTGGAGTAGTCTTTCCGGTGATGTGGTTGGCGCTCGGCGGTGTGAAAAGGCAGGCGAGACTACCAGAGAGACGACAAGCGAGGAAAGTGTAGATACAGGAAGAAAATCCTACGACCTACCGGGCAGGAGACAGTCTACTATTTATTGCATGCGACAGCTCAGAAAAAAACTCCGTAGGGTGAAACTCTTTCTGTCGCGACAACAATCGGCTTACCGCTGTCCCGGGGCCGCTGACAATCAATTCGCCGAGATCAACAGTCAGCCAGATGCATCTCGCAAGGCAAGAAGGAACCAGTAAGAAGTATCCAGCTAGCATCACACAACGTTGCCAAGTAGATTGTGAGGCTCACAGCAGAACTGTTGGTGGTGAGGAGCGGAATCGAAGGAAGGAGGCTTTGATGAGCTCGGTCAGATTAGCTCAGTTCGGCTTCCCCAAGCGCCGAAGATTGGTAATCGCGCCCGACACCACCAAGGGCCTTCTTTGACGGGCAACAGATCATGAACGACTTCCATGCATCTATCTACACGTCTATCGCTCTATTGTCGAATCAAAGTCATATGACTAGTTTTATCTTATTACGTTGTAACAACACATCTCGACACATCTCAACACATCATGGATCCCTCCCCAGCTTTTGATTTCTCTCGCGGTACCGGATCACATCCATAGAAGATCGATGACAAGAGCGACACGAGATCATCCTTGCACTTAGCTCAAAGCTATACTCAAAGTGTAGCCAAGACGGCAAGCACAAGTAGGCTTGGCTAAGCTATAGAAGAACGGTAATGTAGAAACTCAATCATGTGGCGGATCCTGTCGTTCGAGACGACCGTCATCGGTATACCTTGGGTCACAGATCAGAAAGACCGATACTCCAGAGGTCGCAGAAGGAGCGTCTGATAGTTGTGCCATAGTCACATAATTTGGTCTTAGCGTCATTGGCTACTTTTCCATGTGTCAGAGATTATCACCATTGGCGCAATCTTGCGTGCTTTACGATGCGGCTCTGAAGGAAGCAGATCAACGCAAATTTAACCTTCGTGGAGAATTTGACCTTCGTCGCTCTCCAAGACGACCGAGCTCACACGACGCAAAAACTATCATAACAGATCATATAGCTAGCATCCGCTGAGCACGAACCATCTTCAAGAAGACTATCGCATAACGACACTACTCGCACATTCCCGGTTGGGCTACCCCTTCTCAGACTTTGCAGAATGTCCGCCCCAATGGGCAAAAGTCCTGCCCGGTCCGAGGCAATCAGCTCATCGGATCCAGCAACTCTCATGGACAATGCCAAACACACCACACATACGACTCTCGAAGAGGCACATATCGACTATGCACCCACCACCGACCGCCTGCGCCGAAGCCTCTCAGCCCGTCAAGTCCAAATGATAGCAATCGGAGGCACAATCGGCACCGGCCTCTTCCTCGGCACTGGAAAGTCCCTCGCAACCGGTGGTCCAGCATCCCTCCTCATCGCCTACCTGATCGTCGGTGGCATTGTATTCCTCACCATGCTCTCTCTGGGCGAAATGGCCGCTTTCATCCCCGTCGCAGGCAGTTTCTGCACTTTTGCAGGCAGATTTGTGGATGATGCGTTTGGCTTTGCACTTACCTGGAACTATTGGTTCAACGATGCTGTGAGCGTGGCTACGGACTTGGTCGCATTGCAGATATTGCTGCAGTACTGGACGGATAATTTCCCTGGCTGGGCGATTAGTTTGATCTTTTGGGTTGTGCTGATTGCTGCTAATATCGTTACGGTTGCTGTTTATGGAGAGGTATACGACCTCTTTGGACAAGAGTCTAGATTCATTGCTGACTTTCTCTCGGGAAAATAGCTCGAGTATTGGCTCAGTTTGCTGAAAGTCGTTACCATCATCATCTTCATGATTCTAGGTATCGTGGTGAACTGCGGCGGCAACACGGATCATCACTACATCGGCGGAGAGAATTGGCGGATCCCTGGAGCACCTTTCCACGACGGCATCGGGGGTTTTGCGTCTGTCTTTGTCACAGCCGCTTTTGCATGTGAGTATGCTAGGAGGGAAATTGCCAAGATAAGCTTTTGACATGATAACAGATGGTGGAACGGAGTCCATCGCCATCACCGCCGGCGAGACCAAAAATCCCGCCAAAAACCTCCCTCGTGTCGTCAAGAATGTCTTCTGGCGCATACTGATTTTCTTGTATATTTCCCCCCCACGGGCGTCTCCGACAAAGACATATCATGCTGATAAGCTTCATAGCATTATATCAGTCATCCTCATTGGCCTTGACATTCCATACAATTACCCTCGGCTGAGCTCAAAGACAGTAGCCACCTCGCCTTTCACACTGGTATTCAAGAAGACCGGTGCAGCGGGTGCTGGAAGCTTCATGAATGCTGTAATCATGACCAGCGTATTATCCGCTGGCAATCACGCACTCTTTGCCGGAGCACGCCTACTCTACAGTCTGGCCGCGCAGGGCCACGCACCAAAAGTGTTCGCTCGCTTAAACAGAAAACAAGTCCCTTGGATCGCAGTCCTCACCACCAGCATCGTCAGTGTGGTCTGTTTTGGCTCTAGCTACATCGGTGCCGGTCAACTCTGGAACTGGCTACAAAAGTATGCTTTTGCCCCCCTCCATCTATCCCCCATTACCATTACTGACACAACTCACAGCCTCGTCGGCGTCTCCAACATGCTCTGCTGGACCGCCATCGGCATAACCTCCGTCCGCTTCCGCGCCGCCATGGAAGCACAACACAAAACCCACCTCCTGCCCTTCAAAAACTGGACGTATCCCTACGGACCCTGGCTGTGCATTGTTCTGAACATCATTCTCATTCTCGTACAAGGATGGAGTTGCTTCAGTCCAGAGTTTGACGCAGTGAGTTTTGTGAGTTATTATGTAGAGTTGCCGTTGATGCTTGTCATGTACGTTGGCTGGAAGGTGTGGAAGAAGACTAAAGTGGTGAAGCTTGAGAGGATGGATTTGGAGACTGATACGCAGAGTGTTGATGAGGTTGTTCTGCAAAGTGTGGAAGAGAGTAGACTCAAGCGGTTTAGGAACTGGCTACTGTAGTTGCATGATGATGAAAACATAATCACAGTGCAGAATTCAGAAACCAAATCGGAGGCAAGGCGTGATTGTTCTTCCTTTACGCGTTCTCGAGATCAAAAGGTCAATCTCCCCCGTTCGGAAGACAAAACATTGACTTGACAGAAAAGGCCTTGTGGTACGATGATTCAATAGGGATGAAAGATGAACTGACATGACTCTTTCGTTTTTCGTTGCATACAAACAAGGACGAAGGGGGATAAACTCGAGCATGCTCTAAGCCCCCTGCCTGGCCGTCTCCAAATACTCAACTTGCTTCTCCTTCTCCCCAGCACCCTCCTCGCCCTCAAACAGCGCAGGCGACACAGCAACCTTGCTGCCATATCTGCCCACCTTCCACCAGGGCAACTCAAACACAGCGTCCAAACTCTCAAGACTCCTTCCTGAAGTCTCGGGCAGGAAAAAGTAAACCCAGAACAGACCCAGCAGAGTGATGGCAGCAAAGAAGAACATGGTTCCTGCAGTGGTCATGCCGACAAACATTTCGGGCACAGCCTTGGAGTTGCCGTATTGGTTTACGAAATGGAAGGCCATTGCGATACTTCCACCAATCGCACGCAGACGCAAGGGGAAGATTTCGGCGTTGATGAGGTATTGGATCGAGTTCCAGCCTGGAGAAAAGCAGTCAGTATACGAAGGATCAAGGAAGAGGGGAAAGGAAAAAAGAGAGACATACCCATAGCCCATCCAAATCCGGAGAAATAAATCATGGCAATCGCGCCCTTGGCAGCTGACTTCTGACTAGCAGTTTGCACATTTCCTTTCACACCAATACTCTTGTCAATCTGCAAGAACATGGCCATGTAAAGCATAGCCACGAATTGAATGGTGATACCAATACTCAAACTCCTCTTGCGGCCGATAAAGTCGACCAGGAAGAAAGCACACATGATGGCACTGATGAATTTGACGAGTCCAAAGATACCGGTGGCGAGAAGTTTCTCTTGTGTGCCGGTTGTGCCCATCAGAGCAAAGTACTGGGGTGCATAGACGGTGATGGACCCAGCTCCACTCCATTGGCCAAGCAACTGAGCGCCAATGGCCAAGAAGATACGGTAGCGGTTGCTCTTCATGCAGAAGAGTTCGCGGATGAGTCCGACTTTAGAGGCTCCCATGGTGGCTTCCTGCTCGCGCTCGAGTTGGCTGTTGATATCGATGATCTCGTTCTGCACCAGCTCGTGATCTTGACTCAATCCGCGAATCTTACAGAGATTTTCGACGGCTTTGGCTTGTTGCTTGTTCTTGATCAGCCAACGAGGGCTCTCGACGGCGAAGAAGCTGAAGGTGAAGATGATGGCTGCAAAGTACAGATGCAGTGTGTTGGGAATAACCCATTGAATGGGGTTGTGGTTGCTGATGTGCAATGAAGTGCCGTATGAAGCAAAGTATCCTAGCATGATGCCAAGGTAGACGGAGCCAGAGAAGATACCCACGCACAATCCACGGATAGATCTGGGAGCCACTTCGGCGAGATATGTGGGTGCGACGACAGTGGTCTGTCCGATACCGAGTCCAGCGATGAAGCGACCAGCATATACCATACCGAGACTGCCATGAGCAGCAGCACCAAGAAAAATAGAGATGCCAGCAACCCAGACCAGACAAAGCTCCCTCACAGCCCAAAGTCTACCAATCCTGTCGGTGATAGGGAAAGCAAATAGGGCGCCGAAGATCGATCCCAGTTGCACCATAGATGTAATGTTGGACAAAAGGTTAGCCTGCTCGGTGGCAGTCAAGTCCTTGTTCTTCAACCCGAACTGCGTAACGAAAGATTTTTGGGAGGTGGTGGTGCCAATAAGACCTTCATCGAGACCACGGGCTGTGCCCAGCAAGCCGAAGACTGGGACAGACGTTAGCGAAAAGGCTGGGATGGCAAAAGTCAAGCAAGACCAAGCATACCAAGCACTGCATAGCCAAGACGCCAGTTGAGAACCTCTTCAGGCAGATCCTTGGCGTATCGTTTGAACATCTTCGCGACTTCGACTGTTTACGGTTGTGAATAAGGACGGCAAAAGAAGTAGAAGAGACGAAGGGAAACGGGGAGCGCAAAGGACTTTAAAAGGGAGACGAGAGAGCCTCCAGACCCCACCAATACTACCTCGTACCCTAACATCCTTCATCGGCCCCGTGGGAAAAAACAGTACCCCGGCAATTGTATCCAGCGTTTTTTCGGTGGAGCATCTGTGGAGTCTCCGCTTGGTCTGTTACAAGGTTCGGTTCGTCCGAGATTGGCAGTTGATCGGCAATAAGGCAGTGGGCCAGGGGAAAAAGCGTGGGGGAAACACATAGCCGCATGCCAGAAACGAGCCAGAATCATGGCTGGAGTGGTCGAACCACTGCACACGCGTCTTCTCGTTGGCTAGTACGGAGTATGGAGCATGTAAAGTATCTTTCTCGCCGCGGGCCGCCTCGTTATGGCTTGGAGATGACAAGACGGCGGCCAAGGATGCTTGGATGGTATTGGCTCTGTTGTGTGGCTGCAAAAGGATGAACGTTGTTGCCCTAGCGCTAGCAGACGTGGATCAATCGGTTTTTTGCAGCGCTCGCCTAAAAAGGACCATCGGCAATTGTGTCTGCTGTTCAGCAGAAACGGAAGTGCCCTGATTCGGAAGCGGTGGCCGATGATGTCCGGATAAAGACATACCCGGGTTGTCCGTAGTCCCAAACACGGGCCGTTTTTCTGCTAACACCACCAAATGATGGCTCGAGAGAACTTAAGTTGTCAGAACAAGCGTAAACAACGTGTGAACATTCGTAATCTCTATCTATCTTGCGTAATTCTCCAATGAACCTCTCAACCGGTGATACGAACCCCCCAGATGATAAATTACGAAACTCCTTAAAAATCACAATCAAGGCTGGTGAGCAGGAGCGATGGGGCTAGCCTCGACAGGCACGACCTCAGACTTTGTCTCCTCGGCAGCATCTCCCTCTTTAGCCTCCGAAGCAAAAGCTTGTGGAACCTTCTCGCTCAAGTTCACAGCTAGGAAACTCTTGGGCAACTTGACGGTGTGGAACTTGGCTCTCAGTGTCTCGAGCACTTCCTTCCATTCTACATGGGGTGTCAGGCTTCTACGAGGAGTGCAGCCAATGCAGTGCTTGCTGTCCAGCTGAACGTCTAGAGGGTCGAAAGCGTGGCATCCAGGAGAAAGTGTGATACGAATGCTGTAGTTAAAGCAGCTGCCTTCAGGATCGTCAGTGGTAGCTTCATTCTGTGATTCGTAGAGCTCGAAGCAGATTTGAGACAGATAGTCGAGCTCGGGAATGGCGTTGCGAGCAATCTTTGTTTGAACACCGCCCTCGATGATCGAGTTGAGCAGAGTGTAAATGTGTGACTCCTTGGTGAAGTAGATGAAAGACTTGGCGTCTTCGGATGCTTGTACTTCTTCCAGATCTGTCACAATCTCCTTGAGCAGAGGAAGACTGGTCAAAAGTCCAATCTCTAGCTTCTCACTCTCTAGCATACCGTACTCCTGAGGACCGATGTAATCGAACAGAACTTTGGAGAAGCGATACAACTCTCTTAACTTTTCAAGACGGACATCGACCTTAGCCTTGGACTCGGGAAGATCTCTGTTGCCGGTGAAGAGCGAGAAGTATGATTCGGGATTGCCAGAAACACGGTTAGCCAAGGTTGCTTGAGCGTTCTTGAGTGTGACGGAGGCATTCTCAGAGCGTCTCCTCAAGCTTGACATGTGCGACAGCTTGTCTTTGTCGTCGCTCTTCTCTTTATCGCCTTGCTGATTGGTAGGTTGGACGTCCTTGGTCGCAGCTTGCTGCTCTTGTGTTGGTGCGAGACCCTCGTGAGTCTGGCCAAACTCTTCTCTCATATCCGCAGAAGCAGTACGCTTCAGAGTATTGGGACGCTCATGGTCATCATCAACCATGTCGTTGCTTGGAGTAAAGACCCACTCGAGGAATTGTCGGTTGTGCAGAGCATCGAACTTCATCGTGTCATAGAGCTCACTAATCTTACTAGGATCGACCTTCTCGGCATCGGTGAATTCCTTGAAGAGCTTCTCCCAGCGTTCCTTGAACAAGGAAGCATCTTCACCGCAGCACCATCTAGATTGGATCTGCTTGGGGTCAACGCCCTCTGGAGCACTGTCTGCAAGACTGACTGAGGAGGCATTGCTGGGAGGGCTCTTGATGGGTGGTCCACCCTCGCCTTCGGGACGAAGTTTGGTAAAGTTCTGAAGCATGACACGGCGATGAAATTTCATCAGCTCGACGACACTGCGAACGACCAGGTAAGGCTCGGGAGTGCCGTCTTTGGGCCAAGCGAACTGTTCCGGTGCTTGTTTACCTTGACGGAGCAGGCCCTTCAACTTCTTCTTGACCTTGTCCATCACATCCTTGGCTGCGTTTGAATCATCAAGCAGATCCTTGCGGACAGAAATGAAGTTGGGATCTAGCTCTTTCTGGTTCAAGAAGGAAGCAGTGAAGATCTGAGCACTGGTCGATACGCGGCGTTCGGAGGACGAGAAAACACGAACATCTCTAAGAGCATCCTTGTTCATCAGGAGCAAGTCATTGCGCATGTTGTCACCAAGATCCTGGGCTTGGTAGCGGGCAGAGTGAGTAGGCTCTCCACCCCACTTCATGACAAGCTGCAACTTGTCAAGCACAAGGTTGTTCTCGGCAGCGGAGATTCTGGAAAGAGTGACGTCTGCCATAGAGTCACCACGCGAGTGGTTGGCATCATCGCCCTGGAGAGGGGTCGGCTTTGGCTTGGCGTTGCCATCCTCGTCGACGGTGAGCTTGTCCTGGAGCTCGGCTGGCAGCTCTTCCTGTTTCCTCTTGCGGAACATTGGCTTGATCTGGACCTTTGTACCAGGCCAGCTTCCCTTCTTATCGAGAGCATTTGACAGTGTGCGCAGCTTTGTCTGGTCTTCTTCGCCCTCAATCAGAGCCTGTTTGACAGCTTCCTGCACACTCTTAAGGGCAGCCTCTCCGACCAACAAGACTTCCTCACGGTGTCCCTTGAGCAAATCTACGAAAGGCTTGGTGTGGAAGGTGAACTTGAACTTTTGCTTGGGTGTACGATCAGCGTGACGGATGACGGCAACCATGCCCTTGAGCTTCCACTGCGACTTGGAGGCAGGTGCAGGCACAGGCTCGTGGTGTTCGTCAGCTTCGTGGATGGACTCCTGTAAAGTCTGGTATTGATGGTTTTCGTCAAGTATGGCGGGTGGCGGGAGTTGGTTGTCTTGGGGAATACCGGGACTGCGTGGCATGGGTAGATTACCAAAGCTTGGTGGAGAGGTGATGGGAGAAGGAAGTTGAGATATCTCGGGTGAACCGGGCTTCTTGTTGGCCAACTCGCGCAGTCTGTTGGCACTGGCAGAGCGGAAAACGGATTTGAGATGACTGCGATGGCTGGAGACGGTGCTCTTGCGGTGAGTGCCAGGGGCTTCTCTTTCGTAGTTGTCTTCGGATGCAGAAGCGGGTGCGGATGTGGGTTGTTGTTGCTGCTGCTGCTGCTTGTTCTCGACTCTGACCTTCTCACGAATGAAGAGGCCCTTGAGAATGTTGGCACATTTGTCATAGTAGTCATTGTTATCTTTGACAAAACTCCAGCCGTTGACGTCAATAACATAACTCTTCTCGCCCACGCGCAGCAGATCGAAACCACAGACACGCTGGCCGAAGCCATCGGCAATTCTCGAGGCCATGCCAGCTTCTTCCTTGTTCAGGCTGGTGACATAGCGGACTTCCTTGCCGTTGGGATTACGCTTGACGACACCATCAACGACAGGAGACTTCCTGGTTTCGGCGTGACAGTAATCAAGACCGACAGTGTAAGCCTTGACATCTTCGGCGTTTTCCACCTTAAGGAACTGCTCGTAGATGTAACTGCTTCCAGGTTCCGTTATGGATCTGGGTACTGTCAAGGTCTCGTCCTTCTCCGAACTCTTGTTGTTGACCTTGCGGAACAGTCTTCTACCACCTCCACCCTGGCTCTTAGGATAGTAGATGTGGATGTTGTGGTCCTCGCCGTCGGTAGGCTTCTCAACGAAGGGCTTAGTCAGAGTCTTTCCGTCGACTGAAATGGTGTCGCCATCGTCCAGCAGTTCGACAACAGGGTTGGCAACTTGTTGTGATTCGGTCTCGGGCTGGCTGCCTAAGACGGGGAAGCGGAGGCCAGTCTTTTCGAAACATCTCTGAGCAATATCGGCAGACTGAACCTTGGGACCTCCGTCGCGGTTGACTTCGACACGGTCGGGTGTAGGAACGTTGAGCTTTGTGAGGATTTGTAGACAGATACGGCGGTCCCAGAGAATGGTCTGCATGGGCAGGTCGTTAACACAGAAGGGTTTGCGCAGTTTGGCGTATGCTATAGCCTTGTCGAGCGGGAAGCCCTCGGAGAAGAAGGAGATGAGAAAGTCACAGACGGGCCAGTTCTCGACATCTTCGTCCAAGATGACCTTGTCGCCAAAGACGATGACCTCAAACTCGCCCTCCTTGATCAGTCTGTTGAGGATGTTGCGACTGGGCTTGCTTCTGGCTTTGCTGTCGAGGGCACAAACACCGATCTTGCCGATAGGTACGGGCTTGTCTTGTTCAGGGCGTTCGGTGCTGGGGCTTGCGCTGTTGACAGTGCTACTGCTGACTCGTCTCGACTGGGGGGTCCTGCCACGAGGGTTTGCATTTGAGGATGGAGGGGGCTGGCGGGGAAAGGTAGCGAAGACGCTGGTTCTCGGCGAGGTAGTGGTCGAGTTGGGCTCCGAGTTCGTCGGGGGTGGGAGGGTGTTGTCCCGACTCATGGTGGTGGCGGGCGCCGAGTGGGTGCCGGTGAGAGAGGGTGGCAGCGAGAGGGAGGCAGCGTCAAGTTTTGGAGCGGCTTGAGGATTGTCAGACAGGATCAGAGAAAGGTTGGGTGAGGGTTGGGGAGTTGCTTTTCTTGGGAGGGTGGAGCACAGGCACAATGACGAAAGATTGGATCAAAGGGTTGGATGCGAAAAGCACAGAGGTTTGACAGTGCAAAGACATGGCAGGACAGAGCGGAAAGTCACAGAGGCACAAAGGTTGACACACCATCAGTCTCGGAGCCAGCAACAGAGCTCGCAGTCGAAACAGCACCCAGTGCTCGATCGTACAGAGCAGAGCCCAGTTGATAGAGGGAAAAGGACGAGCGACTCGAGTCGTCCGTGTCTTGGCGTGGAGGGGCGAGGGTCAGGTTGGGCTCGCTGTTGTGATGGGTCTGAGTGGGCGTAGCGTCGTTGTCGTCAATGATGGCAGACGAATCCGGCAGGCTGGACGAGGCCATGATATGTGCTTGCAAGACGGTGGTGAGCAGATTGTGCTCCGAGTTGGCTCTGGACGGGCGTCGAGCCTGCGGAGAAGCATGGAGACGCGGATTTGACTCCAACGGCATGCTGATGCTCGCCCTCTTGACTGCTGCACTGCTGAGACGAGCCCGGTCGGCCTCTGCATACGGTGCATTGTGGTCCAGCAGCGGTAGCGACAGAGGATGCGAGTATGAAGCACCCGACGAGCTCCTCCTCGATTTCCAGCTCTCGTGGCTTCCGGTTCGGTGCAGAGGCTCCATGGCTGCTCTGCCCTCAGCCAAGACCAAACGCTCTACCTAGGTACTCTCAGGGCGAGTAATGATACAAACGACGGGATGGTGCGACAAGAATATCTTGATTGGTAGGTCTGCTAAGAATACGTGTACAGGTTCATCAGGAGTTCAATGGCATGCGTGATGTCGCAGGATTGTGACATTCCAAGTCCCTGCAGCTTCCGTACGAGAAGCGTCGGCTTTAAGCGGCGATTGCTCTATATTGCATATCGCAGCTGGCCCAAGCGTCAAGAAATCGAAGAAGTTTCGATCGCGACTCTCGAAAGACATCAGCAGTCAGATTACATATCCCACACACAATGCCTGCCGCTGTCGCCACAAACGGCGGCTCTGGAGGCCGTCAGATCAAACGCTTAAGGACGACAAAGACTGACGAGGCAGTCGTCAAGGGCCAGAGACCAGTCGGCTCTTCGCGACTTTTTGCGCCGTACAGAGTAACTTCCTCTTTTGCACCGTCTTCGTTCCTTCCTGACTTGTTCCTCGTAGACTGTCGGTCTCGTATCGCCTACCGCCGTTCCCTTCACCAGCATCGCCCTGGGCAAGACAACCTTCCAACTCACCACCTCGGTCGGCCGCAGTCTGCAGACTTACGATTTGCGCCGCGGTCTCAATCTCGTCTTCATCTCTCGCCCTCAGACTCCCGAATCCATCACTGCCAGTATAGCTCACAAGGACCTGGTCTTTGCAGCATGGGGTGGCCAACAGGAAGAGTCGGACCGCGGTGTGTCCATTTTCAAAAGAGGCAAGAAAGTCGCTGAACTCGAGATGCCCCTGAACCACAAGAACAACATCAAGTCTTTTACCATCTTCGGCTCGTGGATTATCGGTGCTTGCGACAACCAGATTCTCGTCTGGAAGTCTTCCAACTATGAGCTCTACACCACCCTTCAGAGTATTACCGGCTCCGAATTTACCGGAACCCTCAGCAGCATGCCCACCTTGCTCAACAAGATCGTTGCTGGCAAGGACGACGGTACTGTCGAGATCTGGAACGTCTCAAGTGGAAAGCTGGTCTACTCTCTCCTTCCTCCCGCCGCAGACTACGGTGCTGTCACCGCTCTCCAACCTACTCCCGCTCTCAACCTCCTCGCAATCGCCTATGAGTCCGGTCCTCTGATCATTCAGGACATTCAAGCAGACAAGAAGATCCTTCAGTTCAACGCCTCGGCTCACGGCACAAATGGTCCCTCTATTACCTCAATCACTTTCCGAACAGACGGCATGGGTGCCGGAGATGATGGTAAAAGAGCTGGTGTCATGGCTACCGCTTCCAACGAGAGCGGCGACGTGACTTTGTGGGATTTGAACAATGGCGGTCGCAAGCAGGGTGTGCTCCGCGGTGCCCACGCTCCTCCTTCGTCTGCTTCGCCTGGCGGCGTCACAAAGGTCGAGTTCCTGCCTGGCCAGGCTATTATCGCGACGAGCGGTCTGGACAATAGCCTCAAGACCTGGATCTTCGACGAGAGCCCCTTCAACCCCGTTCCCAGGATCCTGCACCAGCGCAGCGGCCACGGTGCTCCCGTCACCACTCTAGCTTTCCTGCCCGCTGCTTCGGACGGCTCTGATGCCAGTGGAAAATGGCTTCTCAGTACTAGCAAGGACCGCAGCTTGTGGGGCTGGAGTTTAAGGCGTGATGGTCAGAGCACCGAGCTATCTCAGGGCAACGTCACCAAGAAGGCCAGAAAGCAAGGTATCCTCTCTTCCGAGGGCAGAGACACCATCGAAGCACTCAAAGCTCCTCCAATCACTTCTATTGCTTGCTCGCTCAACCGCGATGGTGGCATGGGCTCCATGCCTGGCAAGTTCCCCATCTGGCAGTCCGGCAAGGGCAAGACAAAGAACAGCACTGAAGCTACAAGCATGACTGGATGGGAAAGTGTTGTCACAGCACACGAGAACGACAACAAGGCTAGGACATGGTTCTGGGGTAGAAAGAAGGCTGGTAGATGGGCCTTTGAGACCCAAGATGGCGGCAATGTCAAGAGTGTCGCAGTATCGCCCTGCGGCACTTTTGCTCTTGTTGGTTCCGAGAACGGTGGCATTGACATGTTCAACCTCCAGTCTGGCGGCCACAGACAGCGATACCCAGCACGTCTTACCCCCGCACAAGCACAACAACTCAAGCTCGATTTGGCCAAGGCAGAGGAAGCTATTGCCCCCGTAGCAGACGCTGGCAAGAAGAAGTTCTACCGCGGCCAAGGAAAGCACACCGCTGCTGTCACTGGTCTAGCTGTCGACAACTTGAACCGCACCGTCATCAGCTGCAGTATCGATGGCAAGATCAAATTCTGGGACTTTTTGAGTGGTGCCCTCAAGCACGAGATTGATTGGTCTGGAGCTGTTCAAATCACTGGTCTGAGATTGCACCGCGGATCAGAGCTGGCTGCCTTCACCTGTACTGATGGCTGTGTTCGTGTTGTTGACATCACCACGTTCAAGCTCATCCGTGAGCTGAGAATGTCAAGATCGTCACAATCAAAGGCTTTTGACTTTGCCGACTTTGGCTTCTCCAACGATGGCCGCTGGGTCATGGGCGCGACATCCTCTTTCGTCTGCGCTTGGGATCTGCCGACCGGCCATTTGATCGATGTCTTCAAGCTCCCTTCGACGTGTAACGCCATCAGCTTCTCACCCACAGGAGAATATCTGGCAACAGCGAGCGAAGAGCATGTCGGTGTAGATGTTTGGTCCAACAAAACCATGTTCACTCACGTCCCTACTCGTCATATTAACGAAGCAGAATTGTCAACAATTGTTGCCAGCGAAGCACAAGCACCCACAGTCAATGGCGAAGGCAGCATCTCTGTTATAGGCGCATTGGCCAATGCTCCTGAGGTCGAGTCCAATGATGAAGAATATATCGACGTCGACCTTGATGACGATGCAAATCTGGATACTTTGTCGTCCGACCTGGTATCATTGTCATTGGTACCTCGCAGCCGCTGGCAGAACCTGCTCCATCTAGACGTTATCCGCCAACGCAATGCTCCAACCGCTGCGCCCAAGAAACCGGAAAAGGCTCCCTTCTTCCTGCCATCCCTGCAAGAACGACAAGCGAACCCCGTCATCGCGAACTCAAACACAACGCAAGACCTTGCCGCCATTGAGCAAGAACGCAGCCGCATCATGAAGATGGACCGCCAAAACACGATTTCAAAATTTACTTCTCTGCTGCGCGATGCTTCAGAGACCGGAGACTTTGCACCCTTCATCGCACACCTCAAGAGCCTCAACCCCGCAGCTGCAGATATCGAGATTCGCAGTTTGTCTTCTCCCATCACATCCTTCGATCCTGAATCAGATGCTTGCAATGAGTTGGTCGCGTTTGTTCGCGCATTGTCGTTCCTCTGCGCATCAAAACGTGACTTTGAACTGGGTCAGGCGTGGATGGCGGTGTTCCTCAAGGTCCACTCTGATGTTGTGGCTGAAGATGAAGAACTCAGAGCAAGTGTCAAGGAATGGAGAGACAGAGTTGTGGAGGAGAAGGAGAGAGTGGAGATGTTGGCACAATACTGTGGCGGTATGGTTGGGTTCCTGAGGGCTGCCCGAGTGTAGATCTAGTGCGTTTGTCTATTATACAGTACCTAGCGATGTTATTGTACCGTATCTGCATATCAAAGGAATTATCTCCGTACAACATAAGCTCAGGAATCGTGCTACGACCTTGCTACTTTCGAAACTTCTCATACGACTGTCTCATATCGAAACAGTCAAACCACAAACGGCTAGAGAAAAAGTGCAGGTGGTATGTAGTGATATTAGGTGAGTAGTCTAAGAGGTTATCTTGATAAATTGATGAATAGCGTCGCTCCCTCGGCAGTGGCTGGCTGTCGGTCGTGCATCACAATCTAATCAATACCTCACGAGTCAGTGAAGGATCCACGCTTGAATTGCGTTCGTCTGCATCAAGCTCCGCAATCCCTTTCGCGTGACAACTCAAACGATATGCCAACATGTCTGCTAACTCTCCTCCTTGGATCGTTGGACTCCTATTTACGTCAGCTGGCTTGTGTACAGCTGAACAACTCAACGTCTTCGAAATCCAGTCAGCTCAACAGTCACTACTGCGTGCTCCCTATGTGGCAAAGGAGGTGCCAAGTCCAAAGCTGAATAGCCAACCGCCGCGGCAGAGGCAGATGAAACATGCACATCACTGCTGTTCCTTCCTCTGAGGTATTTTATGCCCGATGGATGTGCACAGCCTTACATTCCAGCTGAAACCCGTACATTGCTTGGAAGACGTTCTGATGGAGCTAGCGCAGACGTATCTGTATTCTCAGCTCTGATCTGTTGCATCCAAATTAACGTCTGGGATTGTGAGTAAGGTAGGTAATAAGTCATGTTTCGCGGTCTTCTGGAGTTGAACCTCTTTCCTTCGTCTTTCTTTCCTTGCTGTCCTGTTCTGTCCTTCCTTTTTCTCAACCCTATGGTTTGAGGTGCAGAAGCTTGGTCTGCTCAACATGTCTGAAGGCCAGAGACTCATGTCAAATGGCGAGCCCTCCGATGACACCAACACCAGTACCCTCGCTTTCAAAAGGCAGATGTCCCTGAAGGATATCTCCATACCCTCCAAATCTGCCATCCTCCACACCATCAAACAAACCTCTTTCTTCCTCCTCCCGACTTTCGTTCAAACCACCATTCGCCCTTCCGACCAGCCTCCAAAACCCCTCCATCCAACCGCATGGCTAGACGGCATGCGCGGAATCGCCGCTTTCCTCGTCTTCATCTTCCATATCTCCTACGCCACCCACGACGTCGCTACCGCATATGCCCCCGATGGCGGAAAAACCGATCTCCTCCGCTTGCCGATTGTCCGTTTTCTTTACCATGGTCCTGCTATGGTGAGCATCTTCTTCGTGCTCTCTGGATATGCATTGAGCTATAAGCCTGCAAAACAAATACGAAAGGGAGAAACAGATGCATTGCTGAAGGGCTTGTCGTCATCGGTGGTGAGGAGGTGGATGCGATTGTATTTGCCTTGTGTGGCATCTACATTGTGTATTGTGGTGATAGTGAGGCTGGGTGGATATGATTGGACGAGGGAGCTTGCGAATGACGGGAAGAGGTTGACGGGGTATAGGGATAGACATGCTTGGCGGTATGACACTTTTGTAGAGCAAATGTGGCATTGGGGGAGTAGCTTCTTGGGGTTTGCGAATCCGTTTACGGGCAAGAGGATGTATTTGGATGGACATTTGTGGACGATTCCGCTTGAATTTGTGAGTTACTTTCAGTAACCGCTTAGGTCTTGCTGTGCTAATCGTTTGTGTTGCAGAGAGCATCCATTATTCTATACGCCACTCAACTCGGTGTATGCCGCCTTCGCACCAGATATCGCGTGGGCAGTCTACTCTGCTTGATGGCTTGGGCCCACTACATCGATAACTGGGTAGTCCTCCTCTTCTACGCCGGTTTCTTGCTCGCCGAACTCGATATCCGAAGGACCGCACTCGCCGCGTCGACGACTTTCAGCACGACTCTTGCACCACCGAAGCCTAATCTGCTCTGGACTATCCTCTACACTCTAACCTTCATAGGCGGCCTCTACCTCGGCGGCCAGCCAGAACAACATTGGGAACACGCACCAGGCTGGATGACATTGTGGTCACTCATCCCTCCATACATCCACGATCGCCATCGCTACTGGACTGGCTGGGGCGCTTTACTTCTCGTCTGGTCAACGTCGAACTCAGGCATTCTGCAACGCATCTTCACCAACGCCTTTACCCAGTACCTTGGCAAGATTTCATTTTCGTTGTACTTGGTGCATGGCTTCGTTATACACACTGCTTACTATGCATTCATTGAAGTGCTTTGGGGTGTCATTGGCGATGAGACGGATATGCAGAAGGAGGTGTCGTTTGCGGTTGCGCTTGTGGTGGTGACGGGGGTATTGGTGTGGGTGTCTGATGTTTTTACGAGGGCTGTGGATGTGCCTTCGGTCAAGTTTGCGAGGTGGGTGGAGGGCAGGATGATTGCGAAACCGAGGACGGTGAAGGAGGAACCGGCTTAGAGGGAGACCCTTACAATGGTATGATAGTGAGAGCGAGTTGATTAAAAGCCTAAGCGCAAGAAAAGGCACGCAAAGTGGCTGGATTTTCTACAGTAGCGAATGAACGATACCGGGAGGTTCCAACACATCGTGTTCTTTGCAACGACAGACAAGATGGTGATGCATAATGGGTCGACCATCTCGGTCCCAGCCCCTCAGCCTATCTCTCAATCTCGGGAACAAGATGTTCGCTCGATGCTTGTCCCATAATTTCATCCTCATGTCGGGAACAACGCTATCGAAATAGTCCTCCAAGCTTCCAAGATCCGGATCCTCCGTAGCTTTCGCCATGAGTTGGGCGTTGAAGCTTGGTGATTGAAACAAGTGTTTATAGAAATTCAGAAGTTGCCACCTCTCCCAGCTGTTCGCCTGGTGGAATCCAAAGGTCACAGCGGACTCGAGATCAATGTGGGTTTCGTAATATGCGTGGCAATCCCGACCCTCACGTAGGCGAAAGCAGCTACAGAATCTACCCGACAGTGCGTGCTCGACTTCAATCATGAGCCGGTAGATGCTGTACTCGCGTGGTGGTGGCCTGTAGAGCCGAACGCCCTGGTTCTCGAGATGTGAGATGTCGATACTATGAGCACGCATCAAGTCTCCTAGACACGACGCTTCGTACGCTGAAACTATGTCGTCAAAAGTAGCCTGGGAAAGCGCCAAGGTCAAGTACTTCTGAGCGAGTTCTTTTCGTTGTGAGAACGACTTGCAGTAACAGAAGCCAAATTTGATCCAAGATGAAGAAGTGCTGTCTGGTATCAGACCAATGGACGGCTGAATGCTCAGATAAAGGTCCAAAACATCTGTCTGAGATGTATCAAGGTGTAGCCTGTTTCCGAACCAGTCTGCCAATCCAAGAGTCTTGACTGCACTTGCCGCTGCGACATCCCAAATATCGTAAGTGGTTTTGAGTATGTTTGGGATGACACGCACTTCCGGATCCCAATGCTCTAGAAACCAGGTGATGTAAGCGTACTCGGTAGTTCCGCTGATTTGGATGTCATGCCGTTCACGTTCACAGTACTGTACAAGAAATTTGCTCAGACTGCCCTTCTGCAGGTGCAGCTGCAACACTCGAACTACATAGCGTACTTTGGTGAAGACGGCGGCGTAGATACAGATAAGATTGATCACCTCTAGCGCATCGCTGCAGTAATTGAAACCAAAGGTACTGCAGATGTGGTCGTCGGAAAGCACATCGCGTATGGCGTTGTGCAGACGTTCTCCATCTGTTGAAACGATATTCTTGGAATTCCTCATGACCATCAGTCTGAGAAAATCCGAATCGTTGGGTCGTGCCAGAGCCCTGCACACAAAGACATGTTGCGGCCAGTGCTGCTTCTGACAGACTTTGGAGCAATACCATGATCGACAAGCCGAGCATCTGTGCGCCGCAATGTTGCTACAGTGTCGGCAACGTTTTTGATCCACGCTTGTGATGGGTGGCATGTCATAGGTCTGCTCTAGCATAGACATGCTTCTCTCGTGATTGATTTTGATCAGTTCGGCCTCTTCTATAGGCAAAAATGTCACTTCTCGTTTTTTGGGTCCACCAAGCAAAGTTGCATAGCCAGGAGCTTCCAAGCAAGGTACAACTATCAGCTGGTGTTCTGTGGCGATGACTCCGCCAGCACCGAGCATCATTTTGCTACAAGCTGTCAGCAAAAAAGACGAAGCCGTTGTTGGAAACGAACGCACTTCACAGTTTGCGGTCTGCTAGAGAACGTTGCCACTTCTCTCTGCACTGTACCCAATGTCGACAAGGCTGCTGATGATTGCTGTTGGAGGTCACATTGAGTTGGAGCACGCGGACTAGTGATAATACGGGACAGAAGATCCTTGAGGAGCTTTGAGAAGTCGCGCAGTACTTGAAGCGACTGCTGAGGGAGTATCCGAGGCAACGTCCACATTGGGAAAAGAGTCTTGTGAGTCCCACGTATCTGGAAAGAGCCATGACTTTTGCAAAAGAGTTCACAAAAGAAACAGCACTTCTTGCTACACCCGATATAGCGATATAGTCTGTCAGTGAGTTTGTCACCGGTCCGCAGAGTATTCTCTGCATATAGAGTCAGTTGGACTTCCGCATGGACTGTCTTGGATGCTCGCGCGATTCGAGCGAATTGATCGGCCTTTTCCGAGTGCAGAAAGAAGTCTTTCCAACTTCTGGGGAGAGGAGAAAATCCTAGGGATGCCATGACTCCATTGAGGCTTCTCTCGTGTGATACCTTAGGCATGCCGGCAACGGCTCCTTGAATTGATTCAATTTGATGAACTTGAAATCTAACTCTGTCGCGAACTGTAGAAGGATGACGGCTGCGAAGTAGATCCGAGCCAGATACAGCAAAGAAGACCAGGCTCGCTTGAATTCTTTCTGATGGTGGCGGAAAGTTTGTCTGAGGAGGCCTTTGAGTGCAGGTCGCTGTCGTGGGTGTCGTAGAATACGGTAGACTCCCTCCAAAATACTCCTCAGAGATGTACGAGAGACTCGATGATCGCTTTTTGTGAACAGATAATGGATTCCGCTGTAAATCTCCTGGACAGATGTTTCTTCCTCTTGGACAGACAGACAGTCCACAGCTTCTCTGGAGGCGTGACTCCTCCCGACCCCACTGGATGGAAACTCATAACAAACTCCTTGGTTGTCTTCCCAGTCTCGGAGTCCAATTTGGCAAGGTTCGTCCCGGAAATCTTGGCTTCTGGGCGACATAACAATCTCCTTGGCTTTTGCCATGACTTCAAAAAGGATATCGGAGTGATATCGCACGCGTGACTGTTGATGATCAAATATCATGTTGAATATCTGGTCCGAATTCTTCGTTGGTGAATCTTTCGCGCAGCTTACTGCCCAGAGCGTGAGACATTAGCAACGCAATCATAAAGTGACAGAAGGTAAAACTCCAAGTTACCATTGGATGCGATGTTTTGAAGCAAGGCTTCTAGTCGTTTCAGGAAACTCTCATCAACAGCATCAAATCCCCCGTTCTTGCTGAATATGAAGGTTGCAGATTTATCCTTCGAATCCTTCAAATCCTCAACCAGAATGACGCTGGTGACATGTTTGGCATCGGCATTTCTCTTCCTCGACATCCGATTATTTCTAGCGGTTTTGGTCCTAGCCATGATTTCAGCCAGACGATCCAAGGTCTTCCGCTTGATAGCATCGTCTTTTGCATCTTTGACAACGATCAAATCGTCGAAATCGTCTTCGTCCAGATGTTCGGTCTCCGTGTCGTGATTAGCTTCGGGGTTCTCAGGGAAAGCTCGCTCGGATTGACATGTTCGACCATCCTGTTCCTGCAGACCTGAAGTCGTCTTCATGATCAGGGACAGGACGGCTGTGACATCAGATATCTGTCCTTGGAGACGAGAAAGCTCATTCGGTCTTCCTTGAGGCATTGCGGGATCCTGCCAACCATTCGCAGCCTTATGTACCTCTACTAGAGTGTTGTGTTTGATAGCGAAGCTGCTGTACTCTGACGAATATGCTGCAGTCGAGCTGAAGGCTATAACAGCGCTGTGGGTGAGCGGGTGTGGGCGCATTATATACTGTAGAGTTACCCCGCTTACCCTGCACGAACTCCCTCGTCTATCGAACCAATCGAGACACTCTGACATACTTTTTTGGTCTACATGAACGACAGAAATGCTCAGTACGCGGCGCTCCTGGCGACTGCTGGATCAAGGCCGGGGAGTGAGATCAAGGCGCGTGAAACTTCGGCTACTAAACATGGAGAAAAGTTCCAAGTTGGGCACCAACGAGGAAGCAGTAAACGTGACACGTTCAGATTGGGCTACAGCGTCGACAATCAGGGGCCAATAGGAGGAGTCATCTAGTCTTGAGGTTTACACGAGATCTGTGAGATAGTGAAGCATTCATAAGTTTCGACATCTTGTGCAGCCCCTCGTTTGTACGATCAAACAAAAGAGGAAAAAAAGTTGATACTGGAGCAAGCATGGCAGCATTTGGCGGTGTCAAATCCATTGTCGTTACCTATCCATGGAACGCAGTGATCCGGTAGGCTGACGAGCTATACACATGTAGAGTAGATGACAGAAGCCAGCAGCAGTGACCCGGTCCTCTTTACTCTCCTTCTTGCTCGAGATTAGTCAATCAATCTCAACATTTATCCTGAAAGGAGTCCCAGACGAAGTTCTGTCAACGGCATGTCACTTGCCGCCAATGAGCAACTCCCTCAGACGTCGCAGCAGCCTCCCGGTGCGGCTCTTGACTTCGAGGATCTCAGCGTACATATCAGCGGCGCTTTCGAGCAGCAGTATCAAGATCTCGAAGGATTCTCTTACCCAGGAATACGTTATAACGCGAGCCAGCCCCCCACTTTGATTCTTGCATGTTGGTTCTTGGTCGTGACATATCATTCGAGGATACATTGAACGTGTTCGTACGACTAAGATCAGGGCTGCTGCGCCGTATACCATGGTGTCTCCACCTGCACTCACTGTCCAGTCGATATTTGCACTTGACGTACATCATAGAAAAACAATCGGACTATTCAACACATGTCACTCTCATCTATGTTGGAGCTCCACCACAGATATATCGGCATATGTGTCTCCATGTATCATGGCTTCAGCTTGGTGGGCCCTGCTTTGTCCTTTCGAATCACCGACAGAGCTATTCATCACCTCTTAAGCCTCTGTCTCAGTTACGCTAAACGTCACGGATGCAATCTTCGACACCACACACTGGCAATCATACCTTCGCATCGTCGATACCGATTCTGCCATCGAGTTGGCCATAGACGTGACAAACGAAAGACCACCATATATGTGGTCTTTGGGTAAGCGCCTGCTCGATTACGGTTTCGCAGTTGGGAAATGGGTAGCAAGTACACTGTTCAGCTATGCGAGAGCGCCACGATTCCAAGGTGGACTTGGGGTACTGGAGAGGAACTCAAGGGACCGTATGGGTTGCCAGCGCTGGACATTGAACTGGAACAGCGTGGGAATCGGGACTTTGTTCTTATTGACTGAACGCTCCGCCGACTTGGCGGTACCTTATCAGCGGAATGCAAGGACAATATCGCAAGTGATTGGCAAGTTCTTGTCGCTCCGCGCGTCCAAGACCCGGAGTGTCGCGGGAGTGGTGGTATGACGACGCCAAGCAAAGCATACATCTTTGACGTTACGATCCAGACGACTGCATATCCTATACTTTATCTTCCCCTCCAGACTCTCAGATCAGTGAGCAAGTTGTCAAACTCTGATGGTGTTCGATACTGTTATCGCTGTAATTTTGCGTGCAATGCCTAGACATGGCGTCGGTAAGGTTCTAGGATGATGAACGTGGTTGCCCAGCCTTATGGCAAGACACTTGGCCTACGTTATCTCTGCTTGACAGCAAGACTGAGTCTGAACAGTGCGACTGCTGTGGTCTTGGGTCTTTGAGAATACTTCTTGGAAGCTTACGTGGTGGAACATATGATGGTCCCTGCCCTTGTGCTTTTTCAGTAGGTGATCTTATATGCACTTGGAACGACATCTCGCTGCAGCATCATCACACTATCATACGCCCTCCAACTACACACACACTAGAAGCTTAAAATCAGCTTGTGCTGTGCATACGCCATGGACTCAAAGGTCAAATACTTGACAGATGAAGAGATCAAGCAATTCATGAAAGAGCTGGACTCTGACAACGATGGACTTATCGAATACCGCGAAGTCGAGGCCAAACTTGATGAAGTGTCCAGGGAGATAGGTACAGACCAATTTTCACTCGTGACTCTTGTATCGTATCTGACACCGTCACCAAAGCACCTGAACCGGCAGAACACAATCTCCATCATGAGGACCGCGCAGAAAAACGACATCAATTTCTCCGAGGGTTCATGGGCACTAACGAAGACCATGTCCACCTTGCCGACTTTGAGGAAATCGTCAAGTCATGGCAGATTCCTTCAATGGAACAAGAGAAGAAAGAAGAAGACGAGCAAGCGAATTTCGTCAAGAAAATGTCTTATGCAAGGCGTCTCCGCGCATACTGGGAGGTCCATGGACCAGAATACGGATTTCTCGCTCTAGTTGTGTCTTTGCAACTGGCCTTCGGTATTTGGCAACTAGTCAAGTATCTCACCACCTCACCTTACAGAGAGACTTTTGGCTGGGGTGTGGTGTTGGCCAAGACGTCTGCTGGAGTACTCTATCCGACCATGTTTTTCCTGGTGTTGTCCATGTGTCGCTGGTTGAGTACTGCTCTAAGACGTTTCTACTGGATCTCTCGATTCGTCAATTGGGACCTTTCGCAAGAGTTTCATATCAAGATGAGTATCGTTGCGCTTATGTTTGCTTCTCTGCATGCTGTTGGTCACTTGACCGGAAGTATGCTATATGCAAGTCGACCCGCTCAACAAGATGAGGTTGCCGCATTACTTGGACCGGATGCGGTGCCCAGACCTTACGTCCATTGGATCAGGTCATTACCAGGATGGACGGGTCTTGTCATCTTTGGCATGTTCTGGGTCATCGGTGGAACAAGTCTACCTTGGGTCCGTCGCAGATCGTACGAGGTCTTCCAGCTTGGCCATCTGTTGATGTTCCCTATCTTTGCTTTGCTCATGGCTCATGGAACAATGGGTTACCTGCAGTGGCCTATGATGGGATATTTTCTGGCTTTCCCTGTTCTTCTGGTTCTGATCGAGCGCACCGTTAGGACTTGCAATGGTTTTTCGCCTCTGTCGGCATATGTGGAGGTTCTGGACAAGGAAACAGTCTGTATTACTGTCATGATGCCTGCCTCTCGCAATTTCGACTACAGAGCTGGTCAGTACGTTTTACTGCAAGTACCAGAGTTGAGTCGCTGGCAATGGCATCCCTTCACGATATCCACATGTATTGGCAATGAGTTGCAATTACACATCAAAACAGATGGCAACTGGACTGGAAGACTCCGCAGATTAGGATCTTCTCAAGAAGCTACGAAAATCAAGATCGGCATCGACGGACCTTACGGCGCTCCTGCCCAGCGCTTCTACGACTTTGAACAAACGATCATTGTCGGTGCTGGTATTGGCGTCACACCGTTCTCAGGTATCCTCACCGATCTGCAAGTCAAAGAAGAGCAACGCATAGGAACCCAAAAATGGCGTCCCTCCCCGTACCAAAAAGCTGCAGATTCACGCCGCGCATCGCAGCAACTAAGCCGTCAAACCACCGACGTAGCAAGCGACAGCGAAAAGACAGAAACAAGCACTCCAACCACCTCCGAAACCCTTACTCCAAAGCTGAAGCGGGAGGACGATGCACACCAAGAGCGAGATACATCAACAGATCTCTCGCGATACGATCTCAGCACCTACAAACGCGTCGACTTCCACTGGATGGTCCACGACCGCAACAACCTCCTCTGGTTCTCGGACTTGCTCAACTACATCACCACCACTTCCTCTTCCTCTTCAGCCCCTCACCACAGCAACGTCGATTTCCGCATCACCACCCACGTGACTCAGAAGCGTAAAGATTTGTCCATACACATCTTCCGCTGGTTGCTAGAAAAACACCGCACTGCTGAACACCCTGAGAGTCCGATCACCGGACTCATCAACCCTACGCATTTCGGGCGTCCGGATATGCAGATGATCATGGACAAGCATTATGAGGATATGTGTTTGTTGCTTGCCGCTAAGAAAGAGTTGTTCAAGGAGGATAGGAAGAAGATGGCAGAGTTGGGAGATGGAATGAAGGTCGGTGTGTTCTTTTGCGGTGCGCCGGTTGTGGGGTATCAATTGGCGGATAGGTGTAGGGCGTTGACGGCGAGAGGAAGAGAGGATGGGACGTTTGTAGAGTATCACTTTATGATGGAGGTATTTGGATGATTCTACGAAATCATGGCGAGTATGTTAATGGTATGATCTATTGCATAATTCTTGTTGTCGCATCAACAGACTGCTAAGGTACGATGGAGTCAAGATACAAACTTTACGGCCGAAAGAGCTTGCGACGACTGCCTGGTAGCTTTGATTGGAAATATTGATCATCATTGATCTACAACGATTCTTATTCCCGTCAGCACTATATACAGAGACAACTTTCCTTTACTGCTGAGCCCACTCCATTCCCCAAAACACCATGCCTACCAAACAAGCCACACACACCAACAAAAAACTCATCGTCGTCATCTGCGGCGCCCTCTCTCAATACTTGACCTTCTACTTCAATCTTGGACTCGTTCCTGCCGTTTTCGCATTTGTCGCGAGCTGCGGTGCTTTTGTCGCTGTTCATTTCTCCAACGAAGAAGCCAAGCATGGTCAAGGAAGGGTAGTTGGCTTGGGTTCGTAATCTTCTTGAAGAGGGGTCGACTAGTGACATCGCTCGGCATGGTGCCAATACAATCAAGTCTGAGAATTTCAGGGCGAGAACAACATCACACGCCGTGTTGCTGGCAGCGCTAGAGCTTGAGATCTTCGTTGTATCGAGCATGTCTGCTCTGGGTAATCTTTCCCCCAGAGTCGAGAGAGGATCTAAGTATGTCAACGAATGGATACCTCAAGTATTGGGTTGCACACTGTGAATCCGTAGCTTCTGCAGATCAGAGTATCACGGGTCAGGTGGCATCTGAGAGAAGCGATACAGAAACAACCCAGCTTGTGTGCTGAAGCGATCGACCACGGCGAAGAAGAGCCGTATAAGATGGAGTTTCCTCTGCCAAAACACGGATCCTGAAGGTGTATCATCCATATACGCTTCTTCATAGCCATTCTGCCGAATCTGAACCCAAGGGCTTTGGCATGATATCCCAACCAACCTCACATCCACTGATATTGGCACTATGTTTGACTGCAGTCATGCGTCCAAAGCCGGTGTCTCTGGTCTCGAGATACTCGGCAGGTATATGGGCTTGCTGCTTGTAGTCGTCACATTGGAAGCCGCTGGTTCCGGGGTACTGTCCAAGACTACGCAGATACTTCATCGTGCCAGCCAGAGAGACGTCTACTTGCCATGCTCCACCTTGAATCGCACGGTGGTACAGTGCTGCGATGACTCCAGTTGCAAGCAGGTAACCGCTTGCGTGATCAAGAGCCTGACATGGCATTGGACGGGCCGGCTCACCTTGATCTGCGTGCTCAGCTTCTGATACATTCATGCCTGAGCAGGTCTGTACCAGTGAGTCGAACCCACGTTGATTTGTCCAAGGCCCAGCTGGTCCAAAGGCTGACATATTAGCGATCACAATAGCCGGATTGATCTTGACGAGTTCTTCAGGAGATAGACCATATCTCGCGAGGCTGCCCGGTCGAAAGCCTTGAACAAAAACGTCACAGTGTTCTATGAGCTCCATGAGTTGGGCCTTGTCAGCATGTTCGTGAATGTCGAGCTGGAGTGTCCGCTTGCCACGACTGAATTCGCGGTCAATGTCAGGCAAATTCGGCAGGTTCGGAGACGTGATCCAGATCACATCTGCGCCGTGAGCGGCGAGCGTCTTGCCGCACAGAGGAGCTGCGATCACGCGACTCATCTCTAACACACGAAGGCCTTTCAAACACTTGGTTGATCCTTTAGTTCCCCGTCCTAGAAAGCCTGGACTACTGTCAGAGGTTAAGGGTTGAAGCAGTATCGGGGAGTCTGGAATCGCTTGTGATTGTGGTAAGGCGTCCCACTGACTGTATGACCGAAGAGCATATGCCGCAAGATTGCCTTTGACGGTCGCGGTGTCCTCCAGCTCAGCACTCCGCCATTTGGCAATCGCTTCGGCCAGTTGTTCCCGAGTCGATCCCAAGGGCAGCCCAACCAATTTCAGCATGCCATTAGAATGATTCGGGAAAGAGTCGTGGACACGAATGTGACCGTCAGCAGTTTGGTGAAGCCCTCCTATCGGATTCTGCGGTGCAGGACGTGGCTGTTTGTCAATGGTGTACAATCTTTCGGATTTGAACTCGATGATCGCATGCTGTAGAGGGACTTGGACTGATGGAACTTCGACTTGATTCCGCAATGCATGAAGCTGAGCAGCAGCAAGAGCAGACAAGGCGATTGAGCTTTGGGCAAGAAGTCCGATTCGAAAAGATGACGGCAGGGCAGGTTCGCTGTCGCCCTCGAGATGAAGACACGACAAGGCCTCTGGTGGAAGTCCAAGACCTGTCCACAACTCTTCAACAACGTCGGCCGCACCGGACGAGCTACGATCCACCTTGACGAGGCCCTCTGCCTTGACAGCGGAACTGCCATGACTGGTGCCGTGCTCGTGCCCCATGCTTGCGTCGTAGCGTGAGGGGAAGATCAGAAGAAGAGCAGATTCAAGGCACGATGACAGTCTTGATCGGGAAGAAAAGCATCCGAAGAGATGACCCGGGACTTCGCCGCATCATCAACCGAGGGATTGCGAGTGGGGAGCGTGAATCAGAGGGCGGAATTGCCGTATGAGGACGCGACCGAAAGTGCTGTGAAATCCCGATCGACGTGCCAAGTCTGGAGACTCACGTTCTCTACACCTCCATCTTTGCTTCTCCGCTCGTAGTTTTCACCTCCACAGAAGCGTACGACGTTCTTTCGAATGCGAGGAAGAAGACTGCGAGGGAACAGCAAAGTTCTATCTCAAGTTCTTAAGGCTCAACTCTCTCCGCGAAAGCTAGGTACGGTTTGACATTTTCGGAGCCGCCCACCTCCACCTACGACACCTCCGACAATGCCAAGCAGACCATTCCCAAGCCACCGCCTTCCAGACAACGTCCGCACCGCATACGACAGCGATCGATGCACCAGGTGCCTCCACATGGCTCGCTTCGTTGTGCCAGTTCCGTAGCCAAGATTACATCCAACATCTTGGTCGCGCTTACTTGCAGGGGTCCACATGCTACGTGACCCCGCAATGGAGGCCCGTGGGGTATTAGGGCCATCATTAATGTCTGGAGACCGGGACCGTGCCATCCTGATGCGGTGAATGTCTTCCGATCTTCGGCATGGAAAGCAGGACCGGATTGCCGTGACCATACAATTCTTGGTTCGACCGTGATTGATCTTACTGACTCGCTGATGAAAAGCCATGTGAACTACTGTCTAGGTTCAAGCCTCGAGAGTATCTTGCAATAGTAGGTACCCCACTACCCAACCTCTACTATGCCCTAATAGTGGCTGAGGTAGGTGGTGGTCGCCCTTATAAAAGGCATGCTAGATCCCAGTCAATAGATAGCTGAACCAACAGGCTTCACCTAGAAGATGTACAATCTGAAATCCAGTGTTGCAGCCCTTGTCCTGCTTGGACAGGGCATCTCTGCTCAGAACTCATCTTTCCAAAATTCTTCCTCTTCTTGGGATCACTCTCTCTACACCAGCAGTCCCGGTGTCTTCCCAAGCCGTATGCGAATTAAACCCGCTTTAGTGTTATCATGCTAACCCCATCCAGCAAACACAACTGGCATTGGTTGGGAAGATGCGCTTCAGAAAGCAAAAGACTGGGTCGCTCAGTTGACCTTGGAAGAAAAGGTCGCTGTGCTCACGGGCGAGCCGAAAGGCCCTTGCATTGGTGAGTCCCCATCCATACAATTTATTTACTACGCTTATACAAGACAGGCAACATTGCTCCCATTACTCGCGTTGGATTCCCTGGTCTTTGTCTGCAGGATGGTCCTCTATCGATCAGACAAGCCACATACGCATCGGTGTTCCCTGCAGGTATCGCTGCTGCTTCATCGTGGGATCGTGATTTGATTCGTCAGAGAGGCGAGTATCTTGGAGCAGAGTTCAGAGGCAAAGGTGCCCATGTAGCTTTGGGACCAGTGGTAAGCAAACTTTTTCTTGCCCTCCTGCTATATCACAACATCATACTGATCAATTCTCAGGCGGGTCCTCTTGGAAGATCAGCTGATGCTGGTCGCGGATGGGAAGGATTCTCTCCTGACCCATACCTTACTGGTATCGCCATGAAGGAGACCATCGAGGCTATGCAAGAGTCTGGTGTCCAAGCTTGTGCAAAGCACTGGATTGGAAACGAACAGGAGACGCAGAGAAATCCCGGTCTTTCACCCACGAACAAGACGATCGAGGCTGTTTCGGCAAACATTGACGATAGAACTATGCACGAGCTCTACATGTGGCCATTCGCCGACGCAGTCAAGGCTGGTGTTGCTTCTATGATGGTGAGTCATTCATTCGATCTGGACACTGACTGACACGCTAATGATCGTGCAGTGTTCGTACAACAGACTCAACGGCTCTTACGCTTGCCAGAACAGCAAGGCTATCAATGGACTACTCAAGGAAGAGCTTGGCTTCCAGGGCTATGTTATGAGTGATTGGGGAGCTACACATGGAGGTGTGGCTAACGCTGAAGCTGGTATGGATATGGACATGCCCGGCACTATCACGTTTTTCAAAGCTGGAACTTCCTACTGGGGCCAGAACCTCACCAACGCTGTGAACAACGGGACCGTGCCAGAGTCCAGAATTGATGATGCTGCTCACAGAATTATGACACCTTACTTCTTCCTTGGACAGGATCAGGATTATCCTCTAATCGACCCTACCAGCGGTCCCATCAATATTCTTGGTATCCAGCCTTACCTTGATACTTTCCAATACGGCGAGGCAAATGTCGACGTCCGCAGTAACCACGCTGATCTGATCAGAAAACTCGGATCCGCAGGTACTGTTCTTCTCAAGAACTCTAACAACGCTTTGCCTCTCAACAAGCCCAAGAACATCGCTGTGTTCGGCAATGATGCCGCTGATCCTGAGAATGGTCTGTACTCTCTGTCTCTGACTAGCAATGGTGACTTTGAATATGGTCATCTTGCTGTCGGTGGCGGTTCTGGCACTGGTCGTCTTACTTATCTCTCGACCCCTCTGGACGCTCTGAAGGCTCGCACCAAGCAAGATGGTACCCTCTTGCAGTGGAACTTGAACAACACTCTCTTGACAGACTCTACTCCAGGAGCCGCTTTTGGCGCAATCTATCCTTATCCTGACACTTGCATCGTCACAATCAAGACATGGGCTGCCGAGGGCTACGACAAGGTAAATCTGCTTCCTGACTGGAATGGCACAGCAGTGGTTGAAGCAGTAGCTGGCTGGTGCAACAACACCATCGTCGTGACCCACACTTCAGGTCCCATTGTCATGCCTTGGGCTGATCACCCCAACGTCACTGCTATCCTCGTAGCACACTTCCAGGGAGAGCAGTCAGGAAACAGCTTGGTCGACGTCCTGTACGGCGATGTTAACCCCAGTGCCAAGCTTCCTTACACCATTGCTTACAACGAGTCCGACTATGCTTTCGCTCGCATCACCAACTCTACCGAGCTGAAGCTCACTGAGGACCCCAACGCATGGCAAGCAGACTTTGAGGAGGGCCTCCTGATCGACTACCGTCACTACGACTACTATAACCTTTCTGTGCAGTACGAATTCGGATATGGCCTTTCCTACACCGACTTCTCTCTATCTGATGTCAAGATCGAGCGTCTCGCTCCCTCAAACTTGACTGCTCGTCCCGCAGCTGCTGCCACAGTACCCGGTGGTAACCCCACTCTCTACGACACCCTCTACGAGATCACGGTCAAGGTCAAGAATACCGGCTCCCTCGCTGGTGACGCGGTTCCTCAGCTCTATCTCTCTCAGCCAGTCGACGCCTCTTTCGGTCGTACTCCCACCCAGGTTCTGAGAGGATTCGAGAAGGTCGCGCTTGCTGCTGGACAAACCAGAACCGTCACTTTCCCTCTGATGAGAAGAGATTTGAGTTTCTGGGATGCCGTGCAGCAGCAATGGATCATTCCCTCTGGCAACTTTGGTGTCAGAGCTGGATTCAGCAGCAGAGATATCCAAGTCACTTCTGGCTTCAAGGTTCTGTAATGTACTCATGACGGAAAATCAGTATGTTGTTCGATGGGATTTGCTGATGTATATATGATCATAACAAATGTACGATTGAATCCCGCATCTTGCTAAACAGACTGTCTACAAGTGCTATGGTTTATGTGAAGAATATCGGTCAGAAGGTGCGTGTAACATTCCACGGCGGTGAGACCGCGCGTTGCATTCCCGATCAGCGGGCCGATGGATGCCGAAACAACACTTTGAGGCTGAAATTCAGCTTCAAACATATAAACCAAGGCCCCTCCTCAGCGTCTCCGCGTTTGTCTTTTCTTTCCATCTACTAGCTGTGCATGCTTAAATATGGTCCTTCCAAATCCTGGTCATGTCCCTGTGCTGGGACTGGGTGCCCATAGTCCAATTTCGATCGCAGTACAGGCCACGTTGGCGTGCTAATAACACCCGCTGGAAGTCTATTCCGCACAACAATATGATCGCATGGTAGGCACTTTGTCTGGAGCATCAGGAACTATCTGCTACTACCTATTCCTCGAGGAGCCGGCCGAACAAAAGAAATACCTGCCGTGAAGCCACTTGTTCCGTTCCGCGCATGCCAGGACTCGATGAATCGACCTCATAACACCATGAACATGAGCCGCGCTACAATTCCGCTGCAACCTGGGCGGTCTAAACTTGTGCTTATCACCTGGATGCTTGAGGAATGCCAACAACGTACAAGAATTCGTCAATGCCAAGCAACACCGCTGCAGCCAACAAGTAAGCTAATCGTCTATACACACCATGGACCATCTCAATACTTCCCTCCTCATGATAACCTTCAAGCTGTTATCCAAGGCGATTTTCATGACATCCAATAAGTATGGGTTCGAAGTTGCCATCTTGTTCTCAGGCGATAATCCGTCAAGGAAGGGGCAACAGCTGCATTCTGCCAAGCGCAGATCGGTATCCGAGAGGAATCATGGATTCCAGACAACTGGAACAATATTCACCGACGCACCGGAACGATGCGAATGATACGAGAGTAGTGATTGCCCTTGCTCATATCAGCACCGTTGAAGATGTCGACCTCGGAATGTAGGGCCCAGCATAGCGTCCAGCTTCAAAGATCTGGCTTTTCTCTTGTCTATCCTCGTTCTTTGATCTTACGTCGTACATTGGTCTCTGAACAATGCGATTTTGCGTGTGTGCTCTTCTGGGACTTTTCTGTCTTTTCAGTGTCAATTGTGCACAGTCATCATCAGTCGCTACATCGCATACCCTACACAACGATTCGAGTACCTGCAGCCGTAGGACGTCAATCTGGGCTGTGTACACCTCAGGCTCTTCGACTTACTTGTTCAAGATGATAGCAATACTCACCAAGCCTCGGCAGCATCTACGACGCACACACGCGTATGTGATGTCACAACTGTTTGGCAGACTGACTATACCTCGACTGTTTACAGCTCGCGCACCTCAACTCTATATGTATCGAACGTGTTCACCATGGCCTGCGAAGGGAGTGGTACATCAGACGTGTGTCCGATGCCAAGCACAATAACAATCACAGAGCCGGCCTCAACTGAGTCACCCCTTCCTTTAAAGAGTGCTCCGTCAGATCAATCCGATGGCGGCGCTAAGGCAAGTGCAAGTACAGTGACCGTCACTTCGTACTTGCCGGCTCTAGCTTGTCCGTCAAACTTTACGGTACCCAGTCAGTACTCGACACGGAACACCATCGCCACACTATCAGCAACCGTGACTTCTGAGATATCTGGTTCCATCACGACATCGATGATATATTGGACTGCGATATGTCCGATCAGCAATGCTTCCTCAGCGGGTCAACCATCCTTTTCGATGGACTCCGATGCGCCCTTGACGCTCTACTCGGTCTCGACCAAATACATCAGCGCGACGTGCGAAACGGTTAACAATTCACCGCCTGTCACCACTTCAACGTATCTTCCCGAAACCAACGCAGCAGCCTCATCGGACACGATATTCTTGTTAACAGCAGCCACGCGGGAAAATTTTACAACTACGATATATACGCAAGACTCAGTCTGCAATGCGAACTCCACAGGTCCCGTCACAGCATGGAGTAATTTCACCACGACCATCTACACGGGCAATGCTTCAAATGCATATGATTTCGAAGCGACTATTTCGGGGACACGCTACACTACAATATACGAGCCAGACGTGACTGTCACGCTATCTGGATCTACTGTCACAGCTTGCGCATACGATGACTTCGGTAATGATGATGATGGTGACTCTGATGGACAGTGGAGCTCATTCTTGGCCACCACCACCATAACTTCCACGCCAGCACCAACCGTTGTGGCGAATCTTGGATTCGAGAACGGAACACAGAATCCCTTGAACAGCACTAAATCAGATCCTTACATTGTTGCACAAATCGCCACATCCAATGACAGTACGCCCCTCACAGCATATACCGGAGAGAGCTATCTGTGAGTCCCCTTGATAGCTCGTCAGGCCATTCATCGACATCTGCAGATTCTTAACTTTCAGCGACGGCACGACCCCTGCAGCCCTACTCCATCGTCGACAGAACACCAATCAACCTATGGTCTACAACGCTACACAGTCCTTCTCTACGATATCAGACACCGAGTATCATCTCTCTGCTGCGGCCATCATGGCACAGGATGGACCCTCGCCTCCAAGCTGCACGATCAATATTTGCGCGACGAACAGTGATTGCAGTGGAGCTTCACCACTGACCACGAACTATACCACCTACTCGTATACATACCTCGCAGAGGTCTCTGCCAACTACACTGTAGCCACTTTTAGCATCGCTTGTCTGGGACCGGCTTATGTAGGTCTTGATGAGAACTCCATCACTGCCAACACCCGAGAAGCTGAGGATCCCACGCCTCCGACAATTAGCGATACCTCTGGTACTACCGCGCCCTCGGGAACAAATGGAGACCTCGGCGGATCATCCTCTGCAGCTCTAGATTCCGGTACTCTGTCAGGCCAAAGTGTTCGCACAGTGACCAGGACAGTTGCCAGGACTCGCACAGCCACTGCAACATACTCTACAGTCTACTACTATACCGCGACACAGTATGTAACATCTACGGAACCCCAGAGCAATTTTATCTCAAGTCAGCTAGTGCCTACGACTGTCGTGGAGACTGCCACTGCATATCAAAACTTGACCTTGACGAGCACAACCACAATCACTCAGACTGCGACCACAAATCAGATAAGCACTGCTTATGTTACGGAGACATCCCGAGAAGTTCAAACCATGGTCGGACCACCAGTCACAGAAACCACTGTCGTACCATATTCAACTTATGTCTACGAAACTCTGGTCTCTATGGTCCATTCGAATGCCAGCACAATCACATCGGTTGAAACTCGCCTGAGTACTGTTTTTTCAACGATCGTACAGACTTTGTCACAGAACATAACATCGCGAGAGATCACGACAGTTTCGGGCAGTGTCATCACGTAATATGTTACGAGCACCAGCCTGCAACCGACAACTGTGATTCAGACCAGCATCACTACTCTTCCACCGTCAACGCTCTACATAACCGCGACGAGCTTGTTGCCCTACAATGTCACGTATGTGTCGAGTTATCTTACGACGCTCAACATCACCCAGACCTTGCCACAAGCGACTGCTACCGCCACGACCACCTCTCAAGTTGTTTCAACACAATTAGTGCCAGTTACGTATACTACCGAACTTTTGCGTACCTCGACATATACAAGCTCGATCGCGGGTCCCACGAGTCTTATCTACTCTACGGTGGAGGTTGTCTACACATCGATTTCAACTTACGTAAGCACACTGATCAGGAACGAGACGATTCTCTCGGTCCTGCCTGCTTCGACGACGACGATACCAGGTCCGACCAGTTATTTGACAATGACGACCGAGATTCTGCGCACGTCGACCTATACCAGTTCAATCCCGGGCCCGACAAGCATCGTTTACTCGACTGTTGAGGTCGTGTACACGTCAACTTCGACTTATATCAGCACTTTGATAAGAAATCAAACTCAGTATCAGACTGTCCTTTCAAGTTTGCCTGCTTCGACCATTCTGCAAACAACGACTGTTCCAGGTCCAACAAGCTATCAGACTGTGACATTGACCTCGATATTACCCGCTTCGACCGTGGTCACGACTCAGCTATCGATTTCTAGTGCTGCTGGAGTCACGAGCACCTACTACACAACGCATATTGTGACTCAACCTGCAAGCACATATACATATATCTCGACGCTGATAAGTACCGAACCTCGCACAATCACAGCAACCAGCTATGCTCCTCCGACTACTCTACCTGGGCCTACCAGCTATCAGACTGTGACACTAACATCGACCCTACCAGCATCGACGTTCTTGACGACGCAGACCGTCACATCAAGCGCTCCTGGGACGACCGCAATCTCGACATTCATAACTACCTACTATGTGACTTTACCAGCCAGTTCTTACACTTACACTACTGTCATCGTGAGCACCTCAATCTCGTACGCAGCAACGCCTGGGACCCCATCCCCACAGACTGTCACCTTAATAAGCACCCAACCCGCGTCCACCTTCTTGACCACCCAGACCGTCACATCGAGTGCACCTGGAACCACGGCAGTGTCAACCTACGTAACGACATATTATGTCACATTACCAGCTAGCTCGTACACATACACGACTGTCGTGATCAGTACCTCGGTATCATACGCACCCACGCCGGCAACACCGCCTGCCCAAACAGTCACCACGATCTCTTACGCTGCCACACCAGCCACCCCGTCTCCCCAAATCATCACTGTGACGAGCACACAGCCAGCGTCGACTTTCGTAACGACGCAAACTGTTACTTCGAGTGCTCCTGGCACCACGGCAATCTCGACGTATGTGACGACGTATACTATCACTCAGCCAGCCAGCTCCTTTACATATATAACAACGCTGATTAGTACGCAATATGCCGCGACACCAAGCCCGCAGACACAGACAACGACTCTGGTCACAACTTCGTATGCTGTGACTCCCGCGACACCAGCAACACCTCCTGCGCAAACCCAAACACAGACTCTCACCTCAATATCATACGCTGCAACGCCAGCGACCCCAGCAACTCCTCCAACTCGGACATACACCCAATATGCGGCTACTCCGGCGACCCCTGCTTCACCCCCTGCGCAGACTCGAAACAGATCCAGACTCAGACCCAGACGCAGATCCAAACTCAAACTCAAACACAAGTCCAAACGCAGACTCAAACACAGGTCCAAACACAAACCCAGACCCAGATCCAGGTGCAAACCACGACTCTTTACTCCACTGTCACTGCGACAGCTCCTGCTCAAACCATTTCGACTACCAGTACCACTACCAGTACGACCACGCTCACTAGCACAGTCACAAGCACTGCCTCACCCGTCCCTGTGCGAGCTGATGGAAGGTGTGGACCTGGCTTTGGCAACGCTCCGTGTGATCAGTACAATTACGCTCCCTGTTGCTCGTGAGGACACCTGCCCTCTTGTATGATCTCTTCTTTGCTGACTTGAATAGACAATATGGCTACTGTGGCAATTCGACTGCTTACTGCGCAGTATCTCAGGGTTGTGTCTCTGGCTGCACAAATGTAAGTGCTGCACTGATGAACGACAGAGCTCATTCCAATGCTTATACAAAAGTCCCAGTACCCTGCAACCAACAACCGCTTCGTCAACACGAACAGAACTGCGATAGTGGGCCCACTTCCATCAGGACAAGGCAGCGACGGAGTTCCTGTTTTCAATGTCCCAATACCCGTCACCATGTGCGGCATTACTACTAGCACTGTGCAGATGAGTGTCAACGGGGTGAGACTCATATATCCGGTTATCGAGAACGCACGCTTATCTTTGTTAATAGATTTTCGCCATTGCGGGCCTGAACGGTATCAACGGCAATGCATGGGACAACACGCATCTTCCAGTGCAAAATAGCAAGGTCCTTATCGCGGGCGTGTTTGCGTACTGGGACGACCTCTACGTCAACGGAGGTGGCAACTATACCCAAGGTCTATTCTACACGGTCACCAAAAGCTCGACTCCTGGAAACCGCAACATTAGCTTCGAATGGTACGCGAATAGATATGGAGACACAACCAAGATTTATCGATTTACCTTGACGTTCTTCGAGAACCGGCCGAATACATTTGTCTTGCAGTATCTCACATCGGACGAGAGAGGGACGGGAGCAACTATTGGATATCAATGCGATAACTGTAAGCGTCAACACCTCTTTCGCGCGGGATCTGTCTTGGAGTATGTCTGCTGACTGAATCATTCTTGGCCAGCCAATGTCACGAACAATTACTACGAGTACTCTTACAACGCAGCAACCGTACCAGCAGGCACACAGCTGATGTTCGACAACAACACTGCCAATCCGGTATTTGTCAGCTCCAACTTCACCACGACCTATGTGCAAAGATTCGCTCGGAGACTCAGATCTATACGTTCGCTCCCAGGGCGTATGGCACGCAGTTTGTGGAATTTCAGAACATCTCGCAGGGCTTCAGAGCCACAAGGTGGTTTGAAGATGATGGAAATGCCGGAGGTCGGAAGTCTAGGAATCGATCCACACGTACGAACGGACAGAGCGGAGAATGGCTCCTTGATCTGGAGGGTCTTAGACCATTAAGTATATAGAAAATCTAGGCATCCTTAAGCTTAATGTTATGGATTACGAGCCTCGAAATTTTGCTAGTCCTCTTCTTACGTTTGAAGAACTAATCAAGGCAAGACGGAGAGTAAGCAACGGTCAAAATGATTTAGTGGAGAGCATACCAAAACAAAACGTACAGCAGCAGGGATTCCCACGTGGTCACCCACCGTAGTACTAATCTGCCGTTCAACTGCTTATGTATGGCAGAGCGGACGGGATGCCCAGTTTTCAGCTGACTGTGGCCGTACGTGCAATCAACTTTGTTCTTTGCGTATATATCACAGCACAAATTACTGGAGGCTTACCGAAGGAGTGGACCCCCTCCGGTATCCAACGCTGGAAGCGGACCTCAAGGCCAAGCTCGTCGCACAGCGGACGTTATCAGCGACTCGAACCTCGCACTCCGCTCTCAAGTCTTTTGAGCTCAACTTAGGACTCTATTCCCGTCAAGACTGTCGGTCAAGCAGGCAGCTCAATCCGCGGACTGAATTTTCGCTACGCGAATCGTACACGTCCTAAATATAGGCGTCTTGGCAGGCCCTACTGCATGCTGAAAAGACTGTGCTCAGCCGGCCTGGTCCACTTCCGCCTAAGGCCCATCGAGTCCGCCGCAAAATTGCATCTCGACGTCCTCCCAACAACTCGATTCAAGATTAGATTAGTGCTAGACCTCGTAAAGGGCTGCAATGACGGCTCATATAGCGCTACAAGTTGGTAGCGAGTGGATCGCACTCCTGCTATGTAGACTTTGCATGGCCAGTCTATCTGCTCGTGATGTCCTTACACACAAGTCCAGTGCCACCTCAAAATGCGCTCTTCATTCACTGCCGCGGTGTTGTCTTTGTCGGCTCTTGTACAGGCTGATGCCACTACAATCTGGGCAACCAAGACAGTATCCGTTTGTCCCACTCAGGATGTAGTCTTTTCGACCGCTGGATATGCCCAAACCGGACTCGTTGATACCACTCACACAATCACGCAAACAGTTTACGCACAACCCTCTATCGTCACCGTGTACGCACAGCCTTCTACCGTCACCGTCACTGCGGACAAGGTCACCGTAACACAGACGGTCTTGGTTGGAACTCAGGCTCCTGGCAGCACCAAGTACACCGAGTCCTTCTCGAACGCGCCCACTCAGAACATTGGTGCGGCTTCGACAAGTGTTCCTTTCAGCAGCGTCAAGTCTGCTCCATATGGATTCCAAAACACCACGGTCACACCTGGTATTTACCAAAACGCCACAGGCCCTGTCAGGTTCTCAACCTCTACCCTCGCCTCTATACGCACACTCAATGCCACTGTCTCCGAGCTTCCCGTGGTCACACCTGTCGCTACCTACAGCGCTACTAGATCTTCGGTCCCTACCATTTCCCCTGCATTGGGCCAGAATGCGACTATCTCTGGATATTTGACTTCCGCAATTCTGTCGTGCCCTAACGGCGGAGGAAACTCCACGCTTCACATGACTAGCACTGACACGGGAGCCGCTCTTTCCGTCGTGTACATCACGCCCATTGCAGCTACAGTCTATACGACCACTACCGTAACTTCGACATCGACCATTCCCACCAAAGCAGGTTTCTTGCCCATTGTCGACACAACCGCCACAGTCTACCCTGGAGCCAATGCCAGCGAATACCCTGCTTTGACCCCCGACAGCGGTCTCACTAAGCGCGCCATCGAAGAGCCTGCCTCTCCTTGCACCAGCGCCGTGACTATATTTGCCGTCCAGAGCGATGCAGCCACCAGCACCTTGCCACAGCAAACTGTAACAAGCACAGCTACCTCTGTAGTCACGGTTCCTTACTACGCAGCCTGCGGTGCTTCGAACCTTATCAACAAAGACCCCGTGACCGGCGGACAGATCGATGATTTTGGTGCCCTCGCAAACAAGTGGACCAACAACGCCACTTACCTGTACAACTTCACCAATGCCTATGACTGCTGCGCCATGTGTCAGGAAGATGAAGGTTGTGCCTACAGCGTTTTCAGCCCTGACCTCCACGATCTCAGCGTTGCGTTCTCCGCGAAGACCAACACATGTATCCTGACCTACTGGGACACCTGCAACGTGGCCAACAACCAAGCACAATGGTACGCAATTGGACAAAATCAGTACGAATACACCGTGAGCAACGGCAACTGTGGCTTCCTGAGCCGCCATCGCGATCCGAGATGTCGTTTTGTCTATCGCGACAACGATGTGGTGTGCGACATCAACTGTGATGGCTCGTACAGTCAGCATATGACTTATGCTGAGTGGGAGGCTGCACCGGCGTTGGGCGAATGCCCTCTGGTGCCTCAGGCCTAAGGACGAGTTCATCAAATACAAGGATTGTGATCCACCCATGACAATCATGATCTTCTATGGCAAAAAAAACCAAAATTACTCTCACAATCTCTCGGTGCTTGTTTTCCATGGTCCCACTATGAATTGGATGCGGAGGAAATGCTTCGTTGATATGTACAAGTAGACGTTACGAGTCGTAAGAAGGAATGTCTTGGACTGAAAGCGGGGTACACTCCTTTTGTCTCTGAGCCCTTTCCCTCGGCCAAACATATAACGTATGTCTAGCTGCTTTGATTGATTCAATTTTGCTACATACTTTACCAGTGCAATATCTTCGTAGTGTGCGACAAAAGTAGGTCGCCTTACTCGTACACCGCCCTTGCCCAATCTCCGCAACATGAAACATGAAGAGTCAACTTACCTGCTTGTCCACGCAAATTTCATCACATCCATCCTATACAACAACCAGATTATGTATTCTACAGTCCGTCGCCAAGTCTCCAAGCTTACCTCGAGCAGACAGAACAAGAGGTCTCGAGCCAACATGACCGAATCCCCGACCACCCCGCTCTTGCCCACCACAGACCGGCGCCGCAAGGCCTTGAGCAGCGCCTGGAATGATTTCTGCGACTTTGCGCTGAGAGATAATGTGCTTGAAGTAGCTGTGGGACTTATCCTCGCGGCTGCATTCAGTACTGTGGTGTCCAGCTTTGTCAGCGACATCTTGTTGCCTCCGATCTCGCTGTTGCCGTTCTTGAGTCGCAATCTGGATGAGAGGTTTGCGACGCTGAAACATGGAGGCAATGCGACGGCGAAATATAATACCGTGCAGTTGGCTTTGGAAGACGGAGCTGTTGTCATGGCTTATGGGTGAGTCTTTTGACTTTCTTTTCTGTCTCCTCTTCAAAGTCCCATCGGAATTGACTCCGGTATACAAGAGGACTTTGAGAGCTGATACACTACAGGACTTTCTTGAACAAGGTGTTCAAATTTCTGGGTATAGGTATTGCGCTCTATGCTATTGTCAGACTGTACATCTACTGCAGTGATGACGAGGCCATCATCAAGCATGAGAGGAAGTGTCCGTATTGTCGCAAGAAGATCAGTATGAAGGTTTGCATTTCCTCCCTTTTTGCATCGAGACAAACGCCTGACTGTGAACAGGCAAAGCGGTGCTTCTTGTGTACCAGCTGGCTAGATGGACGAGAAGATACAGTTGCATCAGTCGGCACATGATCGGAAGCCAGTGAGTGGTGCATCAACGCACACCGGAGTCGTCTCCCGTTGACATCATAACGACACGAGGAACGACACTTTGCTGCCTAGAGGGAACATTGTCGACCTCTAGCAGCCATCAGCTCTAGTGATCGAGGGTGCACGGTGACGGAGATTTGTAGCCTGCAGCAAACGCTACCCATGTCGTGGTGAATCTGGTTCTGTACAAGTTGTTATGATCGAGATGATGATGAATTTCTCGCGGCTCCGTCTTGGCCCTGCACGAGACAGCAGGTACAAAAAACAAAAGTCGATGAATATAGAGCGAAATAGGCAGGTCGACATGACCTACACAAGGACTTTACACAAGATGTTGCATCAGTCGCCGTCCACCAGTAGAGTGCAGGGGACCGAGCGGATTCCTACAGATTTGTTCTTCCTGTGTGCACGTCGAAATTCTTGATTGTTCTTGCACTGCAGCACAGACCCACTTTTTTCCTGCGGCCGAACTGTCGTGCTTCCTTTTGCCGCCGGAAGCCTAAGACGACACCTCCGTTCCTTCCTATCGATTTCTCACACCCACTCTGAGACTGCTTTCTTGGATTTCGCGAGGGCTATCGCGCATTGCCATGGTGGTATGGTGTAATATCGCATATAGCGACTGGACTCGCCTCGGCTTGTCAAAGTCAAGCAACAAAGCTCAGACTTGACCCATCCTCTAAGCTTTCCTGGGCAGGTGCTACTGATTAGCCCCCGGATCTATCCCCAGGGACCGGACCATGACGGCATTGTTTATCTGCGTTTACGAGGTCGTCAGACTTCAACCTGCCTAAGCAGGGAAAGATCACTGCAGAGCTATGTGAATCTTAGCAGGCGATGCGACGCAGTGAGTTGCGCGATTTGCTGGGTGGCACGCGAGGTGGGCACCAAGTGAGGGAAGCCGCGAGCGAGCGAATGGCCTATAAACTCTGGCATGCCCGCGCAAGCTCGATTTCCTCTGAGCATCCAACATTCCTGGAGCATCGATTGTCAGCATTTTTATCATGCGCTTCTCCCTGCTTCAGATCGGCGCCGCCCTCGGGTTGGCTGCCTCAGTCAGTGCATCTTCTTCGCCTGGCCGCAATGTCTTCGAACGCGCCGAGCAACTGAGAGCAAAGGCTCCCATCATTGAGAAGAGAGAGATTGGCAAGCCCTTCGAGCACCCCAGACTACAGAAGAGAGCTTCGCCCTACCTCAACAATGTCACTGAGAGTGAGTCTTGCTATCGTCAACCAAGCTTTGCACAGTGACTGATGCTCTCACAGAGTTCTGGGTCAACGGATCGGCCATTCCTGATGTCAAGTTCGACGTCGGTGAGTCGTACGCTGGTCTCTTGCCCATCAGCGGTGCCGCCAACGAGACTCGTGAGCTGTTCTTCTGGTTCTTCCCTTCGACCAATCCCAACGCCACAGAAGAGATTGCCATTTGGTTCAACGGTGGTCCTGGTTGCAGTTCGCTCAGTGGTCTCCTGACTGAGAACGGTCCCTTCACCTGGGAAGCCGGAACTCTTGAGCCTGTGCAAAACCCCTACACATGGGTCAACCTCACCAACATGCTTTGGGTTGAACAACCCGTTGGTGTCGGTTTCTCCCAGGGTGTGCCCAACATTACCAACGAAGTTGAGCTCGGTCTAGAGTTCGCTGGCTTCTACAAGCAGTTTGTCGATGCCTTCAACCTTCACAACTGGAAGGTCTACTTGACTGGCGAATCCTACGCCGGTTTCTATGTACCTTACATTGCCGATGCTTTCATCAACGCCGCCGACACTGTTTACTACAACCTCAAGGGTATTGCCATCAACGACCCCATCATTGGCGACGAGACAGCCCAGCAGCAGGCTGTCATCGTCCCTTTCGTCGACTACTGGGAGAACCTCATCTACCTCAACGAGACTTTCCTCCAACAGATCCACGACCGTGCTGATCAGTGTAACTACACCTCGTACTTGGAGAAGTACCTGACCTTCCCTCCCCCCCAGGAGAAGTTCCCCATTCTTCCCGACCCCTACTCTTCCGACACTTACGCCTGCGATATGTTCGACACCGTCTACGAGGCCATCCTGCTGGTCAACCCCTGCTTCAACATCTACCACATCACCGAGACCTGCCCCCACCCTTGGTCCGTCCTCGGAGGTGTCAACACTGGCGACTACATTCCTTCTGGTGAGGTCGTCTACTTCAACCGCACCGACGTTCAGAAGGCCATCAACGCTCCCGTCGGCACCAACTGGCAGCAGTGCACCAGTATCAATGTCTTCGGTGGTGCAAACAACAACCAGTCGTTGAGCGACACCAGCAAGGGTCCCGCTCTCGATGGTACTCTTCAGCGCGTCATTGAGTACACCAACAACACCATCATTGGTTCCGGTAACCTTGATATGCTCCTGTCCACCAACGGTACCCTTCTTGCCATCCAGGGTATGTCATGGAACGGAAAGCAGGGTCTTCAGGAATACCCTGGCAAGGAGTTTGACGTCCCTTACCACCCCGAGTACAACGGTGGTGCTCTTTCCGGAGCTGGCAAGGTCGGATACTACGGATCTGAGAGAGGTCTTACCTTCTACTCTGTCCAGCTTGCTGGCCACGAACTTCCCGGCTACGCTCCTGGAGCTGCCTACCGGTCCATCGAGCTCCTTCTCGGACGTATTGACTCACTCGCGTATCAGGGAGATTTCTCCACTCAGACTGGCAACTTTACTGGCAACGGTACTATCTACGGCCAGCAGAAGATCTTCTAGATAATTCACGAAGCCAGATGGTTGCCTCCTTGGCGATGCGTACAGTGTACAGCTCCCTAGTTGGCTTTCTGAGGCGATGTGTCAGGCGTCGATTTGAGATTGACGCCGTAATGAACCTTGACGCTGCAGTTCTGTAATTAATAGAATCATCACTTCAGAAGAATGAAATGACAAACCAAAAGTCTATTAAGTGCGTCGCGTTCCCGATCTTTCAGCGTGATAGGGCTTGACTCCGTTCATTGTCGTCGGCATAAGTTACCACTTCTGTCGTGTCAGTATCGTGTTGCTAACACAGGCGCTGATATGGATACTGATGCCCACGCCTGGTCCTGATAGGCCAACCCCACTTTTCCGCCTCGGCAAAGATAGGCCTCCTCCTCTCACTGCAATCATGAATCGCTCATGGCGGGCAAGGCTATGTTTCCCGTTGTCGGAGAAGGTAAAGAGATGTTATCTAAAACCCGAGATTCGATAAGCTTCCGGTATAGAAGGTGACGGCCGGACGGTGATAACGCGTCTTGCATTCCCGCTTCTCTATCTTCGGTGTCTCGATTGTCTATATCTTGCTAAGAGTGCCGTCGGTTTCGATACTGGATACTCGACATAACACGGCAAAATATGTCTAACACCAGGGAACATATCGAAACTGCATCTGCGACGAATGGCACAACCAATCCAACCACCGACGTCGTCATAATCGGCGCCGGTCTCGCCGGTCTGACCGCCGCCCGCGATGTCCTCGCCGCAGGACTCTCCTGCATAATCCTCGAAGCCCGCGACCGCGTCGGCGGCAAAACCTGGTCTCAATCGCTTTCCGACAATAAAGGCGTAGTTGATCTGGGAGCTGCGTGGATCAACGATGTCAATCAGACTCAAGTGTACGCATTGGCTAAAAAGTACAAAGCGGAGTTTATTGAGCAAAACACCACGGGTGATTGCGCTATCCAAGATGCAGAGGGTGAGATAGGCAAGTTTGCTTATGGAGAGTTGCCGCCTGTGAGTTTTCGCTTCTCCCGGCGTGTGGGTTAGGTGAAAGGTACCGTCAAGCTAATCTACGGCATGCTTAGTTCGACGATGCAGCAAAAGTAGATGTTGCCCGCATCCGCGATATGTGCGAAGCCGATTGCCAGGCCCTGGACACCTTCAACCCATCCTCCGATACCCTGGACTCCATGACTTTTGAGCAATACCTGCTTTCCCGCAACGCAAGTCCCACAGCACTTTCCACAGCAACAGTCTGGACGCGAGCAATGCTGGGCCAGGAACCGAAAAACCTGTCAGCGCTTTATTTTCTCAATTACTGCAAGAGCGGCGGTGGATTGCTGCAGATGCGGTCGGATAGAAAGGGTGGAGGCCAGCATTTGCGCGTTAGACAAGGGATGCAGTTGTTTTCGTACGGTTTGGCTGCAGAAATGCCAAAGGGTGTGATTGAGCTGGAAACTGCAGTGACAGCTATCAACAATAATACTGGAAATGGGCTTCTGGAAATCCATGCGGGAAACCAAGTCATCAAAGCCCGCAAAGTGATTAATACTGTTCCAACACCAGTATTGCGAAATATTTCTTTTTCGCCAGACTTGCCAGAGGGGAAACGGACGTGGGTGGAAGCGACAACATATGGCTACTACACAAAAGCAATGATGGTATTTGCCTCGCCCTTTTGGGTGGAAAGGGGCTTTTGCGGTCTTACGCAATCATTCATCGGTCCGGCGGGAGTGATACGAGATACTTCTTCGCCGGACGACGATAAACACATCTTGACTTGTTTCCTCGGCGGCACACCTGGATTCGCATGGTCTGATCTCTGCACTGCTGACCGCGAAAAAGCACTGCTGCAGCAGATAGCACGACTCTTTGGCATCAGTAGAGAAACTGCAGAAAAAGAGTTCTTGCAGATGGTTACTTATGAGTGGTCGAAGGATGAGTATTCGGGATATGGATGTCCTTGTACGGTGTTACCTCCTGGTGTGCTTTCGAAGGTTGGAGGAGGTAGCCTCAGGGAACAATGGAAAGATGTGCACTTTGCGGGTACAGAGACTGCTGGAGAGTGGAAGGGGTATATGGAAGGTGCTGTGAGGAGTGGAGAAAGGGCAGCCAAAGAAGTCATCAGCGATCTCAAATGATTTTTGTGCTTTGTTGTTATCAATGACAAGCTATTTGTCCTAAGCTTAGATGGTGGTTCGTGGCATGGGAGAGTATGATAGACAGTGGGAATTACCGTCCGTGATAGACACCATCTTCCTTTCCTTCAGCACTCTCGATATCCTCTTCAATACCCCTATGTCCTGTAAGGCAAAGCACGATCGCCTGCGCAGACGCCTCGAAAGTAGCCCTCACGGTACACACTGGCGCTTCTATTACTGCTGACACAAGCAGCACGGTATCGTCCTTTTGCGGTCTCTCGACCATGATCATAACGTAGTAAGGAACAATCTCTGAGTCGGTGTCTTCGCGAAGCCTGAGGAGCATTTGGCTACATTGCTCTGGTGTCTTCGAGACGAACGGCGAGTCTGGGTCACTTTGAGCCTCTACTGGCACCGCCGACGGTTTGTCGTAACAGTGATCGATCCTGTCGACAAAAACAAAATTCCATTTTCCGCCTGGTCGATATCACTATCCATCAAAAGACGATTCATGATCTGCACCATAAGTCAGAGTAGAATTCCCGGCGGGGCACGCGTCTTTATCTAGTGTCGCCGCGCACACGATAGGAAATGACATTCTTGGATCTTGAAAGCCAGAGGTAGGCGTATCGAAAGAGATGGCGGTCAAAAACTCTTTTACTGACTAAAATTGTAGAGAGTTTCGCGGCTTCAACGTCAACTCGCTTGCGTTCGCGATCAACGCCGCCGCGGAAGAGGCCAATCATTGCCTGATCAGTCCTTACGTTCTTGGTTCATTGAAACATCAAACACTTCGAACTGTTCAGAATAGACAACTTAGTAAGAGATATAGCAGGTGATGTGATTCGTTATATCATTCCATATGCACTAATCATCATGCCACCCTATCGAAAAGCCTAGCATACTCCAACACCAATCTCAGAACCACCAACTCGGTATCAACCTCTCTCAACACCTTCCCAACCCACTGAGTCGAACTCTTCGCAATATCAGCACCAATCTCATCTCCCCGCTGCGTCGATCCCAGAAATCTCATCATCTCCCAAATCTCGTTGCCGTCCAGCGACAACGGAATAAAATGTACCCAAGGAACCAACCAATCATCATGCCACTCTTTGAGAATCGTCTGCTTGACGACTGCAGAGTTTGAGCGCAGTAAACGGTAATAGCGGCCTGAGAAGCCATTGCCGTCCATGTCGAGGACGTACTTGCTGCCTTGGGAGGCGGACATTGCGGTGTCGCCTTTGTCGGCGAAAGCCCGTTTCATTTCTTCGCAGGAGGAATCATCGCATTGTACGATGCCGTTAACAAAGATGGTGAGGAGATTTTGCAAGGAAGTCGAGTTGGCGGTGACTTGCTTCCAGTCTTTTCTACCTTTGGTTTGCTCAAGTAGAGTTATGTTGTGAGGTCCAGTCTTTCGCATGGTGTTGAGAACCATTCTTTGGCGTTGCATGCCACGCCAGTTGTCGGGTGTGTTTCTTCCGCCTGTCGTGGAGCCTGTCCAGTAGATGTTGTTTTTCTTTTCCTCCCAGTAGGTATCTTTTTCGGCATTGTAGTCGCCCCAGTGTGCTCGGTAGTAAGGGCTAGGGAACATGATATCCTGGAAGGTTGAAGGTGATGCTTGAGACCATACCGGCACAGGAGCATGTATGAGTCTTAGAGTATCAGGATTGTTGAGGAACGCGTATTCCTGTTCAAAGTCGCGGTGCGTACAGACGTCTTGACTTTCGGTGATGTTGGACACAAACTCGATTCTGTCGGTGTGAGGGGTCGTAGTGTTGCATCTTGCTGGTGATGATGCTGCGCAGGATAATGTTACGTTTGTCCAAGGATGTTCATGACTTAACGTGAGGACATCGACCTTGGCCTTGTGATCGGTCTTTCTTGTTCCGTTGGCAAGCAAGTCTGCCGGTATCACAACCTTAGACTCGTCAAACGTGTTGACCAAGATTGTGGTGTTGGGCAATATGGCCATATAGGCAGGATCTTTCGACAACCAGCTGTTGATCGAATCGCCAAAATAGGATCCAGGTTTATCAGCACTCCAAGCAATCTTCGAGCTTGTGATGTTGACTTCGACTAACTCTGCCAGATCACGAGGCATTGCAGCGAAAAACTGCTTCAAGACAGATGAGTCGATCTGGAGAAAAGGATCAAACGCCTTAGTCATGCCATCGAATTCGTCAATAAGCACAAGACCTTTCTTCAACGCGAGCTCTACCCACTCTTCGAATCCAGCTGGAGGCTCTCGCTGGTAGCGTCGGCGATATTCAATCACTGCCTCTGCTGGGGTCTTTGACTGGCGGGAGAGCATTTCTTCGTGTTGACGTTTGCCGTTCAGATGTAGACTCTCAATCGGATGCAATCTTGGGGTGAGATCAGGTAGGTGCAGCATCGAGGCAGCAAAGGCTAGGAATGGTGCCACCATGATGAGACATGAGGCCCACAGAGGAATCTTCGCAGGAGGGGCCATAGAAATGACACAAATTGTAATCGCAGATGTAACCACAAAGGTGGCTGCGAACACTGAGCTCTGGTCTTGCATTATTAGTGCGTGTGAAATTCCCAGCGCAGCCAGCTGACTGGTGGCGGAGGCGACAGCGAAACCTGAGGGTACCTGAATGTTCAGTTAGCACTTGCCTTGTTTGAGGAACAGTTCCAGTGACGCACCAAATAGAAGATGGATGCTAGGCGCACTGCCTGCATTACACCTGCCAGTATAGTTGTAAACGACTTGTCAAACTGACCAGGCGTAAAGGTCACAAGCACCGTAGCAACGAAGAACGCCTGAGTAGAAATCTTTGCCGCCAACTGCCAGTCAATAGATTCCAACGCTTGTTTCGTTCCTGTGTGTTGTGTCGTTTTGGTAACCGATGTTCGGAGGAGGATAATCCAGGCCATCGACATGCAAAGTAAGAAGCCCAGTCCAGTTGATAGTAGCCATGGACGACCTTGTTCTGTTGATATGCTGTGGTAAAGTATCCGAACGACTCCAAAGCTGAGTGCAATACTGTAGGCGAGGCGAACGACAGGCCAAATGCTGGAAGGCTCCACTTCCACGACAGAAAGCTCAATGCTGCCCTTGTGGCTCAGACAACTGGCTGTTCGTCTATCGTGAATTGTCAGTCGATGCATAGAGTAGAAGTACTGGATTTCACTCACCTGGCTTTCTCAAGTAGAGCATGACGGAGCCGACAACGACAAGGCCAGGCTGGTTTGACAGTCAACATCGAGTCTATAGTACGGCATCGAGGGGCCACTTACCAACCAGTATTGAGAAGCCTGTGTGTTCGCAAGGATGCCAGCTGCGACCAGCACCGCCGGTAACGCAGTGAGCAGAATACCATCCCATGCTCTTCTGATTGTGGACCCCGAGGACTGAGATGAACCAGTCTCCAGTAGCTCATATTGCTGATTCGATGTGCTCCTGCTCCGCCTACTCATCACCAGACAGATGACGAGAAGTGTGCTCCATGATATCCACGTCGAAGATAGATCAGGGACTGTCGGATCAGCCTGTGGTAGTGTGTAGAGTATGACGGAAGAGACAAAGCTCAATGATGTGAATGTGCTGAGTGCTAGCATCCTGATTGTCCAGGCAATGGCCACAAAATAATCAATCCAGGTATGTGACGCTCTCCAGAATCTCGAGACAAGACAGAGGATGGGAAGATGCGACCAAGAACTGGAGAACACTCATATTAAGAGACAATGCCTGAATAGACACAAAGCGGAACATCTCCTGCGTATCGAAGTACGGGCACAGTACAGCGTCAAGCTGAACAAGCCGTTGCAAACACTATTTTGCGACACAGCTGAGCTGAGTGGCCCTCGAACGCCGAGTTTGGTACCAGAGACAACGCTCCAGGGCTGAACTGAATGGGAGTTCGATTTACAGGTGTCGACTCAATGTGCGAAGACGTGTAGACATCGTTTCAGGACAGGTCCTTGGTCGCATCAACATGCGGCGCCATCACCGTCGCTCTTTCTGGAGCATGAGCTCCAATGGTTTATGCGCCATATTTCCAGGCTGATTCCATTGGATCAGGAATTCTGAGGATTCCGAGATGTACAAGTCGAAGGAGCTGAACCCCTGAACGGTTGGTGGCGCTTGAAAGATTTGGTTGTTCCTTTGACATTTCCCAAAATGGATTTTCATGCACGATGCATGATAAGCTTTTCGCCAAACCTTGCCAATCCTGTGACTTCAGCTCGGCGATGTCCAGCGCCATGCCTCGAAAGGGTTCGAGGTCAGAGTGGCCAGAATCGCGCTATATGGTAGGTATGAGCTGAAAGTGAAGTTCATGGTATTTTGGTACTTTAAAGCAAAGCTACATCTCTCGTCTACATGTACAGCGATGCAGTAGCACAGATGTCGCGTTTGATCATCTCCTGGCAGGTCTGCATCTTGGTGAACAGTGTAGGGTCACCAATAATTCTTGCCGCATTCTTGACCTCTCTGCAAGTCTCATCCAGGCGCGTAATCACGCGCACGATGGTACCCTCCATCACATCTGTCAAGTCGGTGATGCGGTTGAATGACATACCACGTGCCCATTCGTAGATAACCTCGACCAGTCCGAATCTAGGCCTGCTCACAAAGTCGTTGGAGTCGTCTGCCGAGAGGATGACTTGGTGAAGTGTCTGGTAGTGGTTAACCTTCTCCGAAATCTTGATGATCGTCTCTTGACCACGCTCCAATGCTGGTGTCATGGTAGGGATTTGGTCAGTCTTCTCTTGGAACACAAAGGCAGAGAGTAGTGCTACAATCTCCTCTGGTTCGTAGTCGGCGAGCACGTTCTCAAGAACCAACTCGGTCAGTACAAGTTCATCAGCAGAGTGAATCTCGCATGCGACCTTGCCCTTCAATTCGACACGAGAGTTCTCATCGACAAAGCCAAGATCCTTGAGGACTGCAATACGTTGCTCGTAATCTGGCAACAACTGCAAGTTCTGGTCTGACATCAAGGCCTGCAACTGGTTGATGTTCTCCTTGATGAGCCATTCATCATGCATCATAGCAAAGTGCTTGTCCAGGTTTTCGCAAAGAATGCTCTCTTTGTTCTCCTGAGCGTCGTATGCTGCCTTACTGCGCTCATCCAGGATGTTACGGATACCGATTTCCTTGATTCTAGAGTAGTCGGCTTCCTGCCAGGTGGCTGATGTCCAGCTAGAACACGCGCCCAATAGCTGCTCTTTCAGTTGCTCCATAGCTTCTGGCATCTTACTTGAAGCGCCAGTAACGTCAAATTGCAAAGTGCTTCCAGTCAAGCATTCAAGCTCACTGTACGGGACGGTTGCAAGTCTGAGCTTCATCTGCTCAGGACTTGCAGGCTGAGGAGTGAAACGACGTCGGTAACGAGGGAGATAAGGTAGCAAGTCAGCGTTCTGTCTCTTCGATTTCGCAGGAGCGACTTCCATGACCGACAGACTGGGTGATATGCCCTTGGACACACCCTCGCGTAGCAGAACGCCGACAGTTCTGATACCATCTCTCTTGTACACAACCAATCTCTTCGGTTGTAGCATTCTTCTGCCAATGGGCGAGCCAAGGAGAGCAAGATGCAAATCCGATGTAAGTTGCTGGTATCTCATGGCTGCAGTGTGGCATTCTTCCAGATCCTTGTCGCAGATATCGCAAGGCTCTCTCTTGATCTTGGCGAGATCTGCCTCTGACAGCTTGACTTTTTGTTCGTGCTCGGGCAAGAGTGCCTGAGTCGCGTTCTCACTGAAACTGCGCTTGATCATCTCTTCGATCTTGAGAGCTTCAACACGTAGAAGGTTCAGGATCATGTTGTAGGTGAGCCTAAACTGCGATCGAAGTTTGGTGGGGTCGCCCAACATCATCTGCCTCAGTCGACCGGCTGGGGGCGCTTCATCGGCGCCGGGAGCCACGATGATGACCGAACCGACGGGATCCAGACCTCTTCTTCCTGCTCTACCAGCCATTTGAGTATACTCTCCAGGCAAGAGATCGCGGAACTGGCGGCCGTCATGCTTTCGGTATCCTGAGAAGACGACTGTTCTGGTCGGCAAGTTCAGTCCCATAGCGAATGTCTCGGTAGCAAACAAGATCTTGACCAGGGTTTTGGCGAACAGAATCTCGACACACTCCTTGACGATGGGCAACATGCCTCCGTGATGAACGGCAATGCCTCTGCTGAGCAGCTCGCGCAGGCGACGAATTTGAGGCAATTGGCGATCCTCCGGCTTCAGTCTGGCCAGTGACTTTTCCAAGATCATGTGAATCGCGCTCTTCTCGCTCGCTGTGCAGTAATCCAGATTCGACAGGGCATCTGCGTTCTCTTCACACCTCTTCTTTGAAAAGACGAAGATACAAGCAGGTAGCAGATCTTCCTTGCGCAGGTGCTGAATCAAATGCACCCAGATGTTGCGATCTTGAGCTGCTGTCGTTCTGCCACCTCCACGACCGGTACGCGCAATATTACCTTGACCACGAGGGGCAGGTGCGCCTCCACGACCACGTTGTTGCGCTCCGCCGCGCTGGGCACCGCCTCTCTGTGGACCGCCGCGTTGTGTCTGGCCACGGCCGCCTCTCTGCGAACCACCGCCTCTAGCAGCGGCGGCTGCGGCCTCTTGCTTCTCCTCAGCTGCCTTGATCTTGTCCTTGCCAGACAGAACATCATTCGCATCCTTCCAGCCTTTTTCGATGAACTGCTTGTCAGCGTTGACAATCTTGTACATCTCTTTGCCTGCCCAGAGATAGTGTTCCAGCGGAACTGGGCGCTTAGGTGTGGAGATGACGTAGATGTTCTTCTTCTTGGTTCGACCAACCCAAGATGCGAATTCAAGGGTGTTGGGCACAGTGGCAGAGAGCAGGATCAGAGTGACGTGCTCAGGCAACATAATGATGACCTCTTCCCAGACGACGCCTCTCTCCAGATCGTTGACATAATGTACCTCGTCGAAGATGACGAATTCGACGTCGCGGATGATATCCGCTCCTCGGTAGAGCATACTTCGCAGAATCTCGGTCGTCATGATCAAACAGCTTGCCTCAGGACGGATTTGGACGTCACCAGTCAAGATACCAACGTCGTCAAATTCTTGACGGAAATCTCTGAACTTCTGGTTACTCAATGCCTTGATGGGTGAAGTGTAGATGGCCTTGGTCATATGTTTAGCTGCCAGTGCAATTGCATACTCAGCAACAACAGTCTTTCCGGCAGATGTATGGGCAGCCACGAAAACAGAGTCGCCGTTCTCCAAATGGTAGATAGCTTCTTTCTGGAAAGTGTCAGGTTCAAATGGCCACTCACGAGCCATTTCTGGAACCAAGTCTCGGAAATTAGGCATTGGCCGATTGACATCAACCATGTGAGCCCACTCGTAACCAGATCTCTTGTTACTTGACAGACCCAGCTGGCCCCTAGCAGCCAATGCGGGGAATTCGACGGGAAGAAGTGCGTCCAACTCTTCCTCCTCTTCTTCGTCTTCATCCTCTTCGGCAGGCTTAGCTTCGTCTGCAAGATGTCCATTAGTGGTGGCAGGGTCCTTGGGCTCCTCTTCCAGTACGTTCTCGACCTCCTGGGCAGTGGCCTGATCAGCGGGGGCTTTTCTCTGCAGATCCAGTCCACGAGTGAACCCAGGAGGTAGCTCAAGTAGTGCACCATCAGGTCCGAAGTTGATGACTTTGTCCAGACCGCTTTGCTTGACAGTACCGTTGGCTTGGTTCCCGAGTAGAAGCTGTTCCTCAGCAGCGGCAGTGGCCTCGACAGCATCTAGACCTCCAGGAGCGAAAGGGAAGAAACCGGCGGCACCGCGCACAAAATCAGCACGATTTGCAGGCTTTCTCAGGATGGAAGTTGAGTTCTTTGCTGTGGCACTGTTTGCTGGGACAGTGACCTCCTTGTAACCAGTGACACGACCTTCAAGACCTTCACGGGTGAAACGGATGATGGTGCGTGTTTGAGTAGGAGCCAGTTCAAAGAGCTCCTCGTGATTTGTAGGACAATCCCAGCGCTGTTGCAGACGATCGAGCCATGGTGTGCTGAAGGAAGTGGAGGGGGCCAGAAAGTCCTTTTCCAAGCTCGAGCGGATGCGGTCAGGCGATCTTCTTGTGCGCTGTCTTGGGCGCTGCTGGTCGAGGATGGCATCAATGCCTCCCGAAGGTGCATCCGCAAGGCGGAGCTTTTCCAGCGCAGGCGCTAGGTCGTCCATCTCTGAGTTGTGATGATTTTGGAAGTGTTTACAGAAGTAAAGTGTTGAATGTGGATAATCGAAGGCTGGCTGTTTGACCGCGCGATCGGTGACGACATTGACGACATTTATTTTTCGCGACAAACACCAAGCTGTCAACACGTCAGAAATTCACAGTCCATCATAAACTGCTTACATGACTTATTGCTGAACTATTCTCAATTGAGTCGTGAACGATAGGACTGTCGTGTAGCAGTCTGAAGAGCATCACATCATGGTACCGGTATGGGCTACGATTTCTTGTCACCGAGGATGAATCCACTACCAGCACGATACGTGATCAACAATAATAGGTAAGCAATGTGCAGAAACACCTTCCATCAACTGTAATCTTTGTCGGACCCAACTGCTTCACGGTCATACAGCATCACCTTGACAGTCTAAACACGAGTTGGAGCGAGTGGCTGCAAGGTGTCTTTGAGGTTGGCATCGGCCGTTCGCGTGTGATGATGGTCAGCTCGGGAGTGGACTGAAGACATTCATCTTGGTGTATCATTGTCAATGTCTGAGATGGTCACGAAATTTCACGGTACCAGCTGGAATACGCACTCTTTCTGTGGGACAAGTGTTGAAACAGTTGAATGCTCTCAAAGTGAGAGCGTGCCTTCCATGTGACTGCACCTGCCTGTTGTCGTTTAATGAAATTATGGGTGAAGCAAAGGTCACACGCTCCTGCCTCATGACAGGAGCCATAGTGACAAGTTCACAGGCTACGTCCTTGCAGCAAAGGCTGAGGTACCAGGATCTGCTAATACCAAGATGCGAAACGGTTCCTGTTTTGTTGTGTGTCCGGGTGTTGCTGGTGGCAGCGTCGGACAAGATTCGACCTTTGGCTTGGCTCCTGCTCGTGTGGAAAAATGAATGCCACCGACGGACCCTGAACCCAAGCAAGTTTGAAAGCGAACACTTCCAAGAGCCGACCAGGCTGACGATTTGCAATTGATTTCTGGAGGGGCCCTGGTTCATTTTACACACAGTACGAGTCTTTGTACGCTCCGTCGAGGCATCTAGCATCTGAACCCGACACTCACCCACCATGGACGCCGCCGCCCTGAGGACTCGCATCCAGGCGACTCTGTCGGCAAACGCTGATGCCCGTCGCCAGGCAGAGCTGGATCTGCGAAATGTACTATCGACCGCCCCAACACCTCGAGGCACACGACTGACACTCCCACCAGGCTGAAGACACTCCCGGCTTCTGCGAGGCTCTACTGAACATCCTCGAGGCCGAACAGGACCAAGCAGTGCGCCTGTCTAGTAAGCCTACCTTGTATCTTCAGTATGCACAACACCGACTAATCACATCTTCAGCCGTCGTATACCTTAAAAACCGCATCACCAAGGGCTGGGCGCCCATCGAGAACGACCAAACACGGTACAAGCCCGTCCCCGAAGGCGATAAGCAGGTTATTCGCCAACGCCTCGTCCCTATCCTCGCTGCTTCGCCGCCGCAAATCCGTGCACAACTCGTTGCTACTCTACAAAAGATCCTTCACTACGACTTCCCCGACCACTGGCCCGAGTTCCTCAACATCACCGTCAACCTCCTGAACCAGCAAGATGCCGGCAGCGTCTTCGCCGGTTTGCAGTGCCTGTTGGCCATCTGCCGCGTGTACCGCTTCAAGATGGGAGAGACAAGAGAAGACTTTGACAAGATTGTTGAGATGACTTTCCCTCAGTTGCTCGCAATTGCCAACAGCCTGGTCAACGAGACCAGTCTCGAGGCTGGTGAGATGTTGCGCACTGTTCTCAAGGCCTACAAGCACGCCATCTACTTCGAGTTGCCCCGTCACTTGCGCGAGCAGCAGCAGATTGTTGGATGGTGCACTCTTTTCCTCAACATTGTCGCCAAGGATCCCCCAGCCGAGTCGATGGTCGAGGACGTGGACGAGCGCGAGCAGAACCACTGGTTCAAGTGCAAGAAGTGGTCATATGTCAACCTGAACAGGCTATACGTCAGGTGTGTACCTAGTCATGGAAAGAGACAGACAGGGGACAAGTTACTGACAAGAACAGATATGGAAACCCCTCCAACCTGGCCAAGACCGAGTCGGACTATGTCGAATTCGCAAAGAGCTTCATCAAGGACTTTGCCCCTGAGATCCTCAAGGGCTACCTGGGCCAGATCGAGAAGTGGGTGGGCAAAACGACATGGCTGAGCAAGCCCTGCTTGAGCTTTACCCTGGTTTTCATGGAGGAGTGTATCAAGCCCAAGACCATGTGGGATCATCTCAAACCGCACATGCAGATCTTGATCCAGCACTTGATCTTCCCCGTACTCTGCCAATCCGACGAGGACATCGAGCTGTTCGAAACCGACCCCTCCGAGTACCTCCACCGCAAGCTCAACTTCTACGAAGAGGTTTCTGCTCCCGACGTCGCCGCTACAAACTTCCTTGTCACCATGACCAAGGCTCGCAGAAAGCAAACCTTCTCCGTTCTCAACTACATCAACGACGTCGTCAACCGCTACGAATCTGCCCCAGAGGACCAGAAGAACCCAAGAGAAAAGGAGGGCGCTTTGCGCATGATTGGAACTTTGTCTGGTGTCATTCTCGGCAAGAAGAGCCCTATTGCAGACCAGGTCGAGTTCTTCTTCGTCAGGCACGTTTTCCCCGAGTTCCGCAGTCCTCATGGTTACTTGCGTGCTCGTGCATGCGACACTCTCGAGAAGTTCGAGGCTCTCGACTTCAAGGATCCCAACAACCTCCTTGTCATTTACCGCAACATCCTCGAGTCCATGGCCGATCCTGAGTTGCCTGTTCGCGTCGAGGCTTCGCTCGCTCTCCAACCTCTTATCCGTCATGATGTTATTCGTACTTCTATGCAAGGTGACATTCCTCAGATCATGCAGCAGCTTCTCAAGCTGGCCAACGAGGTCGATGTGGATGCTCTTGCCAACGTTATGGAAGACTTCGTCGAGGTCTTCGCCGCTGAGCTTACTCCTTTCGCTGTTGCTCTTAGCGAGCAGCTTCGCGACACCTATCTTCGTATCGTTCGCGAATTGATCGAGCGCCAATCGACCAAGGAGGGTGAGGATGAGTATGGTGACTTCTTGGATGACAAGAGCATCACTGCTCTGGGTGTTCTTCAGACCATCGGTACTCTTATTCTGACCCTTGAGAGCACTCCCGATGTCTTGGCTCACCTCGAGACCATTCTCATGCCCGTCATCACCATCACTCTGGAGCACAAGCTGTACGACCTCTACAATGAAGTCTTTGAGATTATCGACAGCTGCACTTTCGCCGCCAAGACCATCTCCGGTACCATGTGGAATGCTTTCGAGCTCATTCACAGAACCTTCAAGTCCGGTGCTGAGCTTTACCTCGAGGACATGCTTCCTGCTCTTGAGAACTTTGTCAACTATGGCAGCGAAGCTCTCATTCACCAGCCTCAATACCTGGAAGCTATCGTGGATATGATCCGCACCATCTTCCAGAATGACTCTGTTGGCGGTGTTGAGCGTATTTGCGGTTGCAAACTTGCCGAGATGCTCATGCTCACACTTCGCGGACACATTGACAACTACATTCCCGAGTTTGTTATGATCGCCATGACTGTGTTGAACAACGACGATGTTAAGGTCAAGTCGTACCGCATTCACCTGATGGAGACTGTCATCAACGCCCTTTATTACAACCCCAGCCTCGCACTGCACATTCTCGAGTCCAACGGCCAGACTAACAAGTTCTTCAGCTTGTGGTTCTCGAGTATTGACATCTTCACTCGCGTCCACGATAAGAAGTTGTCGATTGCTGCCATTACTTCGCTCATTGTCTTGCCTGCAGATCAAGTACCCGTCAGTGTACAACCTGGCTGGCCTCGTCTGCTTCAAGGTATCGTCCGTCTTTTCCAAACTCTTCCTGCGGCTATCAAGAACCGTGAGGAGGCAACTCGGGAAGACGACTTTGGCCTTGGCGGCGACTACGACGATGATGAAGAAGAAGAAGAGTGGGAAGGTGAGGTTGACTGGGCTGCTGAGGAGGTTGAAGGCGAGACCGACGACGTCAAGGATGAAAGCGCTGCTTACCTCGACTTCCTCTCACAGCAAGCATCCAAGTTCAGCTCTCTCGGTGATGACGACGATGATGATGAGTTGGAAGAGGAGTCATTGCTTGAGACACCTTTGGATAAGGTTGAGCCATATGGCATGTTCAAGCACGCACTTTTCCGTAAGTTCAAATGCAGATGACAAGCCCCCAAAACAGGTTACTAACAATTTTCACAGTTCTTCAGCAACAACAACCTCAGCTCTACCAAGATCTGACCAAAACGCTGAGCCCCGAGGAGCAACAAATCATCCAGACGGCCGTAAACCAGGCCGATCAAATTGCTGCGCAACAGGCCACTCTAGCACAGCAGGTCACCGAAGGAGCAGCACCGCTCAATGGCGGCGTTTAATGAATGAACAAGAAAAAACAAACGAAAAAATGCATAATTGAAGGAGAAAAAATCTGGAGTTTAGTGAGCAATTAAGTGCTTGTTTTTGAGGCGACTGACGATTGGAGCTTCATTCCTTTCTACCAAATATACAATTTTTGCCTTATGTGGGCACCATTTTATTCATTCTCCGGCTTTTCCGTATCTTTACCTTTTGTGGTGTGCGCCTTCTTTGCGTGGTTTGTCGTACCTTCCTTCAACGCGGTGCACCTTCCTTCAACGCGGTTTGTCGCACCTTCCTTCAACGCCAACTCTCGATCATCGCGGAAGTCTGGATGCTCCGAACTTCTTCGTTCCTTCTTCTCTTTTCGCTCTTCCTCCCTGAGGTCTTCCTCTTCCCATCACTGTGCCATGGACAAGCTCGAGACAAAATGTCGCTTGCGTCCTTGTTGTCTTTCTTCTCGCCTCATTTAACTCACTCCTCCCAGATGCAGTGATGATGATCAAGTTTCCGAGTCGCTCCTTCTTCTCTAGGTATGCTCGGTTGACACAGAGCGTCTGGTCGCTCTTGCCGTGTCCGACTATTCTTGTTGAATCCACTTACTGGTTTTGGTTATCTTTTTCCTCTGCTTGCTTGCATCGTTATTCCTTTCTCTCAAGCTACACAGTTCTTTTCTGTCCTTCCTCTTGTAGTCTGTCTCATCTTCATGAGTGCCGCCTCTCTATTTCTCTTCTCTACTCTGCTCTAACTTCCTTCTCAAAATTTCTGCATACCGGGGCTTTTCTGATATCTCTTCTTCTTCAACACTTCTCTCTTGGCTCTCAGAGTGGTTCATCGATTTCTGTCATATTCGGTTGGTGTCGCACGGGCTTACCGGCTTTATGTATCAATGGCTGTACATCTTTCTCACCCCAAGTCCAGCTCACTGACTGTACCACCCTGGCGATATCGGCGACATCTTCTTCTACACTTCAACATGCCACTCATATGATGTATGCTCCGGCCAACATCTTCACTTAGGCTTACTCATTGGGTCATCTGGCGGTTTGTACCTCCGGTACAGTATTACTGTCGCCATGGTCCAAATGATGATTCGTTGGCTTTTGTTCTCGAAGCTAACCTATTTTCCATGACAACCACTATTGACAAATTTTGATCAACCAATCATGAGACCAAGTCTGGCGACACCAATCAGAGAAGCTTGAGTGTAAGCTTACACCCTGCTGTGACCTTTTATGATGTCTCCTAGAAACACGGATATGAATTTAGAGCGTGGAGCGGTAAATCTGTGACCTTGCCTGTTCTATCGAGGATCATAGATTACATTGTCTGTAAGCTCATCATCACGTGAACTCGCGTTCTTTCGTCGCAGTGGTTTAGTGGTAAAATTCGTGCTTGCCATGCACGAGCCCCGTGTTCGATTCACGGCTGCGACAACGTTTTGTCTTTCCACCTCTTAAACTGCGAGGGCAAAGTCTTGTTCTCGTCGAGGTCATATCTTTGGATTCGAGACCTGGACATAGTGCTGCGCGGAGACCAATGTGAGAGTAGGCTTAAGGGCTTAACATGCGTAAGTAACGGTGAGCAAGGTCATCTTCCATGGTTGCTCGTCCCGTTCTACCCTCGGGTGAGGGGCTGCTGTGTTTGTTTTGTTGGTGTCATGTCTTATCTAGTTTCATTCTTACAGGCTCGAAAACTTCTGATGCGCTAGCCAGGTAGGTGAGGAAACTCGACTGTGTGTTGGAGGAGCCGGTGTCACACGCAACTGGCGATATTGTGAGACGAGTCCACAAATGCAGTACTTCATCCGTCATTCCAACATCGTTTCCTGGTTCTCCTTTTATCTTGTCATTTCTCTCTTGCATACGAAACATTGCGTCTTTCCCTAGAGAGATGATGCTCATGTGTTCAAGAGAGAGAGGAACGTGAATTCGTGTGGCCTGGCCGCGATGAGCGCGACCCTCTTTCGACACATTCGACCGGGATGGGCACTTTGAATTTTCAAGCACAACATATGGGTACTACGGATGCTGTCATATCACGGTACTAGGGGTGTGCATCTTTATACGGAGGTTGAAGAGCGCTCGGCTTCCTCAGTATGCCGAAAGGTGTCTGGATCTAGGACGACGAGGACCCACGACTTTACCTCTCGACTCACCTCTCGACTCACCTCTCGCCTCAAAGACACATTTCGCGCGAACATGCTTTCCATTCATCCGCAGGTTGTCGACAATCCAGAGACGGCATCGTCATGTCCACGGCCCAGCACCACACTGCTCACAGCACTTGACACCATCTTCCACCACTCAACTATCCACGCCAGAATATATATACCAGCTTATGGTTTTGCTTACCATCGTCAACCAGAGCCAGTTGTGTCACACAACTTGATCAATCAGACCTGCCGGGGTAGCTCAATCGGTAGAGCGTGTGGCTCTTATCAATCTCTGATATTCCAAACCTCAAGGTCGCGGGTTCGAGCCCCGCCTTCGGCTATTCCTATACATACGGTTGATGAGTTCCTTTTTTGCTCTATGTCGTTGAGGTGGGAAAGGCAAAAGAGGTGGTGGTTGAGAATTTTTTCCTTTCGCTGGGTGGAGCGGAAGCTTGGCGGACAGGGTTGCGCTTGGACTCGAGAGATCTGCGGACTTCTACCACTCGGCATGAATCGACATTACACTATTTTTCTCTTTTTTCCCTCCTGTTTTTCCCTATAGTAATAGGAGCACATAATAGTAGTTATATAGAACGAGAACAGAAAATTTCATGACTTAGGGATTAAAAGAAGCACAGATTCGTTAAATAAAGCCATATACATCTCGAGCCTAACTTCTACACACTACCCCATCTCATTCTACACAAATATATCTTCTTCTCTCCGTATGCCTCGTATTGTCTCCTTGTGTAACACTTTTATATCCCTCTAAACCTACCGCTAAGCTTTAGTAGGCTCGGGGAGATTTCCCCTCGACCCAAAATTTTTTTTAGCCCCGCTCTAACGCCCCTGATCCACCCACCTCCTCACCACTTCCAGGAGAGCAAAAGGATGGATATCAACGGCTTCATGAGCAAAAGATACGACGCCTGCAGGACTCGAACCTGCGCTCCCGAAGGAAATAGATTTCTAGTCTATCGCTATAACCACTCAGCCAAAGCGCCTGATGATATAAATATTACAGTATTCCAAACTATATAGCTTGTGATTGACGAGTTTTGGGCGTCTGAGCAGCTGAAGCTCTCAATTCACGAGTGACCACTGGAAAGCGAGCTTCAAAGTGCGTTGGTTTGATGTTCGGAGCTATACCCGAAAGTCGAGACATCAGAAGCCGTCATCGTATAAGAAGGAGAAAACATGGGAATAAGTAAATCCACTTATCTTCGTGGTGATATGCTTGTCTAGATACATCAGCTAGCAATCGCTAAATAAGACTTGAACTTCGAAGAGAGCAGAAAGAAAAAAAAAACAGACAGGGTAATACGATCAGACAAGAGATGAGAGCGAGGTTTGATGCAACAAGTGACGATCAGAATGATAGCTCCATCACTTGCTTGGCTCTTTGATACATATAGGCAATATTGAGAAGAATGACGACGATGGTCTTGTAGTGTCTCGTCTAGAATTGTCCAATCCTATAGCTCACCTCAACATCAACGATCTTACAACGACCTGCTTGAGGGACTCCATCTAGCTAGCACCCTTAGCACGACTCATAGGACCCCAGTTCGCTCTCGGGTTAGTCTGATAACGCATGAGCTTCTTGCTATGATAATCCTTGCCCAACCTCTCATCAAACTTGATCTTGAACTTGAAAATATCAGCAGGAGGTTGTGTAGCAGGCTCTTCCTCAACATCTTCTCCCTTCTCTTCACCTTCGTTCTTCTCCTCAGATGCATCGACCTTTCTCATCTTTTGCAAAATCTTGAAGCCGGCTTGGGTTTCGCCGACCTTGCCTTCTTTGACGGGAGCTTTTTGACGGCTCCACTCTCTGATAATTTCCCAGATGGCGTCGTAGCTGGCGTCGGTTTTGATGGTGCCGGGTTTGGTATGCGAGCGCGTGGCGACGTATCCAGCGTGGCGTAGCGCGCCCTTGATAGCAGCTTCTGAAGGAGACTGGCAATGCAGAACCTTGCACAGATAGCTGGGAATGAAGAAGAAAGGATGAGGGTCGGTTACATGTCCTGGGATAGAGGGGATGAAGGGAGCTTCAGTCTCGCCCTTGAATGTCTGGAGGTTGTTCTCCAAAGTATCAAGCTCATCGAGAGCAGAGGTAAGCATACCTTCGATGCGAGCAGTAGTCCCATAAATCGACTTGTCCACATTGGGAAGCATGTCCAGAATACGACGGATGAAGTAAGGGTTGTGCAAAGGACCAGCCCACATAGGACCGGCAACATGAGTCTTGAAACCACAATGAGGACACCTGCTATCAGCTGCAGACAAAGAAGCAGTGTGCTTGTAGTTGAGGAAATTCTTCTGGGGAGTATGTCTGGCAAGAGGCTGGATCTGGAAGCTGCCGCAGCCAGTATCGCATTGGTGTACAAGCATGGTCTTTCCAGCCAGGAACTTGACATCAGCCGGTGACTTCTTGACACGCACCCAGACTCTGGCATAAAAGTCAATGCTGAGAGATAGGAGAGGCTCGATAGCAATACCTTGCACAGCAGCAGCCTTGGCGATAGAGTTCAGAATCAGACGGAGACCAGCTTCGTGAGAATGAGGACCCTTGAGTGGCAGACCGCCGTACAATGAGTAGGTCTTTTCGATGTAACCACAGGAAGCAAAGACACCGGCATCGGTACAGGTAACGCAAAGCAGACCACCGTCGTTCAGCGCTTGAACGGCAGCATCCAGGAAAGGCGCAGCGGTACCGTAAGGGTCCAGATCAATGACATCGTACTTGAGCTGAGTGTGTGCGGAAGGGCCATCTTCAGGTGTTGGAATGTAGTATGCAGCATTGTACATGTGACCAATGGCGTTACCAGTAGATGGAGTGATCTTGTCGGTCAGCTTGTTGTGCTGGACATTGAGACGAATGGCGTCTACAGCAGCTGGAGACATGTCGTTGGCGACAACTGTGGTCACAAAGGGTATCTCTTGGGCATAACGCAGTGCACGCAGACCAGAAGCCGACAGCGCGTCCAGTACACGGAATTTGGGCTTGTATTTGGACTCCCTGGGTGCCTCTGCTGTGTCGACGTCCATCTTGCCGTTCGTGGCTTCGGTCCCGTTCTCAGCCTCTGCACTTTGTTCTTGAGCTCCTGCCGTTGTTGTGTCCTCCATTTCAGTATCCTTCTGTGCTTCCGAGGCTACTGCAGCACCATGATTGCCCTTCCTCCTCTTGTCTTCCCCTGCATCATCCTCGGCCTGTCTCTTCCTTTCCCTCTTCTTGGCAGCTTGGTCGACCTTCTTGTCGTGTGCTTGCTTTCTGACAGCACACATGTGCTCACCAAAAGCCTTGATGGCAAGGACAGAAAGATCACGGTTGAACTGCTGGATCGGATTGTAGAAAACGCTTTGTGCTTGTTGATCACTGTCGTCGCCCTTGTGGTTCCTCTTTGACTTTGGGTCCTGTTCGGTTCGTGCGTTCGGCGGGACCAAGATGTATGCCAGACCCTCCTTGACGGTGCTGTATGACTTTCCATCGTGCTCGATCAACTGATCGACAGCTGGTTGGGAATCTATCGTCGCGCTCATCTTGGTATGTGTTGTGCGGAGAAAGCGTCTTTGGAGTACTGCGCGTGGGTTATAGACAAGTCGAAATGGTCTCAAGGTCATTGAGCTGCGAATGCTCCAATGACTTGTAAAGTCGGTCGCGCTTGCCCTCGTTGCTGCTACTTTTTTGCGACGGACGAAAGCCAAAAGCGGAGGAGATCGCCAGCCTTGGCGTTATCCACACCTTATCTCCGCTTGACCCCGCCCTCCACCTCAGACCTTCTCGAATCCCTGTAGCTACCTATCGAGATGCATAGTAATTCTGAGGAACGAGAAATGTCAAGCGAGATCCGGCGTCTTCCAAATCCGCTTTGAATCCAAGTCCAATCTGGAACGATGACACCTTTCGATAGTGAGGACATCGCATTAGACCTTCGTGGTAGGAGCATGGAAGTTTAGAGTCCTAGCATACGAGAATGGTACCTATGTTCCAGTCGATCTGAGCAAACGACTTGCGATCACAAAGGAAAGAAACACAGTCGTCATCGAGCACATCCGTTCATCGTGATGTTATAATGAGAATAATTAGAGATTGTTATGTACATAGACATTAGCTGGTAGTAAATAGAAATCAAGTAGTGAGCGTAAAGCGACCAAGCATTTCTGTAATATGCCGGTCAGTTTGGAGTATCTTTCTGGTTTCCTTGCCTTCTCCCCCATCATCAAACAGTAATATTAATCTCGAGATCGATCCTTCTTCACAAAGGAACAAGACATTTAGCAGTAGCAAGACTCGGTGTTCTTGGTGGCAATGTTGGCAGACATCAAGCTCTGGAAAGAGTTGTAGTCAGAAGCACAACCCTCGCCAGAAACGGTAACGCTGTTTGAGTATGCCTTTGCGTGGCTGAAGCAACCGCCCGAAAGGTTCTGGGCGTAAGCGTATTTCTGAGTGTTGTAGATGGTCTTGCGGCCTGAGAGAGTGTTGCCTTCTTGAGCCTGGATACCGTAGCTACCGACGAACACGGGGAACTTTCCAGTGCCCTTGAGGAGAGTAGTTTGCTTGCAGACGCTGGGAGCGATCAGGTGGGCCGAGAGCTGAGGAGCGGCGCTGGCAGAGGCTCCAGCCTTGGCTCCTGCACCGTAGGTTGAACCACTGTTGACTCCAGCAGCGACATTTGCGCCAGCATTGACTCCAGTGTTCAATCCAGCGTTGGCTCCTGCACCGTTGATGTATCCGTTGGCTCCAGCGGCGACGTTTGCGCCGGTGTTTACCCCAGCGTTGATTCCAGCATTGGCACCTGCGTTGATTCCAGCATTGGCTCCTAAGTGACCACCAAAGAGACCGCCGAGAAGACCACCAATGCGGGCGCCACCTTTGACTCCAGCGTTAACATTTGCTGCACCATTCACTCCAGCATTGACATTTGCTCCGACTCCTGCTCCGATGTTTGCGCCAGCCTTGATTCCACCACCAATACCGGCAGAAATTCCAGCACCAATGGCACCGGAGAATGAAACGTGAGAATCGATGACAATGTTGGCGTTGGCAGAGAACAGAGGAGCCCAGTAGTCGTGGCCAAGGAAAGCATCCTGGACCATGCAGGGAATACGAGCATCGAGTTTACCAATCTTCTTCACAACACCCTGAATATAAGTGGTGATGAAGTTGGTAGCGCCGATAGAGAGACCACCAGTAGTTGCGAAGTTGGCAGTAATATCACAGGGCTCGTTGATGGGAGAAATGGTGAAGGCGTTGACGCGGCCAGAGGCGGAGATGAAGCCAAGGATGGCGTCAATGGCCTTGAAGGAGTAGGAAAGATTTTCGGCAGAGTTGAACCAACCGGTGGCACCGATACGTTCGCCAGAAGAAAGACCGTTGACACCACCGGGAAGGGAGTCAAGACCGATGACGATGTGCATACCGTGACGCTGGATGGCGTAGTCGCAGATGGTCTTGAGGTGAGCCTGCTGGTTACCAGAGTAGAGACCGGAACCGGGAACAGAAACCCAGGCAGAGTAGTGGGTAGGGATTCTCAATAGGTTGATACCAGCAGCGGCAAGAGAGTCGATGTAGCTGGTAGTAATGTATGAAGAGTAGCGAGCCTCAAGGACAGCACCTGCCTTTGCACCGAGCTTGGCAGTCAAAGACCACTCGTCGTTGCAATCCGAACCGTACTTGTTCCACCAGTCAAGGTCGAGAGACTTGTCCTGGACAAGCCATCCTGAGAGCGTGACACCGTTGGCTTTGAAGCTCTTCCAATTGATGAAAGCACCACCGTTGACGCCAGCTGACCAGCCGATACTGTGCGAAAGACCTCCGTGAAGACCAGCATTTACGGACACGCCAGCCTGGCTTGAGAGAGAGAAAGGACATCCAACACCACCGAAGCCCAGAGCTTGACCGTGGACGTTGGCATTGGTCTGGAGACCGACACCAACAGAGCCCAGAAGAAGGTTGAGATCAGAGTGGACGGCAGTGGTGATGCCCTTCATCAGACCAAAGATCAGGCCGAAAGTAGGAGCAGCATGCACCTGAGTCGAACCTGCGACCAGGGCGGCTGTAGCTACTGTGGAAGTGCGCATGTTGATGTGATGTGTGATATGGGAAACAGCAGATAGAGCAAAGAATGTGAGTGCGGAACAAGAATGAGTGAGAGCAAAGGACAGCAGAGGAAAAGAATGAAAGACGATGATGAACCAGACCACAGAGAGGAGCACTTGAATCTACTTATACCTTCGTTCCTGTCTGCCTTTGGTTCGTACAGTACCGTATTGACAAGCGACGACAGAATACTATTCCTGGTCTTCTGTTCGTCTTCCGTGCCGAGCCTGCTAGCCATCGAGGCTTAGAGCTGGACATTCCCAGAGTTCGAGATGCTCTAGAGGACAATTGAAGAAAATGTCTAGGTATGAAACATTGGACATGTCTCTAGCCTCGCAAGTATGCTCGATTTTGGTGACAGAGGCTCGGCTGTGCGGAGACTAGACAAGATTGGCACTGGGTAGTGATGGACTCGATATGTTGAACATTTGGAAAATGAGCTGCTTGACGGAAGGGATAGACTAGACTGTGTTTCATGTCCAGAAAGAGAAACGGGCATGGCGGAAGAGAAAGCGTTGACCATCACGCATTGGGAGTCGATGTCTTGGCGATCATCACCGCTTGTTCTGGGAGCCGGCTATGAAGTCGTCTAGAAGGACGTGTCAGCATGGTTGACAGTACATCTAATGATCGACAAACCACTCTGTATTGAGTCCAAGTTGTATGCAGGTCGCTCGAGGCTGAATACATTAAGTCGACATGCATCTCTAGAACCAAGTGCATGGTCCGTCACCACCAGAATATATGGATCGCCCGGCTGCTGGCTGCTCGACCGGGTGCTGCCGACTTTGTTGCGCGTTTCATGTTTGTCCAACGACTCTCGCAACTCGCATACCATTCTATTTTCTCTCTCTCAGGCCTCTGTGGCTGAGCTGTGCATAGAATCACGCATCGGTTGACGAGTCAGTCTCCAACAACGATCATATCAAACCTCTGAAATGTGGACAAGCAGAACAAGTCACCCGAGACCATCAAATCACCTCCAGGACATGACTGCCAAGCTTTGCGACAAACGGTTATTATTTCCGTAAACCAAAGGGCATGACTTGCCGCATTCCCTCTCAATCATGTGGGACCGCGGATTGTCTCCAAGAACGGTTCTAGAAAGGATCAATGCATTGTTCTCTGAGGCTGTAGGAAGGGCATTTGTCAGCTCACAACAATGGGAATGGCAAAAGATGTCTATGTTGACTTAGAAGGAATAGGCGGAGAGGGTCTTTCGCGAGTAAGGACATGAGACCTGGGAAGTTGCTGCCGGCTTCCACAGTAGAAGATCATGATCTTCAAAGTTATGCGGACATTATCTTTTCTCCGTTCCCAACAATGTCCGATGCCATGCAGCTTGTTGCCTTCAGGCTCACAGTTTTTGAAGCTGGCAGGACGACCTTGCTCTTTGCATCAACCTTTCTATTCTCACCACACAGGCAAGTTTGAGGTTACTAGGCGAGTACAGCCTTTTTCGGAGGGAGTCTAAGCTCTATTCAGCATTCAGTAATACGATCCGATTGTTTGAGCAGTCATGGTACAAGAGCCTGCGTGTTTCCTGGTCATCTAGGCCAAGCCATTACCAATGCGGACCAGCTTCCCCTAAGTATCTACGAAAATGCACAAAAGTATCGACGAGCAGGACGGTATCCATCGAGATGCAACATTTTCAGAGCTCTCCTTGGTCACATCCCTATCCGGAAGACTACTGTGCCTTTCCTCAGAAAGGACATCGCTCTGCAGCGCTCAAGGAAAATAGATTGCTTACATACGTCGATCTGTATTCAGGCTTGTTCGTAGATGGTTAGTGTGATATATATGGCCTGTCTGAATTGCTAGCTACATAGAACTCCTCCTCATCTTCTTCGCCTCCACAGCCTCAACATTCCTCCTCCTACCAAAATCCTTTTTCTCAAAAAACCCCTTCGCCAACTCTCCAAACCACCTCTTCATCTCCTCCAACTCATGCTCAGCCGAGGCATCCAAACCTCTACTATGTTGCTCCAAACTGTCTACACACTGTTTGCCTAACTCTTCCAACTCCTTGGTACATTCATTACTCACGTCACGTATCTCAGTGATGCCTTCGTCGATTTGCTCGCGCACGGCGAGTTCATTGGCTTTGCAGTCTTCGTAGAATGCATCGCGGTGGGAGGCAACTGCGCCGTTGAGGAAGAGCTCGGCTGCAATAGGGAGTTGAGTTTCTACGAGTGAGTGGAGGCGTTGGTGGGTTAGCGTTTTGAAGGCGTCTTTGGTTAGTTTGCCCAGACGTTGTTCGATGATTTTGTCGACTCTGGCAGTCAGAGCAGTGTCTTCGGCATCTGAATCATCCACCGGATTTGAGCCTTGTGTTGGCGTCTTGGGATCGGCTGACGTTGCTGGTGCGAGCAAGTGTTGATGCCCTGATTCCGCGAGGGCTTCACGTACTAGGTCGTCAGGCAGACCAGTCAGTTGCCTTTGCAGCTCACATAGCTTCATACGCTGCCTGTAACTTTGTTTCGTGTCTTTCGTAAACTGAGTAGGGGTTATATGTGCGGGCGATGGAGAGCAAGTGGTCGGGGTGTTAGTTTCTGTGGGAGACCAGGGAGGTGGTGGAGGAGAGCATGGCATAGCTGATGCTGGTGAAGGCGAGTCGGCACTTCGAGATCGTTTTCCGAGCACACTTTGCTGCACAGATGCAGGACCGCAATAAGGCGGAGGACTTGTTGAACGATTGAAGACACGCCAGTCTTGCTCTATCGCGCCTTGTCCAGCATTGAGACGTTTGTAGTCCAAAGGCTGTGCTTTGAGCATACGAGCACGCAGAGCGCCAGAAAACGTACGCAACTGATGTAGATCACCATCTTTGAATTGTTGCTTAGCAAGGTGGAGATGAATGGTCTTGCTCTGGCAGATCTTTGCAAAGGCATCGAGACTGGCACTGGCTGCATCTGAAACGGCCGATCTAAGAGTTGTGCCATCAAGTGACGGTGGTACGAGGACGACACCTGTAGCATTGAGGCATAAGATGAGCGTTGAAACCGCAGCTGAGTTGGTCACGGATACAGGAACCATAGAGAACATACGATCTGGTATGAGCTTGTCATTGCTTTTCGCGACTACAGTACAAGTGTCAACTTTTTCAGGACAGATATTGAGCATGAGAGTCTGCTTCCCACAGTCGAGAGCCGCGTTAATTTTGACCGATATGGATCCCTGATCGTCGTTGTGGTCATGAGCTATACGCAGTCGAGCGACGCATGCCACGTCGAACTCAGGCGCATGCGCAAGGATCGCTTTCTCGAAAATCCAGAGAGGCTCCGGCGTTCTTGATGTGCTTGTAGTCATGCTGAAAGATGAAGGCCCTCGAGTCGGATCGAGTTACCCTCCCACCCGGGCTTTGTGTCGGCAATGAGCAGCCCTGACTCGTAAAGGAGAGCTATGAGTGATGATGATAGTCGCAACGAGGACGACGACACGCTGCAGACCGCTTTCTATACTCAACAGCCTGGTCACAAGTGCGCGCCCAACCCAAGAGTCAACGTGTGATCCGGGGAGTCCACTGAAGGATGGCGAGACGAGTGGCTAGGACAGACAGAGTAAAAGAAGTGATGCAGCAGCGTGAAGCGTACACCGAAGAACGACACGGTATGAAGAATGGAGGATAGAGGACGAGTCGATGATACGCTGCAGAACGCGGTCTGTACTCGACAGCCTAGCCACAAGTACGCGCCCAATCCAAGATCAACGAATAATCTGGAGAGCCCAATGAGAACACAGGGATGGCAAGACGAGTGACAAGGACGGCAGAGCAAGAAGGCGATACAAGCGTAAAGTGAGACGTCGAAAGATGATGTTGTAGTGAGGAAGACAATGGGATGAGATTGAAGGCGTCGCGTTCGCGTTCTTCCCTGACCTTCGGGATTTGCCGCCGCGGTGAGGACCGTGCGAAGTCGCTGCCATCAAGGTGTGTGACGCCAGCATCTCTGAAAGAAGTTCGATGCAAACAGCTATGAAAATACAGAGAGTCTTCAGGGAGTAGAAAGCATCCACTGAGAGTGCAATTGTGGTGGCTCTCTCTGGTCTTGTCCACTATCTGCAAAGAACTGTGCATTTCCATGACTATGTTTCTGCTTGTGTGTCGCCATGAGAGTGAGCGGAAGATCGTAACTCGGTTGTATACAAGTCCAAGACCTATGTCGACGTACTCATCGTTTGTTTCCGAAGTTACCAATTTGCTTGACGCCGAAAATTGGTTGTAGAAGCCAGTTCAGCCATCTCTTGATCCATGAGCTCGATCCCAGCACTGCCCCCTCGGGCAAGTCATGCTGCAGTGATGATCTTGGTGGATGCATGTTAATGGTTTGGAGTCTAGTGTGAGAATATTGAAGGATGGGATGTGTGTGGTAGATTTATATCAGATTCCAACAGAGACAAAGAAAAAACAGCTCGAAAATGTGGCCTTGTGATGAATATCGAGAGACACAAAGAATGCTTGTACCAAATCCGGGGCTAGTATGACAATGGACAGCGTGCTGGTTTGGATGACATTGTTCGCACAGGACTGATGAGTTGTCATCGTCTAAAAGTCTTTGAGACACCTATAGACAAAGTTCATAGATGAGAATATGATTCATGCCCTGTATATGCTTGAACCCCCTTGACCCCTTTGTGATGCTGTATAGATATTTGTTAAAACGCCATAGGAAAAACCAGTAGCAGCCATGGTAGTCTCGCTTGTAACGCCAAGCAGCCCATATTGCAGTGTCATGTTAAGTAGTATGATCATCAGTGCTATCCGCCATCTTGAAGCGGCTCTCGCTGTATCTCGGGCTCTACAGCTGTAATTTCCCAGCGCCTTGGGGCATCGGTCAAACCGGGCCAGATGTCACGAGGCAAAAACTCCCCCATCTCACGGACAAAGTCTTCGCGCATGGCAACATCCTCTTTATAGAGGGCCGCAATCTCACGACGAGCCTTATCGGCAACACGCTGCATCCGAGCCTCGACAGCATGTCGACGAACGACCTCTTCGAGCAATGAGGCGTAGGATGTAACGAAGGATTCATAGAAGTCAGTCAACGAAGCCAGATCTTCCGCTTTGGCGAGCAGAGTCTCCTTCAGTGTGTTCCAGTTGTTACTGTATAACTTTGCAGCTGCGATGAAGATGGGGAGACCACCTCCAAGCGTGCGGAGAAGATCTAGCACACGATTGAGGAGTTTATGGCGTAGGCGGATGGCTTGTGAGTATGCTTGCAGTTGATCGAGTGTTGTCTCCATTTCCGAAAGACGTTCGCCTATCTCAAGCATGACATCCTCAACCTCTTGAGCATCGTTATCCACAACGGCAAGCATTTCCTGACGTTCATGTTCGTTTAGGGGACCTAGAGGTAGGTTCTTGTACAGACTGTCTTCCGGAGCTTCGGAGGCCGAGGACGAGTCGGCTTGACGAGCAGCTTCACCTCCTCCCTCTGTGTGTTTAAGAGCTGAGGTGCAAAGATCGTAATGTGCGACCAATGAGCTTAGCAATGAAGCCATCTCGGTAGCATGTGTTGTAAGGGCATGGAATAAGGGTGGTATGAGAGATGTGTCATCCTGGTTCTCGGTGGCCTGGTCGGCATCTTCTATAGCAAGGTCGAGTGTACGGATCTGATCGTCGAAGGAGTCTTGGGAGCGTTGGAAGTCATTTTCTGCTGCTTTGTGCGAGTCGATGGTGCTGCGAAGTGATTCGATGAGGTTGAGATGTGTGTCTTCGTCGATAAAGTCATGTAGTGTTTTCTGTTTGTTGAGGTTGGTACCTATCGAGTGCAGTTCCGAAGTGTCTACTTGGGTGTTGGTCAGCTGTACCAGGGTGGCTTGGAGGCGGTTGTCGGCGAGATCGAGCTGGTGTATCACTGCCTGACGCTGTGAGCAGGAGTTTCTGCGACGACCAAGCCCGTCATACCTTGAAATCGACATCGGTCTCGCGGCCGACGGTATCCAGACCATCTCTTACGGCAACCAAGACGTTCGCTTCTTCCAGCACTCCTTGCCTAACAAAGGCATTCTTGGCTGACAGCACAGCCGTCTCCTCGACCAGACGTCTGGCCGTTGTTACGACATGATGCGCTCGCGAGACCGAGGCGGTTGAAGATAGAGAGCGCTTGGCCGCGACAAAATGCAGGACCAGGCGCTCGACTTCATCAAAGTGTTCACTCATGCAGAGCTGCTGACTTGAGCATCGTCTGCTCGGACAGCTGGCTTCTACTCTTTGCGAGATTATGAAAAGTCACGCAAGAAACACCTGGATGGCGCGAGTGTTGACTTTCGCGGAAGTCAGCTTGACATCCCGGTCGCCAATTAGTGGCAGCTGGCTTGAGACAGCAACTTGACCCAAAGCTCAGTAATTACTGTGGCGCCCCCACAGCCGGATAGGTAGGTCGGGGTGCCTTAGCGGCTCGCAAGTTAGGGTTGCGATTGTTATCTGTCTGTCTGTCTGCCTGCCCGATGCGGCATGACAGATTCTTCTCATCAGGATTGCTCCTGTTCTCAGCATTCTGCGCCCTATCACCGAGCAGGGATCTTAGAATCCATCAATTTGCTCTGTTATGTCGCCATGCTGTCTTCTGAGTCAAAGTTTGCAAAGCTGTGCATTTTCTTTGTTTTGTGACTAATTGAAACGTAAGTCGAGGCGATTCCGGTCTGGGTCGAAGAGGTAATCACGCCCCCTGGCTATGAAGCCTGGGTAAAGACTGTCTTTCGAAGAACAACCATGGCAACAGATAGTATGGAATTATCATTATACAATTCAGGATACGTCTCCGTATCAAGAAGCCGGTCGACATTCATGGCACTGCTCCTAGCGAGTCTTGACTCGAAATAGCGGCCAAGTCTCTCCGGATATGATTGATTACAGCAATAGAGTGGGTACGGAAACGACCTCTCTTGTAAGTGGTCGATGCTGAACCCTTCTTCGCCCTCCGAAGACGCCATATTGCGAATCAGCAGCTTAGAGATCACCATCCTCGTCCCTTGCAGAAGCCTTACTCGAGTACTGTCGCTGCGTCGCACCACCGCTTACATACATTCGTTCATTTTCCGCCAACCCGGGCGACGTTCAACACTCGCCATAAATCTCGGTCGCACCACCTCATCGCTTTCGTACGAACACGCGGTCAAGCATCCGATCTCGTTTGGTTATAACCCGCGCCAGGAACGCCCTTGTATGAGAGTCCGCCTCTCCCAAGATGGCGTCAGATATGGATCCTAAGTCGCAAGCCAACGCCTTGTCCGAGAGTCGATCTGTTCGCCATGAACTAGAAGGCATATGTTCTCATGATCACGGGAATGAGGGCCACAAGTTGCGCCATCACAACAATTCTCTCGAAGAAAACATTTCAATTCCTTCAAACTCCAGACATGCCGAGCAGGCCATTGCTCCCTTTCTGGCCAAACACATTCCGACACAGTACAACCCTGTCGGCCACCTGGTGCCACAGTCCACCAACACTGAATTCGATCACGCTCACCACCAAGACGCTTCAAGTACAAAGTTCTGCTACCGTCACCGTCCCGACCTGAAGTGCAGACGTCAAGCCAACGAGCCCTCTATGGAGCAACTCCAGAATGTATCACGCTACCTGCTCTCTGCCAATGACTCACTGTATGCTGACCTCTGAAAAGGAACTCGGTACCGTCTCTCAATCCGACCAGCAAGCCATCTCCCATGTCTGGTCTCTCTTCTCCGCCGCCCCCTCCAAACATCGCAATCTCATGCTTCAGGGCATCCTGTCGCAATGCTGCTTCCCCCAGCTGTCCTACATCTCCGCTTCCGTTCGCGACCTGATCAAGATCGACTTCCTTTCTGCCCTACCGCCAGAGCTAGGCTTCAAGATCCTCTGCTTCCTCGACACTACTTCGCTGTGCAAGGCCGCTCAAGTCAGTCGACGCTGGAGAAGCCTTGCCGACGATGACGTCGTCTGGCACAGAATGTGTGAGCAACACATTGACCGAAAATGCACAAAATGTGGATGGGGTCTGCCTCTGCTTGAGCGCAAACGACTGAGAATCGAAAAGAGACAAATACAATTGCGCGCCATCTCTCGAGGAAATAACGAGTGGTCGCCAGCCATTACCCCGCTTGTCGAAGATCCTGTATCTGTTTCCAGCACCACAACTGCACCAATGAACAAGGCTCTTGCCATTGTCGGAGAGAAGCGCAAGCTTGAAGATGAGCCAACTTCACCGCAGAAGAAGTTGTGCACCCCAGCAGCGGGTGAAGACGAGGTCAACTCATACTTTCAACCGCAAACAAGAAGGCCTTGGAAGGATGTATACAAGGATCGTTTCAAGGTTGGCACCAACTGGAAATATGGCCGATGCTCGACAAAGATTTTCAGAGGCCACAAGAACGGTGTCATGTGCTTACAATTCGACGAAAATGTTCTGATCACTGGATCTTATGATTGCACAGTAAAGGTATGGGACATCAAGACAGGAAAAGAGTTGAGGACACTCGAGGGTCATACTTCAGGCATTCGAACATTACAGTTTGACGACCAGAAGCTCATTACGGGATCCATGGACAACACGACCAAGGTCTGGGACTGGCGGACTGGAAAATGCTTGAGAACATTCCAGGCTCACACAGGCGGTGTGATTTGCGTCAACTTCGATGCTGGCTACATTGCTTCAGGCTCGATGGATCACACTATCAGAATCTACGAAGTTAAGAACAGAGCGTCCTATCTGCTCAAGGGTCATACCGACTGGGTCAACGCTGTGAAGCTCGATGTGGAGTCACGTACACTGCTCTCTGCTTCAGACGACTGCACAGTTCGTTTGTGGGATCTGGACACCCGCCGATGTATCAAGGTTTTCGAAGGACACGTCGGGCAGGTGCAGCAGCTGGTAGCTCTTCCTCCGGAGTTTGAGCTTGACGAGGCCGATCTGCTCTCTGGAGAAAACGAGGATGACACGTCTTCTACCTCTTCAGGACCGTCGCTTGCTCACAAGCACTCTCACCACCCAGCAACAACATTCAACGAAATGGTGGCTCCATTCTGGCCTGACGAGCCCGAGCGCCCAGCGCCACCTCGATACATGCTTACTGGTGCTTTGGACAGCACGATTCGTCTGTGGGATGTGCACGCACCTGCTGTGTCACCTGCTGTAGATGCAGCGAACCCGATACAAAAGCCACCTACCACCAACGCATGCTTACGTACATACTTCGGACACGTTGAAGGTATCTGGGCGCTTGCAGCAGATCACTTGCGCATGGTTTCAGGATCAGAAGATCGTACAGTCAAGATCTGGGATCCCCGCAGTGGCAAGTGCGAAAGAACATGGACGGGTCATGCTGGACCTGTGACATGTATTGGACTGAGTGACAGTCGACTTGTGTCTGGAAGTGAAGACTGCGAGGTGCGCATGCTATTGTTTAACACAGGAGAAGGAAGCGAAGGCTGCGAAGAGAAATGATATGAAAATGTTTTTTGGTTGATGTTTTAGCATAGAACCACTTTTAGCGCAGGTGCCTGGAGTAATAGGGAGATATCAAACAAGAATGAATTTATTGTTGACTACTGCTCATTGCATGAATGATATGTTATTGTTGGAAGCTGCTGTAACATTGTTTCTTGTGGAATGACTCTGTGACAGACAATTGGCGACCATGTGAGGACTGCTACTCTCGTTCAAATGAATAGGCAACAAGGGGTCTGAGACAATAGCAGGTTTATATAGACAGTGACTTTCACGGTCGAGTGAGAGACATGAATAGACATGAATGGAGTTGGACCGTGCTTGGACCCTCGGCCTTGGCTTAATTATATGACGCTCGCTGCCTTGAACTTTCTCTCAGTCGCAGCAAACTGAAGTCACTTCTGACCGCCAACACCGACCAACCACAGACGTCGAGTCTCACAAGCCTTTTCAATTCTTTGTTTCAACTAGTAACGTTTCTTCTCTATCGAACCCGGAGAGAGAGGAAACCACCGACTTTCGCTCGCATTGCGCCAACTTTGCAGCCGCGCATAACCCACTGAACAAAGACCATTCACTCTTGTCCGCCGTCTTTGGCAATTGCTCTCTCACCACCAAGAACTCCAACACCCTATACACCTACTACACTCCCGACCTCACCCGCTCGTCCTCCCATCCGATCGCCGCCATGGTTTCCCAGAAGAAGCCCACCGGTGTTGCGCGCAACGCTCGCGGCGGCGCCATCGCAAAGAGAAAGGGCAGAACCGATCGCGACGGTGACCTCGTTATGGATCCTACTGCACGCGCTCGTCCTGGTGGTGGTATCAACAAGGGTGGCAAGGCAGGCGCGCCCAAGCCTCGCGGCGCAAAGCCCGGTGCTCGCGGCGCTGGTTTCGAAAAACAGCTCGCCAGCCATGTCGGAGGCTCATCAACCGCAGTGCGCACACGACCAAGTAGAGGACTGGAAGAACTCCGAATCACTGGCCACAAGAGCAGCAAGGCAGCTTCAAACACCGATGGCGGCTTGAGCTCGCTCATTGTCTGGGTCGAAAAGAGAGCCTCGCTCAAAGCAAAGAGAGCCGTCAAAGTCAAGAAGGTACACCAACCGAGCCCAGCCCATCCCACATTCCCTTAGTCGCCAGGTCCGGTCCGCTTTCGTTTGCAGCCAATCTCAGAACGACGACCAGAAACCTCGACCCTGTCACTTTCTTTCTGATGCTCCATCAGACCTTCAATTTTCCTTCCGTAATGTTGTACTAACATCGCATATAGTCCCGAGCCGAAGGTGACGATCTGATAATCTCGGTCCCTGGAGAAGACACGGCCCACGTGTTGCGCCTCGATGGCTTTGTTTTCGCTGGAGCAAACATCAAGATCGAACGAGCCGACTCCGACTCTGGTGCTTCCAAGGAGGCTGCCATCGCCATGCTCAAGGGTGTTCTCACCAGAAGATACATGGTCGAGAACAAACTGCTCGATCTCAGCAATCTTGCCGAAGACCCCGACCTCAAGGCTGCTTCAATCTTCGACAGCAGCTCAACCACGAGCAAATTCTTCCCTGCCATGATGAAGGTCTTGGATCAACAGTTCAAGTCCAACGCCGAAAAGAACGAGGCCATCATCAGCGTCTCCCTCGCCAACAACCAACTCCCAACTGTCAGTCCTGTCACAACTCTCGCCCAGACTCTACCACAGCTCAAGAACCTCGACCTCTCCAACAACGCCTTCAAGGACTTGACTGCGCTTGAAGCATGGAGACGCAAGTTCTCAAAGCTTGACCACCTCATCGTCACTGGCAACCCTCTGGAACAGGCCGAGCCCGACTATGTCTCCAAGCTCTTGGCCTGGTACCCCAAACTTCGTCTCCTCAACACTGTCCAAGTCCGCTCTGACGAGGATGCCAAGACTGGCCGTCAAGTCACCGACATTCCCTTCCCTATCAGAGGCCCCAACTTCCAGGACGAAGGTCAGATTGCCGAGAACTTCCTGCGTACCTTCTTCGCTGGCTACGACACAGATCGCGCCACCCTGGTCCAGCACTACTACGACGAGCAGTCAGACTTCTCCTTCTCCGTCAACACCGCCGCTCCTCGCGATCCCTCAAAAGCCAGCGACACTGCCCCTCAGGAATGGGACTCTTATATCAAGGGCAGCCGCAACCTGAAGAAAATCACTCAGCTTCCTGCCAGACAGAGCCGCCTCTGCCGTGGGGCCCAAGCCATCCACGAACGCTGGTCTACCCTTCCTGCTACTCGCCACCCCGACCTTGCTACCCAACCTCAGAAGTGGCTCCTCGAATGTCAATCACAACCTGGCGTCCCTGACCCCACTGGCGCATCACCTGTCGGTGTCGACGGCTTCCTCATCACCGTCCACGGCGAGTTCGACGAAATTGACGTTAGTAACGGTCAAGTCAAGAAGTCTCGCTCTTTCGACCGCACCTTTATCCTCGGTCCCGGTGGTCCCACTGGTGTCCGCGTCGTCAGTGACATGCTCACCATTCGCGCCTACGGAGGTTTCGCCGCCTTCGAGCCCGAACACAACGAACCACAAGTCCCAGTCGAGGCCGGCGTGCCCGTGCTTCCACCAGGACTCACACCCGAGATTGCCGAACAAATGCTCCTCGAACTTCAGAAACAGACCTCCATGACTGTTCAGTATGCAAAGGACTGTCTCGAGCAGGTGCAGTGGGACTTTGACCGCGCCCTGCAGGCCTTTGCTGCCGTCAGAGCCAACCTTCCTGCCGATGCTTTTGTTCAGGCTGCTTAGGAAGACTCGTTAACCATGGATGAGGCGGAGGATACTCTTACTCTCAAGGTCGATAAGGTTTGACGGCATGATCACAGCATCAGTTACTGCCACCTTGCCGGGTCACCAACACATGCATTTTCAACATCGGAGTTTCTCGTTTTCAAGCATTTTCAAAGGATCAAAAACAACAACACTGGGTGGTCGAAGGAGACCTTGGAGGATTCGCGATGCTTTCTCTTCTCTCTTTTCTCAATTTGCGAAGGCGCTTAATGGAGTCTGATGGGTGTGATGAGGTTCAACCTCTTTTTGTTTCTTGTTTTTGTTTTTTCATTCTTTCTTGTTCACCTTTACAAATTGAAGGGCACAGATGGCTGGAAGAGAGGCCTGTTTTTACATTCAAACGATGGGGGAGATGTCTCGATGAGAGGCAGAGAAGATACATAGAAGTGGCAGCAACGCATGGCAAGCAAGTCGAAAGAAACGCTCGTTGCTAAGCACACGACAAGACATAAAACACCAAAAAAAAAACACATTTACAATCTCACCTCTTAACTTTCAATCTCGGGTCAAACGTGATGGCGTTGTACAAATAGTGATTTGCCTTTTGTTGACCTTGTTGTTCTCGCACAAGTCACCGTATTGCAGCCTATTTGGGCAAAATAGTGATAACACGAGTGAGGGGGGAAACAGCAGAGACAGCTTGCTAGCAAAAGCAAATTCCACTCTTTACTCGGAATCATTTGAGGTTCTGGGAAGAAGCAGGAGGTCATAACGTATGAGGTAGAAATCTTCAGAATCGACTGGGACTTTTTTAGTATTAGCGAGAGTAGATGCTTGATGCTGATTATAAAGATTGGTAGGCAAAAGGATCTCGGGTTTACATATCTTTTCAAGTCAAGCAGCGGTAGTGTGACTGACCTCTAAGCTATCGAGAATTGCATAAACTACTTGTAGAAGAGTGGTATGTGCCAGAGAGAGTCTGGTCGTATCTGTTTTGCACAAGAGGAAAACTGCACGATCGAAAACATTCTTTTGCATCAATTTGTATTGCTTGCTTCTTTCTGATGCTTTGATCCAGACTCACATGATGAATATAGATTCCCAATAAACCGACTATCAAAATGCACAAACTACTTCTGAAACCAAGTCATGCCAAAGAGAGTTCGAATCATTTGCACATCGGAAACTACAATCAAAAAACATCCTTTGCATCAATTTGTATTTCTTGTCCTGAACTCTCGTTCTCAGTCACTACTTCTTATTTTGGAAAAAAAGAGAAAGTTCCGCCCACAAATGCATCATCTTTTGCCTTAGCCTTTCAACCCCCATCATCCTTCTAAAAACAACACATTCACGCTCTTTGGCACTCCTCTTATGCGTTCTCTCCTCTGTGCAATCAACATAGGAGACAGACGATTGGAATACAGTAAAACAGAAAAAACGAGAGATTTGAGCCCGAAGAAAGAAAAAAAATGCCACCTCCCTAATGCCAATCTGGCTACTGGTGTTGACAGGACAGGACAGGACAGGACAGGACAGGGCAGGGCAGGGCATGGGCAGAAAACAAGTTCCCTCGATACTAGTCCAACAAGAACAACGAAAGGTAAGGAGATGTGTGAGACAGAGTGGAAGAACGGGATAATGTGGAGACGTTTTTTCATTCACACTTTTTTTTGCTGAGTGGGTGCGTTTGGTGTGGGCACTTCTGGGGGTATTTGGGATATGCTTTGCTGCTTGAACGGGCAGGAACGAGAAAGTCTGAATGTCTTTCATAGGACAAGGTGCGTATTGTACGTGACAGAACACAGTAACCAGAGCTCACAACTCTTCGTCTTCGTCGATGGGTTGCGTGGGCGCGGACAGTTGGGTGGGATCCGACGTGCTTGCAGAAAGAGGCGAAGCTCCCAATGCAGATGGGTGGGTAGTAGGCGCTGAACTGGGGCCTGTAAGACTGGGTTTACCCAATGGACTGGCATCAACGGCTCCCTGGCTCAGACGATTCTTCTTCAGAGGACTCTCGGAGTAGACGTCTGTGGGCTCAGCGAGCAGTTTTTGACTGGCCTTGTCGCTGGGCGAGGTCATGTCGTCGGTGGTGATGTGTGCTGTGGAGGCTCCAACATGGGGAGATTTGCTGGGAGTAGGATTGTTCATCTCGCCCGAGTGCTGGCGCTTGAGCTGTCGATGGGTTAGTCACGGAACTGTATAGATTGGAAGGCACAAAACGTACCTTGATGTGGCGCACACCCTCGGCCATCTCTTCCTGACGCTGGCGATCCTCTTCAGTCAAGATAAGAGGGTTACCGTTCTCATCCTTGACATCAACGTCGTCCATCTCATCGCGAGCGACGGGCTCCTCATCATCTTCATCGCTGTCCATGGCATCGGCATTCTTTGAGCCCTTGCGAGTAGCGCGTGCAGCAGGGTCGCGGTAACTTGAGAAGCCCTTGGTGCCTTGATTCTTCAGAGGGCCGAGTTTCGAGAAGTCAGTGCTACGTTTTCTCGTGACGGTTGATGAACTCTTGCGGCTGGGTGCAACGACGCCCATCTTCTCAAGTTGCTCTGCAGAATCAAATTAGTACAAGGAAAGAAAGAAAACATAAAAAAAACTTACTGGGACTGCGGTAATAGAAGGTAAAAGTAGCAAAAGGGCTGTCCGGGGGATCTATGCCTGTGACAGTCTGTGTGCTAATACTTTTAGGATCAAGCGTCTTGGGCTTGTCAAGGCCGGTGGTGTGGTCGACATCCTCATCTTCGGCGCCATCGTTGTTGGTGCCTTCATCATCGTGGACGTCGAATTGCGGCGAGTATTCTCCACGCTTGATTTCACCAGAGGCAAGAACGCGGAAAAGAACAATCTTGATCTGGCCAGCAGCTTCGCTTTCGGGCACGTCCGAGTCCGAATCCGAGTCAGACATGTCGTCGTCTTGTACGATGGCCTCAGTAGGGGCGCCATTATCTTGGCCATAACGCAGGACGGTGTTACGGTCGTAGCGGGGCTTGTCCTGGTCATCTTCGTCGTCACTGTCTTCTCTCTTGATTTGTCTCTTTCTCTCCTCGCGTTGGCGCATCTTTTCAAACTTCTTTCGGCGTTTGTCGATCAAGGCGGCTTTGGCTTCCTTGTCGGTACTCGTGAGATCGAGTCCGTTGAGCCAGCGCTCCAGGCCGACCTCGCGGAAAAGAAAGTCGCGCTCGGCCAGACCACCTCCCTCGCTGTCCGGGATGCTGACCCATCTTGAGTTGACCCAGGTCTCTTCACCCTTGCGGAGTAACGTGGCAACCTCCTCTTTTTGTCTTCCGTCAAAGTAGATGTAGGCGGCGATGGTTTCGTTGGGTGACGAAGTGCGGGGCTGATAAGGCGGGATGAGGACTTGAGGTTTGCCAGTGTCGGGATCGATAGGCGGAGGCTCCTTTCTGGGCAGGCCTCTAGTCATGCCAGAGGTTTGGGGGCCGACATAGACGCCTTTGGGGTTGGGGTTGGTGGGTGTAGGGCGCGGAGTCGAGTAGGGAACTTTCAGTCCTTGTGTGAGAAGAGTGATAGAGACGGCGAAGGTCGACTGCTGAGGCTGGCCAGTGGTCGAGTTTGGCGGGACCGAAGGCGGAGGGACGGGGATGTAGGTGTTGATGCGACCGAAGCGCGACAGACTCTGGACACCATGCTCGGAGAGAGGACCTTCGGGAGTGTGTATGCTCACGGCGATGCCTTTGAAGCACGGCATGTTGGCTGTGCGAGCGACTTGTTGGCTGAAGGTCGAAGCAGAGGGCTATCTGACCATCCACGGGCGGCGTGTATACGTGTTGTGTGGGTACCGTGTGTGGGTGTTGAACTTGGGCGTGTTTGGATCTTGAGGTGGCTCCAAGGGGCGGGGTCGAGTGGAATAATGCTGGTCGTCACAGGTTGTGTGCGTCTTGCGACTGGCAGAAGCGACGGCGAGCTGAATAGTCACGTTCTGCTGGGTCGCAATGCGATATGCACGAGCAGAACCACGGCCCTTGTGTGCTTTGTATGCACTGCGATGACGAGCCGGCCAATGATTCTGCTGCGAACCAAGCTACCGCAACTGAATCCACATCTCTCTCCAACTCGCCAAGACACAAACTGCATTAATTATCGAAGGCCGGCCTTGTTTTTTGTCCCTCCTTCAATCGACGCTTCATTTCGTCTATCAAATCTTGTTCCTTTGCATCTACCCTGTGCTCAATCCTTCCTTCTGAGATATAGTCCATGGTTTCACATTCTCTGCATGTCCAATCTTATGCAATCAGATGCCTGTTTCATCCATCCCACCTTTATCTTGATACGCGCCATGACGCGTCTTCGCGTTCAAACTCTAAAGCCGAGGCTTGACGTCGTTTCGTCCGACATTTCTTCTTCATTATCTCGTCCATATTCTTCACATACATACATATACTATAGCCTTGAGCATACGGTAGGCTAAAATAGAAGGATGCCACAAAGGTTCTCGTTCTCAGAAACCACGAGTCAGAACTGCCAACTGTTGCCTAAGTATGGAGCTGTGCTGCCTGACCCGCAGCAAAACACGTTCATACGTCTTTCCTCTCAAAGATGTAAAAGTCTTATAATCTGCTCTTCGTTTCCAATAGCTTTCTTTTTCTCGGCAGTCGCATCGACTTGCAATTTCTCTCGTCCTCGTCTCATCATCCGTCATCCCTCTCATACGCCACAAAAACTCAAGGTTTCGACGAATTTGAAGACAGTCATGACCACATTCATCAGTCTACCCATCTTTGTACTCTATCTTTTGACAACATTCCCGATCCTTGTACGCGGAAACGAAACAACACATCCTGCAAGGAAGCACAATACTCCACCGCAACTTGCATGTCTGGACTCAGGATATTGCGTACCAAAAATGGTATCAACGCCATCATTGGATCCGGAAAGCCATATCAGACTGGGAATCAACAGCGAGGCATCTTTGGCATCACAACTAGGAGGAGCAATGTTGGGCGAAAATGTTGTCTTCGCTGTTGGGATCGCAGAATGACTGCTCAGGGGATGATGCACGAGGGATGGAAGACTAGAAAACACTCCGTTGGATTGGGAACAAGGCACGCATCAGGAGCCCATCTCTATCTGTCGAGGTGCTAAAGACCAAGGATTTTTTTCTACTCTCCTCCAGCGATCGTCGAGAGTCATCTTACACACCCAAAGCTATCCTCGTCCTTTCTTCCACTCGAATATGGAGGCACAATGATTTCCACATTGAGACGATGGCCAAAGAGTGCCCAGAGCGGATCGCCTCTCGATAAAAACCACCGCCTTTCTCAAAACCACTGTGCATCTTGATAGCTGTCACGGTAACAGACCTTTGCGCATGGAGAGGTTGCATACTTGTTCATTCAGGCTATGCTACCTGCAATCTAGAATCCGATCGTTGAGATCATAGAACCTGCTTCATGAAAACTCACTCCCCAACCCTTTCGCTGATCCTCATATCTTGTCGTTATTGTTGAACTCCACGCTATCCCAGAAAAAATAAATTTGTTGAATCAAAAAACGGGGTATCTTGTTGAAAATGAATGTCGTAAGGACAAGATGCACAGCAATGTTGAGTTTGCTGTTTATCTGTCCTATGATTGTGCGGCAGATATTTAAACCATCTTGCCATCATCCTTGTTGGATGAGTGTTGAGGGACGGGGTCCGAGGAAGAGCTGATGGAAGACCGGCTTTGAACGTCCCAGTAATCGCCATCGATGACGATTTCGGATGAATCGCCAACCAAGAAGAGATACCTAAAAGCAATACAATCAGCATAGTACTCTTGTGAGATTGCCGAAGGCACAGATAGCAGACGAAAAGCCATCGGTATCCTCGTCTCACGTACCAGTAAACAAAGGCGACAAAAACACTGCCACCAACGATGTTGCCCAGAGCAGCGGGGATCATGCTCTTCCAGATGTAGTAGCCAACGGTAATGTCAGGATGATGGTAAAAGATCTGTGGTTTCTGGTCAGTGCATCGTTCAAAGAAAGCAGAAAAGACAATCGGAAACTTACGGCCAAGGGAATATAGAACATATTGGCCACCACATGGTCTAGACCGAGCAACACGAAGGCAAACACGGGCCACCAGATTGCCCTGGAAGCGTTTTGTCAGTAAAAATACATGTGTACAGTTGCGAGAATTGAGTTCTTACGTGACTTTGGAGAAGAACTCCCTCGCACAGCAAGCCAGGAAGCAAGCAAGACACACAAGCCAGTTAGCACCAATGGCCTTCAGGAAGATCTGATGCCACATTGGTGTCACAGCCTTGGTCGTTGCAATGGTGAGAAGCTCCTTCTTGTAGGCGGCAGCCTCGAAGACACCGCCGTAGCCAATGATAACGCAGGAAACGAACAGAGCACCAGCGAGGTTGCCGAAGAAGGTCAGGAACCAGTGTCTCAGCATGAGTAAGACAGAGGTGCGTCGATGAAGGGCTGCCAAACTGGTGTACATGAAACTTCCGGTACAGAGGTCTGCTCCAGTCATGACGATGACCACCAAACCGAAGGGGAAAATGAGGGCGCCCAACATGCGGGGGATACCAGGAGCATTCTCATTGAGCCAGGAAGAGGTGTTGATAATGCTGTAACAGGCACCTCCGAAAGACTTTTCCGATGGTTAGATACTATAGTCATCTGCAAGAGGCGAGGCCAGAAACTCACCAGAAGACAGCCGGCCATGAACGAAGAGATGATGGTTTTGTCGATGCGCATGTGGGCCTTGTAGGCACCTGTTCTCGAAGAGATCTCAATGGCTTCCTTGGGTGTGTAGGCATTGTGAACAACCGGCAATGGCTGCTGTTGACGAGGTATCTCCGATGCTGCAGGCGGCAGCGTTTGGTCTGGAAACATAGAGTGCATCTTGCCAAGAACGAAAAGACCTTCGAGACGTAAAAAGCCCAGAAAATAGAAGGAATGGCAAGAGAGAATATTTATTCCAAAGAGACAGGTCGAACCAGTATTTAAGGATGCTCAAAAGACGTGGACAGACGGAGGAAGGGATGGATAAGAGTTTATGAGTCGTCGCAGCTGAAAGAAAATGCTGCATTCTTTTCATTCGCCGATCTTATCAGTATACACCGCGGGCACGACATTGCCAATCCCGTAAACGGCGAGGGCGCAGTGTGATGAACCTTGTATAGCCGCCACAAATCCACCAATGGTTTCGTAAATCATCGTGTCAGATGGGCGACGAAGGGCTTTTTTTGCCATCTGCCAAGGACAACGTGGAGAATCTAGATTTAGAGTTGGGTAAGATGAGGGGTAGAGTTTGAGTACCATACCGCCGAAAAGGTACATGTGGTAAGCGGCGAGCCTGAAGTCACGTCTAGCCTTGAGATGCTTGGGATGCTTGAACATGGACGTTCTTCCTTGGCCGTAGTGCTTGTCTTGACTTCCTGCTGACTGTCAGCATTGTGAAATACCAGACAACTCGTGCGAGGAGATGGACATGAGCCAGGTCTTGTGGAAGAAGAAGAAGAACAGAAAGAGCAGAGTTCGAGTCAACTCTCACTGGTGTTCCTTCCTTGTGAGCCGTCTCCGCAGAAATCAGTTCTTCGGATGTGGGCCAGATCTGGGGAATCGCTCATCACACATCCCGTGTCACCGCGTGCTGGGTAAACTTTTTACAAAGCAATCGAGCGCCTGAGCCTCCGCTTTCTACGGATGTAGACAACCCCGGGGTACCCCGCTTATTCTTCCTGCCTACCCGAGTGGCTCGATAAACACCCGTTGGACTGCATAGAGACTAGGGGGAAACATAGAGTAGGTGACGCGTTGAACAACACACGGCAAGGTTCTGGTTGCAACATCACTGGTCAAGGTTAGCGGTGTCAAGCCACAAGGTACACACGGCACTCGATGAATCAAGTAAGAAGAGGCAAGCGAGCTGTCAACGATAATACTCGGCAAGTGGTGTTGTTTCATACTCAAGACATAAGAGGTAAACAGAATTGTGAATGCAGAGCTCGCTATGATCGGATAAACCAAGACGAGTGAAGTAAGAAGTGAGAAGGATGAAGAGGGAACAAAACACCAAGAACGACAGCAAGACAAGAAGCCATCACTGTCTCGATCACACGTCTCTGTTGTTTCTGAACTTGCAACGGCCTGGCCCAGAGTCACCTCCTGACCAGTCAAAACGGGATCGAATCTTGAACCATACGCCACGCGTGAGCGGCAGTCTCCTCTCCTGTTCCTATGAGGATCCGGAAGTTGCCATAGCAGAGCCTAAGCTCTGGAAACTTGTACCTCTTCCGATGGCTGTAGGACCCCCAAAGCCAGTGGCAGGTACAGAGTGACCTGGCACCGGGCTACTGATCGGGCCTAGTGAGTGAGAGTGTCTTCCAGACCCAGGCGTCCCGGCGTCTGGCTCGAACTTGACTGCAAAGCCGCCAGGCGCAGAAGCCTCGTGACGAGCATGCAAGAAACCACCGCCATTTTGTCCGTCACCCTCGGTCTCGCAGATAGCTTCAATCTCCTTGATCGTGATTGGATTGTCAAGCATAACTCGCGAACCTTCAATCTGGCGCAGAAGAGCCTCGGCAGGGTGATAGTTATCATGTGTAGGTTCCCGAGCTGTCAATGCCTTGCATGCATTACATACAGCTATGCGGATCGTCAAAGGACGATTAGCACCTGACGGACGATGACCCAGACTGCCAAACGGCATCGAAGACCATCCGCTGTTGGCATTAGGGTTCCACGATGAGCTAGGTGTAGAGAGACCTGGTGGGGCTCCAAACATAGAAGGGGATGTCCAGCTACTGTTCGCGCCAAACACGTCCATGCGTGGCTGATTCTGCGAAAATACGGGTGAGCCAAAGCCACGAGGTCCAGTAATGGCACTAGCTCGGCGACTTTCTGGCACTGAAGGTAGTGGATCATCTGTATCATCGAGCAGTGCTCTGCTACCAAGATGCTTGCTCAGATCCTCCATATCAGAATTGTTTGATCTCAAAGCTGAGGGTCGCTGGATCGGGGTTGGCCGAGTGATGGGTGCAGGCGAGCTGATTGCGTCGAAGGTGTTCTTGTCAGAAGAATGAGTACGAGAGTGTGAGGCAATGCTGTGGCGTGTGGGTCCAAAACCGGGCGGAGCGGTTGGTGATCCAACTGGTGGCATCTGTTGCTGGAAACCAGGAGGACTCTCGAGTGGGTATCCCCGACCCTGTGTCATCACTCCAAGACCGTTCATACCAGGAGGTGTCGGCATGGGGTTGGCTGGGTGCATAGGCTGGAAGGGCCCGCTACCGAATGGTCCATTGGAGAAACCAGGCAGCGAGGGACGGTGGTGCATCATTGGCCCATGAGGAGCACCAAATCCAGGGAAACCGGTCATACTCGTAGGGAAACCACTGAACCCATTGTTCTGATGTTGAGGATACATGGTGGGTGGTGGGAGCTGGCTTGCGGGCGAGATGGGCTGGTGCTGTGCGAAATGTTGATTCTGCGGCTTCTGGAATATCGATCTGGGCATGGACTGATTGAAACCATTTCCTGGAGAAGTTGACTTGGTATGAACCATGGCGGGGGCCTGTTGCGATTTGGGCGAAGTAGCGTTTTGGCCCTGGAAAGAGCTTTGTCGAGGCTGTGCTGGGGTGGCAGGCTTGGGCAAGGTAGGCGTGGCTACAGGAACATGTGGTGAAGACATGATAGACGAAGCCTGCTTAGAGAGCAAACCTGGAGGTACAGCAACCATGCCGGCTTGCGAAGGACGCTTGGCCATCTGTGGTGTTTGCTGATTTCTGGCTTCTCTGTCGGCTTTCGCCTTTGCGTCTCGTTCCTTTCTTTCGCGGTCCGCTTGAGCCTTCTTCTCCTTGATGTCCCTTTCTCGCGCCTCTCGTTCTTCGCGTTCCTTTTGCCGGGCTTCATCCTTCTGCTTCTTCTCGAGTGCTTTTTGCTCACGGAGCTTGCGTTCGGCTTCCTGCTGGCGTTCGCGTTCTTCTTGTTGGCGTTTCAGACGTTCGGCTTCCTTGCGTTGCTTCTCTTCCTCCTGAGCCTTGCGTTCGGCCTCCTTCTTCTTGCGCTGCTCCTCTCTTCTCTGCTTTGCCTCCTCTTGCTTAGCTTGCTCGATGGCCTTTGCGGCAGCTTCTTCAGCCGCCTTCTCAGCATCCTTTCTAGCCTTCTCTTCCGCCTTTGCTTGCTTCTGGGCCTGTTTCTTGTTCTTCTTCTTCTCAGCATCCCTAGCCTTCTTGGCTTCACGTTCCTCCTTCTTCTTGTCTTCATCTTCCAGCTCTTCGAGTAGTTTCTGTTGACGTTCGGCAGCGACTTTTTCTCGGTAGGCGGTCAAGACACGTTGTTCGAACATTCGGGCGGCGAAGATCTGGAACATGCGACGACCCTCTTCCATGCGTTGCTCCTCGGTCATGCCGCCCTGTACCTTGTCAGTGACGCACGTGACCACTTCCCAGGAGTTATCCCGTGTTACCGTCTCGTCCTCTTCCTCTTCATCCTGGCTGTCCTCGTCGTATTCCTCGTCTTCGTATTCCTCATCATCGTACTCCTCATCGTCGAGCGGTGGTTCGTGGCCGTTGGAGGTGTAGGTGTGCGAGGGTTGTGCCGAAGCGTATTCTGCCTCTTGTTCGCGCTGCATTCTGCGTTCGGCCAGTTGTTCCATCATCTCGATAAACTTCTTGCCGTCGTTTTTCAGGAGATCGTCGGCTACGGTTAGAATGCCACCTGATATCACTTCAGCCATTTGGAGATAGCAAACTAACGGCAGAACAGGCCTACCTTTGACCGTCAGACTATTACCGAAGTTGAAGAAGTCGTTGCCTATTCCTCGCGGTACGTCGTCTTCAGGTTCGTCCTCTTCATCGCTGTACAAATCATCTTCCTCATCACTGTATTCCTCTTCCTCCTCTTCACTCATTCCTTGACTATCACCTTCGTCGCCCTCGTCTTCTTGATCGTCGTCCTCGTCATCCATGATTTCTTGGACTGGACTCGTTCGGTGATGGGGTTGGTGATGGTGAGTACTTAGCGGCAGCGGTACGGCGGAGGAAGGGTGGAAGTGTGGGGGTGGTAAACTGCGCGGAGGTGGTAGCATGCCGTGTGCCGGATCTCCGCCTTGGTGATGGGCGTACTGTTCAAGTTCGTCGTAGTATGCATCATAGAGCACTTCTAGCTCCTCCTCGATGGCAATTCTCTTACGACCACACACTGTGCACGAGCACGAGTGTTTCTGTTGTTCCTTCATCTTACGCAGAACAGCCTCTTTCTCGATCTTTAGCAGCGATTTGCGCTCTTCTTCGCTCAAGGTCAGCCAGAACTGTTTGATGCGCTCACGCTCTTCTTGTGTCGACGTGTTCCAGATGCGATCTTGTCTCGAAGAGCGTTGGCCAGACCTCAAAGGACCCGTCGAAATGGGCAGAGAATGCGGTATAGGGGGCTGGTGCATAGTGGGGCGCAGATGGTCAGGGTATGGCTCGTGGTGAGAGCTGCCGCGCTTCTTCTTCTTGTTGCGCTTTTTGCGCGAAGGTTCTAGCGAGTCATCGTTACTTGGATACGAATTCAGGCCATTGCCTAGTGGTGGTCGCGCCGCATAGGTGACTTGGCCATCGTCTTCGTCCTCGTCCGACAAGGCTTCAGGAAGCGACGGAGGCTGGCCGGGATGGGAATGGTGATCCGAGGAGGCTTCATCAGAGCCATTGTTCAGCTTTGCCTGCTGTTTTGCCCTCCTCTTCTGCTTCTTGCGGTTTCCGGTGGTGAGGGGATAGGACTGATCGCCGGTCGGAGATAGACCGTTGGGAGCGAAGGCCTGCGCCATGATGGAAGTAGGGGTGAAACCAGGACTCGCGACAACCGCTCCAGGAGATGTAGCGACTGCGCAAGGCTTGGTGGGCGAGAGTGCTATGGAAGTGATCGGCGTGGTGGGGGTCGAACGTGGTTGACAAGGCTGCGCGCTTGGAGCCTAGTGATTAGAAGGTGCGGTATTCGTGTCGTAATGTCCAGGTAAACGCTACGAGTCAACGAGCATTCGACAACAAGTGTATAGAAGGTAATGCGATTCTCTGCCAGATACACGTCTATCTCGAATGAGCCTGTTGCTACAATAGCCATATGATCCACCTGTGTCTAACATTGGCAGTATCTTGCTCTCTGATTGGTCACGCGTGCCGGGAGGAGTTGATGCCGTTATTCTCGCCCATAGTCCGTTGACAGCTTGCACTGGTATCAAGTCGTTCGTGCTCAAGGGAAACATAATTGACTGACAGTCTTCAAACCAAGTCGTTACAAGAGTGAAGCCTTCCTCAAACGCAGCATTCTGATTGAAATGAGTCTCAATGGTGTTCACGATTTCAATGCAGGCTTCGGGACTACTATGAGTTCAGCTACCAGCATCTTCGTGCCAAGGCTCAAGAGCGAGAGCCACGAAGCAGCTGCTTCCTTTGTTGTGGAGGACGGACTCGTGTTCGACCTTGAGTCTTGTAGCCCTATCGTGATCCTCCTTCCTAAACCTCTTCCAACTTTTCGTGTTTGCAGACTAGTTCGCTGTGTGACATCCTGTCAAACTTTGTAGTTCTGCGCTCGAGGCGTAATCAAGACTGCATCCTGAAACGCGGAAGCACAGCCCGCTCTGTAACTCAAGTCGACTCCTCAATCTCTCAATCTCTCTTCTGCTCATCAACCCGACCCGCTCTGACTGCAATACTTCGTCCGCCTCGCCTACATTATCGCTACAGTCTCTTGTTCCGACCCGACCACCCATACAGCAATCTACGACTCCCGACCACCGCGTCATCAACTCTACATTCCCCGACTTTCCCGTATCTAACCGTATCGTCAGCCAGTCACTCCGTCCGACTGTTGACCTAACGCTTTTCTCGATCTTCGACCTGTGTCTTTGTCCCAACCACTTGTCGCAACCTATCCCAACACCTCCGTCGGATCGTCCTGGAGAAAACGCGTCAAAATGCCTCAGCAAGAAGAAGGTGTTATGAGAAGGTGTGTTTATACCCGGCCCACGATCGCGAGACGCTGTTTTTGTGTCTCGTAACGCTCCACTATGTCACGAGTGATTGAGAGCATGTCCGAGCTGGTTTCTTTGACTAATTTGGAAGAGCGACGAGAGCAAAGATGTTGGCGCAGGCATAACATTGTGTGAACCATCCTGAGCTGACCTTAATCTTGTTAGGAAGCTTGTCATCATTGGTGATGGTGCTTGCGGAAAGACCAGTCTTCTGAGTGTCTTCACTCTTGGGTACTTCCCCACTGTATGTATTACCATGTCCTAGATGAGTCTGACATTTGCTAACTACAATACAGCGATACGTACGACCTTGATCGATCCAGAGTTCGCTGCTGGCTTACTGACCTTTTGTCTAGGTGCCAACCGTGTTTGAAAACTACGTGACCGATTGCCGTGTAGACGGAAAGTCTGTTCAACTAGCACTGTGGGATACTGCTGGACAGGAAGATTACGAACGTTTGCGACCATTGGCTTACTCACAAGCCCACGTCATCCTGATAGGCTTCTCTATGGATACACCAGACTCGCTGGAAAACGTCAAGCACAAGTGGGCCGATGAAGCCACAGAACGCTGCCCTGGAGTACCCATCATCCTGGTCGGACTCAAAAAGGATCTTCGTGACGACCCCGTAGCACAAGAAGAGATGCGCAAAAGAAGCCAAAAGTTCATTACCAGCAAGGCCGGTGAGGACATGAAGGAACTCATCGGAGCACGAAAGTACCTGGAATGCAGTAGTCTGACAGGCGATGGAGTCGATGATGTCTTCGAGGCGGCTACCAGAGCTGCTCTGCTTGCTGTCGACAAAAAGGATCGTGCAGGCTGCTGCATCATTCTTTAAATGTCACACGCACACGCACACCCACGGCCTTCTTGTTTACTATCTATGACCAGCATTGGGATGGCGTTTTCTGTTTGCGGGATACAAGCGGACTGTCAAATGTGACCAAGGGCAGGTCTTTATTCTTATCTCTTCTGTTGTTTTGCTTTCTATTCGTTTTGGGCAGGGTGTTGAAAAGCCGGATTGAATCTTTCCTTTGTTACAATCGTGCTGATGTTCCAAGAGGACGTTTTTGGAGGCGGCCATGAGGGTGTGTTCTGACCCGATATCCGCTCATTTCGATGTTACCATTTCCCTCTGGTATATTCTCTGTTCCTATCTTAGAAGTCATGGGCAGTCTTTCAGTGCAGGGTGGCCCAAGGTTGCAAACAACTGATTGCTTGTCATTTCACGCTTCGCGTTTCATGCTGTGCTGAATTATTCAGCTGAAGCACCTGGTGCTTTACGCATGGAAAATTGGTGATGGTAGGTGTAAAAGATTTCAAATTTCCCCCAAGACGTGACGGAATGTATGACATGCAGGCCAGAGTATGATACAAGATAATAGCACAGAAATAAGAAAAACACCATCTACCTCGTCCAACCGTAATTCCAGCCATCGGTGCTGGGGCTGTCGGTCTGGATGCGAGCGTATTCAATGGGGACACCGCCCCAGATGTCGTTCTTCATCATGGCGATTCTGTACAACCTTCCAACGTTCTTTCCCTGTGCGGCAGCTTCTCCTTCTTTTACAATGTTTCCAGCCGAGTCCATGAGACGCAGAGCCTCGCATGCTTCTCTCATGCTCTGGTATTGGCGTTCGAGGTCACGCTCGTGCTGTGTGCGCTGCTGAGCCTTGTAGACCTGCCATGCGCGGTGGATTGTCCAGTGTCTGAGATAGCGATCGCGAGAGAATCTGAGTGGTCTGGGTGTGAGGGGATGCGACAGAAAGTAGCGGATCAATTCTGTTTGAAAACAATTAGTGCTGGGTTATGGCGCATCTGTGAACAGATAGACTCACGGATACGAGCATCTTTCTTGGGACCGCCGCGATTCCTCTTTTGCGGTACGGGTGTGCTGGAGAATGATCTTGATTGTTGGATGGCGCGGAGAATGGTGCTGGGTTGAGATGCAGCGGGAGAGGCGGTGATTTGCGGAGCGGCGCTGCGAAGGCAGCGGAGGGAGAAGAGGCTGTTCATGACGGTAGGAGTGTTTCGGAGACCGGCGGAGGAGATCCGTATGTATAGCTTGACCGGAAGAGGGCGACAGTGGTTTGCAGAGCGAATGGACAGGGCTGCTATAGACAGTGCAATGGACGGCTTGACATCTAAAAACCAGGGCTTGGCGTGATCGGACCGCGAGTTTGAGCAGGTCGCAACTCCGCAGTCAATCTTGCCCGTATTCGGCTGCTTTGGGTTTCATATCGACGTTTCCATGTCTAATAATATTGCACCATCAAGGCCAGCCAGCCATCATTCCACCCAGACTTTCTTCTTTGCTTCATACCTCGACACATTGCATCAACCGTCAAACATCCATCGACACTTGCAATGAGCCACGACCAAGCTGTCAAGGAGGCTTCGGCCAAACACACCACTCCCGCTGAGCTGGTGGGCAAGTTCCAGTATGGTACCGCTGGTGTAAGACTGCTTATTTGAACCTGTTGTTGTATACACGATGCTGACAATACTACCAGTTCCGTATGAAGGCGTACGTCATTCTTCCACCTGTCATTCGATACACCAACTTACCATCCTCAGCAACATCCTCGACTCGGTCGTCTACCGTGTTGGACTCCTGGCCTCGTTGCGCTCGCGCAAGCTCAATGGCCAGACCATTGGTGTCATGATCACCGCCAGTCACAACCCTCCCGAGGACAACGGCGTCAAGCTTGTCGATCCTATGGTACACTCCACGCTCCGCTTTCACTCAACTCAGCACCACATCTGACTGCTCATCTAGGGTGAGATGCTCGAGGCTTCATGGGAGAAGTATGCCACTCAACTCGCCAACGCCGACTCCGACGACCACCTCGTCCAGGTCTACAACGACCTCGTCAAGACACTCAAGGTCAACCTAGATGCCCCTGCCAGAGTTATCTTTGCTCGTGACACTCGCGCCTCGGGTTCCCGCCTGGTTGGATGCCTGAACGATGCCCTGACTGCCACCAACGCTGAAGTCACCGACTACAAGATTCTCACTACCCCTCAACTCCACTACCTTGTCCGCTGCGTCAACACAAAGGGCACCCAGGATGAGTATGGCGAGGTCAGCGAAAAGGGCTACTACGAGAAGTTGGCTGCTGCTTTCAAGCAAGCTATGGAACACACAAAGCCCCAGGGTCACTTGACTGTCGACTGTGCAAACGGTGTTGGAGGTCCTAAGCTGCGCGAGCTGCTCAAATACCTTCCATCTCCTGATACCGATGGTGGTCTCGATGTCAAGGTCGTCAACGATGACGTCCACAAGCCCGAAAGCTTGAACCACCAGGTGAGTTGTCCTGGATATCCTGCTATACAACACCTCTGACCAAGACAGTGTGGTGCCGATTTTGTCAAGACTAACCAGCGCGCACCTCCCTCATCCAAGGCTGGTCCTGGAGATCGCTGCTGTTCGCTGGACGGTGATGCTGACCGTATCGTCTTCTATTTCCAAGATGAGAAGAACGTCTTCAGACTCCTGGACGGTGACCGTATTGCTACTCTTGCTGCTTCTTTCATCGCCGAACTCGCCCGTCAATCCGGTCTGATGGAGAAGCTTACTGTTGGTGTTGTGCAGACCGCATATGCTAACGGAGCCTCGACGACATACATCCAGAAGAACTTGGGTCTGCAGATCGTCTGCACTCCTACTGGTGTTAAGCACTTGCATCACGCTGCTACTCGCTTCGATGTCGGTGTTTACTTTGAGGCTAACGGACACGGCACTGTCGTTTTCTCTCCCTCCGCTCTCAAGGCTATCCACACACACCAGCCTCAATCACCTGCTCAGGCTGACGCTCTTACGACATTGATGGCATTGACCGATCTGATCAACCAGACCGTCGGTGATGCGCTCTCGGATCTTCTGCTCGTCGAGGTCATTCTCGCACACAAGGGCTTCAGCTGTGCCGAGTGGCTGCAGACCTACACCGACCTTCCCAACCGTCTCGTCCGTGTTGAAGTCGCCGATCGCAACCAGTTCACCACCGTCGAGGGCACCGCTGAGCGTCAACTCGCAACACCCGCTGGTGCACAGAAGGACATCGAGAAGGTTGTGGCCAAGTACAAGGACGGCAGGAGTTTCGCACGTGCTTCCGGTACCGAAGATGCTGTTCGCGTGTACGCTGAGGCTAGCACGCGTGCCGAAGCAGAAGACCTCGCTGCTGCTGTTGCACAAATTGTGAGAAAGTACGGTGCCAAATAGGGTTTGGATACGTGAGACTGGCGCTGAAGGGCAAGATTAATGAAAAAAGGGGCGAAAAATTGCATGCATCGGAAATAGGATAAAGGTGTCTAAGGCGTTATCGGTTCTCTCTTCTTACTGTTGAGAGCACTTTCCATCTTGTGTTTCGAATAGAGAACAAAAAAGCTCGTATACTGGACTCGATCATCGACATTTGGCTACGGTTCCAAGTCTAAAATGCTTAGTAAGCCGAGCTGTCGCTGGGTCTTTCTTCGCGCTGTCGAGCATCATCCAAATCTCTCCTCTTCTTGTCCAACAGAATAGGGAATGCATTTGGAATCAAGACACGTCGTGACGTGCTGCAAGCATCCATCTTGAACCTTCGGATTATGATTAACATGTTTTGCGAATCCTTCTCGCAGGCCCATATACGAAGACCGATAGGATTCCACAACGACGCCGGACGATACTAAGTCCCGAATGGCTTTTGATTCCATGGAACTTCCATGGAGCTTTGTAAGTACCGACCACACCAATTTAAAACAAACCGATAAGCTCTCCCTCTTGCCATCTCCGACTACAAGTATCGTGTTACTCCCACAAACAAACATCTTGGACATAACTACTTTCCAAAGCAAGGTCCAATTCTTCATACTAAAGGAATCCACCCCAGCCAAAACATGGCATCACCACCAGCATCGCCAAATGTGCTCATCTCAGGCTTCGGCATCGCAAGCACAGTCTTCGCCGCCACTCTGCTGCGCGCCTACCCAAATGCCACCATCACAATCGTCGAACGCGACCCAGCCATGCGCCTCACAGGCGCCAGCGTCGACATCCGCTCCTCAGCCGTCGACATCATAAAATGGATGTCACACGAACCCGCCATCCGCGCAAAAACCACAAAGGAAACCGGCGTTGAATTCGTAGATGATGCTGGAAAATCATTTGCGACGTTGATGGCGACTGGAAACGACAATATCCAAACCATGACTTCTGAATACGAAATCTTCAGAGGAGATTTGGCGCGTATTTTTTGGAAGGAGATTGAAGACAGAGTCACGGTGATCTTTTCGGAAACCGTGGAAAGTTATGTTCAGAAAATGGATTCGGTGCTTGTTTCGTTTGCGAATGGCAAGGCTGCTGCCTCTTACGATTTGTTGGTTGCAGCAGATGGCCTGGGCTCCAAGATCAGAGGAATGATGCTGGGCACCTCGGTCGGGCAACACATCCACGACGAAGGCGTCTACGCATCCTTTTTCGTCATCGAAAAGGACCTCCTCAACGGCTCCAAACTCGCAAAATGGTACAATACCACCGGCGGCAGAGCGATTTTCTTGCGCCCAGACCCAGATCCCAGAGGCCGCACCCGAGGACACTTTATGAACTCTGCATGGCCCTCTGACACCGCTGCCCGCGCCAAAATCAACGCGGCATTGAGAGCAGGCAACGAAGCATACATGCAACTCGTCGAAGAAACCTTTGCAGACGTCGGATTCCACCAAACGCCAGAGATTCTGGCAGCCATGCGATCCACACCCGACTTCTACGCTTCCAAATTCGCGCAGGTGCGTGCGCCGCGGATCCAAGATGGCAGAGTGGTGCTGCTGGGCGACGCGGGGTACGCGTGCCCGGGCATCGGCACCTCGCTCGCTATAATGGGCGGGCACATTCTCGCTGGCGAATTGCTGCAACACAATCTCGACGTGCCGGCTGCTGCGAAAGCGTATGAGGATTTGATGTTGCCGTATGCGAAGAGTGAGCAAAGTACTCTGGGGGATTATGCCATGCAGATGCTTAATCCGCAGTCGGCGTGGGGGTTGTGGGTTAGGAATACCGTCTTGTGGGCTGTTACTGCGGCAAAGATTGATAGAGTTGCGGTGTGGATGATGGGATGGTTGGGTTTGGAGGAGAAGAAGATTAAAATGCCGGTGTATCCTTGGCCTGAGGTCAAGGCTTGATCGGGGTGGCAGGGGTAATGAATGAATAAGTGGGAACATGCTGGGGGAGGAAAGAGGTGTAATATGTAATTGATGCTGATACGACTTTTGAACTCTCTCGACTCTCTCTGGACATGACGTTTTTCTCGATGTTCTTTGTGCACTTCGATGACTTTTTTACACTACTAGATTGAACTCGGTGAGAGCATTGATAAACCCCTGTATTCAATATGCCAATGGATAAACAACTCTTATGTACAAATACAAAAAAAAGACAGCGACAGATGCAATATGCAAAGAACAAAGTCCGCCATGATGGAAAAAGCAAATCACCAAACCCCACGAGGCAGGCTCAGAAGAGAAAAAAGACATCCCCAGACCGCTCAAACCTCCGGCACCACAATCTCATAAAACAACAGATACACCTCCCTCTGCATGCCTAATACATCACTAGTCTTTGACTCTTTGATTTTGTCATCGCTAATCCTCCACCATCTATTGTGTTGATTGCGTTGTTTGCGCTTCAATCTGCTCAGATCAATGCTCTTTGCTTTTGAGGATGTGCGAGCAGTTTGTTGATATGTTGCTGCTTCAGGGACTACTTTTGAGGAAGGTGTGGAGGTTTGGTGGTGAGAAGATGAAAAGGGCGTTTCGGCACCACTGCTGCTGCTGACTGTGCTTTTTTCGTCGTTGATGGTATCTCCATTTTTTGAACTTTGACGTTGGCGCAAAGAGAAACGCTTTTTTATTGATGAGGAGCGTGAGGATGTGCTGTTGCCGCTGCTGGAGGGCGAGTGTGTGAGACCAGGGGTTGAGGGCTCGAGCATAGGACTCGGCATGCCACTTGCGCGAGGTGTGGTTTGGGCCGAATACATGCCTTGGGTGCCCATGCTCAGCTTTGCACTGTATGGCTCTGCGAGGTATTGGCGTCGGAAACTTTCGTAGTGGCCGCTGTTGTGGCCTCCTTTGTGCGTTACAACGCCTAAGAGACGATACTGATGCTGATCTAATAGTCCGCCGAGTGGTAGTGTCTCTGGGAAACTGACCTTGGCGAGGTTCTTGGTGCTGCTGGAGTTTGGGTCCCAGACACTTCGCGATAGGTGGATGGCGAGGACTTTTGGGAAATTGCTGATGCGCATGTGGCGGGAGATTCGTCTTTTAGGGGCTTGAGACGGATCGGGAAGTCTTATGTTCTTCGGTAGAGCTTCCGGATCTGTAGAAAGCGCACTCTCGATGGCGGACAACTCGTGAGTGAGCAAATTGCGCGTTGGTTCATCCGAGGCACGTGCTAGTTCTTTCGACTTGACTTGAACGGCGTGTTCTAATCGACACCTTTCACATTTGTAGTCGTCGATATGTTCGACTTTCAGCATGCCGTCGAAGCATGCATTCAATGTGGTTGAGGAGTTTTGCGGTACGTTTAGAGTAAGGGTGACGAAGCCAGATACCGAAGGCTTGGGCTTGAAATGGCAGGTCATGCATTCGATCTGGGCCTCAATCTTTCCTTCGAGAGGGAAGCCTGGATCGTCTTGCAAGTCACCGTCCTCTGCTTGCGGTAATTGGCGGACGCTCTGGCGGATTTGCTCAATCTCTGATTTGGCTTGCAAGCCGCGAGCCGACTCTACAGGGTGGAGTTGACTCGGTCGTCCCTTGTGTCCGTTCTCTTTGACGTCTCCGTCAGATTCTGGTGCTTTGAGGGTGGTTGTGCTAGGGCTTCTGAGCGACTTTGCCTTCTTTCTAGCATTTACTCCGGCGTGGTATTCCTCGCTCAGCCTCTCGGCGACGATTTGTAGAAACTCTTGAGCATCTTGTTGCTGTCGACTGATGCGTGTTTTGAAGGCGGTCTCCATGACACTAACGAATGTGCGCGCCGAGATGGCCTTCTTATAGATAGGTCGCTCATTCAGCGCATCCAGAATATCCTTGAGACCAGCGGTGACGAGACCCTGCTGCAAGCCCAGAACTTTCCAGCTCGGCTCTTTTGTCTCATTCATCTTGACGATATCCTTGCTCTCATTGGGCGAGATTTCATCTTCGTGTTGCTCGACAATTGAGTATATCTCTTTTCCATCCAGCTTTCGTCGGTGCAGTTCTCGGATGAGGTATATGCGCAGCTCGGGGAGACCGGCCATGGTCTGCAAGACTGAATTGATGAAGCAGTCATTGGCCGGGTTGACGAGACCAACGACACCTCTCTTGCGAGTTGAGCGCGAGGATTGTGCGGCTTCATCGTCGAGCATAAAGGTGGGACCGAAGACGTAGACGAGGGTGATGGCAGCCAGCGAGGCGCCGGCGGCGTATGTCGCGATGGTGAGGGGTTTGTCGGGCATGTTTGCTGGTATACAGGTCTAAAATTCTGAAAAGCAATGTGTTATGGCTGGTCGCGGCTTGCTATCTGCGGGATCGGAAGGAGTGTACGCTCTGAGAGTAGGGCTGGATGGATGGTCGAGTCGCCGGGATTATGTCATATCATGGTGTGTATGAGGAGCTCCGTTGCCATAGTATGAACAAGAGAGAACAAGGAAAGATAACTCTCCCAGGGCACAGAGACATCCGGCAAAAGGCAGCGGGACAGACATCCACCACCAGTGAACCCTCATTCCCCACACAGCCTTGACGAGCCTCGTGCGCTACGCGTGATGAACCCTCCACCGACCGGCTACCGGCTAGAGTATCTCCCGAAAGCTCTATTTAATTTCCATCGACATCCCCATGTCTTACATCAATGTCGACCCCAACCCTACCGACTGATACGTAAGAGCTGACTTGCTGTCTGATCAATTGTGTGCTATACAAGCTTGATCTCGACATCTGTTTCTGGTATGTATCTCATGTCAACGCCCGCACCACTCTTGCACCAGCCATCCTGATGATCGAATCAAAACATGTTTCAAGACGAGACGGAGATTCACTGTGAATGACAACTGCTTCCATTCCTGATGTTGGCTTTCTTCTGCACTACCTGTCTTCGTTGCTCATTTGTCAACTGGTTCGACTGACCATTTCCATAAACAGCTACCTGTGATACCAGCACCTTGCATTATAGCAACCATCGCGGCAGCAGTAGACAGCTCCTATCTTCATAGCTCATCAATGACAACAAATCCATCATACTCTAAACTCCTCCAACTTCTTCTTCTGCCTCCCCTCGTCATCAAAATTGCTCTCATCCAACCACCCCTCAAACGCCTTCTTCCTTCCCTCCCACTCACTGTCCAACATAGAAAACCAAGTCGTATCCCTATTCCTGCCATGCTTATCAATCAACGCCTGTCTAAATGTTCCCTCCTCCACAAACCCATATCTAGCCGCTGCCCTCCTACTCGGTGCATTCAAACTATGGCACTTCCACTCATACCGTCTGTACCCCATTTCAAACGCATACTTTGCCATCAAATACATGGCTTCAGTGGCCGCAACAGATTTTTGGAGCGCAGAGGAAAACATCAAGTGCCCGACTTCAATGACGCGGTTTTTGGGCTCGATGCGAAGGTAGGAGCACCAGCCTACTGCTTGCTTTTTGCCGTCTACGTGCTTGAGAATGGTGTAGAAGGTTGGGTCTGTAGAGGCGGCTTTGTTCACCATGTCGGTGTGCAGAGCCGAGACTGAGGATGGGCAGGGGTCGTAGGGCATGTAGTCCCAGAGTCTTTCGTTGGCTGTGCCGCCAATGAGAGGAAAGAGTGCTTCGGCGTGGATTGGTGAGAGAGGCTCTAGTGTAACGTATTTTCCGGTCATGGTGATCTCCTTTGACGGCCATGGGGCTGGGTCTGTGTTGGCGATTAGTTCGCCCAATGGGCGTTCGGGTGTGTTGCTCATCCTTGGTGTGAGAATTGATTGTTCCGTGACGGATAGAGACAGTGTGCTATGAGCGTTTTTGACTGTTTCTGATGTTGCTTTTATATATGTGTCTGGTGGATTTTGTGAGTCAGATGCTCCGCGTCGCGCAATTCTCTTGTTGGGAAGGTGCACGCGAATAGCCCAATGAGCTCGTTGTAGCACTGTGCGCCTTATCATAGATGTATTTTAGATGTCAGTGAATAGAAAGTGGTGATTGTTCGTGGGTGCAGAAGAAGAATTGCAGAATGCAGAGAAAGATAGGTAACTACCACAAGAGATGTGCATTTAAATTACTACTCTGGTATAATTTCCAGCATTCAAACACATGGAGACCGGTACTGCATGACACATATCTCGTCAATCGATTGCAGTTCGTCAAAAGAATGTCGAATCACTCAATCGCAGTCTCACAGACGACTCTGTGTCTGCGGCGATGCCTTACCATTCACAATCGTCCCAGCCGCCTCAGCATAATCACACACATCAGAAGAGTCCTTAGCAATCTTCAACCACCTGATCTTGCCTTGGCCATCAACAGCAAACCCGCCAGAGTTCTGCCATCGGTAGGATCCAGCTCCGGTGGGCCTCATATCAATGCCATCCGACTCTTTCAACGACTTCAACGCTCCCATTATATCGCCGTTGACCATGCCGCCCCAACCTAGCGATCCCACTCCCCATGCTGCGTAGCTCTTGCGCTCGGAGTCTGAGACAATAGTATAGCGAGTCGAGTCCGGGAATGCTTTCTTGCCACTGCGATACAATGAGCTGCGTGCTCGTGTTTACACCCTGATCGGCATAAAAGCACTTACCCAACATCCTCGAACCACTGCTTTGATGTCGCCTCATCGCTGTGTTGTACAATAATCACATGCAGCTTCTCGTGCTTGCGACTTTCTGCTCCCAGCAATTGCACCTCTTTCTCTGCAAACGGGCAGCCGCAATGCCGTACGAAAGCCACCAGAGTGGGACTGCCATTGCCGCGTGTCAAGTCGATTAAGCCCACGGGTGCTGGAGCCGCATCGCCAATTGATGGCAGTGCAGCAACAGAGGGTGACGACTGAGGCAGGATCGATTTGAGGGCGGGGATGTACGAGGCGATGTAGCTGGCCATGCTTGCGATGTCTTGCGTGTCGATCGATTTTGTGCTTGCAATGATATGCTGTATCCCTTCTCTTTCTTTGCCTTGCTTTTGAGGGTGGGTTCGGTGGATGGTTTGATTGATACTTGAAAGATGGCCGGATCGATGGCGTTTATGACCCCACCTTGCTATTTGAAATGCTCATGGTTAAGGTTCAGGTGTTTATCGACGTCATGTTTCCTGTGACGCAGCATCACATGCCAAAAGCATATTGGCTGATGTTAGTGAGGTTGGCATAGGAGAGGTGGAGGAGTAGAGGTTGATGCAACAGCGACTATCGTGTTGCGAAAGGGAGCTGAATAGCGCGGCGATGAGGGGATGCGGAGGTTCTATTGAGACAGCCTGCGGAGAAACCCCTCAAGCGACCAACCCCTGGCGGAGGGCTTGCGTATACGTTCCGAGCAGCATCACGAATGTGGTTCACCCATGCAGAGGAAAGAGAAAGGGATGATGTGCAAGGTGGACGAAATCCACGTTTGTCGGCGTCTGTCGGCGCTTACGGAGTATCGTCTTGCATATCAGCAAATTGGAAAATTCCTACTCGAGTATCTGCAGCCCAAATGTGATACGTTCTTCTTCAGCCTCCAGTTGAGAAACCAGAGTCGAAACTGATGAAAAAATAGATCGTTCGCGTCGGCCTGCAGAAGTGCAAGACAGGCGACACCGTGCCAGGAGATTTAAAGCGTAGCCCTAGAGACCTCCCAGCTGGTTCCAAAGAATGGGTTCAACACAAAAATCTTGGTGGTCAAACACAAGAAGAACAGATACTACACTTGATCTAAGCCTACTGGCAAGAGAACTTGAGGCGGATAAGACAGGAGGTAACGAGGGCTTATATAGCCAGCCTTGGTGGAGCGAGTCATGCGACCGTAGGCAGCAGCGCATCGCCAGGCTCCAGCGGCCCAGAAAGCAAGACTTGCAGGATGTGTGTGTTTGATACTTGGCCAATCAATGAACGAAGCAAGGACGGATGGAAGATTGAAGAAGTCGCTGCTGCTCACCGACAACGAAGCGCTTGGAAAACGACTCTTGTCCAAACGAGCGCTGTTCGGGCTTATGCGAGGCGACGGCGCCGTCTGCAGTACTGATCGACCTACCAAAAACCATGCATCCGCGCAATACGCCAACGCAGGCCAGGACACTTGCAATGCAGTCGATGTATTTTCAGGCCAGACTATCATGCTCAAACAACACGGAGTTTTGACTCGGAACATCTTGAGATAGGTGTTGCAGGCAGCAGCCCAACATGACACAAGGCGCTGCTGAGAACACCCAAGTCGCTCAATCATAGCCAACAAAGTCGGGCTCCAAGCAAGCAGGCATGATAAATTCTTGTGAGTGCGCCGTAGTGATGATGCAGTAAAAATCTTGATTCCGGCAACAAGCAAGCAACACCGCGCGGACCAGAAAATGGTGGCGAGAAGCCCCTGACGAGTGCGTTAGTGGAGGGCGACGGCAGAAAGCCATTACCATCCATCCGCTCTCCTTTTCAGAAAGTCGAGAAACAAATCGCATCAAAACTTCTGGAAAGCGCGGTATTGTCGGTGACAATCGATGGCGTTGGTTGTGTACAAGTAGTGGTGTGGATGGCACGATTGGTGTCTCATTCACATGCTGGCCGACAAGACGCGTGCGGCAAAGTGTGCCGAGGATGGTGAGTCATAAATATTGGCGTCTATCGAAAATTACAAAGGCAGCAAGATTCGTGTTCGAGTTGTCGCTGGAAGAGTCGAATGGTTGACCAGAACGCTGTCTGTCGAGGTGTTGTGATTGTTGACAGGTCAGAAAAAAGACAGCCAGGTTGGTGGAAGTGGATAGAAAGATGCGGTTGCGAAACTAGCAGCGGATCAAAAAGATTCGCGAGACAGTCGAGGTTTTAGCGTTGAGCCAAAGCCTTGCTTGGCGCGCGGTGGCTGCGGGTATAAATACTTCGGGCATCCCCTCGGTTTTCGCAACTTTCCCGCGCCTTCACGCTTTGCCCGACCCTTTACGCAACGGCGCCCGCTCCACATCGTCCCCGCACCACATCGCAACTCGCCGCATTAAACAACAACAATCGCTGCGTCCATTACGCGTTATTGTCCAATTTTCTGCTGCGGTTTCTTTGTCCTCCGGCCGACTTCGTTGTGAAAGGGATTTCCATTTGCGGTCCGCCTTCACTTCCGCATTGGGAAAGCGTCCTTGCCACTCGACCAGACACAATAATCAATCGAGTTCGCTGGCCATTGCCTCCACTCTCTACCGTCGCGCATCCTCCAGGCAGCATCTGTAGGAGACACATTTGGTTGTTTCTCTCTTGCTAACGGTACGAGACGACCCATCTCTCATCCGAGCGCATTTGACGCCCGCGCCTTTTCCTTTTCCTTCACTTGTCGCACTCGCTCTGCACCTTCACCCAAGGTCGTCGTCGCTTGCGCGCATCGCTTTTCCTCTCTTCGCAACTCTCCTGTCGCATAATTATCCAAGATAAACTTCAAAGAATTCCAATCCTGACATCAGTTCGCTTCAGACTGCCTTACCACACTCCGTCGTCGTCCTATCCACAGCTCACCGCAATCATGGAGACTGTCATCACGCACCCCTCGACCGCCGCTCAGGCCAAGAACTTCACCGCACCCGGCTCTTTGTCCTTCCCAGGTGGCGCCGGTGATCTCACCCCACCTTCATCTGAGAAAGATGGACAGCAGACCTCGCAGACAAACGGCGCATACGGGTACGGCAACACTTCTCAGCCTCAGGGCCAGCAGGCAGTCGCCGCTCAACAGGGCGCCGGGGTGACTCCCGCGACTCCTGCTGCTACGCCTGGCGCTGGTCAGGGTGTCAGTGGCATTGTGCCTACATTGCAGTGAGTATCTTCGTGTTGCAACGTTTTGTTGTTGGCATGTTGTTGACATTTCGCGCTTTCAAAGGAACATTGTCGCCACGGTGAACCTTGACTGCAGACTCGACTTGAAGACGATTGCCCTCCACGCTCGTAATGCAGAGTACAACCCCAAGCGTTTCGCCGCTGTCATCATGCGTATCCGCGAGCCCAAGACCACCGCTCTGATCTTCGCCTCTGGCAAGATGGTCGTTACTGGTGCCAAGTCTGAAGACGACTCGAAGCTCGCTTCTCGCAAGTATGCTCGTATCATCCAGAAGCTCGGCTTCAACGCCAAGTTCACCGACTTCAAGATTCAGAACATTGTCGGCTCCTGCGACATCAAGTTCCCTATCCGTCTGGAAGGTCTTGCCGCACGCCATCACATGTTCAGCTCTTACGAGCCTGAGCTTTTCCCTGGTCTCATCTACAGAATGATGAAGCCCAAGATCGTTCGTGCCTTCTCATAGTGATTGTGTGTTGCTTGTTGTACTAACGTCTCTCAGGTGCTTCTCATTTTCGTCTCTGGCAAGATCGTTCTCACCGGCGCCAAGGTCCGTGAAGAAATCTACCAAGCCTTCGAGATGATCTACCCTGTGTTGTCCGACTTTCGCAAGGCCTAAGTCAATACCATATCATTGCACCAAAGCCACGAGCTATAATCGGAGCAAACAAATAACCAAGCTAAACAACCACCCTCTTCTGGCACTTGTAACAACAGCCTCCATCCTCGGATGTATTATCACCACTATGAGGTCTTGCCAACCTCAGTCGATGTGTCCTGAGCACTATTACTCGCATCTTGACACATCCTTCTCTTCCCTTTTCTGCAATTGCATGGCGCGGTGTTCCGGTTTCTTTTCAAAGCTTTGAGCATCAAGGCTTTTTCTACTTTCGGACGGCAATTCTCAAAGTCCCTCGTCGGGTCGGTACTTCAGCAAAGAGGTGTGGTTGTCTTTCACATGCTCCGTGGTCTTCTCTTTCTTTTCCAATACCACACGACCAAGACATGAAAGCGATGACCACTTCTCACTGGCGTTGTTATGCCTCTTCCCTTTTTTCTTGCACATTTGGAATGCCACTTTCTCATGTGGTTACAAGAAACAGTAATGAAAAAAAAAGATACTATGGAGAGGAGAATGGACAGACAGGCGGACGAAAGATTGGAGCGAAGAAGTGATGGCTGATGGCACGGGCATTTCTGCTCGTGTGCCTGAGGAATGCAAAGGAAATGATGGACCACGTTGCGACCTCTCGCGCGCCACCCACCCCTAGTTGCCATTACTTGCAAAGCATAGATAATGTGGCTTGAGGTACATAGCTTCCTCTTAATGTCATCACAAAAACATCTCGAAACTCATCTAAATGCCTCGCTTCGATGGATTCTTGTGACGCTGCTTGTTCCGTCTGTGTCTCATCTCATACTTGATGTCTTCCACTACGTGGTCAAGTCTTCCACGTCTTTGTATGCTCTTCCATCTGTGTGTTTCGATCAGCCTCCTCGGGTTTAGGATGGGCTCACGTCTGTAATCATCAATGCCATCTCTTGCACACGAGGATCAGATTGTTTGAACTGATTCTGGAGTAGCTAGTAGACTATATTCTGTATACTCTATGTGAGACATGAACATTACCTTTCACCAGCGAAACATATTAATCTGTAGCCATAAACACAAACGTTTCTACAGTCTAGCCTTGTTCTCACCCTTCTTCAATTCTTCCTCCAACACCATACCCTTGACACCACCCCTCCAATCCTTAGTCCACACCTGATCTTCCAAATCACGCTCAGGCCATGCCCATTTATCCTTGAACTCTGCAGGCGGGTTACCCATCAAGCAATCTACTATCTTGTCACCCACCACTGGCAAAAACTTGTATGCGTGGCCACTACCGCCGGTGGCTACGAACAGATTTTTGTAGGTTGGGTGGTAGGAGAGCAGCCAGTCGCCGCGAGGGGTGTCTGTGTACCAGCATATGCGTGTGGAGATGAATGGGCGGGAGCCGAGCGAGGGGTATACGGCTGAGAGGAAAGAGCGGAGGGCTTTCTTGCCTTCGTCTGGGATCTCGAGGCCAGGGTGTGAGATGTGTGTGCGTGGCAGAGACACAGTAATGTTTTTTGCTGAAGGGTCTTCAGGGTGTGGGATGTTGACGGGGTTGCAGTAGCCGTAGCCGTGGCGAGCGATCTTGAGGACGTTGTTGATTGGTGGGATGATGAAGAGGCCGCTGCTTTCGTTGAGCAGTGTTGGTCTACCTCCGAGTGCTTTTTGCTCGGCGTCGCTGATTTGGATGTAGGCGATTATTTGGCCTGTTGCACTGCAGCGGCCGCGAAGGTCGAGGAGGGCTGGCGTCCAGGCTCCGGTGGCCAAGACGACGAGGTCTGCGGTCAGAACTCTGCCGTCGTCTGTCTCGCAGCCGGTGACGGCGTCGTTGCTGAATTGTAGGCGGGATACTGACGCGTGCAGGAAGTGTACGCGATTCGTCTCTTCGACTCTGGCGCGCAGCACACGCATACCCTTCTCAGCATCTGCCCATCCAGATCTCCAGTTCACATAGCCAAAGTCGCCCACTGAAGAGCCGCCTTTGCCCGTCGCTGCAGCAGCGGCAGCAACAGTCTCTTGAGCCGCGTTCGTGTGATCCCTGAAGATATTCCTGATATCCCCTTGTGTCTCCATCTCTTCGATTTCACCACCCTCGCTCTGCTTGCCTGGCTTGAGTCCGCAGCGCTCCACATTGGCCATACTGTCTCTCATGTACTTTCTGCCCAGGTCGCCATTGCCGTTGTCGGATTCGTCCTTGTTGACTACAACTGCAAGACCAGGCTCATGGTATACATCTTGCTGTCCCCACCACTCGTTCCTCCAGCGTGCTTGGGCTTCGATGGCCAGACGGGCGTAAGGAAGATCTGCATAGTCGGGACGCACGATGCGACTGCTGTCTATACTTGCACCATCGGGAGCAGGGAACGCACTGCGGTCGACGAGTGTAATAGATGTATTGGCGAATTTGGGGTTTTGCGAGAGACTGTATGCGGTGCTCAAGCCAAAGACTCCAGAGCCCAGGATCAAGACCGACTTGGGGATTTCTTGGGAAGGTGCTGCCATGGTGTTCCCTCGTTCCTTCTCTTTGCTCGGCTTTAAGAAATATACGGGAAAGTAAAAGTCGAAGGACTCGAGATAGATAGTAGGGAGGAATTGAGCGAGGCGAGAGGAGCAGAAGGAATCGGTCAGTATGCTCTACGGAGGATACTAGACTTACAACTGCATGCCTACAAAATTTCTTTACATCAGTCGCCCAGGAACAGATTAAACATGCTCTTTCCTTCCCATCGACCTCCGCTCTTCCCGCCGATAAGCGTCCTAGAGCATGTCTGGCCGAGACCGGGGTGGAGGAATTCACGTGTTGTGGCCATGGCTTCGGTGGGTCGTCGGTTTTGACCTTCCCTGTGCGAAAAGCGGTCGAGGGTGGTCGTCATATGGCTTTTTGGTAGCAGAGTCATGGTGCTTGGTTTTGGGAAGTGCTGGTATGAATCTGCATTGTGTAGATTCTGTGCATTCACTTGTGCTTGTGTTACCTGAATGTAAGATGACTTGGTGTGAAAATTGAAGATGCAAGCGCTTTGCTCTCAAAGTGGTTAGCGTGTTTTTCCACAGGAACTCATTTTGATATCTGGCGTCTTGCATATCTTTGTACCTCTCAATCCAGGTCAGCGCATTCCATAAACATCACCATGAATTCGATATTACGCGTATTGGTTCGCGCACCAGAGCCAGCATCGACTCCCTTATTCTCACGGTATTTTTCTGTCTACCATGCCGTACACGAGAAGGGGGATTACGTCAGGCTACGCGAGAAGGATCCTGAGGCTTACAGGCAGAAACTGGACAAACACAATGCCTACACGGCCAGGAGACGCTCGGAAGATCCAGTGGCTTATAGGCGGCTGCTGGACTCGAGGGCTGAGGCCAGACAAAAATGGCTTCAGGATCCAGCGAACCACGCAAAAGAACTAGAGAGATCTAGATTCCACCACGCCGTCAACAGGGGGAAAGAACGTGTCGTTTTTCTTGTGTCCATGACGGATTGGTCTCGCAGGTCCGCGTGGTTCGGCGATCTGCCATGGAAATCGCATCGGCCTGTCTACTACAACAAGCGGGTGGAGCACTACTGCGAGGGTTGCAAGTGGACGGTAAAGGGAGGACGCAAATTGTGGTGGAAGCAGATTCAGTCGTCCTCAACGGCAGACGCCGACTCTTGGTTGTGTAACAGCTGTTACGTTCCACAAACGAACTGCAGAGAAGCCATGCCCAGAGGTTATGAAGATCTCACCACCTTCAAAGACATTGCCAAAAGACGAGACGAATTGGGTCATGGCGCATGATCATCGCCCCAACCACAGCAATGTTGGAAGCGAACGATACACGAAGACAATATCAAAACATTCGACCAGGCTGCCCGAATGCATAGGCTGCGCCGCTATCCCAAGCATTCTCTATATCCTGCAGAAACACGTCTTACGAAGATGCTTTCTAGTGCCCTGGTATTGCGAGCTTGACAGTATCAGGAATCTCTGTCCAGGCTTTGGCAAGGTTACCATCTCTAATTGTAGCAAGTCATGGTCGGCATTCAGATGCGTCGCAGAGACTTCAGCTCTCAAGCAGAGAGTATTGTCTCCATTGCGTCTGCTGTGTGGTAATGGACACATACGAAGACCAGCGGTTCTAGACACATTGTTCCTAGTCATCAGCATTTGGTCTTCAGCATTTGGTCTTCAGTATTTGATCTTCAGCATAGGGTCTTCAGCATAGGGTCGTTTCTCATCTGGGGAGTGATGTTGAAGACTTCACGAGCGAGTTCGATTTGAGATAGCGCGAGGCGGTGCATATCTGCTACTCCGGGTAGTCTGCATGGCAGTGTAGCGCACAAACGGCTATACTATTGACACGCGAGGTCGACACCGAGTGGAGGAATCGATCAGCCCCGCTCCTAGGTAACCTGGTCTAAGCAACTCGACACCATTTAATCGTCGCCCGACTGCTCAGCCCGTTCCTCTTCTCATATCACTACATGTCTATATCGAAACTGTGATACTTCTGCCAATCACAAAACAATCAGACGCAAGACTATCGTGGTGGTGGTGAGAGATGTGGCCACCTGACTACGCGATTCGCATCTCCTATGATCGTCCCACGACTGATTTACGAAGGTATGTCCGTGACAATGCAATTCATTGCCTAGCGGTCTTACAACTGATATCAGATACTTCGACGTGGAAGCACATTCCGATCTTGTGCTTCAATGTGGCGAGGATCGAATCCATGTGCAGAAGAAGATACTCCAAACCTGGTCTGAGCATTTCAAAGAGCTTTTGCAAAGCTCACCACAGGTGTGTTTCAAATATCGCCGATATTTCTGGTACGGGACTTACTGAGAGCAAAGGTTGGTGAAGGACCACTGATCCTCGAAGGCGATGATCCAGCAACAATGCGTGCGCTGATCAAATACATGTATGGAGTGCCTTACATCGCACACTCTCCCTATCAACAGCATAACGAACCGACTTTTGTCGGAGAATTTTTTAATCCCGAGGATGAAGACGCTAAGAAGCTCAACGATCTCTAAAAACTAGCACACAAGTACCGCGTTTGGTCGTTGGTTTGGGACATTCTGATCACCTTCTCCGAATACATCGAGCTTGGATATTCCGGCGACAACTTCTACAAGGCTATCGAATTAGCCTATCAGATGAACGAAAGCGATCATTGGCTCCATGCCTATATCGAGAGAGCTTGCAAGCACAACATCAAGCAACTGGTCCAAGGTTCCGAGTTCTTTAAAATGCTCGACCGCACCCCACAGCTTTCTGTGGAACTTTTGGCCCATGTCGTCGCAAGGCTGGATACTGAAGGCGATCCAAGGCATGAAGGTCTTCGTCTCCGATGCCCGGACTGCAGACAGTTCTTTACTCTGCACAAGTCTTACGTCTCAGACGGCGAGTGGCAGTGTGGATGGTGTAGCTATCGCGCTCCAGCAGGTGGGCACTGGGATAAATATTCGTGATGCAAGACCCGACCATGAGGTTGAAGCAGGCCGGGAGATGGCTCAGGTCTAGACACTGGCAAGTAGCAAACGTAAAATGTTCAGCTTGATTCTTGATTAGGAATATCGTGATTAACAATGCTGTGTCTGTACTCTGTATCCATAGTATAATCAGCCTTCAAGCGGGATCAATCTTGAAATGCAGAAGTGGCTATAATATGTCGGACCTGCAGTACAGGGCTGGCTACATTATTGACCATAAGTATGCGAGCTTGTACAGTACGGTGCCGTGCAGCAAGATAATCGAGTCTTGACTCTTTGCATGAATAGGTAGTTTTGATCAAAGAGAGACAGAAGGGAAAGTGGTCGGCAAAGCAGCACGGCAGCGGTCAAAGCTTCTCCATGAAGCTCTCTCACATGTTTGCGGCCAAAAACCTTTCGAGTCAACACACAAAGGACTCGACATTCCATCACCATGCCTCGAGGTGTACCGCGAGCCATACCGAAGAAACCAGGTCCCTACCATGCCAGGACTCCGGTCCTTGAGTATAAGGCCCCGCCTCCACGCACACCGATAACCCCCTCCAAACCCGTCGCCGCAAATGCACAATCCCGAGTCAAGCTCCAGCGAGGAGCCCGAGGAATCGGCATCTATGTCATGGGAGCCTGTGCCTTTGGCATGGCTTTTTACATGTCTAGACTTGCTGTATCATTATACAAGTCAAAAGATGTAGAAGCCGACTACTCGCCCTCCGCACAACGCGACGTCGCCAATGTCTACGATACAACAGCAGGAGGTTTTGATGCTGAGGTTGGCTTGTCTGAGAGACTTGGAGGTGTGATAAGAGCACGGAAACAAATGTCTGCCATGGTCAAGGGGCATGTGTTGGAGGTCAGCTGCGGCACTGCGAGGAATTTGGGCTACTATGGCTTCGACAAGATCAAGAGCTTGACTCTGATTGACCTCAGCCCTCAGATGGTCGAAGAGGCACGCAAGAAATGGAACATCTTGGACCCAGGCAAGGTTGCTGAGGATGTGCCCATCAGGTTCCTTCAAGGCGATTGCATAGGTGACATGCCTGAACCACCAACGACTCAGGGGGACACGAAGAAGAGCGGCACTACCTTCACACCAGGCCTTACCAAGGGCTACGACACAATAGTACAAACCATGGGTCTCTGTAGCACAGCACAGCCAGTCGAGCTGCTCAAGAACTTGTCAAAACACCTGGACCACTCCAACCCGGACGCCAGGATTCTACTCCTTGAACATGGTCGCAGCTATGTCGGTTGGTTAAACAAGCTCTTGGATATGTACGCACCCCAGCACGCTGATAAGCACGGCTGCTGGTGGAATAGAGACATTGGCCAACTCATCGAAGAGAGCGGCCTCGAGGTCGTCAAAGAACGTAGGAAACAGTTTGGAACTGTTTGGATCTTTGAGCTGAAACCGAAAACGGTAACACAAACCCTCACCGAGAAAGTAAAGCAAGTCGGAGAGAAATTTGAGGAGCAGGTCCAAACTCAAACGACTCATCAAGGTTGGCTTTCGTGGATGTCCAAGTGAGGGGTAGCTGATACTCAAGCACATGAGTCGTCTACCAAGTCGTTGAATGTCCAGCTGTGAAGAACTCGCACAATTCATCGGGCTTGTAGCGCGAGTTGCGACATGTGTTGACCAGCTGAGTATGCACTACTCCTGATGGGCTCATCTTTGCTTCAACTCCACTCTGTGCGCTCTCACAGCTGAATGTCTAACAGAGCCGCATGCTCGGAGACAGATGTGCTTCTGATAAGGGCTGAAGCTTTTGGAGCCGATGTCCAAAGTTAAGCTTAGCTCCTTCACTTGACTCTGGATCAGACACAACCCTGTACTGTTTAGCCGACGCTGTATCGCCGATACCCGTTCGACTGCCTAAAGCAGTATACTCGAGGGAAGACGTTGTCCACCAAACGGCGTCCAAAAATCATCGTCTTTAAAAAGCGAAAAAAAGGTGGTACCACAGGCAAAAGCAACTATCGTTAGTCGAGGATTCGATGGTCGGGCTCAAATCTGCCTAGGGCATCATCCCGCCATATTGGAAGCCTTCAACCATTCCAACGAGAACAGATTCATGCTCGAGGTCTGGATGGACTCCTCGAAGGTTTGAACGTAGCTGGACGCAGATAAACGCCTTCGGGGAATGCTCCGATGCAGAAGATGCAAGCATCGCAGGAGCAAAGGATCAAAAGCGCGCTTTGTTGGAACTTGGAAGTCACTCGTCAAGAGGGTGGCATGTCGTGATGTTTCCCCTCCTCAATAAAGTCAATGTCATCGCAAAGTTCGTAAGCCTAGACCTTCCTCGACACCCCTTCTTCGTGCGTATGGCCATTGGCTTATCGGCACGCATGGCAGCATTGCAGCTACATGGATCGGCGCGGACCGTGAACGTCAACCAGATTTCTGGTCTGAGACACGGGTACGCATGCTTAGATAACAGCTCGCTGTCGCAGAAACAAAGCAGGCAAGGTAAAGCTGCAGTATGCAGCTACGCCAGCCAGCTCTTCCCAATGCACCTGGCCAATCTCCACCTGTTGACTTGTTTGACAAGGCTGGAAGACGTCGTGCGTGTCAGTAGGAGGAACTAAGGTTACACTTCCCTGCGCTGCTGCAGAAGAGATAAAAGAAGCAAACAACAGTCCCGCGATTTAGTTGCATGCACCCGATTGGCAATTGCGGAGACCGAGCAAAAGCGTCTAGAAACGGGGTAAGAAATCCCGATGCGTGGGTGCAAGAAACAAAAGACGGAGCACGGCAGGCTTCGGTGGAGACGAAAAGGGAGTCACAACCTTGGGAAAGAAGCAAAAGCAGAAAGGTGAAAGGCGTGACTCGTGAGGAGCTGGAAGCTGGGAAGCATGATGATTGATGAACGAAGGATTTGTGTTCAAGCCGGCTCAGCGGGGGACAGGGCTTCCGTGACGGTCCCCGTGAGATGGTAGATAGGTAAATACTCGCCCATTGATATCGCGCAAACGTGTTGGGGTGGAGATGAGATGGGTGAGTTGGACGCAGAATCGATACGAGGCAGCACATTCAATGCAGTAAGGGAGATGAAGTTGATGATACAAACAGCTGATATCCGGCGCTCCGTGACGGAAGACGGTATGGGAGAGAGTCCGAGCATTTTGCTGACGCGAGGTATGATGCATGACTCGACGTCAGAGACACGAGAGGTACAGCTTTTGGAGCATCAGGGGTACCGCGGCATGAAGGTGCTTTTTCTCGAAAGGCAGGATGATTGGTTGATCAGCTGGATAAGGATGGCTCCGCGTCTGCAGCTTGCGACGCGGGCATGGCTGGTGCGACGTAAAGTCGATCAGCTTGTCATTGGCTGGAGAGAGCTGCAGCTGTTGGATGCTGTTTCAAGTCTCGAAATTCACATGAGAGAAATTGTGGCAGCTACGGAGAGGTGTAAGCAACAGCTCTGCAAAGAGGCCAGCTCTGGTTGCAAGCTGTGGACAAGTGCCGCAAACAAACAATGGAAACGAATGAAACACAGCCCGATAGCAACGATGGGCTGAGTGGAGAAATAACGTTGGTGCTTCTGGACGTGTAGCGGCCGAGAGTCGCGATGGTCGGAGACGGAGTGGTGTGGCCTTTTGGGTGGTCGGTGGAAGGTGCGTATTCGCCAAGTCCCTTGCTGCTGCCTCGGACCAGATCGAGAGACCATGTTTCCTCTGCTCAACTTCGTTTTTCCATAACCTGGTACTTCGCACAACGATACAGCGTTTCGCAGTCGCAGAATTATCAGGATTGTGCAGAGTCACGGCAGCCCAGCAACGCACATCAAACAAGAATTTTTTCTGGCTAGAGCTCTCCAAAGCTTCTAGCACGCACATCCGTTCGCCGCCGACGCAACCGCCTGGTGAGCACGAGCCGAGCCATCATCCCTTGGCCAAAAGTGCGAGCATCCGTGCGAGCTTTGGAGCGAACCCCTAACACCCACCAAAGACACATCCCAACATCTTCCATCACCTCGAGCAACAGTCGCCAGCATCATTCACGCCATCCTCATTCCAAACTGCCACTTCACCCCGACTCATCCATCGACCAACATTCTTCGACGACTTTTTGGAAGATAAGCAAGGCTGACTATCCATTCCCCGATCGACCAATCACCGCCCAGCCCCAAGCTTCCAATCCGCGTGCTCGCCCACATTTTCCCAGAAACGCCGAACACGCCCAAACAACCAGCTTCTGTGTACACTCTCCGCACAACCCTCTCGTCGTCTCAATTCATCCGCCCAACATGCCATACAACACCAGGAGAAAGTCGCTTTCCCTCTCCGAGCTCGGTATTACCGTCCCCAAACGCTCGCGCGCCTCTTCGCAATCCCATCCTTCGCCGCCAGCCACGGTCATCGATGACGAGCCTGTCACCAAGAAGCCCAAGAGGTCGCACGAGTCGCTATCCCCTCCTCCGGCTTTGATGAGCCCACCAAAGACAAAGACTCTAACCATCCGTACCGAGCCACCATCACGACTGGCCGAACACACTCCTCCGCCATCTCCTGGAACCCAGACAGTGCATACAATCGACACCGAAGGCATCAGTGACGATGTTGTCGTCGCAACCATCAAGCAGCTGGAAAAGACGGCAAACAGGCCACATCTGGTCAAGGAACTGGCTGCAGTCTTGTGTCACTGCATAGGTGCCGTGGAGAAGTAAGCATAAGCAGCCTTCTACTCTGTTTTCACTCGCTGACTTTCGCTATAGGTCCGCCAACCCTGCCAATCTGATTTCGTCGCGTCTCACCAGCTACCTCAACCGCACTTGGCCCGCTGTCAGCCCTTGTCCACTGGCCAAGTACCAGTCTCAAGTCCACCCCCGCCCATTGTACTATTTTTTGACCACTCAACCCCACCAACCTATTCCTGAACTTTCGCAATCCCACGACATCCCCGCCTCCCGTCGCATCATCACCCCTGCTCTTTCATCGGCCGCCGACGACGAGGACGAGAAATACAGCAGATCACGCGCCTCGCTTTCTCCCGAAGTCGATCTGTCCAGCCCCGAACTCGACGAGCCACCTCACGGTGACATTGGCTCCACCTTCCACCCTCGTCATTCGCTCTCGCGCGACCACCCTCCCACCACCTCCAACCTGGCTCACAACCGCCGTGCCGATAGCCCTCCTCTTGAGCGTGAGGAACGCGATTTCAAGCAGACCGCAAACGCCCTGCAAGAGCTTCGTCGCGCTAGCCAGGAAATCATCACCAAGCCCATCAAGGTTGAGGCTTCCGAGACAATTGCCATGTCGGTCGAATCGGACCAAAGCACCGTTCAACCCACCGATGATCTTTTCGATGGTCAGGACCACCTTTCCTCATCCGTGAGCACTCTCTACGACCTGAGCAGCCCGCTCTTGAGACCTCAAGGTTTCTATGATCTCAAGACACAGCAGGCTCAGGAGTGGAACACCGAAAAGAGAGTCTCAATCGACGCAATGTCTTTGGACGACCAGGACGACGACGCAATGGACATGTGGAATGACTTCCGCAGCCCCGAGAACATTGACCTCGACGAACTTGAGTGCCTCTTGGACGCTTACTGAACACTCCTCACACCTCCTCTCCACCCATCTCGTATCATTGCCATCTTTTTCATCACCACCTTGTTTGAGCTCGGAAAAAGCGTTTATGCAATTATGTTTGCCGGACCGTACCCAAAAGATTTGTTGGCCCTTTTTGCTTTGGGAAGCATTTTCAACTCCCACTCCTTCTTACGACCCTTCTCATATGAGAGCCACTTTCTTCTCTCTTGAGAGATCGTGGGTTCTGCTGGCGCGAGCCACGCTACCCTTTACGGCCCTACCCTTGTATTACTAGACACGACCACCTCCATTTCTCACCCTTCACCAGCATCTTGACGAGAAAAAAGAAGCCGAACGAAAACCTTTTGTACTTGTATATAAACATGACACCTTCTTGACGATACACATAAAACTTTTTGCTCTCCTCGCACTTCTTTTTGTCATTCAAGATCCTGTTCAAGTCCATCAATGCCTAGGCAATAGTTGTCGTGTGCGGAGCTCAGGTCGCAGGTCATCTTGAAACACGCCCCGTGGGACATGGTGCGAACGAATTCTTTGTGTGTCGAAGTCGTACTCGTGTGAGGTACGACCCTGCTCTTTGTTTCCAGGCGACTGTATCCACCACACGCTGGACTGAGTCCATTTATAGCTTCGTGTGAGTGGTTTAGAGGGTCTAGCCTGAATTCTTGTGGTACTTATACTGCTCCACGATGGTTATGGCCATAACACCTCAAAGACAGACTTCTAGATAGGCACACCGAGACTGTGGTCAAACAGAAGGTATGCCGTGATTCCCGAACTCTGGTCATGTGTGAATCCTTCCCGCAGGCAGCAGAGGCCACAAAGAGACTCAGTCTCGAAACGCTGCCTCTGCCTCATCTTAATTCTCAATGGAACCTAAAAACCAAAGCCACATAAACTGCCACTTGAGCCCATTTTGACCAAAGAAGCATTGTTCAACCTTTCCGTGATTTTTTTTTTTTTCGAAAGTCGCATCAAAGAAGGTCGTTGGCACATCTTCGATAATCAACAAAGATAACACACTTGGAAAGCCAGACACGATGCAAATCCCAACCTTCTTCCTGCGCACGAACGCACGACTCTGGATTTTCCAGGCTCTGGTCGCATGGATCTCCATCCGTTGCCACTACCTACCAATCAATTCAACCATCAGTTTCGCCATCACGTCAACACTGGGCTCATACGTCACCGATGCAAAAGACATTCTCGACAGCAGATACGGCTTCATCCTACCCCTGGAATCAGCATACTTCCTCCCAGCAGCTCTAGAAGCATATGTTGTGGGTAGTATGCCTGAGCTTGCAATTCTCCTCGGCACCTCGCCTTGCGACGACAGAATCACACCAAAGGATCCCGTGAGCAAGATCTGTGCCCCGGAAATCGCTTTTCATTGTCAATACTTTGCAGACGTAATCGCTCACAAGTCAACGAAGGCCAGTCTGCGAGTGATGGAAGCTTGCTGGGAGATGCAGCACACGAGTGCCGAAAATGCCAGGAAGCATCATGATAGAGCTCATAAGGATGAACCACAGTTTCTCATGCAGCTAGTTGGATGTATGCAGGTGATGGATTACTGGGAAAAGAAGATGGAGATCTGTGCAGAGACCAGACCTGTCATGTATTGTCTCGCGGAATATGGCGGTTCGGTGATTGAGAAGCAAGAGACAGGCAAAATGTCGGCCGTGGAAGGACATGAGGAAGTGCCAGCCGGGCATGTCGTCAAAGCAGCACCGCGGTCTTCAGACGTTCAAAAAAACGGGAGACAGGTGGCCCAGACTGATAAGATGTGAGGCAAACGGGATCAGAGATGAAACAAAGGTAGCCCTGGACTCGCAACGTCGGCAGTACATTATTGACGACCTCGACATATATACTTCTCTCATCTTCGTCACCATCAGCACACCCACCATCTCAAACATTTGTCCGTCCAACAGGCTCGGGAAACCCGCTTCTTCACGTTACACCCCACGACTCACGACGCAGAAGCAGAGCACGATTGCGTGATGCTCAAGCGGAGGTCTGGGTCTCTCGATCCTCTTGAGGGAAGTAGAGCAAAGCGGTGTGCCGCGTGGCTGCACCGTCGCTGTGGACTTCGCTAGTTTGATCATGGCGGATGTTTTTGATCATGGTGACGATAGATAGGGAGGAGAAAAGTATTGGAGGTTGGTGTCCGATTAAACTTTGTGCATTTGAAGTTGAGGAAGTGGCGATGGTTGCGCTGCTGCGAGCCTTCGCGGAAGGAAGCAGCAGCAAGTCGCGCCTGTCTTTCCAAGCTTCAACATTGTGTGATCCCAGTTGTCAAATTCATTCGTAAAAGCAATGATATTATAACTATAAACACGATAAACAAATGCTAGACAAAATGAGAATAAAACAAATACGCCCTTCCCTCCTTATGCCTTTCTTTTCTTTCTTTACAATCTGTGTCTTCCACCACCATCTACGTTTCTTCTTACGATTCAAGCACTTCTTGAATCTCGATTTTGAGCTCTTCAATCAAGCCCTCGGCTTGTTCTACATCCATCATATCTTCCCATCCAAACACACCGATTCCAAGTGCCCCATCGGCAACTGTGGCTTCGATATCCAGGGATCGCTGTGAGAAGTCAGTAAGTATTACCAACGATCTTGGGTTGAAGCAATGACTTACCTTGTATGTCTTCTTCAAAACTCCGTGCTGCAACTCTTGCGGCACAACGAAATCATCTCCAGTAATATCGGACACATGACTTCTCTTTTCAGTGCGATGCTTCTCAGCTACCTCATCCATCACAACTGCTTGCTCTGCGGCAGTATCGTCATCATTATCTGGCACCTTGACGAAATTGACAAAGGTGTCTACTGTGACTCCAGTCCATGCCTCGATCTCCCAGAGCCCAACACTGCTATTCTCAGGTGTGCTGATGGCCTGCAAATCCTTCTGAATTTGTTTCGCAAGCTCAGCAAGAGACGTTCTTGTGGGAGAGCGCACGCGAAGAGGGACGAGATTCAATGTTGGTGCTGCCAAGCTGGATAGATCTTCGAGGTGCGAGCGGTTGGCTAGGTAGATACCTATGATTACGTCCTCGGCCGTGGGATCAGTGTTGTAGCTGTAAGCTCTGGCGTAAGCTGCGAAGAAGACGGATTGAATACTTAGTCCCTGTTTTCTTAGGCTGTTCTCGAAGCTGGGCATATCGGACATGGCACGAGGGTCGTAGACCTCGATGTGGCGCGCTGGTGACGACGTGTCGGACTCCAGCTGTGGGTATTGCACACCTTGAAGATATTCGGTCCAGAAGGTTCTTGCATTTCTCCTGACTGTGCCCAGAGGCTGAGCAATGAAATCGACGAATTTGACTAGAGATTGTTGCGTCGTGGCAGAGTTTTGCAGGTAGTTACCCAACTTTTGACTGAGCAACGACAAGCTTATGGCATCATACAGTGCGTGATGGATCTTGAGACAGAGTTTGTAGCTATCATCTGCTTTTTGCGCTGTCAGACGGACGAAGGGCTGTTCCATCGTCGACTGCGGCTTCTCTTCATTGTCCAGGTCCACGAATGAAGCTGGGGCATTGCGCAACACGAGTTGCAAGATAGGCACCTCGTTGTCTTGAGTTGCAACAAAGACTGTGCGCAACACTGGATTGTTGGCCACGAGCTTCTGCCATGCGCGCTTGATGTTGTCAATAGCGGCTGGCACAGTGGTAACATATTCGAATTCTCCGAAGAAGAGTTGCCCTACAGTGGCTTGCCATGCACCCAACATGTATACCTGTCCTGCAGTCGCAGGCAAGATTTGCTCGATCTGTTGGTCCTCGTAGCCAAATTTGCCAGGAGTGAAGCCTTTCTGTGTCATCAGATTGGATACGATTTTGGCAGCAGTGTCAACCTTGACCTGTGGCTTCTTGTCCATCTGCTTGTTTCGTGCCACTGATGCGATCTTTGACACAGAACCAGCGCGTACGATCTCGCTGACGGTGATCCTTATGGCCTTCTGACGCAGCAAGGCTGAAATCTTGATAGCATTGATCGAGTCGACACCCAAGTTCTGGATAGACGCAGTTTTCGAGATCTCCTTCTCTGGCGTCTTGGTGACCTTTGCAATTGCTTCGCGAACAGCAGATTCTGTGTCTGACCAATCATCTTCGTCCTCGACTATCTCGCCATCGGCCTCAGCTGTCTTCTGGTTTGCGTCGCTCTTCATCTGTCGCTCGAAAGCAGGTAGACCACAGATACTGACTTCTTGATTGCTGAACGACAATGTCGGCTCATGCGGCTGGTCGACGATTGCTTGCAACACATCGTCGAGGATGTCAAGAAGATTGCTCACACCCGCTTCATCAAAAGCGCTGCTCTTGCCAGCAATTCGCCAGATCAAAGAACCATCGACAACCTCGGCTTCAACAGCTACAGGATACTCGACCTCAGAGGAGCCATTGACAGACTCATAGAGCATCTGAGTCTCGCTCTCGGTAGTATCTGGTCGCCTTTGGAAAGTGAAAAGTGAGTCGAAGAACACATCGTTCTGGCCTGTGGCCGATGATTGAACTTGTCCTTGGCACGCAGCTTGGATTTGACGTAACGGGAAGTGTTGATGGTTGGAAATGTCAGAAATGGTTGCTTGTATGCTTTGCAGCACATCGTTCCTCGATCCATGCAGGACCGAGCGCATGATGACAGTGTTCATCATGGGGAACATGACTTCCTCGGCAAGTTCGCTATCACGACCAGCCAAAACAACTCCGAACATGACATCTAGTGACTGTACGGTGTGAGCGAGGACAAAGGCCCATGCTGTTTGGCAGACAGCTTGCAGAGTCACTCCTTGCTGCTTGCAGAACGATATGAGATCGTTGGCTGCAAGACGGCTTGTTTTCTCTGTGCGATGCGTAGTCGTTCCTGAGTTGTCGCTGTCTTCGATCTGTGGAAGCTGAGTCTTCTTGGCGTCAGTCAAGAAACTGCGCCAGAACATGACAGACTCCTCGCTGCTACCATGGAAAGTGTCTCTCAAGATATCAGCATAGAATGGGCGAGACTGGAATGTCTCGTTGTAGGCATTCTGAACATCCTGATGAAGGAGCGAAAGACTGTGGCCGTCATAGAGAGCATGAGCGACTGAAAGTACAAGGTAATTGTCTTTGGGAGTGGATGCCCAAGTCAAACGCATCTGCGGTTGGATCAAAGCAGCTGATGACACATCGGAGCTGATGCGCGCCAAATACTCGTTGATAGCATCTTCACTGGACAGCTTGATGTGGTCGAATTCTTCGGAGCCAGCTCCTTGGATGATCTGAGCAAAGGTAGCATCCAAGTCCGGATCATCAACCTCAAGGAAACCTGTTCGGAGGATAGGAGAGGCTTCGATCACTTTTCGCCATGCTTGCTCGAGCCTCTCGTGATCAACATCCTTGGAGAGCTTCAGGATGTCGTGGTTGAAGTATGCTTTGTATGAAGTTCGAATCATTTCCGAGACCAGAGCTTCCTGCATTGGACTGGCCGGGAGGACACGTTGGAGAGAATTGTCGTCCTTGATCTGGCCTCGTGCATAGGAAGTAAGCTTGTTTTCGAGCGCTTGGAAAGCGCCCTCTGGCTCGGCCTTCGATTTGTTCGTCTTGTCAGTCGTCAATGTTGGAGTCATCTGAGCGATCGTCTGTGACTTCATGATAGTGCTGACAGGCAGAGCCACATTTTTCTTCTTGAGACGTGACGAGAGCTTCACAGCATCTACACTGTCCAGTCCAACTTCAAAGATGGAAGTGATCTCATCAATGTCGGCTTCTTGCACACCAGCGAGGGCTGCGATCTCTGAGCGAATGACGGAAGCCTCGGGACCCCAATGGAAGTCAGATGTGTCCCTAGCTTGAGATTCGCTCTTGTTACCATCTTCGGTCCTGGCAAGCTTTTCGAAAGTATGGCCAATACTGGAACCGACATCGCTCTCGGGAGATTTGATCATTGCCAAGAAGGCTTGTTGGAACTCATCAATTAAATCTCGAGCCCTAACCTCGTCGCAGATTGAAGCTTTGGCAGCAACAGTAACCTTCAAGTGACCCTCAGCTGCTTCCTCGGCCTCAAATGAAAGTGGATAATCAGCTTCGAAAGAGTCATCCTCCAGAGGCTTGAGGATCGATCGATCTGTGTCAGAGGTGTCAAGTGTACCTTGGTAGACAAACAATGTATCGAAAGGCGGCTGGGAGTGTCCTTTATTACACCACTTCACGATATCGCGGAGGGACGTATGTTGATATGGCAGAGCTGTTGTGTTGAAATCGTGGCATCTCTGGACAAGCGTTTGCCATGTGTCTCCGGGCTCGCACCTCAGATAGAAGGGTATGGTGTTGAACAATGGTCCGATCACATTCTCAATACCTTCAAAATCAAAGGAGCGACCAGAAACAACCGTACCAACAGCACCTGTATAATGCTTCCGTAGAGTGGCTATCCAAGTCGCTTGAACCAAACCCTGGATAGTCACCCCCAGAGAGCGACGGAGCTCATCTGCTTGTGTCAGAATGGCTAGGCTGGCTGTACAAAGAACATCCTGGCTTGCTGGATCGCCAACAAGTGATGGCATTGATGCAGGTTCAACATCCTGGAGATGATCTAGCCAGAATTGCTTTGCACCTTGCACATTGCGTAAAGGTCCAAAAGGTAAGCAGTCAACGAACGGCTTTCCAAAGTCGGCGTCTTGTGACTTGTAGAGCTTGCAGACATTGTCCATCAATAGGTCAAAGGAGTTGCCATCATAGAGCGCGTGATGCAAGTCGACAGATACAAAAGTCTCCGAGCCAGAGCGAACGATCACGATCTCAAAAGGTACAGTCAAGTGAGAAGTATTGTAGGAGCGCCATTTCTGCTTGCGTTTAGCAAATACGCTGTCGACAGACGCAAGATCATAGACTTCGAGTGTCCACCATGGAAGATGGCCTGTCTTCCTCACAGCCTGTACATACCCATCATCAGTCTCGATGAAAAAGGTACGTAGGATCTGTGTACATTCCAGGGCCTGGTTGAACGCCTTCTCCAGTTTTTGCAGGTCCACTCCTTGAGCATTGTACTTGAAGCTGTTGAAGTAAAGCGAAGACTCGCTTGCGAGAGATCTGGAAATGATACCCTGCTGCAAGGGTGTGCATGGTGCCACAGCTTCAATATCGTCCACTTTACAACGCAGGACACGAGTAACTGTGCCCATATGCCTTTGACGACAAGCTAGTATGACTTGCTTGGTATCAGCAATCTCACTGTCTGATCGATCTGTTGAAGCAGCAAGTGCTTTTGTCAACTTTCTGATAGTCGAATTCTTGAGAACAGTCGCTACCTGTGCGTTAGAGAAGCCACTAGCCTTCAGCGTTTTAGAGAATTGAATGGCTGAGATGGAATTGAGACCCAGACTGAAGATGTTGGACGAAGGAGTGAGGTCGTTCTCATCGATCTTGAGCAGCTCAGCGAGGATCCGCGCAATTGTTCGCTCTCCATCGCTGAGAGACTGATGATCGTCTGTCTGCGTAGCATAACTCTGGATGGTATTCGTAGGCAAGTCAGCATAAAGCTGACGGAGAAGTTTTTCCTCCACTTTGTTGTTCACAGACAAGGGAATACGTTGAATCGGTAAGAAGTGCGTAGGCACCATGTACCCAGGCAAGTGTTCTTCGCATGCCGAACGTGCTGTCTGGATGAGGTGTTTGGTCGAGTCGGCGGGACACAACTCCGGTTTGCCTTGTTTTCTAGATTCATTGATACCAATGAAGGCAATGAGTTGATCTTTCTGCTGCTTGGGATGTTTGGCAACAACGCATACGGTGTCTTGGATGTCTTGACAGCGCTTGATCACTGCTTCGATCTCATCAATCTCAAGTCTTTGTCCTCTGAGTTTGACTTGGTTATCTTTGCGTCCTAAGAAGTCGATTGATCCGTCGTGGAAAAGACGAACGAGATCGCCCGTGCGGTAGACTCGCTCACCAAAGGCGTCCAGGTATGGGAAGCAATCCGCAGTGAGTTCGGGGCGATTTAGATAACCCTTGCCTACAAGCTTTCCGGATATGCAAAGTTCACCGATGGCACCGTGTAGTACTGGTGTTTGAGTACCAGGCGCCAGTACATAGCAGCCAACATTGTCAAACTGCCAGCCGATGTTGGAAGGTTTTCCTTCCTTGGGGACACAAGGGAAGACAGTCACGCCGATTGTGCATTCGGTGGGTCCATAGAAGTTGAATAAACAGCCAACGTCGCCCCATGTGTTGATCTGATCCTGCTTGAGTGATTCTCCACCGGTGATGAAGACACCCTTGTGCAAACTGGGCACCAAAGCAGGATCAAGAAGTCTGCCAAGAGAGGGTGTGAGATCAAGGTGAGTAATCTGCATAGTATCTAGGAAGCCTGCAATGTCTTCCAGAATCAGATCACGAGGAGCACATACAAGACGTATGCCGACGATCCAAGTCCAGAATTGTTCCAGGACCGAAACATCGAAGTGGTACGAGGCGAACTGGAGCCAGCGAGAACTATCTGTCCACCTTCCCTTGAATAGGCGTTTGAAGGACATGACCAATTGCACTGCATTGTCATGAGTGATCTCACAACCCTTTGGTGTTCCTGTGGTTCCTGAGGTGTACAAGACGTAGCTGACGCAAGACGGGGATAGGCCAGATACCGTGACCGATGAAGTTGACAACTTAGCCTTGTTCTCTAAATTGATCAGGTCGACGACATCGCAATGAGTCAACTCTTGCAGCTCCGCACGAATCGACTCAGATGTCAGTAGGACTCGAGCGCTTGAGTCCTCCAAGATGAAAGCTTTGCGGGCCGCTGGAGCTGTGGGATCTATAGCGCAGAAAGCACAGCCAGCCTTGAGGATACCGTAGAATGCAAATGACGCTTCCGGACACTTGTCGAACGAAGTTGCAACAATGTCCCCAGGCTTTGCGCCTCGGTCGACTAGGAGGTGCGCGATCTTGTTCGCTTCTTCGTCCAGCTGACGATAGGACCAGTGTCGACTAAAAATTTGTCCGTCCTCCAGAGCGTCTACGAACTCCATTGCGACTCGATCTGAGTAGCGCTCGACAGATGCTTCAGTCATTTGATGCAAATATTGGAAGTCTGTCGGAATGATGGGATCCTTCGGAGGGATGATAGACAAGACCGACGGATTGATTGCGTCTTCGAATTTCAGAAGACCAGCAATCATAGCTTCCATCTGCTGTAACATGATCCTTCCTTGCTCACAAGGCACCTGAGCAGGATTGATCGTCAATCGGAGTCCAAGACGGTCCTGACTGAGTGCTTCCATCTCGACAGACACAGCAAGTTCTACCGAGGCTGTTTCGCGTATGATTTTCCACGAAGAGCTGTCGAAATCGTCGTTCAAGGGCCTCTGGTATACAAAGAGGGAGTCAAACAAAGCCTCGCTTGGCAACTCGGCGTACTTCTGTATGTTTGTCAAGGGTGTGAACTGATGCTTCTGAATGCTGGCATTATAAGAGATCAAATCCATGAGGAGTTGAGAATCCTCTGCCGCAGTATTGGTCGAAACAGGAAGGGTTGTGATACATGGGAAAGCAGCATCTGCCGTTGCAGGACTCGTGCGACCAGAGAAAACCACTCCGAAGGTTACTTGTGACTCTCCAGTATAGGCGCTCAAAAGTCGAGCCCAGGCTCCTTGACCGACTGACTGCATCGAAACACCGAGCTCTTGACAGCGGGCCTCTAGCTTGCTCTGCGGAAGCTCAAGGACTAGCTCGACGTTGACAGCCCTTGTGTCGGAGATTCTGACTGGAGTCATGTTGGGGAAACGGGTGACTGGGGCACCGCCGAGTTTCTGTGACCAGAAAGTGCGTTGTGATTGTACATCAGCTTGGCTGTTCGACAGAATGTGACTCAAAGCACCGTCGATTGTTAGTCTTGCGGAGACATAGCCTTTGGAAAGAGCAGACTGGAGATCGGCCATAATCAAGCGCAAACTCTCTGCATCGAATATGGCATGGTGTGCAGAGAACTGCAGGCATCGTGTGCCATCGTCTTCGACCAAGCTCCATCTCCATGGCGGTAGGTGAAGCTTGTCCTTGACAGACTCTGAAGCTTTTCGTTCGCGATACTCATAGACCAATCCCTCTTGTGATGAAGCCTGGATCTCGAGATCATTCACGTCGAACTCTGTGTAAGTCAACATCACGAAAGGATGCTCATGATCATCAGTGCCGATGAATCCGGTCCGCAAAAGTTCGTGTTGCTCGAGGACTTTTGACCACGCGGATTGGAGCTTGCCAGAGTCGATGTCCGCCTCGACGGCGTAGAAGGTGTGGTTGAAATATTGCTGACCATCAGAGTGCGTATATTCACTTAGCATGCCTGACTGTAGCGAAGTACATGGTCGCACCGAAGCTACCTTCTCAGTTGCAATCTGGTGACTTTGTAGAGCAGCACGACGATAGTGCTTGTCGAACTCTTCGAAGTCAAATTCGGGTGTGTCCAGGACAGGAGTATGCGATCGACTCTGGACAGCTGATGCCAATTCGGAGCACGATGGGCTTTCCATTACATCGCTGGCTTGCACCAAGAGCCCGTCCTTTCGAAGTCGGTTAGCAAGCTGAATCGCGCTGATGCTGTCCAGTCCAAGCTTATAGATTGTTGTGTCTCGTCTAATTCGGTCTTCAGGTGCAGAAGACACTGCAGAGTAGGCCGTACGGATCTGCAATTCTAGGGGCGACCAGGACTCGTCACTAGAAGATCCAAGATTTTCAGATCGCTTTGTTTTTGCGGTCTCGACAGGTTGCATGTGATTTGTGTCCGGTTTCAGGATGCCGGCCACCAGGTCTTTATCAAAATCAATAAAATCAGAAACGTCGCTAGATGGGTATCTTATGCAAGACGAAAATGCAGATAAACACGCTTGATGAAGGTTGGAAACAACTTCATCGTCAAGATAACTCCTATGTCATGTCAGTAATATGCCTTGGGTAGTAGCGGAAGAAGAGATTTGCAACACTTACCGATTGAAATGCAAAGAAATGGTATATGATTCGTTGGTGGGTACAAGCTCAATGATGCAAGGGAACTGTGTCAAGTCAGCGACGGCCTGGTGTTTATCTCTAGTGAGCAATACTCACATCCATAACTCCTGATTCGCCCTCTAGAGTCCATATTGTTGAGTCAAGATCTGTTGCATTCTGCTGCAGAAGGACCAGAGAGTCGAACAAACGTTTTCCGTTTGTGCCAGCTTGTGTCTGAATACGACGCAACGGTGTCAGCTGATACGGCAGACTATCAATGTTGACTCTTTGTAGAGCTTTGATAAGGCTCAGATTACTTCGGTGCTTCGACAAGTCGACACGGACAGGGATGGTATTGAAGCATGGTGCGACCAGAGCCTCAATATCGTCGACAGGCACACTACGCCCACTGACCACGTTGCCGCAGCAGACGTCGGAGTAGCATTGAGAAGCAGACAAGGTCTTTAGCCACATGGCCTGAGCCAGACTCAGCATGGTGATTGAGTGCCTTGACAGGAAGCTTTCCACTACCCTAGGCGAGTAATCGAGGCGGCCTGTGATTGTACCAAAACTGCTTGCCGACAGACTGGAGTTTGTTCTCTTGAATGGCTTTGGTACAAATCCTCGAAGTTGATCACGGAACAGTGTATCAGCTTCTTCAGCACTCGCCGAGACCATAAAATCGAGGAAAGGCTTGAACGACACTGGTGCAGAAAGTGATTGATCTTTGTACAGCTGCTCGACTTCGTACAGAAGATTAGACATTGCATTGGCGTCGTAGAGAGCGTGATGCATGTCGAGCAAGAGACAGGCAATGGACTCAGACCTATACATTTGAATTCTCCAAGGTGGTGAGTGGTCGAGAAGTGGATCTCCGCCGGCCTGGACTGAGTCAAGCAGAGTCAAAGGCTGATCAGGGATATCACCGCATTCCTGCCATGGCAAGGTCCAACTTGATAGTACAGCTTGCACAAAGGGAAATTTCGAGTCGTCCGTTTGGAGGAAGATTGTTCTCAGAATATCATGCCTCTGCAACATGACTTCCCAACAAGCTTTCAGCTTGTCAGCAGACCCATACAGACTGAACAGTGTTTTATTTCTGTACGCCGAATGGCCCGAGGTGTCCTGAGCAGAGAGCATCGCCTCCTGTAATGGGGTGCATGGAAGGACGTATGACACAGTCTGACCGTACTCGTGGAGCTGTGATACCACACTTTCATGTACATCTGAACCAACGACGGCTTCACAATCCGCGGGAATATGTTCGTTAGTCTGCTTTGAGCTTCCACCTTCTAATTTTGCAGCCAGTCTAGCGATAGTGGGCCTCTTCAGAATCTGGGATACGTCGATGCTATAGCCATACTCAGTTCTCAATTTTGTCGCAAGACGAATTGCGGATACAGAATCGAGTCCTAATGCGAAGAAAGAGGTCGAACGGCCGATTGAGGTTTGCGGCATTTGCAACGTGTCTGTAAGTGCCGAGACTAACTGTTTTTCTGTCGCAGAGAGCTCACTGGTCTCGTCATCGTCGGAACCTCGTGAGTATGCGTTCAACTCCTCTACACTAAGAGCTGAGCCATCGCTAGCTAGACGCCTCTTGTCAATCTTGCCTTGCGAGGTCTGAGGAATGGCCGAAACCGGCACCAGTGCGTCGGGAACCATGTAAACAGGTAGATGGTCAGCGAGGTGCGCATATATCATTTCCATGATCTGTTCCAAGTTGTTGTCTGGCTGAAGAATTGAGTACGAGTCCTTGGAGTACCCGCTCGGGATCCAGAAGGCCAACAATCGCTCTTTGTCTGCTGTTTTGACGACCTCGATTGCGCAGTCTTGCACACTAGAGACTTGGAGTAGGCAACCAGAGATTTCACCAAGTTCAATCCTCTGGCCGCGAATCTTTCTTTGATCATCAGTACGACCTTGGATCAAGATAGTGCCGTCGGGCAACAAGCGACCGAGATCTCCGCTGCGATAGATGCGACCATAACTTGGATGGTTGATGATTTTGCTTTGCGTGAGCTCAGGCATATTTTGATAGCCACGGAAGACCTGCTGTCCACCGAAGCAAAGTTCGCCCAGGCCACCGAGAGGAACGAGTTGAAAGTCATTCCCTTGTGTCAACACGAACGCAGATGTGTTCTCGAAAGGCGGGCCAATGTTATTGATGACATGGTCTGACTCTACTGCTGGATTCACTGTACAAATGTTGGTGGTCTCTGACGGGCCATAACCTTGGTAGAGTCCTTTGCCAGCCCATGCGCTATGCACATGGTGAGTTACAGCTTCGCCAGCAGTGACAAGGAACTTCACCCTTGGGATATGAGCTGGGTTTGTCAATGCTGCTACAGTCGGTGTCAAAGAAAGATGTGTGATCTCAAGTTCGTTAATCGCTTGCTCGAAATCACGGAACATGACATCCTTTGAGGCTGAGCACAAGCACATGCCGCTATACCAGGTAAAGAATATCTCGAAAACACTCACATCAAAAGCTTGATTACAGGCTTGAAGCAATCTTGATCCGTGAGGGACAGGATAGATTCTGCTCAGAACCTCAAGGTTGCTGAGGATGTTCTCCTGAGTTACCAAAACTCCCTTGGGCTTGCCTGTGGTACCACTTGTGAAAACTGCATATGCGATATTCGTGGGCTCAAATTTGAGCTCAGGGTTTGTGCATGACTGATTCGAACAGTCGGTGGTACTGACGTCAATAATGGGGCGACCGCTCACATCAGCGATGATATAGGCCGTCGAAGAGTCAGTCAAGCAGAACTTCACGTCCGCTTCGGCCAGAATCTGACGGATCCGAGCGGCAGGTGTCTCCGGTACCAAAGGCAAGTAGCCACAACCTGCTTTGACAGCAGCAAGGATTGAAACGTAGAGAGCGACAGATTTGTCCATGCAGACACAGATAAGTTCGTCGCGCTTGACGCCTTGCGAGATGAGATAGTTGGCTAGCTGATTCGCTCGAGTGTTGAGTTCGCCGTATGTCAGACTCTCCACCCTCGAACTTCCTTCCTGAATGTCATGAGCGAAGACCAAAGCTAGGTCACTGGAGCTGTTTAGAGCATGACTCTCAACAACGGAACCAAGTCCATTCTTATACACAAAGGATCGAGGCTCTGCATTGGCTATTGACAGGACAGAGGTGGGGAGCTGACTATTGAGCTCACCCATGAGAGTTTCTGGTCGTGCCACTGCAATCTTGACCAAGGCGTCTAGCTGCTGTAATAGAATCTCGATATGTTGCGACGGCATAACACTGGGTTGATATGTCGCCTTGATTTTGACACCCTGCTGGATGGGCTCAAGTTCAAGAGTCAGAGTGAATTCCAGATAATCACGAGCTTCTACCATGTTCAGTAGCGTTGAAGCTCGTACATTTGGTCGGGCAGTCTCTTGCCATACAAATATACTATCGAAAAGAGCTTCGCCTGGAGTTGCCCCACGGGCCTTCTTGACATCTGCTAGAGATGTCATGCTGTGTTGCATAATCTCTCGATTATCTTCTTGGAGGCGACGTAGCACGTCACTGAATCTCCTGCTCTCCATGGTGTCGATACGTGTAGGCAGAGTGGACAAGAGAGGTCCGACCATACTTTCGATATCCGCGATTGGCAGTGTTCTGCCAGAGAAGACTGTACCAAAAACAACGTCTTCTGTACCCATGTAGGAACCAAGGAGAATGGCATATGCAGCTTGGAAGAATACATGAGTGCTACAGGAATATGAGTGGGCTGCTTGGCGCAATGTGTCCATATCCATATCGATGGTGTGCTGTATGCTTCGAAGAGATTGTGGAGTCATCATTCTCGGCGACAAGTTCGGTAAGCGACCGGGATTGGCGCCAGAGAGATATTCTTCCCAGAAGTCGAGGTGTGAAGTCTGGTCTTCACTTCTCCTGAGGCTGAAAAACTTGTTCACCGCTACAAACGACGGCCTTTCCGGTATTTCCTCGTTTTGCAGCAGGGTCTCTAGATCTTCAAGAATGATTTCCACAGACCATTGGTCGTACAAAGCATGGTGTATATTCACTAGAAGTTCTGCCCCTGCTCCTGAGCCCTTGTATTGGAAATTAAGCGGTCGCAGAAGCGCATCTTGGCTTGTGACCGACCAACCGGCCGTAAACGACTCAACATGCGCGAATTGAGAATCGGCCAGTGTCTTCCACACGACCTGGGCGTAGGCGCATTGATATAGCCCAGATGTGCTAAAGCCTGAACGCAAGGCAGTATGCCTCTCGGCTAAAGCGAGCAAGGCTTGACGCACCCTTTCGAAGGAGATGTTAGGAGACACTGTGAGGCGAAGCTCATTGTAGTATGCTTGGGGTTGTCTTGCTGTTTCCACCAGCATAGCATCCTGGAGTGGTGTACATGGCAGGACATCCTCTATGTCACCCACAACAGCTTTCGACTCAAGATCTTTTTCAACGCTTGATCTGAGTTCGTAAATGATCTCTTTCCATCCTTTGGTATCGTTGTAGTAATCGTCGCTTTTGTTGGCCTTGATTCGAATGAGTTCGTCAAGAGCGAGGATATTAGTCGCTGAAAGCAGCTCGAGTGCTCCAACATCAGCACAACCCTGTCTGCGAAGCTCGGAAGCGACTTGGATGGCTCTCAATGAGTCTAGTCCAGCAGCGCTGAGGTCAGTGCTGTGATCTATCGAAATGCCCAGTACGCTCTGGATTATTCGGGCAAGTCCACGAGCATTCTCGGAAACATCAGAAGACCCCGATTCGTTTTGCGTGGTATTCAAATTATAATCAGTCTCCAACTTCTTCTTGTCGACTTTGCCTGATGGAAGGTAAGGGAAGTCATCAAGCAGGACAATGTCGCTTGGTATCATGTAAGCAGGGAGCCACTCCTGACAAGCGGATTTGATGTCTTTAGAAGAGATTTCGTTCGAGTCACCAATGCAGAAAAGGACCAAGAGACCAGAGATGACGCTTGCAACCACCGCATGGCATCCGTCAGCCTTTGATGCAGCATGCTCAATTTCTCCTAGTTCAACACGTTGGCCCCTAAGCTTGACCTGGCCACTCGAGATACGTCCATAACACTCCAGAGTCCCGTCACGATGAAGACGGGCCTTATCGCCTGTGCGGTAGAGACTGCCAAATTTAGGATGAGTCACAAAAGCCGCCTGAGTTTGCTCTTTTCTGTTGAGGTAGCCATCTGCTAGTTGGTGCCCACCAACAACGAGCTCGCCTATTTCACCAATGGGCAAGATTCCGATCTCGCTAGCATGCTCAGCAGACTCGGCTGGTTTGACGATAAAACAAGAAACTGTGTCCAGAGGAATGCCGATAGTACCAGCTGGTAGATCAACATCAAAGTCTGGTTGTAAGGTACAGTGGATGGCAGCTTCCGTAGGACCATACATGCCATACAGAATACCCGGCTTATCGGCCGAGCCTCCAAACTGCTGGATGACTTGAGTGTTGAGCATCTCGCCGATCGTAAGGAGTGCACGCAGAGTAGGAACGTTTTCCCTTGTGCGTACCAGACTCGCAGCGACGGAGGGCGTGAGCTCGGCGGCATCTATGTTGAGCGAAGTGATGGTTCCGGGAAGATCGCCAAGCAGACGGTTGCGCTGGACAGAAACCAGTGTGGCTCCACGATACCAAGGGAAGAAGATTTCGAAGACACTGACATCAAACGTCGGGCTTGCGAATTGTAGAAATCTCGAAAAACTTGGGATAAACCGATCATGTGCCAGGAGCGACTGTGTCACTGCTCGATGTGACAGACAGACCGCCTTTGGTAGTCCAGTGCTGCCCGAGGTATACATGATATATGCAAGAGAGGATGAGTTCGGACATATCATCTTTTCGTCAAAGAATTCTCTCTCGGACTCGGACTCCGACTGCTCATCATCCACTACGATAACAGTAATGCCTTCCAACTCTGGGATTTTCTGTCGCATAGCACTAGTCGTCAGGAGGATACCCGCTGAAGTATCCTTAAGGATGAACTTGAGCCGCTCTTCCGGCACATCGAGGTTCAAGGGACAAAACGCTGCTCCTGACTTGAGGATCGCTAATTGCGATATGTACAGAGAAGTGCATTGTGGAATATAGATGGGCACGATTCCAAGGTTCTTCCGTGAGATCCGACGGCTGACTTCAACCAAACGCCATGCTAGATGTTCCGATCTCCTATGCAATTCCGAATAGGACAGTGTGCTTGATTTGCCGTCCGCGTCTAGGTATTCCAGAGCAGTTCCAGGAGTCTCAGGACCCGATATAAGCTCGTGGAGCAGTTCAGGACCTTCCAGCCGAGTGGGGAAAGGATTGAGTATAGATAGATTTTCATCCATCTCGAGTGTTTTCTCGTCGACTGAAATTGTTCGTGACGGCATATTATTGATTAGGTGTATAAGTCGTGATCCATAAGTCTATGGTTGAAGCAAGAGACCAGAACCAGGTAGTGTTTGTTACGGAAGATTTGAAGTGCAGACAACCAATCTGAAAGGAGCTGTGAAGCGTGGCCAACACAACAGATTTGTTTCAGCACCTGTATTTCGACATACCGCCCATATGTTAGACCATGTCCACTCGTGTAGTCACACGAAATCTACACGAGGAAAAGTCGACCGGCGATCGAGAAACTGACGACTTCAATCGAGACCAGATTTAGCTCGGAACTAGCGAGTTTAGGGCAGCGCTCGTGCGCTGTTACAAGAGACAAGGGATATGCCGAGGTCGGCGGGGAACGACGAACGACTCCTCCCTGGAAGCTGTTCCTCGCATCTACGGAACATCGATGACACGCCCGCGCTGGCAGCCCGTATGGAAGTGACAACAACGTGGTCGCTGCTTACGAATTTGCTACCATGAGCGAGCGATATTTCCACGGCAAGCGGCATGTAGACGACAAGGCTAAAGGGTGATGATCGTTGCATCACAGCGACGCGGCAGGAAGTAGCTCTCTGCACCCGAGCTCTGGTCTCCGTCTCGCGCCCATCGCATATCCTGACCATCCCTCGCCGACAAGGATATCCTACAAGAGTTTCGTGTTTAATGGTGTTGGGATGCCAATTGCTTGGTGAAAATTTTATCTGATCCTCAGCTCGTTCATCTGATATGATAATCTCGAGATCATTGCGATCATCGCTAGCCACTGACGACAGAGTCAGCCCGTGCGCATCTGATACCCTGCTCATCATCACAGAAACCGCGCTTCCAAATGCAAGAGACGTTTAACGCCATTCTTCGGCCCACAGATTTACAACTGTCAGAATGTCACTGTCCACTCGGGTGCTCAGCTGCCGTCTTCACGCGTCGTAAGATTTTTCCCGACCTGCCGAAGCTGTATGTGATCATCGGACAGCACTATGAGGGAAAGTAAATCCAGCGCGTGTGTGCCCATAGGACCTCGGGTACCAAGTCTCAACACCGCAAGGTGTTTCTGCCCAACAATGATCTCCTCCATCAGGTGTTGTGCGAGCTGCGACTAACCATGCCACTTCTTGGCCGTATGCCACAAGGTGTTTCCATTCTACGAAATACGAGTCGTTCTGAGGCTTGAAGTTTAAGGCGACTTCTTCTGCAAAAAGGAACTTCGGTGCCAGAAAAGCTTCTTGTCCGAAGATACCGTTCAGCCTGCGTCATTTTCAAGAGCCACGCTGTCTGGGTTCAGGAGTTTTTGAATATGTCTCCTGCCGACGGCAGACGAACAGTTTCATCTGATTATGGCCATCCACGACCATCAATGGCCAACATCGAAGCGGATCGCAACTTCGAGACAACAACTCTGAACTCCGCTCAACCACGATCATGGCATACCGAGTTTGTCTTCGTCTCCAGAAAATTGGTTCAGCAAATTCTTGGTAAAAATCCATTCAAGAGTTCATATCTGGATCTGTTCAAACTTGTCAACGATGCGAAGGCGAAGGCCGTTCTTTGGACTGGCATACTGTTGGCGATAGCTGCTGGTTGTCCATTACCCATCATTGGCTACATCTTCGGCCAGATCATCACTTCTTTCCCTCCTCCGGAAGATGTACTGCGAGAGAGACTATATCAGCTTGTCGGCGTCGCTTGTGGCTACTTCATCGTTACGACTGGATATGCGATTGCATGGGGATTGACTGGTGAAAAGATCTCACGTCGCTTCAGGGAAACGCTCGTCGAGCGCCTGCTGGGTCTCGAGCAGGCATACTTCGACATCAAGGATCCGGACATTACGAACCTTCTGACTGAGAAGATCGAAGCAATTCAGATAGGAACATCTGAAAAGGTTGGCATCTTCATTCAATCAATCAGTTACTTCGTCGCCGCCTTCGTCGTTGGGTTCATCTTGAACGCCAAATTGACCGGTATCCTATTCGCTGCTGTCATACCTCTCATGGCTTTGATTGTCACTGTCGGCTCCTCCAGAATTGCAAAATATACCAAAGCAGCCACCGAGTATACTGAAGCCGCTGGAAGGATTGCTGAAAGTGCTATTCATGCTGTCAAAGTTGTGCAGGCTTTTGGCATGGCCGAAAATCTTAGTAAAGAGCACTACCGTCTGCTTAAGCTGTCTGCAAGATATGCCATCCGGAAGTCAGTCTCTGCTGCACTTATGCTCGGCTTGGTCTACTTCACGGCTTACAGTGCCAATGCGCTCGCTTTTTGGGAGGGCTCACGACTTGCTGCCGAATCAGGCTCAAACAATGCTGGTACCGTTTATGCTGTGGTCTTTTTGATCATAGACGCATCGTTCGTTGTTGGCCAATTTGGACCGTTTCTTGGAAGTTTTGCCACTGCTGCAGCTGCCGGAGAAAGTATCTATGAAATTTTGAACCACCCACAATCGGAGATCAACGTTTATTCTGAGGCTGGGCAAGAAGCCACTGAAGACGAGATGAAGGCTGACTTAGTCTTCCGCAACGTCACATTTGTGTACCCTGCGAGAACCTCGGCTCGTGCGCTCGACGAAATGAGTCTTACCCTTAAAGCTGGACAGATGAACGCCATCGTCGGTACCAGTGGTTGCGGCAAAAGCACCCTTGTGTCTTTACTCTTGAGACTGTACGACATATCATCCGGTCAGTTAACGATCGGAATCCACGATATCAAGGACTTCAACGTGAGGAGTCTGAGGAAATACACAGCACTGGTAGACCAAGACTCCGTGCTGTTCTCTGGTTCGGTTCTTGAAAATATCAGTTATGGACTCGGTGAACATTCACTATCAGAAGAGGTCGTCTTGGAAAGATGCACCGAGGCTGCGAAAGCTGCCAACTTGGATTTTGTCGATTTCTTACCACAAGGTATCCACACACGTGTCGGCAATGGTGGTTACACGAGTCTTTCTGGTGGTCAGAACCAGAGGATCTGCTTGGCTAGAGCTCTGGTCAAGAAGCCTGCCCTACTTCTGCTCGATGAGCCAACTGCAGCTCTTGATGCGAATAGTGAAGGACTCATCATGGACGCTGTCAGAAGCGTGGCTGCAGCAGGCACAACAGTGGTCATGGTGGCACATCGTCTTTCCACTGTGTCAGACTCGCCTAACATCGTGCTCATGGGCGCAGGCAAGGTCATTGAGCAAGGTGACCACGACGAACTCATCCAGTTGGAAGGCGCCTACTTCAACCTTATCCAGGCACAACAACTTAACGACTCGGACGAGTCGTCAGCAGAGGTATCTCAAGCAACCACTAGCCAAGTGACTCCACAAAAAGAATCCAAGGCCGAAGATTCGGCTGCTTCTAGTGACTCTGAGACAGTCTCCCCACAGGCGAAGAAGGAAGACAAGCCAGCAAAGAAGGCCGGATTCTGGAAGCTGCTTCTAAGATGTCTTCGTCTAGCCAAGTCTGACTCTCCCATAATCGCTCTAGGTCTTGCTGCGTCGATTATATCAGGTGGCATTATCCTTGGCGAAGCCATCGTCTTCGGTAACCTCATCTCGGTGCTGAACGATCTCGAAAGTCCAGACTTCCGAAGTAGAGCAGACTTCTTCTCGCTCATGTTCTTCATCCTAGCACTCATTGCGCTTTTCTCATACGCTGGCAACGGATGCTGCTTCGGCATCGTCTCTTCGCACTTTGTGGCTAAGGTCCAGCATATCTCTCTTGCAAGTATCTTGAGACAAGATATGCAGTGGTTTTCAGGCCAGTCAGTGCCCTCGCTCATGAGTAGTCTTAATTCGGACGCTGGCCAGCTTGCTTGCTTGTCTGGAGTGGCTATCGGCACCATTTTTACAGTATGTGTCTCCATCACAGGCGGCATCATTCTTGCACACGTAGTTGCTTGGAAGATTGCCGTTGTTCTGCTAGCCGCTGTTCCTGTCATGATCATGGCTGGCTATGTCAGACTACGTGTGCTCGCTCTTGCCGAGAGCAGACACAGATCTGCATATAACGATGCTGCTTCTATTGCTGCCGAGGCTTGCAGAGGCATTCGGACTATCGCTTCTCTTGGCAGAGAGCGTGGAGTGTCTAGGGCATTCAACGCAGCAGTCAAAGAGCCGTACGACAAGGGTATCCGGTTCACCTTGATAACCAATACCTTGCTGGCGTTGAGTTTCTCCATCACGTACTTTGTGTACGCCCTTGCTTACTGGTGGGGAGCTCGACAAGTAAGGAACGGGACGTATAGCCAGCTGGACTTCTTCATTGTTCTTCCTGCTCTTCTTTTCTCGGCGCAGAGTGCTGGACAAATCTTCAGTCTGTCACCAGAAATGTCACGAGCTGGAATAGCTGCTCGAAACGTCTTCGGCCTTCATGATCAGAAACCGACCATTGCGGATGTTGACGCTAAGCAGCCTGGCCCACGGCCAAGCTCGACTCTGTCTATTCCAACTCTGACAGATAAGGCAGATCCTTCGTCTGGAGGCTGGATCGAGTTCAAGAACGTCAGTCTGTGCTACCCATCCAAGCCTCAACATCCAGCACTGCAGAATATCAACATTTCTATCAAACCAGGAGAGTTTATTGCACTTGTCGGTCCTAGTGGTGCAGGCAAGTCCACTATCCTCTCCCTTCTACAGCGCTTCTACGATCCGACTGCTGGCAGTGTACAGCTAGACGGCCAGGATATCCGCGAGGTCGCCGTATCACAACACAGAGGTCGATTGGGGCTGGTACCTCAAGAACCAGATCTCTTCCCTGGATCCATTTCCTATAATATCGGCTTGGGGGCAGCACCAGGTCAGTCGGTGACACGAAAAGACATCGAGGAGATCTGCGCCAAGTGTGGAATACACGAGTTCATCATGAGTCTGCCTGAAGGTTACAGCACAGAGTGCGGCACCAATGGTTCGAAACTTTCTGGAGGCCAGAAGCAACGTATTGCTGTAGCCAGAGCATTGATCCGGTCACCGGAAGTGCTTCTTCTGGACGAGTATACCTCTGCTCTGGACGCGCACTCTGAGCAACAGATCAAGGAAGCTGTCGACGGGGCAAGTGTAGGTAGGACTACGATTGTGGTTGCACATCGATTGTCCACGGTGCAGAACGCGGATAGAATCTTTGTGTTTGATGATGGACGTGTTGTGGAGGTCGGGAGTCATGCTGAGCTTGTTGCTCAAGGGGGTTTGTATGCAGGCATGGTGCTGGCGCAGACACTCACATGAGTTGTTTATTGTTACTTGTCTCCATACTACATGCTGCATGCTTGGTTACAAATTCTAGCCAGGAAGCCTTGGAGGAATCAAAAAGTTATGCCTAATCGTCACGAAGAATAAATACATGATCTGTATGCTACCAACGAGACTCAGTGTAACACATCCAAGCTGAGGGCCTCAGCTGAGGAAGGCCTATCACGAGGGCTAGACAAAACATGCTTCGTTCTATCGTTACCTCACACAAACGCGTACGGGTGAAAGGGAACTTGTTATCAGATCCCAACAGAAACAGCAGATCAGCGAGCTTTCGCCGTAATTCTGGCGTGGTGAGGTGGTGGGACAACATTTTGATGGCAAGATGGGTCACAGTCTGTGCGCGGTGTGGAAGCGGATCTGATAACTTTACTTCGGGCGGCACCGGTTCGGCTTAGACGAGGACAAGGGAGCGAGCTCCGATGACGGCAAGCATTGGGGACGAGAATCGATACATATGCAGAGTGTTGCTCAGAGATCGAGTGGTACTGCTTCTGTGACGAGAGCTGAGCCGAGAAACGGCATTGTGATTGTAGATACCAAAAGATTACCTATCTATCGAAGTTGCCGAGGCAGGTGGAAAAGAATGCTGCCAACGCACAGTTTTTTTTCCCGCGACAACAACCCTCGGGATCGCTTGACTTGACGCCCTGCAGTAGCCAAAAGGCCCGTGGTTAGAGCGGTGGTGCTGCCCCACTACGAGTACGAGCTAGCTCACGAATTGATCCTTGATCAGTGGCATGATGATCTGATTAGACTAGGATTCATCAGATTAGATGCAGAGTTTTCTGATCTAGCCGTTCGCGCGCGTCCCACAGCTGCACGGTCGCCAAGAGGCACCACGCTACAACCATGATGGTCTCAGAAAAGCTTCAAGCACTGACGTGCACCAAAAAAGCCAACATGACATGACCCTGCCTTGCCCTGCTCGACCGGGCTTAGGGACGAGGCAGAAACAGAAACGATAGAAACAGGTCCAATCGCGCGCTGCCAGCGACTCACTCTTTCTCCCGCTCGTGATCTTTTGTCTCTCCCTGCTCCCTTGTGTCCGCTGCAACGATCTTGTCGTCATACAAACAAGTCGAAGGTTGGAGATTTGCGCCCAAACTTTATTGTACGAGTAACGAAAACACAAATCCATCAATCCACGTAAGTCGCTCATCAACACAAACGGATACAACCATCCGTCTTGTCAGATCCAGATTATCGAGAAGACAAATCCCATCCTCCATAGGCATATCGTTTATGCACATCCAAGCTATCAATCGCCGCGAGACGAGAAGCAATCTACTGCCAGACTGACACGAGCTGAACAACGAATGCTAGACGCTACAATGGCGCCTCACGCCGACATTCCCGAAATGGCTCTTGAGAGCGTACCAGAGCGCAATGGCTCCAGATTCAAGACTCACCTCCAATCGACACCGCAAAACGACGTGCACGATGTCATTTGCCTAGGCTTCGGCCCTGCCGCCCTAGCAATCGCAGTGGCTCTCCACGATTCGACCAAGCAGACGGGCAAGCAGCAGCCTCAGCTCAAGACACAACCCAAGGTCGCCTTCCTCGAGAGGCAGGAGAACTTTGCATGGCACGCCGGCATGCAGATTCCAGGCGCAAAGATGCAGATCTCGTTCATTAAGGACATGGCCACCATGCGCAACCCTCGCAGCGAGTTCACCTTCCTCAACTACCTGCACGAGAACAACCGCCTGGTGCAATTCACCAACCTCAGCACTTTCCTGCCCCGCCGCATTGAATACGAGGACTACCTACGCTGGTGTGCCGGCTGGTTTCAGAACTTGGTTTCGTACGGACAAGAGGTGGTTGATATCTCGCCTGACAGCAAGACCAAGAGCGCAGAGGGCGTGACAACATGGACAATCACATCTCGCAACATCCACACAAACGAGCTCAGCCACCGCCGTACGAAACGCGTCGTCGTCGCTGTAGGAGGTCACCCCAGAATCCCCGAGGCATTCCCTCAACACCACCCTCGCATCATCCACTCATCCCAATACTGGACTCTCTCCTCCCGTATCTTCCTCGACCGCAATGCTCCTCTGAAGATCGCCGTCATCGGCTCTGGCCAATCCGCCGCCGAGATCTTCATGAATCTGCCCAGCCAGTTCCCTAACTCAAAGGGCTACCTCCTGATCCGTGGCGCCGCTCTGCGACCCTCAGACGACTCGCCCTTCGTCAACGAAGTCTTCGACCCCGAGCGCACCGACGATACATTCAACCAAGATCCCGCCATCCGTGCCGCAGCCATCAAGATGGACAAGGCCACCAACTACGGCGTCGTCCGTCTCGAGCTGCTCGAACACATGTACGACGTCCTCTACACTCAGCGCCTCGTCCATGGCGACGACGAAGCGGCATGGCCCCAACGCCTGCTCAATCACCGCGAAGTAGAGCATGTGACTGAATTGCCCAACGACCGCGTACGTCTGCACATCAGAAACGACACTGCCAAGTTCAGACGCTGTAATGGCTCCACCAACGAGTCTTTGGATGTGGATTTGGTCATGATTGCTTCAGGTTACAGAAGAGATCACCATGAGCAGTTGCTTGAGAAGGTCAGGCCTATGATGCCTGGCGGTGATAAGCCTGGCCAGAAGTGGACTGTCAACCGCGAGTATAAGGTGCAGTTTGAGCAGGGCGCTGTAGCCAAGGACTCTGGTGTTTGGCTACAGGGTTGCAATGAGGGTACCCACGGTGTAAGTTCCGCTTCTGTCTTCTGATGTTATGCTGTTACTGACCATATCTTTTACAGCTGAGTGATTCCCTCCTCTCCGTTCTCGCCATCCGTGGTGGTGAGATGGTCGAGTCCATGTTTGGCAGCCAGTAAACAACCACCACCTCGACGCATGATACCCTACCCTCTTAAACCTCTTTGTCTTCCTTCACGAAGGAAGGAAGCACCACGTGGACTAGGAGAATAACACAAAATCCAAAACACCAAATATTCTGTAAAGTGTCAAATAGCGATGGCGTTATGTTTACCATGTACGAAAAAGATCTTTTTTACCATCAAAATCTCCTTCACTTCTTCACTTCTTTAAATGCATAAAAAACTTTATCTGTGTTTCTAATTCCAGTCACTCTCAACTTTTCTCACTCCACATCTCCTCCTTGCTAACGCAAGACTTCTTCCACTCCGAGCCCAACCCATACCAAGACAGCTTGTCCACCACACAAAAAGTTTGATCTTCTCAACACAATCACGACAACCTTGCAGCATGGCTACTGAGACCACCCTCCTCGGCCTGCGCGCACAGCTCATTGGTAGGAATATTGTACGGCGCTCTAACCCACAACAAAGACTGACGACTCAACAGCAAACATGAAGATTATGGGCATGGGCAGCGCTGAAGTCGTTACCCTCATGAATGCGGACAAGCACTGGCAGGCTGTCACCGTCCGGGACTCGAAGATCGTCGATCAGCTTGAAAACTGGTATGACACCAAGGAGGCCGCGTTGGAGGCTATGCTCAGGATGTACAGCTACTCTCTGTACTGCAAGTTCTACAAGCAGCTCAAGTAGACAAAGTTGCGCTGTCGGAACTGAGGTGGTAAACATAGAGCTGGTCATGCGGGAAAAGTGAAGGGCGAAAGAAGGTTTCTGTTCGCTGCGACTGTAGAACCAAGATCATAACAAGTGACTCGTACTCACTTTGTTGTCGAGTTTCTCATCATCCACTCCTCCATCTCTCGCACCCCATCTAAACTTGATCAAAGACCACTCACGCTATCATGCGCTCATCCGCGGAACACAAACAATGAGTTTCTCTACCAACTCGGCCTTTCGGCCTCATCCCACCGCTGCCTCGTCCACCGCAATCAACACCAACTTGACATCGCCACAATGCCGACTACCGATCCCACACGATCTTCTTATGAGTGAGAGTGATGACCTGCGCTTCCAGATCTTCAGTAAGCACCCACGTCCGACATCTCCTTCCTCTTCCTCCGTACTGACCCTCCCCGACAGTCAACCTCACAGCTCTTAACCTAGGACTAGGCGAAAAGCAACTGTCCACAGATCTTGTAATGAGGGCTTCTACTATATCTGTGTGGTCGATGGGGAAGGCAGATTACGATACACGAGTTTGGCGCAGGAGAGTGCTGAGCAGAGTCTGAGTGCTGTGTTGAGGCTCGTGAGAGGGGACGTGGAGACTGCGAAGTGGGAGGAGGAGGAGATCGAAGATCACTTGCATGAGGAACAGTCGTATGCTGACGATTAGGAGCGAGAGGATGGGGATGAGGTGCATGATGATGAGAGCGAGGAGAATGACATGGACGACGAAAGCGATGAGCAAGAGGACGATGAGCATGAGGAATACGATGAGATGGATACGGATTAAATTTGTGTACAGTCGCTGCTCTTTGACGAAACAAGTCGAGAGCTGAGACCACGACCAATGACCAACGAAGATATGTCCTTCTGATCGCGATGCTCTTCAACCAAAAGTTTGCTCTTCCATTCCATTCTCATCGAGTGTAGCAGCAGCGCACAGGCATCTCAAGACTGCCGCTACTGCGCTTGCAGCTGCGTCTATTGTTTGTTGAAAAGCGTCAGTCAGTACCTCTCCTCAAAAACCATCCACTCAACATCACACTTACTCTCATCAAATATACTCCACCCCCTCCACCCCAACCTTCGCAAACTCCTCATTCAAATCCTCCCACTCATTCATCATCTCCCTCAAACTCACCGACGTCAGCAGCAACAATCTTCTCATAGCGTCCACCACATTGCCTTCCCCCTGAACAGTAGTGAAGATGACTTTGCTGTCATTGCTCCACACGGCAGCGGTCCAGGTGCCTTGGTTTGTGCGAGGGGATTTCTCAAACGAGGAGGTGATGATGGGGGTTTTGATGTCGGGGCGGAGGATGCGGAGGTTGTCTGTGAGAGATGGGGGTCAGAGAGGGGGAGGTGGGAGAGGAAAGGGGGAGATGGGAGATATACAGGCGATTTGGTTGTGGATGGCTAGCATCTGCATCTCGTCGGGGAAAGAGGCCATGGTGGTTTGTGTTGCAGGTGCTCGCGAGTGTCCTTTTGTTGTGAGAATACTGAGGAGGGAGAGAAACTCGATCGTTCGCTCGCGGGAGTTGTTCTGTATGCTTTTGTATGATGGAGAAAGTTGCGATAATTTACATCCTGGAGGAATGAATCCCCCGGTTCTAGTACGAGCGGCTGGGTATGCCCTTGTCATCGCTCAAGCCGCAAGGAGGCTAGAATCATTCTAGGAGTTTCTCTTATCTTCTGATCTTACCTCTCGGTACCTGGCCAACTTGCAGTGTTTGGCCTGGTTGTGTAGTCACAATAGCTTCCCTTTGTATGAAGACATCATGGAATTCACCACAAAGATAAGATGGATTCGAATTGAATGTCATGAGTTTACTGCTTCGTCCAGTACTATAAACCATGACTAAAGGAAACACATCATCTCAATTCCAAACTCCTTTAGAAGGCGGTGGCAATGATAGGGTCTGTAATGTTGGGTTTGAGGACGCGTAGGGTGTCTGGACATCATCAGTGCTGAGCTCTCCGTCCCTGGTGGAGGCACTCACATGTAATTTGGTTGTGGATGGCCATCACTTGCATGATACTGCGCTCAGAGGCCACGGTGTTCTTTATCGTGACGCTCACAACAGTCGTTACGAGTGTATGTTTGAGAGGAAGGAAGACTTGATCGGGTCACATCAGAGAAGAAAGGGGGCTTACGTGTTTGTGAGCTAAGCGGTCAGAGACAATTAGGTTTCTGCTTATGTCTGGAGATGGTTACCAGGCTCCTAGGAGCTCCTGTGATCTTCTGAATTTACTCTACTGTAGCTGGCTATTGCGTGAATGAGATGGATATGGATTAAAGTTGATGGCATTGCAACTTGCTGCAATACAAAGAAAGTTCAAAGAGGGCTAGCTGATACTGCGCGACCAGTATAAAAGCTTGACTGCCAATGGCTTTGCTCCTCCGATGCCTTATCAGGGAGACTGGACATAGTACCAAAAGCTCTTGTGTCTGCTGCTGTGCACGTGCTGAGCTTGCGTTTGTGTCTGCTGAGTATTGCACTGGTGTTCTATGCAAGATTATTACGTGCAATTCCCAACCTTAATCGAAATTGACACGGACTTACCGATTCAATCGTACTTAAGACCATCATCCGTGTAGACTGCGCTTCTCCAAGTCTTCTGCCACTTGTCCAACTTAGCATCGACAGCGACTGAAGTCAGGCGCAACAGTGTACGCATAGCAGTAACTAAGTCTACATGAATCCCATAGGTACAGTAGAGGACTTCTTTGTCATCGTTCCAGACAGATGCGGTCCAAAGACCGGCATCTTCACTTTCTTTATTCTTGTTCTTCTCAAAAGCTGAAGTAATGATAGGGTCTTTGATGTCGGGCTGAAGGATGCGCAGGTTGGCTGCCATGTAATTAGTGCTAGGCTCTCTCTTGTCGGTATTATTTGCACACGTACATAGAATCTGATCCTTGAGGACCTTGAGATGGGACTCATCATTAGAGTCGATGACGTTGTCAGTGGTAGAAGCCATGATGGTGGAGTATGGTAGCGCTACAGTATATGTTCCAAGGCTGATCAGGATTGTGCGTGATTGTGTGTTTGCAAGAACAAAGCTCTCGTGGATGCATGTAGTAAAGAGATTGGAGTTCGGGGTGAGTGAAAGGTACAATTTGACGGGGCTGGTAAATGTAAAAGCAACTAGATGTCCTCGTGAGAAATCACTTCGAGTGTTTCCGCTTTGACCGGACAACTCACGGGAATCAGTGTCTTTCCGTGTACAATTACATTATTGGTTCAAGCTAGAGACGATGAACTTATTAGCAGCTATGAATGTTGAGGCCAGTGTGCCGTGGGAAAGATGATCATGATTCTACGGCAGTGACTATCGACAAGAACAAAATTTGCAAACTGAGGAAGGATAGTACAAGGGATAAATGCGGAAAGGTAATCGGAGGAGGAGAGTGACAGGAAAGAGCATGAAGGTAACCAGGAGGCTGCTCGTAGCAATAACCTTGAGATAGAACAGTCTGACTTCCCTCCACCTTTCTATGTCTCTCGTGAGCCCCAGTTCTTGCAAACTATCTCACCCTCGAACTTCACTTTCACATTTTGAGTGAATGCCAACCTCTCGACACAAGTACAGTTCCACTATCAGCCTGAGCTCGGTTTCTTTCGTCGTCTTCTTCTTCAAACCCCACACCACACTTAGCTCTCCAAACACAAGCACAGAAACCATGTCCAATACAACTGCACAGACTGCTACCGGCGAAGAGGCCGCCATTCTGGGGAGAGGGCAACAATTAACATCCCTGGAGATGGATAAGAAGATACCAATAGAAAGGTGATGACAAGTGCATATTGGAACGAGCATCCCACGTTCAAAAAGAGCAATGAATCATCTATGATCAATGCAGGTAGTCATAAATGACTTCAGCCAAGGATAAATAACTGACATCTGCTCCCAACTACACCATCTCACCGCTGGTCAAAACAAGGGCACATCTGCGCGAACAAGTACCCTCACATGTGTAAAGTGAAGTGAAGTGATCCGAGCGACTCAAATGCTCAGGAGCTAAGGACATGATGAACCAAAAATGAACTTGCCATCATCTCGTCAGCTCAGGGAAGAGTAAGATGAGCAAGGAACAAAAGCCAAAATAAGAGAGTGACCAGGGTTGGAATCGAACCAATAACCTATGATGAGTGTAGTAAAGTTACAGATAAACATACGCCAACGGTAACGGACATCTGCTTCCCACTGCACCATCTCACCGCTGGTCATAAGGGAGGCTCGCTTTGGTCATACTTCAATCACACCCCCTGCGTCCGAAATTCAATATACTGCTGCCTCCATCCAAATATTCTCACCATCTTATCACCATTCAGTGCAAAACACATCTACGCTCAATCATCTTGCCATGATAGCTAGATCGATGTCGATTTGCCCATACAACTAGATTGCAAGACCCATCTCCATCATCATTTCCCCTCTCTGTGCATGTTTGTCCTTATAAACTTTCCACCTTACCTCCTCCCGCACACTCTGCGAACCTATGTAACATTCCTCCCGCAGACTCCCTTTGCCAAAACCCACTATATCTGCAAGACCGTCTATATATCTATGCATCAGATATGATATCACTACTGAGCACAGCGATTTTCCGCCATCAATGAGTTCTTTGAAACTCCAAGGTTTCAAGAACAAATCACTGATACAGCCTAAATAGTTGATAGCATCTACCAAACTCCCTTGTTTTCTGCTTAAAATTCTTTGACAAGAACACTGTAGGAGCCCTTGTTTCCGTACCGCTAAGCGAACAATGCCAATACGAAACAAGTACTCTTTCTCGTTTGTACACTTAAGGGACGTTGTTAAAGGTATCAAAGCCTCTCACTCCAACGCTCACTTCTCACTCCAATGCTCATCCCCACTCCGCAAAAGGGAAGAAAAGAAAAATTGTATACACAAGAAAAAGCATTTCTATACACACACTAGCCAAAGATCCCCATCATCTATGCAACCAACTTCTCACTCGCCACCCTCAATATCCTGCTCGCACGCAAAAGCTGTGCCTGCGCATCCTCCCATCTTCCTTCTTGCATCGCATCCCTCACAGCAGGCAGATACGCAGCCGCATACCCATCCCACAGCTGTGGGCCAAAGAGCACGTGTTTGTATTGTTCGCGACCTGGGACCTATTGCGTCTCTATATCAGTACATTGCATTTCAAAAAGGAACAGGGGATAGGAGATGAGGGAAAGGGTGCAGAGGAACAGAGAAGAATGAAGAGGAAGAACACTTACACCATAAGGCTCAGCCTCACCAGTGCTTGGTAAGTCTAGCAAATTTGTCTCAAAGTCCGCGACACGGGTGTTGTGTTCGATGCGTTGGAGAGCATAGGCATTGGTCTCGAAGCCGCCGCTTCCCGCAAGAACCTTGGACGCCCACATTTCATCAAACTCATGAAATTGCTTGGCGTTGGCCACAAACACATCTACTGCTTCTCGCAGAGGCTGCACGCTGAATATCGTAGTATCGAGCTTTGTCTTGAATTTCTCAGCAGTGGCTTTAGCATCTTTTTCGAGGTCGTCGATGATAGGGGACATGGCGGCTGCATAGTCGTTGAGGTCAAAGGGTATGATCGGTCGATCAGCGATTTCGAGGATCAGTAAAGCCCATACCGTGGCAAGAGTCTTGTGGTACTGGAACTCTGGGTCTCCGTATTTGGTCATCCACTCGTAGGTCTCGTAGCAAGAGTGATAGGGGTATCCTTCTTCGCCATCCTCGCTTTCGAAGCCAAAGTCCAGGGAAGAGGTGCCAGACATGTATTGGAAAGGCACGTAATCGGATCCAGCACCTAAGCCTTCAATCTGTTGATTTCTCTCGTCGTAGAGCTGGCGTAGTGTGAAGTTTCTGTAGGGATCGGAGACGCGATCGAGAACGTGCATCAGAGCTTTTTTGTACAGCGGCGAACCCGAGACTCTGAAGTTCGGACCAGAGACACCTACATCGACATTAAGGTACCCGACGGCATTGTTACGCAGATAATCCATGTTGTCCTCGACAAACTCAGTAGAACCGACGAAATTGTATTCCTCGGCATCCCAAGAGACAAATTCGATAGAGCGAAGCGGTCGCCAACCAAGTTTTATGAGATCGCCGAAGATAGTAACAACCTCCATGAGAACGGCTTGCGAACTTCCAGCATCGACACTGCCGAAACACCAAGCATCGCGATGAGATCCAACGATCAACTTCTTGCTTGGTGTCTCCATGCCCTGAACCAGACCATGCACGTTCCAGATCCGTTGTTTGTCGGTCACAAAGTTGTTGTTGACAAGGCGAACTTCTGGAGAGTTCTTATCGCCAGTCCACCATTCGACATCAGGCACACCACCTTTCCAGTCCTCAGAGGGCACCTTTTGACCATGCCCTTTCAGTGCCATCAGTAGATGTTGAGCGTCTCTCCATGCCAGAGGTAGACTGGGGATTTGAGGCAGTCCAGTGATGTTTCCATTGATATTCGGGCGTTTGGCATCCTCGTGCGAGGCATGACCAGGTGTCAAAGGGTCTCCGATTACCAAACTAGAAAGAGCGACAGATCCTCGTTGAACAGAGTCGCGCGGTCTCCAAGGTCCATCAGGCACAACAGGACCATTTACAAAGCCGTCCTCCTTTGGGTCCGAGTATATGAGACATCCAGCAGCTCCAGCCATTTCAGCAGCCTTGACCTTCATTCCACGGTCTGCTTCTGTATGATAATATCGCACCAACACAATAGCACCATTCAAATCCACGCCCATATCTTTCAAGCGTTGGAAATCCTCGCGCGAGCCGCCATTGGCATAGACGAGGTGACCAGTAACATTTCCGTTCTTGGAGTAGCCGTGCCAATTGAGCGTTTGTTGTTTCTCTCTTCCCGACTCTTTAAAAACCGATTCTTCCTCTAGCAAAGCAGTCCACTTCCTGTCCGGCGGAGAGACAATTTCGACGTTGCGACCGCCTGCTTCCGGATAATTCATGTAGACAAAGTATTCATGCATCCTGACATCATCCAAGTGTTGGGCACGCCAGTTTTCCTGGACCCATTCGGCCAAGAAGAAGTCGCCTTCTGTGCCTGCGACGTGGTCGTATGAGGTGATGTACTCGAGGTATTCGGCGATGCGATTTGGGGATAGTGAAGCCTGCTCTTGTACTCTTGCGCGCACACTCTCAGGGTCGTAATGTTGAGCCATGTGACCAGCATTGGGTATCACATCGAGGGCGAAGAGGGCGTATATCAGAGCGGCGATTGTAAAAAGCGCGACTAAACGGGCAATGACCGGCAGGCCGAGTTTGAAGTCTTCGGGAATGGTAGGGAGGCGCTGACGCAGGGACGAGAATTTGAGTATTGAGAAGCGGCGGAATGAGGGTAGGTTGCTCCAAGTGTGTGACAATTTGCCGAATAGTTGACCTCGCCGCCGGCCTGTTGCTGACTCGGGCTCGAGTATTTCCATCTCTTCCATGTCTCGCCGTACCGCTGCTTCTTCATCGTCATCACTGTCGCCATTCACCTCTGGCAGGTAAAGATCGCTATCTTCGCTTGGTCGTGGTGACTCTGCGGTGGGAGGTCGGTATGCGCCATTGCGAGCGGATTGAGTAGGCTGTCTACCTAACAGACCTTGACGTTCTGTGTCGTCGCTTGTCTCGTTGACGGTATTCGAAGATGAGGGTCGGGAAGATATGGCCTCGTCGTATGAAGGTATAGGGAGATGGGCATATTTCTTGTAGGGGTCCTCGCCGCTCATGGCGTCGGCGATTCGGGGGACGGAGCTGATTCAAAGGAGCAAATGCAGGTTTGCTTGTCAAGTCGAGTATTACTATGAGATCATTCTGTTGATTTTGATCCGATTCTGTCGCCCCGGCTCTTTCGTGGTTTGAGGGCAGTTGGGCATCGGACAGTGGTTTGTTTGGTCGATTAGCACCTCATCACTATCCGGCCTTGGGGCCAAGATGGGGAAGGGGGTGCGTCAGCTTCCGCAACTTGCTCCACTTCAACGTATCATGCTTCGTATTCCATCGTATTCAATTGAACCACTATCTCACTTGTTGCTAACAATCCCACTCGCACAAACAACTACTTTGCTCAACACCTTGACTCCTAATCCAAGCAGCCACACTATCGCCTCGAATGAAAACCCAAGAAGAAACAATATACCTCGTGTCACGCTTGGCAGCTTCTCCGTCTCATCTGCACCTGCCTTCTTGCCAATTTTCTTGCTACGTCTCCAGCCACTTCTCCTTGTCTTCTGAATCGCGCTGCCCTCCTTCGATGTTGTTGGAGGCGGAGAGAACGTCTCTGCCTTTGCCTTGATTTCGGCCAGTTTGCTTTCTGTGAACGCGACAGCCAGAACAGCACACACCGCGCTGTCAATCATGTGCTTGCTCGGTAATCTTCTGAACGAAGCCACATCGATTTCCAGAGTTCCCGTACTCAGATCGAGACAGACGAGCTTCGGAGATCTGGTCACTGCTTTCTTCGTACTCGTTGGCGCATGTAGACATATTTTCGCATTGCTTTTCGTCGCAAAGTCAAATGTGCCGTCAACCGAGATGCTGAAAGCTCCAGCACGCGCATGTCGCAACTCATAGCTATGTCCCTCGGCGCCATACGCAGTGGTATCCTGAGGGATACGAACTAGTTGACAGGACTCGTGTGCCTTGGCTTCAGACACTGCATCGAATGCTAATTGTGCAGCTTGTGGTGAAGATGCTCGAGGATCATATTGTGCGATAGCGTTGGCTCTATGTGTCGTGGCCGCTGCTTCTAGTGCATTCAGTGCTGCTTGTTGGGGGAAGATAGTAGTCTCGCTCTTTGCATCCTTCTGAAGGGTTGCAACATCCAATTGAGCAACAGGCACGATACCAGTCCTAGCCGGATGATGCCGGCGAACTGTGAGCTCGTTTGAAGCATCCGAAGGAGAGACAGAGTAGAGCGTACGACCCTCTCGTGAACCGAATCGTACTTCGGTCGCTGTAGAGCCGACACCAATCTCGTCTCGATGCATTGTCAGCTTGATCTTCTCAGAGTAAAAGACTCCGGTCTGGCCACTAGCAGCATTCCACAGGGCTTGCAACTGCGAGAGACCTGCAGCAGGGGTTGGCGAAGTGGGTGATGGCAAGTCTGCTGGAGTTTGGTGGTGGTACTTTGCACTGCGTTCTAGACTTGGTCGAGGCACATTCTCGGCAGGGTAGTATGCCTGCTGCGATAGCGGCAGGTCTGGATTGTACTCGGGGAACATGGACTTTATGGGAGGCGACACTACTTTCGGTTGTGCCGATGAGCCACTATTGGATCGCACGAGCGTCGGTCCTGAGAACTCTGAGCGTGTTTCGCTAGAAGTCGTGTCGATGGAGATTTTGCGAATAGCAACGGCTGGTCTTCTCCCTGTGCTCGAAGCTGGCTCCGATTGTGGAGACGAGCTCGACATGTTGCTATCGGGAGAGCGAGTTGGTACAGGACCCGAGAAGGAAGGTCTCGATTCTGATGCAGGTGATTGAACAGACGTAGTCTTGGGGACCTGAGGGGTAAGCTGCAGAGCGAGCCCTTGAAGCTTTCCTGCAGGATATGACTTTGAATTGAGTACAGGCGAAGGAGTGTTGCGTCTCATTTGGATGTCCTCAGCTTGCCTCAGACAAGATTTTGGTGGAATAGAACAGACAGGCGAGGGAAAGAGTGACAAGGTCTCGGAGGCCATGGTTGAAGCAATGGATCGTAGACCTGCTACGATGAGGAAGAATCAAGAGTTGAGTGTCACGGACAACTGACCATGCTTGACAAATCTACCATGTGCACTTATAGTTGTACAGCAGCAAGAGAGCCAGTCGATTGTAGGCGCTGGCAAATCGATAGCGCCTGCATGGTCCCAGAGATGCATGCTCAAAGACGACTTGTATGCATGGAACAAGCGTCAAACTGGCAGATGACTACCCATTGGGTAGATCAAACAAGGGCCAGTGTGATGGGTCGCCGACTTTGGTGTTTCGATTAAGCGCCCTGCTCGGGAGTTGCATGAAAGCGCCGGTGACAGAGCTCATACCTCGGCGCGTCAAGAACATATCGACATGAATCTACAAGTACCGACCAGGATGCCAGGTGACTGCCCGCAAAGTTCGGTAAAATGCCTTGAGTGCTAGGTACGAGCAAATGAATGTCTCGTCATGGACTTCAGCAGACAGCCCTTTTGTGCCAAGCCCAGGCTCCACCATGATTTCTGTTACCTCGATGCGCCCTTCTGCTTCTTCCGACGGTCTTATCCAAACGGAGATGAAAGATATACATGCTGCGGAGTGTGCAATGTGCCAGATCTACACAGGGATAAATCGCCATAATCAGCACCTGGCGGTTCAGTATCAATGAGTATGCGTCCCGGCGGGCACGACGAGAGGTCAACAGTGAGCTTTCGATACATTGTAGAGCTAGGATCTACCTTTGACACACCCTCCATCGTATCGCTTGTCCCTGCAGCAGAAGAGTTCAGTGAAAGAGCAACCCCTACGTCTCACCAATCTTTGCGGTATCTGCGACGTGGTCAAACCTGAGAACCAAAGATGCGCTTTTCCAGGTTGGCTGTAGGTACGCGAAGCATCGCTTCATGGAGCTGGGTGAAGAACTCGGTACAGCCTTCTCCGCTCAGGCAAGGATGATTGACCCACTTCATGTCCTCAGGCTTAGGAACGAACTTGACCTTGGGACGTGTAGAGTTCTCGGTTGAGTGGGCAGTAGATGAGGGACTGATCTTGACAAGAGCCATTCTGCTCTCGAGCTCGACCTGAGATCCGGTGCTGGCCTCGGACTCAACCTCAGGTATCGAAGCGGCAGCCTCCCCCTCCTTCTTCTTGATCTTCTCTGCAGCCCTCTTACGCTGGTTGCGCTTCTTGTTCTTGGTCCTCTTTTTCTCAACTTCTACAGACGACAAAGGCTTCGAGTCGGGTGGGATGACCGGCGAGTCTGGCTTGGGAAAGGAGGTTTTGGGATGGCCATCGAGGTCTAGATCGAAGTGGTTGAAAGTCTCCATCTTGTGGTGCTTGGTGAGGGCTTCAACATGGCCGTCGAAGAGGAAGTTCAGCAGATGAGAGTTTTCGTATTCAACAAAGCCATTGTATCTCTGAATCTACGTCGGCGGTGTGATAAATCTTGGACTGATCTTGACATACTAATTCCGAAGCCCTGTCTTCGAGCACTTGCTTCGAGACTGGATGGGTGAAGGCGCGATCAGGGAACATCTTCAACAAGGGAAACCTGAAACCCAAGCCAAGCTGCTGCAAGTTTTCCTTTGCCTGGCGCTCGTTGCGGACTTGGATGCTCTTCAAAGGTCTGCCCGCAGTCATGTATCTCTTCTGCTTGTCGGTGAGTTCATCGAGCAAGTAGTGGCGTATCTTGTTCTCGACGCGGCCAACGGCAACATCGCAACAAATGCCTGCCTTGGCGCGCACATGAAGGTACTCCTGAGCTGCCTCTAGGCGAAGATCCTGTCCATGGGGTCAATGAGTGTTGAGTAATCGACAACCGCAGGCAGCATACCTCAGCTTGGTCCCAATCTGTAACCAGAAGACCGAGGATAGCGATCAGAGCAGCGCGATCTTCTCCGTTCAAAGTTCCGCTGTCAGCACACATCAAGACGAGACGGATCCTGCGTGCAGCACGACGAAGTTTGGTCTTTGCGTCCTCGTCGCGAACCGAACCAGCTTCCAGTATCTCGTAGACATTCTTGAATCCCTCAACACCAGGTAGCGCCATCTTGGTTGAGAGGATTGAAAATGTGTTGGCTTGAAGAAGTCGAGAGGTTGAGTGAGGGAAGCGAAAGCAATACCAGGGAAGGTGCAAACGCCAAAACAAAGCCGCGTACAAACGCCGAGCAAGAACAATCCGGAACACTCTCAGAAACGACCGTGCTATTCCAAGGAAGGAGCGAGGACGAAAGAAGTTCCTCGCACCTTCGGATCGCTGTCTGCGTCAGAGGTTCCATTTTCACGCCTAACCTCCGTCACGCAGTTGAAGCCTTCTCCCTCGACTTCGAGCTGACAAAAAGTCACTATACTTATATTCTGGGTCTGTTCCACTTCCACAAAACACCCCAACCCCCGAATAACGAGGCGACTCCGGTGAATACAATCAACGGCCCATAGCTGGTCTGCACCCCAAAACCGCCATTGCCATACTTATCGGTGCCAGCTTTCAACAATGGTACGCCGATCAAGCCACCAGCGACGTACCCTATACCTCTGGCGCCGTTCAACAAACCATAGACCATGCCGGAATCGATGGCTTCGTTCGATCGTCTCGCCTCGCCCTCGAGATCGTTCATCAAACCTCCCCACGTCGCACTGTATCCCCCCGCGAAAAAGCCGAATGTGATGGAGAAGAGGACCAGCGTCACGAGATTACCTTCTGTCGTCATGCCCCAGAGAAGGAAGGCACTCAGTGCTGAGCTCAGTCCTGAGATACATGTGACGGTCGCTGCTGATAGTGTAAAGTACTTGTTGTCACTCAAATAGCCAAAGAAAGAGGACGAGGCAATGCCAGGAATGTTGAACAATGTGAGCAAGAGAGTTGCCGAAGTCTGTGAGAGTCGAGCAATTTCGCTGGCGTAGGTATTGAGATAGGTCTGCGGTATACCATAGCCAGCAGATTGAAGTGTGATGGCCACGCAGTAGACATATAGCGTGCGATGGTGAAAGACGTGTAACGGTATCTTGCGTGTTCGTGGCGTGGCTGTTGTTCTTCTAGCGTCTTGCTCATCGTTCAAGCTGTCAGTGGCATCATCGGTTGCTACGATCAGAGCCGAAGGGTGAGTTGGGATGAGAAGAATGGTGAAAACACTCGCTCCGGCAACTACGATTGCCCATATCCTTAGCGCGAAGCGGAAGCCATGCTGATCCAGGAGTGAAGAGAATAAGAACGGACACACGGAGCCAACGATATTCTTACAAGACAGTGTGACGCCATACGCCAGGGCTCGGTTACTCGTCTTGTACCACTCACCCAGCGACAGAGTCATGGGGCTGAAGACGAGGGCGCATCCGAATGCGGCAAGCACACCTTGAGTAGCGACCAGTTGCCAAACATTGCTGCTGAAGCTCGATAGTAAGAAGCTCAAGCAAGCAATAACAGTGCCTAGTAGTGCAGCAGCCTGTCGAAATCGTGCCCAGCGTTTGGTGAACAGGGCGAAGAGGATAGGCATCGACAGATACATGACTCCGTTCGAAGTCATACCGATGATACCAGCCGTATCAGAACTTCCATGCAAAGTCCAGTTTTTGACATAGTATTCTTGGAAGATACCGTAACTCATCGCAAAGCCTTACACGCTCTGGTGTCAGGGACACATGAGATCTGACGAGTCCACAGAAGCGACTCACCCCAGATAGGAAACTGTAGAATCGCGGATCCGAGGAGAACACACGCCCTTTTATCCACTCGTCTTGGAGATGGCTGTTCTAGACTGTCTATCGTATCATCAACGCGATCGTTGGAGACAGATTCTGTGTTGGCTTCATGAGTCGAGTTTGGTCGGGTCTGGAGCGCCATCACTTCATCGGACGTGTCGCGTCTCGCCATAGTCGTCAGTTCGGAATTGACCACTATTAAATTCTATCAGACTGCAGAGATTGATTCCGAGACACCTTCTAATCATTGAAACGATGGGTGAATCACAAATCGGAAGGTTGTACAGTGGAAGGTGCAGCTACTTGATGACTCAGCGACGCGGCGGAAGCGTCAATGAGCGTGTGACTTTGATTCTTGATTCTCGACTCTAATGAACAACACCACGCAACAAGGTCATCATCAAATTCCTTTTCATCTCATCAAACTCTGCTTGGACAGTCCGTATGTTGCGAACAGAGCGATACGCCTTCGATACCTGCTTTTTGCACACATGCAAGCTCCTGAGACTGTTCCGTCCTGACATCATGGCCGATCGCCTATTAACTTGAGGTACTGCTTGAACGTATGCAAACGCCAGACTGAATCTGGAGAAGCATTTCACTCTGCAGGGAAATGCTCCTGGGTGCCATTGGGGTGACTGGCCGTGAAGGCATTCATCGCAAGACGCGCCTTACCGGGAGTTGTAGCCACCAGACGACACAAGCCAGGTGGGATCATACAGAGATACTCAGGAATGCCAAAGTCGACAACCACAATAGCCTTGTTGCGCTCGAGATCAGGAACAGGGTCCACCTCGATCTCGGGCATTGAGGTGTCAGTGCTGCCTCTGCCATCAAATATCCACATGCCGATGGGAGTAGGAGCGAGGTTAGGAGGCACGTTGTCGAAGTTGAAGGGCAGAGTGCCGTCTGAGTTGAAGCGGTTGCGTTCGGCGTTGGTCCACTTGTAGTCGTGATACATGCGAGCATGACCGTGTGGACTGGGTTGTGGAATGAGAAGGTTGATGCCCTCCTTCTTCTTGGCTTCCTGCTCATTCATGGTCTTGACGACTTTCTTGCGGTACTCGGGCACGGCCTACACCGAGTGAGCAGGTTGTTCACGAAGCTCAGAGAACTCGGATGGAAGACGTACAGCTGCACTAGTGTTGTTGGTGGACGACATGGTGAGAGCAGGTGGAAGGGCGTACGTTTATTGCTGTCAATTGATCAGTTGACAGGAGAGGAGAAAGGTACGATTGACCTGATGAGTCCAAGAGGTAGGTCGATGGTTTCCAGCGTGGTTGAGCAGTCTGCCCGAGCTACATCCAGTTCTTTCATCATGCAGAAACATGATGTTTCGTGTCTGCATCTATCCGCCCTGCTGCCCAGCGAACCGCAGTCTCTCAAATATACTCTCGGCCAGACTTTCTAAAATGCATGTCGCCAACCTCCCGATCACCAATCGACGACCTTATTTTTTGATCGCCTACCGTGTTGCTATGCAGAGCCTTTGAACCACTGCATATGATCGATCTCCACACTTGCGCATGAGCAAGTCTTCGTGTAGCGCGGAAAGCAAACAGGTCAACGTTGCAAGCCAGGATATGCAGCATGCCGGAGCGATCTACGCATGTGTAACAAGTTCATAGCGACCAGCTTACAAATTCTTGACAGGTCGAGTGTGATTGGTAAGAGCGGAGATTTGGTCTCTCTCCATGACTGAAGATATGTGGCGCTCTCTTGCTCCATAAAAGTTCTGCTGCCAGTATTTCCGGGTAGTCATCTAGATGACACCAGGCATACCTCTCTTGACACCAGGTTCGCCTAAGCCAGGCACGACCATCGGCGCACTCTTCTCCGTAGAAGTCCTGAACACAGGGAAGAACTTCGCAATCCCGCTCTTGGGCCCATACGCCTCTTCAATCAAATATACCGCTACACGCCACCAAGCAAGCAATGCCGAAAACATCCAGAAGTACGCGGCTACTTTAATGCCGACGCCCACACCGTTTCCGTATGCGAACAGGCAGCAGGCAATTGTTGTGCCGATGGCGAGGGCGAAGAGGAGGGTCGCGAGGATAACGTCACGGGCGGTTGCTGCGATTGCCTGTGGCACATCTGAATCAGCATTTGCAGGGAGAAAAGAAGCATGCAGGAATCAGAACTTACACCGACCCAAGTAAACGCAGCCAACACCACAAACCACGACGCCAATTCCGGAAGATGAGCATGAATATCACCTGCAGGCAATGCTCCAGTCGTATTCAACAAGAACATCAACCCCTCACTCATCCAAAAAGCACCCCACCTATCCCGTGTCAGCATTCTCTCCTCTCCTTATCATCTCTTTTTCCACTCTTTACACTTACATAGTGTTAATCACACTAACCAGCGTATCTCTCGCATGGAACCCATATAACCCAGCGATAAACTGACTCAAACCGCCCCAAAAAGCAACGAATGGAAAGAAAATGGTTGGAGAGGTTTCATTGCCCCACCATCCAGCAATCCAGGATGCAGTTATCCATGTGCTGCCTGCGAAGCCTGCGAGGCCGAGAGCGGCGGGTGGTGCGATTGGAGTCAAGCAGATGCGGACTTCGGGTTCGCGGTTTATAAAGGAGTCCACTTTTTGGACATCGTGAGAGTTAAGAGCCATGGCTGTTTGTGTATTGCAATGGCGATGGATTGGAGGAATTGAACAAGGGAAAAGGGAGAAGAGAAGAATACTCGGGTGCAGGCTTCACGTCTTCCTTTTGTATCGCTCCCATCCAGCACGGCACAAGGTTTCTCAAACTCATCATGTGCGATGTGTGCGTGCCACGCATCGAGCATCGGAGGTCACTCCAAATCTCCAAGTTTGCTTGTTCTTCAGTATTGATCCGCGGGTGCCCCAGATTTTCTTTGCAGATGTGTTGATGTTCTTGCCCAATGCGGTAGTCGCGATTGTTGATCTTTGCGGCTCGGTGACCTCAGAGTTATATCATTGTCAATTTCTCAATGTCTATCTCCATTCTCCACTACATGTGTTGCTGATCTAAAGCACTCTTATTGTGGATGGGCCTCAAATAGTGGGGGCCGGTTGCACGGCAATTGACGTCTTGATAGCACGCTGGTTGAGGTGCTGATGGTGCACAACATGAATTTCAAGGCAAAGTACACAACCAGCTCATGGATACAATAAGTTGTTGGCCGACGGCCCAGAGGTTCTGTCTGCTCTATGCAGACTATCTGAAATGGTAACATGTATAGGATCTGCACTCCATTCGCTAGCGGATGATCATAGAACTTTCATCTGTTGCTGCCATCAAGATCCTCTCCTTACAACATTATCCTCGTCTTCTTCAGCGTCCATGCTAGCCGCACTGCCCGTGGGTGACGGTGGTAAACCTCGAACAGCCTCACCCGGTGCCAGCGCCTCGAAGGCTTTTTCGTCGACATAGCGTCTAAGACCCAACTTCTTCTTCCTTCTCAATCTCTTGATGCCATATCTCTGAACTTCGTCCCACAACTCGCTGGTAAACATTCTGCGGATGTATTCCATCTCGATAGGGTACTCGGTCTGCCACTCAATGCCCCATTTTCGCGGGTTGAGGCGGTCGATTGTTTCCCCGGGGTAAGCGTGGTTGAGACCAGGGAAAGGAATGGCAGCCAGCCCGTATGGCATGATAGCACCTGCGGGTCTACTCAGCATATGTATCATGCCACCGAATACATGGTCTTCCCAAGATGAGCCCAGCTCATTCGTTCGCCCGTCACGGAAGAAGGGTTCTACTGGATTGAATACCCACTCTGGAGTACCCGATGGTGTAGCTATAGGTCCGTATGGAGGGGTCGAGGTGATCCAGAGAACATGCATGACCTCGTGGACAATTGTAACGGCGAATGCGAACTGTGTCCTCAGTAGCGCAGACTCATCATGGCTTCCAGGCTCCCACGGCTCTGGATACTGGCTTGCCTCGAGCTTGCGCTGGAACACTCGCAAGAACTGAACACCCAGCAGAATGTTTGCAGACTTTGCACCGCCATATTTCCCAGGTGCGACTGTTGAGCGTTCAGTTCCAGGTCCGGTCACAGCCACACATCCGTTTGGAAGTTTTGATGCGAATTGGAGAGTAAGGCAATCTTTCAAGTCCCACAAGCTTGACCAGGTGCTGTCCGGCTTCCCGGCGTTCTTCGAGGTCAGCTCCTTCAGTGGTATTTTCTGGAACGTGTATAATGGCTGTTGTGCATTCTGCATCGCTACGTCGTTATTGATCATCTCCAGTTTACGTGCCAGAAATCATTCGACATAAGTCAAGACCTGAGGCTCATCCAAGAATCTACTTGCCAATTTAATAGACGGCAGCATGGGCTCATAGTCTTCTTTGGCAACATCTTTCCATCTCCGCGGGAGGAAGAGGGGGTGCACGGTAGAAATTACAGGATCCCATCCATGGACATGGCGGATATAGGCGCCGGTTACACGTTCTTCTGCCTTAGGCTTGGAATAGAAGTCAGGGTCGATGGGGAACTCAGAGTCTGGAAGATTGATGTAGCCTTTCTCATTGAGTTCGTCGAGGCCGATAGCCCGCAGAGTGCGATCCAAACCAACCGGTTGCACTACAGGCTCTTCGAAGACGCCTGCAATCACGCTTCCCAAAGCTTTCAAAGCTTTCAAACCCTTCAACATGGCGTAGATCTCTCGAAGTGTAGGAGTCCTTCGAGGTGCAAAATGCTGCCCATGTATAGGTAGAGCGGTGCGCTCTCCCAAGTCAGACGAAACATACCGGATGCGGCGATGATCAAAGCGGCAGGCTGCTAAACCCGATGGGTACAGTGGTTATGGAACCGCATTGTGGTCTGTAAACAAAACAAAGAGAAATGACAGACTTAATTACCTACCTTGGTTCGGTGGGATGGTACTGTAGGGTGCCATAAGTTTTGCAAACTCCTCCGAATCTCCCCAAAAAAGGGGAATTTGACGGCAACACAACGATATATCTAGAAGTACGATTTGGCGTCAAGTATGATAAATCAATAATATACTATACTAAATAGTACCTGAAATTTTCTTAAGTTAAAAATCAATCTTTAGCAGAATCACCTATGGTTACTTGCTTAAGGGTAGTTAGAACTATGCTTATAAGCATTAAATTTATGCTTGTAAGCATAAATTGTCCGACCTCTTCTACTAGATAGCCTATAAACTCTGATATACTAGGTATATATTCCTATGTCACCTACTGATTAAGTATTTAGATCCTATACTATATTTGATCTAACGATTGTAGTACTATTCGTTAACTAAAGTGTGGTATAATAGACTAATAAACATCGTTGATTTTGGTGGGATCCGGGGAAGTTTGTAAAACTTTTGTCCACCCACAGTAGGACGACAAGATGAGCATGAATGTCATGTCGAGCAGAGGAACGGCGTTAGGACGATCGCGCAAGGAAGTATTTGATTCACGCGTCTTACTACTACAGTCCGAAAATAACAGCGCTTTCCATCAGTCGTCAATACTCACACCACTCCGAGCCGCATGGTCGCTTGCGACCATAGGCCAAGAAAGCGCAGCTTTCACATCTTCCGTGGCGCAATTGGCTAGGGCGTTCGACTGTTTTGCAGCATAAGAACGAGCACGTAGATATCTTTAGTTCCGCAGAAGAGGAAGTAGAAAAACCAAAAACAAAAAAGCTCTCCCGGACAGGCTTGAACTGTCAACCTCTCGATAGCTGATATGCCAGAAGGCATATCTAACAGTCGAACGCGCTAGCCAATTGCGCCACGGAAGATGTGAAAGCTGCGCTTTCTGTGGCTATTGGATGGCAGGTTGCGAAAATTTGCAACCTATATACTCTTGGTACGAGCTATAGGTCAGGCATCTAAGCACGCCTCGGCAGCCATACTACTTTCAGCTCTAAGGTTCACGACTACCATCGCACAACATGGATATTCTCGGATGGTCAATAGGCCCAGAGAGAACCAACTAGAGTAAGACTCCAAGCAGACGCTGTGTCTACGCTGAAGGCACTATGCCTCATAGCCAATGTAAGTAACTATATTAGTCACGCTTCCACATTGGGAGTCGGTCATGTCGCGTCGGTGAGGTATATCTGAGCCACCTCAAAAGCGAGCCACCTCTTGAGGCACCTCAACGCTGGAAACGGCAATGAGCGCGCACACGTAATCATCTACCCTAGCCCCAAACACTCTGTACCAATTCACCAACATCTCAACCTCGCGAGTCCTCCAACAAGTCCCTAGGCAACCACTCCTGGGTAATAACACCTAACCCCCTTCTTCCTCTCCGGCCGACAAGCAGCAAATCCATACCTCGCAACATCTTCATCCCAAAACTTTATGGTAAACATCTTTTTGCAATGATCCATGTGGATGGGATACTCTGTGGTCCAATTGATGCCCCAATCCTGAGGCTGGCCTCTCGGCTCCCCTGACCCGCAGCGGATCTGGCTGGGAAAGCGCAACGTACATAAGCCGTATGGTGCAGAGACGTGATAGGTTTTCCCGCTCGACTCGGCACTGCCTGCGAAGATCATGTTTTCGAGTTCAAAGCCGAGTTCGTTGACTGGTCGGTCTCGGAGGTATGGCTCGGGATTTGCTGATAGAGGGTTTAGCTTCCATACACAGTGTGCGAACTCATGCACTATGGTGACTGCTAGAAGGTATCTCGTGCGCAGTCTTGCTGCTGCCTCGTCAGTGCCCGGTACCCACGGTTGCGACCATCGATGAGCTCCGCAAGTAGGATCCTCGCAGAGTATATCTTGTTAGTCTTCGTTGAAAGTGACGACGCATTGACTTGGATCTTTGTTCCTGAGAGACACGATACCCAGTCAGTCCTCCGAACGCTTTCAACGAGTATGAGGCTTTCTCAACAATAAACGACTCACCATTCGGTCACCCCATGCCCCTTTATCTTGCCAAACCTCAGCACAATCCTTTTCCTATACGCCATCATTGCAAACATGACATTTGCCTTTTCCTCTTCATCTCCCATAACACCGGCATCCAAATCGAATCGATAAAAATCCCAATCTTTGTGAACATCCTTCAGGATGGGATCCCACAGGTCGGCGACTTTATACGATTTCAACCCTGCCCAGAAAGGCGTGATACGAGGATCGTCGAGGATACGTGATGCCAGTTCCACAGAAGGTCGTATAGCTTCCCACTCTGCATCATCATCAATCCCTTCCCATCGCGTACGCTGCAAACAGGGATGGATGTGGAAACGATCGCCAGGCAACAGGCGTCCTTTCTTTGCATCTCCGTAGCGGAGACCGCCGCCATGTCCCCATGCTCGTTCCAGTTGGCCTTCTGTGTCTTCGACAGTGCAGTTTATGTATCCCTCGTTGTTGAGAACAGGCAAGGTGAATTGTTCGACCATGTTGCCGAGTTCGATCGCGTCTGGACCGGCTCTCAAGGGGCGTGGTGGTGGTCCTGGTGGACGTAATGTCGCTGCTGGGCGATTTGTAGGCGGTGCCATGGTTGCTGCAGAATGAATCTATACTGACTCGGTCGACGACAGAAGCGTATATACAGACTTTCAGTATTCCTTACTCCAAAATCGTAAAATTTGTTGCTTTGATTTGTCGAGGAAGGCGTGGTTGCCGGATGCGGTAACAAGTTTTCGAAACAAAGAAGGAACCAAAGGACTCAAACCACTTGAACTTTTTTTTCGAGTAGATACGATCTTAAACAAAGACGACAAAGAGATGTAAGCAAGAATCTTCACGTAGATAAAGCGATTGTATACACTCGTGAAGATGGTTGGCAGGACAAGACAATTGCCTTGTTCGCTCTGATATACCGTTGCTATATAGCCTATACAAGGCTCGCGGTGCCATGGACACCGTCGAAGGCAGCACAAATACGATCTGGAGATCGGAAATGACTGACAAAGCAGTGTAAAAACTTTACACAACCAGCATTGTTCGTTGCCATTGCATGAGCGAGAGAGTGGAAAGCGCTTCCAGAAAAAACAGACGAGATTCGATCTCAGCAACCTCCACACCGATTATCGTGAACCAAATTCACCAGAGCCCTTCGTCGAGTCCAAAAGATAAAACATGCTCCCTTTGTGTTTTTGTTGATTTTCGTTGTCCGATTGTGAAATGTGATGAGGTTGTCAATTTGGATAAAGTTACCAGGACAAGAACGACCTCCTCCATTGGGCACAATCTGGGCGAAAGGAGAGAGGAGAAAGTTGTTCAATCTGAGCATAGAGTCGAGTTATCGAGGAATGGTAACTTTTTTTGTTATTGGGTTGTTGATTATGTGTTGTTGTGAAACTGGATCTGACGGTGACGAGTCTGAGAGGTGAGGTTGAGATCCAGGATACCATGGCAAATTGTGATCAGACGACACGAGGAGGAGAACGAGTGCTATGAGATGAGTTCAGGCGTCAGCGACACATGCTTAAGAAAAGGGCAGTCAAGCGTCAAGGGGAGAGCCGACAGAAGAAGATATCTTGGACTTGCCTCTTCAGCTCTGTCAAGTCGTCAATGTGGTTCGCCATGGCAACGAATAGATCAAAGAACATGCGTCCACCACTCTCCATCTCGACTTGCATAGTGCCACTGCGCCTAAAGGTATTGCGACTGCGGATGATCAAAGCGAGGTAATGTGCACGGAGACGAGAATCAGTTTCTGGAGTGTTGTCATAGGCAAATCTTGCACTGCGGAGGATAGTAGCAACCTCGATACCCGACTGCAATCCTTGTTTACGCAAAGAAAGCTTCTTGAGCTCTTCGAGGCCGAATTTCTCGGCCAGGCAATAAATAGCTGTGTCTCGCAAGATCAGGCCATTGACTTTCGAACTGAATGTGGTCACGGTAGTCGCATCACCCCTGCCCTGGTATTTGGGGGAGAGGGAAGAACACTCGTCCACAGATTCAAGAACCCAGGTGTTTCTTCTGCGGTCGTGGAGTAGACGCGGGAAGTAATCACCCTTGTACATGAACTCGAGGACAGCGGAGAAGATCTCTGCTTCCTCGTCGGGGAGGAAGATGCGGCGAGATGAGGAAGACGAAGTGTAGAGGGCGTCCTTGGCTGCCGATTGGAAAAAGGGCGAGGCTTCGAGGACATTCTCGTGGGCAGCGAACAAGCGTTGGTCCTTGCCTACCACTATAGTGACTATGGCACTGTTGAGCCTGGGTGAGGCTTGACTGTGCGGGTGTGAGTCAACGGATGGAGATTGGGAAGTGATTCTAGGAGAGACGATGATAATACAAGATGGGGACGATGAAAAGGAGACACGTACACAGCACTAGGCGGACTGGACGGTTGAGCAAGCTGTTCCATCAACTTCAGCTTCGCATCATCACGGAAGGATCTCTTGACGTGCTTCGTAGCCTTGCCGGCACGATCCTTGAAACCAAAAGATCTCTTCAGCATGTTGGAAGAATTGTCACGACGAGAGAATGATCAGAGGTAGGAGAGGAGTTATAAACGAATGAAGATTGACGCGCGTAGCATGAGAGAGCTATCGAGGAAACAGGTGCGCACACGGACAAGCTTCCACAGGCAGGTAGCACTGCCTTTCTCTTGCGAAAAAGGAGCGTTACGTGTGCGATCAGCTTGGATGGGTAAATTGTCGGCGACCTTTTGGCGTGCGTGGAAGGAAGAAGAAAAGAGATGGAGATTGAAAATGGGTACTTATTCTCGAGGGTGTCACGCACGCCTGGCGCGAGGCTGGATGTTGAACGCAGCCGATTGGGGCGCGTGTTGATTTATCAGGCAGCAACCGCCATTATCGTGCAGGAATTGACGAGGGAAGATCTGCAATGCGTGTGTGTTGCCTGGTAGACGGGACCGAGGCGTTGTTGTTAGAGTCACAGACGGACCTTTTTTCGAAGAGTGAGGGTGTGAGAGTGACCAAGACAGTGACAAAGAAAGGAGAAGGTGCGACTGGCTCTCTTGCTGGTGAGAGCTGAAAGGCCCCACAATCCAGACCGATCTGAACCCCGCGTCACCGCCCAGACTGAAACACCTTGATCCCAATCTTCTTCCGCCTGCCTTCTCGTCTCCCCTCTCTCTTGCAAACCACACTCAATCATCATGGCCAACAAGAGAATCGTTACCGTATGCTATACCGACCTATGCGTACGCGCACTCGTTCATGACTAATGCGCCTCACAGGAGCTCGGTCAAGTGTCGAACAATCCCGTGCCTGGCACTCAGGTCCAGCTCGCCGAAGAAGGCAATGTCTTTCTCTGGGAGGTCATCATGCAAGGTCCTGAGGACTCTGTCTACGCCGTGCGTATCTCCGCGCTTTGCCACAATCACTCAGACCTCTGACACGCACGCAGAATGGCAAATTCAACATCTCAGTCTCGCTGCCCAAGGAATACCCCTTCAAGCCCCCCACCGTCTCTTTCAAGACCAAGATCTACCACCCAAACGTCAGCAACGACGACAAAGGCACCATGTGCCTGGGCATGCTCCGTTCCGACGAGTGGAAGCCTCCAAACAAGATTCGCGACGTCTTGATGCTCGTTCGTCAAATCCTCGCTGCGCCCCAACCTGATGATGCCGTCGAAAGTAGAATTGCCGACGAGTACAAGAACAACCGCGAAGTCTTTGAGAAGAACGCAAAGGAATTCGTCGCAAAGTACTGCAAGTAGCACTTGGATCCAGTCAAGCTCTCTGCAGACATGGCGTCTCTGGTTGATGCTATGATGTTATTGGTCGCAAGGCTGATGCATCCAATGACGAGTCAAGACATGAGGGTATGCACCGAGGAAGTTATGCATATAGCAAGGAGTTAAGGGAATCGGCTTTGGGGATCAAGACACGGACGGACAAAGCATAGGCGCATCATCATTCACTCATACGGGGACATCCTCGATTTATTCTACATCTAAACATGTGTTCCTGTGCCAGTTGAGCTCATACGTGTGTGTTGTACTTACTCTCAGGGCACAAAGGGCGCCGCCTCTTTTCCTAATTTGCAGGAAGGCACGAGCTACATATTTCAGGCGGAGATGACTCCGCGTGTCATTACCTCCACTTCCACCTCACATTTCTCCCATCTCTCATCAATCTGACAACCACAGAAATCATTCTCGTCAACGTACGATCTCGAACGTGGCGGGTATGTATCGATCGAGTATTGACTTGAGTAAGTAGCATCTCGATGGAGGGCTAGATGGACACATGATTCGACTTGCTGCAGAGACATGACTGCTTCTACCTCTCGTTGAACGAATGTTTGTCAGATGTGTCCGGTACTTGTCATGCTTCAAAATCGGGAGTCGTAAATCACGACAATCGAGGATATCTCAGCACAAGCACATCTGCAAGCTCTACCACCGAGCCAATAGGCTGATGGCACCTTGGTCCGGACTTTTCGCTGCTCACATAGTACGTAAATCGTGTTGAAGTGTCTAAGATAGCGTTGATGAATGATGATGCAAAAACAATGGTTGAGAGCACTACCCTGACTTGGGTCGCCTATGCTTTTCGCATGTTGTTGAACCAAGTATAATCGTGGTGTGGATGTCTCCTGCAGCTTTGCCGGACAGATTTGAGAACGACGTCGATGCTCATGATCGCGTCTACGCAACTTCGACCAACTCATCCTCGTCATCAATCTCCTGCACTTTTGGCGGTTGTGGTGCATCCTCACCCTCGCCTTCCTCATCTCTGGCGATAATCTGCACAACTCTATCGCAAGCCTCCTGCACATCTGGACTGTCGGTGTGCAAGTGCAGCTCCCTCATGACGGCGTACACATTCTTTTCCCTCATAAAGTCTCTGCCTTCCCTTGTTGTAGTCAAAAGCAGTAGAGTTTCGAGGTGGATGATTTGGATATCGGTTTCGGGCTCGCGGGTCTTGTCCGGAGGCAGTAGTTGCAGTTCTTCGGGCATGGTGTCCATATCTTTGTCTTCGTATTCTTCAGGGCCCATCAAGGGTAGTAGGAGGTAAGGAAGTATGTTGAGACCGCCAGATGTTTCGTCTGTTGACAGCATCTTGCTGTGGGCGTCTGTGTCGAAAGCGGCGTTCTTGATTGTCGAAGCTACACCTCTCCTGCGAATCGTTGACTTGTGCTCGGTGAAGACAGTCAATTTCGACAAAGGAACAATGTCATCGTCTTCCTCGCGAGGAGTCAGGAAGTGCTTCCGACCCTCGTCGTATTTGGAAATATCGGCGAAGACGTAGCAGAGATAGTCGAAGTTTGCCTTTTCGTTGTAACTGCCCTCTTGACCCTTGACAAACAGATCCAACAATTGATCAATCGCAAAAGGCGAAGTAGATAGCGGCTTGGGGATGTCGCGTTTGAGGGTCAAGAGTGTCTTCAGGTGATCGTGTTTTGTGAGGTTTGCGAGCAGCATGGCCATTTCATCTGCATTTTCTTCTTTTGCGTTTGTGATGCGCTCGTACAGAACCTCGAGGAACTGATCGTCTTCGGCGAGGTATTTGAGGATTTCTTCGTCCGAGGAGATGTTTACGAGGATTGTGAGGACGTTCTTCGCGATGGGGGCATAGTCGCGGACCAGCAGTTTCATATCTTTGACGGGTGTGAGGTCTCCTGGGTATTTGAAGAGAGAGATCTGGGTTGTAGAGAAGCCGACGAGGTTTTCGACCGCTGTAGAGTTCGTGTCAGAGGTGAGTTATTACTTCGGGTGTTCTCGAGGCTGGCTGGCATACCGATCTGGCGAATCTGAGTGTTTCCATGGTGGAGGAACTCGACGAGCTGTGGAGATGGTCAGAGAAGCATTCGGTACAGATCAATCGGAGCTACTTACTTCTTCAAGTTCGGTAGGCATCTTGATGTCGTTGTGGTGTGGTTGGCTTGGGTGGATGCGGCAACTTTTTTCTGAGCCGGATGACGGAGTTCGAGATCCTTATCGTTCTTATCGTCATGTCTTGGCACGTCTCCGCCCCGCCATCTCCTCGTGCTCCGCTTCGATTCTTTCTACATCGCCAATGTCACCAGTATCATCCGAATATATCTTGTCGCTTTGGAGCCGTTGATCCTCTGAGCGCAGATCACCCAACACAGCTCTTTGCTCGTTGAGCAGCCTGATGGCCTCTTTCCTTCGGATCTTCAATCTGGCAATGCGGTGTCCCTTGAGTTGAGTTTTCGATTTGTCTCTGTCCAGGACTAGACAGCTCTCTGCTCCGAAACCACGATTGTCGCGTCAAAAGACCGAACATCGTAAAATTGATCAGCAGGGAGCAGAACCACTTGAATTTTTCGAGAGTGAAGTAGATAGCTCGAATATGTTAACCCCTTCTCATCGTGCCCGCTGTACTGCTGTTAATGTTAACGCTTGATACCCAATCATTCCCGAGGAGTGCACATACTGTGGATCTGTATATTACAAAGACGAGTGTGTTCCCTAATTAAGTGTAAACTCCCATCATCTCATGTTTTCCATCTATCATGGACTAATCATCACATGGGGTTACAAATCCTTGATTGAGGTCTATGTGATCTATCTTAGAGGACGTCGCGATATCGACGAGATACCTTAGGAGGCTATCTTAGGTGTATGTCGAAGACCAGCCAACTCTGCCGTTCGAATTATACATCAGTGCTATGAGTATGTGTTACCACCTATCTTTTGTGACTTAGTAGCGTAGATGGCATTGATAATTGAGCAGAGTCTTTGGTAAGGATAAAATTTGATTCGTAAATCTGATATGACAATATGCTAAACGCTATTTTCTACAGATAGAGGATGAATGGGTAGGTGGTCGTGAATATTAATGATAGTATACTATCTTCTCTTCTTCTCTTTCTTTTCCAACACCACTCTTCAAGCGATCTAACACTTGGAGTAGTTGACATCGTACTCGAACTCAAAAGTCCAAGACTGGTGAGTCTTGTAAGAGCCACTGCCACCGAAAGTAGCGTACTTGTTGTGGTCGAGAGCAGCGCCGTAGAGCGAGCAGTAAGTACCGAAGGGCTTGTTGTCCTTGTGCAAAAAGTACGAGTTGAACATCTTGCAAGGGGTGAAGCTGTTCTTGCCAGCCTTGATGGCGGCGTTGCGGTTGAAGGTGTTTTGCTCGATGGCGTAGTTGGAGCAGATCTGAGGGTTGAAGGGGCCGGGGATGAACTTGCTGCCCATGTGGTAGCTGGGGGCGGAGATGGCCTTGGGACCGCAGTTCTGACCGGGCTTCAAGGTTGGCTGCTTGGGGCCAGGACCAGCGGGGCCGTTAGGAGCAGGGGGTGCAGGGCCGCCGGCAGGAGGCTGAGGGCCACCAGCGGGAGGGGGAGGAGGGCTTCCGGGGCCACCAGGAGGAGAAGGGGGACCGGCAGGCTTGGTGGGCGAGACAACGACAGCGGAAGAGGTAGGGGTGGAAACAGCGGAAGAGACGACAGAGGTGCTAGAAACGACGGGGACAGAGCACGAAGGGGTAGTAACGTTGGTCTTGTCGTAGGCGTTGGAACCAGTGATGACAGTCTGGAACTGCTCACGGTAGTCACCCTTGTTGGTAGCGACGTCGGGGGAGAGGTTGGAGCCCCAAAGGGTACACTTGTAGTTGGTGATGGAAGAGGGGTTGGGGCAGTAAGTCTCCCAAGGGGTGTAGGTGGTGTTGTCATTGTTTGCTGGGGCAAGGCTGGGGTCACGCTCAATGTAGATGTTGAACGAGGTGCAGAGATCGGTGTCGTCACACTTGGCAGCGCAGTCCTGGGGGTTGTAGGCGGTCAAGGTGTAGAGACCAATGTAAGAGTTGGCAGAAACAGCGGCATCCAAGTCCTTGAAGACCTGAGTGTACTGAGTCTTGTCGGAGCTAGGGACGACGGTAGCGGCAGCAGATGCCATGGAGTGGAAAGGAGCATATGACAAGAAAGCGTCAACAGTGTCAGGCTGAACCTGGGGACCGTAACCACCCTGCATCGAAGTTAGTTACTGACAGATTGGAATCATGTGATTAAGGGAGAAAACTTGCAGGCTGGGGAGCACACGCGTCCTCTGGGTTGATGAAGCCACAGTAAGTGCCCTCCTCGGGGGTTGTAGGGCATGGGGCGGATCCGTCGACGGTGGATGAAGGAGCCTGAGTGGCGGTAGCGGCAGCCGAGCTGGAGGTCGAGGCAGCAGCAGAAGAGGATCCAGTGACAGCGTCAACAGTGGTAGAGCCTGCAGGGGCAGTGCTGTAGCTGTATGCGGGAAGGCTGGTAGGAGGAGCCTGGGTGGTGATCAGGGACCAGGTAGCCTTGGTCTCAGTAGGCTGACCGCAACCCCAGCCCTTCTGGGAGCTGCCCTTGTTGCCGCAGTTGTGGAAGATCTCACACTCGAGACCCTTGTAGAAGTAGAAGGGGTTGAAGAGACCGAAAGTACGCTTCTCAAGGTCACGCTTGGCAGCGCTGGTGGCTGTAGAGCTAGCGGTAGCGACAGTACTGACAGCAACGGTGCTGGCGATGGAAGCCTCGTCGACAACAACGACACCGGTAGGGCCATTAGCGACCTCAGGAGCGGCGTCGAGGAGAGAGAAGTCGAGGTCTTGGGGCATTGGTGAGGCAGCAGCCAAACCAGCGACGGCGGCCAAAGCAAAGGCGGTGGAACGCATCTTGAAAGGTATACCTGACTGAACGAGGGAACAGGTGATTGATAGAAGAAGGAAGATGATGTTGTTGGAGAGATACTACTCGGTGGTGGGAGACGAAGATACTTATACCTAACTCACCTCTTGAGGTTCTACTTACAACCCGATGAATGTCTCATGTGATGCAATGATATTGAGATCCGATCGTTCTCGTCCGTAGAGCAAAGTCCACCTCGGGGCAGTGTACAGTGCTCGCGCAGCATTGGCTCAGCACGAACGGACCTCCATACCACTGACATCGTGCTCACAGACACCCTTGGCGAGGTACCGGGATCTCAAATCGTAAGGTGAGACAATAGTTTTCAGCCTACACTTGCCGCATAGGTCCTATGTCGACAAACTTGGCGTGGTGATGATGGATCCCAGCAGTGTTTCGAGCTAAGACTAGGCACGACGTGCACAAGGGCGCTATTTTGGCAGGCAAAGCTAAAAGGATGGAACTCTCGAGACGGCAACTAAACTTTCGCAGGACCAGCCCGTGCCGTCCCAGAGGAATGGCGTTCAGGTACGGCGGCAAGAGAGATCCGAGTTGACTCGGCTGACTCGACTTTGGCTGGAATCCGTTAGTTTTTGACTGTGTGATGATTTCGGACGAAGAAGAAACGTTTTTCTGCGCTGACCTGTGTTTAGAACTGAAACATTTATGTGTAGGTCCCGGGAATGCGCTGAAGGGTTGAGTCGGAGTGAGACTTGACTCTTGAGCGACGCTTCTACGATTCAACTACGAAGGACGTTCGACGACCGTTTGTAGATGGCGAGAACTCTCCTGCGACACGACGATCTATGCATGGTGACCTCGTGTAAGCAGGTACACACGCGAACGGGCAGGTTTTGTCGATATTGAAGCAATAGCTTTGCATGGCCTCGCATGGGACAGATGATCAGCGTCTAGACTGGCTCAGTGCTTGCTCCATCCAGAAGCTCATCGTGATCATTTCGGCAAGATGTGCATCGTCCTACTGATCGGTAGAATCACTCGGATCCAGAGCCTGGTTTGCCAATACGGCGCGCGCGGAACAATTCGTTTCTCCTCTCCACAGAAGAGTAGAGTTGTGAAAGCGCTTGGGCTGCTTGATCCGTGCGTACCAAGCATATATCTACCATTGTTCTCAACAAGAGTACCTGTTAAGCATGTGATGGCTACAGTGTACAGGGACGTTGCTGACCATCTGATGACTCTTACACCGCTGATTTGGCTCGAGATCCAGATATTGGAATCCGTGTTCATTCGAGTCTGTCTATCCATGTATATTATTACCACTTTAGACAATTCGGACTTTGCGCGCTGGTCACTCTGAGACAGTAAAAATGGTATCTCTGGTATGCGTCTCTTCTATTCGAAGTTTACAGAATTTAGCCTGGCAGATCCCCCTGGTAGATCATCTCGGCTGCTCGGACTATGAATAGATTGGCGCCGAGCTGTCGACACAACAAGCAAGTCCCAAAGTAGTGGAGATTTTACTGCATATCGTACAAGCTTCCGACAAAACTCCATAGTCGCATAAGCAACCAAACGCGACCATGTCATTGTTTCCAGAAGCGAAGGCCAAAGAGGGTCTTGAACGCAGCATGGATCTGCCGGAGCGGCTTGGTGGGTCGTGGCGTCGGTGGCTTTCTTGCCAAACCAAAGCTTGATATCCATTGTACTGGCCGAGCGACCCTGTCTCACACTTTACTCCCCTCTTTTGACAAGGAGTTACAATGCACCAATGGGATATCATCCAGAGTCTAAGGTTATAGGGCATGGAGGAACGTCCGAGATGAATACGATGATACGTACGAAGCTTGAGACGGAGAAACATGCAAGGCTTTCGAAGTGGAGTTATGTCTCGCTTTGAACCGCGCGGTCCAAATTTACACATGCACATTCTCGTGTAGTATGCCGAGATGACCACTTGCGTGGTGGAAGTCAAATTATCGAACGCGTGAAAGGGGAAATCGCGCCGAGCCTTGCTCTGAATGAGTAATCTTTCGGTCGACGAGCGAACGATGCAATTCGTGGTGATGATTGAAGTCATCGAGGACTCCGCTCCGAGACTGGGCAACCGTCATATAACAAAGACCATCGAGAGATCTGCACCATGATCGTGGATCAACTGGGAATATAGTGATGATCTACTTCCGCGAGCATCCAGTATGGCGTGCATGGAGTCACGGTCTCATCTCATTGTGCAAGTGTGCGCAATGCGTATAGCCAAAAAACACAATGCACCATCGCTTTGAGAGATGAGGTAGTAGCCACAGAGATAGGAATTAGCTTGAGCTCCCTTGAGACCTATTTCTGGTCTCGAAGCCTTGGTGCTTTCCTATGGCGAGGACTTCGATCAGATAGATCTTCAGGGGAGAGGCATAAGCACAAGGAGAGGTTGAAAACCCAATAAACAATCTCGGGGACCATGACCAGCGGACAAGGACACACGCTACTCGAGCAAGTCTAGCCTTCTGCACGACAATGTGAGATTGGTGCAATGAGATAACAATTGTTCCATGACTGGGGCTTCATATTTCTCTGTCGGTGTGTCGCTCTTTAGCTTCGAAGTCATTTCGGCCCGGATCTTGACAAGCGTCATTGCCAATCTCACCCTCTGATGGTATCTGTCAATCTTCCATCACAGGCTGCCAATACTCAAACCCACGTGGATCTCATATCTGCATCCAGCTAATCCAATCTGACAGATCCCTTTGACTTCCAGAACATCCACAAGACAGCAACTACCACTTTGAGCGATCCTGCGAACCACAGAACTTTCGAAATATCCTCATCCTGAGTCAGAAACCCACCGGCAATTGCACCTAAAAGTACCATGATCATACTTCCAACTCGGCGGTTACGTTTGACGTTGCGAGTCGGGCCGGCAAAGACTTTGTCGTCAAAAGCAAAATCGAAGTAAGAGCTTGTCAGAACGACAGAGGTGACCTCTCCGTAACCTAGAATTCTGGACATGGCCATCTGTCCGGCGGATTGAATAGACAAAAGACTCAAGGGCAGAAGGACGATGAAGCTGTCTGGCAAGACGTCACCCGCATTGTTCGGGACGACACCGGTGTCTTCGAGAGCGGCGCAGATGTATATCAACACGGCCTGGATCAACCAAGAGTAAACCATTGTGCTTCGTCGAAGAGGTCCAAGATATCTCATGAGTCGGCTGAAGACGAACGCGCCTATCACGAATGATACAATGGACGCTCCTGACTTGGCCCATCGCCATGGTGAGGACTTGGGCTGGCCAGAAACACCGAGACCGAGATAAAGTGTGTTGCCTGCGACGTGTAAGCTACAAAGCTTTCTCAGTATCAAACGTCTATCTCACCTGTCTGCATCGATACGAAGCAAGACCACACATTGAAAACCGCCGAGTCCAAAAGACCAGTGATGAAGCTGCCGGCGATCAGAATCAAGTCGGCCCACGATTCGGTAACTTCTGCATCAAAGTGGTCCCGTAACGAGCTCATGCGGCTCTTGCCCTGCTCTTGATTACCCTCGAGATCCGGCATGTTTGCTATGTTCTTAGGAGATTGACAGCGTGGTGGTCATTGATTTTGCCAAAGACAATTCAGCGTCCGTGCGGCGTCGTCATCACCAGTGTCACCAGAAACAAGCCGCGGATGCCGGCAAGATGTTTCTTGGAAAGCACATCAGCGAAGCAACACAGCAGAAACCTCTCTTGCTTCACAAGTAATAAGCCGCAGATTGGAGCTGTACCGTCGATCGGCCTATGGAAGGTCCATTCGATAACGCTGCTGTCCATCTTGCCTCCTCACTAGGTGCTGAATCCTGTCACTCCCACTCCGCATCCACGACCGCATGCAGGCGACATAAAGGCTATCAGAATGCACAGTCCTTTTCAGACGACCGCAAAGTCCACAGAGAGCCGATGAATCTATGACTCTCAATGGATACCTCCCATTTGATAGAGGGACTGTGCGTCTCTGTAGGCTCACGCGACATGACTTTGCACATGGGGAGGCTGGCTTCAGCTTCAGCTACGCTACCTTGATGCTCAGGTCAAATCAAGAAAGCTCTCTTCCAAGGCATTGAATAGTACTTATTACACTTCATCGGCCGAGATCTTGTAGGCTTATAGCATGAACCTCAAGATAAGTCAAACCAGGCTGAGTTGTCAATGTCCCAAGAGAATGAAAGAGAGCCTGGCGAAGAACCGGACGTCGTCCCCGAAATGCATGCGCGGCCTCCCCGCATCGTGACGTACCCGGCACCGGAGTACTATACTCAGATGGGCATTACCTGATCCTCATTCTGGTCATCATATAAGACTGCTAACAATCTCCTCGCTGGAGTTTTCGGGAGATTCAAGCTGCACTCCAAACTACCACTGCTATGACCAAGTTCCCGAAAAGCGTGCTCGAAGAAAGACGAGCTGCCAGCTTGAAGCTGCAAGAGGCTCTCAATTCTTATGAGAATGTCGATCATGAGAGAGAATCAGTGTCAGTTGTGTATTGGTTGAGAGTACAGTCATGAAGTTGACAATCGCAGCCCTGTGCCTCGACGTGGTAAGAAAGGCAATGATATCCTCGGACCTCAGAACCCAGACCGCATGCGTCAAGAGCCGGACACCGTGTGTCCCCCAGAGACCGACCATGGGAAGATGCCCAATATGAAGTGGTGAGTCAGGGCCCGAGATATGGCTTATTACCTAAGCTGATCCTTAGAGAGGTCCTTCACAGACTCACACGTACGTCTCGAAGAGGGAGGTTGGGCTAGAGAGACTACCATCCGCGAACTGCCAACGTCCAAGGAACTAGCAGGTGTAAACATGCGTCTCGGCCCTGGCGTTTACCGCGAATTACACTGGCATAACGAGTCAGAATGGGCTTACATCATCAAAGGTCAATGCCGCATCAGCGTCCTGGACCTTGAAGGTGGCTCTTACATTGATGACCTCGAAGAAGGAGATCTTTGGTACTTCCCCACTGGCTTCCCTCACGGCATCCAGGGCACTGGCAAAGAAGGCGTGGAGTTTCTTCTGATTTTCGACGACGGTAGCTTCTCCGAGGACAGCACCTTCCTGCTCACGGACTACATTGGCCGCACTCCTAAGTCTATTCTTGCAAAGAACTTTCGTGTCGATGAAGCAATTTTTGATTCTCTATCAGAAAACGAAAAGTATATCTTCCAAGGCAGCATCCCTGGCTCTCTATCTTCGGACCGCAAAAGCGTCGGCACACCATCAAAACATCGCTTCACCCATCGCATGCTTGCCCAAACACCGAAAAAGTTCCCAGGCGGCGAAGTGCGTATCACAGATACCTCCAACTTCCCCATCTCCAAGACCACCGCCGCAGCACACGTAATCATCAACCCCGGTTGTCTGCGAGAAATGCACTGGCACCCCAACGCAGACGAATGGTCCTTTTTCCTGCGCGGTCGTGCACGCGTCACCATTTTCGCAGCGTCAGGAAACGCAAGGACATTCAACTACCAAGCTGGAGATGTAGGCATCGTGCCCAAGAACAACGCCCACTATGTCGAAAACATTGGCACCGAGCCAGTGGAAATGCTGGAAATGTTCAGAGCGAGCAAATTCGAGGATTTCAGCACTGAGCAGTGGTTGGCGCAGACGCCTGCTACCACGGTAGCTGAGCATTTAAATCTCGTGGGTGGAAACAGGGAGAAGTTTTTGAAAAGCTTGAGTAGGGATAAGACTGCTGTCAAGGCGCCAGTCAGAAAGACGAGGTCGATGAGTGATATGCATAAGGTGTTGGAGGAGATGTTGTGAAAATGTCCGCATCATACCAGGATTGGGTCTCAGGAAACACATGCGTGCATGCATGCATGTATGTGGCTTCATCATGCAAAGTCGAGGATGGGCTCGCAGCGCACAGTAATACTTTCTGAGTCTGTCTGACTCATATGGGGTTGTAATACTAGCAATCACATTGTTGAGTATTCACAGCGTCTCTATGTGCGGGCCTTGTCTGGACTCGAGACATTCAATGGAAGCCGGTGACAACTTCTCCTCTCAGTAACACTTCCTATTTAGCGAAGAAACTCTGCATCTCAATAGCTTCATTCCCACCTACGTGTGAGGACGAAATACAGATTTCATAACGTCTCCCATGCTCCTCACACTAATCTAGTCACTACAAAAATGCACAAGACCTTCCAGATATCGACTAAACCCAGCGAGAGCTAGTAGACATCACGAGTCTCTATTCTAACATTCATCTCTCTATTAGCCTTCCCGTATGTGTGTTTCATGTGCTCCATCCTCGAGAGTTTTACCTCCCCATGTCGACGATCCATCGATTTTCCATATGTCATTAATCCTCAAAAGTTTCTTTTCTCGTGTGCAGTCCTTGACTCGGGCCTAAGCAGTGATACCACTAGAGACGTAGTCAAAGACACCGCCAATGTTAACCTCAGAAACGGCCACGACTGGGGCGTTTCCTCTGGTTCTGAAGGTCGAGATCTGCTCGCCTCTTGAGGCTGGGTCCCCAGTTGCTGATGATACGCCTGACTGTTTTCCCTTGTACCTGGAGTCCGCAGCCTGCTGAGCGGTCACGGTGAAGGCAGGAGCAAAGGGCTCACCATCGTCAGATGAGTCGCCGTCTAAAGGATTGACGTTGTCTTGGGTATTGATGGAGCCAGGAACAGAGAGTTCTTGTTAGCAATGTGGTCGGTGATAGCGCTGAATCTGACGCTTTTGCCTTTCGTATCTGGAAGTCGAGAGATGCGGAAAGATGCAGGGCTTTCTTTAGATACGATCTCAGATCTTGATACCTTTGTGCCTTTCTATAGTCTTTTTAACAATCACAAGCCAGGAGGATGAAAGGAGAGAGGAGCAAGAGTGAAGAAGAGCAAGGGGCAAGACACGAGGGGAGATGAAAGGGGGAAAAGGTCCGATCCTCTTCTCCCACCCTCTTCCCCCCTACCTTATAGCTTGGAAGTTACAAGAACTCACAGTGTCTTGAGTAGAGAGAAGGCTTGCGTTAAGATACATCATCACTATCGGCTCTTCACGGACTCAATGTCTATATTCTACGGCACGTTAGTGGAATGCATTAGCAGACGTACATCGGCAGACGTGACAACTTAGCGTTAGCATCGACTAGAGTAGACACGGTTAATAGATGTGTTGATAAGTGACAAAAGGGAATAGAAAAGAAAAGGATTATTATTAGAGGGAAAGGCTAATTAAGGGTTAGAATAGCCTTATACACTAGAGCAAGAAGCGAAAGGGAAGAGTGAAGAAGTAACACTGGAAAAAAAAGCCTGGTGAAGGATCAATATGTACTTGAGAGAGAGAGGAAGAGGAGCTACTGAGAAATGATTGTTTCCGAAAACTTGTGAATACCGTTGATGATGTGGAAAGATAGAATCTCGACGTACTTGGCTTGAACGCACTTGGCCAAAGAGCCTGGGAACGAGATACAGACATTATATTACTCCTGAGAAACACCATGCCAAATATATATATCCACAACGTGGGACAAAAAGAGCGACAAGAAGATAATCCAAAAGAAACGGGGAAAGCATTATATCCAAGTGAAGCGGCAAAGCCTTCTCTCCAAGCATAAAGTCGAGGCTGAATCATCTACGCACCCTTGGTCTGCCGCCTCGAGAACCTGGTCTTGCTTTTCGCCCGCATGAAGCTTCTCCTGCCACTGACATCCGTATCACCTCTGCCTCTAACCTCCCCATTACTCCCCGCCGTCAACGTCCTCCCATTCCTAGTAGCCACCCTCCCTTCTTCCCTCCTCTTTTCCACAACATCCTGACTCAAGCCGCCAAAGCCACCTCTCTTGCGGAAACAAGTCTCCATAAGTGCATTGGCATCCAACATACCCCTAGGTAAACTCTGCACGAGTTGGAAGATTTCCATGGGATCCGAGACGGCTTTGATAGTGGTTTCTGAAGATTTGAAGATGGCGAGGGCGACGCGGAACAGAGTTTTGCTGCCTTCGAAGAAGAGGCAGTCCCATACGCGGAGGACACATTCGATGGGTAGTGTGCCGACGAAGAGGGACATGAACCATGCTGTGGTTGCTAGACTGACGGTGGGTAGACGAGGCACACCTCCTGCGCCTGGAGTACCTGGTTTATCGTCTAATTTTGCCCAGATGGACGGAAGAGATTCTCTAATGGAGGTCATGAGGACGGCGATGTCGATGTTCGCTCCTTCTAGCGCTACACCGTGTGTACCGGGAAGATGCTCGGTGGTGACAACGTTCAGGAGGATGAAAGCCTTTTCTTCGTCTTCGTCAAGGAACAGAAGCAAGAGACCAGCAATAAAGTTCAGACTCTGGCAGTATCCTATACTTGGATTGTGGACAGCAAAAGCTTGCAAGACTCGTCGAAGTGCCTTGATCATAGTTGTCTCGTTCTCAGTCTCGCCGACGCCGCGGCTCTGCTCAGAGGTTGTGGGTCGGTCGTCAGGCTTGAATCGGTCGTTATCTGGAAATGTGCGGTTGAGATCACGTTCGATGTGCTCACGATCGTTGTCGCTCAAGGCACCTTGATTGACTTGTTTGAGAAGATTCCAATATAGTCCGGGATCCTCAGCCAACTTCTTGGGACCACCAGCATACCAAAACCAAGCAGCGCCTCGCCAGGCCGGTGGGATACCTTTGCGCACATACCTCTTGATCTTCTCAGACTTTGTGGGGAAGCGTGTAGGGTTCTCGGTGGTGTAGCCAAACTGCTTCATCAGAATGTCCCACTTGCCTCGTCTTCTTTCAAGATGGACGTTGTATTCTTTCTCCCAGGCGTCATAGTCTTGTACACTGATGTGTAGGGATGTCTTTTTGAAGCCATATCGATCGCGAGGCACGGGTTTCGAGGGAGGTAACGGTATAATGCTGCTGACAGGCGAGTCGGTCACGGGAGATAGGACGGAAGTGGGTTGGACGGCATGCGGCGGAGCAGAGAGAGGTGCATCTGGTAGGCCACGGCCAGCCAAGATCTGGGTCGAGGTTCTGTTGTGTGATAAGGATAAAGTCGGCTTGTTGTTCTTGTCGAATTGAGGCTCGGCATCTACGAGGATACTCTTGCGATCAAGCATGCTGGCCGAATGACTGCGTCTGTGAGAGCCACCTGTCTCGCTGGTCGATGACGGCGATGTGCCAGGACGCACACCTAGCGTATCGACGGAGCTTTTAGGAGCATGTAGGAAACTGTTTGTGCGAGAGTTGGCCATGCTCAGACGCATCGACTTCCGCATCGACTCGCGCAAGTCAACACTGAGGTTGACGGGGGTGCCGAAGCCAGCAATGTACATGTCCAGCAGATCGTCTTCGTAGCTAGACATGTCGGCCTCTCCGTCGTTGTCGGCATAGTCGATCTTGACACAATCCGAGACGGAGCTGTCGGCGGTAGCAATACTGCTGCGTGCGGTGCCCGAGGTCGAGTCCATGTGGCTGCTTGCGTATGTCATCTGCGATCGATAGCTGGTGCGGGTTTCGTTGCGGTCCATTTCAGGCACAGCCATGGCAGCCGGGCTGTCTTCCAGAGGCCAGCTGCCTTGTCGCTTGAGAGTAGCGTCTGCTAGAGACAGCTCACGGGGTCGAGAGCGAGGCTCGACGGCAGAGAAGTTGCGTTGTCGAGTAGCGGGAGCGTCGTCCTCGCTGTCGTCCCACCACTTGTTGCTCTTGACATTGACGGTCGAACTGTGCGGAGGAGCAATGCTGCCAGTGGTAGCAGGGCCCAAAGCGTCGTGGCCGGCGTTGGTGCGTATGAAGAGCGGAGCAGGCTTCTGTCTCGTCTTGATGGTGGGCAGACTGGGCATCCTCTGTCTCAGGCGCTCGGGCGAGGCCTTGCGCAGCGGGAGATGGGGCTCAGGGCTGCGGACTCTGCGTGGCCATGAGAATTGCGGAGTGGTAGGCTGCGACGGCGAGGTGGGCGATTCGGGCGTCTTCTCTCGTGCAGCGTGGTAGTGGTTGTTGGCGAGGACGGCATTGATCGAGGCCGTGGGAGCTATCGTTCGGCTCATGCTTGCCAGGAGGGCGCTATCTATACGAAGTTCAGGAGTAGACTTGGACTCATGGCGGTGTTTCGTGTAAGCGCTGTCGACCAATCCGCGGACCTGGCAGCATCAATGATCGAGTTGTTTCTGCGGTTTGTTGTGTGATTTTGGAGTTGAAGCTGCAAGAAACAAGAAAGCGTGCAAAACGTCAGACGCTGCTTCTGCAACCTGCACATGGACACTCACACATCCACAGACCATCAAAACACCGCCTTGTCCAACACAACCCAAATCTACCAACCTCTCGGCTTACCGACCCCATCCAACTGAAACACAGCAGCAACCTAAAACTGGCCCTCTTATTGGCCTACCCGATGCAATTTCCACTGCCTCCCGCCAAGCCCAATCAACAATGATTTCCCGTCCAACTTCCCAAACACCTGCAACAGCCTCTCCCGATCCCGAGGCATCCCTTCTGCCACCACCACCACCAGAAGGGCGGCTACTCCCGCAACCGAACCAACTAACAGAACACCGTGCTACATCTTGACAATCGCTGTCGTTGCTCTTGCCAGATCCCTCTTCTACCATCGATTCCGATCTAGAGAGCAATCGTCTACATCATACAATTTCGCTCCTACTTCGCGATTCTCATCTTCTCCATACTGTACTGCACCATCTATATTACCTCGTCCTAATTCGATTGACTTTTTCCTGGCAGAGACTATAGCGCTGCCAAGTTTGTTCCACGTCCGTTGTCTACGAACCCGTCATTCGTACACCCTCGGTCACACCCAACTCCTGAAGCCAACCCGTTTTCCATCAGAACGCATATCGTTTTCTTTGCTGTCGTCTTCGTAGAAACTTTGTCTGATATAACTGAAATACTCTCGTATTACATTTGAAGCCTTCAGCGTCCAATCATCTTGCATGAAACTCATACCGCCTACTGCATCAACCTCGCAACAATGCGATATAGGACCCTAGCAAGACCACCTGCCACTCATGAGATAGAATTGAAGATCAAATCAAGAGAACCTCATCTCCTACCGGCCAACACCTCACCCAACTCTTTCAGTCGCACAGGCTTGGTCATAAATTGATCCACTCCAGAGGAAAAGGCCTCTTGCTGGGCCTCTGCACTCGCCAATCCAGTCAATGCAATGACCTTACTCGCTTGCATGCCATTGCTGTGTTCGAACGAGCGTATCCTCCTCGTAGCTTCCAGCCCGTCCATCCTCGGCATAGAGATGTCCATGCACACGAAATCAAATTTGGTTGCTGCTTCCTTCTGGTGCGAGCAAAAGGCTTCTACTGCTTCGACACCATCTTCGGCTGTCACATACTCGTGCTTTTTGGACTTGCAGTATCGAACAAGCAACTGCAGGTTGATCTTATTGTCATCGACAAGAAGGAGGCGTAGTGGTTTGGAAACATTCTCTGGTTCTGTCGCTCCCTTAGCCTCATGATTTTCTGTTGCTTTGCTCGGTTTTCGAGCCTTTGGTGGTGATGGCTGGTCATCCGAGTCTGGAGGTTGCTTATTGTCTTGCTCTTGCTCATGTGTCTTGGCATCGAACAAGGGTTTGCTTGGTAGTGTCAGGAGTTCTGTGTCCCTGTAAAGAACGACATTCTCTAGCTGTGGAGGATGTTGTTCTTTGCACGATACAAAAGCGCGCGCCAGCTTACGAGGACCGTAAGGTTGCGCGATGAACTCGGCCGTGACTGCTCTTCGAAGCGCCTCGTTCTCAGCGTACACTTGTCGGAGATGTGTATTGCTCTCACCAAGCACTATGACCGGTTTGCCGAGCCTGATTAGCTGTTCCGTGATTCCAGGTAGTGTGTGGCATGTTGTAAGCACCACCGCTGCGTTTCCAACCTCATCCACTCTACTGACGGTGGAAAACTCCATCTTGAACCATCCCCAGCATTGCTTATCGAGCGCATTGCGGAGTGATCTTTGAGACGGAGTTTCTCCCTCGCTGGTATTCGGCGGATCGACGAACACTGCTTGGAGCCCATGAAGCTTCTGTGTCGCTTCGGTCATGATGAAAGCTTCATCGTTAGCTTCCGGACTTGGAGCTGGATCCAGCATGATCACTTCGACGCGGATCTCAGTGCCTTTGTTCACCTCCGATTCTACAGAAATTTCGCCACCAAGATTGCTGACGATGTGTCGCACCATGGAGAGGCCAAGTCCTGCACCAGGATTCAACGGGTCCTCTTGTGCAAAAGGTCTGAATAGATGGTTCTGCAAGTACTCCTTGGACATGCCTCTACCGGTGTCTTTGATGGTCAATGTTATGCGGCTTCTCTTGGAGCCATTGCTATCCCTCGGTAGCTCTGAAGAAGCGAGCTTTACGTAGATGAAGCCGTCGCTGGTGTACTTCAAGCTGTTTCCGGTCTGCAAGCGATGAGAATTAGTATATAATCAGTATATGACCCCTCCCTGGCAAATGTATGTAATATGTATAGCCATACAAATGCACAGTGGTTTCGAGAAATAGTGCCCCATTCTCCTGACTTTTTCTCTGGACACATCTCTGATCTAGAAACCATTGTGCATTGATATAGTGGGAAGTTCGCCCCTACCTTCGTAGGAGGAGTGTGGTAATCAAACCTTAGCAGACCAGGGGACATGTTGATCGCTTACCAAGTTCATAACGAGTCGCTTCCAGGCCCCTCCTTCCGTACAGAGTAGCCAATTTTCGTGATCTTTGGCCTCAATATCTACGACAATCTCCACGTACCGATTAGGTTTCGAGTTCTTTGAGTCCTTGCCGGTGTCCTCACGAGAGCTTCCAGGAGCAGTGTAACCAGCAAAGACGGTCTCCAAGGCTTCCTCGGTAATGGTGGGCAAGTGTACAGTCGAGTCGAGACTCAACATGTCGGCCTGTCTGGTTTCTGAATTCTTATCACGCTTCGACTTGTTGCGTGTAAAGTTGTTGATCTTGCTGAAGTCGAGGAGGTGGTTGATGGTGTCCAGAAGCGTGCGTCCACAGGTGTCAACAGTCTCGACGAGGCCTTGTTGCATGGGGTCAAGATCCGAGGACTCCAAGCATTCGATACTTCCCAAAATACCATGCAATGGACTACGAAGCTCGTGACTAATGCTGTTAAGCAAATCAGACTTGGCCCTATCTGCCATGGCGGTGTCAAGTTTGGCAACCTCAGACATAATGGACATGCCAAAGGCGCGTAAGAAGCTCAGCTCGGAGTCCTTGTGCAATAAGCGTATCGCCTTGTTAGACCATATGAATCCGCCGCAAAACCAGCGCATTCGATGATCATCCCTGCATTAAGGCGGTTAGCATGATTCCCATAAAATTGCCTATATCTCTTCGACATACCACATCGGTACAAACGCTAGAGAACGGGCTTCTGGGAAGAGGCGCTGCAGTTGAGCGATATCAGTCTGCCTCTGTCGACGCACTTGCTCTCGCGATTCTTTATCGGGGTGTTGCTCCTCCATGGGCTCGACCTTTTGACCAAAATCCTCAGACTCTTCGGGTTTCTGAGTATTCTTCATGTGCAGCTTGCTTTCTTGAGGGTCGATGTTGAAAATTCTTCCTTGTCCGTAGCGAGTCAAGAAGGAATGCAAGAAGCCTTCTGTAATGGCGAAGCCTGGATCGGTTTTACCCACACTCCCTAAGACATGACATTCTTTGTTGGAGGTGGAACTGCGACTAAAGTACGAAGCAGTATCGTTCTCAGATGTAGCGGGTACCGACTGTACTAAGGCACCAAAGCTGCCCACGGATGCGTCAAGGAAGACGACACCTTCAACGTCGATTGCATTCTTGATGATCCCGGCAGCACGCTGGAAAGTAGACTTGACGTCGGTCGATAACATTTGAGCTTGTAAGTTCTCAAAGCTAAGAGCATCATCGGCATTTTTGGTGTCTTCTGGACCCAGAACAGGGTTGTTTTCCTCGATATCCTCCATCTCTGGGGGCTTGGGAGCAGAAGCTCCAGGAGTCAAAGGCGAAGTTCCTTGATGCTCGACAACGCTGCTCTTAGGAACGTCCTTGTTGTGCAGGTCCATATCGACGTGATCTTTACCTTCTACGAAAGAACCCAAGCCCAAGACCATCTTCGATGTCCGACGATGCTCTTCTTTGGATCTGACCATATCGAGATGGGACATGATTGTGTCTGACATGTATTGGAGAAAAAGCTGGTCTTCGGACGGGAGACCGTCTCTTTGCTTATCGTCCAGAACAGTAATGACGCCGATAACGGGACCATAGGGGCTTCGAATAGCGATGCCAGCATAGAAGCGCACCTGGTCCGGCAGGTTGATGTGTGATTTCCGCTGCTTGTACCATTCATCGTCTTCAATGTTGGGCATTATGACGACGCCATCATGACTTTTGTCTGCCTTCTTATCTGCAATCTCGAGAGTGCGTTCGCACAGGTGTGTGTAGCGCTCTGTAACGCACGAGCCCATCCATAGCTCGTCTTTAGAGTCTTCGGCTTTGCCTGTCGTCAAGGAAAGGGTAGGGGTGGCCTCGGCCAGGATGTACTGGTGGTTGCGGTCGAAACAGGATACGAGGCAGCGGCTGATGGACAGACGCAGGCAAACGAACTGAGCGTATACGGCAAGAGTATCGTCGAAAGAGGCAGAGTGACCATTGTCACCAGAATTAATCCTATCATCGCTCGTTCGCATCAAGTTGTCGAAGGGTTCATAGTATCTGTGGGTCTGCAGTTAGAAAGCAGGCGCTGGATGCAATCGCGGAAGTCGACGTGCTTGTAGAATTCGCGCGCCCTTACGCCTTCGATTTCCCCATCGTACTGGCCCTCGAAGGCAGTCGGCGAGGCAGCAGAGGCAGGAGAGGCAGGCGCCATGACGGCGGCGGTGCTCGGTGCTCGTGGGAAGGTTCGTTGGAGCTGACACTGAGGCGTTTGAGCAGGACATGTAACGACCGTCGTGACTCGTCCGAGATGCAATTGACGAAGTGAGTGCTTCTAATTTCTACACGCTCGCCTGGCTTCGCATCGTCGGCAGCGGCACTGCCAGAATGCCATCCACTACTGCCCTTTGTCCATCATGCGCCCACCGGACTCTGACAAACACGATCCAAGAGCTCGGGCCAGTGTCGCTGCCTTTGGCTTTGGTCTAGATCTCCGTCCACCTCGTCATTGGTGCAGCAAAGGATCGAACCTTAGCCTGCCATCCGCGATCATGTCCCGTCTTCCCGTAGTCCATGTTCGACATCCTGATTAAGAGCCCTGCGACAGCCAGCGATTGCATAGCCATTCTGACTGCTTTTTCCTCCCTGCCGGTAGAGTTCCCCTACGCGCGTATTCGATCGTTGATCGAGCGAGGACACAAGTGTCGAGAATGCGGGTCCAAGTTGCGGAGCAAGCTCCTTTCTTGCGCGTCTAAACGCCTATCGAGATCATCTTGCTAGGAATACCACCCTGGTTCGAATTGTTATAGGCATCAAAGTCTCCATTTGATCTAGTGAAACGGCTAAGCACTGTTTAGCGGGTAAAATAGCATCATCTCTGAAAATTGTATGGTGATAAGACGAAGTCTGGTCAGATGGATCTGCTAATAGAGCGATGTAAGCACGGGATGGAGAGTCGTTAGTGTTATCGACAGCGATAGGGCGTCAGAACTGCCTACGGCCGTTCCGTCTCTCGTATAGTCTACTCATCTCCCTAATATGCCCACATGCACTTCTGGTTCAAGATTCTGGCACCGAGTCTGTCGAACTCTAGTTGTCCAATCCAGCTGTCATTCGTACCTCTCATCTTGCCAAACACACTGCCACCTTTCCACACCAGAACCTGAGGGTCAAGCTCTCTAGGTGGGGGTCCGACCAAGATTTCCTTTTGGAAGTTGGGTTGCAATGCGCGGAGTCTCTGCTCGAGATAGACATTGAAGTTGTATGTCTTGCTGCCGCCGCCAATCACCATGATACCGCCGAAGAAGTCACGTGTCTTCTTCTCGTCGCCCTTGGCACCTTCGGTAATACAAGTGACGATTGCTTGATCCAGTGGCATGATGGGCAGCACATTCTCCGTGTCTGGCTGTGCGCCTTCAATTCCAGCACCCACGACAGCTGGCGTTGCGTCTCCGGCTCCTGGTACTGGAGTTGCAGTGTCTTCGGGAGCAGGCGACCCTGCTGGTGATGAACGAGGTGTGCTTTCGGCGATGTCGGCAAGATGTGTCAGACGGTCAAGATTGAGAGGTTTGCTTGGTGTTGCTGGTACACCGCTAGGGGCCGGTGTATTCGACGATTCTGCTATGGCCAACGGAACGTTGTCAGATGAGTACTTGTAAACCTGTAGTTGAGCTAACGACAGGGGATCGTTGGGCTTGTCATCGTATGTGTCGGTCGATCTACCAATGAGCTTGCGTCTGCCAGTGAGCTTGTCTGCGTGATCAAAGATTGTTGGTCTAAAGAAGCCCTATGATATGTCAGTTCCAAGCCAAGAGGGGAGTTCCATTGTACATACCATCGGTGCCAGCATGACTTCATCATAAGTTTTGAATTGGTATTTGCGAGTGTCTTGGCCGAATGCACGCAGATGGAATTCGTAAAGCTGCACACTGATATGTGCATCTTCGAGCGTGCAGAATTTCTGCTTCAATTCCTCTGCCAGTAGGTAGTCATGTCTCTTCAGAAGATCCATGTCGGCGTAATTGAAGTGGTCAAACAGCATCATTTTGGTGAAAGTCTCGGTAACATCCTCTCCACCAAACTTCAGGTTCATGCGTGAGTTCTCGACGCACATGCCTTCCTCGACGCAGCAAATCGATGTCTTCTGCGCACCAACATCGACGATGCAGCTGCTCGAGTACCCAGCTCCGAACGTTGCTGCCAAACTTTCTTGAATGAAACAGACTCGCTGAAAGCCAAAATCGCGGAACATCTCTTCCAGGATGGAGGTCACAAACACTTTCTCATACAAGTCGGGGATTACAAACACGCAGGAGTACTGTGTCCAGTCTCGCTTGCGGTTCAGATGAAGCTCGTTCTTGATGGCTTCCTCGATGATGCGGAAAAAATCGCGAAGCAAGACAGACTTGCTCGAGTAATCTTGTTCATTGAGCCAACCATACTTGAGTGGCCAATAGAGCCTGTACCGAGGCTTCGAATGTTGCGGTATCCGCATAGCCGCATGTCCGGTAAAGTATTCGGGTGCTGGTGAATCAATTTCTGTCCAGTCGACACGTTGAGGATCATTGTGTTCAGAGATGGTTTCCGGAGCATTGCGCGAGTTCCAGTTGACAACAAGTTCGCGTGAGTTAGGCAAGACTCGGCGTTTGTTATTACGACGGTAGATCTTGAAGTCAGCTGCCATGTTACTGTATTCTTTCGCGAACTGCTGTAGTGTTAGTCATCGTCCGATATGGGAGGTTGAGGTTAACGCACGTCGTCACCGAATGCGCTCTCACCGGCAGGCTCCGGACTACCGTCCTGCATCTTGACTCTTTTTGGTCGCGGTTCAGCATTAGATTCCTCGTCTTCGGCATGCGAAGCTTTACGTGCGATCACCATGGGGATGGTTTTGGGTAGAGCGTCTGTTGCAAGACCGATACGTAGGTTGCGACTGCCTGGGTGGATGACAATTGTCCTTGAGCCAAAGGATTCGGCTTCAGCAGCTTCATCCTCAGCAGCGTCTTCGTCCATCTCAGCTTGCGCAGCATCGGCTGATACTCCATTAGAAGCTGCCTGGGCCATGGCGCGGTCCTTGTCGCGTGCAGCCTTGATCATGCGATTGCGATTCTCCTCGCCCTGGAGGCGGAATGCAAGAAACTGCTCATCGCGTTTCAAGAACTCACTGTCATAGAGATAGAAAGTCAGCGAAACTGTGCGTCAAGGGGGCAGACTATTGTACCCATGCGACCGCTCCTGCCGTTCATAAATTCCTTTGGGCATTGGATCATGTTACATGAAACAAACGACAGACAACGACACAGAAGGGATGCAGATGGGCAGACGTGGCAGCTATCTCGTGGGCGCAGAATAGACAGATAGATGGTGTGTTAGGGCATAGAAAAGAGAGGTCAGACGAACGTGTAGTAATTCTTCTTATTGACAACCTTCGGAACTTGTTCAAAGGGGGAATTCATCGGGCCATTAGATGAAGCCATCGTATGCGGCGCGACTTGCGGGTAACAAGTAGATTATTGTTTGTTTGCCGCCGCAAAGGAAGGGGTTGATCTAGAGGATTGCTCTCACCAAACAGGTGGCTGATCGCGCTTCCAAGTTGCGCTCTGTCGGAGCCGAGCTGGTCACATGACCCTTGAGCGAATCGCGCGAACAGGGACGTGCACAGGACCTACAAAATTTCGACTTTTCTTCCTTCAACTTTCCTTTGCATCACACAACAGACGACATCAAGTTTCAGCTTCGATACCTGCGTCCTTCAGCTCCGCGCCCTGCCTGTCTACGCGTGAGTCATGCAAACGACAGGCGCCAATCTATCAGGTAAGCTTTTGCGCACTTCAACCATCACCAACAACACCCCCTTCTCCAACCTGATGAACGAATGTTTTACGATTAGTCTTACGGAATGTATTCATGTCGACAAACATATTCTGCCCTTTTGCTCTCTGATCCTTTACGGGAAACACATCTCATACAACTCGAGTCAGCATGTTTGATATCATCTGCTAACATCATGCTCAGTAGGTTTCGGGACCCGCAACAATCTTATATATACCACTCATATATGATGTTTTTTAATTTCTCCAAATCTTTTTCTCATATGTGCATGTGTATTGAGTCCACGCCTTGTCAGATGTGTACAAGAGGCGGTCGTTTTGCTGTCATCCCTACGCCATCTCTGTGTATGCAAGCTGCTGAGCTGTATTGCCGCTATCAACTATCGCTGAGCCGGCCTCCAGATGGTATCTCTCCATGCAGATTGACAGTATCATATCCAGCCAACTCTCCTGGATGCAACAAGCGATATGATGCGGCCCTAAGAATGCACAAGAGTTCTAATCCAGTTGCGTGGCCATGGAGAGCAGTCGAGGGTACATGTCGCAATGGACCTTACTAGGCCATTGCGATCCTTGACAGTATCGTGCTCTTTCAAAGCTACGTGTACCACAAGGCTTAGCGATGCGTTTACAAACTAGCATGATACCAGACTCAAGGCTTACACGGGTCACATGGCACAATTCCAATATCTTGATAGACCGTCAACCAAGTTCCATCTAGTCATATAGAAAGGATAGTCCATGTACAAGTGATACCCGAGCTTGAAGGTAAGTCTTGGCATACTGCTGGATATTGGTTACCAAGCGAAGCAGTAGTTGGCTGATCTCAATGTCATCCTCTACCCTCTGTCAGTCTTCTCACTCTTCTGTACCGATTGTACTCGCACTGATTGGTTGTACGTAGATGATCACTGCAAGCATATCACATGGAGATACTTCTTGCTCAAAAGGGTTACAGCACCAGCGTCTCTCAAGCCGCCGGCCGCCTCCGATCAACAACTACGACACGCATAGATAAGGCAGAACAGCCAAGGACTCCTTTAAAGTCAGATATGGCCTCGGACTATAGTATATTCTTCCAAGGAAGATAGAGCACCTCGTGGCGATCCTGTAGAAGCTTGAGGGCGTGATAAGCATCATCGGAGGCCGCCGAAACGCATTGGGGCTCCACCTCGCACGGAGATGTCGACGAACAAGTACCATGATGGCTACCACTAGTCTATTGTGGGGTCACTTGGACGTCAGTTGTAACCTGGGGACGTATATACATGGTAAAAGATCATGTATACCATTGAGAAGCTGACGATGAAGGTGTTGCTTCGTCCTAGCCGTCGTCCTCCTTCCACCCAGCACCAAAGCGAGTCAGTGGATCCCATCCTTCCTTGGCACAGGCGCGCACAAACAACATTGAGGCACAACGAAAATAATTTCTTCAAGCACCATTCGTAAAAACGAGTTGCACTTGCCCAATCAAGGGTCGCACCTATGCTCTGCTGGCATTCATTCGCGGCGCCTATCTGACATGACCAAAGCTATGAGTCAATAGGCGAGTAACCACGCTGACACCGCTGCAAAAGCAATCGTTACCAAGACCTTGGCGACGCGTTTGGCATACCAAGAAACGCCTTCTAGATTCCTTCCCGCGTACAGAAACCCTTTTTTTCCGTGGTGTCCTTATCGTTCAGTTGCTCGCGTGGTGGTGCGAGACAAAGTTATCTCTTGGCCATGGCGGGCCTAGGAATAAAATGTTACCCGAGCCCTGTAAACATTTTCTTTTGAGCATCATCCGAGTACATCTTTTTCGAGCACGCGCTCACCATTACTGGCTTGTTCCTCAGCTTCAATTATCTCAGTCAAGATGGGTTGGGTTCACAAGACCAACCAAACAATTGCCAAGTCAGCATTTGGCAGGTACTTCAGACTTGAGGGATCTGGTCATGTTAGCATTACTCTTGGTCAAATCTGTATATCCTTAAGCTGATCGCCTCTCTATAGCACCGTTCGCGTGATGGATCTTTCTTCTTCACCGAGGTTCGCGCCGGTCTCGCTACCTTCTTCGCTATGGCATACATCATCGCCGTCAACTCCTCTGTAGTTTCAGACACTGGCGGTACCTGTGTTTGTCCTCCTACCAGCCTCGACGCCTGCGCTACCGATATCACATACAACCTTTGCAAGCAAGAGATCCGTCGTGATCTGGTCACTGCAACTGCTGCCATCTCTGCCTTGACCTCCTTCGCCATGGGCTTGTTCGCGAACCTGCCTCTAGGTCTGGCACCTGGTATGGGCATCAATGCATACTTCACCTACACCGTTGTTGGCTTCAACGGAACTGGCCTTGTTCCTTACAGGATTGCCCTAACCGCAGTCTTTGTTGAAGGTCTTCTCTTCGTCGCTCTGACCCTTCTGGGTATCCGTCAATGGCTCGCTCGTGCGATCCCCACTTCGATCAAGCTGGCTACCGGTGTCGGCATTGGTCTTTACCTTACGATCATTGGATTCTCATACAGCGCTGGTGTTGGTCTTATCACTGGCGCCTCGGCCACACCTCTCGAGATCGCTGGCTGTTCATCGCAGTACCTTACTGTGAACGACGGCCTTATGTGCGATCCTAGCTACAAGATGAGATCACCCACTATGTGGATCGGTATCTTCCTTGGTGGCTTTTTGACCGTCTTCCTTATGATGTTCCGTGTCAAGGGCGCAATCATTGCCGGCATCCTGCTCGTTTCAATCATCTCCTGGCCTCGTGGCACTGATGTTACCTACTTCCCCCATACCGAGTTGGGTGACAGCAGTTTCGACTTCTTCAAGAACGTTGTTACCTTCCGCCCTATCAAAAACATTCTCGCCGCTCAGGAGTGGGACGTAAGTTCTCACGGTGGTCAATTCGGTCTTGCCCTGATCACCTTCCTCTACGTCGATATTCTCGACTGTACTGGTACTCTCTACGCCATGGCCCGCTTTGCTGGCGTTATGGACGAGAAGACCCAGGACTTCGAGGGCAGTGCTACCGCCTATTTGGTTGATGCCGTTGGTATCTCGATCGGTTCTCTCTTCGGAACTTCGCCTGTAACTGCGTTCATCGAGTCTGGTGCTGGTATCTCCGAGGGTGGCAAGACTGGTATTGCAGCCATGGTCACCGGTGTTTGCTTCTTCATCTCTATCTTCTTCGCCCCTATTTTCGCTTCTATTCCTCCTTGGGCTACCGGTGGTACGCTTATCATCATTGGCTCTCTGATGGCCAAATCCGCTGCCGATATTAACTGGAAGTACATGGGCGATGCCATCCCGGCCTTCCTTACCATTGCCACCATGCCTTTCACATACTCAATTGCCTATGGTCTGATTGCTGGTATTATGTCCTACATCCTCATCAACACCACTGTCTACATGATCGAGAAGGTCTCAGGAGGCAAAGTCGTTCCTCAAGACAAGCAATTCAAGGAGCCATGGACCTGGAGACTCGACGGCGGACTTTTCCCTCCATGGGTCGTCCGCGCTGCCAAGGGAAAGAAGGATTTCTGGAAGCCATACGAGATGGTGGATCACGCCAGCAGTGAGCATGAGTCTGTCACAGAAGTGCCTAGTTCAGGTGCCGCCAAAGGTCTCGGTCCTGAAGAGGGAAGCAGTGCAAGCAGCAAGGTTCGTCGTCGTTCCGTTCAGCATGAACTGTGAAAGAGTCCGTCTTGTTCTGACTTGCTTCTCTCTCAAGGTCTGATTCAGAACCTCACCAAAAATTGGCGCTGCTGCATGACTTCGAACGACGCTTTGTTTACTTAACTTGTTCATTTTGATACCATATACATTTGTAGATACTCAAAAGCAGTAATTTCGATGCCATATAGGCTTTTCATATTCAACTTTGTGCGATGGTACTCCACACGCCTATACATTCCTCCTTTGAGACTCTTAATATCTCAGCAATTCATACAGGTTCAGGACACAGGCCGAACCTGGAAAATATGTTAACAGATAAAGGTACATCTTCCCCATGTGGTGAATGTTGTCACTCCCACACTGCTCCCGCGACAAACACAGGCGGAACTAGAAGCTATCAAGATGCACAGTCCTGTTCAGACTGTAGCAGAGTCCACAGAGAGCCCATGATACATCAGCTCTCATGGGATGCCCCACATTAACTCATAAGACTATGCAATTTCATGGCCATCCGCGCAACACGACTTTGCACATGGGAGGGATATGTGCACCTCACCTTGAAGCTAACATCACTTCTCCTCCATGTCTTCTCACTTTCCTCTTCCATCTCTCTTGTTCCCTCTTTACCTCCTGGCAATAGCGTGAGGGGTCTCTATGATCCAAGGGTTCTTTATGTTCTACGATGATTCAAATCTCCTTGAAGCTAAGAAAGATAGGAGCTGAGAACGACAGTAGCGGTAGTAGTCGCCATGAAGTGGAGAAGAGCGTTGTATACGGCGATTTGAGAGACGCTACTGTTCTGCGTTCTCAGAAGTGTTGTATAGTTCTACACCTATGCGCGTCAGAGACTTCTGTACCTAAGCAGGGAGTATATCAGAAGTTCGCCTTTTGTCTCCGGCTTACTTCTATCTTTACGCCACGGCGGGCAGATGCGTAGTACTTGATGATTTGAAAATTATTATATCGCTCCAGATCGAGCAATGATCGGCGTCGAGTAGCCGACACGGGTTCGTCGTCATTCTATTGCAATGCGAAGTGTCCTTTCATCCACCTCTTTTGTACACTTCCATATTCTGTCATCAGCATTCGCTATGTCTGAAACAAAGCAAGAAAGTGACAAGCCGCTATCGCTTCAATCGGCGCCTGCCAGTAAGGTCGCGCCTTCTGTAACACTCCAGCCGCCGTTATCGAGGGCGGGCAAGGGTCCAGGATTGATTATATTGATTGATCAAGACTCCGCGGTGAAGGCTTCGACAGAGAGCATTGATCCGCCGCCATTACAGAAGTGGGCAGAGGAGAGCTTCCTTGTTGGGCGGATTGATATGAGGGAATTTAGCAAGAGCTTTGAGGAGACCCTGACCGATACCCTGTCGTTTATCAAAGATCATACTGCTTTTGATGGGAGTCAGAAGTTTGGATTGATTTGTAAGTTCATCTCAAGATAGTGTATGTATATGTTGGTACTGATCGTGAGTAGCTTACCTATCTTCATCACACACCGACATTGTCGGCGCGCTGGAAGTGTCCAAAGACATAGCTTCGATAGTCGTCTTTGGCTCAACAGAGCTAGAAACCACCAAACCAACACTCTATCACAGACCCGGAAACCCACCAATTCCCATCAGTAAGGATGCATCCAAGAAGAACAAGACGTATTACTACCCAAACGTTGAGCCCTCGTTTGTACTTCCTGCACACGAGGACTTCAACGCTTCTTCGGCATCCGTCTCACATACACGTACCCTCAGCTTCCTCAAACCAATCCTAGGAGGCCCATACTTTGATCTTGAGGAAATCTGGGAAGAACATTGTTTATATGAGTTCGGCGAGAGAGCTGTCGACAAAACCATGTCTACTATGGTTCAAGAGCCTTATGTCAATCATATACCTACGTTGACTGGAGGCATTGGGAGAGTAAAGTTGACTGAATTTTACCGTGATCACTTTGTGTTCAACAATCCGCAAGATACGTCGTTGGAACTGGTGTCGAGAACTGTGGGCATCGATCGGGTTATTGACGAGTTCATCTTCAGCTTTACTCATGATAGGGAGATTGACTGGCTGTAAGTTTCTGGCCATACTGGTCATCTTCTGATCGTTTTACTGACATTGTTATCAGACTACCCGGTATACCGCCAACAGCCAAAAAGTGCCGTCTGCCGTTCACGAGCATTGTCAATGTTCGAGGCGACAGACTGTATCATGAACACATCGCGTGGGATCAAGCTACTGCTCTTGTACAGCTGGGATTGCTGCCTGAGTATCTCCCATTCACATATCCGATTGAGGGTAGGACTGCAGCTCCGGGAAAACACTTCGAGTACAAGGTACCAGCGGCCGGGGTCGAGACTGCCGAAAAGCTGGTCGATGAGTCTTCTGTAGAGTCAAACCAGATGTTCAAGTTCGCTATACGCGAAGCTGATGACTGAGGATATGGTTGTTTGGCCCCGCTGTCAAGCAGTCCTGGTTCAGTCAGTATCCATACTATTGCGATCAAGGTCGAGAGGAAGCATAGAATTGTCATCGGATCTGCTCCAAGATAGCCCCGCATATTCCCGTGGTGCTGTCGTGCAGATCTCCAGGCACCATGATGGCATGGCGCGGGGAAGAAAGTCAATTTTGGGTGCTGTGTTTCCAATTCTACGTTTACTTACAAGAGACAAGCCGAGGAGGAGCTTATTTTTCCTTACAACAGTCGGCAAGATCGAGATCTGTGATGGGAAGCTTTATGGAAATGTCTATCGAGCATACCAGCCGCGTGAAAAGCCATATCACGACGTTACGCACATCTATCGAACATGGATACATATATTCCCCAGCAACTCCGACTTGCCTCGGGCGCCCTAGATTTTTGTATTCATGACTGGCAAGATGCTATCCTCTCTTGCATCCATAGTGCTGCTAAGCACACTAGTCAATGGTGTGTGATATTCAATGCGATTGCAACCTTTCTGACACTCTGCACTACAGCTCAGCAACCCCAATACCCTCCAGCGTTCCCGCTACAGCCCTCCCTAGCATCTTCATACAATAATGCACCCAGTGTTCTTCCCAATATTCTGGACGCCGCTGCTCCAAATGCACAAAATGTGTGTCCTGGCTACAAGGCTTCCAATGTGAAACAAAGCAATTCAGGACTCCAGGCCGATCTGACTTTGGCCGGTACACCTTGTAACGTGTACGGCAATGATATCCAGGACCTTGTGCTGTCTGTCCAGTATCAGAACCAGAGCAGACTTGCAGTCAGCATCACTCCCAAATATCTTGCTCCTCACAACGAATCGCTGTACATCCTCGATGAGCGATTCACTCCAAAGCCGGGAATGGAAGATGGTTCCAGTAACACCACTAGCGACCTAGCCTTTACCTGGAGCAACGATCCTAGCTTCCAATTCGAGGTCACCCGGGTCGGGTCTGGCGAGACCATCTTCAGCACATACGGCAAGAAGATCATCTTCGAAGACCAGTTCCTCGAGCTTGTCACCTCGATGGTGCCAGACTACAACGTTTATGGTTTCGCCGAAGCCTTCCACAGTTTCAGATTGGGCAACAACTATACGCAAACCTTCTGGAACGCGTACAACCTCGATAATGATCAATTGCCTGATGTCAATGGCCACAGCACACATCCAGTCTACCTCGAGACTCGCTATGGGAATGGTTCTTCGACCTCTCATGGTGTTTATGCTCGCAACGCGCATGGACAAGAGTGGTTGTTGAGAGAGGATACCATCACTTACCGCACTATAGGTGGTAGCTTTGAGTTCTACTTTCTTAGTGGTCCATCGCCTAAGGAAGTCATAAGTCAATATCAGGTGGGTATCGTCAATACACCTGGCATGCAGGCCTACTGGGCGCTTGGGTTCCACCAATGTCGTTGGGGATACCTGAACTGGACGAACCTTCGAGATGTGGTTGAGTTGTATGAGGAGGCAGGCATCCAGCTGGAAGGTAAGTGGCTACTAAGACTACTCAATCCCTTAGATTGCTAACAGGGATAGGCATCATGAACGACTTGGACTACCTGAACTTGAACCGAGACTTTACTCATAATGCAAACTACCCAGCAGACGAAGGAAAAGTATTCTTGGATTGGCTACACGCACGTGGTCAATACTACTTGCCTATCCTGGACCCTAACATCTACGCTCCGGACCCTACAAACGCTAGTGATGCTTACCCACCTTTTGACCGCGGCAACGAGCTTGACGTCTTCATCAGAAACGGCAACGACAGTCTCTACTACGGCATGGAGTGGAATGGCTTCAGCGTCTGGCCCGATTTCTCAGTCCCTCAAGCCCAGCAATTTTGGACAGAGCAGTTTGCCGAGTTCCGCAAGACGCTCGCTTTCGATGGTTTCTGGCTCGATGTCAGTGATCCCACCTCTTGGTGTACTGGCAGCTGTGGACAGTATCAGCGCAGCTTGAATCCCGTGCATGTGCCTTTCGCATTGCCTGGAGACCCTAACACGAATATTGCTGTCGATTACCGATACCCGGAGATGTTCAACGTCACGAATGCGACTGAGGCTGCTTCAGCAAGTGCATCGAGGGCATTGCAGATGTTGGCCTACCCATCAATGACACTTGCGCCTTCCCCTGTCCTGGAACGTACATTGGCCACTCCTGGGGTCAGAAACCTCAATTTCCCTCCTTACGCCATCAACAACTTCTTGCCTGGTCACAGTCTGTTGAAGCAGGTTATTGCACCTAATGCTACTCATTTGAATGGTCCTTACAACAGTACTGAGTATGAATTGCATAACTTGTATGGCCATTTGAGCGCCAATGCTTCGTATAACGCTCTGGTTGCAGTATACGAAGGTAAGAGGCCTTGGTTCATGGCTAGAAGCACTTTTGCTGGAAGTGGTGCTTTTGCTGGTCACTGGGGTAAGGGTTGATCACAGACATACCAAGCTGACATATGCTGACTTCCGACAGGTGGCGATACTAACTCCAATTGGGGAGACATGTACTTCGGTATCTCGCAAGCATTGCAGTTCTCCATCGCCGGCATCCCATACTTTGGCGTCGAGACTTGTGGTTTCAACGGCAACGCAGACATGGAGCTGTGTACACGTTGGATGCAACTGAGTGCTTGGTTCCCGATGTAAGTTGCTCATCCCACCTGCGACTGAAGAATCCTCACTGACATTTACTCTAGGTATCGCAATCACAACAACCGCAACACCATTGCTCAAGAAGCCTACCGTTGGTCAACTACTACCGAGTCAACCCGCCGCATCATGAACATCCGCTACAGCCTCCTCCCTTACACGTATACCTTGTTCCACAAAGCCAATGTCGCCGGCGAAACTGTCTTACGAGCTCTAGCCTGGGAATTCCCCGAAGACGCATCACTCAAAGCCATCGATAATCAATTCATGAGTGGACCTGCTTTGCTCGTAATACCCGTACTCGCTCCCCTCGCCACATCGGTGCAAGGCGTATTCCCTGGCGTCTCTACCGGAACAATCTGGTATGACTGGTATACTCTCGCAAAGGTCGACGTCGCAGCTGGAGAGAATAAGACGCTTAGCGCGCATATTGAACATCAACCTATTTTCGTGAGAGGCGGTTACATCATCCCCATTCAGAAAGCTGGGAACACGACTGCGATGTCTAGAAAGAGTCCTTGGAGTTTGCTCATCGCGCTTGACAAGGATGGTGCAGCTAACGGAGAACTATATCTCGACGACGGCATCAACATTGTTCAAAACGCAACCAAGAATGTCGAGGTAAGTGCATCCGTCTCGCCTTTTCCAACTAAACTGACGACCTTGCTTGATAGATTTCCTTCGCCAACGATACCTTGTCTACCAAGGTAACTGGTGCGTTTGAAGATGGTATCCCGCTTGCCAATATCACTATCGCTGGAGCCTTGGCTCTGCCTAGGGATATCAAGCTTCATGTTGATGGTGCTGCGTGTGAGACTTCTGTGTTGGTAGTCAAGAATGGTGGTAACGTGACTTATATCACAGGGCTTGAGGGTGTGACGACAGCTGGAGCGTGGCAGAGTGATCTGACGCTTCAACTGATTTACTGAGATAGCTAGACGGTAGTGTCTGATGATCAAGTATTTAGGGAGACACTAGCAGTAGTTAGTAGAGAAGAGCAATACCGTCGTGGTAATTGAGAAGCACTCATATGTATCGATGTCTAATCAATGTGTCGGGCGAAGAGCTTGCTTCATGGCCGCTGAAACACGTGAGGTCTAAGTATCAAGAAGTACGTGACAGGCGCTTTATTTTCTAGATCGCAGTGGTATTTGAGAAGTATCATACGCTGCACTCTATCTCGCTGCTACCAAGCCCTTTACTTGCACAACTCGTCTCCAGGTGCTGCCGTTCCAGGAATGCTAGAGAACTACAGACAAGGAAGAAAACCATGATGATAGCCTCAATACCGAATCCAAGTCCATATCCCACTTTCGCGCTCGAGTTTGGACTCCAGAAAGGTTACTGAACAACTGGTTTTTTCCCGGCCCGGAGAGCTGCCGTTGGGTCTGAGAGGTCCCAGGGACCGTGAAAAAGTAAGCCAGAAATTGGAAACCATTGCAGATAGCGGGACTTTGGACTTCATGAAGCCGGCGGAGATCGATCTACGTAGCCATTTCTACTTGCAAAGTGCTGTGGTTGTGAATCCTTGAGTTCTTAATTATATTTCCATGAGAGGACTGCCAGTCTGTCTACGAAGGGTCAATGCCAAGTCATGGTCGTTGCTTCGCAAAAGGTTGAGTCAGAAAATGAAGTCGCTTGCGTATGCCCTTTCCCAGGAATGTATGAGCAGTGCATTTGAATGTAGCGATTGAAGCTTTGTTTTTGTCTTGTCCACAATGACCGCAAATCTAGGGACAATCAAGTATAGGCAATTACTTGACCTCGCTCCAACCTTTGTCATCCTTACCACCTTCCACCATCACTGAGCCCTCTGTCTGCTTTTGATTCTTCTTATCCGATGCGTCTTTACAAGCCTCTCTGAAGACTTGCACGAACCTCAACACATCGCTCCAAGAATTGTAAAGCGGAGCAGGAGCAACACGAATGACATCCGGCCTTCTCTCGTCTACGACCACACCTTTGTTTTCCAACACATGCATGACGTTGTCCAGAAGACCAGGTGAAAGACGAACAGATAGCTGTGCGCCCCTTTGTTCAGGATCCGAAGGTGTGATAATGGAAAAGCAGTCTTTGACATCCGTGCTTGCGAGAAGAAGTTTCTCCAGATATCCGGTGAGGGCGACTGATTTCTTTCTTAGCGCTGCGAGAGAGGTCTTGTTGAAAATGTCGAGGGAAGCACGTAGAGCTGTCATGTCTGCTACCGAAGGGTTGGAGAGTTGCCAGCCTCCTGCTCCTGCGATGGGGGTAAAGAGGTTCTCCATTGCGAAGCGGCTGCTCTTATCGCTGCCCCACCATCCACTGAGCCTTGGTGTGTAGTCTGGTCTTGATGAGGATGATGCAGTAGAGACTTTGGTGTGACGTTCGTGGACAAAGAGTCCACCGATGCTTCCGGGACCGCAGTTGAGGTACTTGTAGCTGCACCAGGCGGCGAAGTCGACGTTCCAGTCGTGCAGCTGCAGGGGCATGTTTCCTGCTGCGTGAGCCAGATCCCAACCAACAACTATGCCTTTGCTCTGTGCGTGAGCAGTGATTGTGGGGATGTCGAAGAACTGGCCAGTGTAAAATTGGATGCCTGGTAGTAGCAGAAGAGCTGTTTGATCTGCATGTTTGTCGATAGTGGCGAGAATCTGTCGCGTGCTGAGGATTGGATTTTCTGGGTCTTCTGGCTCGAGCAGGATCATCGAGGTTGCCGGATCCTTGTTGTGATGCAGAAGTTGCGATTCGACAGCGTAATGATCACTAGGGAACGCTTTGCCCTCGATGATAATCTTCCATCTCTCAGCAGTGGGACGATAGAAACTGGCCATGGCCAAGTGCAAATTCGCCGTCAAGGTCTGCATGACAGCAACTTCATTCTTCTTGGCTCCCACAACATGACACATATCTCCGATAACATCATCATCAACATGCAACCAAGGTGGCAACTTTGAGTCCTCGATCTCGGTAAAGTGGCCATATACGCCTTTGGTTGCCCAGGTGTGGAGGTAATGCTGTTGGTATTGTGATGTGAGGCGTGGTTGCAGCCCTAGTGAGTTGCCACAGAGGTAGGTGCATTGTTGTGGTTGGTCTTGAAACGTTGGTACGAGGATTTTGGAGTGCAGGTCTGAGATTGTTGGGATGATGAATTGCGAACGGAAGGATGATAGCGGATCCTGTTCATCCTGTGATCGCGCGTACGCCTCGCTGAAAAGATCCACCGCTTTCTTGGTTTGATCCGTCATGATTCAGAACAGATGCAAATGACTGTTGCGTATATTGGAAACAGTTGTGAGTTCCTCAAAATTGTGGTCTAGAAGCCGAAGTGAAGTTGGAGATGAAAGCGTGCCGCCGAAATATCCGTGCTTAGAAATTAACAGGTGGAAATAATTCCTTTAGTCCTATCTTCGGCGATGTTCGCTTGTTGCTTGATTGTACAGAAGTTGGTTGCTCTGCACTTTCCTCAGGATGATTGAAAGATGATAAACTTTGTCCTTGGTCAATCAGAATGGGTGGCCGATTGTGAACCTTGAAGATCAACAATGATGCCAACGTCATGACAGCTCTCCCCACGTTTTTCCGACATCGGGTGTTTTCCGTCAACGACATTGATCTTGCTACCAATTGACCTTTCCTCACAGGACTTACTAGGTATGGCTCATGTGCTACCCGAGAGGAGTGAACCAGAACCACAGCAAGACGGATACCGATAATTCCGAAGCTTTGCAGTACTCGAGAACACATCATGTCCTTGAACAAGTGCATCGCCGAATTAGCCTCGGCATTTCCAACAAGGTAGGTCTCCTCACCTGGAAACAAGGATATCTCCCTCTCCTCCCTCTCCAATTCCAGCATATACCAAGAACAGCACACCATGGCACCCAACGACCGCATCTCCCAAATCGCCTCCCACCTCAACTACCCTCGTGGTCTGCTCGCTGGCCAAGTCGCCATCGTGACCGGAGCAGGCCAAGGCATCGGAGCAGAAACCGCAAGACTCTTCGCCAACGAAGGAGCCAAAGTCATCATCTCAGACATCGATGCCGAGAAAGCTTCCACCGTAGCCAATGCCATCAACAACAATGGCGGCAAGGCATTGGCAGTAGTGGGAGATATGTTGGATGACGCTTACCTGAAGACCCTCGTGGAGAAGGCTGCCGAGTTTGGCGAGGGCAAAATCCATATCATCGTCAATAATGCAGGCTTCACCTGGGACGGTGTTATTCACAAGGTACATTGCCTCCCTCCCTCATCTCTCCAAACCATCTATCTGACCAGAGGATAAACAGACAACAGACAAACAATGGGATACCATAATGTCCCTCCACGTCTCCGCCCCCTTCAAACTCATCCGCAACGCCGCCCCATACTTCCGCGTCAAAGACAAGGCCCCCAGAAACATCATCAACATCTCCTCAACCTCAGGCCTGCACGGCAACGCAGGACAAGCAAACTACGCAGCCGCCAAAGCCGCAGTCACAGGCTTGACAAAGACAATCGCAAAAGAATGGGGACCTGCCTTCGGAGTCCGCTGCAATACAGTCGCATACGGCCACATTGCTACTAGACTCACGGCAGCGAAGGAGGAAGGTGCATTCGTGACTACACCTGATGGTGAAAAGATTGCTTTGGGTATCCCTGAGGCGCAGAAGAAGGGGAGGGAGGAAGGTGTGGGTGCGTTCAAGGATATCCCTCTAGGCAGACCTGGTACGGCCACCGAGGCTGCTGGTGTCATTTTGGGGGTTGTGAGTCCATACTTTTCGTACGTGACTGGTCAGACTATCAGTGTCACTGGTGGACGCAACATCTAAGCAGGTCGACAATAGTGTGGTTGGTCGACCATGTATGGAACGGTCATGACAGCAGTTTGTCTAGGTAACCTTGTGTTTTTGGTTCAACAGTAATGTATTTCTGTTTACGAGAATGCTTGGGAAGAAAAGAAGAAGAAGAAAAACACCTCCCAATAGTTTGCCATATAGCCACGTAAGAAAAACGGATGCCCAAATACCACTCTCTCTTTCTTCCACTCTCGGCATTCTCTAGCTTTGCCAGATTGCATCGACCTCTTGGTCCTCTGCGTTATTTACACCCTGTGTGACAAGCTCTGCTTAGATCTGGTAGCTGGGGTTGGCTGCCTTGGCTCTGGCAGGGTCAAACTCCCAGACACCGTTTGTCTTGTCGGCCTCGAGACTGCCGCCGGGGACTTGGTGAATCATGGCGTCGAAGCGCGGGCTGTTGGGCACGCGGTTGAAGAATCTACGCTGCCACTCGGAGTTTGACTCCTTTTCTCTCTTGCGCAACTCGCGCTGCTGGTTCTCGATGAGCGACTTCTCGGCCGAAGTGGTGTCCATATCACCACGGTTGATGGCCTCGGCGACCTTGTACCAGGCGCGGCGCGACTCAAGAGGATCCTGCTGCTCGACAGGGGCGACGGTAAGAGGAGTCTTCTGCATCTTTGAGGCATCGTAAGACTCGACGACCTTCTTGTGGGTGTCCTTGATGACAAAGTTGCCGCTCCATTGACCTTCGGCGTTGTAGATGACGTCCTTTTCGCGGCCGTTGGGGTACATGGTTGCAGTAAAGGAGTTCTTCTTGCCGCTGACCCAGCCCTTGCCGCTGTAGTCGATCTTGCAGGTGTAGCCAGTGGAGGAAACAATGTGAGTGCTCTTCTCAAGCTCAACGTAGGGCGAACCGGTGATGAGACCTTCGATGTGGAGAGCGGGGAGAGTAATCAGGTAGTCCTCGTCGTACTGGTCGATGTGGAGAACGGCGTGACCAATCTGCTTGACGTTGATGGTTCTACCGAAAGAGGCCTTCTGAGCGTTGTAACCTTGGAGACGGACACCGTGTTGCTTGTTCCAGATGCTGTATGCGGTGACTGGGGGATGGTGGCTGGGATTTTGGTTAGAAAAGACGGAGTTTGAAGTGGCAGGGTTGTACACACCTGACTTGCTCGCTGACGAGCTCAGTGGTGCCGGCCTGGTCAATCCACTTGCCCAAGAACAACTCGCCCAAGAAAGGGTTGAGGGGCTTCTTCTCGCTACCGAGCTTTTCGTTGCGCGAGGTGTATTGTTGCTTGAGAGTGCTCAGGAACCACTTCAAGACGAGCATGCAGCGCTTCTGCTTGTCGGCTTCGGAAGCGGGAGCGACCAGGACTGAGGGCATCTCGGCCCAGTATGCCGAGAACTCGGTGAGCGAGGTTGTCGACAGAATGAAGGCAGGAGCGGTGAGAGACGAAAGGTCGCCATTGAAAGAGGCTATCGACTGTATCCGCGCGTCAGTGGACAGAGTCGAGAGAGAGGCACAACAGAGGAGTGCTGTAGTACCTTGAGGAAAGAACCCCAGGAGCCCTTGCTGGCAGTGGGAACAGCTGAGCCTTCTGCCATGATGTAATGGGGGTTGGGCGAGGGTTGTGGTGTGGGATGTTGTGGGAGAACGGGTTGATGAGACACGAGGACGCGGAGGGTGGATGAGGGGTGATTGCGATGCGGCCAAATTACGAAGCTGGCGTCACGTCGATGATGAAGCTTTTGGGAGCCGTTCGCAGGGGTGATTTGTACGCGCTGCACTGAGATGACACTGTATGACGGCTGTCGAGATAAGGGATATGCAAGCAGGACTTCTGGTAGACAAGACAAATGCTGCAGCTATGGTTCGATTGCGACTGCCCTTCGCACCACCGTCGCCTCTCCCATTTCCATCGTCCATCGTCCAACTTCCCCCAACTGTCGTCATGCTTGGCGTCTCAGCCTCACACTTATCCGAGGTGCCTGTTCGCCTACCAGGTACCAACCTCCTTCGAGGTCTCTACCCAGCCCGTCATGATAAACAACAAGTCACCAAGAACCATCAGAAACACTCCCGTCAAGCTCCATTCCATTATTTGAACTGAATCTGGCATTTCAATCATTGTCATCATCGTAGTTTGTTCCATCTAAACCACTCTTCCATCTTCTCTGTTTTGTTGAAATAAACGAGCGCCTGCTCGCCCCGTATCCGCCATCTAATGCTCTTTTTCGCGATTCAAATAACCCCCAAGCCAAGAAATATGGCTACCACTCCGTTTGTTGTTGATCGATTGTGTTTCCCAATATTATACACAGAAAGGATAGAATATAAAGTGAAAAAGGCTGCTGAAGGCCGAGCGATCGCCATGAATGATGCCTGTCATGCTGTGCATATCAGGTCGTTTGTCAATGCTGAACCAAGATCATGTCAAATCATTCAGACCTGCTTTCCCCAAAGCACATCTGTAGATCCACGTGTCTTTGCAAAGCATTGCTGTTTTTGTGTTGATGGTCCAATGTCCAACGTCTTGCTCAGATTCCCCCGAAACCTAGATCAAGCACGTGGACTCTGTGCCATTCCAGAGCTGTGTGCGACGTTCAGCATCATTCTCTCGACTTCCGGTGCTGCCTTCATCCAGCCAAGTTCCCAGATGTTGTATGAGTTGTTCTTGACAAGTTCCAGGACAGTCACAAGCAATCCCCAAGGGTGGGGTCTGGAGCTCATGACCCGCTCGACCAAGACTCTGGCAACCTGCTGTTGAAGATCCTCAGAGCTGACTGTAAAGGTATGAAGCAATGCAGTCGAGAAGTAGTGGGTGTGTGCGTTAGGGTAACGAATCTGATTGGTCATGGCGCTGAGGAGTTGATATCGCACTTCGTGGCGCGACTCGTGCAGCAAACGCTCAATCACCCTGCTAGGAGTAGCTGAGGGTGAGAAGACTGAAGACCCTGCGGTCGCAGTGTTGCCAATCTGCAAAATCAACGCGTTGGTGATCAGAGCGTCGGGCTTTCCTTCATTGTCAATGCCATTGATGACAAGCTTGATGTCATCGTCCTTGATCTCCTTGCCGTTGAGCAAGTTCTCGATAGCGGTATCGATACCCGCGTCAGACAAGACGTCCTCAAGTCCACCACGAAGTTCTGGCAGTTGACGAACTTGTTCCAGGCGGTTCATCTTGAGGCCTGGTGTGAATGGGTCAGGCAGCTCCTGGAAGGAAGAAGGGTATGCGCAGTTGATGACGTTCTGCAACTGGAGCAAGCCAGCAGGCACGCTGCTGTTGAGGCGCATGTGGTTCTCAGTAAGGAACTCTGGGAAGTCGTGCTGCAAGATGAGAAGGACTCGTAAAACGCCGCGGTAAAATTCTGCCGCATGAATCGAGATTTCTTGAGTGCTAACCAAGTCACCGAGGAAGCTGAACAAGACTTGGAGAATCTGAAGGTATATGTCCCAACCCTTTCTGTCCACAGATCTCATGACCTCAGGCACGAACATACGGTGACTGATGAGTGCCAGCCAGGAGAAGGTAAACATGGGGAAGAATCTAGGCTGCAATGCCAGGAAGGCTTTGCCGAAGACAAGAATAAGGTCCTGGTAGTCGTCGCCCAGGGTTGCTCTAAACGACGAGAGTTCGCACAAGATACTAGACATGAGTCTAAAGAAGATCCTATCGTTAAAGCGATCAACAGTACCCGATGTCTGGTGGTGATTCATGACCAAAACAAGCAAACCAAGGATTGCCTTGAGGTAGTCGGTCTTGCTGTTTGAGAGGACGCCTTCACCTTCACTCTGGTATGCGACGAGTGAAGCGATCAACTTGGCAAGAGCATCAACGTGGACATAGGCATGGTCGAGGCTACCGTATGTAAGTGCCTCACGTTCGAATGAGTCGAGCGACATCTCAATACAGACACGAAGGAATGCAGAGAATTCTTCCTGGTTGCTGAGTAGACTACGACTCTGCAGTTGTTGGATGAACGCCACCATGTAGCGCTCAGGGACTTCAGGTCTTTGTAGACGTACCCATTCCTCAAACACATATTCAAGTTGATCCTGCTTATCAGAGGCAGGAGGACTTGGTGGAGGTGCGCCGTTGGACACATCCTGGAGTTTCTTGATGATGTCCCTACCCAGATCCACGCTGGAATCCTCGGAAAGCCACTGGCCAAGTGCACCAAAGGAGAGGACAAAGTCTGCACGGAGAGCAGCTGGGTGCTCGCTAAGCAGCAACTCATCAATGAGAGCGCCAAGGAACTCAATAGCGACTATCTTCTTCTGCATAATCGCTTGCGAAGTCTGCAGATCGACGTGATGGATGTCAAGCAGGCCCGTCTTGAGCAAGCACACTGTGACAGGGCCATTGTAGACCTTGTCATCGTTGATAGATGTCAGATAGATGGTCAAGTTTCGAGCCGTCGTGACTGAAATAAGACAAAGGTGGTTCAAGACTTCAACAAAGACTTCGATCTCAAGACGGGTCTCACTCTTAGTATAGGCAAATGCCGTGGCTCTCTGAACGGTCAGCAGAGCTATGTGCTCCTTGTCGGGAGAGCTTTCAATCATGCGCATCAAGTGTGCGTATGCCTCACGGACCGGCGAGTTGGGGCCGATTTCGTTGATGTGCTCTTCGGATGCCTCGTGGGCAACACGCTGGAGCTCAGTCAAAGCCTCAAACACGTGTGCTATCACGACGTTTGTGTTCATGTAACCATTGGTCTGGTCTTGAGCCGAGGTAACACGAGGCTGCTGCTGTCCTTGTCGAGGAATGGCTGGGGCTTCAGCTGGGGTGGGTAGATTCGTCAAGTAGTTGTCGGTGAGCTCTTGCAGCTGGCGGGTGTTATCCTGGGAAACTGCATTGGCGTGAGGAGCGGCAGGTAGACGCATTTGACGGCCAAATTCCTCGTAGATGGCCAGTTGTTGTGGGTTCAGGCCACCTGGCTCCTGTCTGTATGGGTCGGGGATGAAGAATGCCCATCGGCTGACCGCAGGGAAATTGAAAGGCTCACTTGGGCGTTGCTCGATATGTCTCTTGCGACGCTCCATAGATTCTTGGATCTGTGCATCAATCTCTGCCATGGATTGAGATTCGGCAGCATCCTCAACAAGTTTGCAAACAGTGTCGAGGTTGTCGTTGACGAACATAAGAATGGAGCCCTCAGGAAGAGGCTCGCGCAAGTTTTGAGCTGCGAGTATGCGGATGTTGTTCGAGATACTCATACGCAGAGGCTCCTTGCAGGTGACGAGGGCAAGGCTTCCGGAAAGTGCCTTGACCACGTTGTGAGCGCACGAAGAGAGACGCTCCGGGTCCGATTCCATAGCGAAATCTTTCTCAACGAGCTGCGATGTCGAGATGGCAGCAATGGTGACCGAACGTTCCACAACCGGAGCAATAATCTCAGTAATGGCACGCTGGGCAGCTTCGAGGAAGATGTTCTTGAGCTGGGCATGAGAGATACTGCCAGAGGATGGAGGGTAGTTCAGCATAGCACCGAGATCGGGAAGAGACTTGAGAACATCCTGGGAAGAGAAACGTTCGCTGGGAGCTCTTTTAGATAATGACATGAGATGCATATCACCAAAGCCATCCATAGTGTCAGTCGGGTACTGTTGTAGAAGCTCGCCTTCCAGATGAAGCGGTAGGGTTCGGATGATCGAAGCTGGTTCGACCACCTTGTGGTCAAGACCCAAATCCTTGCACAAGACTTCGATCTCAAACTTCAGATTCAACTTGAGTTCAGCAAATTCGTAAAGCTCAACTAGGAAGCCGATGAGTTCCATCAACCACGGCTGCGGAGGTCTGAATACCTTCGAGTCTTTGGCCTGAGAGAGAACCTTGCAGGTGAATGGAATGGCGATGATTAGACGCTGGGTCTGGTGGGCTTCGATCAGGAGATCCTTGAAGGAGAGATTGCGGTGGAGGATTGGTTGATCGCGAGCGAGAGTAAGCATGCCCAACCAAGTAGCAAGGTTCTTCAGGTTAGTGCGATCTTGAGAACTGTTCATGGTTGCTTCTGCGTTCAATATTCTGGACACACTGCTGTACGTCTCCCGCAATACCTCTGCATACAGAATCTTCTCATCAAACATTGTCAATATCTGCAGGTAGAGACTCTGGAAGTTGGGTTGCGCTTTGGCGAGATCCTCGACAAGGTAGTTGGCAAACCATTGGTGGTGACGCTCCTCGAGAGCAGATTCCAAATCCTTGAACTTCTCCTCGATATTGTGCTTGGAAACGTTGTTGAGGACAAACATGACCTTGTCTGAAGTTTCTTCGTCGGGCTCTTCGTAGAGTCCAGGTCTGAGCGGAGCCTCAGCATGGATACTGCGGAAGGCAGGATACTGTGACTCGAGGACAAAATCTTCCAAATTGCCATTGGGAAGTGAGAGCTCCGGCTGCAAATCACCACTACGTAGGTCAAGACCAGGCTGGCGGCGCACGACCTCTTCAGCCTTAGTCCACACGTCTGTTCCGCGTAGATGAGGAATAGCAATTAGGCGATTACAGAAGCTTGGCCATTCTTCAAGGCGATTGATGAAATGAAGCAAAGCTTGAAGACCGAACTTGTACATGGAGTCCTCTGGAGCGTATTCGGCAACAGCATCCAAAACCATGAACAAAGCAACACCGAGGGTAACGCGGGAAGAGAGTACACCGAAGTTGATGATACCACCAAACAGTACAGCGGTCGTAGCCAAGGCCTCGAGTGGGTACTCGCCAAAGCAGTTGTACTCGTCAAAGAGTCCATGAATCATGCAAGCGAATAGGTCCTGGTCGGCAGGGTCTTCGGACTCCTTAAGATGTTGAAGGCGCTCAATCATGCCTCTTGGATCCACCTCGTTGCTGTACATCATCTTGTATTGCTCCTGCATCTTAGCATCAGCGTCCTCGGATAGAGAGTTGCCATTTTCGCCATTTGCGTCGATCACATTGTCGAACTTGTAGCCATAGTTGATCAGACGAGGGTAAACTTGGAGACAGACGCGTTGGATGGCGCCAATCTCCTCGTCACTGAGATGTCCATGAATGACGTTGAGTAGAGCGTAGACGGTTTTGACCTTCAGAGGGACATATTGATGCGGATGGTCGCGTTGAACTGACTGTTCATCTTCGGCCTTTATTCTGAGAAAGGTGACGACAGCTCCAGCAAGTTGTTGAGGCGATATCTCAAGATGACCTTGAGCCCAGACTTCCAGATCAACTTCTCCTTGTCCGTGTCCGTATGCAGCGAGGTCCAGTCCAAACTCGTTAGTGATAAGAAGCAGAGTATCTGTCCAACCATGTTGACGAGCGTGCTCGAAGATCACAGCCAGTAGGGTCGGATCGGCGTTGTATGCTTCGACCAGTTTGCTAGCCAACCAAGATTTGTCGTGCTTCCAGAGCGCGTGCAGAACGAAGTCGTAGTTCGGGAGCGATTTGTGGAAGAAGGGACGGAAAAGCTGATTGAGAGCCATTTCCTGAAGGGCGGCCCACGGTTTCTCGCAAGCGGAGGCAGCACATACGAAAATGTCTGTGTTTGCGTTGATGACGATCTCAGGGATTCCGAGATTCTGCGCCTGGTTGTATGCGTCCTGTGATTGGAAGATGACATGGAACAGGAACTTTGTAGCTTCCAGCGACACCATGGGGTGACTGACGGCCTTTTGCGCGTAAGCTTTGACTTCGTCGGAAGCATCTGCAAACTCGTCCATAGAAAAGGCAGCACGCAGACGGGGGATCTGAGAGGCGTCCAATTCCTGAGGCGAGCAAGATAAGAAGGCGGTAACAAAGGAGAGCTGAGCGTTGGTCGAAGTCCAGGCACCGCCCCACAGACACTGGATGTCGAAGGTGTCAGTCTCGCGGGCGATAGGAAGCAAAGCATTGTAGAGTGCCAGGAATTGCGACTTGGTGATGCGCATGAGAGCCATGTCAAATGCTTTCACAACGGCATACCAATCAATGTGTTGAGCCTGGAAGTGCTGGCGGACGGCGGAAACGAAAGCGCCGATGTCGTAAGACTCATCAGAGAGGAGCATATACGCCAGTGCCACAGCGATGAGTTGCGGCGAGATCTGGTCGACTCTAGCCAGGACTTCTTTGCAGCTGTCAATCGAGGATGTAGCCCTTGGCCCTTCCCTTTGTACAGGGCGGACGAGGGCGGTGTTGGTAGGAATCAGGTCCATGAAGGCAATGAAGGCGCTAACTTCGCTCGAGGGGTATGTGCGAAGCTTTACGAAGCGTTCCTGCAAGCTGCCGAGCAGGTGATCCTGAGCATCCTTGTTCCATTGCCGCGGGGGGTCGAGAATGAGACGGAAGAGAATGCTGGACAGGAAGGAAGAGCTGATGTCGTCGGCGGTGGGGTTCGCAATGGCTTCCAGAAAGGGCGAGTAATTGTTGCTCAGTATGGCGTCGGCTGGGACGTGAGTTAGCAGTGAAGATTGAAAATGGCGATGGGTGGAGATATGTAGAGCGAGATACCCTTTGTTTTGATGTCTTGCTTGGAGACGACCTTGCAGGCTAGCGCCAGAGTGACCTTTGCGGTGGGGTCTAGTCTGAAGTGGTCCATGAAGGTCGATAGGTCGAAATCTTTGAAGAGGTCGCCATCCGAGTTGGTGTCGAGAGCATCTGCAATCTTTGCGGCTTGCGACGGCAGGCGCGTCAACTTCTGCATCTCGTTGGCCAGCAGCGGGTAGCTCCCGCTATCATTTGCTGAGCGCTGTGCATTTTGGTTTGATGAGAAGATCAGAGGAGCATTGCTCTGCAACAGCCTCCGGAAATACGTTGTCGACACGTCCATTCCGTGCGCATCCACCAACTGCAATCGAGTCAGTCGTTATGCACAAGACAAGCTCACTCGATATGGCGCATACCTTCTGAATCTTTTCGGCCTGTGTCTCCCACTTCTTATCGTCCTTCTTGAGTGTACTCAGCAGGATGTTCAGCTGAGTAACGACCAAGCTGGTCAATTGTCCAGAAGGCACGCCCGACGATTGAGCCGAAATTGGAGAGGCCGAGACGGACTGCGGCTGCTGGTTAGATCTCGCGAATCTCCTACCAGCGGATTGGGGAGCTGGCGGGATTGTTGCTGAAGTGGGTGTAGAGACAACCCCACTCGAGATGGACCGCTGCTGCTGCTGCTGCTGCTGCTGGGTGGGCGACAGTACAGAGGGCGTCGATGAAGTGGACGAGTCGCGACTAAGAATATGGCGCGTGGCAGGCGAGTTGACGGCAGACGAATGCTGGGTCGAGATGGGAGGAAGGCCGCGGCGTGCTGGCCTCGAGGCGCGTGAGGTCGACTGCTGGGCTTGCGAAGACTGGGTGTCGGCGAGATGTTGCGTGTGCTTGGACGAGGGGAAGCTCATTAGTGACGACTACCCGTCCATCAGTCTCTGCTGCTCGCTGTCAGAGGGAGGGTGATTGAAGATGGTTGATTGGGATGTCGAACTATGAACTATGTGTCGCCAGAGTCAAGCATGCTACATGCTTGGCGCCATCTCACGCACGCCAAGCCCGCTTCACTGGACCTCAAGTCCGCTGTACCACCCTGACCGACTGTTTCCTCTGCTCTTCACTTGCATCTTGCGGACTCAACAACACCTTGAATTCCTAAAGGCCTGGGGTCATCTCATTCAATAAGCCAATTCTGAAATTGTGTTACATCTTGAGGCTCAACATCAGACTCACGATCAGGTTGTTAGTCTTAGTGTTAGACATCGTCAATTTGATTGCACGACCGGAACCAAAGACAGAGGAAGGCACCCTGTGCCATCGACAAGACGTCATCAGAATGGGTATAAAAGAAAAGGCAACAAGTGTAGCGCTCGGTCACAAACGAAACATCATCAAGCAGCAACCAAGTAGTTGCTGGGAACAAGTCCTCTTCGGCCATCTTTGCCGGCCACCTCGGCCTCCCACCATCCATCATCTTGCAATCTCAGAACGGCCAAGATGTCTCCCTTGGCGAATGTCAACTCTTCAGGGATAGCTGCCTGGTACATGTACATTGCACGAGCTATCATCATGTGTTAGCTACAGGTCAAGAGTCGTTGGTCACGGATGGATGCAAACTTACAGAACTGGAGAATCGGTCTTCCATCTTTGGTAAATTGTCTCTGTCCAGCAGAGCTCTGGCTGCGTACACGAGTACTCAGTTGCTGCTGCTGTTGTGGCGGTGCTTGTTGCTGTTGCTGCTGAGGGGCTCCTCCACGAGGCGAAGATGCCGCTGCCCAACCACCCTCTGCTCCATAGTATGTGCTGGTCGGTCTCAGAGGTCCGCCAGGTGCTCCTCGAGAGGATGGAGGATATCCCTGGTCACCTGCTGGGGCCAACTGCATTGCCATGGCTGCAGGATCGCCACGGCTACTAGTGGGTCTGCTACCCTGTCCCGCCGAGCCACGGAACTGAGGGTTGGGACTAGCAGATCGCGGCATGCCCGATACTGGAGAGTTGCCATGAGACGCGTAAGCTGGGTTGTAGCCAGGACCTTGCTGCTTTATCGGGCTTGATGATTGTGCACGTGGTCTTCCTGCTGACATACTGCCAGGAGGTGCTCCGCCATATGGGTTTGGCGATGTTGATCGGTAGCCTTGTCCTTGAGGAATTGGCTGAGACCTGCGATCATAGCCCGTACTGGGACGAGGACTTGTAGCACGTGGAGGTGCAGGTGAACTTGTGCGCAGAGGTGCTGGTGAGGCCGAGCGCATCATCTCACCCGAACCTCTGGGGTCTCCACCTCTGCTAGCCGGACGGGAGCCCATCTGTGAAGGTGTGTTGCGTGGTGGAGCGTTGAACATATCTCTTTTTTGAGTCATGTAGCTGGCTGTCGTCTGCTGCATCTGCTTGCTAGTGAATGCAGGCTGTGGTGCACCTAGTCGCCTCATTGGTTGATCATAAGAGGGTGGTGGAGTGCCGCGTTGACCGGCGCGAGCATCAGAGTTGGCGATCAGAGGCGATGGAGATGCTCTGCCAGCACCAGGAACAGGAGTGGGGATGCCAGCATAGCGGTCTGCCGAAACGCGAGTTGAGGCTTGCTTTCTGACACCCTTCAGCTCGGCGAGAGCTTGAGCAATAGGATCAAGCTCTCCACTAGGCTCTTCTGCAGCGACCGATTTCTTCCTAGCATCGGGTGTTGCAACGTCAAAGACATTGTTGCCGATGTTCAGTTGGAAGTTGGCACGAGGATCAACGGGCTCTGGATCAGGACTAGGCATGGGATCATTGCCAAAGCCAACATTCTTGGCCTCACGTCCGAAGGGACGGGCTGGAGAAGATGCAGTCTGTGGTCTGGCAGCGGGTGCCCAGGTGTTACGCTGAGCCGGACCGGCCGAGATTGAAGCAGGAGCCACGTTTTCGTGCTTGCTCTTACGACGTCCGAAGGGACTGTGGTTTTGAAAGAAGCCACTTCGTCTCTTTTGTAGCGTCTTGTCATCCTGTTGACTGCTAGTGGAGACTGTGGACCCGTTGAGTTGCTTCATGGGAGAAGTCGGAGGTTCCACGCTTGAGAAGGAGTTTGCATTGGAGATCTCACTGTGCGAATCATCCTCTGGGCGCGTGGGACTAGGGATGGAGCTGCGATCAGATGGAGGGCCAAGTCTGCAGAATTGAGTCATGCCATCCATAGGGTATTCGTTGTGAGGCACCTTGGGGAACTCTTGGTAGGCATTAGTTGGCACAGCTTGCTGACTAGAGCGGCGTGGTGGCGGGGCACCAGCAGTAGACTGCTGAGATCTTTGGGATAGCTGAGATCTTTCCGAGTTTACTGACGAACCGAGAGCCAATTCCTGGGCCAGGGTAGATGCAGGATCGTGGTGAGATGAGTAGGTTGAGGGCTGTGGCGAAGATGAGCGGAATGCAGGATTCATGGTTCTTTGGAATTGGGCGACCGAGTAATTGGCGTCGTCCGAGACATCAGAAGCATTGTCGTTGATATCACCACGGCAGAAGTTGATGTACTTGGGCGGATCAGGGATCTCCTGGCCTGTACCGCTATCCTTGATGAAAGCAGTAATGTCCTTCTCAACATCGCAGTCCTCGAGAGACAGGCGAATCTTCTCGCAGGAGGCGTCATCGCTGACACAGACAGTGGACGAGATGTTAGCGAAGCTCCATAGACTACTTTTTGTGAAGTCAAGGCGTTCTTCCTCGAGGTCCTGAAACTTGTCGCAGGCGGCCTTCCATTCGCGGTTCCAGCGGGCAGTTGTCTCTTCGAGGACCTTGACAGCTTGCTCGTATTCGCTGCTGGTTGCCGACATCTGGATCTGCGTCTTCTCGAGCTTGGCCTTGTTCTTGCGCTCTTCCTGACCCATGACCATGTGGCCTTGGGCGAGATAGCCCTTGATCTTGAGACAGTCTTGCTCGTAGCGATCGCGAGCCTTGTTGACCGTGTGTGTTTGTTGTGTCTTCGTTTTTAGGAGCTTTTCAATGCCGTTCTGGATGATCTTGCGACGCTCCTTGATGCCGCCGGAGAAAGTCGAGAGTGGTTCTTCAAGCTCGCCCTTCATCTGCTGCGCGATGTGTTGGTGTGACTTGCCCATGGCCTCTAGCTCTCCACGAAGGACATCCATGGACATGCGCAAGGTGCCGGCCTCGGAGGAGCCCAGTGGTTTCCGGGCGAGGTTGAGGATCTTGCGGGAGTATTCTTCTTCGATGGCGGCCCGTTGGGTGTAGAAAGACTTGAGTTCGTCGCTGGTGATTTTGGCATTGTGCATGCGTTCGAGCAATGGGTCGACGCCCGCATCTTCCTTGCCCCAGAAGTTGTTTGCGACTGGATTTCTCGTTAGTCTTGTGCTGCGACCATTTTTGATCATGTTTACTTACATGAGAGCGACACGCTAGGTGCCATCTCTGAAGCTGGTGTCGCCGGCATGGCGACTGTGTGTGATGGTCGATAGAATCAACGATTGCGCTGAGTGACGTGCAGAAGCAGTCCTGTATCTGATGTTCTGGCTACAAGTCTGTATGGCAGCGAAGTATGGATGGAGCCCAGGTCGGAGAAACGTGGGTGCATTTGGCTAGTTGCGATTGTTGTCATCCAACACCTGCACGCCGTCGACACAGCAACCAAATCGTCATTTTCTTAGCGAACGCTGCTTTGCCTTGCGCCGAACTCTGTCGTTCAATCCAGCATCATGCCCGTTTTCCTTTCAACTGTCCCTCTCGAAGCGATCGATTACGGTCAAGAGTAATCTCGTATCAGGTCCGAACCACGACCCGGTGATGCTTTTGTCCACGGTGTTTCTGGACCAATTTCAGTCGCATTGCGTCTCCACTCTTACCGGCATCTGGTAGAGGGCGTTCTCTATCAAATCTGGGGCACAGTTGGCCTGTGCATGCCGATCTGCCGGCAGTCCCTTAGCATCTTATTCTTGACCACCTTCCAACTTCCCACTCTTGACCTTGGACGCCTGTCATGCCGACACTGTTCCTTCTTGATGATCAGCGGAGTCATCTGCTACACTCGGCAGCCCTCGTCTGCCAGAAAAGTATGTCTGGTACATGACTTTGTCTTCCTCAAAACCTTTGCTAGTCCGTGATCCACCAGCCAGAAGCTATATAAGCTTTGCTCTTACTCTACACCTTGAGCAAGAATGCTCTGCTATCCCGGACGTGTTCTTGGCTTGTGCGAGATTCAACATCTCCTGTCATGGCCGTGTCTGAACTCTTCCTCGACACATTGTTCACCGAGGCCTTGTAGCAATCTACCAAGCACCTTAATACCATCTCGTGATACCTTGAAACCTAGTCCAGTCTATGGGTCATCGTCACTCTCGACCGAAAGTTCCTCACAAGGATGTCCCTACTGCTGTTACAGTCAGGTCTGATACTAGACGCATACACATCGGCCGCACACAAAGGGACACCTCGATCCAACCTCACCGAAGGAGCACCCGTGAACCGAGATTGCTCTCCGAATTGCCGTCTGAGTATGCGCGATGTGCGGACGTCGGTAGAGATGCATCGCCGATCGAACCACAGACCAAATCAGAACTGGTCCCTCCACCCGTAGACCCTCCGCAGTACAAACTAGACTCGCTTGGTCCCCTCGAGTCATTCAATGGATCCATAAGGGATAGTGGTTCATCGGAAAGAGGCGAAGAGACTCTGACGACTCCGCAAGTCCAGATCCAGGGCCCGCCATCTGCTCGACGTCCCGGTATTGCGAACTTCGTCGAACAATCACATGCACTCATTACACCAAGAGAAACAATCGAGGACGATCCGACAACGCCTCAGCTACAGTCACAGGATGCGTCATCTGCTCAAGGTCCCGAGATTGCGGACTTCTTCAAACAATTCCACGCACCCCTTACTCCAAGCCATGTACTCGTGAGCAGCGCCGGAAGTAGTACTGCAGCGAGAAGCAATGACGCTCCACCAGTGCCGACATTGAGGTAAAAATACCCTGTGGGTGGCATACATCGAGACTGATCTTTCAGTAGCACAAAAATAACAGTCAGACCAATTGTCCTATTCAGAGGTGGAGTCGTCGATAACATAGCATCTTCCGCTGATGTTACACACGATCGTCCAAGGATGACGGCAAAGTTGGCGATAGCAGACCGATCCGACTAACAAGAATTTCAAGGGCAAGATCACAGCGACACGGCTCCTAAGATTCAATTCACTTTTGCCTTGACTGATCACGATTCTGGAAATCCGACTGGCAGGCTATTTCCTCTGTCTAGTCAGCCCTTGCACGAAACCACGGCAGGGTCCCTTGGGGAGGATCTGGTGGCTTTGCATACCCCCAAAGACCTGCATCCAGTAAAAGGAGATGGCCTCGTCACACAAGCAGCACTCGACTATGCTATGGCCGTTTCGTTACAACAAGAAGAAGATTGTAGATATGCCGCAGAGCTGCAAGTGCCATCCAGAGACTGTACGGTATGCTGTGAATCCCTACACCCGCTGGAATTTCCAGCCATGCCTCCCTCGAGCGATTGCGCGCATGCTGCAAATGTCTGCTTTTCCTGTCTACAAAAGTGGGTCGCGACAAAGGTAGATACAAACGCACAAGCAGTGATCGATTGTCCACGGTGTACCACCCTTCTAAGCCATGAAGATGTCCGCCGCGCCTGCAACTTTGAGACCTTTGCTAAGTATGATCGATTTGCCGCACTAACTGTTGTCAATGGCTTGCAGAACTTCCACTGGTGTTTACGGCCTGGCTGCACTGCGGGTCAGGAACACATTGGCGGTCATCTAGGTTATATGCAATGCTACGCATGCGACTTCGAGCAGTGTCTGAAGCACAAGACGGAATGGCACCGAGGTCAAAGCTGCCGGCAATATGATGCACGTATCGAGACACAGGCCGATAAGCAACTTCGCGAGCAAGAGGAACGGGCAACCGCAAAGTTTATGGACGAGCAGCAGATCAGAATTAGACTGAGAGAATGCCCGGACTCCAGGTGTAGGAACAGGATCCCAGAAGGTGAAGAGATCCCTGGAAAGTGCCCAAAGCGTGGATGCAAAGCCTCGCTTGAGCGTGAGCCAGTCTGGAAGAAATGTCCAGCTTGCCAGACCTTGATTGAGAAGACTTATGGATGCGATCAGATGAAGTGCACAGTAAGCACCACGCTCAATCTTCTAATAGCAGCTAATGGCGAATGCGCGCAGATGACGAGGTGTAAACAGAAATTCTGCTGGCAGTGCCTGGCAACATGGGAAGACATGCTGAGGTATAAAGAGAAAGCGTAAGTCCACCAGCTGCTACGACGAGTTGGGAGATATACTGACTATGCTCACCTTAGACATGGTATTGGCTGCAAATACAGAACGGGTACAACATATCCCTACAGCTACCGCTAAGCCTTGAATCACTCCAGCTCTACAAGTCTTCGACGTTGGAACTTCTGTCTTTGACATGGCTATTCTGTTTTGAGGGCTTGGTCATTGGCAATCTATATCCAAAATAGTTTTTGTGTATCACAAATTCAAGAAACTTCTTAAATCGACCATTCGGCGATGGAACAGCTCTCGTGACCACATGGTTGCATTTGATATACGATAGCCGGAGGGCAAGTTTAGGCGAGGCGATGGAGCTGCCCCAGACTTTGGCCCCCTCGGCCACGCATGCATCATCAAGACACAGTCAATACCTAGGCAGACACTTTCGCAGCCAGCGATACTGCACAAGGTGACGAACAGATGTCTTCATGACCATCACTGCCTCACAGTCTCAAACATGCTTCTGAACCCATTCAGAGTCCTCGGCGACGTCAGCCATACCGTCAGCAAGTGCATCCTGATATGGTCTATCCACACGAATAAGAGTGCTGAGGGTAAGTCCCGTCTTCTCACCCTTGCTAGAGAGTGCCTCTGATTGTTATTGTCCAGGCGTGTCTCTCATCACGCAAGCGCTATATTGTGTCGTCTTCATTGTTCGATACTTGGACCTCTTCAGCAATCTACACGACTTCCTCGGCTTCTGGAACTTCAGTCTCAAGGTCTTCTATATCTCCTCGTCGCTGTACATCGTCTTTCTTATGACAAGAGTCTATGCCCGAACAAGAGAACGCGAGAAGGCCTGGAAGCTTGGGATTTGGAGCGTGCTAGGATCCGTCGTAGGCGCACCCATCGTGGCTGCCATCTTTGTGGGCAAGGACGCTTTCAGATGGAGAAACCTGTTTGACGTTAGTTCCGCTAAATATCATGTATCATCGAGGCAATGTTAACAGGCAACAGATCCCTTACACCTTTACGCTCATCCTCGAATCGCTGTGCATTCTGCCGCAATTGCTTCTTCTACGCCAAACCTCAGTCCCCACCGTTATCGACAGTTTCTATCTCGTTACCCTCGGCTCCTACCGTGCCTTTTATATCCTCAATTGGATTCTTCGCAGCTTCACCGAAGAACGACACCAGAATATTTTCCCCATCAGCTTCACGTTTGGTGTGATACAGACTCTGTTCTACTTCGACTTTGCTTGGGTATACTGGACGAGACAGCGCGTCAAGCTGCGATACGGTGGGGTGGTGGATGGCGAGGATATCAGCAGAGGCTGGCTGATCAGCAGGATCATTGGACACAAAGGCAACACCGAGCACGATGATGACGATGATGCTGGTCTGGCTGGTCAAGAAGAGGGTATCATCCGTCCCACTGGCAACAGTCGTAATTGGGGTCCGAGAGGCATCTCGGTATCTGCAGACGATGGGACACACGAAGCCGAACACACCCGTCTAGCTGATCCGGACGCTTTCGAGGACGACTACGACTACGGGGAGGATGCAGTCGTGGTGAGCCCTGCCGTGTCGGAAGTAGATCGAGCATCTCTCAAGGCCAGGGAAGACAACACGGCACAAGAAGCTGGTGTCAGCGATGGTGTCGAGTGGCGAGACGACCACCATAGCTAAGTACTGCAATGTAAAAGTGTAAGCTTATCACACGCAAACCAGATCTCAAGAGCCGTGTACACATAGTAGGATCTCAAAACTCGGGATTATCCATGATCAAAATGATATCAGCCACCAATTGAACTGGTCGCCAACTATACCAATCAACCAAGTGTCCCGGCAAGGCAGGAAGTCCTGATTGATTCGACAATCTAGGAGCCATCTCTGTGATATACATGCCGTACTTGTGTGATCGAAGAGCGTTGCAGCCTGCTTGCTACCTTTCCTACAGCCAATGTTGATTCATACCATCCGCTCTGGAACATCTTGACTTCAGCGTCAACATTGATTCCGTTCCTGACCTTCGACGTAGTGACTTCCTCCAATCAAGCTTCTTGAGTCGCTCTTTTCTATCTCGTTTGTCACCATTCAATCTTCTGTCACGCTCCCGCCTCCCACCCAACAAACGAGTCTCTCCATGACTCTCAGTACAATCTTCACCTACTCCCCTCACAATACTATCTATTTCACACCACTATCCGACTCACTGAGCCTCCTCACGCGCCACTACATACTCTTCAGTCCGATCCCGTCTCAATCTTCACATCCTCCCTCCGACATGCACTAAACCGCATATCATTGCCATTACACGATTTCTCATCTACCGTCTGCCATCTCAAATTTCACACATATACACACCCACGATCTCGCACACCTGTACAGACATTCACGATCTCTCACGCCGTCGACTTCATACCATCTCGCACTTCCGATCTCAAATTTCGTACCTCATATCCACGTCTGCCATCACCATACCATTTTGAAAGATACAAGTGATGGCAAAGGGAAAGAGAAAGTCTGAGGCGGAAGAAGACGAGAAGGATGAGAAGAAGAACAGCAAGAAGGCTCGCTTAAGTTACGACTTCTTCCACGACAAGCCTGAGTAAGTCTGGAGTTCAGCATCGAGTTAATCTTGCTAACCGGAACCAGGTCAGCCAAGAGAGATGCTCCGACAGTACTTGTCTGTAGGGGCGAAAAGTGCCACGTGTTCCCGCAGATCTTGGAGATCAGCTCAAAAACATTCTCACAACGCTGGGAACATATCGTGCAGAACAACCGTACCTACGCAGTGCTGGATTCTCTAGCCATTCGGGGTGTCCAGGTCTACGCTAACTGGGCGATGGACCACGAGAAGCCGGCCCTGGTTGCAATTAATGACGATGGAGGCGACATCCTGGATGATCTGATCACATGCTACCTTACAGCTCGCGCACTACGGGCATACTTACTCTGCGATCTGCTCCTCTACGAAGCCTGCAAGGTCGGCAGTACTGCCGGCATCAATCTCGTTGTCCGCAGAACGCACATCACAAAAGTCTACGAGGAGACAAAAAGATCGAGTGATGCTCTACGCAACTTCCTTGCTGCTGTGGTAGCCTATCAACGCCGCAATAGCCTGGCCAATCCAATATCCGGCAAAGACGAACGTATCGACAAACAAAGGTCAAGGTTCGAAGCTCTGCCACAAGACTTTCAGTTCGACCTCATGGACGAGCTGTCCAAGAACAACGCAGCTGAAAACCCCTGCCAGAGACCAAAGAGATTTTTGAAAGTCGTGATCTATCACATGGAGAAGAAAGAAGAGAAGAGAGCGGCTGCAGTCCGAGCTCGATTGGAGGCAAGAGGGAGCGAGGGCTCACCTTTGTTCGTGGATGGAGAGGATGACTGAACTGATACTCACACGAGATTAACAGTCAGCTTACACAACATCATGGACAGGTATTCGGTCTCAGACAGACGAGATGCGGTCCCGAACACACGAATATGCGGATGATTTCACGACTTTACGACCTTATGATATTCTTTTATCTAGTAGCGGATACGGACGCCTGCCGACGGGACATTAATTTTTGATCAGACAGGAGAAGAAAAGATCAGAACGATGGTCATGAACATGCATATGCAAATAGTCTTGAGCCAACCAGTTATACCACTTTGCTCTCCACCTTTATGATACACGTCTACTTTCCAATCATCAAATGTGATGTGCAACTAGTTTTGGAAGCCGTAACATGTTTACTTCGTACGTTTAAAATCGCTGTGCGTACACCTTGTAGAACATATAGCGGGTAGGGAGACAGGAGCATATACTGATAGACTCTCGATATCAGACAGACTAAATGTGGCATCGGACAAACTGATCTGTCAACGATATCATGGATGTACCATCTCATGTTTTGCTTTCCGTTACTCGACGATGATCAGACTGTCGAGGATAGAACATTGACTTCAAAAAACGCAGGACAAGAGAAGAATGTGATGATGACTTTTGATTTTGAAATATAGACAGGCCAGCTGTGCTGATTGGATGTCCAAGTATCATTCTACCTGATCTTGCGAGGCGATGCGTGTGCTCCGAGAACACGGCACATGTGTTGTGACCTGATGGCAATCTGCATGTGCCATGAACTCGTTGAAGGATATTCCAAAAAGAGGAAAAGAGGATGGTCTGTTGCTCGTGAGTGTATGTGGCATTTCCTGAATTATGATCACTACCCATCCTCACGTCAAGATAAGCGATCAGCAGGTGTGCTCTCCTCATCGTTCAAGATTTGCAGGGAGGAAGAATTGGTCTGCGTAGTATCCGAGTTCAGGCACGTGCAGCTCCTGGTGTGCGAGGCAAGTGTTGAAGAAGGAGCATCTGCGCCGTGTTCGTGGCAGAGGCCGAGGATCAGTACCAAGCTCTGTGTCTCCCAACAAAATGTGCAGAGCTTCATTGGCCGCGTCCAATATTTAGTCTCTGGCGATCAGACGATTGTCGTGCGATGCTATCTCGTAGTCCATGGACTCCGGAGTACTCGGAGACTTCGCCTGAACTCTATTTCGAGGTAGTTCTAGGATGTCGTATTGCGTGTCTTGAGGATTGCGAATTGTTCAAATGGGCGAGGCCAAGACCTTCTGTTGCGATTCTTCTCTGGCACCCAAAAAGCGTCGTCGGACGAAGTCGACATAGCCGACGCGGCGACCCCTAGCGACGCTGAGAGCATCCTGCAAGAGACCAAAGGCAAGACCAAACTTCAAACCAATAGTGGCAGTCCTCGCGGCAGTCTGGATAGGGAAACGGTTCCAGGCGCTGAAGCCGCCAGCAGTGCCCATAGCAGCAATGACGGAGCTCATGAAATCTCTCTGTACCCAAACACCGCGTTCGTTGTGCAAGTGCTCCAGCCCAAGAGCTTGTTCGGCTGGAGTCTCGTAGATGTGATGGCCTGGCAGTCTCTTTTGTCTCTCTTCTCTTCTTCTTTCCTTGAAGCCAACCAAGTTTCTCAAGACAGCACCTCTGAATCTGTCAACGGCCTCCTCAAAGACGAAAAAGATGGCGGTCCAGAACGACAGACGAGCACCCATGCGGAAACCCTCCTTGATACCACCAAGCATGATGTTGTAATTCTTTGACTTGTGGTAGAGGTACCAGCCTACTTGTGAGGTGGGCAAACGATGAGCGTTTTCGGCGCGAAAGCGGAGACCAGATAGTTGGCCGCCATGAGTGAGACCCAGACCAAAGCCGGCGAAGGATGCGAGGAGTGTGGTGAGCGGAAGGCGGTAGTTGAAGGCTATGCTTAGACGATCATTGGGCGGTAGGCGAGTTGAGGCTGGGGCTGCTGCTGTCGTGGGCTCGTCGATGATGGTGGGAGTCGGGACGGCCGTGTTGAGAGCAGCCTCCTTTTCCGCCGACATGATTGCTGACATGTGCTATAAGCTATGTGCAAGAAGAAGAGCAAGCAGCTCTCGGAGGTGGATTGGAGACTCGCCTAAACCTGCCCATCCTGTCCAAACGCGAGCTCTCCAATGCGCCTTCCTCTTGTTGCTCTTTCACTCCTTCCTGCTTTCATTCAACACACTCGGACACGTCGCCACTCGTTCGGTCTTGCCGGAAGACCCTGCTCCTAATAGCCAAATCTACTTGTCATAACTTGCACGATCCCAATCATGCCTGTCTACGATCCCACGCCCGATGTCTGGACCATCAAGTTCAAGAATGCCCGCACAACCGTCGTCCTCTACGTCTACCAACTCCAAACACTCGCAAGCATCAAACTCGAACTCCTACACGCTCTCAAAACCGGAAACCCCTCTGGCCAACTGAACGGCGCAACTCTGCCCCACTCGGCGGACGACATCGAACTCGCCAAACCGCGCGACCTCTCAAATCCTGGCACTTCAGGTTGGCAGAGCATTGAACCCCATGCTCAGATTGACGACTTTGATGCCGATCTATTCGGAGGTGACAGTGTCCCAGCAAGAGCTAAAGGAAAGGGGAAAGCAAAGGCAAATGGTGCAGGCCACAAGGACAGCCCCTTGGGCGCTGGCTTGAAGGACAATGCTATCGTGGCTTTCCGCTTTAAGGGGCAGAGGACCGTCTCTAGACCTGTAAGCGATGATATCGACGAAGGCTTGGGTCTGGAAGACGATGCTGCGCCTGATGCCGATGGCTGGAACGTCGAGTTGCCCAAGTTCGAGGACGTCTACGGCCTGAACGACTTAGTGCCCGATGACCAACTTCTCACTCCCAAGGCTGACAAGTTCACTTGGGCTGCTTGAAGTCTTGGTGTTTGGTCCTACATCACAAATCAATACCTCGTCAAGCTCGCCTCCCACAGAGCTCCCCAATCGCTATCCGGCAGAGCTGCTTAGCTTGATCGGCACTACCTCAGCCGAGAGGAACATCTATCCTCAGCGTGACAGCTGCTCGACACCAGCCATTGCCTCTAGAATAGATCGTCGTCATCACAGCATAGCTGTCGCGGTCATGAGATCGCAGGCAGATCATTGTGACCGACTGGCGTCAATAAAGCTCACTACACTGTGTATAGTCGATGTCACACTGCGAATCATTGTTACAATCGTTTGGTAACAACTGAACGGATGAATTCAGCTAGATAACGAGACAACGAATTACCAAAATTCCACCCTTCCATATTCGAGCGGTCGCCGAATCATATTCTCTTCATCCTACAGAGCAGACCATTGAAAATCTCTTGTCCCCTGTCTATGGAGCGTTTTACGTCAATTCCCTTGCATGTCGTTATCTGCAATACTAGAGCGACATTGAAGTTCAATGTTGCCGTCTTGAACCGTAGACAACATACCCCCACTCCCATGACGTACATAGCAATCTATAGACTCTCGTATCTTCGGCTACCATCACAACGACTTTACAACACCGTCAAAGTCAGATCATGTTCACAAGCGCAAGCAGCAGAGTTACACAAGTCTTGAACCACTTTACCAACCTATCAAGAACTTTCACGTCATCACAATCCACCATGGCAAAGCTAAGCATCAACTCCACCGTTCGCATGAACTCAGGCTACGAGATTCCGCTGCTGGGTTTCGGAGTCTACCAAACACCCATGGACGTTGCTGAATCAGTCACTGCTCACGCTGTCAAAAGCGGCTATCGCCATGCCGACTCAGCAGCTGCATACCGCAACGAGGCACCCACAGCGGCTGGTCTGCTCAGCACTGATCTGCCTCGCTCCGAGCTATTCTTTACCTCCAAAGTACCTCCCAAAGCCATCAACTACGAAGCTGCGAAAGCTGTAGTCGATGAATCGCTGAAATTTACGGGTCTGGAGTACATCGATCTGTACCTTTTGCATGCACCTTACGGTGGTAAGGAGAATAGATTGGGTGCTTGGAAAGCTTTGGTTGAAGCTGTGGAGGAGGGGAAGGTGAGAAGTATCGGTGTGAGCAATTATGGCGTGCACCATCTTGAGGAACTTGAGGAGTGGATCAAATCAGAGGAAGAGAAGAAGGGTAAAGGTAAGGGTGGTGTGTTGAGTGTCAACCAGGTGGAATTGCATCCTTGGTTGGCTAGAGATGATATTGTGGAGTGGTGTGAAAAGAGAGGTGTTGTTTTAGAGGTATGCTTCTTCACCATCGCAGGTTTGGCGACATGGCTGACTGATATTCCCAGGCATACTGTCCTCTAGTCCGCGCAACAAAGATTGATGATCCACTTCTTACACCTCTGGCAAAGAAACACAACAAGACGACATCCCAAATCCTCCTCCGCTGGGGTCTGCAAAAGGTATGGATCTCCCAAAACTGTTATTTGCATACGGCAGTCTGGCTAATGAGACATTGACAGAACTTTGTTATACTGCCGAAATCGGTTACACCTGCTCGTATCGAAGAGAACAAAGCTTTGTATGACTTCGAACTTGACGAAGAGGATATGAAGTCGTTGAACACCGGAAAGTATGAGCCTTGCGCGTGGGATCCTACTGTCAGTAGAGATTAGCCCGGATAATCGTCTTTCCAAATTCATGGATGTATGGGTATATGAGAGCCTTCGAGGGACTGCCTTAGGAACTATATGTTGAGCAACTTACATGCTTTCGACACGACCCTGTTCCAAAGTCTTCACGTTTGCAATGCCACGTCAGCAGTAACGGTATACCAGTGCTGGCAAGCAGGATGAAGCTTTATGAGGGACTGATATATGGCACTCGGAAGTCGACAAGCCGATTACCCGCAAACCTCATGCTTCAAATACCACTTTCTTGTTCTACACTCTGGCTGCTTTGAGATCGCATCGGGAATTAGTGCCAGTCCTACAACGAGCAAGGTGAATTCCGCAAGGGTCGGATTCAAGTATGCTCAGTGACCACCCATAAGCACGTCGCTAGATCTTGAAGATATGTTCGAGGTGAGACAAGATCAAATGAGTTCTTCCGGCACTCTTTCACCCCTATCGGCAGTCTCAAGCCTCGAACTCCACCTTCAGCTGCCAAACACCAGTTATCATCTCGTTCTTTTCCTTCCAGCTGATCCAGAGACATTCCAGAAGGCCACCGAGTGCCTGGCAGCTGGAAAAGGGTGAAATGAACATGTCTCAAAGACAATGAAAGGAAGTCAGGGTCCAGTCCAGATTCCGGGAATTCCGACGAGGGTGCAACGTCGCTCTTCGCAACATCTCGCTGCTTATCTTCCTTCCCTCATCATCTGTCCCCGTCACTGACAATAAACAATCCTTTTCCAACGTGTCTCAGTTTGGATCGTCTGCTTCTGGTATGGCAGCCAGGGCAATATGTACAGATCGAGAACGAATGACCAGTCGAGCATCGACGCCATGAGAGAGCAGTTGGAAACGGCGATAACGGTTGTCTATCGATATTCTACCCACTGCTGCTGTTCAAGATCTGTATGGCGGTGCCAGCAAATGCTTGCAATCATCTTATTGAGGATATAACTTCTCGTATACTGACATTCTCGTTGCTATGAGGTTTGCGAGGGTCTCACTTGAGCTATACCATTCATCGGATGGAGGTTGAGTCGGTCGCAGCTGCCTGATATCCTTCTCAGTCAAACCGTCGTCTCGAAGCCCCACATCCTGCTTAAGTCTTCGATGACGAGCCGGACATGTTGCGGTCCAACAATAGCATCGTCATACACTCGAGGAATGTGATTGCTTTATTACAACATTGAAGATTGCATATTTGGCAGACTAAACATGACTTATCTGTGCCCTCGGTTTATAGAATCTCGCCTTATTGCGGTTCGCTCTCACTATCTAGCGACGGATAGAAAAAGGCTTGTCAACCGTCGTGGAGACTCTGACCGAACGCCACCATAGGCCCAAGGCGAACGTACATCACACCTCTGCCTAGAGACTTCAGCTACCTGCTCCGGCTCATCTGAAACAATTGATGTAAAATCGTAGCGCCCAGACGGTGAGGTGGGGACAATAGAAGAAGACCGTTGACATCTTCGTTAATCTGCTTTCATACTTGTACTGCTGATCTCTCTCCACTTGGTGAGTTTCTGGTCTTTTTCGATTTCAACTCTTGATCAACTTTGTTCGGAGCACAGCGATACGAAGTGTTACCATAGCGAATCAAGCCGTACAATACACACAATCTCTCAGCTTGGACTTTGATATTCGACACTTGTTACCACGTTTGACACATTGCTCAAATTCACTCTCAAGAGCCAGTAAACCTCTGGCCTCCAGATCCATCGTTGGGTTCACTCACAAACCTAATCACCCCAAGGGGACTACGACCTAAGGTCAACCATCACAATGCCAGCACTAAACTCAACGACGCTATCTCGCAGAAATCTCATGCACGAGATGACCTCACAAGATAACAACGCCTGGTCAATACTTGCCATCACAGGAACATGGTGTTTTCTAGCAGTCATCATCGTACTACTAAGGGTCTACACACGGTTAACGACGATCAGATATCTGGGCTGGGATGATCTCTTCGCGGTATTAACAATGATCTTCGGTGTGACGATCTGGGGTTGCTTCATCGGAGAATCGCACTCAGCACTTGGAAAGCACTGGCAAGTTATCACTCCGGAGATGCTGGTTGCGTACAGCAAATGGCAATTTGCGCATGGAATGCTCATGGTGTGGGCGTTGCATGACATGAAGATTGCGTTTGCTATTTTCTTGCTCAGACTTAGTAATGGCAAGATGTTCAGAAGGTCACTTTTTGCGGTCATGTGTAAGTCTTGAGCTGGTCTGAGATATTCGGAGGTCCCGATTCGCTGACAGTAGCCAGGCTTCATGACTATCTATACGACAGCCTCTTGGTTCACCATTCTGTTTAGCTGTTTTCCCATCTCATCATCCTGGAAAGGCAGAAATGGAAAGTGCATCTCTGTAGCGAGCTTCCGGGGTCTCGGCATGACCTATAGCAGTAAGTGCTGTCCATTGAATCCAAACTCTCCAAACTAATTAGAAATAGTTCTCGGCATGCTTACGGACGCCTTCCTGGCTTTCATCCCAGTTCCGATCATATCGAGAATGCAGCTCAACATCCGCACCAAGATTTGCTTATATCTTGCTTTCGGCATGGGGCTTGCGACTGTAACTTGCGGTGCTATCAAGAGTTACCATCTCTGGCATTACTTTGATGATCGCGATCGTCTCTACAACAATAGCTACTTTGTCTGGGGAGCACTCGAGCTCTATGTCGGTACCATCGCTGCCTGTCTAGTCAGCTTGAAGCCTCTTATCTCATCCTTCCTTGAGAAGGCCAAGTCAACACTGGTCACTTCCGCAGCACTCGCAAAGTCATTGCACCACCACGGGTCCCCTAGGTCTCATTCTCCCCACCCGGCGTCCCCTAGATTCGAGGAGAAGACCGAACAGCAGTTCAACACATTCAACACCCAAAATTTCCCTCGCATTGAGATCTGCAGTGTCAGCAATTACGAGATGCCTGATATGCCAGTCGTGGTCGAGCAGCCAAAGATCTTCAGGGTGGAGATGGAAAGCAATGACGTTCCAACACCACTTTCCTCGTACCCGGGCTTCACCTCGCCTCGCAAGTCAAAGAGAAAGCATAGACCGGCGCCTCTAGACACAGAAGCTCTAAGCCGGAGAACATCGCTCGAACTACCTTGCCTGGGAGGAGTCCTTACTTCGCCTTCGCCAACATACCTACCATCAGCAGTCGACCTCAGCTTCCTGGATCTGGTCAAAGGAAGAGATCCTGAGACACTATCTCGAAACCCAAGCGTCATACAGCTGCCCAACAGCAGATTCTCAAACTCAACATCCGGCACTGACTCTCCCGCTACAATGACAACGACAAGCACATTGCGCAGCTCCCTCTCCGTTCCCAACATCTGCGGCCTCCTCACATCACCCTCACCAACATTCCTCAATTACGCCACTGGTAACGACTTCGATTTCTTCAGCCTCATCCGCTGCCGCGACCCCGAAACCCTCGCTGCCGCCAGCAAGGTCCCATCTTCACGCCGGGGCACTGTAATCTCCATCCCAGACTCGATCCCCGAAGACCACGGCGTCAGTTTCCCGACCTCTCGTCGTGCGACTCTAGCACACGCTCGCTATCACTCCGTTGAAATCAGCGAAGCCAGCACAGCATCAGTACAGACCGTCCAGCGCATCAACGCGGGCGAAGTACGCCGACGGCCCAGCATGGCACCCTCCGCCGCCTCCACAACCTCTGCTTTCCTGTGTCCACCCGTCCACGGCGAGGACTCTCAAGGCACATCAATGTACTTCCACGTCATGACCTCTGGGCAATTCAGAAGCACGGCCGAGACTGCAGCCAAAGCCTTGGAGGTCGAAGACGCGCCTCTGAGTCCCATGTCTTCTGGACCAGCGCCGAAGTTGGTGCTCAGGGAACAGCATGAGTATTTCGGCTTCAGTCCTGTTTTCGATGGCGGATTCGGAGATCTGACGGCGAAGGAGAGGATTGATTCTTCTCAAGCTGCTACACTGAAGAAGGATGAGTGAGCATAGTCCTCTGCTCTAGCAGTTACTCTTTCGTCTTTTGCATAGCCATGGCGTCTTTTTTTTTTTTGGTGCATCCATAGCATTGCACCTCATCTGCATCTAGCGGCATCGATGGCATGATGCTTTTCTCTTCTTTTTTGCATGTCCTAGGACCTTTTCGTAAATACCATAATGCCCATGGTTAGTTTAGACGATTCATAATTACACACTTCTTCACACAAACATAGATTCATGAGACCTACCCCGTGGAAGTGTCGCGCTGTATCTCCCTTGTAGCATAAATTTGGTCTTTCCATGGACAAAAGACGACCCTGCTCGCATAGTCAGGTGCGAGACGATCGTCAGGCTCCGATGAAGCTCTGTCCTGTAGATTTCCAAGATTAAGATTTGAGTAAGGCCATTGATGGCATTTCAACTGGATAAGACCGACAACCACGGGATGCTCTTTGTAGTTTGTCCAGCGGAAGACTTGCAACAGCTGAGAGACAAGGATTGGGAACTCTCACGAGTGAACATATACATGTGACTGCATCTGGCAAGCAGTGAGAGCTCTAGAAACTGGTTGCAGTGATATGAATAAGCATTGTCGTTGGTCAGATACCCTTGTCTTGCAACACAAGCATGTCAGATACAATTTGCTTCTGTACTGGAAGGACGGCCTGTAGAGCCTAGGCTTGATGTTTGATGTATTCTGGTCAACCGTGTGCCATATTCGAGATGCTACCCGGCTTCTAAAGATATAGCTTGCACTGGTGCGTTTGCAGAGTAACAAGCCCTAGCGGAACTGCATTGCCTGTATCACACAATCGATGGAAGAAGCAATTGGTGTCAGACGCACTGCATCTTGACCAGTCGATTTTTTCCACAGACTCGATATCACGTACCGTGTGGATGAAGATGGAGATACGAGATATGCGGCCACCAGGGTTGCAGCCTACAGATGGCGGGGGAGGCACGAGTGCTACCAGACATGCATCTGAAAAGCAATAACATGGGTCTGCGGATGTTTGCAGAATGCACGGCAGATTGGTACATGTACGAAAACAAAACAACGAAGTGAGAAATGGCAGATTCTGAGCAGAAAATCAAGATCTGCAAGGCCAAAATAGTGGACTCGAGATAGTGAGGAGGTACGGGAACGGAGGACGAGAATCGAATGATTACGATGAGTCGATGATGGAACAAGGCGATGTGCGTGGTGGCTGGTCGGTTAGGTAGATTGTTTGTAGGGTTTCCGGTGTGTTGGACTTGTTGGGAGAGATGGTTGAAGAAGTGTGTCGCATTGCCGCGAGCGAGTGGGAGTGGAGTGACGGTTCACATGGGTGATGGAGGGGTTGGACGAATACTACTGCAAGCCACGCCTAGTGGTGAAGCATTTGTTATCGAGGGCACCTCCTACATGGATGCGAATGATGTATCATCGAGCATTGGAATGAGTCGCAATCGCAGAAGCAGCAGAGAAACCATTCGTCGGGGAAGCGGTGGCTGTCAAGGTTCCTTTATGTGCCTGGTAGCTTGTAGGGAACGAGTGGGTAGGCTTGACGAGCCTCGGTGCGGGAAGTGAAATTTTGATCCGTGCATGACGACTCGGCCAATTGTGCTGTGCTCTATCACGACTTTTCCCAATCTCACTCACCGCCGCCTGTAGACCCGTCCTACTTTAACTGCACCTCTCCCCGCTCGCCCACCATGTCAGGAAAGCCCGTCTCCCACGATTCACACCCGCCTCACGGCCACCCCGAGAACCAGGGCCCCAGCGAGCAGAACGTCGACCGCGCATCCACTGCCTCGCACCCTCCCTCGACCAAGCCCGACCCTACCACTACCGCACCTCACCCCAAGCTGAACCCTCATGGCGCCAAAGGAGTCCAGTCCTCCTCCTCTTCCTCCGGTCCCGCCGAACTCGCCGATCTTAAACTAAGACTGAGAAATGCTCTGCGACAATACCCCGACTTCCCCTCCAAGGGCATTCTCTTCGAGGACATTATGCCCATCTTCTCCTCGCCAAAGCTCCACTCAGACCTCATCAAGGCTCTCGAGCTCGAGGTTCGCGCAAAGTTCGACAAAGTCCCCGACGTCATTGTTGGTCTCGAGTCGCGCGGTTTCCTGTTCGGTCCTTCGCTCGCTCTCCGCCTTGATGCTGGTTTCGTCCCCGTCAGAAAGCAGGGCAAGCTTCCCGGCAAGCTCGAGACCGAGGGTTACGAGAAGGAGTACGGCACCGATTTCTTCCAGATTCAAAGCGACGCCATCGCCAAGGGTCAGACTGTTCTTGTCGTCGACGACATCATGGCCACTGGTACGTCCTTCCAGATATTTCCTGCATGCTTTGTGCTCAGACTAACACACTCTTAGGTGGCTCCGCAGTCGCTGGTGGAAACCTCGTCAAGAAGATCGGTGGTGAGATCATGGGCTACCTCTTCCTTATGGAGCTCGAGTTCTTGCACGGAAGAGACAAGCTCGATGCCCCTGTCGTTACTCTGCTCAGCGGCCAGGACGCTGAGAGCCGCGAGAAGGAGATGCCCCTTGGACAGACCAAGGAGTCTGCCGAGGACGTCAAGAGCGTACAAGACGCCGGTGGTGCTGCCGCCAGCAAGCAGCCCTAGAGGAAGAGAGAAGGAGTCATAAAATGAATGTTCGTATTTTGTTCCATCTTCGCGTCTGGATTTTTAGGTAGGTAAAATGCTGCCGGACTGGCTAGGCCGCGCATTGTAAAGAGATTCTCGATACCCACATATGTTGGAGTCATATGATCAATTCACCTCGCACAAGCACGCTTTGTTCCTCCTTCTGAAATGCATCGGATATCGATTGCTGTTTAGTGACCTGCAACGATTAATATGATACCGCGAGCTTCTATCCCGAGATCGGGCAGATTGCCCCACCAAAGACCCCTCGTCAGCAGCGGAGCTCAGACCCAAAACCGTACATACAGACCGATGCCACGACTTCTTAACGCCATGCTCCTTCTACGTCGTCCTCTCTTGCAATCCTCCAAATCAGTTCCTCTTTCTCTTGCATCAAACTCTATACCAAAAGTCCTTCCTCTCAGACTTTTCCACACATCGACCATCAACATGTCGGACATGAAGAAGATCTTTACCTCCAACTCTATGGCTCGTAAGTTGACAATCTGCTTGTTGTTGAGACCAATTGACTAACCATCTCAACAGCTGTTGGCCCTTACGTATGTGCACTTCATCGATCTACTCTTTATTTTTTCTCAGTGTCTCTCTGCTCCTTGGACTGCACTTTACGTGTCTGCAACAAGGGCAGCTTCCGGCAAACCAAGAACAAGACCTGGAGATTCAATTCACGCTCAAGCGGACATGTTCAGAGCAGCCTGACTAACACCATCACAGAGCCAAGCAGTCCAGGTTGGCCAGCACATCTTCGTTTCTGGCCAGATTCCCGCCGACAAGAACGGCAACTTGGTCGAGGGCAGCATTGCCGACAAGACAAAGGCATCATGTGAAGGCATGAAGGCAATTCTCGAAGAGGCCGGCAGCAGCATTAGCAAGGTCATCAAGGTAAGCTTCTCTCCCCTCAGCCCGAGTACATCTTTTTGCCTACCCCTCTTCCATGCTGATGCGTGTCCTACAGACCACTGTCTTCCTCACCGACATGAAGGATTTTGCTGAGATGAATGGCATGTACGAGCAGTACTTCTCTCACAAGCCTGCTCGCAGTTGCGTTGCTGTGAAGGAGCTTCCCAAGGGCGTTCCTGTTGAGATTGAGGCTATTGCTCTGTCATAATCAGTGTGAAGGTGGTCATCGGCTGTGTATACCCGAATAGGAAGTCGAATACATCTTTCTCAACTCAATACCTTGATTTCTCGTCAACTTCATACCGCCGGCTTACATATTTTGGTTGAGCCTTCTGGTACCGTCTTGCTGGTACTCGTGTCACACAGCGCAGAATACAGTGAGAGGCTAAGGAATATATTGCATTCAACCTCTACCGCATTGCGTCCATTGCCCATTGTACACTTCCAATTCGACCATCAAGGTCTTCAAATCCTTCCCTTCTAGCTGGACCCTTCCGAGTTCGAGTGTGATCATCCGCTGCGAGATACTCTCGTCCAGAAACCTAAGTATCAAACTGCCACTTCTGCAAACCACCCTTGTGTCCCTCCTTGGGCGCCGAACTCCTCACTGCAGGCTTGAATACTGCAGTTTTCGAGTACTCCTGCGCCAGCTTTGCACACTCCTTCTTGTGAACTTTGTAGTGTGCTTTTGTGCACTCTCTGGAGCAGTAGTGAACAGATTTGCAGGTCGTGCAGGCCTTGAGGGGTTTGTTTTCTGGATCTTCTTCTGGCTTGTTGCATTGAGCGCAGGTTTTTACTGCGGGTGGTGCTTCTGACGTTGGATCGTGTTAGGGAATGTGCTGATGAGAAGGGTGTTCGCGTCACTGGTGAAGCGAGAAGGTTCGAAGTTCGTACCTGATGTGGATTGTGCGCTTGAGGTGCTGCTTGCCTCGGGCTGATCTTGGGGTTGTGATGCAGACATGTTGATTGTGTGTCTTTGCAGAGTTGTAATCGGTGATATAGCGATCCGATATGTTGTGCTATCTTGGATGGTTTCGGTAAGAAAATGTGAAACTGATATCGTTAGAGAACAGCGAGATGTTTGTGTAGAACGGCAAGTTTCGATCCTTTCTCATGCCGTTCGGAACACTTCACATTCGCTGTTGCTGAATGTACAGTGTGGAAGTGACTTGCGTTCAAGTATCTAGCCGATGTGTCTCGTTTACTCAACTTCTGAGTATCTACTGCTTCCTACGATGTGCTTTGAAGAAGTGTTCTCAAAGACATAAAGCCTTGATACTCGAGCATCGTTGTCAGTCGCGGACCGGCCCTTGCGGTCTTCTTCAAGCCATACCGCTCAAATCCAATCGTCACTGTGTTCACGTCTCATTTGCTACCTGGTAAACATCAGACTCGATATTCTTCTAGGGAAGGATGTCAATCGTAATAGTGATTGTGTATTGAGTTTCGGGTCGGCCTCAGTATTGATTACAGACGTTCGGCCTTGGCACTGAGACGCTAGCGTAAGCGTGGGGAAGTCTCTCGATTGGAGGTAATTGGCGCAGCCGATGACTCTCTTTCGTCTTTCTTTACACTCGAATACAGTACATATCGTGTAATCAAGCGACTGGTTGACAGTTGCATAAGCTTGACCATCATGGTAGATTCATCCACGATCGCGACATCCATCCACTCGACATATCTGACATGGTCCACAGGGCAGAATCGCAAATGCGATTATTCAGAGAGCCTTCGTCGAGTATCAAGAAGATGACAATCCCACAAAGGTAGCTTCCCGCTGTTATCAAGGCGCGTCCCTGGCCGATGGCTGACGCGATGCTGTCCAGTGCAACAAGGTCCGCTGCACCTACTGTGGTTCAGTCCGCGCTAAGAACACGACTCGTCAAGTTGAGCATCTGCAGGAGTGTCAAGCATACCTCAGCTCTCCCGACTACGTCGAGTCCCTGAACGACGTCGACAACTCCCAGCTGGACGAGGGCAATACCAGCCTCATGTCTGGGATCAACAACTCACCCCTACAGGCCACACCCAACTCGGCCCAGAGAAATCAGTTTTTGATGGGCAACAGGCCCAACCCAGGTCTCCAGGTCAACCGTCGCGGACCTAACAAGCGCACTCGGGATGGCCAGGTCAAGCCTGGCCAACGCGCCATGCCTCCTCCTATCGCTCCCAACCCACCCGCTCAGACCCCAAGTCTTGCTGCCTACCTCTTGACTCAGAACGCTGCTCCTTTCACAGCTGCAACCCAAACATCCTTCCTCTCGCATGCTGGTTGCGGCACCCTCAGTGCTGGCGCAATGGGCCAGTGGCTGGCACAAGACTCACACATCTCCCGCGGTTACATTGCCTTTGTCGGCCAGCTCATTGGCAAGATCCGCCTGCCCATCGTCGCGAACTCACAATCACACCCTCTTTATCGAGCTATGGACTTGCTAATCAGTGCCTTGAACAATGTTCGAAGAGAGATGAGCTTCTTCGAAATCACCGCTACCAAGTACAACCTACAGGTGCCAAAAGAGGAGCCTAACCCAATCACAAGAAGCTTCCTCGACTTGTTCGTGTCGGCAAGTTCGCCTGCTGCAAGTTTGCTTGAGGGGGCTGTCGTACTCTGGGCTATCGAGCATTGTTACCGTGCTTCTTGGTCATATGCTGCTAGCTTCTCAACAGGTCTCCACCAGCCCATCCTGCCATACTCTTCCAACGGTGACTCGCACAATGCTGCTCTTCATCAGTCACTGATTCCAAACTGGACATCAGCTGCATTTGCAAAGTTCGTGGACGCCTGTAAGGCTGTCGTTGATGAGCTCGCCAATGCCGAGACTTCGCCTAATGGTCGTGAGCAAATGTCCAGGTGTCTCAGTGCATTCAACCAAGTTCTCTGGCTTTGGGAACGCACCTGGCCATCAGTCGATGGTATGGGTGAGGAGAACGAGAGCGCAAGCGCAGAGCGTTTCAACAGCAATGGCATGAGACCTCGTAGCTCGACTGGCGGTCAGGCAGACGGTCTGCAGGACCAAGATCAGCACAATGGTGACAATGACGACGTGGTCGAGATTAGAAGGGAAAGTGCTGTCGGTGCTGCCTCGTATGTTAGTCCCTACGGCACGGACGGTCTCCGCGCAGTCGAGGCTGCTAATAATGCTTGAGCTGGCTGATACATGAGCATCAGTCGGTGTCTGTTTGGGGTTTCTGGATTTATTTTGGCGTTTTGGCTGTTGTGGTGTAATCACTATTTAGCATGGTGCTAGGGAGAATGAGATCGGGAAAAAAGATATCCTTTTTAGCAACAATGGTATTTCAGTCTGCCTTTGAAGAAATTCGTCTGTCCACGATCGATTGGAAACTTGCGTCCTTGATAGTGTCTCATAGCATGCCCGTTTATAGTGGTGTCCTTGATGCGCCTTGTATGCTTTCTCTTTCTCTTTCTCTTTCTCTCTGACCCAGAACGCCCACGCTATGCATAACCCAGATCATCTTGTTTCTGCTCTCCCTCGATGCCGAGTCGTTTACTTCTTCTTGCTGAAAGCCTTGTTCTTGGCCTTCTCGAGTCTGTCTTTCTTGCCACCCTTGAGCATCTCAAGATGGCCAGCCTTCTCGGCGAGAGAGCGTTCGGTCAAAGTGATCAGACCGGCGGTATGCTTCTGTTTGGGAGTCAGTTGATGTTTGACTCTGCGCATTGTCGCTAATGGTTTGCGCACCTTCTTCAGCTGTTCCTGCTTTAGCATAGCGGCCTTCTTGGGCTTGATGACTCTGTTGCCGGTCTGAGGACCGGTAGGCCTTGCGCCCCTACAGGAAAAACAGTCAGTCGCAAAGTCTTTGTGGCAGCAGGATGTTTTGAATGACGCACTTTTTGGGCTCGGTCTTGACCTTTTGCTTGACGGTACCTTGAGCCATGGCTTTGTTGTGAGAGGAGGAAGTTTTTCTTGGATAAAGTCGACTCGCCGCTTGTTCAAACTTCAAGTTTTCTCACACCCGCGTGTCTTTCCCCGCATCAGTTTCTCCGTCTGGGGAAGCAACCTGGTCTTGGCTCGTTTTGCATCATCTCCGCAGACCATCGGACTTTGCGAATTGCAATCGTACTGAGTATTCTCGTCGTCCTGCTACTCTGCACATCTGGGTCGTATGTAGTCGATGATCGGAGAGCCTATACGAACAGCTTCAAGCATGTTCATCGAGTCTCGGTAGGCTCTAGAACGACATACATCTGGTGTATGATCTTGTGGTGGTATCGGCGGTGTTCGTCGGCCTTTGATGTCAACCTCGCCTCATCTTTTACCCGGCCCTGCCACCTCCATTTTTTGCTCCACATCCGGCAAACCGCAGGTCCGCAGCCAAGATCTGGCTCGGTTCCCGAGTCTTGGTTCCTGTCTATCACCACTTGCATGTTGATCTCCTGCCTGAACCGTCCTATGTCAGTCTGTAGATCATGACCTTGCTCACTTTAACCAGAATACCCGGTACATCCATCGTCTAACCATGCCACTCGAGATTGATACGAGAGTATGGCATTGCCTGAATACTGTACATGAGGGGTTTGCAAATCATGTGTTGCTAGTATAAGTAGTTGGCGGCGACCACATGGCAGCTAAGTTGATCACTCCAGTATATCTTTATTGTATGACGGGGTGAACATGATACCGCTACGACCATTACTATCACTACTGTCCCTCGCCAGCACGGCGCTGGCAATCGGCCAGAATGCAACTATCGCCTTCAACGCCTCGGCTGGCTCGTATGAGTTGGCTTCGGGTGGCTCTTCGGTTCAGATCATGGCAGACACCAGGGATTGGCCTGCTGTGTTGAAGGCCGCGAACGATTTATCACAAGACTTTGGCAGAGTTACTGGTTCCAATGGATCCGTCATCCTTTCAAACACATCCGATACCTCTGGCGTAGCTGCCTACAATGCCGGCTCCTACTTCAGTGGCAACCCCAATAACGCCTCGATGATCTTCAACATCACCGGTTTGACCACATTCAGCACCACCGGTTCTGGAGCAAAAGGAGGAGTCATTATTGCAGGAACGATTGGAAACTCTTCCCTGATCGATGCATTGATCAAGAGCGGAAAGATTGATGTCTCTGCCATCAACGGAACTTGGGAAGCATTCACCTCCACCGTAGTCTCAAACCCTATGGATGGCGTAAACGAAGCCTTGGTTATTGCTGGCAGCGACAGAAGAGGAACAGTATACGGTCTCTACGACGTATCCGAGCAGATCGGTGTCTCACCATGGTACTTCTGGGCCGACTCTCCCCCTCAAAAGCACGATTGCATCTACGCCATGAACACAACCAAAGTCCAGCCTTCTCCGTCTGTCAAGTACAGAGGTTTCTTCCTCAACGACGAAGCACCCGCTTTGACTGGCTATGTCAACGAGAAGTTCGGTTTCAACCAGTACGGCTCAAACTACGGAGCTGACTTCTATCACACTGTATTTGAGCTTCTGCTTCGTCTGAGAGCAAACTACTTATGGCCTGCTCAGTGGAATTCCATGTTCAACGTCGACGATCCAAGAAGTCAGAACATGGCAGATGCTTACGGTATTGTTATGGGTACCTCACATACTGAGCCCATGATGAGATCTACCAAAGAGTGGAATGAGTTCGGAAATGGAACATGGAGCTGGGCAACGTGCGTCTAACTTCTCCTTGTCCTCCAGATTTGCGAAGTCATGCTAATACCCCTCCTTCTTAGTAACAATGCTTCTATCTACCCCTTCTTCGAGGAAGGTGCTGAGAGACTTCGTCCTTACGAGGGTGTCATCACCATGGGCATGCGCGGCTCAGGTGACACTGCTCTTTCGGCCGGTATTGAGACCCAACTTCTGGAGAACGTTGTCTCTTCCCAGCGCGATATTCTTGCTCAGGTCTTTGGCAATGCTAGTGTCATGGATCCTAATGCTGTGCCACAGCTGTGGTGTCTGGTATGCTTCCTCTCTGTCTACCGAGTATGCTGAAAAACTTGCTGATCATGTCGCCGTTTAGTACAAGGAAGTCCAGGGCTATTACGAGGCCGGCATGACCGTTCCCGAGGACATTACACTGCTATGGACCGACGATAACTGGGGAAATATTCGCAGGCTTCCTGTCGGTAACGAGACCTCAAGGAGTGGTGGTGCTGGTGTGTACTACCACTTCGATTACGTTGGTGACCCGAGAGACTACAAATGGATCAACACAGTCCTCAACCAGAAGACCTGGGAGCAGCTGCATCTCGCCTACGAGAGACAAGCTAGACAGATCTGGGTCGTCAACGTTGGAGACTTGAAGCCTCTCGAACTACCAATTTCTCACTTCTTCGACCTGGCATACGACATCAACCGTTGGGACAAAGACAGCACCACCGAGTGGCTCGAGCTATGGGCTTCTCGTGAGTTTGGTCCCGAGGTCGCTGCGAAGACAGGAGCTCTTATGAACACCTACTCCCACCTTGCTGGACGCAGGAAGTTTGAAGAGGTCGACCCGAACACTTACAGTCTGATCAACTACGATGAGGCTAACAAAGTCCTGGCTGAGTGGACTGCAATCCAGGAGACAGCTCAAAGCATTCTTGATGGACTGCCAACTGCCACACAACCCGCCTTCTTCGAGATGGTCTACCACCCCGTCACAGCTGCTCGTACTTACTACGATATCATGATCTCGGCTGCCAGAAACAACGTCTACGCTCAACAAGGACGTACCTCCACGAATGCCCTTGCACAACACGTACAGAACCAATTCTCGTATGATCACCAGCTCTCCAAATCTTACAATGGCTTGCTCGGCGGAAAGTGGAACCACATGATGGACCAAACTCATATCGGTTACACTTACTGGCAACAACCCATGAGACAAGCTCTGCCTCCTCTGCAATACGTTCAGATGGCCGAGCGAGCTTTGATCGGTGATCTAGGCATTGCAGTTGAGGGCTCCAATGCCACAGTCCCTGGTGATGACAGATTCCACTCGCTGTCATCCATGACTCTGTATCTCCCAACTCTCGACCCTTACGGTCCTGCTCGCTGGATCGATATCTTCCACACTGGTACCCAGCAGATCACCTGGAATGTTCAGTCCAGCGTGCCCTACCTCAACTTCACCCAGAAGACGGGCACTCTGTCTCCCAACGGCACCACAGACACTCGCATCTGGGTCTCCGTCGACTGGTCCAAGGTCACTCCTGGCGCAATCAACACGACTACCATCAACATCACCAGCTCCGCTGATTACGGCACTCAATACAGCGTTCCCAAGGTCGTGATCTCCTACAACAACACCGCTGTCCCATCGAACTTCACCAACGGCCACGTCGAGTCCGACCGCACTGTGTCCATCGAAGCAGAACACTACTCGTCCATCTCAGGCGGCAATTCCTCAGTCTCCTACCAAGTCATCCCCGGTCTATCGCGCACACTGTCCGGAGTAACCCTCTTCCCCGTCACCGCAGACTCGATGACCCCATCGACAGCCCCAGCCCTCGAATACAACTTCTACACCTTCACAAACCTCAGCTCCGGCATCCTCATGGATCAAAACATGGGCACCAGCTCTGCATACACACCCAACACCGTCAACATAACACTATACCTGGGCACCTCACTCAACACCGATCCCAACCGTCCCTTGCGCTACGCAGTACAACTGGATGACCAACAACCGCAGATCCGCAAATACATTATCGATCAACCCGGTGGTGCTAACCCTACTAATTGGTTGACTGCTGTGGCGGACGTGATTTGGTATAATACTACCACTTGGCAGTACTCGGGTCCTGGCGCGCACAAGTTGAAGATTTGGGAGTTGGAGCCCGGTGTGGTGTTGCAGAAGGCGGTGATCGATCTTGGTGGTGTGAGGAAGAGTTATCTGGGTCCGCCTGAGAGTTATAGGGTTTGAAAGATGGTTGGTTATGATAATGTTGATGTGATTTCAGCATAATGATAAGGTGGTTTGGATACATCTTCTTTGACTGATGATTTTTTGCTCTCGAGTACAGTGTCAATTGTTTGTGATTATCATTAGCGAGTACCCCGATATGGAAAGTGCTAAGAGAAGGCACCTAATCATTACCTTCCTCCTAAGAAAAGATTCATCCTCTAGTCAACGAGGGTGACCCTGACGAACACTTTTCTGTCCAGTAGTTCTGCATCCGGAAGCTTTGAGTTCTTTCACATCGACTATCATCTCATTTGATTTTGGGGCTTCTCATCTTACTGATGCCAATGTTCGCGTCATACATGGCCGTGACAAATGAACCTCCAACACGTCTTGACTGCAGCTGGCGGTCAATCGCCAAATGCTGTACAACAACTTTCAAAACTTTCGCAGAGCTGCCATCGCCGCACAATGACAGGTCATTCGGACATAATCCATTTGGCTTTGAACTCGCTCTCGAGGACTAGTCTTCAAGACCACGAAAACCATGTACAGCAAAGTTTCATGCAGATCCAAGATGACGGTATTGATAGACGGGACGTCAAAGGTATTGCGGAGAAAATCATGGCTAGGACAAATATGAGATGCCGGTATACCTCAGCATCGACATTACCGGCCCGCCAGAGGGTTGATCCACTAGGGAGCTGGTCAGGCTACTCAGAGGTATTGAAGGATCGAAGTTTGTGGTGCAGATGGATATTGTTGAAGTCCATGATCGCGTTAGGAACCTAAGTCTATTGCGGCTGTGCAGATCGTCTGTGAGGTTGCGACGAGTATGGCGGAAGCAATGGCTGACGGTTGCAAAGGAGAGAAGCGTACTTTGAATGATGAGCTATGATGTGCTTGTATAAGCCTCACCATGTCGAGCATTGTCGTATTGTAGCCGTATAGGTGTAGACTGCTCTCCAGCCGAAAGCTCTCTTTGTTTTGTTGTCTAAAAGAGTGTTGTCTTATGGCGACCCAAAGGGCCGATCTGGCCCAGGAACAGAGTCTGCAATTGATTGCGCTCACCTTTCACTACTGTGAGCATCTCGATCGTTGAGGTGTGACAATCCTCAGCACATGGAGAATCAGGACATGTAGATTCGTTGAGAGTCCAGTAGTGTGGTTGTTATACCTGTCTCAACTGTAGTCAATCATCAGTAGGATATTTTGTGACAGCTCACACTAGGGAACGACTCTGATAGGACCCTCTGCGTCTTACAGGAATGTGGCTGCGGATGGATACTCTAGCGAAATCAGGTGCTTCAATAGTCGGGGACAAGATGAATCTTAGTATGCAGAGTCCGCTGGTAAATCGGGGGGTGCGACACTTATTATGGATGCTTTCCTGTAACAAGCATGCAAAGGGATGTCAGCATCTGTGGGAAGCCGTGAATGTTCTTTGGACCTGTGTCACGATGGGTTGCCCGTCGCTTGAACAGAAGCCATTGGACGGGTTTCGGTGGGTAGATTTAAGAGGTGGTGCATGGTCGTACGGCGGTGAGGAGTGCAGCAAAAGTCATCAAGACCTGTCAGCGGTAAATTCGTAGACGCGGATGCAGAGGTGTATGCGCATGTAGAAGGACGAGCTGTCACATCTTCAGTTGTGAGTGATTGGACAGATGACAAACACAAGCATTCCGAACGATTGGTATGACTTGAATGTGGTGGTTGTCTCGAGGCGCGCGGAAGTGGGAAATGGCTTGATTGACAGCCACAAGCGCGTCAAGATGCGGAGCGCGCATGGAAGCTGCAGCTACGAAATGTCGGGACTCGTAACGAGAATGCAAGGTGCACATACTGTTTATTGCTTGATTCACGATCAGTCGACAATTGAGATGAAGAGAAGACGGTGGATTTGATCCGATTTCCATTTTACTAATCGACAGGGACGCGTCAAGCGGAGGCACAGCTGACGACCTCACAGCCCTTTACAGTGGAGACGGTTGGCAGGCGAAGATTAGAGTTTGAGGGTTAGGGAGTGGTATGCAGCGGGTGCAAAGGGCAAGTTGACTGAAGAGCTATTTGCAGCGGGTGGAAAGAGGAAGTGGTCGCGTGCAGTTGATCATGGGAATAGATTAATCGGCTAGAATAGGTCATCTGCACCCACAAACCAGGTCCGAAAGCGTTGCGGTAGAGGATGAAAGCAGGAACTGGAGAGAGAGATTGGCTTGGCTCGAGCCGGCTGGTGCATGCGGCACCATCATCGCCACAGCGGCGCCATTGCCCGCCGGCCATCGCGCTCGTCTGTCTGGAGTGCATGGCGTACCTGGAGTCCTCTCGTTGCGACCACTACAAACGCGGGCCTGCAATAGACGGCAGTAGAAGATGCTGACTACCCTCGAGCGGTGGCAATTGTAATACTCAATACCTGGGTCCATCCACGTCCCTTCGCTTCTTCCAAGTCTTTTCTTTTTCGACCCTCGTTCCGCCCCTTCGACAGCGCTCAGCCGAGGGCTTTGCATCCCGCCCGCCATCACATCATGGATTCAACACCGCTGCATAATGCCACGACGACAGTCTACATGAAACACCACCGCCATGGCCATTGGGTCGCCGAACACAAAGCCCAGCGTATTCTCTCAATCATACACTTCGCGTACCCCATCGTACTGCTCGTCTACTTCCTTACCACCTTTACCATCCGCAGCATTGTGTCTGCATCTGGTCCAGAGAGCGATGATCACACTTCCCAGCCGCAACTAGGCCCTGGCGGCAAGCCTCTACCAAAAAAGAAGGCTCCGGTCGAGGACAAGAAGAACACTTTCCTTGACTTCAGCAGACCGCGAAAGTTGCTGTTCGAGTGGTTGGCTCTAGCAGCTACTCTCACCCTCGCCGGCAATGCCGTTACTGTAGTCGTTCACGCTCTGTATGCCCGTAAGGAAGAGTGGTGGTGTGGACAAGCCACCGTCGTAAGCAACATTGTCATCAGGAAATCCTTGGAACCAGTACTAAGTATGCGCAATCCATAGGTCTACATTGTCGGTGCATTCATGGTCTACACTCTGATTCTCATCTCCATCTTCGACACAAAACCCTCCCCCACCTGGGTCCATGCCTCATCATGGGCTCTCGCCGCCGCCATGGATATCGTCCTGCTCGCTTCCTCCTTCGCCCTATATACCCATGCTCACCACGAGCCCAAGGCTGGCAATCCGTCGGGTGGTCACTTGGAAAGAGAAATGACTGAATGGGAGATCACTGGTGTCACCTTGGATCTGGTCCGCATCATTCTGCTTCTCGCTCTCGTGGCATTCTACGTTCTTTTCGTCACCCTGCACGCGAGAAGCCAGAGCAAGCAAACTGCCGACCAGGACTCTACAAGCGAGACCACCGGGCTGCTAGCTGAAGATCGTGCCGAAGCCGGTGCTGCAAATGGCTCAGCCAACGGATCTGCCAACGGAGCCAACGGATACGGTGCAACCCAGCCAAATGGACAAAACAAGCCCAAAAAGCCTGCGGATGCTCCTGCTGGGTGGGAGAAGCCAACAACGACCCCTTCTAGAAGTTGGTGGGAATATATCAGGGGTTACTCCATGTTCTTCCCTTACCTCTGGCCCTCCAAGGACCGCAGACTACAATTTGTTGTTGTTATTTGCTTCCTCATTATGCTTGTTCAACGTGGTATTCAGATCCTGGTGCCCATCCAAGCCGGCAGAATTACGAATGAGTTGACTCACGCCGACACAGTCGGTATGCCCTGGACATCCATCTGTCTTTACATCTTCTATCGTCTTCTTCAAGGCAACAATGGTCTTCTTGGCGCTACTCGCTCCATCATCTGGCTGCCCGTCAGTCAATATTCTTTCCGCGAGCTATCCATCGCCTCCTTTGAACATGTTCATAGTCTGAGTTTGGACTTCCATCTAGGCAAAAAGACTGGAGAAGTCCTTTCTGCCCTAGGCAAGGGTAATGCCATTAACAACTTCCTCGAGTCTGTCACCTTCCAGGTCATCCCTATGCTGGTCGATCTGTTCATCGCTATCGGATACTTCCTTGTTGCATTCGACGTCTACTATGCCCTCATTGTGGCCGTCGTCACATTCTGGTACATCTACTTGACCATTCGCATGGCCCAGTGGCGTGCCGACATCCGCAGACAGATGGTAAACTCGGACAGAGAGGTTGATGCTGTCAAGAACGATTCTATGGTCTCATACGAGACTGTCAAGTACTTCAATGCTGAAGCCTACGAATTCAACAGATATCGGGAAGCAGTCGAGAAGTACCAAAAGGCTGAGTATTCGGTTGTCATCTCGCTTAACTTCATGAACGTCACACAAAACATGGTCTTCATGGTTGGCTTGATGATTGCCTGTTTCGTTGCCGCTTACCAGGTCACCACTGGTCAACGCAGTGTCGGTGATTTCGTCATCTTACTGACCTACATGGCTCAGCTGCAAGGGCCTCTGAACTTCTTTGGCACTTTCTACCGCATGATCCAAAGTGCCATGATCAACTCTGAGCGCATGCTCGAGTTGTTCAAAGAAGAGCCAACCGTCGTTGATGCTCCAGGGGTCACAACCCTGCCCAGCTGTGAAGGTGATATCCGCTTCAACGACGTCCACTTTGCTTATGACGCCCGCAAGCCTGCCTTGAAAGGACTTGACTTCCGCTGTAAGCCTGGTACAACAACTGCTCTGGTTGGAGAATCTGGTGGCGGCAAGTCAACTGTCTTCCGTCTACTCTTCCGCTTCTACAACACCGAGTCTGGCACGATCCAGGTTGATGGACACGATGTAGCCGACGTATCGATCGACAGCGTGCGCAGGCATATCGGTGTTGTACCTCAAGACACTGTTCTCTTCAACGAAACATTAATGTATAACCTGAAGTACGCCAACCCTTCCGTAAGCGACGAGGTGGTTTATGAAGCATGCAAAGCTGCGTCGATCCACGACAAGATCCTCTCGTTCCCTGACGGGTACAACACCAAGGTCGGTGAGCGCGGTCTTCGTCTCTCAGGTGGCGAGAAGCAGCGTGTCGCGATCGCCCGAACCATTATCAAGGACCCTCGCATCATTCTTCTCGACGAAGCTACTGCTGCTTTGGATACCGAGACTGAAGAGCATATCCAGGAAGCCCTTACAACTCTCGCACAAGGAAGAACCATGCTTGTTATTGCTCATCGTCTATCCACCATCACTATGGCTGATCAGATCTGCGTTCTTCACGAAGGCCGTGTTGCCGAACGCGGCACACATCAAGAATTGCTCGACCTGAAGGGCAAGTACTATTCGATGTGGCGCAAGCAAGTCCGTGCTCAAAAGGCAGCTGAAGAGGCCAAGGTCTTGAAAGACAAGGCCGAGAGACTGCGAAGAGAGAGTCGAAGTGGTGAAGTGCCACACGAGGGTGACACTTCAGCTGGCAGCAGTGAAGACGAAAAGGAGAGACAGCGAAGCGCGCAAAAGACACAAAACATGCAAGCTCCTGTCGACGCTGGCGAGGCTCCCACAGAGGTTGCACGTCAAGCAGAAAGGACCATGCCACATGGGCATCCTTGAGTATAACAATTCCTTTCTTCCTTTTCTTTCTTTGTTGCATGAACGGATAATAATATGGTACATCCCGATCAATGTTTTGCTTGGCTGCTTTTTCACACTCCTTCCCAACTGGTTGCATATCCACGGCGTTTCTTTTTGGGAGTCGTTCTTGCCTACCTAGCCCCCTGACCTTTTCTTCCTTCCTTCTTTTCTTTTGTTCTAGTATCTGGCGGCGGATAAAAACTGCATGGCAAAACACACGGGCTCTTGCGGATGGAACACAAAAAGGTCATTTCCCAATCTCTGTATAGAAAACATGTCTGTCGACGCCGACACCCAAGAACGAAAATCGTAATCACAACAAAACATACCCTTGTCGCAATGATGCATGTGAGACAGACGGAGTTTGCCCCATGACCACCGAAAGTGATGTACCTCGGCTCAATAGAGCCCCTCGACTTGTGATCTCATACCATGATTTACTCAACACATTCAAACATGCAAACACACCAACACAGACAGCCATGGCAGCATTGTCACAAGCATCGACAGTGAGTACATAACCCTCTCATCTATCTCTCCCGTATCTTCATTCTAACCACTCACGATCAAACCAGGCCGCCCTAGCCCGCCTTCGCGCCTTCAAACCCCCACCAACCTCTTACAACACTCTACCCCTCTCCCGCCGCGCCGCAGTCCTCATCCTCCTCTTCGCCGACCGCCGCGGCGACCTGCGTGTCATCCTCACCATCCGCTCAGCCAAACTCCGCAATTACGCAGGTCAAGCCGCTCTGCCAGGAGGAAAAGCCGATCTTGAGACCGAGACTGCATGGGCGACTGCACGCCGCGAAGCTGAGGAAGAGATAGGATTGCCTGCTACTGATGCAGGACTACCCAAGGGATATACAGTCGAGGCTCTCACGGAATTACCCTTGAATCTCGCGATGACGGAATTGGGGGTGAGACCTTGTGTTGCTTGGCTGAAAACTTCGAATCCATCTTCTGATATCGCGAGGGAATTGCTTCCGAAGTTGGATGCTAGAGAGGTAGCTGCGGTGTTTACAGCACCCTTTGAGCAATTCCTGAGGCAGAAAGATGAGGATGCTGCAGAGGGGGAGTGGTATAGAGGGGCATGGCATTCTTGGTATCATGAACCGTGGCGTATGCATATGTTTCATGTGCCTGTGACGCCGAGAACGGTGTTCAGGAGCCAGGAAGAGGGAAATGCGGTATTAGATGCTGAGACGGCGCCGTGCTCGCCTGCGTCAAAGGCGCCGGTGTTGCTTGCCGATCGCGCGGCTCAGGCTTATGGCACCGCGCCCACGCCTGCGTCTGAGGATAAATCTCAAACGACAAATCGTAGTGTAAAGCACAAGGATGCTTTGGATATGCCGCGCTACAGAGTCTTCGGCATGACGGCAAGGATATTAGTGGATGCGGCGAGAGTGGCATACGGCAGAGAGCCAGACTTCGAACACAACAGTCACTTTGGAGACGAAGACATGATTGCGAGGTTGATGAAGATGGGGAGACTGCAGCCCAAAAAGGAAAAAGGAGAGATTTTGACAAGGGATGTCATGCAAGCTGCTGCTGAGGTGGACTTGAACGGAGAAGAGAAGGGGAAATTGTGAATCGAGGGAACAGATGAGAGATGCTGTGATTCGACATGTGTTTTGATATCAACACAAACTCCTACATTACGATATCATAAACTCAAACGCTCGATTTGACGCCTGAATCGTGTCTAAAGTGAAACCGACTTGCATACTTGACTCACTATTGTTGGTTCTCTCTCCGTGGACATGGTCTTTTTCTGACGAGCGTTATACATTTCTATAGATACGTTTAGCGCATAAAGGGACAGGAGAAGAGCTGATTGTACACTAGAAGCGATATTGTCCTAAAGGCAAAAGTGGTAAACCATACTTACTAGTAGTCTGCTTTTGTACATGCCATATTTGACGGCAGTCGAGTTAATGCTTAACTTCGTGTCGAGTCTTTGTTATACGAATTGTATGGTATAAATGATGCTTGCCGTTACGTACGTGCCGGAGAGAAGGTATACTTTTGGTTTGCGATATCGCTACCCTACAGGTAGATGTGCAAGGTTCTGTCAACATGGGCCCAAACAGATGAGCGGTCACAAGATGCGAAGTAGACAATGATGCTAGCATATCCAATCTGTGATTATCTGGGACATGGCTCTATAGTGTGATGTATTCTACTCGTCGCATGTCTATGCATTAAGCCTTTGAACCGTGGACGAAGAGTCTCTCCTCGACGGGCTGCTGTTGCTTTCCACCCTTGTCGACAGCCTCGCGGGCACCGTCTGCGTAGCCACCAAACACAAGCTGAGCCTGGAGCTCCCACTCTTGAGGAATGTTCCAGTGGCCTTGTGCCTTTTGGTCAATCTGTGATGAGGGTAAAATCAGTTTGCTGTTCCCGAGTCTACCTTGATAGAGGATCTTACGATGGGGTTGTAGTGCTGGAGGTTGCAAGCCAAGCCTTCAGCTTCGAGAGCAGTCCAGAGGTGGTACTGAGACATGGCGGCTGATTGAGTTGCCCAGCCAGGGAAGTGCTGAGCATACAGCGCAAACTGCGACTGCAACTTCTGCACAGGCTTAGGGTCAACAAGGAACAAAATCTATCATCACAAGAATCAGCACATGCCACCTCAAAAACGCAATTCCTCTTCGTCACATACAGTACCATGACCAGCCTTGAAACCATCAAGTTTCTCCACAGTCTTGGGGAACTGATCCTCGGGAACCTGAGGCTTCAACACCTCCTTGACAAACTCCCAGAACTGTCTGTGTTCGTCATTGAGCAGCACCACCAGACGCGTGGATGTTGCGTTGAAACTGTGAGGCACGTGCAGGATATTGTGTCTGGCAATCTCCTCGACGCGAGCATCCGAGATGGGGATCTTGTCGGTGATCTGGTAGATGGATCTGCGGTTTTCGCAGGCCGCGAGGAAGTCCATTGATGAGGCCATTGTGGGGGTGTTGTGGAGGTGTCTTGTGTGTGAAATTTGAATGGGAGAGGATAGGAGGGATGGAAAGTGAGAGGGGCGAGTGAAACAGGAAGGACGCGTTGTTAAAGATGTATACAGTTGTGGGGCACGTCTGGTCAGGGCTCTGAAAACTGTCAATGTGGAAGCCATGATGTGATTTTGAGTGTGTTTGCGATTGCTTCGTGATTCGGAGAAGGCTTGCTTCTGGGCCCTTTTTCTTACAAATGGACAATCGTATTGATCGATAATTGCTATTCGGCTTCGGTCGTCGTGCTCTTCCGGCTCACCAAGAACCGTGATGAGCTAGAAGTCTGGAAGAGCAACTATCAGTTTATCACTGATTGCCCCGCATATGGCCACGTTTAATGACGATTAATTCGGGTTAAGAGCCGGATTCGTGATCAGCTTTGTCAGGTTCGCGCCCCGAAGATGGCGGACAAGCCGAGACCGTTGTCGCCGGGACTTCCTATGGCGCTCAAATTCGTTGTCATGGCATTCGATCGTGGGCTTTGACCAAGCAGATTCATACCTATGTTCCGCGGCGTCCTCGAGAACCTCCGTTGGTTGGTCGCAAGAGCACATTGCGGTTGGACTCCTTAGTAGGCTGATCAATGACCCTCAAACGCCGAGTTATATATTTTAGTAAACTGATCCTTGCTGAATAAATGCCTCAATGGTCTAGTGGTATGATTCCTGCTTTGGGTTTATCCGAAACTGCAGGAGGTCCCCGATTCGATCTCGGGTTGAGGCCTTTTTCTTTTGCATCTTCTCGAGGATGACATCTCAACGCTCTTGTCTGCATCGTCGCTGAGTAGTCTTTAGCGTTTTGCGCTATAGTCGTTGAGTCTTGATATGCTTGGTTGAAAAGTGTCGAGTTCTGCAGACTCACGTTGTAAATCATTGATTTGAATTTGTGCTTTGTCACTACTGATACGACTTTTGTTCTCGATACCGTCCTGGCTGCTCTATGTACTCAGAACGCCATGATAATCTGCGGAGCGACGTATCGAGAACCTATTCCTCGATCGACTGCAGATCAAGTTTCTACCGCGGCGTGGCATCCCCAGCACCTCCTTCATCTTCTCTCCTTCTTCGAGCAATGGCTTTGAAATATTGCGCCATCTGATCGAACTTAGTGACAAAGAACATGCCTTTTGCGTCGTTCTGCCACGTCAAGACACCAATAGTGTCAGCATGCTGTACAGCCTTGAGGTACTCTTCTTGAGTCCCCACATCTCGGATTAGATATCCGGGTGTAGCTTTCATACGCTCGTTCTCCAGCTGCCACAGACGGACTTGATCCACCACTGTCGGAGGCAGGATTGGCGTTGATTTGCGGAGGATGGGATGGGCGTGAGTCGTTAAATATGTAATGATTTGATCGGCAGTGATGCCTGCAGCAATAGCCTGCTGGATGGAGGATTTTGTGAGTGTTGCTGTCAGCATGTTTGGAAAGCGGGTTTTGAGATTGGCGAAGAGGGATAGGATGGATATGTTGAGTGGTGAGGATGTGTAGGCGTAGATGCGGTAGTTGGTCTCGACGATAATGTAGCCCTTTTCTGTCTCTTGAGGGGCAACCATGTTTCCGCCTGTTGGAGTGATTCCGAGTGAAGCAGCTGCCATAGAAGTGTTTAGCAGAGCAGGCGAATCGGATGTCAAGGTAGTGGCTAGCCGTGTAGGATAGTAGCGTGTAGTGTCAGACGCGCGACGATAGATGACACCAAAGTCGGATAGATCCTCCAGCATGTGTGCTTGTGTCGGAGTCAGGTTTTCGGTTGTGTATGAGACGCCTAGTTCGAGCGAACCCAGGGTGAAGAGGAAACTCAAAACATCAACAGCGTCCATCTGAAGCTTTTCTGATAGCTTCAGATACTCGATGAGTAGTGTCCAGATCTGAGCGTTGGTCTCTTGTAGTAGGAAAGAGAAGCCGTCGCGGGTGATGTATGCGTTTCTGCCTTTGCTGCTAACGAAGCCACCACTCTCCAACAACTCTTTTGTCCCAGCTGTGATGTTGACTGCACCACCCAGGCCTTGGCCTGCACTACCGACGACGTAATATAAGATGCTTTCCCATTGCTGGCGAGCATATGTGTCGAGGAAGTCGATGGTCACTTCGTTCTTGTCCGGAGTGCTTGACGGAACACCGAAAGAGCGATGGTCGCCTCCACCAGTGAGGGCCAGTCGCAAAGACTTTTGGAAGGCCTTGTTGAGCTGGTATGCGGGTCTGTTTTGGTCGTTGCGAGTCTCTTCGAGGACCTTTAGTCGGGTAAGGATGTTTACGGAGAAGCCGCTTGCGCGCACACTGTCGACGTCTGGCTTGACCCAGGATTCAAAGTCGGATACGGCGAAGGGCGTGGGCATGAAGAGCATAGCCATGACCAGATTCTTGGCTGAGGACTGTCAGTCAGAGGGAAGGATGCTGCCTTGTGCGCAACTCACCCAGATGCGGCAACATGCGACGGAAGATGGCCAAGGCCGTCGAGGGCTGCTTGTACAGCCTGTTGAAGATGATGCCAGGCTGCCCCTCGAGGTATTCGAGCGCCCGCTTGGACGCGACCGACATGATGGCTAGCCTGCGTCGTAGAGCATTGTGAGCTGCGTGAACAAGAGAGAAGCAAATCATATGTCCTCCTTCCCCACAATCGAACACAAACGCCCTCACACTTCACGTCATCTACTCCAACGCCGATGATCTTCCATACCATCTCTCTCTCACACACACAGAGCCTCACTCATCTCTTCACCTTCACCTTCTCCTTGTCTTCTGGTCTCATCCAGCGAGGACTCCAGAACTTATCTTGCACCTTCTGATCATCTTCGAGAGATCCAGGTAATCCCGTCGTGTGCTGCTTCATCGACCGCTTCTGTGGACTGCTTCCACAAACGTACTCGGCTGTGCCTTCCGAAAGTTAGGTCGCTGCCTGCTTCTTGCCATCAACCTCCTCCACATCCCTTTGCTCTTCAACATCTCACCTTTTGCTATCTCCCTTGCTTCCGCCCTCTCCACTCAATCATCATGGTTCGCATCGTCAACTTGGGAAGTTCCTTTTCCGCCGGTCCTGGCATTCCTCCACAGGTCAATACTGCAGCCGGTCGTTCCGGTGCAAACTTCGCACACTTGCTTGCAGACGAACTACATGCCGACCTCACAGACTTGAGCGTATCTGGCGCTACCCTGCTCAACATTACAGAAACACCACAAGTCGCCAATGGTCAAACATTCCCACCCCAAATACAAGGCGTCCCCGAGGATGCCGATATTGTCCTTGTGCTCGGCGGCGGCAACGACATGTCTTACGTTGGCGGTCTATTCATGGAACACACCTGGATTATGACTGCCTTTTCTCTCGTGAACCGTCTGAAAGGTGCCTCGATGCCGGACATGCCACCCCCTGCCGATGATGACGAAGTCATTAGACGCTTTGGCAAAGTCCTCGATGCTGTCCATGCCAAAGCACCAAAAGCACGAGTTATCGTTGTCGAATACTTGACTCTGCTGGGACCCGACACAAAACCTGTGGTTCATGTTCCCTTCGACGCCGAGAGACTGAAGCGCCATCAAGCAGTAGCAACAAAGCTTCAGAGCGCTACTAGACAGGTTGTTGATTCTCGCTCGGAATGGTGCGAAAGGATACCAATGGCCGAGTTGAGTCAAGCGCATGGAATCGGGAGTGCAGAGCCATGGGTCTTCGGATGTACGGCGATGGAACAGCTGACAGGCAAGACCTGGTATCATCCCAACGCCGAGGGAATGAAGGCAGTCGCAAGAGTCCTGCACGAGCATATCAACAGAAATTGAGACAGACCGTATACAAGAATTGAGACGGATCCGATGAAGGCTATAGCTATATCTGATGATACAGACGCTGCGATTGATTGCTATATACCTTCTCTTCCCCCATATAGAATTCCAAGAATACCCAAACTCCGCGCTTTATCAACAATAACATGAGGAGAACAGCAGACTATGACAGATCTAGTCACTATCGCTGTCATCCAGGAACGGCAGTCTTGCTGTTGCTCTTGCTCGTACAGGTCTGGTCTGTACGATATCTTCCTCTTCTTCGTCTTCGTCTGCACTCATTGCAGCTGCAGCGCTGGATTTGAGCGGGGAGACAGTATCCATGGGTGTGTCTTCAGCTGCCTCGTCGTCACTGACCACAGCAACAACATCCAGATCCCCCATCTCCTCATCCTGATCGATCTCGCTACCACTCTCACTATCATCTTCGATAGTAATAGTCTTCCTCTTCTTCCCCTTGCTACCCTTTTCTTTCTTGCTGGCTTTGGCTTTGCGTTTGTTCTTCACGCCAGCATTTTCATCAACCTCAGTCAACAGTGCATTCTTTATAACACCACTGATCTTCTTCCTCCTCATTTCCTCCAGTTTGAAAAACTCTGCGTCTTTTTCCTCGTCGTCTTCATCATCAGAGTCAGTAATGCGCAGTGCAGACTTGATCTTTTGATTCTTTTCTCTTTCTTTGGCTTCTCTTTCTTGTTGACGCAGCAGTCTTTCTGCTTCGCTGAGGTCAGGTGCTTTGCGCTGCAACAATCGCTTTTTGGACCGAGGTTTGATGTAATCGGCGGGTCGGGAGGTAGGGCCACCTGGTTCGAAGAGTTCTGCTGCTTGAGCGTCAAGGTCGGATAGGGTGTCGCCTTCGTCGTCGCTGTTGACTGCACTGGCTGCAGCGCTTCTGTCTGCTCTGGCGTGAAGACCTGACGCACTCTTGCTTCTAAGAAGAGATTCGGGGGCTACGCCGCCTTCGAAGGTAGGTAAGTCGAATTCGAACTTTCTGATCAGGGCGAGGTTGGAGAGGATGAGGGAGGAAGACATGGAAGACGGAACGATCCAAGATGCGTCTGGGTCGTCGGTTTCGCCAAGGCGATCGAGAGAGAGGAGTTTGAGAAGTAAACGCAGGAACTTGTCTTTGAAGAGACTGAGTTTGCGATCGTCCGAGTCGGGTTTGAGTGTGATGAAGGGGGCTTTGGGTTGGGTTTCTTGGTTGGTGGGCTCGACTGATTCAGCTGGCGCTTCAGAGTCTGGAGCCTCTGCACCTTCTGCATTGTCGCGCTCCTGATTTACAGAGGCTTCGATGCTTGCTTGTGCTTCGTGCAGATCTTCCCAGGACTTTCTGTCTTCTGCAGCAGAATTGAGGACATCCTTTACCCACGCCAAAGCATCCAGTTTGCCTTGGTTGACGAGCACACTGACAGCGACGGCAATTTGCTCCTCCTGGCTCAATCCGGGCTTCACCATCAACTCAGCTGGTGGTCTAGGTCTGGCCTTTGTGATTTCCATGTCGTATCCATTCTCGAGATAGAATATCGTATTCGGTATCTTGGTGAAGAGCATCTCAACCATCAACTCTCTACGCTGTTCCAGATTCCTGAGACAACGTCTGAAAACTTGCTTGACCAATTCTTCCCATTCCTTGAACAATGGCATCTCCTTGGGTAGACCCTCTGGTCCCTTGATCAGGCGATTGAACAAATGCAAAATGTCAACTCTGTACAAGAAGATCGACCGCTCCATTTTGAAAGCGCAACGATAGAAGAAACGATGACAGCGTTTCAGCTGCTCGAGATCCAGATCCTTGTAGTAGCTTGTAAAAGTGACAAATGTATTGACGGCACTCTCCGTCATGAACTTGCTAGCAAATCGGGTAAAATCGAATTTGCGCTCGCTCACGGCGCGTTGAGCATCAGCCTGATCCTCAGCTTCTGATGCTGCACCTTCCTCTTCAGCACCATTGGCTTGAGCCTCAACTCTACGCTTCCTGCGTGCACGGCGTTTCGAGCGGACCTGCATGTCGACATTTTGCTTGCTGTATCGTTCTAGCATGCGCAAGAAGGTGTGTGCCATATCTGTGCATGCGTCTAGGAATGCAAAACCTTGACCATTGTATCCTCTGAGCACAGCAATGACTTGGTCATGTGTCGTTTCTTCGTAGAATATTCTGTTTTGGATGTTCTCTGCAATGTCCTGATCGTCTTCGGAAGCAGAGTCTGCCATAGCGCCCACAGTCAACAGAATCTGTGTGAAAGCTCGCATACAGGCGTGAAGGTCGGACCATTCTTTGTCGTCCAGACTTGACTGAATCTTTCGTCCGAGCAAGATAAAGTTCTCTTGGGTCATGACAGCAGCGATGTATGCAAAGGGAGAGTCGTCGACAGCAGCGTCGTGTACCTTGCCATTACGCTTCAGTAAATCTTGTCTAGCACGTTCGGCTTGCAAGAACCAGCCCATCATATAGTAATACTGGCGAGTATGATACTTCTGAGCGCGCTCGGCTTCGGATGTGAGTGCTCGACGAAGACTGTTGAACAGAGGATTAAACGAGGAATCCAGAAAGTCTTCAACAAAGCTGCGGACAATCTTTCGCGTGGGCTCGTCCAGATCGACGTTGTTGTCAAAGTCGTTGTTTTCATCCTGGACCTCTGTATTCTTCTTCCTGCCCTTTGGCTTGTTCCAGAGTTTTGACTTGTCCATCTGGTGCATAGTTTTTTGCTCGTCGAAGATGACGTTTTGACCGCTGAGGGTCGAGACCTTCTCATCTGGTCGCTTAACCCAGTACATGCCTCCGAAACGTTGGTGTCGACTCGGAGCATTTCGTGTAAACGAAGCATTCATAGCCTTCTCTTTGTCCAACAGAGCTTTGAACTCGTCATTCCTGGCATCTTCCAACTGTTTTTCATTCTTGAACAAGTCCTTAGGGTCGATACCCTTGAGTAGTTGGAACAGTATATCCAGGAGGACGATATCATGCATAGGATACTCGTCAGTGACACCCGAAGCGACGGTGAGGATAAATTGCAAGACATTTTGTTGCTGGAAAGCGTGTATGGTTTCCTGTCGGTTGATGTCATTGTCATCGGCTTGACTCGGTAGATCTTGAGGTTGGGAGATGATGGCGACATTGCGAAGGAAGTAGAGAACGACACCAATGATAGATTCGTCTCTAGGAGTGCGATCGGATCTGGGAGTCGTGATGGCGGGAATGGCGATGCTGATGGCGGTGCGAAGGATGTCGGCAGTTTCCCAGTGGAGAATGGCGCGCTTGTATTCGACTTGGGCGAGTCTGATGTAAGGGAGATGTCGGTGGACGTTGATTGTCATTGTTTCTTCTTTGCGCTCGATTGGCCAGGTCAGAGTGTTGAGCAGGTCGAGACAGCCCAGGGCGACTTTTGCGGCGAGAGCACTGCGTTCCGTCTTGTCTCCTTGTTGGGCCAGGATGGGCAGTAGGTCTCCTCTGATCAGATTTGCTTCGGCCATGCATCTCTTGACATCGTGCCTGTTCATGCGGTCGTCGTATGAGCGGATCCATCTTGACAAGTCCTTCAAACATGCTAGGGCGTCGTCTCCAAGAACATATTGGCCTTGATTGACAGTGCTACTGCCACCGATGGCCGAGATGAGCGAGTAGATGTGCGCCCTGACCTCGGGGTCGACGGTCTGACTCTTCTCAAACACGTCCATGACGATTGTGTTAAGATATTGCAACCGCTCTCACACCCTGATGATAATCTTGGACAGACGCGCGTTGGCTCACGCGTCGCGCGTCAAATTGAAACAAACACATCAAACATTGCTCCATGTTACTACTCCACAACGACCTCGGCATGTCGGCCCCGGACTGCCGCATGTGATCGGCTCATGACATCCTAACTTCTTCAATGGTCCTGCTTCTGCCCTACTATCAACCAACAGTCAAGAACATGGCTTCTCTTGTGTGCCGTTCCTGCTTGAGGCAGTTGCCCAAGAATGTTGCATTGCTCTCCAAGCGACAATTCAGTGCTACTGCCCATTCCAATGCCGAGGTCAAGAAGCTCGGTGTCATTGGTGCTGGCCAGATGGTAAGAATCAAGCTTGGAAATGATACAAACCATGACTGATCAAATCAGGGCCTAGGAATTGCTCTGGTTGCTGCTCTGAGGGCCAAAGTCCCTGTAACCTTGGTCGACAACTCACAGGCTTCCATCGACAAGGGCCTGAAGTTTGCCGACAAGCTGTTAGCCAAGGACGTCTCCAAGCAAAGGATCACTCAGGACGATGCAGATGCTGCCAGACAGCGATTGACTACCGCAACTGACATGGGTGCTTTGTCTGATGTTGATATGGTCATTGAAGCGGTACCCGAGATCATCGACCTCAAGACTTCCATCTTTTCACAACTGGCAAAACTCGCTCCTTCGCATGCCATCCTGGCTACCAACACTTCTTCCATCAGCATTACCAAGATCGCCGCCGCTACCACAACAGACCCTACAGATCTGTCTGCCGCCTCGAGAGTCGTTTCGACCCATTTCATGAATCCTGTGCCCATTCAGAAAGGTGTCGAGATCATCACTGGACTACAGACTTCTCAGGAGACTCTAACGACCGCTGTGGAGTTCTGCAAGCGCATGGGCAAAATCCCTTCCGTCAGTCAAGATAGCCCTGGCTTCCTTGCTAACCGCATTCTGATGCCGTACATCAACGAGGCCATCATCTGTCTCGAGACTGGCGTTGGAGCTAAGGAGGACATCGACGCCATCATGAAGAACGGCACAAATGTACCCATGGGTCCCCTGCAGCTTGCAGACTTCATTGGTCTTGACACATGTCTGGCAATTATGCGTGTCTTGCATAACGAGCTTGGTGATTCCAAGTACAGACCATCCGTTCTCTTGACCAAGATGGTCGATGCTGGCTGGTTAGGCAAGAAGTCTGGAAAGGGCTTCTACGATTATTGAGTCTAGGAATCAACAAGAAAAAGGTGTTCAGTTGAAGCCAGTCAAGGACCGACGAAGAAAGACTGGTCCTTCACTTTTGCACACCCCTTTAGCTAGCGAAACCAATTTTAACACACCAGCATCATCAGGCCGACACAAGACCTTCTTTCAAGCCGTTATGGGTAAGCCCTAGTTGTGATTCGCTCCAGGAAGTATGTGATGATGCGCATTCTAGAGGAGCTATATGATCTTCGAAGTTGAACAGAGTGCCGAGTGAACAACCTCGTGGCAACCACGAGAGTCCCGCGTCGCGCTTGCTCTAACATCGCTCGCTCCTGCAACCAAAACACACAACATACTAGCATTCTCTTCGTCCCACACACCATCGCTTTCTTTACTCTTCGTCATCACCATCGTTCAACTCAACAAAATCTCTGGTCAGATCTTTGCTGATGGCCAAAATGCCAGCTCGACAACATCCATCCTCTTCTGAGGCCCCTTTGTCGTCTAGTCCGACATCGCCTACTCCTAGATCTTCTCTACGCCGTCTGAGCTCTCTTGCTAATCTCCAACAATTCAATCCTTTCAACTCCTTCAGTCGCAGACGATCGAGTCATGGCACTCAAAACTCTGACGATGACCCTTATCTTCTCAATACATATCAACAAAGGGCGCAGAACCAGCAGCATCGTCAAACCTACCTGTCATCATCCGGAGAACCGGTGCCTACTTTACCCAAGAGTAACACTTTTAGCAATCTGCCCTTGACCCGAAACCGCAACCACTCCAAGCCACCTGTATCTATGAAGCCGCTGGGATCGGCAAAGCTGCCATCACGTATTCCGACCCCTTCCATGAGTGCTAGCGCGAAGACGAGATTGGCGAGCGCAACCAAAAGTATTCTAAAAGTCGGCAATCGACGTGGTCTCACTCGATCAGACACTGAACCGTTGTTGGACCCTCACCGCCCGCAGGAAGTTCCATTCTCTGCCATTTCACACAAGGAGAACGTGTCACTAGGTGTCAGCACTTCGGAGACGAAGATGATGCCTATACAGCTGCCAGAAGTTCCGTTGTACCCACTCGATATGACTACCCGGTCTTTCAATCCGACGAGAAGACCGCAGACCCCCGCTGATCAAACACCCAAGCCTCGACCAAGGAGAGATTCATTGCAACCACCCACACCTCGACCCCTTGCAACAACGGCCCTAAGCGAATCCTTACAAACTCCGACTACAGTGACCGCGAAGCCAAGAAGACGCACAATGCTCTCTGCAGACGTCGTTCCTCGCCACGCTCTTTGCGACAAGGAAAAGCAGCGTTCCCTGTTCGGCTCTGATTTCCAATCTCATCAACTCCTCACACCCCGAGCCGTAACTACACTCTCACCCTCGTCCTGTCCACGGTCTTCGGCTATGGCCTTCCACCCTGACGACTCTGCCAACAGAATTAATCTCGCAGGTGACATTGTCACATCAGCTCAGTCCACCGCATACTGGAGCGGTCGATTAATGTCCCAGTTCGATCAACGCCGCAACGAGCAACTCCAGGCACGTTTGGGAGAACCCGGTTTGACATATCCAGAGAATGACCTCAATGTGTGCTTGAGAGAGCTACAAAAGAAGTGCGTGACAGAAGCTGCGAAGCTGAGCTTTGCAATGTTCAAGGCCAGAGTGCGTGTCAAAGCAGGGACCTTGGGAACAACCAAAAGTTCAGTGGAGAGTGAGTCCTGAAGCAGCAAAGACGTGGTTGAAGCATAGACTGCTGCTGGACCAGGAATGTCGACCGCGATCGTGGCTGATGGAAAGACGAACAATGTTTTGAGAACCAGAAGATCCTCATTGGTGGACAAGCTGAGAGGCAGATACTGAGGAGGGGGTATACTGCACCCTGATACTTGTGGTTGTAATGGTTGTACCAATGGCTTAAAGTTGCGGTGTTTGTCTTGTATCAAGGTAGCTTAATCGTAATGGCAGAAGAGAAGAGACATTGGATAATCACACAACCACTTTCCGTTGTGACTTCCACACAAACCTCATCCTAGCCAACTCCACCTCCAAGTCTTCAGAGCAAGACAGGTGCAGACCAAAGGATTCAGTTGTACTTGTCGCGAGTCTCCTTATTTGTTGGTCCTCCCTCTGCAGTTTGAAACACAAAGAACAAAAACTATCCTCTGAGACATCTCACAACAACGAAGCTAAAGCACCTTCTCGCTGGATCGACCTGTTCTCGTAAGACTGTCTTGATACCATGATACTCCAATATAGTACACAGCACAACAGGTGAAGCCTACTCCACAAGCACAGCAAGATGAGCCATCAAGATTACTACCTCGACCCACATTCCACTGCCTCAACATCATTAACCTCCAATCCCTCATGGCTAAATCCCAAGCCCAAATGATCCGTAAAATCCTTCGTAAGTCCCCCCTGCTCCTCCTCCTCCTCCTCCTCCTCCTCCTTTTCTATCCCCTCAATCCCCCAGCATGAATCCCTCCATCTCACACCAAGACACAGAAAAACACCGCCGTCTCTACTCTAATCGCTATGACCCCAGCGTAATCGCTTGCCGCAATCGACACGGATGGCGTTGCTGGATAAACTACAACAATGGAAAAGTAGACGACTACATCTCTTGAGATGCAAACTAGATGGGAAGCCTTGGAATAAGACGCTGAGGACTTTGAGGGGGCAAGATGTTCAGTTCAACACTCCCAGACATGGTGGTGTGGATGGTTTTGCAAACCGGTTGGGTTCGTGGGGGGTTTTTTGAGTAGTCAAGTTGAGAGATGCAAAGTGAGACACAGAGGAAAGAAGAGGCGAGATTAGTGAATTGCAAAATATGGAATTCCCTATGCTATGAGATTAACAATACTGGTTTGACAAAATCGAGAAAAGCAAACCGTAAACGCCACCGCTATGCATGCAAAAGAGCTCACAGCCACCTCCAACCCATGGTAATAGCGAAAAAAAAAGATACTAAAATAATATCCCACCGTACCATACCACCTTCTTGAACTACCAGAAACTGCACCAACCACCATAGTGCTGACACAGATTCTCCAAGTTGGTTGCCTCGGACAACAACTTCTCCACCTGTTCCTCAACAGCCAACTCGACGTCCTTCTTGAAGTCTCTTCCTGTAAGCTTCTCCTTGACGCGAGCAAGGACTTGCAAGGCTCTGGCGTTTTGCACTTCTTTGCCTTCGCCAGGGACATTCTCGGCGCCGGGTGGTGCACGCTTACGACCGCCTGGTGTACTGCGAGGCGCAGCGTCCAACTCGCCGATAATCGAAGTACGGCGCTCAGAGGGGAATGAAGGCTCAGGAGGCGAGTTCTTGTTGCCGAGACGCCAAGTGAGCAGAGGATCGTGGATGAAAGCTTCAAGAACAGCAATGAGTGACTCCTTGTTCTCGCGGAGCACACGCATGGTGTGTTCGCAGGTAGTGCGGAAGCTACCCTCGATGTTCGAGACCTCCATAGCAAAGGTAAGCATACGCGTGAGACGGAAAGGCACGCGCTCAGGATATTTCTCGCGATGCATGGCGACTTCGAAACAATCACCGAAATCAATGTGAATAATCTTGCCGGTGTTGCGATCAAGCATCAAGTTCGAGGGATGACGATCGCCGAGACCCAAGATATAACCAACCATTGACATGACTGCGAGGGAGCGCGTGTAGTTCGTGCGACGTTCGAGCCAAGCCTCTGAACTCTTACTCTTCAACCACAGGACGCGGTATAGATCTTGACCAGTGGTGTTATCCAGCGCATAGCCGAACACTTCCACCTTTTGCATGAGCGTAAGGTTGTCGTAATCTGGTGCCATCTGAAGCATGATTCGGTGTTCGATGTTGAGAAGAATCTTACGACTCTCACGGTAATCCCGAATGAGAACGTGCAAGGTGTCGCTGTTGGGTACCCATCCGAGCAGACCAGACTGTGTCGAAAGAGGGATGGCTGCGTAACGCTGAATGTTGAGGTGACGTTTCAAGGACTCAGGATCGTGCGAGAGCAGAGTGTTGACAAGGCCGAAGAGTTGCATGACACGCTCATCTTGACGAATATCCTCATGACCCTTGAGAACGTACTGGTAAGTGCCACCATCACTGCCAGTGACTGTAAGCTTTCTTGGTCGCTGCTTGGACTGAATGACTGTCGATGAAGGATCGAACGAGAGGATGCGAATGATCTCCTTGCCACTCTTATAGGTTCCGGGAAGAGCAAGCTCAAGGTCGTGAACATTCTTGAGCTTAGGCGAGACATACTGCAGCTCAAGGTTGGCAAGTTGAGGAAGTTGTCTGGCAATTCGCTTGAAAACACCGTAGTAGAGATCCCAAGCTTGATTCAAATCACCAACCTCATTCGTACGCTTGAAGTTGTTGCACCAATCTCTGGCTTCTGCGAGGTCACGGCCGAAGCTCTGGATAAATGATATTTCTCTCAGAGTTTCAGGGCCCTCGTCAAGCATACGATGTAGCGGTTCAAGCGTGCGAAGCATGCCATCAATATCATGATCACCAAAGTAGAGTCTGGAGGCTTCTTCGAGACCCTCATGCCACTGTTCATGCCAGAGCACAGCGATACGGATCAACTCGTGACTGACAACAGCCGCCTGTCTGCAGAGGTTGGGACTGTGCTGCTCCATAGCAGTCATGATGTCCTTAGCGGCTCTTGAACGATCCCTGTCTTCCGACTTGATTGAGACAGTCAGCGGGTACACAAGTGCTTGTGGATGAGCTCGTCCGACTTCGCACAGCAAGTGATGAATCGATTCCTTGACCAGTCTGTTCGGTTGGTTGATTCGAGCGATCAGCTGAGGAATGACCTCAAGCCATGTGTCGATGCTGACAGTAGTCACACCTTGCGTGACAGCCGAGGTGACCTCCTGGTGTTCGCCGTGGTTGAACCACAATGTCAACAAACGAAGGGTATCTTGTAGCGAGCTCGATGAAGAAAGAGCGATCGATTTGAAGAATCCTTGGATGGCAGGAACGACGTAGTCGTGGATGTAACGTCTTTGCATGCCGTCGGCCTCTCCTCTATCCTTGTTGGCCGTGAGTGCGGTGACTACTTCAAAGTTCGCGAGAGCCCACGCGTGCCAGGCCTTGTACCAGTCTTGGTTGTAGTGGGTCGCTGCCTTGTACGAAGATCTTATCTCGTGTACTCGGTGAGCATCCCATTCACCACGCATCTGTAAACTGAGCCAGTCGCCTTGCTTGAGATAGCATCTGGCAAGCAGCTTTTGCCAATCAGCCAATTGGGCAACGTCCTTTTCGGAAATCTGAGGGCTGACGCCAGCTGCTGGGAACTGTGTACCGTTGACCCCATTAGTCCCGTTCAGACCGTTCATGCCGTTGGTGCCTGGATTTGTGACTGCGAGTGTTCGCTGCTCGTAGTCGATACGTAGTCTCTCTGTAAAGTCCCGCAGACCTGTCAATGCGCCAGAAGAATATCCGTTCGACCACATGTACTTGTAGACTGCGTATTGAACTGGGTATGGTGCGTGCAGAGTGCGCTCTTGGCCTTCTGGTGTCATGAGACTACCTTGCCAACCAAGAAGGGAGTTGAGCGACTTCTCCGCCAAGCCGTTTCTTTGTGCCTTTCTGCAAATGCTGGCGAACTTGATGTACATCTCCGCGTTTTCTGGGGGTGAGATGACCAAGGCACGGACCTTGAGCATGCGTTGCCAGACTTCAACGTTCTTCTGACATCCCTTGAGACGCTTGGTCCAGGTAAGTCGCATGCGTTCCTGCTTGTGAGGGTCACTAGAGCTCTGCTTGTATGCAATAATCTCTTCTAACTCAGCAAGCATTTGCACGCGAACAATGACACTGTATGCTCTCGTGTACGACTCACCGAGAAGTGCACTAAGTTCAGTGTCCAAGCCTTCCCTTGCCTTGTTGATGTGAAGCTGTGCATCGTCGAACTGATTGCGATGAATCGAAAGAATAGCACCGAAGAAGGAGCGATCAGGCGAGTGTAATTTCATGACAGACAGGTAACCATCCATAAGCTCCCACTGTCCCATACCCCATGCGGCAGCGGCAGCTAGAGCGGCGATTGACTTGCGGTTCTCCGAAGAAGCGTGCATCCACTTCTCTTGGGCCAGAGACGAAAGCACTTCCCATTCACCAAGGGCGTGGAGACAGCGCATCTTACCCATAATGACCTCAAAAGAGTCCGGTTCGTCACGCTCCCTGCGTTGGTATGCTGTTAGAGCCTCTTCCCAACGTTGCAACTTCTCGAACCAAGTCTCCTTCATCTGGACGTCCACGTAACCTTGCGCCTTACGCAAGATACCGAAGGCGGCATCAGTTTGCTGGAGTTGGTTGTTGATACTGATCAGAGCCTCGACGTTGCTGGCATTCTGCTCGGCATTGAACTCAAGTTCTTTGTAGTGAAGTGCTTTTGCGAAGGCATGGCACTTGCCGGCGTACATGCCGAGAGTGCGGACATCAATCGGAAGAGCCTTATCGTCGTGCTCCATGAACTCTGCAAGGTTCAGAAGCACTTGCAGAATCTCCGGTGGAATGTGTGGTGAGGTTAGAGCGGTCTCGATTGAGCGGACCAAAGATTCCTGATAGTGGTCATACAACTCGGTCCAGCATGACACGAACGCAGAATTAAACAGCTGCCTGGCGAGAGGAGGGTAGGAACTAGCCAGCTGCGAGCATGATCTCAAGGCGTTCTGTGGTGACTCCTTGAGCAATTCCAGACTGAATCGTCTCATCCACTCTTGCCAATCTTCTTTGGTTGATTTGGCGTTGGCTGCCCATGCGATTTTAAGGTGCTGTTGATTGACCGCCAGCTTGCGATTGTCGACACCTCTCTGCACTTCTTCCGAAGCGGAAGTCTTGTAACGCTCATCTGGACTCAGATCTTGCGGCAAGGGCTCTCCCTTTTGCAACTTGCTAACAATCAATGAGTAGTTCGAGTGTGGGACTTTATGGGTCACTAGAATCTTGTTGACGGTCGGGATGAAGTGAATGTAGTCAGGACCAAGCTGGAAGATGAGGGCGCACAGAGTGTCTAGAGCAGTCTGCTTGAGTCCAGCCTCCGAACCGCCCAGTACTCGTGAGAGGGGGTGAATAATCTTTGCAGCGAATTCTGAGATGTTGACGTGTCTCGAGAGCTTTCCGATGGTCTCGATAGCGAGCTTGCGGATATGCGTTGGCTGACCGGGTTTCTCGAACATGCGGACTATGACTGGAATGATTAAATGCATGTACTCCTCTGCGCTCGAGCCGAAGACTAGGAAAGCGTGCAAAACGCGTTCTGATGGCAAGCGTCTGGGCGTAACATCATGATCGAGTACGCCGAGCATGAGGGGAAGTACGTTAGCTAGGTAGATTTTGAACTCGCCCTCAAGAGACTGTGCAATCGACTCGATGAGTGCAAGCATAGTCGCCTGGTAGGGTGAGTTGTCTGCCCAGAAGTCCTGTACCGTTGCAAGAATCTCCGGCAGATAAGGTCTGATATGTTGACGAACAATCTCTACCAGCTCGCTGAGATTGTTGAAATACTTCTCGATGTTGCCAGCCGGTGATGTGCGGATGACAAGAAGAATACCAGGGACCACGAGACCAAGGAAGTTGACACACTTCAGGCGCATCGTTCTGTAGATGCTCATTACCGCCTCAACTACAGCAGCATGATGTTGCGCAAGAGTGGGTTCCTTGAGCAGGTCCAAAAGAGTATTGATGACTATGGTCGGGTAGTACTCCTCATTGGAGGGTGTGGTTCCTTGCATAATCAGACCGACATCCGTAACGGTCTGCGAATCGGTGACGAGATGGTTCTCGGATGATTGTTCCATGACTTGGTGCCTGTACGGATCTAATGCACCAAGGATACCCATCAAACGAATAGTCTCCTTGCGCAGTTCACCTGGCGGCTCATTCTTGACAACATGCACCAAGATTGACAATAGCTCAGGGTGTTCGATGTAAGGATCAATCACATAGCCAGAATTACTGGCGAGCTGTCCGAGCGTTCTTAGTGCTGCTCGACGTTTACTCGCTGAGCTCAAATCTTGTAAACTCTCGATGATGACTTTCATCAGCTCAGGAACATACTTCACCATCTCATCGCCACCAACAGTTGCCAGATCACCTATTGCCTTTAGCGTGGCAGATGCGACATCTGGATTGGGATCTTGAGCTTTAGGCAAGAGTACCGTGATCATAGGATCGACATATGGCTTGATCAGCTTCGATGACGAACCGACAAGGTGGCTGATCAGTCGCGCGCTCTCCTCTTTGTTCCTGACATTGTTCGAGTATTCGATCTCGGTCAGTAGCTGAATCAGAACCTTGCGCAAAGAAGGGAAGATGTATGCTGGGTTGACAGCAGTCAAACGACCGATAATGGTCATAGCAGCCTCTCTGATGCCAAATATTTCATCGTTCAGGGCGAGGAAGAGCGTACGAACATTCTCGGCCTTGGCGAGGTGACGATCGAAACGGGCATCTAGCGAGGCCAAGACTGTTCTTCGAATTTCGGCTTCAGGGTCAGCTACTCCGACGGTCAAGAGCTTCTCAATGACATCGCTGACGACCTGTATCGAGTAATGACTGGTCTGGTACACAATTGGATCCCTGACAAACAACTGACAACAGGTCAGTGCCGCGGCCTTCCGGATCTCGGCATCGTCATCTTCCACATAGCGAATTGCTACGTCTCTGACAAACTCGTTTAGCACATGGCCAGAGAAATCGAAGCTGCCCAGGGTGTAGAGAGCAAGTGCTATCTGCTGCTCTTTGTGTTCGATATGCTGAGGATCCTGTTGATCGCGTACTTCTCTGGTAAAAATCCGAGGCAGAGGTGTGCTGTGACTGGGATGGCCCGGCAGAACGAATGATTTGCCACACAAAGTCATACTCAGCAAATCAAGGAGCTTCTCCTGAATCGTTGGCTTGACCGGAGGAATGTAGTGTGCCATGTCAACAAGTGCTTGTGTGAGGGCGTCGCTCAGACCACAAGCAAAGATAGGGTCAAGCAGGGCTTCCATGTACTTGCTCAAAGTCTGGCCGACAGCTATGGAAATCATGCTGATGCACTTGAAGATTGGCGCCTCGTCCGTGTTCTTGATACGTGCCTTGACACTAAGAGCTTCGCGAATGTGAAGGAGGATATTGTCCAGATAAGGAGCAATCTGGCTGCCGACAGCATTTGCAACATTTCCAATAGCGATGAAAGACAAATTGCGATCCTTGGGAGATTTGAGAAGCCCTTGTAAATGAGACATAGACCGATGAATGTAGCCGTTGCAGAACTCCTTCGGAGCGTACCGGGCCAAGATTGGGATGATGTAGACGACCTCACGACGGATTAGAGGGTCGCGATGTTCACGATAGGATAGGATGCGCTCGCAAGCTTCCTTGTAGCGAGGGCCGTGCATGAACATGCCTCCCTTCTGCAGCAGTTCCTTCAGAGCGAGCAAAGAACCATGAATGGCCTCGACGGTGTTGTGTTGAAATCCTTTGTCTATCTCTTCATATGTCCTAGTCAACCATTTCTGACGTGCCTGGGGATCTCTGGCCATGAGGATCTCGAAACATTGGCTGATGGTGTTGGCGGCCGACTCCCGAATCATGACCTTGGGATCCCTTAGAGCGACCCAGATGACCTCGAAGATGTCGGGGATCCATACGTGCAAGAGGGTTGGTGAACTCTTTGCAAGCTCGTACAAGTTCAAGACGGCGGAAAAGCGACGATTCTCGTTACGTTCAATCTGCAGCCACTCGAGGGCGACTTTGACTTCGGCATCAACGAGTTCAGCAGTAAGAGTTCCTCCAGGAGAGACGAGATGACCGAGGGTCTTTGCAGCGACAACCATAGCAGCTGTATCGTTGCCAGTCATGACCTTGCGTAGGACAGTGTGGAAGCGCGTCGTCTTTTGAGCGGCATCGTCGCCCTTAAAGTCGATGAGCTGCGAAAGCGCGTAGAGACCGCCGGTTCGTTCGTGGGTATCGGCGCCATTTTGGATGAGTTCGGCAATGCGTTTGTTGACCTCGACATAGTAGGGAGTAAATTGAGCGGCCGACAGTTCTGTGGCGGCCTCGCGTTAGCTGGAGCATTCCAGTGGGGCGATGCTGCAGCCTCACCTCTATGTGCGGCTTCGACTTCGTGTAGCAGGTTCTCGGCGGCGTGTAGTCGTTTCTCGTCGCGCCTAAAGACAGTAGGTCAGCGACATGGTGCTTGTATCGAGTCGAGCAGGGTGGGCTACCTTGATTTGAGCTCTTGGACAGTGCGCTCGAGCGCATCGCGGTAGGCTTGAGCCATAGTCTTGCCTTACCGCGCTACTCATGCGCCGCTGTTCATCTAGATCTGACTTCGTCGCACCGCTGGTCTGGCAGGGGAATGGCTTGGGCTGTGATGCTGTTGGACGCTATGCGATCATTCGTGAAGGTCCAAAGGTGCTCTTTCCAAAACTGCGGGGTGCACGTGGTGAAGCCCAGGCGATCCATCTCTACCTTCTCGGATGGCCGCGTTTTCCCATCTACTGCATTATTCCACCTACACATCTTATCGAATTTTGCTAGACTCGCCGCCGTGCTCTTTAGCTGTCTCCTAGGCTCACGGGTAATCGGAGAGGTCATGAAGCCTTTGACTTCCTTTGGCAGTGACCTGACGAGATACTCAATTTCAGATCAAACCTGACAGCTGATCACAAAGGGTATATGGTCTTCGACTTCCAATCAAGACATCTTGGTAACTATCGAACCTGGTATATGAAGTGTAATGTTGGTTTATGATGTGTTATCACGGCAAGTGTTATTCGGCATATCTTTGAGATTGTGGTCGACACGACAGCCTGATCAAACGGCCGAGATGGGTCCCATAGGCTCGACAACCCGTCGAATCCAGTGATTACACGTTCTTGTATCTTATATGCTCACTCTGGTCCACAGCTTCCCTGCACAAGGTACCTGGATATTCATAGAGACTTCTCACAACCAACAAGTCTCCACTATGTCCAAGCATTCTAAGGAAGCCAGAAAAGAAGCTGCTCGAAAGGCTATCACAGAGGGCCCAAAGATCCTGGCACTGTTAGATTGCTGTTCACTGCTGTACAGCAAAGAAATCAATAACAATCAGTCCCCTCCCAAAGTCCAGCCCCTAAGGTATTCTTTTCGACAAGTCTACATCTTCTGCTTTGACGCGAGTTCCTATAGCAGAAGCAGAGCATCAACAAGTTTTGCGATCACACCAAGTTCAACCAGGCTGACAAGAGAGAGACCAGATAATGTTTCCATTGTATGTGGGTCATCGTTCTCGATCGACCATCGTGATTGCTCGCAAGCACGAGATGCGGGCATGCCTAGATGTGGGTGTCAGAAGCCAGGTGTATTCGTTTGTTGGAGTTGTCTCTGCGGTCAGCGCCACAATGGTTCAATACAATGAGTTCATGGCGCGTTGGTGTCACTCCAAGCTTTTCGTGTATTCTGTCAGAATCCCACGGTGTCAAGCCATGGAAGAAGCTGTATCAAGCAGACATGCATATACGAAGGGCTGAAACTCTATCCCAATGCTTGATTAGTCACCTCGGAATGCTTATCCGAGTTGTCTTTTGTCTTCAATCCTCGAGCAATATCTCCCGGGTGGATGCAAAGAGACATGCGGATAGGCTTCAAAAGACATATACCGCTGATGTGCATGTATCGTATTCAGCATAAAGTGAGTGAATTCTCGCTGTGTACCCAGCTTCATTTTCCGAAGTCTTTGGCAGTTGGGAAGGTGATGCTACAGTGTACTCGGGGACAATATACCGAGACGACACGCAAGTAGGAAGCACAGACACACCATGTGGGAGGAACAAGTCGCGATCGGCAAACACCTTCCCGAGTTCGAACATACGGTGATACCTACCACTTCCCACTGAAAAGCTGTCAAGCTTCGAACGTCAAGCAACCAACAGACTTTTCAGAACTTGAATCGCACCTTGATCATATTGAGGATGAATACCTGAGATCCGCTCCTACAGACACAAGAAGTTCGGGGGTCAACAGATTCCCGGCAGAAGTGTATCCGCACGACTCGCGTTCGGAAATAAGCTTTGCTTCGTGACTGGGAATAACGAGGAGGTTGGAGTCGTTGTAACTCTATCTCCACTTTACGTGCTGGAACTCCTCGGTTGCGGCCACCAGAATCGCGATGCGACAGGATCACAGAAAAACTGACAGGATGAGGAGCGGCACACCTGGATGTTCGGCACGTTTGCGCAATCGATTCTGCCATGGTCTTATATGTCCTGGTGGTGCGACACGAGTCTATAACCAAGAATTGCCCAACGTCACAAGATAGGCTTGCGCACTCGTTCAACGGCCATCTGTTTGTCACCAAGATTTCTCCAGGGTCCCGGCGGGTCTAAGAGAAAGGAACAGTGCCACACTTCCGAGATCTGACTACTAGCACGCGATCTGCTGCTACTTCCTCTCTTTGATTTTCTCTATCTGCGACTGCCGCCCATTTGGCCTCGCACACACATACTGGATTATGGATCTCGAGTGATGACGCAGCGAAGCAAGACGCCACTTCCTACTATGCATCACCAAGATGAGGATGTCGAGCGTGGGGATATGTGGTCGACTGGACACTCACGTATGGATATACCCTGGCAAAGACATTACGCAACAGGCACACCTCTTCCCGGAAGCCCAAATCGCAATAGAAGCCTCGACGACCCTGCGGAAAGCAGCGGAGACGAACACAATGGCAACAGAATTCTCTTGACGCTGAAAGAACGAGTGCGACACTTTGTCTGGACTTGGTTTACAATGACGATGGCCACTGGACAATTGGCGAATGTCATCTTGGCTGGTATGCGGACACTTGACTTTGCTGGCAGTTCGGAGACTGACCTTCTAATGCAGTACCTTACGAGTTTCACGGTCGATATGCGATTGGTTGTTGCTTCTTCCTCTTCAACCTCGTTCTGTTCACGTTCAACGTTACCATGATATCTCTCCGCTTCTACTGGTACCCCTCGACATTCAAAGCCTCATTCACGCATCCCACCGAGTCGCTTTTCGTGCCCGCTTCAGTCGTGTCGTGTGGCACAGTCTTGACCAACATTACTGAATATGCTGTCGGCAATGGAAGATCTGGATACTGGCTTGAGAGGACTATGATTGTCTTGTTCTGGTGCTACTGTGGACTGGCCCTGAGTTTCACCTGTGGAATCTATCTCATCATGTGGTCGACCCAGACTTATACCATCTCTAGGATGACACCAGGTACGTTGGCCACGCTCTCAGCACCTCGTGTGCCTTGCTGACCATTCTTGACAGTGTGGATCTTCCCGGCCTACCCGTTGCTCATCATCGGTCCACACGCTGGCAGACTGTCTGCACGAGTGGCTAAAGAGTCGGCGTTACCGATCATTGTTGGCGGATTCTGTCTTCAAGGCATAGGCTTCATGATGAGTCTGATGGTCTATGCCGCGTTCTTGTACCGGCTTATGACTCAAAAATTGCCGAAGGAATCTCTTCGTCCTGGCATGTTCATCTCCGTCGGTCCTTCTGGCTTCACCATCGCGGGTGTCATCACCATGGCCCAAAATCTTCCAGGATGTATACCGGAGAACTTTATGGGCGTGGGAGAGATGGCTGGTGTTATCTCAGTTGTAATGGCGAACTGGATGGGCATCTGGCTGTGGGGTCTCGCCATTTTCTTCTTCATCGTGTCCTGCGGTGCGCACTGGTCTTGTGTCAGACATGGCCGTCTCCAATTCGCTTTGACCTGGTATTCTTTCATCTTCCCAAATACTGGTCTCACCGTAAGTTAGCTTCTGCCACTTCTGTATCAGGGCAGGGTTGAGCTAACCATTCTTTCGCAGACTGCCACTTTCGCTGTAGCACGCGCCCTAGATCACTGTCGTCCTATTCGCATTCTCGGCTGTGTGCTTACCTGTCTCCTCGTAGCGGGCTGGTTCTTTGTTTTCGGAATGATGATCCGCGCCGTCATTCTCAAAGACATTCTCTGGCCGCAGAAGCAAGAAGATCGTGATGAGGGCGGTTGGAAAACCGAACCTGATGACTTGACATTGAGCAAAACTCAAACTCGAACGGAGAATCCTTACCCTGATGGAGCTGCGGACACGCATGCTGGCATCCGGGCGTAGCTGGATAGTCATTGGATGTGATCCATGAAGTTTACGAGAATTACGAAGTACAAGATGCATAGATGAGATAATTGCATGTTCACTGTTTGGTCCAGCAAAGCACCATGATATCCCGTGTGCTCAAGTGATTTGGCAGGCTGCGTCTGAATTTCGGAGAGCTAAACAGATCCAGCTGTTCGCGATCACTCGTCTCTACCATCAATCTAGTGAACAACCTTACCGCTCCACTCACTACAGCTGACCTCCTCAGCACTACCCACCGCCAACCCCACACCACTGCTGCCAAACAACGCAGCACTAGCACCCGAATCAATGCACAGATCAAAGTTGAGGTTAGCACCGTATTGGTTGGTGCCACTGAGACCATTCTGAGCACACAGAGGGTTGCTCTCCGCAGGGCACAAGTTGGTCACTTGGACGACGATGGGGTTGCCAAAGGTCTTTTTGTTGCCCGAGGAGTCAGTGCTGGCAGTCAATTTCCAGCATGTTCCGCAGGCGGGGCCGGCGCCTGCGCCGGTGCCGACGCCGAATTCGTTTTGGGATACGGCGGCTGAGTAGCCGGGCTGTATGGGGGTGTTAGTGGAGGAGGTGGCAGGGGAGAGAAGGTGAAAACGGACAGAGGTGTAGAAGCCGCAGGCTGTGGTTGCGACGTTGCAGTTGCCGCTGCCCCAGGTGTCGGTTGAGCCGTATTGGGTGAAGGAGGCTTTGTAGGATGTTGCTGCTGAGGCGAGGCCTGCTGAGGCAGCGAGAAGGGCGACGGGTGTGTACATGATTGGGTATGTGTCTTGGAGATTTCTGATGAGATGGAACGAACAAGGTGGATTGAATGAGATACTCAAAGAGTTCTTATAGATAATGCTTTACCTCAAAACTTCTAAGCGACGTCTGGTGGTCTGGTCGAATGCTGTCGTCACTTTACTATAGCTGTAACTACTGTCCCCATATTCTGCCGGTCGATCAGCATCATAACTTTGGTTAAACAACTACACAGGCTGCATCCACAGGCTGTTGAGCTTAGAAGATCACAGTCCCTGGTCCAGGAGCCCTGTGTGGCATGCGATCGTCACAGGGCGATGGTTTTGAGTTCAAGGCATGAAGAATGCACTCGATGGCTGAATACAAGCGATTAGGCGCGTACGAAGCCTTTGTCCGCTCCACAATGTGCGCCATGGATATGTCGTGCGGCGTGTTTCAGACCTCGGGTCGTTTCAAGCATCAGGGGATTTGTGGGTATCGATTGCGTGTTTTGCGAAAGGATGTTGAGAAGATTCCGAGGCTCAGCACCTTCAGAAAGATTGTGCCTTCTGCAGTCATGCGTGTTGACGTCTTCGGACAAGGGGTGCCCTGCAGTCTTGAGGCCCCCTCATGCAAACCAGCTTGCCAGTCTTTTTGGTGGGGTGCGAACGTGAACGAAAGCGAGCGTCTGTTCTCTGGGATATCTGGCGTGACACAGTCTACACAGACTTTGTTTCAATCATAACTTGTGTGACAAGAAGAGGTTCTTAGAGCACCACGACTTGCATGGAACTTTGCTTACTCCAGGATCTGGCTTTGGATAGGGCACTTGTCAGTGATGATGCTTGGATTCACTCTTCTGGCGGGAGAGGGGTCTACCAGCATTATTGTCATTATTGTCATGGACTACAGTGACGCGTGTCGTGCAGAACCTGATTATTTGTTTTTGTATCCGAGGCAAATTGAATGAGCATCGAGTATGGTAACGTTAGCAAGCACAACATCTTGGTCCGAAGAGACAACATGAGAACAGTCGACTCGGTTGTGCAGTGGGAACTCAGAGCTCTTAGTTCTGAATTGTCCTGGAAGGACAGGGTTGTCACTCACACCAGGACTGTGAGGCAATTCCGGATGGAACAAACTTATGGTAGACCTGAAGTAAAGTAATGATAGCGACTTGGAATGTTCGATACGGACTTCTTTTGAGGCCTGCACTCTAGATGGCCTACCTACAGCTTATTTCATGTTGGCCCGAAAGGCTTCTTCCTAGGGTTTGATGGAATCGAGCCGTGCCTTCCATCCCGTAAGATGCCTGAGTCCTCATGTTCTCGTAACCTTAGAGACTCGGTCGACTCTTTATAGGTAGTCAGTGGGATCTCGAATACGAGTCGTGATGGACGATGCGGCATCCAAAAATAGCAAGCAAATGGCAGGGGCGGCGGGTGCCAAGAGTCGGCGGGTGGCTCCCGCATCTTCAAACAGTGAGCGGGCGCGGACGTGGTTGAAGGAGAGATATTCACAAACGCTCCTCTTTTTCCACCTCTGTTCTCTTGACGACATCTGTTTCCCTAGGCACTCACCTCTATCGCCAGCTGTATTCTTGCTACAGCCAGTCACTCGCTTACTGAGCATAATAATATTGCCAATCAACAACACTTCGACAACGCCACTTGGTTCCCGAGACACGACAAACAACGAGCCCCTGTTAGGCCTCAATCACAACTTTCCACCATGCGTCCGGCAACGCTGCTCTCCTCGATCGCTCTCTTCTCAGCCCTCAGCTCGGCTTCAGCCCCATGGTCTGAATCTTTCCACCTCAAGGCCATTCGCGACATCAACGACTTTGTCTTCCCACGACAGGATACTTCGGGTGCGTCACAAGAACTTCCTGAAGCCTGAGACGACCATCATCTGACCTTCCACAAGCAGCAGAATCCACCACAGCCGCCTCCAAGACGTCCGATGCCTCGAGCGCAAAACCCACCGCAAATTCCTCCAACAAGGACTCCTCTAGCCAGCCTTCGTCCACCGACAACAACGATGCTACCACCACCGGGTCCGACAAGAGTGCTGCTGCCTCATCCGGTGCATCCAAGTCTGATGACTCCTCAGATGCCTCGACCACCGGCAAATCGACTGGCGGCAGCAGTGGAAGTAGCAAGGGTACAGCCACTACAAAATCATCGTCATCGAAATCCAAGACGTACGGTGTCTCTGCTGGCTACGGAGGTGTCGCCATGATCACTCCCGGCGTTTTTTCATCTTCTTCATACTACAAGGTCGGCGAGTACGTTACCTTCGCCTGGAACCTGACCTCCTTGTCTGTTACTCCCACCGCTATCGACGTTTACGCTTCTTGCGGTGCCAACCAGAACATGTACACCTTGGCCGTTAACCAGACTGTCAATGGTTCTACTGGAGCCGTTACTTGGGACACTGGTGACTACCAAGCCACCGCCACGGTACCACTGCTTACAGAGACTTACACACTCATCATCATGGATGCCGCCATGCCTGCTGTCACTGCCACTGCCGTCTATGGCGGTCTTCCTGTCTACAGCAACTTCCGTTTCGGCATGTACACCACACAACCCTATTCAAACTCCTCAGGCGGTGATGCCGCGACATTCACCTGCATTACTTGCAAGAGTGCTGCTAGCTCGCTGGAAAAACAACCTCTCGCCTTTATACTTGGCATGGTCCTCATCACTATCGCAAGCTACACAATGCTTGCGGCTGGCTTCGACGTAATTTGAGGTGGATTTATGACGGCCGTGCAAAATGTCTTTGGAGTTTTTAAGGATTTATGGGAAGGTCATTTGCATTGGGCCGGCGCTGGTTTTTCTGAACAAGGCAAAATCTGGCGTCTTATCGTTTTTCATTTGCTGTGCATATAATTTTTCTATACTGAGCTTCGGGACACACTTGAGCAAAATGTTATTTTGATGATCGCGGCGACGTGTCGTAAATTGGATGGTTTGTTGTAGAAGTCGCAGCACCCCAGGATGCCAGTGCGGCTCTTTCCAACGCACCCCTGCGTTTTTGTTCCATCAGAAAGTTTAATCTTTTTGTATGAACCTCTTCACATGTTTTGCCATCTTAACTGACCACAACTTTGTCCTGGGCTCGCGTTTCCTGCATCTCCTGGAACACTTGTCACTATCAACCGAGCGTCCGGCTAATGTTCGCACTGGCAGCAAATATCTCTGTGGTCTACGTGCCGCATCTCAATCTTTGTTGACGCTCTTTTATTCTCGTCTTCGCCACGGCTGGATTCTGGAGTCACAATGCGTACAGCAGGCGCCATACGGTCGCAAAAGATGGCTGGTCGAACTACGAGTCGTGCAGCAAAGAAGGTGCCAATAAGTCATGATTTCTTGTTACGGCAGAGAATGTACAACAAGCTCAAACGCATTATTCCAGACACGGCCAAGACAACACCATCTCACGTGCTAAAAACCAAGCTCGAGAATGCTCAATCTAATCCGGACATGGTGGCATTGATGTCTCAATTCAAATATGACGAGATTCTTGATGTGGCAAAAGAATTGGTTGCGAAGGGTCTATTCGGTTTGGCTCAACCGCCACATGGTGGCTATATCAGAGCTCGTAAAGCCGCACGAGAGGCCGCCAGTGAGCCCTCTTCAGAAGCGAATGTGCCGGACGAGATTCGCAGATCTGGCTTTCGAAGGCTGGATGATTTTCAATCTGCAGTCGCAGAGGCTGAATCACCAAGCTCCACTTCCGGAAATTCCATTACGAGTTTTGATCAGCTTTTGGAAAATCATCTAGAGACCTCGAGGGCTACATCTGCCGCATCCGCAGTATTCTCTAATTTCAAGCCAGCCGATATTCTCGAAACTACTCGCTCAACGAAGTCGATTGATGGATTCCGTCAGGCTACAGCAGTATCTGTGGGTGTGCGCGATCGACGGAGAAAACCCCGAGTATCGCTTCAAGACACCAATGGCTACTACTTGGAGACCTACGTTGAAAAGGTCTACTCAGAATCGAAGCCTCGCCTCAAAGGCTTTCATTGTCATCCTTCAGTCTCTTACCACAAGATCGGCCACGAATTGGGATTCTTCCCTGGTCTTAGCAAGTTATTGCTAGAGCATCGGCCTCGTGATCTGTTCAGACTTGTTCGCGAGCTCTGTATTCGAGGCCTCTTTCTTGTCAATTATACGAGATATCCGAGTTATCGTGAGGCTGCAGAAGAAGCTCGTAAACTAGTCCCACAATATGCCGATCTGCCCCTCCGCGTGTGTGCTGTTGCCAGCCAGATCCTATCACCATATCCTTGGGAGCCCCTCAGACTTCCCTACGTGCTTGACATTGAGCCTGTCGCCAGTCGAGCTACGGTTCCCGACTGCCAGAGAATGAAACTGCTCCCAGCTTCGGAGGGTTCGAATGCACCTCACAACAACGAAAGCTCGAACGTAATGGAGACCGAGCGTATACAGATCCCTGCGTCCGATCTGAAGCAGACTACGGAGCTAAATGCTGCTGGCTCGCAGATATCTCATCCTGATATTTCAGGTACTTCAAAGCAAGTATTGGAACAAGGAGAGTTCTCGAACTCAGCTGCACTCGTCAAGCCAGAGGTGACTGCCTGGGATCGAGTTGGCGAGCCCAGCAAGACTCTGAGGATCTCAGGGTTCAGAAGGAGAGTCAACAAGAAGTCTCTTTTCGAGGAGTTCGCGAGATTCTCTCCAATTGAACTCGAAGTGCCGGAGCGACTTGTTGCGCTTATCACTTTCACCGACATCGAGGCCGCTACTAGGGCTCTCAACGCCAAACGTCGCTTTTTTTTCAAGAGTAGCGCCTTACGGTGTACGTTCACGAACCCAATCCACACCCGTGTCGTTGCTTCCAGGCAATTGGTCGATGACCATATGCGCGATTTGCCGTCATTACCTGGGGACACATGGGACGAAGATTCTAGCCTTGGTTCCACATCGCTGCCTTCAAAATCTCATCTATCAGACCTGGTTGACACGACGAGTACCGAGGAAGAGTCGTCCAAATCTAATGTCGAGAGTTTCGATGACAGACTAGAAAACAAGGAGTTCCAGGTCTCTGTATCAGCTCCAGCGATGTCTGATGGTCTTGGAGCAGACGAAGGCATAATGTCAACTAAGAACTCTGTTTCAGATCCGCCCAGCTCGGATCTACGCTGGGATACATTGTTGGACGCTAGACCTCAAAAAAGATTCAAACTTAGACCCCGTTGACTTAGAGATCAGTCGACATGCAACGATGGCCGTCCCCAAGACACGAAGTTTCTATCTACCACATACCTTCCAACACAAGATACTATGTGGTCTGCAGACATCTCTTGAAAGAGTTTGTTTTGAATACATAATGCGCACGACTCCGAATGTACTGCAAGAATCGCAAGACCAATGGGGAATCGACAATCCTCACGCCTTGGAGCTAAATCAATATATGCGGCTGTTTGCCAAGCTCAATGCGTTTGAATCAAAGCCTATTGGACCAGATAACAGCGGAAGCATGTTGAGAAGACTGCACCATTCTCTGATACTGCTTCGTAATGTTGCTGTTCACAGGAAGAGATCTAGTATCCCAAGCTTGCGGCGGTGGACCCATGATGCGTACACTTTGGCAATCCTTGCAGGCGACTCGAAAGCGGCCGCACAGTTTGAGAACCTCGGAAGGTATCTCGAGGTCGAGCAACAGAAGATGTACGCCGATAGGAAAGAAGCTGAAGAACGACTGTTAGCCACAGTCAAGGAATTGGCAATCAAAAGAGCCGACCTGGACCGCCTGGAACAAGAAGCCATGGACAGGTTCAGCGAGGAGCACGAACAGGTCCATGCCCGTGATTCGGCGGACTTGAATAAAGCTATCGATGCCACCCTTTCTCTGGACTATGACCTTGGATCTGGCTGTGAAAAGACATCGCCGATAGAGCCTACCTCGCCAAATGAGCCCGTGCCGGCCACTGAGCCTGTCTCGTATACTGTGTCTACCATATCGCCAGCTGAGCCTATCACATCGCCAGCTGAGCTTACCTCATTGACAACTGTGCCTACTATATCCACAATGGTGCCTACCACATTGCCAATCATGCCTACCTCGTTATCGGTTGAGCGTACCATAATGCCAGCTGAGTCCTTGAGTCTAGTCCCTGGAGACATACAGTCCGCTGATCCTGTGAGCGGCATCTTCGGTAGGCTCAAGCTTTGGTATGGCGCGTGATGTGACATCTTGACCGGCGAACTGGATACACATGGTCTCGAATCTTCCCAAACATCATCGCTAGACTGTCGTAATCTACACAGTAATATAACCATACGTTCATGTCTTGTAGTTGCAATCAAGGGCTCCATCACTTGAGCATTTATTGTATATCATATGCACCACATCTGTTCATCATGCAAACATAGAAAGTGCCCTTCGGCCGACTGCCCACAATCACCTCGCTTGCATCACGCCACACGGAATCACAGAGTCATGAAAATGGACCTGATGATCCATCCTTAACCCCCTGACGATCTCGTGTAAAGATCGACATTGATGGTCGAGCGGATGTGGGGTCATCAACGCGCGTAAGAAAGAATGTCAAAGTCTGGACTCTGAGAATCCCTGTTGTAACGTTAGTGAGGTAGTCGGTTCTGCAATCAGTGAGATGTTGTGTGTGGTGTTTCGCTGATCGTGGGACATGTAGATATCATGGGCGTACTCTAGTGGTAGAGATCTAACGAAATTAAAGATATAGTATCAAATGACAATGTCTATGAATACCGTAGATGTTCCCGGGATATGCTAGAACTACTTGACGATTTGTGAACTAGGATTAGTCTCTTATATATCTCTGTGTGTCGGGCACTCATTATACTTGACATAGTTGTGTGCATTGGTATGCATCGATTCCTGGAAAGATTTCATCCTTGGGTCGATGTAGGCATAGTGAAGTATATCCCAGCTAGTCGATAGCGGGATCTACCTCGATTGGCTATCAAACTCAATAGCACGCAGCCATGATCCCAAGAATCCTTACACAGCAAGGAGAAAGAGAAACCCTTGATACAGAAAAATACTATTTATCAGAATCCAGGGTCACACCCCTCTCCAAGCTTTTCCATCAAGATCCGAAAATAGCAACATAGAAACCTCTACAACTGCGAGCTCGTCTCTCGCAGTGGACTCTCATCCTCGCCTCCCGAATGACGAACACGCACAAACTCAAGTCTCCACTTCCTAGGGCAGTTGAGGACAAGCATTTCTTCTCGAACTCGTACACGCAATAAGCCAAGATCGATGATGCGCAACTCTCACTTGGCAGAAAACCCGCGGACAGCCGAAGCATGGTTATTCTTGCCTTTAGAAACAGATACTCCATTGTACGGTCCGAAGAGTATAGGCAACAGTGTTAGTGTTTAGTGCAGTGTGAGGGCTGTGCGATTTGCCATGGAGACTCGAGGTCTGAGTGTTACAAAGATCAGGTGGTGAGTTGTGGAGTTGGGCAGCAAGAGAGATGCAGAGTCGGACTTTGCTGTTACCTTGCCAATGTCCGACACACGGTGTGCTATATCATGCCAGACTATCAATCAATTGCTGAGAATCTTGGGGCTTCTTTTCTGTGGCTTCGGGCAGCATTTCGGATTTGGAAAACGAGTGTGAGCATGGCGTTTTCCTGGTCAAGCCACTTTCTTCGATTGCCAGGGTCACTTTTTCGCCTTCGTAGGAACGCCTTTTACCTGTCCGTTTGCGGCCCTGAAACGAGACCCATATTGCCGTGTGACCACACACATTGTCTGTCGCACACAAGCCATAAAGATAAGAACGTGTCGCAGCTCATTCGACAGGAGCAACGGTTAGCAGGGCTAGCCCTCTCTCTTCACCGGCTTCCTTGCATTGGACATGGCAGTGATGTCTCGGAATGTGGGCAGATTGATAGGTATGAGGAAGAAAGAGATTACCGCCAACCGAGCCCCTGGCTTCCCGCGTTGGCGCTTCTTTATCTGTGGGTGTGTGGTAGGAAGCAGATCGTTTGTGACGGGTTGACGGGATATATATCGTTATGCAGGTCGCCTAAGGCTCGTTATCTAGCCTGGCTGACTGAGGTGGACGGTGGGAGGCTTGGGATGAGGTTGGTCGATATGTGCTGGAAGGAAGAGATAGATTCGTGTTCCGATGTACAGTACCTTAGTCCAACCTCATTCCGCTGATCTAGTCGGTTAGATTCATTGGTCGTATCTTGTAACTTGTCCCTGATTTGTGCTCTATGCCACGAGTGCTGCTTCACCGCTGCCACTCACACGTGGTTGCAATGCTTGGAGGTTCTTGAGTGACAGGCAGTCAACGTCCGACACCTGCATGCCTGTCCCTAGACGCGGTGAAGAATTGCACGGAGCAAAAGATGTCGATACGCGATATTGTGGCTTGCATATGCCTGTCCTACCGGAAGGCGGTCGTCTAACCAAGGCACCGGTAAGTGTTACGGGCTAGAGAAAAGCCCCAGGAGCGGCGCGGGGGGCCGGCGGAAGACGTTCACGGACTGTTTCGCGTGGCTCAATGTGTCGAGATCGCTGTCCTGCGCTGGATGAAAGAAGGTTTGCTTCGTACATTTGATGGTTGTTAGGAGCTTAGGTGGATGTACGCATATGCATTTGACGTGTCGTGGTTTCATCATAGCTGATGTGCATCACATAATACGTCGCTTTGTGATGAAAGAGCTAATTGGGCATAAGGTAAATTCATGTTGAAGTGTTCGCACAGTCAGCAGATTGGTACATGGTCAAAGTCGCGTCGACCTTCTTTCAGCTTCATCGTCTTATCGTTCGCAGGGATGTTGAGAAGGACAGCACGGCGAAAGCAGCCTCAGATGACAAAACAAAGAGCAAAGAACGTGACTGCCGCGTAAAGTTCCCGCATCTCAATCTCCATCGTTCAGCCTCCTCCAAGCCATCCTTCCCATTTTTGTGATGGTTTTTGGCTGCAGCCTGGGCTGCGTGTACTAAAAAGCGGGCCGGAGATTCCTGCCGTTTTAAGCTTGCTCTGGGGAAGTAGCGGAACAAGCAAGAAAATCATCGGTGTCGAAACAAAGAAACAGAGTTGGGGCTGATGGTACACGAAGCATCGGTCAAGGGGTGGATGGGAATGAGGAAAGAGGTGTGTCAGAGATAGAAGATGAGAAAAGGGATGATGCCCAAGGTGTGTGCTTGATCAGAAGATATATTAAGCACCGCTCCTCCCTTTGCCCAAACACTTGACTTGTTTGACAACCTTCGACACCTTTTTCACGTGTCTCCGAAACAGTTTATTTCTGTTTGCTCGGCTCTTCTCAAGGCAGTCACATCTGTTGTAGTGACTCAGCTCAAGCTATAACTGAAGTATCCGTTCGTCTCTTTCGGATCATAAGCAAGATCATCTTTCGATCCCTTCAGTTCGTCTGCTTTGTTCATTGCAAGCAAGCCAGCCAGCCTCTCGTCCGTTGTCACCCACCAACGCTCGTGACCAAACATCCTCTCCACCTTGATATCCCGGCTCCACATCACGAATCACACAACAAGACCATCAGATAACAAAAAGAGATCATCGCTGGACTCTTCCCTTGGACCTATCTCGTCGACTATCCCCTTTTCCCCGCAAAAGAAAGATCATCGCTTGTCCAGACCGAGTCACTCGGTTGCTTTGCTGATCTCATCCCATCCTCCGAGGCTGTCTGATACCAAGCTTTCAGCACAGCCCGACCGAAAAGTACAAGCACGCCTATCTTTTGTGTTGATCGCGCTGGCACATGTCATTTCTGACATCGAGCAACCGAGGACATCCGTTTCAGCTCTGAGATTTGATAAGAAACAAACAACCCTCCCTTGGTTGTCCTTGCCTGGACTTTCTTGGAGTTTATCCATCACTCAGACTAAAAACGAGTTGTTGGATTGACCATTCTTGTAGCACAACGACTACAACAAAACCTTCACTACCAAGAGACGCTACAATGTGTGTAGCCAACCTTAACGTCTCCACACAACCATGCTCGCATCGCTGGTATACCCTCGTCAAACCTTGCACTAGCACCACAAATCTCTCCAACTGCTCCTCGAAACTCGCTCTTGAGGGCTGGGAGACACGACTCGAGTCTTGTCCTTGGTGCGACGACTCGGCTTCTGATCCCAGCATTCTCGACGACAGCACCCATCGCTTGTTTGGCGGCAGTGTATCTCGCTCCCGCAGTGGCAGTCTGGGCACTTCTGGAATCGGTGCTATGCCCATTGCTGCAGAGAGACACAGGCGCCAGAGCAGTGCGACCAACTCTACAACTTCATTGTCGAGAAGCAACAGTGGCCGCGACGATGATGCAGAGGCCGAAGAGTTGGGCAGAGGTGAAAAGGCACGCATGATGAACTGGCGGTTGGATGTCTACTTGACGGGCAATGCTGAGCGAAAGCCAAGCATGTCGCAGGAAGTTGAGAACATCGCACCTGAAACTTCCGTGCCTGAACAAAGCGGTTTGGCCAGATCTGGAAGTATCAGAAGATCTGGCAGTCTTCTGGGCAGGAAGATGAAGAAGGGTATGCGTTTGAGCAAGACCATCTTCAAGGGTTGAGAAGGATGATTGCTTGTCCTTCTCTCACTTCCCGTTTCCGACCATGGATATTTATCGATCAGCCTACCACGACCACTTGGATGACTCCACTCTGTCGGGGATCTACTGGCAAGTAAAGACTGCAATACAGCTCCACATATGTGGATGTCGACTGTATACTGCGAACTCCACAGCAATCATGCCTGGCCAGCCAACAAGCGACGAGCAATCTATCACTCACCGCCTTACCAGCGGCAACGCTCCACACCCTTCTCACCGCCACAGATGCGGCTTGCGAGCTTCTCATCGCAAGATCTTTACACGACACTTGGACTTTCTGTCGATGGAGTCGTCCTTGTCATCTCTTCTCCACTGTTTCCTTTCATCGGTACCTCTTGGTTCAAGGCATTCAAAAAGCAAGTTCTATACTCAGGTAGTTGGTCCATAGAATCAAAGGAATCAAAGTTTTGGAATGCAGTATTTCCCCTCCTTTGACTACACTGCTCTCTCTCTCATTATGAGTACATTTGATTAGTAGCTATAAAGTGTTCCAAAAAAAAACCCCCCCCGCAGATATGCCCAAAGAAAGCCAGTCAATTGTCTCCATCCCAATGGACATACCGTTCTCCTTCCAAACTACTCTTGCATCTCTGTCATTGAAATAGGAAATATACAGAGATACGGAGACATTGAGAGGAGAATTGTGTGATTCTTCTTCACTTTTGCCTCTTGAATTCCATCATATTCATTTATGCTCTTTCAGATATTGTTCAGCCACTTCTGCATTGCGCTCACCTCAGTGGCGTATACTACTTACTCGCGCACAAAGATGGCCGAGGGATGATTGTATATAAACAGTCTACCAACCGTGACATCTTCTACACATTTGCAATCAACGTGGCTGCCCGCTGTCCGGCAAACCATGATGTCGCACACCATTTACGAGTGCTTTTGTTCCTATCTCTTCTACATACGGTGGCTGAGATGATTTCGGCACAACCGCATCTACATCCTCGGCAACGATGACAATGGCGTCCGTGACCGAGCAGCTTTGAAGTGTGGTCTTCGTATAGAAATCCGGGGACTGGGACGGATTCGTGCGTTCACGCAAAGATCAGGCGGATCCAAGAGCTCGGGATGGTGTTAGTAGAGAGGAGTAGATGGTTCACGAGTACCGGGTAGTAGTGGAAACAGTAGGAATCGTAGCTCTCTCGCTTGAACAAGAGGAGAAAGTTGTAGGGCCTCGTGCGTTGCGAGCGGCCCAACCAGTTGCAACCACGAGTGGATGAAATCGGAGCTGTAATAGAAGACGAGGGCGGGATGCAAGATAGCACAGGTGCATGGCGTGGACACTTCGTTCGGCGCTCTCGGTCTTGTTTTGCCAAAGAGATGAAGGCCATGACGCAGATGGGCGTCCTGAGGAGTGACGGGTTGGGCTGAGGGCCAGATGCTTGTAGAAGAATATATTCGTTGATTCGTAAGTCATATAGTTATCTCCGTGACCTACTACTAGTCTTCGGTCGCAGATTTCTTTGTCAGTTTCTTCTCTACAGCTGATTGAGCACCCATTTCCTGACCCAAGCCAGTCAAGAAATCGTCAACCTGTACCTTGCCTCGTTTCTGTCTGATGGCCTCTCTTCGTCGCTCGATCTCTTCTTTGCGATCTTTGATCTTCTTTTCGCGTTCGGAACGCACTCTTTCCGTCTCGGCCCTCTCCATCTCCAGGTTCTCGAATTGTCTCTTGCGTTCCTGATCATCGTGGCTAAATTGCATGAAAGCAACGCCCTTTTGTCTGATCTCCTTGGAAGCGTCAAAGTGGGTATCTGGAGGTGGAGTGAGAGATGTGTCGCGTTTGGCGGCTAGATGGGCCATTTGTTGGGCAACGGGCTCATCTGGATTGAATGCAGCTGCTTGGACAGTATCGCCAACGATGAGATTCGTAGGCATGTCTGGTCGCGAGCGCAAAGCGGCTTCTGAACCTAGTTGAGCGAGTCGTTGTTCGCGGGCGCGTTGAGCAGCGGTGCCTGTGCGTGTGCGACCAAACTCGTCTTCCCATTCGACCATTTCTTTGTCGCTGTCTGAGTCGTCGTCTGAAGAGGATTGATCGGAAAGTTGTTTGTTTTGCCGATCGGCCCATTTACGATCGAAATCGACGAGGTGTGATTCGTTCTCGTCGCCGACGTCTCCTCGTTTCATGGCGGCATAGAGACGGGCCTTCTCTTCCATCTTTCGCTTGGAACGGTGCCATGCTGAAGAGTCTAGAGCTTGCGAGGATGTGCTGTGTTTTTGGTTGAAGGCGGGAGAGTCATCGTCGAGGTCTCTGGCAGCACGCTTCTTCACATTGCGATTGTGTGAGGCGAAGATGTCTTCTTTCTTTGGACGTGATCGTGAGGCGGATGGACGTGTGGGATTGGCGGAGTCTTTGGGGCCGGCGTGAATCAGGGACTGAAGCTGCGAGGTGAAGGCGAGGGTGTTTGACGACGAGATTTCGCGTGACGACTTATGTTTCTTCGCGGGCTTGGGGGCGCCGTACAAGGGAGCATCCTTTGCCGATGTGTTTCGATATGACATTCTGAAGGAAGTTGTAGAGAAGATGACGATGCTGTCGCGAATCTTCTCCAGGTGTGGGGTCAAGAAGGTTTGCGTCGCTCGTGCAAGCGCTCCGAAACCGCTGCAGCACCGCCGAATTGACAACGACGAGCAGCCGCTACAAGCCCACATGGTCCTGGAAAAGCTGCTGCATCATCAATCCCTCCATCCAAACCCTCATCAAGCCGAATACTGCATTCGCCCTCTGTCCGAAATGCCCACTCCTCGTCAAGTCTACGTTGCCGTCATTGGTATCTTCTGCCCCTCCACCCCCACCAACCGCTCTAACATTTCACAGGTGTTGGCGGTGTTGGCAAATGCTTCCTGAACCAATTCCAGGCCCTGAGGACTCGCATGTCCCAGGCAAGATCTCCCACCTACCTTGACCTCATCTTCGTCTCGCGCTCAAAGAAAAGTCTCTTCAGCGAGAGCTTCCGCCCATTGAACCTCGACACCATCGAACAAGACCTCAATGATTCCAAGCAGCCCGTCCTCGAAGCCTCTGCTCTCGTCGAGTACCTCGCAACCGCCCCCGAGAAGGTCATTCTTGTCGACAACACCAGCTCCCTCGACATCGCACAACAATACCCTGCCTTCCTGCGCAAGGGCGTCAGCATCGTCACCCCCAACAAGAAGGGCTTCTCAGACAGCTTTGAACTCTGGGAGGACATGTTCGCTGCTGCCTCCAACGGCTCTGGCAATGGTGGCTACCTCTTCCACGAGAGTACCGTTGGTGCTGGTCTGCCTGTTCTCTCTTCCCTGAAAGAGCTTGTCGACACCGGTGATGAGGTTACAAAGATCGAGGGTGTCTTCTCCGGCACCATGAGCTTCTTGTTCAACAGCTTCATGCCTGTTGGTGGCGGTGGTGGCTCCTTCGCTGCAGAGGTCAAGAAGGCAAAGGATTTGGGCTACACCGAGCCCGACCCAAGAGACGACTTGAACGGTCTGGATGTTGCTCGCAAGCTGACCATCCTCGCCCGTCTTGCCGGCCTCAAGATCCAGAACCCCACCAGCTTCCCTGTACAGAGCTTGATTCCCAAGGAGCTGGAGTCGTGCAGCAGTGGTGATGACTTCATGTCTCGTCTCCCCGAGTTCGACGACCAAATGGAGAAGCTGAAGCAAGAGGCCGCAAACGAGGGCAAGGTTGTCCGTTTCGTTGGCAGCATTGATGTTGCTAGCCAGGCCGTCAAGGTCGGCCTCGAAAAGTTCGACGCAAGCCATCCCATCGCCGCCCTCAAGGGTAGCGACAACATCATCAACTTCTACACCAAGAGATACGGCTCTAACCCTCTCATCATTCAAGGCGCTGGCGCTGGTGGTGAGGTTACTGCCATGGGTGTCACTGGTGACCTTCTCAAGGTGCTCCGTCTTCTCAACTGACGCCAGGAGAGATCTAGACTTTGATTATAACGTAGATACGAGAAGAGCTAGATGATAAAAGTTATGGCATACAAAAGATAAATTTGACACTTGCTTCCACTATGTTGCAAAACACTTTCCGTCGTGATTTCGGTATGGTTGATTGTGCTCATGGAATTTGTATACCAACATGACTCGCTCATGACGTAGGCTTCGAGGCAGCCATGCGCGCATCACCGTTCCTTCTCTTTTTGGAAACTCTATTCGCTCACTTGCGATTCCACCTTTTATACCCATCTCTTTCAATACTTCACGTTCTTATATTGCGATCTGCCTTTGTGTGCTTGTGTCCGTTCTTCTGCTTCTTACTACACAACTGCCGGCGCAAACATGGACGGCTCAGAAGTGAACAAAGACCAGTCGGCATCACAACCCAACGACACGGACGGTGCTGTCACAGAGCCCACCCAGTCAGACCAACGACCAGACATGGACCCCTCAGCCGACACTACCGAAGCAACCGACCGTCCGTACGACGATGACGCCGATGAAGCCACCCGCATTGCCTCCCTCGCAGCCGGTATTCGCGACCAAGACGACCTTGAACGAGACATCGGCAGGCAAGCAGACGCCCTGCTTATCGAACAGGCAGACGAACGCGACAATAAACGTCTCGAACGTACGAAAGCCGACAAAGCCCGTCTCGACGGCCAAGTTCATCGATTGGAGAAGAAGTTGTCCGAGTTCGGCAACCAAGCAACCAAGAACAGATATCGCGCCGAGATTGCCAACTACAAGACACAAATCGAAGGTCTACAAACCGACTTGGATCAGATCCAAAAGCGAATCGAAGACAGGAAGAATGAGGCTGCTGCAACTGGAGACACTCTGCTGGGAGAGGCGGGCAACCAGAAGTTGCCTGGCGAGAGTCAGAGGGACTTTTTGATCAGAACGGGAAAGATCACGCCCTTCTCCAAGATGGGTAGACAGTTGTTACGTACTTCGTCAAGTCTGGCTGAAGTCATGTTTGATGCTGAAGAGGAAGAGGACGAGGAAATGGCAGATCAGGAACTCCAAGCTGATGCACAGCGGTCACATCGTAATTTGAGAGTGCCCGGCTTTGCAGAGGATGAGAAGAGTGAGCCTGAAGAGGAAGACGAATTTCCGGAAGAAAGGCCCAGCAAGAGACGAAGGCTACAATCGAAGGGTAAAGGCAAGGATTCCGCGGGAGAAGACGAGGACGTCGACCTGGAGTCTGCCCCAGAAGAGGAAGAAGACGAATACATACCAGACTTGGACGACAAGGAACTCGCTGCTGTCGGAGAGTCGAACGATGAGGAGGAGCCAGAAGACGAGGATGTCGATGGCGATTTCTCTCTGGGCACCTCTGGAACCAACAAGCGCAAAAAGGGTGCGAAGAAGGTTACGAAAAAATCACAACAAGCAGCCGACTCCCAAGAAGATCTCGCTGGAATCGACGACGGCAACGAGAAAGTATATCAAGACAGATTACAGAGCTGGGTCAGGCGGCGAAGTGCTGCACGTCGGAAACATCAAGGTGCAGCCAAGCCTACAGGAGGAGCAGTCGATGTCGACACGGAACAAGATGAAGACGAAGGGCATCCAACAGATCAGGAAGGCGAAGATGAATGGCATTTGCCACATCCGACACAGACAGACGCAGAGTTCGAGGGCGGCTACCGGATACCTGGTGATATCTACCCATCGCTCTTCGACTACCAAAAAACTGGTGTCCAATGGCTATGGGAGCTCTACTCACAACAGGTCGGCGGCATCATCGGAGATGAAATGGGTCTAGGCAAGACCATCCAGATCATATCCTTTATTGCTGGTCTACATTATTCAAAGAAGGTCACGAAACCCATCCTCATCGTATGTCCAGCAACAGTCATGAAGCAATGGGTCAACGAGTTTCATCGTTGGTGGCCACCTTTAAGAGTCTCCATTCTTCACACTTCTGGAAGTGGCATGCTTGATGTGAAGCGAGAAGACAAATTGGAGGACAACTTGGACAATTTCGATTTCGATGGCAACCCGATCAAACCCTCCAAGGGTAACAAGTCCGCGAAGCGTATCGTGGACAAGGTTCAGAGAGATGGTCACGTTCTTGTAACGACATACTCTGGCTTGCAAACTTATGCTGAGCATCTCATCCCCATGGAATGGGAGTATTGTGTTTTGGATGAAGGCCACAAGATCAGAAACCCCAACACGGCGATAACAATCTACAGTAAAGAGATTCGCACACACAACAGAATCATTCTCTCTGGTACTCCGATGCAGAATAATTTGACAGAACTTTGGTCTCTGTTTGACTTTGTGTTTCCGATGAGACTCGGCACTTTGGTCAGCTTCAAGTCACAGTTTGAAACCCCAATCAAGCAGGGTGGCTATGCTAACGCATCCAACCTGCAAGTCGAGACGGCCATGAAGTGTGCAGAAACACTGAAGGATACGATCAGTCCTTACCTTCTCCAGCGATTTAAAGTGGATGTGGCATCTGATCTGCCCAAGAAGAGCGAAAGAGTCTTGTTCTGTAAGCTGACCAAACCTCAGCGTGATGCCTACGAGTACTTCTTGAACTCTGGTGATATGACTGCTATTTTGAACGGCAAGCGACAGGCACTCTTCGGCATCGATATTCTGCGCAAGATCTGCAATCACCCTGACTTGACCGAGCACAAGACCTTGTCTATCAGAAGCGATTACAACTATGGCAATGCCAACAAGTCCGGAAAGATGCAAGTCGTCAAAGCTTTGCTCGAAATCTGGAAGAAGAATGGTCACAAGACGTTGCTGTTCGCTCAACATCGTATCATGCTGGACATCCTCGAAAGATTTGTCAGAGAAATGGGTGCGATCAACTATCTTCGCATGGATGGTAACACCTCCATCAAGGATAGACAGACCCTCGTCGACAAGTTCAACAAGAATCCTGACTTGCATGTCTTCCTCCTCACCACAAAAGTAGGAGGACTGGGTGTGAATTTGACCGGTGCAGATCGAGTTATTATCTACGATCCTGATTGGAACCCATCCACTGACGTTCAAGCCAGAGAAAGAGCCTGGCGATTAGGCCAAAAGCGCGAAGTTGAGATCTACCGCTTGATGACCGCCGGTACCATCGAGGAAAAGATCTACCATCGACAGATCTTCAAGCAATTCTTGACCAACAAGATCTTGCGCGATCCAAAGCAGAGACAGACATTCCAGCTAAGAGACCTACACGACCTGTTTACTCTAGGCGAAGCAACCGCAGACGGCCAAACAGAGACAGGCAGTATTTTCAAAGGCACAGAAGTCCAACTCTCTGGCCCTAAGGCCGATGCGCCAGACACCAAACTCCAAGAACAAGAACAAGCCTCAGCAACCAGCGCAGTCGAGAAAGCAGCCAAGGAGAAAGAGATGCAATCTATTATCGGCATATCCCACGCCGAAGACTTCCAAGGTGAGGAAGAGAACAAACCAGCTCCAGCAGCAAATGAAGATGGCACCGAGGGCCCAACAAACACCAGAGATGAACGCATGCTCGGCGCCATCTTCGCCCGTTCAGGTGTCACCTCCGCCCTCTCCCACGACGACATCATCAGCGGAAATTCGGGGTCTCGCAAAGTGACAGCTGACCCTGAGATCATCGCCAAAGAAGCGAAACGCGTTGCCGCCCTTGCAGCAGCCGAGCTCAAGAAAGCTGGCGAGATAGCAAGATCCCTGCCTGCAGGAAGTGTGAGTTGGACAGGCACTTTTGGCACTGCAGGACGGCCCGAAACTCCAGCCCGCAGAGGCGGCTTTGCATCTTCCTCGCGGGGTGGAAGGGGAGGCGCGAGGGGTGGTCCGTCAAGTACTTCAATCCTCTCCAATCTCTCTGCCCGTCAAAACCTCACTAGACCTTCTGCATCTACACCTGCTACCTCGACCACTGCTTCTCGAGCGGGTACACCCGCATCGCCTCACCAACCCAAAGGCAGAGAGTTTTTGGCTTTGATCAGAGATTACTTGCTCGCTCATGGAGGCAAAGTGTACACGCAGAATTTGATTGATCATTTCAACAGGGTTTGCGGTAGTGCGCAGAGGACGGCCGAGTTCAAGGAGATGTTGAAGGTTATCGCGGTGCTCGAGAAGGGAAGCAGAGGAAGGGGCAAGTGGGTGCTTAGGGAGGAGTACAAGAAAGGAGTCTAAGGGCGATGGGGAGGGTAGGCAAGAGAGGAGAGAGCATCGAAGATGCGAAGGGAAGAAAACAAGGGAGGCGAGATGTAATGCATAATTAGCCGGAGCGAAATGGATATGGCTTTGATGATAAGAGACGAACAACAGTACTTCTATACAACTAATAACAAGTAACAATACCAAGCTACTACAACTCAAACTCTAAGAGAAGAATCACACGTGTGTGGTAGAAAAACCAAACAGAAAATAACCAGAAACCACCAACTTCGCACAACTACAACAACAGACCATTGGCACTTTATATCGCCCCAGTACCAAGGAGCGTGCATGCTTGCGGAAAGTCCAAGAACTTTAGCCCCTGCTCTCCTGCCTCTGTGCAAAAGCCTGCTCGCCAAAAACTTTCTCATCCTGACCTTTCCGTGCCTGTCGCTCCAAAAAGGCTGTTGTACCAAACAGTCCCTCGCCAGCAGGCTTCTCATCTCCACCCTTCTTTTGCTGATGACGCTCTGCAAAAGCTTTCGCACCGGGAACTTCCTCATCCTCACCCTTCGGTGCCTGTCGCTCTAGAAAAGCTTCCGCGCCGAATAGCTCGGTTTCCTCTGGCTCACCGGACAGCTCCAGCTCGAGCTCGGGCTCGTTTGCTGTTGGAAGAGGCGGAGCAAATCTAGCTCCCGGAGTAAGGGAATCAAACATGTACGTTGAGTTTTGCGAGTGTATCGATGGAGTCGAGTGTGGTGCTGCTGCTGCTGCTGCTGCTGGTCCTGCAGGAGTGGTAGAAGCAACGGGGGGAGAGTCGAACAGTGAACCTGGAGAAGAAGCGAGTGTAGAAGCCTGCATGTTTAATGCAGCGAATGGTGCAGTCAAAGAAGATGGCTGGACGGAGAGAAATGCGCTAGCTGGAGCGAATGATGCAGCTGGGGGAAATGCTCCAAGAGGAATTCTTCGAGCAAAGGCGGAGACCGTAGGAAGTGACAGTTGCGCCGATGCCGATGCTTCTCCAGTAGGAGGGGTCTGACCAAACAGGGGTGCACGAAGAGGAGGAGGCTGCTGTAGCTTATGCTCTTCGAGATCGAACTGGGCAAACGGTGATTCGGCAGGTTTGGCTGTACTGGTGGTTGCGGTTGAAGGAGTAGAGCTGTCTGTAGCTTTGCCCTTGTTCTCGTTGTTCTCTCCAGTCTCGTAGTTGCTCAAGAAAGGAGATTCGTTTTCGGACAAACGAGCTCTCTTGTTGATTTCTTCACCGAACGGCTTAGTCTTTGAGGTTTCGCCGTATGCGGCATCTTTAGGGCTACTTCCGGTCACAGCAATGTCAGGAACACTTCTGTCAGAGACTTTGGCAGTGCCAGTCGCAGGGTTGTATCTGTAAGATCCGTATGGAACCCTAGAATCCCCAAACGCAGTCGGAGGTGTACTGCTCAGAAATGGATCAGTTGCGGGTGTGCTATGAGACTGGCCTCCGAAAAGCCTTCCAGGTGTGTAATCTGCAAAAGTTCTGAATGTAGGTTTGGGTTGACCATAAAAGAGAGGACGACCAAACGGAGTGTTTGTACTCTCCAGGCTCTCTGAAGTGTTGCCTTGCGCAGAGGATCCGAAAACGTCGTTGTTGTTCTGTGAAGAGGATCCGAACATACCACCTTCCTTTGGTGCAGCGGACCCATACATACCACCGTCTCTTGGTGCAGAAGGATCGAACAGACCACCTTTGCTTTGATTAGAGGCTTCGAATATCCCGCCGTTGCCTTCTACGGAGGACCCGAACGCACCACTGTTGCTTTGCGTAGGGGGATTGAATAGACCATTGTTGCCGCGCGCAGCTGGAACATATGGCTCATCACCGAACGCGACGTTCACATGACTCTTAGCTTCGTTTGAAAAGCCTGAGAACGGTCCTCTTGGTTTAGGATCCGTCTGGGAAGATCCGAACAAGCCTTGACCAAATGCTCTGGTATCAGAGACTGTGAGTCCATTCAAGTTCACGGTCACTGTATTGTTCAGACCAGGGTGCTTTCGAACCTGAGCATGCGAGTGTGGAGCACACCGATCTCCGAACGCACTGTCACCGGTCAAGTTGCTCCCAAACGGATCTGCCTTAGGAACAGCACCAAAGGGATCCGCGGGTGCTCCCGAAGATGGTATATAGGAAAATGCACCACGTTCCTTCGCGGATGTCTCTGGCAACGCACCAAAGGCCTTCGAAACAAGCTTCTTCGGAGTTACATTCTCAATACCATCTTCGCGCAGTTTCTGCAAAACCATAAAGCTCGTACGCTCAAGCAATGCTTGCAAAGCTTTGGTCGCAGAAGAGTAGCTGTAGTCCGCGTGATTCAGGAGGGCCGCGGTGTCATGACCAGCATCGAGAACAATGGCGTGGTATGATTCGTCTGAAAAAGTGGTGAGGATCTCAAAAGTCGTGCTCCCGAGTAGAAATTTCAGGTTTGCTTTGGTCAGTGTTAGTTTTGCATAATGTAGACTTGGTGAAGGTGGAGATTTACCTGATATCTGGGCACGCATGCCTTCGATGTCGGAGGTATCTTGGCTGCTCATGGTGTTATATTTGCTCTGCGTGATAAGAGTTTGTAAACAGTTACCGGAGTATACATAGGAAAGAAAGAGCGAAAAGTTCTGTACTGAGGGCGGATCTATAGTCGGACGGCTCCTTTGTTCGACTTGTCAAAGGCTCGACCTTTTGCATCGAGGAAGCCGCAAATGGAAATATGTTGCAACAGCTCACAAAGAAAAGCCATAGCCGCATAATATTAGTTCTCGGCGTGTACTGAGAGGACAGTTTGATATGACTGTTCGAGCATTAGCTATGGGTGTTGAGTCCGGAAGTCTTTGTTGCTTGCGCCGAGTCTCCGAGGCCTAGATGTGGTGGGCATGTCATAATATACTGCCTCAACCTTGAAATCGATCGAAGTCATTGTGTAGAGTGATGGTATGAACGGAAACTTGGATGCGGAGATGCGATGGGAAATTAATATGGTCAACGGAAGCAGCAGGCGATGTTTCTTACTCGTGGACAAGAGCGAGTTTTGCAACAATCTGAGGAGGCGGTAGGTAATTGATCGGGGAACGTCACTGCCACATTCCTTGCTTCCCACCGCTGCTTCGAAATATGAGTTTTGAAAACCTTTGTCTTTCCACTAGACCCGTCCACTTGACCATCAAGCACAAATCCGTCCTTGTGAAACTTATCGAACAACAGATCACTAGATGAAACCAACATCTTGCGCAAAGCCAATTCGGCAGTATCGCAACCTTTGGCTGTCTTCCAGATAGGCTTGCTGTCGTTGCCATAGATGATGCACCACCAAGTATCTTCACAGTGAGCAAGAACGACTTTGGTTTTCAGTTGGTCAGGCATTGCGATGGAGAAGTTGTCTAGAGTGCCTGGCGTCAGTTTGTGTTTGGATTGGAGATAAGGATTTGTTTACCGAGGATTTGGGCGCGCAAGGCCTGGAATGAGTGGAGTGTTTCTTGAGTGGCCATGGTTTGATACTCCAATTGATTGTGGATGGATCCCTCGTTCGTGTTTTCTGTTTGCTGTGCTAACAGATTCTCTGGGTTGCGCAACGCGAAGTGAATTTGAGAAGTCTGATGTTGACGTTAAGGACGTCTCCTGAGGCCTTCTTTTCTGGAAGAGGTCTGGTCATCGCGATCAACGCTCAGCATTTGTATGAAACCTCTTGTGGAAATGATCGGGATGGAAGAAATACTTGTGCTGTACTAATATTTCTCTCAAACCGCCCACTTCTATCTCCAGGCTATCCTCCTGCTGCTATTGACGTCCCACTCTCAGTCCAACTGCACCTCTCATCAGCCATCGCTTCGCTCACTCATCATTGGATCATCTGAGTAACTCTCCACCAAGCATTGGCTTCAACTACTCACTTCCAACCTTTCAACGACCAAATTTCTTCAGCTCGAGCAGTCTGAGAGGAGGGTATACCAGAGCTGCCCAGGCGAACCCAACATAATTACCCATCTAGATTTGATCAGCATATATTCTCGTGGACAGTCTTCGTTTCACTTACGTCGGCACCGTATTCTCCGACCTGTTGGGCAAGAGGCCCAATATACCAGACCTGAGCCATACAGAGTATTGCTACGGAAAGTCAGAGGGGGCGGTCAAGTACATGTGTGTGGATACTCACCTCCGGCCCAACCAACAAGGAAGGCAACGATAGCAGCGATACCAATTGGCAGCTTGCTCTTGTCGTTCCAAGAGTTCCAATTGAAGCCGAGACCTCTCCAATTACGGAAGATGAAATGCTCCTCAAGACTGATGGCGATCCATATCGAGACCCAGTATCCCATAAGCGCGAGGAAATTGGTGAAGATGACTGCAAGATTTCCACGACCAGCGATAGCGCATACTGTGTAGATGACGACACCGAGTGTGTTCCAGACAATTCGAGGCACAATAGTCATCCACTGACCAAGGACCTGGAAGTCCATCCCGGCACTGTAGGTAGGAGCGATCATATTGGCAATCAGACCAAGTGCTACGATCACGCCGCAGAATTTGCCGAAGCTTCCTAGGGGAGCAAAGCCTTCGACGATGAGAGCGCCTTGCGAGACCTTGTACGCATCGCCCCAAGAAACATTAGCAGTGATGCCAGAGCCCAGTCCGATACCGACCATGAACGCAAAGGTGAATGACAAAGCTAACCCGCACATTGTGACAGAGAAGATCTTCCAGCGAGGAGTCTCTTCGGGATAATAGACGAAGAAATCAGCTGCTCCACCTGCGTAGGTGATGGCAGCAGAGAGACACAGACTGAAGAAGGACAAGCGGTTGCCAATGATGGTCAAGCGGTCACCACTTGAGGGTGTCTCGAGATCGAATTTTGGTCCAGCGACACCAGCGAGCAGAGACAGAACGATGAGTTGAGGTAGCCACGCGTAACGCTCGTACAAGTGGAAAACGCTGTATCCAAAGATGGTAATGACCCAGGTGAGGACAGCGACAATCACAATGCCAACGATAACCGAGAGACTACCATGCGGTGAGACAGCAGAGAGAATCTGGCCAGCGATCACAGCATCCAGTAAACAATATCCAAGCAAAACAATGATGTTGAGGATGACAACCAACTTGGCGGGATACCAGCCCATGGTGTAGCGAGCAAAGACCATGCTCCTGTTGCCGCTTACAGGTCCAAAGGTAGCAATGTAGGCGACCGGCAGACATCCAACAAGCATGCCAAAAACGGCGCACAGGGAGCAGTCCAGAAAAGAGAGGTAGTAAACAGCCGGACCGAGCATTCCAAGAGTAATATTGTTGGCAGCAAGGTTGACACTGAACCACAGCAGGCCGACCTGAGAGTAACCCAAGTTTCTCAAACTATGGCGTTCAGTGGGCATGACGCGATGGATGCCACGAGCTTCGAGATTGTAGTGAGCCAAGCTGTGCTCGAGGTTTTTGATCTGGCGTCTCAGACCAGAAGAGCCACCAGCAAGAGTAGAATCATCATCGAACTCGATGGGCATCAAGGAGGGACCATCTTTCTCAACGTCCTTGGGGGGCGTTCTTGTCTGAGATTGGTCATTCATGGTGAGTTATCTGAGTTGGCGTCAGCCATCAAGACAGACAGGCAGATGTAGAAGAAGCATGATTCTTTGCGCAGGTATTATCCTGATCAAGTTCGACCGTGTCTCTCAGAACAAAAGACTCTCGAAAGAGTCAATTGAACACCGGTTCATGCTTTACGTTACCTGGTACCTCGGCCTTGATAAATGGATAATTCCTTGCTGCTCGACATCATGACTATTGTAGTGCGTACTTTATAGATGTACAGATATGAAATACGAGGAAATGAGCGAGAGTGGCTCTTGTCGGTTGGGTACAAATACAAGGAGAAAAATTGGAGAGAGGGACGAAGAGTATGAGTCGAAAGGTCTCCGCCATCGCTCTTCGAGCCGCGTTTTTTCGCAAGGTCGGAACTCTGACCAATGATACCGCAGCTGTATGACCACAACCTTGTCACAGTATGTATCTTTCCATAAACTCAGAATTCAGCTGAATAGAGCATGTTTCTGTCTGAAACAATAGCTATTTGCTTGGTAAATAAATGTCGGAATGACTCTGATGGGTCGAAGTGGACATAGCAGCTTGAACTCGGGTCGAGTCACAGAATCCACCTTCGTCATCGGTCGCTTCAAGAAATGTAGCGGCGCTTTCTTTTCAACTTGACTTCTTCCAACACAACCACACCAGCACAAGATGAGACTAATCAAACAGAGTATCGAGAAAAAGGATGGCTCAGGCAGTGCGACACTGCTGCCTGAGGAGCCCGAAGACATGTGGCATGCCTACAACCTCATCCGACCGACCGATCTTCTTCGCGCCTCGGCCATTCGCCGCGTCACTACAGAGTCTATGACGGGCTCCAGCACTTCCAAAAGAGTTCAAACCACCCTCACGCTCCGTGTTACCTCCCTGGACTTTGATCCACAGGCCGCCCAACTTCATGTCAGCGGTACTGTCGCCGAAGAGAACGAATGGGTCAAGCGCGGCTCCTACCACACCCTCGACCTTGAGCTGCAACGCAACTTTACTCTGGAAAAGGCAGATGGCTGGGACAGCATTGCTCTGGAAACCCTGAAAGATTCCATCGACCAAACACAAAAGGCTGAGCTTTGGGCTGTCGTCATGCAAGAGGGCCTTGCCAACATCTGTCTCATCACAAGTCACCAGACCATCTTGCGCCAACGAGTAGAGACTGCTTTGCCCAAGAAGCGTCCTGGCAAACCTAGTGCAGACCACGACAAGGCTACTCAACGCTTCTACTCTACCATCCTCGAGTCGCTCCTTCGTCAACTCAATATGGCCGACCTGAAACCATTGCTGCTAGCAAGTCCTGGCTTCACTGCGGGCGCCTTCCAGCAATACATCAAAACCACTGCTTCGACAAAAGCCGACAAGAGCCTGTCAGCCCTTGCTGCAAAGACGGTTGTCGCACACTCGGCCAGCGGTCACCTGCACTCGCTCGCCGAAGTCATGGCTTCTCCCGCAGTCATGTCCAAGCTAAGCGACACCCGTTTCGCAAAAGAGACAGCCCTCATGGACAAGTTCTTCGACTTGCTGAGAAAAGACGATGGCCGCGCGTGGTACGGTCCGAAAGAGGTCGAGTCTGCTGTCGACAAGGGTGCTGTAGGAAGAGGCGGCGGTGCCTTACTCATCTCCAGCGCTCTTTTCAGAGCTCAAGACGTCGCTGTCAGAAGGCGGTGGGTGTCTCTGGTTGACAAGGTCAGCCAGGAACACGGAGGCGACGTCAGAGTTCTGAGCGACGGCCACGAGAGCGGTAAGCGCTTAGAAGGCCTTGGTGGCATCGCCGCTATCCTTACCTTCCCCATCGAGGACATGGACGAAGTCGAAGGCGGAGAAGACATCGACGTAGAGGAGCCGGCTAATGGTGTCGAAGGAAGACCAGGAATGCATGAAGATATCGAGATATAGAGCACCATGACAAACGAAATGACGATGAGACGATAGACCGAAAAAATAATACATTCAAACCACGACTCCGCCCTCAAAATGGATAATTATACAGCACAGCCCGCAAAGGATTTCAAGCAGCGTGCCTTGTTTTTGAGGAGAATTCTGCGCATACTCTACCTATATACTGGTATACTGCGCCTCAGCGGATGGACTGCGCATTCTCCACATGAAAAGCAGTGGCCTCAGGCTCAGTCCGACTTGGCGTCCTCGCTACAGCGCTAAACCTCTGACGCTTGATTCGTGCTTTTTGTTGAAGCGAGCATCGTAGGAAGACCTTGCGATCTGAGCAGTCGGTTGCAGGAAATCTCAAATCATCTACTTGGAATATCTGGTGATCGTGGTTGTAGAAAACGTGAGTCTAACGCGCGATGGAAGACCTACCAGCCACCAAGACAGCACCTGCCTCTTTGGTAGGTTATGGCTTGTTCCTTCCTATCTAACAAGCTTTTTCCGAATAATGAAACATCAGATACCATTTGGAGCAAAACTGCTCACCGAGGTAATAGGGAAGATCTCGTTTCAAAGATTGACCGGTCAGGCGTCCATTTTCTTTCTGCTCCTTTGCGACACACCCTGCCTCCCCACCGGATACTCCTTCAAGAAATAGAGACATCCAGGCAAAGATCAGCCTTGTTTCAACATAAGCATAACCCATATGTCTCATTTGAATCTGGAGAGGCTGGATGACGGTGAGGGTAATATGTTAACCGCCATTCTTGAAACACCTGCGGCCAGGAACTGAGTATTAGCCCGCATTCTTTCCAATGCGATCTATTTTGAGAGCAATATACATGGCTAATTAGTGGCTTTGTCCCCGCATGCTGTAGTTTATTTTTACTCTTCCATCTGTCAGTCGATCAGCCGTGAGTTGCTTACTCCAATCCAGGCCAATCAGACTCCTTGGAGCATTGCGAAATGCGTGTTATGGAGGTGTCCTGTGCTCCAGTCGAAGATACACCCCACGCCAGTTCATCTTCTTCCCGCCGCACATCATGACACGCGATTGCATCTGAGATGTCTGCAAATTCGGTAAACGCGCTTCTGAGCCCACTGAAGTAGTATGTCAGTCGAACCGGATTCCGCAAGCCTTTGACCTGTTTCTATTTCAGGATCAAGACCACCAAGTCAGTATGAAGGTCTTCGAGTACTGTACCACTCACCGTATTCTGACAAGAACGAAACATGCACCGTGGCCGGTGTAAAACGTTTGAGATATGTACAAGACTACGCATAAGCCTACGCAGCTCTCCCGTCGGACTATCAATGTCAGATCATGACGACCCAATGGCATCTGACAGCGCGCGTGTCCTGTGCCTAGCTCCGTGCTGCGGTTGCTCCCGAGCACGTCCCGCTACCATAGGAGGTCCACCATTTTCAATTTAGATACCCTGGCGCGCTTATGCACAGGGCGTGTATGGAAAGTCTGCGTGCCTCTCTGTACCGCTTCCTTCTAGAGGTCGATGGTGCTTTTGTCTCTCCCAACAGGCCGCACAGGTAGTCTATTGATCCTCCAGAGACATTGCCCTGGGACTCGTTGTGTTCTCAAAATATCTCACCTCCATGAGTTCGGCAGAGGCTCAGACATGGAGGCTTAGTCCACGGTTCTTCTGCATGCTAACGTCAAGCCTGCCATCGATCCTACATAACGACCAACATGCCCATCTATTGTCACTCAGGCAGGTACCACCACACAGACACAGCATAAGCATCATCCACCAACACTCAAGTATTTCTGCATCCTTCGACACTAGCTCCTTTCCCGCTCTGTTCTTCAAGCCATCAAGTCCCAACTCATAACAACAACATCTCATCATCCTCACCATGGACCAATTCGAGTCTACCACATCAAAGGAGAAGATTGTGTGTACAGATGGCTATCCAACAGCATGGTATGCACCGACACCTGTATGTTCGGTCAACTATCCATCATGTCTGAACCTTTACTCATCCTCCCAGCTTACCTACAACAACACTCCATTCATGACACCATTCCCGACTTTCAACCAATATGACATGACTGCATACCCTACCGGCACAGCTCAATGGCCGACACCACCTACATACAACGATCTGGCAATTCTCCCATCAAGCCATTCGAACCACTTGATAGAGAGGCCTCACAGCAGCCCCAGCACTTTCGGACCATCGCCCAATGAGATCCTCTGGCCAGAAAACCCTCTCGGGATCCGTTTCCCAATAACCGAGCCTCAGATGATCCCAACCACGACCGCCATGCCCACAGCAACCTATCAAACTCGTGCAGCAGAATTTACCACTCCCAGTCCGCCTCAGAGGCGCAGCTCAGCAGACACCCAACGCTATTACCCATCCATCGCTCCCAACCCTGCTTCGAAACGCCGTCAAGAACAGGATGATGAAGACGCCATGAACCGCTCAAACTCCAAGCGCCGCAAGCGAACACCCTCGCTCGAGCACCTCAATGACGAAGAGCGTCTTCTGATCACTTTGAAGGAAGATGAAGCCCTGCCTTGGAAGGAAATCGCAGCTCGTTTCAGCAACCAGCTGGGTCAATCAATCACCGTTGCTACACTGCAGATGCGATACCTTCGCCTGAGACAACGCTTCCGAAGCTGGGAGGAGCGCGACATTGAGGCGTTGCGACAGGCTCACGAGTACTGGGAGAAGTGCAAGTGGGATATAATCAGCACAAAGGTAAGCCGTCAACATGTCTATGGCGTTGATCATTTTCTGACAAATTTGTTACAGATGCTTGAATTCGGCGTGGAAGAAAAATGGCCTTCCAGACACTGCGCACGCAAGTGGGCGGATATGGCGTCTCAGCACTTGCATCAGACGCCTCAGCAGCATACGCCTTCGTCTCAGCAACACACGCCCACACCTCTGTATGCCACCATGGCTGAGAACTTTACAAATTACGGATATGCCCTTTCCCTCTAAACGTGTTTCTCCATTCGCAGCTGGTTTTCAAGACAACAAAAAAGCATTGCACGATCTTACATACACTTGCATGGACGCTCTCATAGAATTTTCCGACCTCGCATTTGCATCTGCATCACCTGGAGTTTCTGCTTTCTTGTTCTTTTTTCCCATTCGCTTTCATGGTTGCGTTTGTTGCATTCTGCTTGGCTTCTTTTTTTGTTTCTTGTTCTTCATAAGATACCCCATCCACCGCTCGCTTTTTGCCTTCGTTGGCCGTATGCTTGACCATTTATTGTTTTGCATGAGGCTGCTTGTTGCTTCTTCAAGGATACTCTCTTCCACTCGCTTTTTGCATGTTTCCAGTTATAGATACCCAGACCACTCGCTTTCGTTTTGCTTGCTTTTTGCAAATCAGTATATAGAACTCTTTTTTTCTCTCTCTCTCTCCTCACAAATAGAGACATTTTGCATATACACCTTCTTTTGAGTTTCCACTCACCGACCATTACTATGTTTTTCACAAACCGATCGACCTTTATCATATTCCCTAGTGTCGACTTCTACCATGTTTTTCTACAGTGGCGTGCACGGTGACACAAAGGCTGAATAGAGAAATCTCCGATGCCGGTTCCCTGGGTCAATCCTGAGACGCTGACGCGTTTCGTTATAAGAAACATAGATATAGGTCTGTGTTCTCCTGCGCTTTGCCGGCATATTTCATGCACCTGATGCATGATGCGATATTGCGACCATGCAAGTCAGATTTGCGAAGGGGATGGCTTGCGCCACGAAGGGTAATTTATGTCAAGCGAGGTAGATCGGAGATTTTCTGTTCTTTTATTGCTTTGCATGTCTAGGTCTGGTGATGTGGTCATGCTTTGTTCTTTGATTCACCTTTGTCTTTGTTTGTGCAAGATGCTCAAGATGGTCATGTCTTTGGAGTGGGCTAGAATGTTGTGTCGTCCTCCTATGAACGAAAGATCATTTCGTTTGGTGCTCGGCATAGATTGCACAATATCTAAGTGAGCGGACAGGTGTTTGAGCGATGATGTGACGGATGGGTAGCAAGTTTCGTGACAATCTCGAGAGAAGCCTCTCAAAAGAAAACTAGAACAGATCGGTCATGGCACCTAAATATTGTTATTAGTGGACGACCTTCTGGGGGGAGATGACAATAACTTACCATGACTAGCATCACCAACCAAACGCTGATACTTAGCCAGAACACCACGAGTAACGTTCGATCTAGGCTTCTTCCACACCTTCAATCTCTTTTGAATCTCCTCATCCGAAACATTCATGGACAGCGTGTTGTTAGTGGCATCAATAGTGATCATATCGCCATCCTGAACAACAGCGATAGGTCCTCCAACAGCAGCTTCAGGGCAAATGTGACCGACAATGAATCCATGCGATGCGCCACTGTATCTGCCATCCGTGATCAAAGCTACGTTTGTGAGTTTGGCACCCATGATGGCTGCACTGGCCTTGAGCTGTTCGGGCATACCAGGACCACCCTTGGGACCTTCGTAGCGAACCACAATGACAAGATTCTCGTGACGAGGGATTTGACCCTTGTTGAGGGCATCATCGAGTTCGTGCTCTTTGTTGAAGACACGAGCTTTGCCGGTAAAGCTCATGCCCTCTTTGCCTGTAATTTTGGCTACGGCACCTTCGGGAGCGAGGTTGCCGCGGAGAATCTCAATGTGACCTGTAGGCTTGATGGGGTTGTCCAGACTACGAATGATTTCCTGACCTTGGGGTAGAGAATCGAATGAGGCAACGTTCTCGGCCAATGTCTTGCCAGTGATTGTTGGGACGCTGCCGTCGAGGAGACCTCCTGCAATGAGCAACTTCATGACTGATGGAATGCCACCAATATCGTACAGATCAGCCATAAGATACTTGCCCGATGGTGCCATGTTTGCAATGAAGGGGATGCGGTTTGAGACTCTCTGGAAGTCATCGAGAGTCAAATCGATGCCTGCAGTACCAGCCATAGCAAGCAGATGAAGTACTCCATTCGTGCTACCTCCAAGTGCCATCATCATGACCAGAGAATTCTCGAATGACTTCTTGGTGAGCAAGTCGAGGGGGCGGATGTTCTTCTCCATGCAGATCTTGATTGCTTCTGCTGCTTTTTGGCACTCTCGCATCTTGGCAGGTGAAGTAGCGGGGGTACTCGAAGAGCCAGGAAGAGACAAACCAAGAGTCTCGATTGCCATAGCCATGGTGTTGGCTGTGAACATACCACCACAAGCACCAGAACCCGGGCATGCGTTTCTTTCAATGTCAGTCAAGATTTCGTCCTTTGTGATTGACGGGTCATCCGGGTTCTTAAGTGTGTCAAAGTTGTAAGCTCCGTGTGCCTCTGCTTATTGTTAGCGATGAGGAAGCTTCAGAAAATTGCATGCATACCATAGCACGTGGTGATGTTGATCGTCTTCCTGAGTGTCTTTGAGTATCCGGGATTGATGGTGCCTCCGTAGATCATTACGGAGGGTCTGTTGTGCCTTGCCATCGCCATCTTACAATACATCAGTTTGAAGAATTGGACATGATCGAGGCAACACTTACCACAACACCTGGCATGTTCTTGTCACATCCCGGGATAGAAATGTTGGCGTCGTGGAATTGAGCACATGTGATGGTCTCGATACTATCTGCGATAATCTCGCGAGTCTGCAAGGAGAATCGCATGCCTTCACCACCCCTTCTTCTAGTCAGCTTTGTTCTATGACAACTTCATAAGCAACATACATCGTGATTCCGTCTGATACGCCAATGGTGCCGTACTGCCAGCCGAGCATGCCCTGCTTCTCCACCGCTTGCTTTACGGTCTTACCAAGATCGTGCACTGGCGTCGATATTAGTTCCTATCTCAAACTTGTCCTTGATATCACATACAATGGTTGCTGATAGAGGTCAGTATATGACCTACATCTCATGTAATGATCGACTTACTTGCAAGGATTTCCCTCCCACCACACAGAGGCAATGCCCACCTGCGGAGCTGTCTTCATCATCTTCTCGTTTGGCACACCTGCTGCATACAGCATTGCCTGAGCTCCAGGGAAGTCATGACCTTTGGTCAAAGTAGAAGAGTATTTGTTCAGAATTGGCGTTCCATCCTCATATTTGGCATCATCAGGAAGATGTGGAAAGCTCAGAAGACGAGGTTCTTCTGGCTCTTGAAATTGTGCTTTGAGATTTGCAGGGTCCATTGCAAGTGTCCTCAGAGAGTTCTATAGCTTCGAAGTGTGAATTGAGAAGAACAGCTTCGTCTCGAACGAAATGCAGTTCTGGAGATTGTAGTCGTCTTGACCTTTTTCTCCACTCCCATTCGTCAAAGGATCAACGGACTTCTCACCTTTCGTCCTGCCCCGCGTACCCCACAATTCAGAGCCGAAGACGGCCGCTCGGTTGCTTCCGAGGGTTGTCGGCAAAGCATTGTACCGAAGAATGAGATGAGCCTCTTGAGCCTTATAGTTAAAACTCGTTTTCTCGTCAAAACAGAATGGCCTACAGCAGCCATGACATACTCGATGCCTTTGGACACATAGGTAAAGTTGTCAAGACGTCGTGGTACTAGACGACATGCCTTCTGCACCTGCGTTTGCTCGTGCGGTGCGTCTCATGAAAATGAGGGCCGAGAGGGCTGGGGACATGAAGAGTACCTGAATGAACAGATCATCCTGAGCTTTGAGGGATTTGGACAGTCTATTCAGGAGCGACCTGGTCACAGACACCTAAGGCTGACACATGTGCATATAAGGTTGTACGGATGGTCCTGCCGATGTGTTTAGGGCCAGTTTATCGAGGTGGCTCTCTTCTTTGATCCAATGAGCTGCCAGATCGAGACCACACTCATGGCAGGGCATGTCTTGTCCGGGCACATGGAAATAGCATCGAGATGACGTGCGTTCTAGAAAGAGAGAAACATAACGGGGGACGATACTTGGTATTTTTGTGACACTGAGGAAAGACGAATGGTCGACCAGTGGTTCCGCCCACATTTCCGACTGCGCGCGATTATTGGCTGCATGTCTCATGCCAATCCTACCTGTATCGCATTGCGCTGGGCTTCTTTGTCCAACTCCATCTCTAGAGACAATACACTAGTGCTAACCGGATCACCTGAAACTTCCGCCGCGCCTCTGGCCATCGTGCATCGTTCCAGATACATCTGATTTCCATCGCGATTTTCCTCGCGTCGACCAAAATCTTCGACTTCTGCGTCATCACACTAATTCGCTTTACCCAAAACGCAGCCTCATTACTCAAACCACACAACCATACTTCCTGACAAGGTTTCGGGACCTTGTCCTGTCAGCGCATCGGAAGCAGATGCCTACCCTCGTGGTCTATGGAAGCACGATAGTGTTTGCAACCGCCGCGTCAGTGTATTACCTGCTCCGACTCGCTAGTGCAAAACGTGATGCTGTCCAAGGTGAGTTGGCTGTACATGAACCCATCATGTTTGATGGTATTTCTCCTTTCTATCCATCCGAATCTGTCCATCTACCAAAATCCTTCTTTTCTTTCTTTATCATGAAGGAATATGAGCAATCAGCAGACTTATACGACCCTTTAGATCCTTCAGCTTCCGACCCAGGAATATTGAGAAAACACTCCTCTCAAAGATCTTACACTGCCGGCGGGTTTGTGTATCCATCAATAAGGACATTTTATCATCCTCACCCGCAAGCCGACAAGCTCCCGACTAAGCCAACGCCGCTACCACTTCTTGTTTTTGTTCACGGTCTAGGAGGAAGTGCTGCTCAGTTCGCACCTCTCTTGACTGGGCTGATTAACGCCGCACCATGTCTTGCTATCGATCTGCCTGGATGTGGCTTATCAGACTTTGTCCCTCAAACACGAGAAGCATACAAGTCAGAAGCACTTGCGGCCTTGATTGCTGAGGCCATTACTCAACATAGAGACGCTGAAAACGGACAGAGGGTGGTTCTGATAGGTCACAGTATGGGATGCTCACTGTCGGCACTGCTCGCATCATCAACATCGCCACTTTCTCAACTTATCTCGGAACATATTACTGGGTTTATCGCCATCTGTCCTCGTGCCGAGACTCTGACAGCGAAACAAGTATCACGACTCCAGCACATGCGTCACATGCCTATTCCTCTGTTCGAAGTCTTTCGTTGGTGGGACAGGCGAGGAGGTGCCGAAAGTCACAGTGTTTCTCGTTACGCAGGTAAAGATGCAGACTCAGAGACCAAACGACTCCAACTACGGTTCAACGAGCAAAGCAAATCTGAAGTCTTCATGGCAATGGCTCTTGGATCTATGCCAAAGTATCAGAATGACCAAGCTGTTGGAGGATTGCCTGGTGAGGCCGTCTGGTCTGGACTTCGGATCCCTACATTCTGCATTGGTGGAGCGGAGGACCTTGTAACACCGCCCGAAAACGTCAAGTTGATCGCCAAATGGTTAGGTCGGCAGGTACCACGAGAGCAAACAACCACCAGGGGCAACTCCTTGCCCAGTTCTGCTGGCGATATCCCCATCATCGATAACACCCCGATTGAAGAGAACGGCAAAAACTTCGTCCCGGAGTTTACTGCAACTGGCCAAGATCTGGTATCTGAGACTCGACAAGACAGCGCGACGCCAGATCTTCCGAGAAAACCGAAATTCGTTCTCAAGACAACAGTACTTCCGCAACCTGCTTCCCATGCATTGTTGTACGCTACCTCGACCGTGCGTATTCTATCGGGTTTGATCCAATCTTTCGTCGCCACACATGTCGACCATCGTCTGTCTCTTGGCTGGCAGTTGCAACATCTGAGCACAGAAGGCAAGTGGGATGTCAAAAACCTTGCGAAATGGCAAGCCGTCGAACCCGTCTCAGAGCCCATCGCTGGCATTTTCCGAGCACAGAAGACGCTACGCGAGATTGACGAAGAGCATACTCCGTCAACGTACGTAAAGCGATGGGGTGCCAACAGCGGCATCAAGCACGGTGTCCGCATGGTCGTCGATATCAGCCACGAAAGTCCTGTCTACGACCCTAAAGGGCTTGAGGAAGGCGGTATCGAGTACCACAAGTTTCCTACAGTCAGCAAGCTGCCACCAACCGTAGAAGAAGTCGCAGCTTTCAGCGCACTAATCGATACGTTGAGAGAGCAGCTGAGCAAGTCAGAAGAGCCTGAGGGTGCTGTCATTGCTGTGCACTGCCATTACGGCTTCAACAGAACAGGATTCTTCTTGATCAGTTACATGGTGGAGAAGCTGGGTTGGAGACTACAAGATGCACTGGAAGAGTTCGCAGAGAAGAGAGCCCCAGGCATTAGACACGAGCATTTTGTGAACGAGCTCTTTGTGCGTTACATGGTCAACTTGGAGAGAAGGCCAACACTTGGGTAGGTATTCAGAGGTTGATTTTTCGTTTGGTCGGAGGCATATATGGAGTGAGGGAGGATCCCAATGGGCCTAGGGCATCCGAGCAGCGGTTATCTCGAATCGTCGCTCCAATGACCGTCGCATAGCGATTCAATTCACAGACACTACACTTCTTAATGAGACGCTCAATTGGTTGATGACATCTGAGTGCAACATCGTGTTGTTTGAATTTCGGTAACTTATGGTCAGTGATGGAGAGTGCTTCTTGGAAGCAGGCTGCAAGTCTTGGCGGCACGGCTAGCTCCGCAAAAGTTCGGCACACGGGGATCGCAAAATCCTCAGCGGCGGCCGACGCTTGAACGCTTTTCCTCTGACCGAGACGACCTTTTCGCACGCCTACAGACCTTACCACCGTCGACAACCCCCTTCACAACCGCCAAAATGCCCGGTGTCTCCGTTCGCGATGTCCCCGCCGACAAGTTCATCCAGAACTGTTAGTCTACACCCATGGATCTGGAGACGAGTTTTTGCACAAGAGATGGAGTCGCGCTTCAATCACAAGAGACCACGCAACGACATACCACAAGACACTGTGTCGTAGACTGCCCAGCATTGCGCCGCTTCGAATGTCGCATTGTGCTATCGAAGGCGCCAATCGCTGTGAAGAATGCTCGACAACCACCATCTCTTATGCGACGACTCTCTCCTGTCTCCACTATTCATCTCCAAGGGCCACAGGCTAATATGTATACAGACGCTTCCTTCTTGAAGAGACAGGGAAAGCTCGCCGTTCCCGTACGTTCAACTGGGTCAACCTGAATCCCGCGAAATATCGGGGCCCATAGAGTCCGACTAACCTTTTATTCGATATCAGGGTTGGGTCGATACCGTCAAGACCGGTACCGCCAAGGAGCTCCCTCCCCAGAACGTTGACTGGTACTACGTCCGCGCTGCTGCCGTTGCCCGTCACATCTACATGCGCAAGACCGTCGGTATCGGCCGTCTGCGCAAGGTCCACGGTTCCCCCAAGAACCGCGGTTCCCGCCCTAGCCGTCACGTTGACGCCTCCGGCTCCGTCGACCGCAAGGTCTGCCAGTCGCTCGAGAAGATCGGTGTCCTTGAGATCGATGAGGACAAGGGTGGCCGCCGCATCACCCAGTCCGGCCAGCGTGATTTGGACCGTATCGCCATGTCCACCCTCGAGGCCGAGCAGGAGGAGGATGACGAGTAAATCATTGCTCGCCCTTCACAGCGGTTGATGAACCAAAAGATGGTGTAACAAGGCAACTTTAAAAAGCTTTGGGGACTTGGGCCGGCGTTCAGGATCTGGCTACGGCCATGGAAATGTAACTCATGGTTGAGAGCTCATATGCATGCGGTACTGCGTTTTCTTTTGCGGCGACACAGCACAGCGCAGCATCCCCCCCAATTCGACCGCCCGTCTCTACTATCTGTTTCGTCAACCTGCAAAAGTTTACCAATTTCGATCATGTTGATACCCCATTAATGCTTCCTTTCTTTACCTGAATGTGCTCCCGTTCGTGATAATCCTCAATGTGCTCCGCTCCATGGCTCACTTCGAGTTCCGTATCACTCTACGGAGCTTGACACATCTTGAGAAAGGTATGCATACAGTGTGCATCAACTATTGAACAGATGGATATATATATCTCAGAAGTGTGGGTACACAAGGAGTCATACTTCCCACTGAAAGCGTCTCGAGGACGGTGAAAGTATGAACTATGAGGCAACCAATTGTTTTGTCTTGCAACGTTTCAGCAGAAAGTACAAGACTCTCCGCCTCCCCTATACCATCCCACGGCATTGCCTGGACGCAAGACGCGAAACAGACAGACCGCTCTTCCCGCCGAAGCAGAAAGACCTCGACACTGTCCTGGTAATGGAGCAAGTGGCTGGGTTTGGGGTGTTGCGTGTTCTATCGACACATGTACTTACCATGAGTCTAGAAGCATGAGTTAGCAGATGACAGAACTCTGGAATCTCGAGTAACTGCCAAAGCATGATATGCATGTGAAGTGTATCGGAAGGAAATTTTGCTGCGAGGAGAAGGAAGTAACGCGACTAACAAGACACGGAAAATGCCGTCCTTGCAGCTGCCAGGCATCGTCACTTCCTGAACGCGGTCATCGACAGCTGCTCCTTGGACCATATCACATATTCACTCCTCCTCTCCACTCCGATCACCTTTACCTCTCACACACAATGGGCAAGAAGAAGCGCGGTCACCCCGATATCGAGGAGGTGCTTGCGCGTCCATGGTGCTACTACTGCGAACGCGACTTTGACGATCTGAAGATTCTAATCTCACATCAAAAGGCAAAACACTACAAGTGTGACAGATGTGGACGCAGACTCAACACAGCCGGAGGTAAGTTGACGCGAACTATGAGAATCAGGCTGGAGCTGACTGAGAGCAGGTTTGTCCGTTCACATGAACCAAGTACACAAGGAGAATCTGACTACGGTGGAGAATGCTCTGCCCAACCGTTCCGCCCCTGACATCGAGATTTTCGGTATGGAAGGCATTCCCGACGATGTCATGCAACAACACAACCAGCGCGTTAGCCACGAATTCTTTGCAGCCGAGGCCGACCGTCGCGCTGCTACAGGCAATCCCGTTCCTGGTTCCTCGATCCAGGGAGCTGCAGGTACAAAGAAGCCTAAGCTCGAGTCACCAGCCGAGTTGAAGGCACGCTTGGCTGAGCACAAGGCAAGAAAGGCCGCTGAGAAGTCAGGCCTAGGAAGCGCTCCTGATACTCCTGTAAGTTTCGCTGTCACGTCAAATGCCTACACCTAAAACTAATTCGCATCAAGGCCGACGTCGCCACTCCTCCCCAATACCAGTCGAGCTTCCCTCCTCCTTCAGCACCACAAGCTGCTAGCCCACCGCCTACAGCTTATCCTCCACAACCGTATGGCCAAGCCCCTGCTGGCTACGGACAGCCACAACCTCCACCATTCAACTATGGTGAGTCGCCGTACGGAGCACCCCCAGGGCCGTTCCCGCCAGGTCAGTTTGGGTCCCAGCCATCCTTTTCACCCTCACAGCCGTATGGTCAGGGCCATCCTGCGCCTTTTGTTCCTCCTCCTGCTCAGTATGCCTACCCGCCACACTCGGCAAGTCCGCCTCAGTACCAAAACTCGCGCCATGCTGCACCAATGAGCCCGCCTGCACAGGAACTGCCGACCCGCCAGAATAGCCTTCCTTCAGCTCCAGGCCTACCGCAGCGTCCTACTTTCAATGCCCCTCATGTCAGTAGAGAGCAACTCGCCGAGATGCACAGTGGAAACATGGGTGGTCCTGTTGCTCCCTCACAAGAGTCTGGTGCTAACGCGACAAGCGTGGATGAACTTATATCGGGGGCTGCGGCTCAGCAATCCGCAAAGTCTGCCCCATCACAACAACCGACACCTACTCCAGCTCCGGAGAAGGAGGCCGAAAGCGCAAGCAAGAAGTCCAAGAAGGCTACACGTCTGGTCTACTCTGACCAAGAAGTGTCTCCTGAAGAAAAGATGGCCCAAATGCCCAGGTATGCCTTTACTCCAGACAAAGGTGGCGAGACTTACCTGGCCCCTGTCGAGGCAAATGTCACTGGCGTTGTCCAAGGTCCCGATGACGTGCTCGATGCACAAGGTTAGGGTTCTATGCACAAATCGCGTCGTCAAAGACTTATTCTGTGATGGATGGGAACAAAGGTGGGCAAAGCAGCGCCGTGGAGACTATCTCACAAAGAAGCGACTGCTCAGCAGCTAAGTGTTGCTCTATTTGCTTGGCGATGGAAAATGACGATTCGGAAAAGCCAGTATCACTAACAGCGTCTCATTGGTATGCCTCTAACCTTCTCCAACGCAATGATGTTGACAAGGAAGCAATCGGCATAGATAGCTTCCTCTGAATTGTAAGTCTGGCGGATATTGATCTTTCTCTCTGAATATATGATGAACACACTTCTTCTCTTCTTACGTGCAAAGGTTCATGTTTGATCTTCCTTGGGCATCGGTCGACTCTCTTCGGTTCAAATCATCCACTCTCTGGAAGTCCGGACTGAACTTTGCACCAGCAACATGGCTGGCGATCCTCGAGAATTTGGGCTTCTACCAAGCTCATTGAATTATGGAGCAAACAATAGTCACTCCACCCAGCTGTGCCTCACAAGGTTTGGTCTATGGGTGCTGCCAATTTATGGAAGGTTGTGTGCCGGCAGTGTGAGTCCATTCTCAGGGCAGTACAATCAGCCTTGATCTTCTTCGTCCCCGTATCAAAGTATCTCGAAACAAGTAGACGACTATAGTGGGGTATACTGAGCGGCGTAGATAGTACAGGACGCAGCCGTAACCCGTAGAGAAATCTATCTGAATATCACAGCCCACGGTCATCTGCCGGCATCGGACAAACCATGTCTGAGTTGCACCTTCCGTGTAAAAATCTGGATAGCATCACAATCTTCCATTTATCTTCTTGTGACAAGATCATTACGCACCAAAGTGAGAATCGTAGAACGACGTCATGAGAATTGTTGCTCAACGGTTGCTGGCGACGAAGCCTGGATGGTATTACTGACTCCAAGGTCGACAGTAATCGCAAGTAGCTGAACATTCTTCAGCGATTTAAGACAGACTTGGAGAAACGGCATTATAAGGCATCATTTGTACTCGCGTAATGTCGTCGACGTGCTTGTAGTCCGGCTTGTGGTGCAACTCGAGCAACTTGGTGCCATGCTTCACGCATACTATCTGCTCGCTGTCTGGTCTAGATTAACTCTGAATGAGAATTCGTGCCATAGATCCATAACCGATATCCTCAACACTTGAAGTCCCATAGTCTAGGATCATATGACTTGCCGCTTTATTCTTCTGCTCCCACATGGCCATAATCTATGTGGTATCGACGATGAGAGTCGAGAAGAGGAAGGATATATCCAAGGTCCGGGTGGCAGGAGCAGCCAGGACGTCGGATGTCGGAGGGAAAGATCAACCGACGGCCGGTAGATCGTCACTGAGGTCTCGCAACGCGACACGAGCATTTGTACTTGCAAGACAACAATTCGTCACTCATATCAATTCTTCACCCACTGAACATACATTTTGTATCGTTCGAAGCTTCTCAGCCGACCACTGTATCTCTTCCAGCATCATCCATCGCGTACCTTAGCGAACACAGACGCGTCTCACACTTTCCTTTGCAACAATGGCCGACACCGAGATGGACGTCGATCAGCAGCCCCAGCAAGAAGAGCAAGAGCAGGAACAGGCACAGGATCAAGGCCGTTCGCCCTCTCCATCCCAGTCACCCGAAGCCAAGCGCAACGCTCCTACTGGTCCCGAGACACGTACTTCGACTGGAGCTGTGGCTGTTCGTTCCATCGAAGGCTGGATCGTCATGGCCACCAATGTCCATGAGGAAGCCAGCGAGGAGGACCTCCAAGAGCTGTTCGGCGACTATGGCGAGATCAAGAACCTGCACATGAACCTCGATCGCAGAACCGGTTACGTCAAGGTGTGTATAGCCCATACGTCCAAGAAGCAGCATAAGATACTGATGGCACCCCATAGGGCTACGTCTTGATCGAATTCCCCACACTGGACGAGGCAAAGGCTGCCGTCGAAGGCGCCAATGGCACAAAGTTGCTCGACCAGACCATCTCTGTCGACTTTGCCTTTGTACGCCCTCCACCTACCAAGAACAACAACAACAACCAGTCGCGCGGTGGCCCTGCTCGTGGTGGAAAGTCCAGAAACAGAAGCAGAAGCCCCGGCGCCCGCAGAGACGACGATGACGAGGATATCGAGTAGAGATCGAAATCGGCAGGATGGAAGGAACCACGACGGAGATGGAGCCGCCCGCTCGTCCAAAACTGGCTCGATACATGCGAACAAGGACCCGCAACGACTGAAGCACCACCAGAAGAGGACTCGAAAGATGGCGAGCAAAGTTCGAGATGAGCATGGAGCTGGTGGATCGAGGGCGCTGCCTCTGGTGTAGATTCGAGGAAACGAAGGATGATGAGGACCAAGGAAAGCAGCGAATATCAACATGTAGCCGGCTTGTCGCCATGATAGACAAGTCGGTGGTAATCAAAAGTCCCATTCGGTAAGTCTGAGAGATGCTCCCACTGCGGCTTCACATCGTCCTCGTCGCTAGCCTCAGGCAACGATGCGATGATGATGTCGCCGGCGCCTGGATTTTTGCTTCAATTGCTAACAACTCTTTCAGTTTCACCTTTCTCTCTCGTGCCTTTACCCAACACATTCTTTCTGTGTCACACAGCTATCCTCATTCAAGACAACACAACCACTACCACCACCACCAGCAATCATGCACGGTAGAGGTTCTTCCAAGTGTAAGTCCACCATTCTTCGCCCTCTAGGCGCATCGACACTCGGGTACTCATACAATCTTCAAGCGCTCACCCTCGCCGCCCTCGACAAGCCTCCCATCCTGCGTCGCGACCGGGATGGCAGATTCATGACCACCTTGGAGATCGAGCGCGACGACGCTCGCATCCTTGCTGCCGAGAGAACCCGGCCTCCTTCTCGACCTCCGGTCAACAGGCCCAATGTGTTCACTGCTCCCGGCCTGCTCATAGATTTTTCAGTCGAGGTTCGTGCGTTGCGATCGTAGTTTGCTTCCACCTGGCCTAATTGTAGCATGAAATAGGAGACTGATGAGGAGATTCTCGCCCGCGCGCCCTCGACCCCTCCCCCCATCCCCGCCCGCAGCCCCCTCCGCCCTCCCTACGTGCCCCCTGCTGCCACTGTGCAGCCAGTCAGCAGCGCTGGCTCTTCTCTCTTCGGTCCCGCTGGCCCCGACGCCAACTCTGGCTTTGTGCAGGGTAACCCCTGGTCTCTTTCTGGCCGCCTGCCCCCTGTGGTCGCCCTGGTCTCTCCCTCGCTGCCCCCCTCTGCTCCCTCCGAGTGCTTTGTCGGTGTGGAGGACGAGGATGAGGAGGAGAAGAAAAAGAAGAAGGAGGAGGAGCACGACGGACCCCGTGGTGTGGAGTATACCCCTGACACCACGGGGTTGCAGTCGGGCTTCTCTTCGAGCTCGTCGTCTGGTGCTTCGGTTGTGGTGAGCCGTGGCACGGTGGAGGTGCGCGGTCGTAGGTGGGGTGTGTAGGAGTAGGGAGAAGTTCTTTTTCTTGTAATAACATGTAATAATATGATGATCTCCTTGGGAACTCTGACTGTGCGTGTGCAGAAAGTGATGTTTGATGTTGTAGATGTCCAGTGAGACGAAAGAAAACAGCTGCTTTCTCTGGATATACATGAAGTTCTCGTCAACACTGTGCATTGCTATAGTCGCTATCCGAAGTACTGTTGGCTCTGGAGAGTTGGTACTCTTCTTCATCCCCTATGGGTAGATATGATTAGTACACAGCTACAGAAATGCACAGTTTACTTTGAGAAGCGAGCGATGTCCAGAGAAATGGAAACAAGTAGCTGCTCTCTTTTGTACGTACATCCAACTCTCATTTGTATTGTGCATTTCTATACATGTCGTTCGGAATGTGCTGTCAGGTTGGAGATTGGCTATCTCGGTGTTACTAGGTATGTCTAGATTTAGTTACAGAAAGGCACAATGATCTCCATGAAGCAAGCACTATCCAAAGAGATGAAGCAAGCACAGCTGCTTTCTTTGGATATCCGTCTAATGATCCACAATATTGTGCATTATGATAGATGGTATTTGGACTCCCGTATTGAGATGGAGAGGACTTGTTTGCCTATTAAGTTGCATATGGTTCTTCGAGAAGCAAGCTGTGTCCAGAGCGATGATGCAACACAGCTGACTTCTTCGGATATACGTCCACTTATCGTCAGCATTGTGCATTTCTATAGGTGACGTACAGAACGTACTGTCAGCGTGGGGAAAGGGTTAATTTGTACTCCAGTGTGGTCCAAGCAAGAACAAGCATAACGATATACATTCTTTCCACCCTCTTCTTGATTCCATCTCAAACAGCAACAATATGCAGCGCAAAAGACTCAGTCCACAACAACCCGTCCTCAAAGTCCAATCTCGACCTCGTGCTCACGTAGAACATCCTGAGAAGTCTCGGGAGCATCCTTAGCAAGCTTCATCTGTGCACGCACAAACTTCTTCATCTCCATCAACTCTTCATCACACACCACATCTGGATCTTGAGCAACGGCATTACTGATTGCTGCGGCGAGCCTTTCACCGAAGAGGATGTCTTCGACTGCTTCGTTTGCCTCATATTCGATGTCTGCTGCAATGTCGTATTCGATGATTTGGAGTCTCGAGTTTTGCTCTTCTCTGAGCGAGGTTTCCAGGTCGCTGAAGCGTTTGTCGAGGTGTCCTCTATGTTACACCAGTGTTAGTGTCGAAGATGTGAAATGTAGTGACAGTGGTAAAGCCTACTCATGCTCAGCAACATCATCTTCCTGATTCTCAACCAACTTGACAGCCAGACTTCCACTGTACATGGCAGACTTGACTAGGCCAAGGAAGATGGTATTGGCATCGCCCAGCTTGTCTTCGCCGCCTTTGAGACGCACCCAGATATCTGTAGCCTTGTTGATTTGCTGCTGTTGAAACTTGATGGTCTCTAGGAGTTGATCGACGGCATCGGGGTGATGGCGTTTGGGTGGTGGGACTTCGTTGTTGGCGGCGGCTCTCTTGCGGTTGGTATTGGTGTGGTCAGGGATGTTATGATCGGAAGTCATGGTAGATGGTGGGTGGATGATGCTAAGACGATTGTCGACGCTGATGGGAGAGAAGCAGAGCTTGAAATCGGAGTCGGTTGAAGGTGGGAAAGCGAGAAAGAGCCATCGAGTAACAGATCGGCGCGTCACATGGAAATGGTTGTGTAGGAAGGTGCGAAACAATTCAAGGTAGCCCCTGCTTCGGAAGAACGATTCATTAAAGCTTCCAGATTCTAGGAAAACTAGCCCGTTTTGAATCCTACGCTCCTTCTCTCCCGTCTGCCGCTGCCAACCTCCTCAACCGGCATCGTAGTACTCAATCCGCTCCTCTTCCTACCACCGGCCAACGTAGCAGCCGTCTGCGCAGCCCTCGACTCGGCCACAACCCAATCGTCGTCGCGTACACTCTTCTCTCGCTCCTTCCGCTCAACAGTGTCCATCATCTCGTTCCGTCGAGCACCTGGTGTACATGCGCAAAGGCAGCCAGGTGTGGGACAAGCGCCTCCAGAAGTCGACACATCTGTTGGAGAAACATCGATGTGGGATGGAGGCGGCGAGTGCCACGTCCGCAGACAAGCTGCATGAGCTGAGTGGTTGCAGAGCAAGCAGGCAGAGTACAAGGTGTTCTTCTGTACCTCTACGGCTTCGATGTTGGCTGTCTCGTCGTCGCTATCATTTCCGGTTCTGGCTGGATGAATGAAGGGCTCGACGACAGAGCTTCTGTTGCCTCCTGCTCGAGTCTTAATCTTGGCAGGACCTTCGAAGGGACTTGTGTCGCACCAGCAGATTGGACATGGGTCTTGTCGCTGCGTGCAATTTTCGCAGCGCATCTTGTTAGGAGTGTTGATGGGTTTTCTGCAGCTACCACACATGAAGCTCACTTGGGTGTCTTTCAAGCCACCCTCGTAGACTGATGGATACATGGGGTAGCTGACGCGACGCAAATACGCAGCATGACTGAATAGTCCGAGATGTTGCAGCTGGCTATGGTAGGTACTGATAATGCTCTCTGCTTGTAGAGGCTGCAGCCCAGCCTTGATGAGATGTTCAAACGATGTCGAGAACAAGCTGTATATTTCCATGTCGCTGTATCCCATGGCTGTAAAATACTCGCTGTACACAGTGATGGTGGCGTCAATACTCGGTTGTGGCAGTGCATGTGTCTCGGGAAGCAGGGGCGTCAACATGAAGATGAAGTTGGTCGCTGCTTGCGCATCAGGCACCTTGACAGTATGGTAGTCGAGCAGATGGTTGAGCATGTTGATCACGCGGAATGGTTTGTCCTTCTCAGCATCGATGTTGTAGTCAGACGCTAGGAAGTCTGCTGTAATGAACGGCGTTTTTGTCGAGTCTACAGAGGCATTCTTCGACGGCACCAAAGCTGGTGCGCTCTCTGTGGCATGCGCGAGAGTTGTTGGCCTGGTTATAGACACTTCTTTCGATCGCCCGAGCTGCCTAGAGTGTCGGTGTGGGATAATGGTGCCACTGGCCTCCATGTTCTCAAGATCATCGGAAAGCTTTCGTCGATCGGCAAAGTTGTCATTCTCTGACGTGAAACTCTGCTGATTGTTCAAGGCCAAAGTCTGCATATCCCGAGGTATGTCTCTTGCTGGGGCATCTTTGTTCTCTGTGGGCGCAGGAAGTATAGCAAGGCCTTCTTGTTCACTTTCCGAGGAAGACACAAGAACACTGTCTTGACTCTGATCTTCTGGAATGCCCTGTCTAGTCTGATAGCTTCGACTTGGAATGGGCTCAGATGACGAGCTACTCCCCAGATGCATCGAACCATATGAGCCTTCTGACCGAAGGTTCTCCTGGACGGCTTCCATAAGGTCCGACCTACTAGCCACGGAAGAAGCTGGTCCTGAAGCATCTCGAGAAGACAAAGACGGGAACATACCGAAACTCTCATCTGAATTATATCTCGTGGGTTTAGGACGTTCGCTAGGCCCATCCTCGAGATTAAGCGGTTCTTTGAGAGGTTGTCTCCAGTTGCTGATCGCCTCTCGTTTCTCCTGATAGTTCTGAACGGAGCCATACCATGAATTACGATGTTCAATACCTCGGTGGTCCACTACCTGTAATGTAGCTCGGTTCTGTCCCTCGATATTTTCTTGAATCTCAGAGGGAGTCAAAAGCGAAGGCGGTAGTGTGAGGCTTTCGTCCGTGTCGATCTCCTTGAGCGGAGCTCGTTCAGACTCGTGTCGGTCTTTCACAGGTCGTGCAATTGGTGTAGGAACGTTGGAAGTACTGTCGGGCTGAACAGTCGAGAGAGATTCCATCGTCCTCAGTGGCCGACTCAATGGTGTTCCGGGCTTTGAGCTTAATCTGCGCTCTGTTGAACCGAGCCACCTCCTTGTCCTTCTGGCAAACGGAGACTCGTCTAACAAGCTTTTGCGAGGGCCGGAGTCGTTCTTTGCTCTCAATGCACGGTGATGATTCGCTCTACCTAGCAGCTCTGTCATGACCGCTCGACCCATGATCCTCCACGACTGAGCCAAGCGATACATTGATGCCTTCTGAACGTGATTGGCGTTGTGCTCAAATGTCTCATGCACTTTCAGGAAAGCATCGACCGAAGGTGGTTCGGGGAGAACTCGTGTTCTATAATGCTTTGCGAAGTACTGAAGAAGCAACAAGTTTGGACTTCCAGGAAGACGTCCACGAGCAGCACTTTGACCTGGCTTATATGCTCGACCCGCCTTCAACACGTCTTCGAGGCTAACTGTCCGAGTAGGTCCCACATCATATGCTGGCGGTGATTCGTTATGTGATTTACCAATTCTCGCACTAGGAGATCTTGTATGGCGCTTGCCATAAGAGCTGCTCAGAAAAGTGTCGTCTATGGTATCGTCATGCGATCCTCGACTAGAAGTGTTACCCTGTCCAGCTATCTCAGAAGGTGAGAGGCCAGATCGCCGTTGACGAATGAACGCTTCGCTATCGTCGCGATTGAGTCCTGGTCTAAGACGAGTCGCTCGTTTCTGAGTTACCAAACTGAACTCTCCAAGCGGGGAGATAGCGAAAGCCTGCATGTTGCGTTTGTCCATAACTTTCCGAGCATACTTGATATCATGCTGAAGAAACATGCCTTCTCTATTGACTGTCCATAGTAAGTCTTGAGAATGCCACAGAAGATCTGTCGGCGCAGTCTGGTAGCCTTCCATCTCTCGAAAGGGCAACCAAGGTCTTCGAAAGTCCCAGATATGCACGATAGGATGATCACGCTCGTATGATGTGACAATCTGAGTACATTGTCTTGTAGCCCGACCTGATGGCCATGATGACTGACAAGGTGGTCTCCATCTAGCATGACGCAAGGGATGTGGCGTCTTGATCTCGTAGACAGCCTTGTGTCTTCTACCTTCAGCGGAGATGTTCCAGACTTTGACTGTCTTGTCTGAACTGGCGCTGAGTAGGTGTTTACCATCAGGATGCCAGTCAATTGTTGCACAAGGACCAGTATGAGCCGCGATACGCGTCAAAGGGCTTTTGAGCTTGCGAGTATCCCATCTCTGAACAAAGCCACCATCCGTACACATGGCTAGCTCAAAGATATCAGTTGGAGACCACTTGACATCTCGAACTCCCTCGTTCTGCCCGCTGGTGGTAAATCTGCTTGGAAATGTGTTGGCATCTCTCCTGACATCGCGAAGATCCCAAAGTCGAACGGTACCATCCTGACTAGCGGAAAGGAAGTGTTGACCAGCATGAGGATTAAACGTCACCCTGTGGATTTGCCGACGGTGCTCTTTCAGTTGCGCAACTTCGATACCCGGATGGTTGAGGTCATATAACGTGATAGGCCCGTTGGCGTTCGCAGCGGCAATGTAGTTGCCAAAGCTGCCCTTTCCCCAAGCAACGTCAGATACGTTGATGTTGTCCTTTGACCTCCCAGAGGTGTGGGCGTTGTAATTTCGAATGGCGGCTCGGATGTTGATGTCTTCTGTACAACTTCCCTCGTCAACCCGAATAGTCTTGAGAATATCTCGTCCAGCAAGAATAGCATGACTTCCCTCGTCGTTGATAGACAATGAGTTGATTTCTAGTCCTGTCTTGTGGCTAGCGCTGGCATTGTACGCGGACAAGCTTGGAAGTCTTTGAACATCCTTCAATCCCGAGCCACTGCCGTCGCGTCCATCGCCGTCTGCATCAGCAGCTCTGGCAGGAAATCCGAGGAACCTGTTCAGGGCATTGCGGGCTCGTTGTTGTGGGGGTAGAGGCGGAGCTGGCGGCGGATTCTGATGACTTTGAGGAACAGGCAGAGGCACAGTCGCCGCTCTGCGCGGCTGTTCAGGATTCATGAAGGCAGATGACCAATCTATAACATCCTGGAGAGGTGCAATTTAGCGGTCATCTGATCGCGAACTACGCGACGATTAATGATTCTGATGACAGATCGTGTTTTATCCAAACACGTTATCCACGCGTAGGCTTATGCCTTGCACACAATTTGAGGTGTGAGGCCGTCAGATATTATAGATGGAAGTCACGAAGGTGTCGGCGTTTCTTCTTAGAGCCGGTTGCCAAGAAAGTGCACAAAAGCCTTCCCGAGTTATGTAGGCACTTTGTTCTGAACGACTGTGAAGGCAACAGTCATCAACAACATTCGGTGTTATCTCGGTTCATTCACAAGCCGATTCAAGCAGGAGGACATTGGAGATATTAGAACGTAACATTGACATCAAGTGGGTATTCTATGCTCAACAACCATACCGCCATGGCGAACCACAACCACGACTCTGCTCAAACTCGTAGAAAAGAAATCGCCATATGGCCAGGCCCTATATTCGTCTTGTTCGCCCTGTCCGCGTGCCGTAAAAAGTCCATAGGAGTCGTATTATATAAACAGAGGAGGAGGAATTGATGTCTTGAGAGTAAAGAAAAGGGGGTAAGAATCGAGAAAAAGAGACACGAAAAGGGCATATCGGCATTATGTGAGGAAGGTCGCATCCCAACCCTCTACTCTTCACGGTAAAACTTCTTGAAGACCAAATGCAAGAAGAGATTGACGTTCAACTTCAACCCACCTTCACCACCTGTTCCGCGGAACAGGTTCATGAATTGATGGTTGTCGAATTGTGCCTGGAGGAGGTCGTCGAGTGGTACGGAAGCGCTGGCGCCTGGCATCATAAGACTGCCCATGCTCCCCTCAATGTGGAACACGCCAACCTCGTCTGAAGAGATCGTGACGTTGATACGATTCCATTGAGTTGCATCATATCCATCCCAACTAACGAGCACACCCTTCTCGGCGAGAGAACGTGCTGAGTACTTGTAGGAGCCGAACTTCGGTGTGCGACCGGATCGAGCCAGTTCACGCTCGTGATTGTATTGCTTTGTAAAAGGCAGCAAGAATCGCTTCTTACCCTTCTTGTTCTGCAGCGTGACCATGGCTTGCTCGATATAGTCGTTGTAACTCTGCAGTTGCTCGTCCAGGTATGATGCCTTCGAGTCGAGCTGAGTAAGCGTAGCACGGACACCGTCCAATTCGCGAGTTCTCTGCACACGACGACGATGTTTTGTTCTGATGTCGATAGCGATGGCGTTGAGCAGATCTTGGTACTGGTTGTGCCTGTTGACCTTTCCTTCTTGCTCGAGCACCAGAATGTTCTCGAGAGCTGCACTCTTGACTTCGGCGTACGACATTGAAGTAATGTCCAGGAGAGTTGATGCTGGTTCGTCTTCCACCATACCAGAGTATGCTGAAGGTGCTCTTGGATTGTGCTTCAGATCCATAGCCTCTTCATCCAGCAGTGCAAACCACTTGTCATCATCCTCAGGTGTGATAGGACGGACAAGGATCTCAAGCAGGTTAGCTCCAGCTTGTACCCTGATAATGAACAAGACGAGGCGTTTGGTTTCCATGAAGAGCTGCTTGAGATCGGCTTCCGGATCTTGCTTGTCGTGGAACTTGGGAGTCAGCTGCAGACTGATCTCGTTTGAGCCCACACCCATCATCTCGTTCTCGTTGCTTTGAGCACTACCGAGCTCGCGAATGATCTCGCGTAGGACATCATCTGGGTCGGATAGGTGTGACATCTCGTTCGTTACAAGATGGTGAATGGCGAAGATATCTGCCATCTTGATGTACAGTGTGGGCTTGACACGGGCGAAGAGATCGTTGAATTCATCAATGTCAAATTGCTGCTCGGGTTCGGGGATATCGATGACTAGAAAATGTTAGCAATATGTAGTCAAGGAGCAATCGAAGACTTACGCGATACAAGGAGTTCCTCCATTCTCCCAATGGCCTCGCCAACCCATGTGTTCAGAGGCTGCAGGTAGATGTGGTCTCCGCCAAACAGCCTGCCAGCGTATACCTGACTGAGGACCTTGCTAACTTCACCCAGGTTCCGCTTGTGTATGGGGCTCAGACCTCGGTCGATGATGCCCCACATCTCTGGTTGAGTCAACGCAGGAGCCAGGTAGGCCTTCCAGAGCCAGTGGCCGACCACTTGGAGGAGATGCTGCTGGTTCTCTCCAGGGAAGATGGTCACGAGCGTGTTGAAAGTTTGCTGGGCAATGAATCTCAAACCGTATGGCATACGGGGCAGAGTCTCCTCAAGAAGGATGAAGAAGTGGTCGCAGATATCGCGAAGATCTTGCAAATGCGAAACAAATAGATCTCTGGTCTCGGGGTCGCGAATAGCCTCCTCGCGTGAAATATCTGGGTTTCTGCGACTGCGTTGTCCTGTAGAGAGCTCTTCGTTGTTTATCGAAGCACGGTAGATCTGCATCGGGTCACTTTCCAAGTCCAAATCTGCGTTCTCGAAGATGCTTTCTCTGACGAGTGGTCCGAACAAATCACGCATGTACTTGCGATCGCGGGGACTTCTCACATAAGCAGTGAGCAATCTGCTCCACAAGAAAGTACCCCGGAGGTAATCTTGGAGAGAAGCACTGTGCTCTGCTTCTTCTTGGATGGAGCGTGTTACTAGCTTCAAGAGGTAGTACTCTTCTCTGCGTTTCTGCGCAAATCCGAAAAGGCCCATCATGAGAAGCTCAATCCTTTTACTCTCTTGCTCTGGCATGCCTTGCTCTTTCAACTTGTGGAAGAGACGTGCAAGATATTGTGGTTGAGTTTGCAAGAGGAAAAACAGCTCCTGATAGTGCTCAAGCTTCCTCCTCGAGTTTTTGTTCAACGCTTTGAGGTCGAAGGGATCCTTAGACGAGATTTCAGTGTTGTTCAGGAGACTACCAATGTGGCCACCAAAGTGTCGCTGATGTTTGACAACTTCGTCCAGAGTGATTTTGTTTTTGACAAGCAAGGCGATCTTGATGTCAAGCTGATCGATATATTGCTCAGCCATCTCATTCTGTCGTACTCGCTGAACAACAGTCTTGCGCAGTCTCTCAAACTCAAGCTCCTCATCGAAATCGAAGTCGCTGTCATTAAGGAGATGGACAAAGTTCTTCACTGTACCGACAGGTGGGTTCTTTCCGCTGGTCAAGCTTTTGTAGGCTTGACCTTGTTGACGGGCACGAATAATGCTCTGGACCTTGATGACCTTCTCCATGTTTTCCTTGTAGAAGCGTTGCTTCTCGGCAAATTCTCGCCTCACGAGTGTTCCACGGATGGCAGACTGAAGTTCCACAACAGCGTCCTCTTCCTCTTCAAGTTGGCCAAGAAGAGTACCGATGTCGCGGCGGTCGAGCAGAGCGCGAGCGAGACTCTGCAATTCGACAATCTGGCCCTCTTGCTCGTTAAGCTGACACAAAACATCGAAGACTCTCTGACGCTCGAGATAGGCTCTCGATAGAGACTGCAGGTCTTGGATCGCTGACTTTTGTGTGTAGAGAGCGTTGATGTCGGCATGGTGCCTCTTGCGGAACATATGACCACGAGCAGAGCTCTGGAAAGTGAGAATCGAGTTTTCGCGGTAACTGAGAGCATCTCTGATAGCGTTTACATCCTGACGGCTACAGCCGGCTCTGAAGGCGGACTGTAATGCGACGATCGAAGGCGATTGCTTTTGCAAATCGGACTTGAGCTTTCTGAATATACGTCTCGCTTTCTGTCCACGTGCTGCGGACTGCAGTTCAAGCCAGGCAGGAGTCTCGGTATCCAGAGATACGCGAGTGTGTTCAAGTTTCCGACGCTGTATGAAGCCAGTCATAGCGTGTTGGAGTGTTGCGACAGACCTCGAATGCTTTCTAAGCAAATCGGCATTTGCGGCATGCCCCTTCCTCTCGAGCATACCCCTGATCGCGGCTTGCATAGCGACAACATCCTGCTCAGACGCTCGAGTGTCCTCGAGTTGACGCTGGACCTGAGTTCTCTGGAGAGCACCTCGAATGGCAGCTTGCAGGGAGATAACTTGCTCCTCGGAAGCATGACCTTCTTCAATCTGACGCTCAACCTGCTTTCTCTTGATCGCTCCTCTGATTGCTGCTTGAAGCCAGCGAACTGGTTCTTCGGCTTCGCGCGTGGCTTCGTATTGGTCACTAACATTCCATCTGCTCAGAGCACCACGAATAGCAGCTTGAAGATTGCGGATGCCCATATTCTGCTTCTGCATGTGTGTACGCATTTGCTTGACTTCAGCTCTTGCTTTGCGAGCTCGGAACAATGATTGGAGGGTGACGACTTGCTTCTCTTGGCTTTTCCAGGTCTGCTCCCGGTTGCTGCGATGCTTGCGAATGAGAAAGCCTCTAGCAGCACTCTGCAGCTGAACAGCAAACCGTTTCATGTCCATGCGATAATCTGAGATCTGACGAGCAAAGTCTCCACGGATTCGTGATTGGAGGTCGACGATGGCTTCTTCGGCGTCCCATAGCTGATTCATGGTGTCACCGAGTTTCAATCTGACCATGGCTCCGCGAACTTGAGATTGCAAGTCCTCGATCAACGCTTCGTGTTTAGAAAGTTCTCTTTGAATTCTTTCTTCCTCTGTCTCGACGGGCTCGGGTTCTGGCTCTGGCTCTGGTTCGCCGAAATTGGCTCCCATGCCCGAGAAATTGGGCATACTAATGCCTGCCTTATCAAGACCCTTCTGCATGGCCTCGAGTTCATGGTCCTCAAACTGTAATTGACCCACCAGGTTGCCAATACGGAAGTCTACTACTCCTTTGCGGAAAAGAAGCCACGACAGAGCATGGATACAGTAGATGACCTTGGGAATGTTCTTCTTCTCGTACAGGTCGACCAGTTCGAAACGGAAGAGTTCGGGCAGTTCCATCTCGGCGAGAAAGCGGAAGAACAGAGCAATGTTGTCGGAATGGCGGAACTGCAGACGTTCATGCTTGAAGATGCGGATGGGTCGGTCAGGGTGGATGGCTTGCACAACTTCAGCCAGCGTAACACCGTCTCTGAGGCCCTCCTCGAGCTGGACAATCTCGGGAATCTGTTTGTGGATGATGTCTTCGATCCACTCTTTGGCTTCACCAATGTGACACAGATATTCGTAGGCCTGCAAGAACTGACGCTGGCGGTCCATCCATTTGCTAGCCTCCCAACTGCTTGTAAACTTGCTGGTGCTTTCTGTGCCCTTTTTCTCCTTTGTTGTCATGGTGCGTTGTAACCTCCTGCGGCCATGCAGACCAACCACCTCTTGCTCAGGCGACTTGATCGAAAAGTCGTCATCGTCGGTAGTTTGGGCAAACTTGCTAAGCGTGCGCAAGTGTTTCGTGGCTGATCTTTGCAGGCCTTGTAGCTCTGACTTCTCGATGTGGCCGGGCGAGGCGAAGTGGACGTGAACAGAATTGCGGTTGCCGCGGTCGTGGGTAGGAGCTCGAATGGAATCGGAGCGGGAGATTGCAAGCGAATGCGGTCGAGACTTCATCGGTGGTGACGTGGGCATGGGCGAAGCAGTCTCGGAGGTTGGCGTGCTGTTGTTAAACGGGTCCATTCTAGAGTCATGCAAACTTTTGGACCGTGAGTGGGATTGAGTATGTGATAGCGAATGCGGCGAGGGCTTCTCTGGCGATGTGCCGGGGGCCTGTTGTAGTGGTCTCAGAGCAGTGCGGAACTGATCAGGTGTGACTGGCGGCGCGACATTAGCCTCCTTGGCCTCCCAGAAGCCTTTTGCTTTTGGCGAAGCGGTGGCCTCGCTAAGTCCTCGTTTGTGGTGTAGATGGCTTGTTGATACGCTAGTCGTATGGCGCAGCGGGCTCCCAGGCGTCGAAGGAGATGCCGGCACTTGCCTGCGAGATTCTTGTAGATAGGATGCCATGGCGTCTTATGGAAGGAGCGACCCTGAAGGAATGGGGGGAGGAGTGTGGTTTCCGACTTGTCCGTATCCCAGCGGCACTCGCACAACAGCGAGACGGCGAATTGTTTGTCGAGAAAAGAGCGGCGACGTCGCCCGCAACACTGCTATCAGCAATGGCAGTACGAGCAGCAGACAAGGGAAAAGTCGTCGACTCGACCAGACGGCATAGCAGGGCAGAAATCGATTGCTTTGCAACGCTCAGTCCCCGTAAACACGCCCGTTACGACACCCGTTCTTGATTTCGCTTGCGGACCAAAGTCACAAGCTTTTGAAACGACCGTTCGTTCCTAGCAGACTGGATATCTGCGACCTCGAAGAATAGTTGGCGCTGAACAGAGCAGCAGGCTGGCGTGATGTGATATGCAGGAGAATGGTGGGCCGAAAAGCTCGACTTTCCAGGTTTGTTTGTCAACAAGCCCACCCGCATCCGAAACCAAACCTTGTTACTCAAACACTAAATATTCTCATCAAGGGATCCTTTCTACTGTGTTATACCTTGCGTCAATTCTATCCAAACTCGACGGCAATAACAGTGTATCATGGTCTATAGCGACAAGAACTCGGGATGATTGGATTTATTTCTGCATGCCCAGGGCTGACTTGACCGCTGGCTGTATTTTCTCACTTCTTGGAGTGGCGGGCTGGCTAGTGCTCTCATCAAGGCATCCCACTTTGTCTCAATGTTTGGAAAAGAACGAAATGAACGACAAGACTTGAGACAGCGGTGGATGATATAGCGGCTTCGTGAGAACCTTGGCTACCACGGCTAAGTACCTGCTCGGTCTGAAGCACCTGTCATTGAGCAGAGAGAGTGTGGAACAGATCGGTGCCAGAACTACCAGGTAGCTGATGGTGACGGTGATAAGTAAGAAGGGTCCTCTTAAGACCGATGGTCAAACATTGCAAACTCGAGTGCACAGATCGCGGGTAGGCCGTGGCCGAAGCCTGTTCGTCGAGGATGCGCAGAAAATCTCGAACAACTCTCTTTTCTCTCTTCTTTTCTTGGGGAAAGTATTCACACTTGAACCCGTCGACCTCTTCGTCGTACTACTTCCAATCGAGATACCCCTTTGCGTCATTTGTCTTTTCCTCAAGATCCGTTTTCTTTTCTCTTAATCACACGATACACGACTCTCCGCCAAAATGACCACTCAAGTTCCCGTTCTTCACAAGGAGAAGATCCTTGACTACCAGAACGCCCTTGACATTGTCAAGAGCGAGTACCCCGAGCGCGATGGCATCGACGTCCAGACCCTTCTCGACTCCAAGAACAACGGCGGTCTGACCTACAACGATTTCCTGGTTCTCCCTGGTTACATTGGTATGAGCCGCTGAATGCGCATGCGCACCGTTATCAGCGTGCTTACTTCTCAATCCAGGCTTCTCCGCCAACGAGGTCACCCTTGACTCGCCCGTTACCAAGCGCATCTCCCTCAAGACTCCCCTCCTCTCTTCCCCCATGGACACTGTCACCGAGCACAACATGGCCATCCACATGGCTCTCCTCGGTGGTCTCGGTGTTATTCACCACAATTGCTCTGCCGACGAGCAGGCCGAGATGGTCCGCAAGGTCAAGCGCTACGAGAACGGTTTCATCCTCGACCCCGTTGTCATCTCTCCCGAGACCACTGTCGGCGAGGCCATTGCCCTCAAGGAGAAGCTCGGTTTCGGTGGTTTCCCCGTCACTGGTAAGCAAAAATATCTTTCTTCGCTCTCCCCGTTTGAGGATGACTCAACAAATATAATAACTTTCGTTCAACCGCATTCAAGTCAATCTGTTGTGGAGAAATATTTTGGAATCTGAAAAACACACACGATCCCATGTTTTTTCTGAGCTCTGTTTCAAAACAGCACGGCTAACATGAATTTACAGAGTCCGGCAAGCTTCGCTCCAAGCTCCTCGGTATCATCACTCCCCGCGACATCCAGTTCCACGACAACCTGAGAGACTCTGTCAGCAAGGTCATGTCTACCGAGCTCGTCACCGCTAAGGCCGGTATTGAGCTCGGCGAGGCCAACGCCATCCTGCAAAAGTCCAAGAAGGGCAAGCTCCCCATCGTCGACGACAGCGGCAACCTCATTTCGCTCGTCTCGCGCTCCGACTTGATGAAGAACTTGAACTACCCCCTTGCCTCCAAGCTCTCCGAGTCCAAGCAGCTGATCGCCGCTGCCGCCATCGGTACCCGCCCCGACGACAAGGCCCGTCTCCAGAAGCTCGTCGATGCTGGTCTCGACATCGTCATCCTCGACTCTTCCCAGGGTAACTCCATGTACCAGATCGAGATGATCAAGTACATCAAGAAGACCCACCCCAGCCTCGATGTTATCGGTGGCAACGTTGTCACTCGCGAGCAGGCTGCTGGCCTCATCGCCGCTGGTGTTGACGGTCTCAGAATCGGTATGGGCTCTGGCTCCGCCTGCATCACCCAGGAGGTCATGGCTGTCGGTCGCCCCCAGGCTGCTTCCGTCCACAGCGTCACCTCGTTCGCTGCCCGTTTCGGTGTTCCCTGCATCGCTGACGGTGGTATCCAAAACGTTGGTCACATTGTCAAGGGTCTCGCCCTTGGTGCCAGCACCGTTATGATGGGAGGTCTCCTTGCCGGTACCACCGAGTCGCCCGGTGAGTCTTACGTCTCTCGCGAGGGTCAGCTCGTCAAGGCCTACAGAGGTATGGGCTCCATCGACGCCATGTCGGACAAGAAGGCTGGTGTTGGCTCTGCCAACCCCAACGACCCCAAGGCTTCCAACGCCGGTACCGCCCGCTACTTCTCCGAGGGCGACAACCTCCTTGTTGCTCAGGGTGTCTCTGGTTCCGTCCTCGACCGTGGATCCGTCACCAAGTTCGTTCCTTACCTCATTTCGGGTGTTCAGCACTCCCTCCAGGACATTGGTGTCACCAGCTTGGTCGCTCTCCGCCAAGGTGTCATTGATGGCGAGGTTAGATTCGAGCTCCGTACCGTCTCTGCCCAGGCTGAGGGTAACGTTCATGGTCTCCACAGCTTCGACAAGAAGCTCTACGCTTAGAGGAATTAGACCATGAACGGGAAAAAGCCATGGGTCGGTTACGATAAAAAAGATGGGAGTTACACTGTGGAGTTCGATTGAAAGCATTTACATTTGGCGTTCATGAATTGGGAAGGGATGAATTTGAATATGAATTCATGCTGCGCATATTTTGCACATACACCTCATTTGTCCTTGACTCTTCCTTTATATGTGCATGTGATGCGGACCTGCGCCACCTTCTAACTCACCCATGCTCTGTCCATGATCGCTCGAGTTCATTGCTGCAAGCGAGGTATTTCCAAGAAGCAGTGTTCGGACAATCGATGTGTCAACCAAGAGCCAAACGCTCTACATGCCGGCTGAAGCTCTTGTAGTACGATACTGATAGACTAGCTCCGTGTGTCTGGAGAGCCTGAAGCAGAGCTATCGTGACGTGTCAAATATCGTCGAGAAGGACTTGGTCGTGGGTATCAGAGTACGAGCATGAGGGCGTGGTGACACAGCAGGACCGGGAAGCTGCATTCGCTGCTGCTTCAAGTCGGCGGCTTGATTGCATGCGGGAAGTGCACGACACGTCTGTCCAGACGTCGTTTGTTGACTTTCATGTCTCTTGCAGGCACCTTGATGAAGCTGGACAATGCAGTACATGTCTCCACGTCGGCTGAGCTGGTCCGAGGCCTAGTCTATCGATCAGTTCAGGTTCAACTCAGCAACACTACTAGAGCCTCGCGCTCATTGTCGTCTGGTAAGACAGGACGTGAGTAGCACATGCAGAGCTCATTGAGCACGTCGCTGGAGTGCTCGTTGTCAGCGGCTCATCGCGCCAACTTGGCGGGCGCAATTTGCTGAAGCTCGCAGCGATCGTCGGGTTGGCCCGGAAAGGCGCGGGCGACGACTTTTGGCCTCTCGACGTCCGACTCTCGAATTATCGCCCGCATGGAACTTGAAACCACGTTCGAGGCCATTTCCGTTTGCTTGAGCTCCCGGTCGTCGACTCTGGCAAAAAGAGAGGGACTTCAAGAATGGGGTAGCTGGTTGCCTTTATGCTTGCTGATGATGCTCGATGCCTGCAGCCCATGCTTGACGCATCCTGGAGACACTTTGCTTCTTTGAGCATTGAACGACTCGCTTGTCTTATGCTAGCCGCCTACCTTGAACGGTTAGTCTCTCTATTCCTTGCTGGAAATGGCTATCCAGGCAAGTCGACAACTCACTACTATACCACAATGCATCTGTCCTGTCTACCTTGACGCCTGATGAGAAAGAATTCATCGAGCTGTCAGCCTCTCTTCGTGATCGTCCAGCACATTCAAGCCGCAGTCGCTTGCCCAATACCACGATATATACCTCAAAGGTTTGCTTCTTCCGGAGCTTTCTAAGTTCCATTGGACAGCCATGTCATGTCTCTTCATCAAGTCTCGAACAAGTCACCATTATACATGGCAATAATCGCCGCTATATTTTCCGAGGCCGATCGTGTGGTCAAACCGAAGTACTGCAGGAAGCAGTCATTCAGTCTCAGCCTCTATCACTGACCATTCGACATCAAACTGAATAGAGCGCTTTGGCTCAGTTCACTCGGAGTGAAGCACGCCCCAGCCTAAACAGTTGGCTGGGGGAGCTCCAGATCACTGACGCGGATGCGGGCGCTATTGATTTAGACTATCGTTGGCCATCGCTTCTGTCACTCTGTTGAGATATTAAATTATATATCACACCCCGAACTCACTGTGGACGCGAAAATCGATTGACTCTGAAGCTGAGCCGCACGAAGTTGAACGGCATTGTTCTGTTTTACTTCGCAGCTATTGCTGTTGTGAGTTGAATTGAAACTCCTAACATCGGCCAGGATTCGGAGGCGGATGGTCTGTGTGCTGAGCGCAACTGGCCAATTGTCGAGCTTCGTGGAGTGGAATAGACCCACTTGGACTCGGTTAAGCTACGCCTCTTGGCCTTGAGTGAAGCAAACGAGGCCAAATCACACGGCCACCGGACCGGCAGTACAAGAAAATTCTGCGTGGGCTCCCACGGCTTTCCCCCTTGACCTCTGCTCACTCGTCGTCCACCAAGGGAAAGCTTCCGCCCCGATCTCTCAACCCTTATCTTCCATCCTTCATCAACAACTCTCCTCTCCATCCCCTTTCACACATCCATATCATTCGAAATGGCCTCCAGAATCGCCCCCAAGTTCGCCCAGATGGCCGCTCGCCCTGCTGCCTTCCGCGCAGTCCAGCCCAAGGTCGCCCAGCGCGCCTTCTCTGGTAAATCATCACCACCTCAACGTCACCTCATCACACCTCCATCGAAACATCGAACCACCCTCTACCTCCATCACCATTTCATCCATCAATGACAAGCTCAATTGATTTGAAACAACAATGTTCTGACGCTCTTTCAAGGTCTCCGCCAGGCCACTTTCGTCCGCCCCCAGGCCGTCTCCATGGCCCAGAAGGTCGCCCCTGCCGCCCGCCGCGCCTACTCTTCCGAGATGGCCAACGCCCTCGTCCAGGTCTCCCAGAACATTGGTATGGGTAACGCTGCTATCGGTCTCGGTGGTGTAAGTACCCTCCCGTATATCATGTCGGATGTTTTGGACCTCAACAATTCTCATCCAACTCACCTTCAATGATACTACGCCTGTACTTCCCAGTACCTCGAGCTAATTGTCTGCAGGCTGGTATCGGTATCGGTCTCGTCTTCGCTGCCCTCCTCCAGGGTGTCGCCCGTAACCCCTCTCTCCGTGGCCAGCTCTTCTCTTACGCCATTCTTGGTTTCGCCTTCGTCGAGGCCATCGGTCTTTTCGACTTGATGGTTGCCATGATGTGCAAGTACGTGTAAACGTCTTCACCTCTGCAATGAGCGATGTCTTTTGGGGAGTTCAAAGTCAACGCCGGTCTGCGTGGAAACCAAAACATCGACGTGTACATTATTTTCTATTGACGCCCGGAGGGATGAATTGTCGAAGGATGATGACATGGCCAGGATACGACGGGGCTCTTTCAAGACTTTCTTAAAAACAAACAAGAAAATCCTCTACTCATACACTGGGGAGGCTTTTTGAAATGAAACGCCTGTCCTGACCACACCAACTGACGTTTGCCTTTCTTCCTCAATGTGACACAGCAGCTCTTCAGCCACTGCTCGCTGCTGATCGATTAATGTGACACTACCGCAACAGCCAGTTCAATGCGACATCTCGACCGCCACATTGTAGCGACCAACCCTGGATCCATAGCCCGGCTAATTGCAATCTACAATGTCCATTTACCATTTCCGTATCTTTTGGACATCTAGAATAGCTGTCTGGACGAGCTGTAGCTCTTTGGAGCTTGAGCTCTTGGGCCTGGAGCTCAGGACAGCTTGCTTCCAACTTTGCGGCTTAGAGCCCCAAGTTAACGTCGCTTCCTTATCAAAATCACTCGCAATGCTTTTAACATCACCACGACCACATTCTTGTGTCTTCATTGAATGTCAAGAATACTTGCAACTTACAAATAATTGATCCCGTCAGTAATAGTTGTACCTGTCTCCTTGGTTGGCCGCCACACATCGATTTCTCTCTTGCACACCTCCGAAACGGGCGCTAGACGTGCCTCGGCTGTCCGCATCTATACATCCCCCTCCACAAGTCTATCCGAGAACCCTCTAACGTTCCTTGTACTATCTGATATATCGCCTCTGTTCTTCCCTACACTCTAACCTCGGTGCACTCTGTATGCATCTTGCTCGTTTGTTTGCGCCAACCTCACTGGCATCTCCTATCATCGACGTCATTGCTTTTCGTGCCTCAAGACCATTGATATTATCAAGTCAAACACGAACAACATCTCGCAGCATGTCAAAAACTACAGCTTTGGGGAAAGGGTATGAGGGAAATGGCGAGAAGGGCAAGAAAGCGCCTGCCATCCCCAGACCGAGTTCGAGGTACGTGACGTGGTTGTTGTGTCTGACTTACGACTCATGCTGTTTTATATTGGCAACTGTGTTGGTCAACATCGCGACTTCCCCTGCCACACTTTCGTCTTTCCTCAGTCGATGATCTCGCGACATCACTTTCCATTGCCAGACTTGTCAGATCTGTCGCCGATGTTGTTATTGCTCAAATGCTCAGAGATGTCAAATAAATTATGCTACGAGTGCGACCCTGACTATATTTGTCCTCTGCCTTACCATTTCTGTCAGCGAAACATTTCTTGCTTCTCAATCGACTGACAATACTTCCAGTGTCTTGTTGATATCGCCACAAAACCACATTCTACTACTGCGCCGAGTTCAAACTTCATCGTCGTTTGCTTCCGCACACGTCTTTCCAGGCGGCAACATATCTCCCTTCCATGACGGCGACCCACCAGTCCCTGAAGACGCTTCTCGCCACCATGATAGCGAAGTATATCGTATGGCTGCTGTCCGCGAGACCTTTGAAGAAAGTGGCATACTGCTGGCGAGAACCAAGGATGGCAGGTTGCTGGAGGTAGACGAAGACGAGAGGGTCAAAGTCAGAAAGCTTGTACATGGAGACAAAATCAAGTTTGAAGACTGGTTGGAGGAGAAAGACGCAAAGGCTGACCTGGGTAAGTTCTCTGCGGCCAAGTGACTGTTGTCTTGGAGCAAAACTGACATCAAGGCAGATAATCTGATTCCATTTACTCGCTGGATCACACCCACCAATCTGCCCAAACGCTTCACGACACAAATGTACATCTATCTACTGCCTCTCAGCAACACTTCCAAGAATCTGCCATCTTCCTCTTCCAACGCCGAAGAAGACGAGCCAGAGACGATGATCCCAGTCCCCACCCACGACGGCGGCCTCGAACACACCGCCGCCCGCTTCCTACCTCCTGCGACATGGCTACGTCTCGCCCGCTCCTCCCGCATCGTCCTCTTCCCTCCTCAATTCTTCCTCATGTATCTACTCTCGCCCTTCCTGTGTCCACAAGGAGATGTAGGCAAAGAAGCCCCGACACCAGATGCCGCAACATTACAAAAGCAGCGTGATCAAGTGCTTGATTTTGTCAAGCAAGGCAACTGGGGTGAGAAATGTATTTCTCCTACTGTGTTGGGAGGTAAGAAGAGAGAAGACGGAAGAGTGGTGCTAGGGCTTGACAAACCTGGTGCTGAGGCAGAGGCTGAAGGAAGGAAAGGAGATGACGAGAGAGTTGTATTGGTGGAGTTCAAGAAGGAAGGACCCAGGAGGGTGGAAGTCGGATGGAGGAAGGAGGTGTTGGCTGAAGGCCGCGAGAACAAGTTGTAAGACTGCTTTTCAGATGTGGTTCTAGCCATATGGTCATATTCATGAGTATCTAAGCACTCGAACAGCATCTTGCAAGTCTCTGGGTCATCTACCAGTAAGACCTGTGAATCAAACCTTCACATCATCCATCCACCGTCCGTCTCCTTTCACTTACTAGGCTACACATTCAACTCGACTCCCTATGATCACTGTGATCGGACTGAGTGCTGTAACGGCTTACACTCACGCCTCGACCACATTCGGTAATAGAACCACCGTTCAAATCCCGCCGTGTACAGTCTTGAATCTGCCGTATGGCAGCCTGACGTCCGTCATTGGGTGGCTTTGATCAAGGGAAGTTGTATGTGAGTTTTTCCAAAGAGTCTTTGCTCTGGTTTTTTGCTGGATCGGTCATCAATGCTTTCACGTTTTGCTCTTGTATCAAGGACATTGTTGATCGTGAGGATTGAATGCATACTTCCAGAGGCTATGTACTATATAGAGACTACAAAAGTTTAGTTGTAGCCTTTGTTGATAGTGGTACATTGGATGCCCTGCAACAAACTCTCATCCACATTGCCACACGAAAACTCATTCACCGTGCCATTCGGACTGCTCAGATTGATATCCGACAACTTGATGTCGGTGCAAACGCTCGGGCTACTGCAAACCACATATCCAGAAATAGGATTGTACTTTGCACTAGTGGTGCCATGAATGTTCTTCATGACGATGTTTGATATGGTCAGTTTGGAAGGGAACTCATTGCAAGCAGTCAAGTTCTTCTGACCGTAGCATTGAGTGACTTCGATAGCGTAGTCGACGTTGTTGATGCTCATGGTGTCGTAGGTGATGTTGTTGACGCGGCCTTTGCCACCGCCGCCTTGGAGGTCGCCGGAGAGGGCTGCGGGTGAGCCTGGCCAGACTTTGATGCGGGCACCGTCGCTGGCGTTGGACATTGAAACGTTGTAGACGAGGACGTTTTCGACGATATCGGTTTCAGTGGGGTATTGGCCTAGGGAGCCAACACTGATGCCGTGGCTGCCGTTACATTGCAAGTTCTGCACAAGGATGTTGGTAGAGTTTGGCTTGAAAGAGACACAGTCGTCGCCGTTGTTGATGTTTGAGTTTTGGATGACAATGTTGTCGCTGCGGTAGGTGTCCCATCCATCCTAGAGAGAAGCATGATTAGCAAGCTAGACCTAGAAAGTCTTTTCGATAGTGTTTTTCTTACAGTGTTCTTGGCTGGGTTCTTGCTCTGACTGGATCCAGAGATGGAGATGTTCGAGAACAAGACATTGGTGCTGTTGGCAACCCAGTTGTAGTACTGAGGGCTGTAGCGGAAGTTCAAGTTCTGGATAGTCGAGTTGTGCAGACCGACAGCACCAAAGAGGATAGGTCTGAGAATGTAGATGTTCTGAGCATACAAGTCATACCAGACTTGGCCGTTGCCATCGAGGAAACCACCACCGTAGACATTCACATCGTTTCCACCGAGCTGGAAGAATGTAGTGGCGTTCTGGAAGACTTGCTTGAAAGCATTTGCTTGCCAGTAGTCGGTGTCGTTGGTGAATTGAACATAACCTTGAATATCGAGATCGATGTGGTTGAGGTAGGTCAGGTTCAATGCCGTACCGATCACGTACTTCTGGCCCTGGGAAAAGATGACATGACCGCCATTGTTGCACTTGTTGATGGCGGAAAGAATGTAGTCCGAGTCGTCGGTCACGCCGTCGTTGTGAGAGCTAACATAACAGACTCTGTTTCTGGAAGGTGAGGAAGGGAAAGGCTTGAAGGGCTTCTTCGGAGAGATGTCGGTCTTCGGACGCGTTCCTTGATGTTTGGAAACACTCTTTGGCAAAGACTTGGTGTATTCCTGCTGAGCAGACCATGTAGGCGAAGCAACAGCTGTGATAGCGCTCAAAAGAGCCGCAGCAAAGAGTGGCTGGAACAACATCTTCTAGATGCGTGTAAGAGAGACAGAAATGAGAACGGATACAGACACATCTTGAAACGCGACCGATTATAGCCTTTATATAAGTGCATATCGTGAAGAAAGCCCCCCTACAAAGATGACGCCTCTAGCGAAGGTTGTCTGTTTCTCCGCAAGTGTCCCGCCCACGGGGTAACTTGGAAAATATGGGGAACATTGAGGGCAGCTAACCGATTGAAGGAACATGTCCTGCACGTCCTAGATGTCCTCAGATCATTTCTGATAGACGGAGAAACAGGAAGATATGCTATTGGCGGGATATAGTCTGTCCGACGCGAGAGTCAATGTGGATGTGGAGATTTCAGGCAGGGAGGGCAAGCACAGGAAGTTCGGCACAGAAGTCACATGGCAGCGTCGTGAGCCCGTAGTGCCGACCAATCGAGCGCACCTGCCTCCAGAATTCTTCAAAATTGTATCCACCATCCAAGATGATACATCATGACATTCCATGGACCAAAAACGATGCGCCTGATAGCAAAAGCAATGATTCCGCTGAGGCTCGAACTCAGGACCGCCTGTGTGTTAGACAGAAGTGATAACCAACTACACCACAGAACCGATTGTTGGGGTAAAGTTTGCGTGTATAATCCATATCCCTTCAAAGCATGCGCCAAGATCGTGGCTTTGTCAAGCTTCGGTGCTTCTTCCAACGCCACATGGAGCCATGCATCACACTCTTTGACGACTACTCATCCTCAATGTGTCACTCAAAGCCACATTAACTCTGCCATGAAACCACAAGCCTTAGACATTAGTTGTGAGTACCTCTCCAAGAACAGAGGTGAGATTGTTTGCATGTCCTGAATCAAGACGTATGCCTTCAATTCTTCTTTGTCTTACAGAGCAGGCATTGTGCTCTTCCAGACTTGTTGGCTTCTCATCCATGTCTCTGACTTATCACTCTTTGTTCTATTAGGCAGTTAACTGTAAGTGCTTCACAACACTCAGTGTAGGTGAAAGTAAAACTTGAGAAAGAAGCCTTCTCTTGGCTGGGTTTGATAACACGGTGTAAACCTATATATCATGCTGGACGTCAACCCATTCCTGACCACACTCCGACACAACAATCCTGCAGTCCAACCTTCCTCCACACATCATGACCGACTACCGCGAACTATTGGAGGCTATCTACGGTAATCTCAGCAAACTTCACGGATTGATCAAAGACAATGAGCAAAACCTTCGTGTTGTTGACAAAGCCGACTCTCTGATGGAAGATGCGAAAAGTGATCTTCTCTATCTCAATGACTGCATCTACAGGTATGTCAATGATGTTTGGCACAGAAGCCAGTATACTGATTGCTTGTCTAGTGACATGACCAGACCTTCTAACACTTCGGCATCTCCTCCTGGTAGTGACGTCGGACACAACCAGCAACAGAACACCAAACAGCCCCCTGTGACTGGCGAGTTGGAAGAGGAGATACTCTAAACTTCTATAGGTTCTACACTACAGGGTGCTGCGAAGGGGATATGGACGACAAGATAGTACAGGGGGTTGCCAGAAAAGCATTTAGTAGCCACGTAGGTGAGGGTGGTTGGCGAATGTACCAACATGAAGAGCAGCGGTGAAAGCATAGAAGATCGACACGTCCAAAACGCGTAACATTGTCCAACACGCGAAGCTTGGTATCAGAAAGAAAGTATCACGTCTCCCTTTCTCTCCTATCTCCCACCATCAACAGTCTCAAGCACCAAGATGACCATCCTCGCGGAACATGAAACGCAAGAGCTCCAGCGCAAGATCGAGCGCTTGAGCAACGCCCTCGCAACCCCTAAACAAGGCCTGGAGTGGGAGCAGCAGTTCCGCATTGACACTGACCTTCAAGGCATCAAGTCACTGCTCTCTCAGAAGCGCTCAAGCCTGTCGTACTCCCACCTCCCCGACTGGCAGCAGAACGAAGTGCTCGCGGCGCTTACGCAAGTCGAGACGTGTGTCCAAAAACTGGAAGAGAACCACGCCAGGCAAGTCAAGAGAGAATGATCAGCATCGACGAGGTCTGACGATGAATAGTTCCTCCTACGTCTTCTCCATCGTCAAGGGATCCGTCGAAAAGGTCTTGAAGTCCACCATGGACGAGATCTGGAAGGGAAGAATCTTCAACGGCCCCTCTGGTGCTGCTCTGCAGGCCGCTGTCGACTGGATCGACAAGAAGGACATTCTCAACGCTGTGTATCAGAGAGCTAGCCTCGAGGCACTCGACTCCGAAGAAGCCATCAAGAAGCACATCGTCGCAGCCTTTGCCGGACTGGTCCAGAGAGAACTCGTCAAGTCGGTTGACAACATGCCCGGATACTAAGTGAAGCGAGCAAGACTCATGCCGCACGTCTAAGATGGATGGAAAGGAGGATCAGACAGGACCGTAGGTTTGAGAGGTCCCGACTGCAATCTTGGATGGCGTTTTAGGAGGAAAGAACAGCCCACATCAACTGGCACGCGCCACGCTCGACTTTGGCAAGAACAAACCAATGCAAATCTGTCCCTGCTGTTTGAACATATGGAATTCTTATCACGCTCCAGTACACATGCGTGTTCAACCAGTAGGATGACTGCCGCTGGTACAGGTCAGTGTGACAACTCACAAGCCAGCGCCGACCCACGACGACTCTTCCAACCTGATCCCAGCATGTGCCAAGTATGCAAAAGCCATATCCTGTGATAGAGCTCAAGCACATGCCGGCATAAATACAAAACTCTGCCACTGCCATCGACTTTCTCACTTCAACTCACAGCATTCCACACATACCAGTCCGGAATCCACTTCATAAGCCATGGTAACATTTGAGCTTTCCCATCGAGTAGCCACTGGCAAGCAACAAGCCAAACAACTGGCCAAAGGTCTCAAAACACTACACCGAACACTAAAAGACACGAACACAGATGCCACCGTCCTTCAAGACCTCAATCTCCATGTAGCAAAAGCTCAAGAGCCATCCTCTGAAGCATTCCTCTTCATCGAGAAGGAAGCAGAAAAGTATGCCTCTCTGTGCCCTTCACACCTCGCCTCTTCATCCAAGCAGAATAGCCGACAGAAGAAATGAACATAGTGCTCGCAAAATCACAACCTTCATCACCACCCACACAATATCAGAAGTGGTAGCACGGCTAGCCAAACAAGCTCACCTCTCTTCCAAAAGCTCTCTCGCCGTTTTGGTCCTCCGCTATTACTTCTCTGGATTCAATGGCGAGATCAACCGCAAGAATCTAGAAACTAGACTCAAGGCAGCAGAAGAAGAAGAAGAAGTGGGCAGTCTTGGCGACTTCCCTTGGACAAGCAGCTTCGAGGATGTGATGGAGAAGTACAGAGGAAGAGTCGAGACACTTGCTGTGGAGATGATTGTTGAAGAGGTCAAAGGGATGGTTGAGAGAGAAGTGAGAGGTTGCCTTGGGAAGGAGAATGATCGATGATTGAACATTTCTTGGAGATGACAGAATTAGTTGGAAAGGAAGCATCATACTCCAAAAGGTCAATTGTGATGGAAAACGCCGAGAAAATTGGTCAGAACCGCATAATGAAGCGGTCCATGGCGAGACATGTCAATGGAAATGAAGCCATGTCAATCGAACGTTCATATCAAGTTGGAACGTACAGAGCTTCCTCTTCGAGTGTCCACCTATGTCCTTTGTTATGACGAAGATAAACCGATAGTATGAGATGAAAGACGAGTTCAAAGATGTGTACCTCCCGTATCTGTATCAACGACCTGTGCTCTCAAGCGGCCGCAAACTTACAAAGGAGTATGCCCTTTTGACAATCACTCTAGCGACTGATGCAGAAGAGAAAAGAGAACAAGGGTTCAAGATAGCAGGGCCGCTGAACCCATGGTTCAGTTTCCTTTCCGAGCCCGACCTCATTTGCACCAGGGCACGCAAAAAGGTAATGGGCCTGTGTCGCATGTTTAGAGGGAGATTTATGGATGAAGAAACGACAGTGAATAAGAAATGTTGATGACACGGATAAAGGAGAGAGTCGACCTTGGATAGAGGAAGGCTACGAATGCCGACTTCGCAAGAGAGATGGCACAAGTCGTGTAGGCAGGTTTTACTTCAAACACATTGATGGTCATGGCAAACACGCAGATCGACTGGATGGCACATTTGAGATGTCCAGTGACTCACAGGCTGTGGTAGGTGGAAAGACAATGGGAGATACGAAACGGAAGACTGAAATCGCGGTTTTTTGGGTAGGGATATATCATTTTCTTTTCGTTGACAAGCACAGTCGAAAGGGGTGGGTATGTTTTTGTTTCTTGCGTGTGAGAGTCTTGGTAATATGCTGCTTTTTTGTTTCGCGCGTCCTTCAATCGGAGTCGGGTGTCGCGCGCGCTCGCAAACCGGACCAGCCAAAGAGTCCCCTTTCGTCGTTGTTTTAAGCAAGTCCTGGGGGGTCCTCCATGATGCCATGGTGTTTTCGTCATGTCCTTCTCCTCAATCAGCACTTGTCGTCGCATGCTTGTGTAGATTCCGAGTTCGCTCACCTCAACGCGCAAAAAGAGTTCCCATTCTTCCTTCCTCAAGCGAGACGCTTATCGGCTGGCGCTCCAGACGTTCTTGAGGTAGCCGTCACGCTGAGCAAGGCGGTTGATGCAGTCGTCGGACTCGCCCATGGCGCGGACGAAGCCGCAGAGAGCGTAGGCCTGGGTCTCGCCGTTGAATCTGCCGTTCTCGTCGACCTTTGCGACAGAGATCTGGACGGAACCGTGGTCCTTGGCCTTGATGATGCGGTTGGTGGCGCTGCACTTGCGGGGGACGTAACTGCAGCGTGCGAAAACATGTCAGCCTTTTTTGCTCTGCTTGTTTTTTCTTTCTGCCTGCGTCTCTGCGTCGGTGTGCGTGTTTCGTGGGTTCTCTTTCTGTCGCTCGAGGGCGCGCTTTAAGGGGTCCGTGACGGCAGGACGGGGATCAAGGAATCATAGGGGGATCGTACAGGTCGACGAGTTCTCCGCGTTCGTTCTCCATGGTGACGGTGTTGTGAGGTTGGTGGTTGGCGAAAAGAAAATGGGACTGAGAGACGACGACGTTCGGCGGTGCGAGCGGGAGAGGATTTCGACAAGCCCCCAGCCCATTTTGACGCCAAGCCTGACTTTTCGCGGGCTTTGTGGTCTGTGCGTTCGCTCTGGATCATTGTTTTTCCGGCTTCGAACTGACTGCTCAGCCCATCACTTTACCATCATCTAGTGAAGCATTCATTCATCTTCTAGATTGTTTAGCTTATAGTCCGTATGTTTCACTTGGATGTAGCTGAAAACAGACATGACCAAGGTTGGTCGCACCAGAAAAACTGCTGTCGATTGAACGACCAAAACCATCGCTCTATGCATCTCGAAACCCCAAGGTATTACTTCGATATCAAGAATAAAGAAACACAAAAGAAGCAAACCAGAATGCAAGCAGTATTAACAAGAACTCCCAAAATTCGTAACGTCCTCTCCATGCTTTTGTTTACAGCATCATGGCAGCAGCAAAGAAGGCCACAAGCGCAACAAGGCTGCCTGCGACCACTCTGCTCCCGTCGTTGGTGCCGCTACCGGTCTCCAAGCCCTGTGAGAACGAGCTAGAGCCTCCTGAGTAGGAGCCAGAATCCGCGGAGCCTGATGAGCCCGAAGAGCCCGACGAACCACTGTTGCCAGAAGACGAGGAGCCACTACCAACATCACTGCCAGATTCGCGCGAACCACCGCCTGAAACACCAGGGATGGTCTCGGGCTGAGCGGTGGCAGAAGATGAAGATGATGACTGGCTGCCGCTTTTAGTAGCAGTAGATGATTTACTCGAGCTGGCACCCTTGTTGGGATCCTCACCAGTGGCGAGGAAAGAGGACAAGATGGTATTGTTGTTGCCAACAACGACTGTGTCGTTGGTGCCGTACTTGTTCTCGTACCAGTAAGCCTTGTTGCCCTGGTTGTTGTAACCAGAGGGAGGGTTGTAGCAGTCAACAGTCTGTCGAAATTGATCAGTATTGCGCAAACAGTTGGTCAGTATAAATTCAAACTTACGACATCCTTGACCATGGCATAGTAATAACCGTTCTGCATGTACGGGCTGTTCCAATCAATCTCACCACCAGCCCACTCAATAGTACCCTGAGCGTTACCAGCCTTACCAGCAGGCCACAAACTGAATTGGACTCTGGAAGGGGTCTGGGGGTAGTGGTACTGGCCGGCGGTCTCGTTGTAAGTCTCGTTACGATACAGAGTGCGGAGAACCTGGCCGTCAACCTCCCAGCTGAGCGAGTCGGGCTGCCAGTCGATTGTGTAAGTGTGCCATGTTGAGTCAGTGTTGGGCGCAGAAAGGTTCTTCTCGTTGCCGTCTGAGGAATGTGTTAGCCAATGTATAAAGATGCGTAGGGAGTCGGCGCAACTCACAATCAGTAATTCCTTGGAAGTAGTAGTTGCTCTGAGCAGTCTCAATATCGGTACCAATGAACTCGAAATCGATCTCATCCTTGACGTCACTCATCATGATGAAAGCAGTGACAACGCCGGCACCACGGCTGGTCTTCATGGTGGCACTCATCTTGCCGTACCAGACGTAGCGTGTGCTACTCAAAAGAGTGCCTGATGTATCGGCAGCCATGGTGAGCAAGACAGCCTCGTTGTTGTACATCAACGGGTCTCCAGAGAAGACCCAGTTTCCGCTAGTCGGGTCTCCCAGGTATTCTGTGTTCTCGATGAAGCCGTTCATGTTGTCGAAATCATAGTCGGACGACTTGCAGACAGGTGCAGGCATGCACGAGTCCATGCTGAAAGAGTCCTTGGGGTAACATCCTCCCAAACAGTATGCGCCAACACCGCAGAATCCGTATGACGAGCAGCACGGAGCGCTGGAAGGGCAAGGGTTGTTTGAGTCGCAAGTGATCATGGCCTGAACGGCCGAGGCCGCTGCCACGGTCAGGGCAGCCACAGCGTGTATCGTCTTCATGTTTTGTATGTTTCCTCGTCGCGAGTGTGCGTCACGTATATCGGATTACACGGTAGCGCGAGTGGTGCTGTCGAGGCGTATCCTGAGGCAGCGTCGTGGTCTCGAGGCCGAAGGGAAGGGAGGCGTCGTAATCACGCGGCCGCTAAAAGTCGTTGATTCGTGTAGAGACGGGCGTGTGGCGACACCAAGCGAATGATGCTGTCGAACGATGTGTTGATATCGAGTGGTCGAAAAGGTGTTAAGAATAGTCAAATGAATGAAGACGTAGAGAAGAAGAAAACGCAAGATCGAAGACGAATTGCCTTGTTGCTGGCGTCAGAGACAAAAATAGGCAAGTCAGAGTTCAGGGCCAATGCGATGCGGATGGCGGATATGCGCCTGCCCGCACACCTGCAGGGCGGCCCACTGGGACTGGGCCAAGCAAAGGGGCGACCACCCGACCATCAGAGACGGCGTGTTTGGACGTCGATCATGTTTGCGATCCCGCTCGTATCAAACCGCCTCTTCCACTCCATGTTCGCTCTCCGACTCAAGCCAACGTCGTCACAAGGTCACACTCCTTGCACAAATCTCTCCAAAATAGAGAACCGGGTGCATCCAATCATGTCCGCAGAACAACTCCTTGTGAGCCGATGCGCTCTTCTCGCAGATCCTCGAGATCCTCCCCACATTCTTGCGGCACATCATCTCCGCGAGGCTTTACAACCGTCACTAATCCGCATGACAACCGAATCATGCTGAAAGTATTCGGCGACTACCTGGTTGTAGAAGATGGTCCATTCATGAAGTTGTACAACTAAATTAATTCACGGGAACAAGAGACTTAACAAAATCATGAACGTATTACGGTTGAGAAACTATCTCGAAGAACAATGACTTGACGGCCAGAAAGTAATCGAAACCCAACTTGCCCACGCTTGTTAACAGCAGCAATGTAACCTGCATCCGTCGAGAGCATCCTTGTGATTCAGCTGCCTCCTACTTTTTGATGCCATTAATACCAACTCCAGAGAACAATGAACATAGGAGAACACGAGCGACATCCTTCGCCCATTCGCAACCATGCAGCATCTGTAGCCACCGCCTCAAACGTGTCCAGGCAAGCAGCTGTGACACCATGCGTTAGGAAAGTATGGCAAATGTTCGATCGCCTGGATGACTTCAAAGTTACCGCAGGGAACAGAAGGGTAGTTTGCGTTCCTGGCCCACTCTCTGACACGGCTGTTGGGCGAGACTTCGTTCCTCTCAGACGAGTCACGTCCGCCATGCTTCTGACCTGTCTTGGTAGGCTTTCCATAGAAGTCGTTGTCGTACTCGTTGAAGTTGACTGGTGCGTTGGGGTTTCTCTCGGCGATTGGTCCATCACCCTTGAACGAGATCTCCAGACCATCACCTCCGCGCCAACCGTAGCGCCATCCAGGGGCCGCAGACTTGACATCCCAGCCTTTGCGTTGGTGACCGTCATGTTGAAGCTTGGGCATAATCGGAAGGGGTGCCCTTCCAAACCTCACCCCTCCTTGGCCAGGCTGCATCCAGTCCCACTGCGGTCTGTACAACTCCATGCCTGGCTCGGCGAACGGTCCCAGAGAGGACAAAGAGGGGCTAGTGGTGAAGTTGGAGAACATGGTCGAGGACATATCCGGAGATGAAGCAGAGCTAGAGCCACGCTCTTTTCTCTCTTTGAATATGGCCTGCTTGGTGGTATAAGGAAGGTCTTTCCAATCTCCATCCGGTAACCAGCTCGAGTGATCATCAAAGGCCAAGGGGCACAGAGTTGAGAACTGTTGAGTGGATTTCTCAGGGACTGCTGTAGGAAGCATGGGTGGACATATGGGAGGAAGTGTGGAGGTAAGCTGTGGCGCGAACGCAAGTACGGGTGCGAGGGCGATAGTAGCAGGTGTGGGTGGTAGAGAAAGACTCAAGGTTGCCTCAGGTGCACTCAAGGGTCCAAACCCATCTTCCGAAGTAGGTGTAGGGACGAAATGAGCAGCAGTAGCGCGCAGGCTGAATCTAGCAGGGCCGGACGAAGACCTTTCCTGGCCCTTGCGAGTGTGAGCCTTGACCGGACCACACTTGAGCACGGCAGGGTCTTTCTCCGGAGAGGAACCGCAGGTGATGTGTTGAGCACGGCAAGCCTCTTGGAACTCCAGCATTTTCTTCGCTTGCTGTGCTTCGTCCACGTTCGAGGATGGCGCAAGATGTGCTCTGATCTGACCATCGCTTTGTCGGACGGCATGAGCTTTGGCAGTCCTCTTGATAGTATCAAGCAACAGTGTGGAGGCGGGCTCAGGAGCGGATGTCAGCGAAGAAGAAACGGTATCTGAAGGATGGTGCATCTTTGCCTGAGTATCTGTCACGGTGATGCTCATTCCGGAGCCGTTGATCATGTCAGGCTCTTCTGTGAATTTACCTTCGACGTAAACTGTCTTTTTTGACTGCTTGGGACCAGAATCTCTGCGTTGTTGTTCGGTCGAAGAAGTACTCGATTGTCCGTGGCTGGTAGTAGAAGTGCTAGACAGGCGTCTCCTAATAGGTTCGAGTATAGATGCTCTGTCGACAGGCTTGGGGGTAGTTCCATCAGCTTCAGCAAGTCTGAGGGCCTGTGCAGCTACACGATTAGAAGCCACAGGCTCGTAATCTGCAGCTGGAGTGCTGGAAGGAACTGCAATTGGAATTCGAGAAGGGCTGCCTGGGCGAGGCAAGCTATCCGAAGGGTCTGGTATGTTGATCCTCAGATCAAGCTTTGCCTTCTTTGAAGGTCGTACAGAATTGCCCGAGAGAGTCTTCAACATGCCGGTGTGAACAGACTCGCACGTTCCGTCCAGACCGAATGGGACCGAAGTGGCTGGAGATCTATCATATGTTGGAGAGACCTTACGTCGAGCGGTGTCAAAGGCGGTAGACCCAACAGGCCGAGATGGTGATTGCTGATCGGAAGAAAGCATGGCTGCACTGTGTATCGTGTCGGCACGGACAGATCTTGACTTGCAAGGAGAAGGGGGCCTGGCAGATTCAAATGTTCCAGCAGTGCGAATAGCAGAGGCCTTTGTGGGCGAGGCGTAGCCTGGCGTCTTTGATGCTGTCGCCTTGGTCAAAGTGGGCTTGCTCGGTTTGGACTTGAGCGAGTTGGCTTGGGCTTGAGGAAGCTGGGTATGAGGGCCTTTGATGCGAGCGGCACGTTGCAGGGGCTTGTTGGGGCTAGACGGGAGTACGATTGAGGCGTCTTCAGGCGGGACCCGTGTGGTCTGGGCATCCTCATCCATCTGCAACCATGCCTGTGGGAGTTTCTTGCGTGTGCGTCGCTCAATGACAGTAGCATGCTGTTTCTGGGAACGAGCGGCACGTCCCGAGCGGTCAACGACACACCATTCGCCATCTTCATCCTTAACAGAAGAAACACAAGATTCAGCTCGAGGCTCGACAATTTCTTGAAGCTCATCCTCTTGGACGACGACATGTGGCGGTAGTCGAGGGAGAGAGTCCTTAACCACCTTTGCGTAAGACTGGATCCGGACATCGGTACGAGGAGCAATTGCATGAGATAGCGCAGGGAAGTTGTCCAGATGTATAGCCTCAGGGGCCGATGGACCAATCGAGGCTGCCTGGTCAGAAGATTGGCCATTGTGCTCGTGAAGCTGTTGAAGTCTGACGGCTGCCGAAGAGCTAGGGTCTGCGAGCTCGCGGACTCTGTTGAGGACTTGCAGCAATTGAGTTTCGATGGCTTTGTAGTATGCAGGAGGTTTCCCGCCGCTGATGATATCATTGTAATGGCGTTCAGCTTCCTGGGCAGATTCTTGTGCGTAGCCGCTGTTGAAGTTCAGTAAGTATGCTTCGCAGAAATTGACGTGGCACTGATGAGGGCACTAACCTGGTCTCTTCAGTATCAGGAGCCATGGTGCTGGAACATGTCAGTGCTAGAACCTTGGACGCGCAGGCGTATGGCGTGACTAACCTCACAATGATGTGTATGATGGTGCTTAATGAATAGATGGAATGATCAACTTCTCTTGTCAAAACAATGGATGGTCCAGAGATACAGAGGTTGGATTCGACCGCGCGCAAAGACGCAGTTGTTGTGTCGAGGGGAGGCGCTTGGACAATCGCGCCTTCTGTGTTCTGTCGTGTCTGGTGTTTGTCAACGCGAGCTAGAGAGACGACGTCTTCGCAAAACTTGACAAGAATGAATTCTTGATGCTGGCAATAACCATAATAATCGTATCGATATTGGCACATGGTCCCAGAGCCTCGGCTAACAATGGCTGTGAAGTCGAGGGTGATGAGTGTGTTTATCGATTAGCTTGTAGGGTGGGTAACTATGCAAGACAAACAGGCAAGCACAAACGCATCGCCAGATTTCTTGATTGTGGCCGAACACCGAGAAAATCATCGATGCTCACTGTCGCCGCAGCGATCAATCGTGACGATGCACACAAATCTGATCCCCACCGTCGACTCCAACGAGGACAAGTGACACTCTGGATCTCAATCGACGCCGCTGTAAGCCGTAATACAAGTATCGGACACCTCGTCGCCATACACCATCTTGATCGCAGAGCATACTACCACATTCGTTTCCTGCAGAGGTACATTGATTACTTAGCTTAGAATCGCCTTTTCTTCTTCACAGGCGCTTTCGATTTTTCATTCCGTTTCAGCTCTTGCCTCTTCCTGTCGGCTCTCTCTGCTGACGTTTCTCTCGGCGTAGGTTCCCTTTCCTCACTGGCCCTGCGCTTGGCCGCTCGAGTCTGTCGGCCTTCAGTCGCATCCTCGCGATCTTCACGGGCCGTAGGTGCAAGTCCCGAAGCAAGATTAATATTGTCCGGCTGGTCTTCTTCCAAGACAGGAGGAGCTTGCGACGACCATCTGTTCAGCGATGGCTGGGAGTACTGCATCTGAGAACTGCCACGTCCAATTCCACCCAGCCTACGTCTACGTGAGGGAGACGCTTGACTCTGAGGGGGCAGCATCGAAGATGGAGTTGGTGATAGCGTGGTTCTCGATCGCAAACCATGACCAAGTTCAATATCCGGGGGCGGCTTGGGTGGTGAGGATGGTGGTAAAGCCTGAGAGCTAGATCTGCCCCCAATCGCTCCTATGCGTCTTGTCTGCGTACTCGAGCGTTTGCTCGGACTGTCAGGTGCAGGTGTTTCCGTCTGGCCGAGTTGGAAGTTGCGAAGAATAGGAGGAGGAGATGATGTAACTCTGCCATCGTCGGTGCTATCGTCGTTAGCAGAAACGTGCCTCTGCACGCGTCGGGTTGAGCGGACCGGTGAGGATATATTAGCGGGCATTTGTCGTTGCAATTGCTCTGGTATCGTCTGAGTCTACTCATCGTCAGTCAACGCTCTCAATAATCTAGATGTTCTTACTTGAAAGTCCAGGTCATCATCTGTTTCGTCATCTTCCAAGACCGAGGGCATTGGCACGCTGACTTCTACGTCGCCCTGCTGCTTCGGCATATCCTGCCACCAGGTGTGGGACGTGTTAGTCAGACTAGGCGCCATTTCACCAGGAACATCGCGAAGCACGGCAAAGAGCGCCTCGGTAGAGGGCGAGACTCCATTCTGCTGCAACTCGGATCCCGGCTCGAAAGGGGCGAGACCCGGGACACGACCAGCCACATGATTTCGTTTCAACGACCTCTGAGAGTTTCTGCCAGCCGAAACTCCTGGAAAGACAGAGCCCAAATCAGTGTTGGTAGCTTCCATCTTATCGAGCAATCTCGACATGGCATGATCCTTGTCTTTGAGTTGACTGAGTAGAAAACCGAGTTGCTGCTGCTGTTGATGAGCAAGAAGCAGAAGAGGTGATATGACTCCGGAGACGACCTCGAGCGAAGTGGCTTTGGCAAGCGCCATGGTCCATTCGAAGGTAAGCAAGGGCGGGGGCAATGGAGCTCTCAAAGTAAGTTTGAGATGGTCAGGAGGGTGTAGGGCAAGGTGAACAGTGGTGCCGGGCTTATGACGAAGAATATCGCGAATCTGCTCGAGTAGTATGCGCAACTGACCAACATCATCGCCAGGGTTGATGCTGCAACTTTGTTCTTCAGCGTTGCGTATGACATGAAGATTGGCTAGAGTCTCAATCCATATGTTTGCAAGGTCGGTGATAGATACAGTGTAGCCATGGTCGTCGATAACATACTTGACGAGAAGCTTGGGCAGACCCTCAAGGTTGAGATTGAGGAGCTCCCAGCGGCCTTCAGTGCCCATGTTGAAGTCACTGGATCATTTCACGAGGAACAGCAGCATGTGAGATATTCTGTTTGGGGACGGTGTGAGAATGGGTGTGGTTGGAAAAGAGAAGGGGTTGGTACAAACAGCTCTTGGCGCGCGTCAGAGTGGGAGCCGCGTTCGAGATGCGACAAGAATAGATCGAGACTTGTTTGCTCTCGAATAATTATTGATCCAGTTTCGAGGCAGCCGCAACGAGTTGACCAACGAGAAGTGTCGCGCAGAAGAACCCAGCGGGAATGGACCAGCGACGTGGCGGCCAACCCAGGTCCAGCATTCCAGCCAAACGATCAGCCGCCGATGCCCAAGAGGAAGCATGGGTTGCCAACGAGGACCGCTTTGTGCTCAAGCAGGCCAAGAAGAAGGCCATTATTCGAGCACGCGCTGGTAGAGCCGACCCCATCGATCTGCTTGCCGTCACACTACGAGCTCTGGATGCCACGCGCGACGGCTACGACAGCGACGACGACGATGGAGAACTCCCCGCCGTCGACCCCGAGGGCGTCTTCGAAGGCCTTGACGACATGCAACTCGACGAACTGGACAGAGGAATCGACACCTACCTGACTCTGGAGCACAGCAGAAGTAATCGCGACTTTTGGACCGTACGTTTCTGCTGTTCTCTTTCACTCTACCTGCACACCAGCTGACTCTATCCACCAGACAATGAAGGTCATTTGCAAAGACAGACGACGTGCTGCGCCTAGCAAGCTACAAACTGCACGAGGAATGTCATCCGTAACCCCTGAAATCGATCGTCTACTAGGACCCAAGACACACGCACAGCTCGAGGCCCTGGAGAAGCAGGTCAAAGCAAAGCTGAGATCCAACGACGACATTGATGTCGATTACTGGGAGAACCTCCTCAAGAGCCTGTCCATTTACAAAGCCAAGGCCAGGCTACGCCAGGTCTCCAAATCTGTATTGGGTGCCCGTTTGGAGACATTGCGACAACAACAAGAGCAAGAGGCTATGCTTCTTCGCAACAAAGTCAGGGAGAGTCTGAACTCATCCGTGCTCGCTGCTTCAGAAGACCAGGCGCCAACCACAGTAACACCCGCTGTTTTGGATCCAGAACCCTTGCTACGCCTGAATCCGGAAGACAAGACGTTGATCTCGTTGGAAGAAGACGACTTCAAGCAGAGATTGGTACGCGGGACCTCTATGAGTATACAAAGCGTTATGCTGACCCACCGATAGATTCAGGACCGGCGCAGAGTACTCAAGCTCGGCTATATTCCAGCTCGTCATGGCAGCAAGACCTCCACCACCGAACTCACCTTGTCTTCCGAACCTAAGCGGGACGACACGTCTAGAGTCACCAGTGCATTGTATGATCGTGAGGCTGCCAGAGGCTTCAACGACAACGAAGAAGCGTTCAATGCCGAGGAGGACGTCTCGACAGGTAGACCCAAATGGGCAGAGACATACCGCCCAAGAAAACCACGCTACTTCAACAGAGTCCAGATGGGTTACGAGTGGAACAAGTACAACCAGACTCACTACGATCACGAAAATCTCCCTCCCAAGGTCGTTCAGGGCTACAAGTTCAACATTTTCTATCCCGATCTTGTTGACACAACCAAAGCACCTACTTTCCGTATCGAGCGCGAAAACGGTCGCAAGCGAGGTGAATCGTTTGCTCCTGCAGGAGCTGAGGACACTTGCCTCATCCGCTTTGTTGCTGGACCCCCGTATGAGGACATTGCTTTCCGTATCGTCGACAAAGAGTGGGACTACAGTGCAAAGCGCGAGCGTGGCTTTAGAAGCAGTTTTGACAAGGTACGTCACAATTTTCTTGGTTCTTCGCTGTCAGCCTGCGGGGTGGTCAATGCACATGATCAAGGAAGGGGCTTCTGTCACGTTTGTTTGACTTTGGCGGCTATCTTCTAGCAACAGGTCGTGCCTTGCCGATGGCAGACACAGCGCACTGCATCCTAGGGGTACAGATCAACGGATACCAGAGAGCACACTGCTTTCCCGCACATGCATGCTACTGCAACATCTCCAGCTTCATTTCCTGCAGATCACAATGCATCATTCTGAGCTGTCCTAACATATCAGCGCAGGGAATTCTCCAGCTGCATTTTCAGTTCAAGAAAATCTATTACAGGAAATGAGCGCGTGGCCGACAATGTTGCGCGACGACTTTTCGACCAACCAACACCATCAACCCAGCACCCGTTGCTATGGATGAACATGACAGGCTTCTACGGCTATACGTTTCGTTGCATGCCAATTCCAAATCATGCAAGTTCAGAAGCACTTGTTGGTCCGAAGCATGTGTATTATCAGTGTTTTTACTGCAGGGCTCGGCTTCGTGCATGTTTGTGCCCGAGATTTCAGCATGCTTTTGCTGTAGATCCAATGCCGCCTCGACAACGTCCGTTCAGTGTTCATGAAGCCAATTATCGACAGAAACTGCACTTGGCACTCTTGTGCCATATCGAGGTGATAAGCCTCTCCGAAAATATTATCTGGTAGTGTAGAATTTGCTTCTTACTCAAATCATCATCTGACATGAAACAGATCTCTAAAGTTCTCGCTTGAAGATGACATTTCTTGTAAGCTTGACAGGCAAGTAGATGTGGGCGTGTACAACATCATGCAACAACACTTCTCAAGCAGATGCGCTCTTGGCCTAGGAACACGCTGCTATGCTGTAGAATTCGGTTAAACTTCGTGCTCACGAACAGTGCGTACGTGCTTGCAGCCGCCCACCTGCATTTCAATCGTCACACGGCGCGACGGATATGCCTTCCGGAAGATTCGGACGTTACCCTCTCCACGTCTTGGTGGTTGAGCTTCGCCAGGGCCACCAGGTGTGCCATGGGGCTGCGCACTCACGGGACACTTCAGCTCCATAGTGTCCAAGCCTTCTTTGTGCCCCTGCTGAGATATATCCGCTGTTCATTGTGGGACTCCGACATGGAGGCTCTAATGCTTTTTGTCATGCAACTGACCACTCTCTGGTGGTGCCTTCAGGCCAGCTTAGAACAGCGTATTGGAATTAGACATACATTGTGCTAAACGCTCGACCGGAGCTTTCTTTGATTTTCAGTCTAATCACTGAATGCAGAAACGTGAACCATTCCTGACTGGTCACATTGAGTTTCCAAAGTCTTTGTCACGTTGCATAAAAAGGTGGTTCCAGTCCTTTCCTATACGTGTCTTCGATTCTTTTATATTCACTCCACGTCCTCAATAGCATCGACGCTCTTGAGTTGACCCGCTCTCGTTGCGACATTGTCGCACCTTTCACTCCACAATTGCAGTATCAATCTATATTCAACATAATTACGCTATGTCCTACGGAATGAACTACAACTCTCAATTGGACTGGTGGAACCAACCTGTGGACAACCCCCATCGGTCATCCATCACTCAGCACTGCCGCTCCGACAGCATCAATGCTTCGGGATACCCTCTGCAGCAGCAGGTCTCAGAGTGTGGTCCTTCATTCTTCACGCCTGCTCACGTCAACGATGCCTATCCGAACACTCAGTTCATACCTAACTACTGGATCGGTGATATGCCTCAGTTCACAGAGACCTCTATACCCTTTGCTCTGACACCAAATCACACCATACCTGGAGCCTACACGAGCCAATGTATACCACTCCCGTCACTGCCTCCAGCTGCTTTCAGCAAGGAACCCCTTCTTATCGATCAATACTCGAACAATGGCTCGGCGACTCTCGACAACACCAGTCGACACTCGTTCTTTCATGATCAGATCCTTCCCTTGTCAGATGTGCCGGCTTTGGAGTACGATAGTACTCCAGACGTGAATGCATATGAGCGTAGACAACGGACAGATTCTCCTATGCCAGACGAAGTTGACGGTTTGGCCGGGTCTGGCGAGACTGACGATAGTCTGGAGAACTCGAATCCCTGTTATGCAGAACTGCTCAGACAGGCCTTGATGGCGAAGAAAGATGACCACACCATGCTTCTCAAGGATCTCTATGAATGGGTACGCACTCACAGCTCGAAGGCTCAGGAATCTGGCAACAAGGGTTGGCAGAACAGTGTGCGCCACAATCTATCCATGAACGCGGTAGGCATTTCTGATAGATCCTTCGTTGCACTCTTGCTGATAGAATGCAGGCATTCGAACGAGTCCCTGCACCCAACCAAGAAGCAGGCACGAAGAAGACGAGCTATTGGCGACTAACCAAGCATGCTGTCGAGAACGGCATTAGTTCGACTACTCGCTATCGCAAAGACAGCAAGCGCAAGACGCAACGCAATCCCAATCCCGCACCAATCCGAGTCCAAGCGGGTGCGAAAGGTGGACAGGCCACTCGCAGATCGGTCCGCCGCCAGCGCAGGGCTGCCTCTGCACTCATCGATCAGACATCCTCCCCTGACGCGGCACATCAGCACAACTTTCGCCGACGACATCAGCTTCGCCAGTATCCCATCTCTCAAGTCGATGTGCCCCCGTTGCAGCAAAGACTCCCTCAGACTTCTCCAACCAACACGTCCTCATACATTGATCATGTGCACGAGATGTTCAGCATGGTCAATCCTTATCCGACAGATGGCAAGATTGATGACAACCACGATCTTCTTGGGCCATATCCCAGCTCTCAGCCCTATCTTGACTGGTCTACATCGGCTTCACCTATGAGTCATCCAGCCAGTGAGACTAGTGGTTGGCAGATGGATCAAAAGGTTCTTGGTGTCTGATCGTCTCTCAGGACAGTGATGTGCAGTCAAGCTCCCAAACACGACATATGCACGAAAATCTGATGCGATATAGACTTTGTATATGGCGGCATACGGTTTCTTATCCGATTTGGTAGTCTTTGAACCACGGAACGGACTGGGAGCTTAGCATGTTCTATGTAGATTGGAGTGCGTCTAGGGCTCACTCGTATCAATGATTTGGGGTTATATCCGGCCTTTGAGGTGTCTGCGCGTCTGCGCGTGTACAGGTCGAATCTACAAATGGGCTACCGTACCTTGCTTCAACGTCGCGTTAGTGTCGATGGTCCTGAATGCTTCAAGGAACCACGTTGTGAATCGTGACTCGTCAAGATTTATTGAAAAAAGGCCATGCAATCGAGCAAATCCTTGCGACTGAGTACAAGGCAGAAAAACACAGACGTGGCACTGTCGGCCATGTCTGAAACGGAAACCAGATGTCGCGATTAACGGCCACAGCGCCGTTGTGCAAGGTAGCTGTCATGGAGTGCAGTGACATATGCGGGAAGGCTTTGCAAGTCAAAAGGGTCGTACCAAGCTCGCACTGCATGTTTCTAACAGTAGTGCCTTTTCCATCATCCAGCCGGGGCATTTCTCATCAGATACCACGTACGATTGCCGGGCGACAGCTGTACAATGCCTGACATCGAAGGGGGGGCTGGTTCATTGTGTGACGCGTGCCCCCCAGCATCTGCTACCTTGTCTCATTTGTCTATCTCGTCTTCTGTTGCCAGAGATTTGGTCTTTTCGTGATGTCTAAGAGTATTTCGGTAGTCCAAAGCACCATGAACTCTTTGACATGTGTATATCACAGAGAGAGACCAAGACACGCTCCGACAGCTCCGGTGTCGGCTGTCTCTTGCACGAGGCTGCACTTTCCTCCAAGGTAGGGGGTGGTAGTCTGTTGTTCCTGCACCACAATCTTTGCATCTCCCCACTTTCCAGCGGCTCTCCTGACTGCACTTCTGTCGTGAGATCGCCTGCTGCGACACCGTTGAAAAAACCTGGTCATCAACAATATCGAAATCTCATTACAACCTGGGCAGCGGGCCAAATGTATCTCGATACTCATGCAAGATATATTTCGCAGCCGTCACCAAGTGTTTACACTACTTGCATAGCGTACCGATGGACATAACACGCAGATACCGATGATTAGCTCGCGTCCTTTGCATGCGGCGAGCTGTCTCCAAAAGCATACCTCGGATCGTCATCCTACTGGTTGCCTCAGGACTCCGGCTTCTTTCGTCCCTCTGCGGCCGAATATCTTTTGTTACACAAGACTGTCAAAGCAGACGTGCAGATTGCATTGCCGCCGCTGACGTTCTCGGCAAATCATGTCAGCAAGACCAATATTTCGCAGGATTCGAGAAGCAAACTCTACATCAACGACACTGTACCCATCTCTACTATCAAACAATGAGGGGAGCTCGAAAACAGCTGGATTTTGTCCACAATCGCTCGGTCTCATGAAACGACATCTACCTCCAGCCGCGGCTATTGCAATATACACGCGCAACGCGCTTACATTCTCTTCCGCCGATGCGACTATCGCGTCTATCCAGCCATTGGCACTTCCTCGTCACAAATTTGCTATCATGGATACCTCACCGCTAAGGCGACATCGAAACGGTCCGAATGTTTCCGTACCTCGTATGATGAGAGACTCCGCTATGGGATACCTACAGATGCCACAGTCAACACATATGCACAACATGAGCGTCACTCGCAGATGCTCAACAGTTCAAAGTCGTATCCTGGTTTCGCTGGAGCTGCCGATGCTACCACCCGAAGGTGGACCGTCTAGCCATGGACCACCAATGTTGACACGCGCACTGTCATCAGTACAATGTACACTTTCTACACGATCGATGCGAGCAGCGCTACATGGCTAAGGATACTATTGATCCAAGGATAAGAATCTCGTGTATACCGTCTCGAGTAGGTACTGGCATTGCTGTGGCCCTCTAAAGCCACCAGACAACATACACGACAGACCATGTCACTCTACATACAACAGAAGCATTGCCAACCTCAACATGGGTTGCTGAGACCCAATCGCAGGGCCAGAATACAGAACTGCCGAACTTTCTTCGCAGTCCCAACAACATCTGACGGCATCGGACATGCCGACGCGTATCATGTATGTAATCGCATTCGCTGATGCAACACAAGCCCACTATATGACCTTCGTAAGTAGAAGAGCAGTCATCTTTTGGATCCACATACTACTTTGGAGACGGCACGCTTCGAGTCCCTATGCATGCAGATCAAGCGTCTTCCAAGCAAGGATTTCTATGTGTCAAGTAAATTCCTCGAGCCAAGAGGAGCCAGGCTGGCATCGAAGCTGACCACATAACATGCGCGTAAACCTCTTCCTTGCATGTTTTGTTCAAGAGCGGGGTTCGAGTTGTTTATACAGGAAAAATTGCTGGGCACAATCACTGACCAGCTGAGCCTCGAGCCCGTTGTCGACGGACATAACCAAGTACGACACCCTTTGCATCGTTCTGGACCACTACACGTTTGAGCGGGTACGAGTATAACCATACTGCGCTCTTCTGGTTCAATACCGCTTCGACAGACTGTTCAGGTGTGATTTTCTGCGCTGCACGAATTCAGTCTGGTAACGCCTTGTTTTGGCTTTCACAGGTATAGTTGTGAGCGAGAGCGATTCTTCGCCATGTATGGCTGTACAGTCCTCATTTCAAGGTCTTGTGGTAAAGACTTTACGTCTGGTTCAGTCGTAACTGGGTAGTCTCATCTTTGTCTCTTGCTCTAGGCCCAGTTGAGATTTTGCTCTGTACTTGGGAACCAGTAGAGACTTTTAACTTCCTGGTGGTATAACTTCCTTGTGGAAGAGAATCATCCATTCTTCTCGGGTCTGCCAGTGCATGATCATCTAGGGCAGGGTCATGCTTTCCACAAGCACGTTTTTCTATCGTCAATAGCCTTGCGCATTGCTCAGAGCTCGGGACAAGATCAACTCTGACCGGATGCCACTTTGGTACGTTCGATAGACTGTGTCGAGTCCACTGTCTCGCGATTGCGTACCAGAGATTTGCAGATGCAGCCCTTTTTATGTTCCCAAATCTTCTGAAAATCGGCCAGGATTTCAGCGTCTGCGGTCTCTGCTTCTGCTCCTGCTGCGCGAGCCGTAGCTGCTATAGCTTGGGCTTCTACGTCTGCCGTTGCCTCTACCGCCTCCACCTCCTCCTCTTGGACTTCCACCTCTTCTCCTGGGCGGAGGGCTGCGAGTCGGACTTCTACTGCGGCTCCTGCTGGCACTCCTGCGACTCGGACTTCTACTCCTCGGGCTGTAGCTCCTGTTTCTGGGCGCAGCGTCCCTCGCAGGGCCAGGGCGATAGTTGTCTCCGTCGTCAGCACCTCCCCTCCTTCTTCCGCCTCTGCCACCGCCACCTCTTCCTCCAGCAGCTGCAGTAGCCATATCTCTGTATCTGTGTGGTTCTCCGAAGCGATTTGGTGGGGGACGTCTAGCGGGTGGAGATCTGCTAAATCTGCGACGAGGCAATACAATGCTCACGCCAATCTTTGCGCCGTCCAGTTGCCCTTCGTGCATGTGCGCTATGGCTCGCTCGGCGGCTTCGGGGTTTGCGTAAAGGACGTAAGCGGTCCCGCGGTTTGTGTTGAAGGATTTGTTCAGAGGCATGTCCAGGTCTGCGATTACGCCGTAGGTGCTGAAGATTTCGCTGAGGTGTGCGGGAGTGACATTCTTGGTCAACTTCTCAATGACAATCTAGGAAGGATTGTGTTAGCTACTTTTGCGCAGGCAGGGCAAAGGCAAGGCATTGTCTCACCTTTGAGCTTCGGGGCATTGGAGGAGTAGGACTGCGATCGCGGCCTCTTGAAGTACTGCGTGCGCGATAGGAATGACTGCGGCTGGGCGAGCGGGCGGGGCTGCGTGTGCGTGTGTGAGATGGGCTGCGGCGTTGTGGACTGGGTGACGGTCGGGGAGAGATTGAGCGGCGGGGTGTGCGCGAAGGTGAGCGCGAAGCTCTGGAGTAGGGACTGCGGGAGGCAGCATCGCGGCTCGGTGTTGGCGATGGCGAAGGCATTGTGTCGTGGTTATGAATTGGTGTGTCAGAGGAGAAGGAAGATGTTTCTTCGTTCTACGAGTAGGCGGGCTCTGACGAAATGTGAAATGTCCGAGCTTCCTTGATGCTTGACTCGCGCATGACGGCTTGGCGGTGACAACCAAAACCACTCGGGTGCCCGTTGGCTGCGCATCTCTCATTCAACCGCGACAACAATGATATTCGACAACCTATGGCTCTCTGTAGCACTACTACCAGCCGTCCTGGCAGCCCAGCCTTCGGCTCCTGAGCCAGTAGAAGCTCCCTTACGAAAGCTTCCTTGGGGTCAATTGAACTTCTTGGCGACAACAGATACACATGGCTGGCATGGCGGCCACCTGCAGGAGTGAGTTTGTGTTGAAACTCTGCTTGACCATTTGGTCTGACCCGCTGAAACAGGCCTCAATACTCTGCTGATTGGGGCGATTACATCTCTTTTGCTCATCACCTTCGCCAGAAAGCCCATGACGACGGCAGTGACCTTCTCCTCGTAGATACCGGCGACCGAGTAGAGGGCAACGGTCTTTACGACGCCTCAAGTCCCAAGGGACACTACACCTTTGACATTTTCAAACATCAAAACATAGACATCATTACATCGGGCAACCATGAACTCTATAAGAAGAACTCGTCCGATAACGAATACTATCACACTGTACCAAACTTCAAGGAGGCCTACATCGCTTCCAACCTCGACATCTACAACCCAGAAACTGGAAAGCTGCAGCCTCTCGCCCAAAGATTCAGAAAGTTTACCACGAAGAACCAGGGCATCAGGATCATGGCCTTTGGCTTCCTCTTTAATTTCCAAGGTAATGCAAACAATACTGTCGTTCAGCGAGTACAAGATACCATCAAGGAGAAGTGGTTCCAAGACGCCATTCGTGACAAGGATATCGATCTCTTCGTTGTTGCTGGACATGTCCCTGTCTCGGACTCGAGCGAGTCTGATGCCATCTTCAAGGCCATTCGTGATGTAACATGGGACACCCCCATTGCTTTCTTCGGCGGTCACACTCATATCAGAGATTATCACAAATTTGACAAGATCGCATATGGTCTTGAGAGTGGCCGCTACATGGAGACTCTTGGCTTCATGTCTATCTCCGGTCTTGGTCACCATGCTAACAATTCTGATATCGCTCCTCTTGCAACTCCCGAGTTCAAGCGTCGCTACATCGACAACAATCTTTACTCGCTATATCGCCACTCTGGCAAGAACGAGACTACTTTCTCTACCGAGGCCGGTCGCAAGGTATCTGCATCCATCTCGGCTGCCAGAAAACACCTCAATCTCGACCACACATATGGTTGTGCACCTAGAGATTACTGGCTCAACCGAGCTCCGTACCCTCACGAATCCAGCATCTTGACGTGGCTTGAGAATGAGGTCCTGCCAGACACGGCCCGAAACTTGACAAAGTCTCCTCAACTCATCATCACCAACACTGGCGCCATGCGCTTTGACATTTTCGAAGGTCCCTTCACCATCGATACCACATTCCTCGTCTCCCCGTTCACGAGCGGCTTCCACAGACTCAAGAATGTACCTTACAAAGCGGCAAAGCAACTGCTACAATTACTCAACAACGAGGGCAAGATCCTTCTTTCAGAGATGATGGTCATGAGCGCCGTCCACAGAGACCTGGGCAAATTCGCTCCTCGCCATCTCTGGGAACTTGCACCTCCCAAACCGCCTGTGTCTCAATGGGCGCAACAGCAGATAGAAAACGACGAAGACATCGACGAGACACTCAGGCGCGAGTTTGGTCAGGAAGTCATGAAAGCTGCCGGACGCGGTAAACATGACACCCCACTCGTACCTGGCTACACCACCGTCGACGATGCAGGTAAAGACGGCGATGACACGATTCATGCACCCATCCGCTTCTACGATGTTCCCAATTGCATACAAGCAGAAGTGAACTTGCCATCTGACAAGAAAGATCTTGAAACTGTGGATATTGTATACAATGAATTCATTGAGCGATGGATTCTTTTGGCTCTGAGATTCCTGGGCGAAGATTATGGAGACAAGGATGTAGAGGCCACATTTGATGGTATGAGTTTTACGGATGTGTTGTCCGAGTGGGTGCATAAGAATTGGGCATGTTAATGTTTCGTCATCTTTGTTGTAGTTATGGGAGGTTTTGGATGATCGGAGTTGGTTATGGCTGTTTTATACATATTTATCCATATATGCATATTGTTATATTGATGCTCAAAGATAAAGTGAGCTCGAACAGCTGGGGTCGTTTCTTGCCCCACCTTTTCCTTGCTGCAACTGACGTCGTGCGGCAGAGCTTCGACTTCCTTTCCCCTCTTCTTCCTTGTTTCGAGCACAACATTCAAGCATTTCCTGCCGCGTATTCTTACGAAGCAGTGACATGTCGTGACACCGAATTGTCGTATCTCAGCTTTCGCCATGCCGTTTCGACAGATCTAGAAGCAGATTGAGAGACTGAAGAAACCTGGTTTCTAATGCCCCAGCTTCCAGCCACTGATCGAACCAGGGCTGTTATTCTTATGATGTGGCTGGGGCGTACATCCGTACCTTTTTCCTGCCAGGAACATGACTTGCAGGTATGCCGTGAAGATCATAGCAGGACATCCCTGTCCAAAGTGACGTTGTGCTGCATGTACCACATCACCCCCAACCCTCTAGATATATATCTCCATCTCCATCTTTCTCACCCCTACTTTTCCAATTCAATCTACCCAATACCTTTACATTTTTCAAATCTATACTCCTCAATCATAATGTCTGACAACAAAGGTATTGCACTCCTTCCACCCCGCTCACCTCCGCGACCCGAGCAACATCTGATAAAACCCCAAAAGGTGCTCTCGGCGGTCTCACCGACACAGTCGGCAAGACTGGCAAAGGTCTCACCGATACCGTAAGCAACACCGTCTCTGGCGCTGGCAAGGGAGCCTCCGACACTGTTGGCTCCGCCACCAAGGGTGCTAGCGATACTGCCAAGGGTATGTGTTTCTTCCCATCCAAGCCTGAGAAGGGACATTTGAGATTGGATGAAATCAATGCTAATCACAAAAACAGGACTCGGTGATACCGCTAAGAGCGCTACTGGAAGCTCGGGCGGTGGTGCACCTGCTACTGGCGGTGACCCTAACCATCTTGGTCTGTAAGGACTGCTTGATGTCATGAAGAAATGAATATTTGTTTACTCTTTATCGATCGTGCTGTTCCCATTTGTGCCCCGTGAAAAGCCGATCCCAGTCATGAAGATGAAACCTTGTTGGTATTGATGATCATAAATTTTGAGAGCAATGCGATGTGTATATACAACTTCCGACTTGCGTCAAGGAAGAACTGTGTAGTTATTGCATTGAGTCGTCGTTTCTTGAGAAGGATCTGCACCATGTTGCTCCTGGCTTTGGCATCTACCGCTCGCTCATCTAGTGATCTGACAGTCGGTACTGCCGTCCGTGCAAGCGTGATTGACGCGAGTCGGCACTTTTACCTCCCACATCTCCTTGTCTGTATCAACCGCTTTTCGTATTTCTCAATTGATACACTTGCTCCTATGCCGTATACTTGTGACTTTGGATGACTTGAGCGCTTAGAGGCTTAGGGGTAAGGATGTTCACAGCAACCAGTGAAGGAGTAAGGTTGTCCAGAACAAGTTGTTATGAGATTGAAGAATGAACAAGTCGAGCACTCCATTCATGACACGCAGCGCCTTCGATAATTGGACAGAGTGAGGAGTGCAAAATCGACAGAGCCACATAGCAACATGGCAGGAATGCTATAAGCTTGATATCTCTCATACAGCAAAGTCGAGCGGCGAGACACAAGAGAGTAACGATTCAGTGCAAAGGGAAGAGTAAGAACCAGCGTTGAAACCGAATCAATGAATTCAGACCAGTTCACATAGCTTGGTTATCGCCTACGACTCTGACTGCGATTCCGACTAGATGCACGCGCACGTCGCACGCTATTTCTCGCAGTTGGGGCGGGTCTGTAGACAAACTCTTCCATCTCAGGATCCATCTCTAGCAACTCTCGCTCCAATGGCAACAGCGGTGCTTCCGGTATAGTCCTGGTAGTGACGTTTCGCTCAGACGTGCGCAGTTTCCAGAATACATTCGGTCGGCCGCCTTTACCTTTTTCTCCTTCGTAATCCACGAATAGTCTCCAGTCCTTCAGGGCTTTGGGTTCGTATAGACCTTCGTCATCTACGCCAGGGCCTTTGAGGCGGAAGCGAGTGCGTACTGAAGGGTGCATATACTCGTGCGTTGACTGCAGTGGTACATCTGTCTTGCGGCCATCAGTGGGATCCACGACATAGTATCGTCCTGGCGTTCGTGTCGTTGCGCCACCCAACGCATATATGCCAGTCATTGAATCAACTATTTTTCCAAATGACCAAGGCCGTGGTTTTTGTTTCGTCTCCTTGTAGTAGTTCTCAGTGTCGTCTTGCTGATCTAATGCGTAATCCAGGTCCATATCGAGAAAAGGCGTCACCTGCGACATCATCCAGGCCAGAGTAATGTTGGCAAGTTCCTGGTCATCGAGACCTCCGCCAATGTTGGAATGTACACCTGGGAACCAAACCTGCCGAAGCACAGTTGTGTTGCCGGGCTTTTTCTCCCAAAGAGCTGGTGCAAAGGCAGATCGGCGTTCGTCCAGAGCCAGAGCTTGGAATGCATATTCAACACAGTCGGACAACCTCGTATCATAGAATGACATGCGCTTACTGGCCGAGCTCTGGATTCCCAACTTCTCAAGCCAGCCGATCCTCGGTGTGCCCAGCGAGCCTGTACAAAATCAGGGAAACGTCATGGCTCAAGATCATCTCGTCACTTACCAACAGTATCCCACACGCCAACGACTTTGATCGGTACCTCGAGTCTCGTCATACCTCTTCTCTCAAGCTCGTGTCGATACCGTGGATCCATGACACTGGGTTTGTTCTTGAATGGCTTGTTTGGGTTCTTCGGTTTGTAATCTGAATCATGTCGATGTTGTACATCGCGGAAGATTTCTGCGAGATACGGCAGACCATCCTTGGTCAACATGCCAATATTGTCGATGAGTCCGGCTATAGCACGTGCAGTGAAGCTGTTCAAATTCAATACAAATATTTCCAGGGAAAGATGATGGACTTTTACTCACGCTCCGCGACTGAAGCCAAACAAGAAGATCTCATCGCCAGCTTCCCAATTTGTCGCAAGGTAGCTGTACCCTTCGCGAACTGCTTCCGATAGACCTATATCCTATCGTTCAACATTGTTGCTACAGGGAGCACAGATACAAGTTCTATCAGATTCAATCGTAACTTACCTTGACCTGTAGCTCCTCCGTAGACTCTATCCACGATGCCACCTTGACTTCCTACATTGTATGAGTGACCAATCACAAACTTGGGCTTCTTTATTGATCTTACCAACTCCATAGTGGTAATACACGATCTGGGGTATGGCATCCGAACTAGCTGGCTTAATGGCTCGTGATAACCTGGTGACATTACTCGCCAGGTCATCGCCGCCCTTTAAACTCCCGCTGTCGGAATTGAGCCACGTTCCTGGTTGTACACGATCAGTATTGCTCGAAATTTCACCTATCGCTCGATGCGATACAGTATAGACGCTTTCTAGAAAGATGTCTTACCATCGGAGCAGATTATGAGTCGCTTGATTGATGGGTATCTCGGTCGTCGAACGAGCCGCGTTTCTCTGGCTCTGGACTCATCGCGTTCATAGTCATGCATCTACACAACAGGTAACGATAAGAGCTGCGTCGATCCAAGGACTACATCCGCCGAACAGACGGCCGATAGGATGAACGATGACTGATCAGAGCAGTTTGGTTCGCACGTCGCGTACGTTGCTTCGGGAGAGAGCTGCCGCCCCGCACCATTGCTCTGACTTTTGCACTCAGCAAGGAAGCCACGAAGTCGACCGTTCTTGCTTTCGAACGAGCAAAATTTCACGAATACCTGGATAATGTTGAGAAGAAGAAGAAGCAGTTCATAAGTGCAAGAATATAAAATCTATCTAACCACCATGACTAACAAAAAGAATAGTCATACTTTCACACATTCGATCAATTCAAAAACTGCAAGCCAACTCAATATCAAAACGCGATGATGGTTTCCATTCCCTATGATTGACCAGCGTTGCTAACAATGTAGTTGATCCAGTCAAGGCAGTCCCTAAGAGTAAAGCCTTGAGGAATGGGCTTGGCAGTACCGCTGGGAGCAGCTCCAGTCGCAGTGGCGGTCAGAGCTGACGAGGGAACAGCAGTGCTGAGAGCCTCATCGGCGCTATTCACATCTAGGTCTGTAGCAACAGTTTCAGTGCTTGTTTCTGTACTTTCAACGACGAGAGAATTCACCATGGTGTTTGCAGCAGCAGAGCTCTTGGTAAGGGTGATGGTGGTGGTGCAGGACGTACTGGAAGCAGCAGGGGAAGATACCTTGTTCTCGCCAGGAACGCACTGGGAGTAGTAGTCGTTCTGAACCTTGCAGGAGTAGCCAGAAACGCAGCCGGTGGCTCCAGAGAAGCCCTTGCCACCGCACTGGCCGTAGGCAGCAACAGAGCCGCTTGCGGGGCTGGATGAGACGGGAGCGACGCTGCTGGACTTGACAACGGTGGACATGGTGGTAGGCTTAGCGACGGAGGTGGCAGCCTTAGTAGAGGTGATAGGAGCCTTGGCAGGAACGCTCGAAGTGGCCTTCTGGGACGAGACAGGAGCCGAGGTAGCGGCTTTGGAGCTGACAGGTGCGGCGCCAGAGCTAGATCCGCTGACGGTGAAGTCGATGCAAGACTCGTAAGTCTGATCGACGGATCTGGCATCCCAGAAGTGCTGAAGCACACAAGCACCAGCAGTGGAGCACTTGCTGCCAAGATCCTCAGGGATGGTAACGCTGAAAGAGGTCTGGGAGGTAGGAATGCTCGAGGCACTGGAAGCGTAGACATCCCAAGAGATCAAGGGAGTACCGATGATAGTGTTGGTGGCGGTATCAACGATGGAGACGTTGGCAGTACCTTCATGGGGAGCGCGGACGTCGAATGTGATAGGAACCTTCTGGCCAGGAGTGAAAGTCGAAACAATGTCCTTGTTGTCCTCGTACTTGAAACCCTTGCAGAGCCAGATCTTGCACTTCTCGGCGTTGTAGTCGGTCTGGGTCTTGGCAACCTGGAGCTCGCCCTGTATGTTGCCGTAGTTATCACCAGCTTTCGGGTTGTCAGAACTGATTGTGTAAGTTGCAGATAGACTTAGTGTTACCTTGGTTGTAGTAAACTTGTTGACCACATGCAGCCTGGAAAGCATCACCGGGCATACGAGGCTTGGGAGAGAGGAGGAAACCGTGACCACGGACAGTGGTGGCCATACCGGCAACGGCGAGAGCAACGGCAGAGTACTTCATTTTGAGAACCTGGAAGGTCGAAAGTTGAAGAATGGGTGGTTGGTCAGAGATGAAATTGGCTGATAGCAAAAGCACCCAGTGCTAAGTATTGAAAGGAAGAATGAACGTCGGTGGTCACAGACCGTGAGAAAACGAGCGGACAGGTGCGAAAGTTGCAGTTGATTTTGGGGGAACGAAGCGGAGAGCGAGTGATAACCTACATATACTCGAGATGCTCCTCTCCGAACAGTGACCAGGTTCAGGGCAAGATCATGGTGGTGTCCAGCGTTTCATGCAATAAGAGCCATACGCGATACCGACATGACTATGAACCGATCAAACTAACCCGACATGTACAAGCATTGATGCCGGTATAGTCCAGCTCGCTTCTGTAGGGTTGTCGTAGATAGATGACAAGGCTGCGGCTCTTGGACATGCGCCGTGACCCCTAGCTCATCTCGCGTGTTGGACATCAGCGCCAACGACCGTTCTTGACGCAAGTCAGCGATTTAACCGAACGATGCTCACATAACGCCATATTTTCGAAACGCGGTTGTCAAGAAGGAGAGGTTCTGGGTCAGGTTCGTGCAGAAAGCAGGCATTGCCCTCGTTTCACCTTGAAATCTTGGTGGATTCGATGCCAAGCAAAACCGGGGCGGAATTCTGCTCCACCATCGGGAGATCCACTCGAACTCGAAGTTCATCTCGTCAGTCGAATTCAGCGCGTCGCGGTATTAGAGCTGTGACCCCGTCAACGACTGTGCATTTACCGACTCGTCTTCTATCCCGAGACTGGTTCTCCTATTCTCATTACGACTTCGTGTTTGTGCTGCTTGCCGCAAATTGGCAAGAACTCGACACCGACGACAGGTGATTCATCATGGCTCCGGTAATAGGATTATCACACATCACAAACCCACTTGCAACGCCCGACCAATTACAAACAACAGCCTCTCAGCTGGACAGAATTCCTGCTGAACTGGAGATCTCGATAAAGTTCGAAAGTTCTAGGCTGATACAGGCTGCTGGAATTCTGTTGCATCTTCCTCAAGAGCTCATTGCAGAAGCCATTATCATCTTTTCCAGATTCTGGCTGGGTCCGGAAGGCGGAAGCTTAGCTGAATTTGCTGCCAAGGTATGCATGTTAAAGGATGGCGGTCCGGATGTGGTACAGGTTTGTTGGCAGCGATGTCATGGATATCATCACAGTGCAGCAGTCTATGCTGGGGCCCGTGTCCTCCTAGACAGAGACGCCAGTCAAAAAATAGTTGATCGGGGCTTTTGTTGGGTATTTGAAATGTTAAGACCGACATCCTTCCATGCCATCGGTCAAAAGACCAATAGGATGGGCTCTGTATCGCATCCTGGCCGCCTTCCTAACCCTCGTAAGTGGATAGATGCTAACTTGCTGACCCAGGATGTCATTGCCGCCTCATTGTATCTGGTGACCAAGCCCTCGGCGCATCCAGTAAGCCCTAGACGGCTCCTGAGCGTTCTAGCATACCTGAACACAGTTCGACCATCACTCGATCTCGAGTCAGCCAGTCAGATCACCCCTGAGGACTGCTTCCTCTCAGAAGGCATCTACCAAGATGGGCGACTGGCTTTGATCCACACCGAAGCCCAGATGCTTCGTATTCTTGGCTATCAGACCCATGTGTCCCTCCCGTACGCGATCTGCATCAATTACCTGCAAGCGCTCGATGTGTTCACGACATCTGAGAACGGTCAAGCTCTGGCAAAGAAGGCGTTTGCACATCTCAACTCGGCTTTGTTCAGTCCACAGATACTCTACTTGACACATCAGCCTCCAGCCCTCGCTACCGCAGCTATTTATCTTGCCGCCAAGGAGACAGGAGTGAAGTTGCCTGGTGAGGAATGGTGGGAGGTCTTCGATGTTGATAGAGAGGAACTTGGCTTCCTAGTAGTCGCGTTGATCTCAATGGAGGGATTCATCGCTGAAGAAGTAGAGAAGTGGGCCAAGAACAAGGTTCCATTGACCCTCGAAGACACTCAAGCTTGGATAGATAGAGAGTCACGGGTTTGAGCTCTTGGAAGGGTGACGCTTCACAGCGTTGTGGTCATGTCGCTTCTCACGGTGCGGCAGTTGAAATCTATATTTGTCTCGATGGCATTCCAATCGGGTTCCTGCGCTGCAAAGTACCCCTACCGCTGTCTCAGACATCCTGAGACAGTCAAAGAGATGTTGCAAACAACAATGGGGAAGCATGCAGCTCTCACCAGAAATACATCTCCATACAAGACATGAATACTATGCTTCAACGACAATATCATTCGAGTCTCCCATCTCATTGCCTTCCACACTTCCTGCACTCTCAACGCTACAATGTACTACCACGCAAACACCAACATAGACCCTTCCAGGTCGTCCAATACTCCTTCCGACTCCACCAGATCGTCTGACCACGCTGCCACCTCCACCGAATCATCAGAACCACGAAAAAGACAAATCCCTCTGGCGTTTACAAATACATGGTGGGGCAGAGAATACATCGCCAACCGAAACTGGGGGCAAGAAAATTTAGAAAGGAGCAATGCGTCTATAGAATCACCATGGTGAGATATGGAACGGAGTAAAAGACGCAAAAGTATTGATTGCACAAGCCTAGAAGTAGAAGAAGAAAGAAAGACCGGTCGAAATGCCACCAAACATGGTAAGCCCGAAGCAAGCAGACGAAGAAAAAGGCAAAAGAGAAAACACCATTAACACCATCCTTTTTGTACAGAGACATGACTCTCTCAACGTCGTCGTCGTCGTCTTCTTCGTCTTTCTCCTCATCCCAGCCTCTTCCTTTGTAAGCGAGTAAAAGAGATAGAGAAGGTTGGCAATAGACAGAAGCATCGATCGATTTCCCTTCCAGGACAGGGCATTTTCGACAGGTGACTGAACGGGAAACAGAAGAAGCTCTTTTGGGGGTATCTTTCTCGACTGGAGCAGCACCGGAAACAACACTCGTACAAACACAACAAATCCATCCTCCAGTCCAAACTTTTCCCCCTTTCTTGTTGCGCGCAAAGAAAGGCTCCATGTCGTTCTTCCTATTCTTTCCGCGGCGTTTCCAGAGCCACAAAGGACCCGGAAGTAATGTCGTAGGGCGTGGCGCAGACAGCTAGCTCTTCTGAATTTTCTCATTGACGACATGACGCATATGCAAAAAGGGAATCTTTTGGAAGAAAGAAAGGGAACGAAAAAGGAATTTTTGGACATTAGAAAGAAGATTGAAACTTCGATGCGACATTAATCAGACTTTTAGCTCATGCGTCTGTTGAGGCCGCCTCATCAATGGAAGGGGTAGCCTTGGAGACGGGAGGCGAACCGGCGTTCGAGGGAGGCGATGCGACATCGTCGGCACCCTCAGCACCCTCGTTCTCCTGGTTTTCAAGAGCGGCAAGTGCACTGCAGATATTGTTAGTCTTAAGCGAATATAGTGTAGTGTGAAGGACATTGCTTACCTGAAGGCGTTGACGTGTGTCGTTTCCTCCTTCTTTTGTTGAGAAGGAGTTCCTGATCTCGATGTTGGTCCAGAGCCTTCACCATCTCTGGGGGGACCAAGACCCTTGCGGCCGCTACCGCTGCGCGAGCTGCTAAACAGCGAGCTGGGGCCGAGCTGAGGGCCAAGACCAGCGCTGGCCTGGCGTTGTGAACCACGGGCTTGCAGACGAAGAAGATCGTCGCGACCGACCTGGTTGCGAGGGTAGTCAGGTGGGGGCATACCGCCGTGTCCAGAGAACGAGCGAGCATCACCACGGCCCATGGGAGCACGACCGTGACCACCACGGTTGCTGCTGTTGCGCTGTCTCTCGAGTTCTTGGGCAGCTTGTGCGGCCTCAGCCTCGGCGTGGATTTCCTCGATGGTCTTGGGACCCTTGTCGTTATCCTTTGATTTCCAGTTGTTTCTTCTGAGATCAATGATGTCCTGCAAGTGTGTTAGTTCAGGTTTGTGTTTAACAGTCTCAGTAGTAACTTACCATAAGCATGAATCTTGATCTGCTGGGCATGTCCTTGTGTTGTTCAAGAATGGTGCCAACACGGTCGTAGTAGACGTTGACAAGCTGGTGTCCTTGCTCGGTGCTGTCCATGGTGGCACCGACAGCCTTGAGAAGCTTGGACAAGTTCTCGACGGCTGACTCGTCGGGCTGGCCCTCGAAGTTCAACAATCTCAACACACACTGGTGCATAATCTTGACTGTAAGCATGCCGAGCTTGTAAAGCTCACCAATGAACTGGATGAGACCAAGACCCTTTCTCTTGGCAGCGGCGGCAATGTAGTATTCATCGGACAAGAGAGTTGCCTCCTTGCCTTCGGGCATAGGAGGAAGGTTGGCCTCCCAACCACGCTCGAACTCTTCTTGACAGCGGTTGAGCAAGTACTTTCTGAACAGGCCACCACCAACAACGGGTTGACCACTTCTGTCACGGATCGTCTCATCAACAATCTCGTTGCTCATACTGGTCAACATCTTGGAGCAGAACTTGGCGTAAGTACCGGCCCAGTGAGCTTCGTCACAAGCCTTCTCGAAAGTGAGCTGAATGACTTGGCGCAGAGTGCGACCATCAGTCTCCTGCTTCGACTGGTTGGCGATCTCGATAATCTGATCCGAAATCTTCTCGAAGTTCTCGGGAGTCATCTTGTTCAAAGCAGCCTTGACCTTACGCTGGACCATGTCTGGGGGCATCTGACCATCAACGGGTGCTGCACCACCGGCAGGAGCGCCGATACTGCGGGCAGTCCAACCACTTTGAGACTTCTCGAGAGGCTTGAGATCCATACCAGCAGTGAGGGGCATGTTCTTGGCGGCGTTGGCATCTTCTCTGTCGTGGTGACGGGAGGGGTTACCACGCTTGCTACCACCTCCTCTGCGAGAAGTATTAGTTCTAGGCGAACCAGGGCCACCCATGCCGGCCATGGTCTGAAGGGAGTTGGTGCGGCTGAGAGAACCTTGGCCGGGGAAGGCACCACCACGTCCCATACCCATGGGACCACCTCTTCCAGAGGAAGCGTTGAAGCGGTCGGCAGAAGTAGTGCCGGCAGGAAGAGTACGGGTGTTGCCACTGGCGAAGTTGCCCATGGCACTGAACTGGCTAGGGCCTCTGTTAGAGGGCTGGCGGCCACCCATGCTTGCACCACCACGGCTGTTCTGGCGACCGGAGTTGTCGCCCTCACCAAGGGTCTCCTTGACTCTGAGGTCCCAGTCAACAGTGGGCTTCTCCTTGAAGACACTCTGGAACTGGAGCAAGAATTCCATGTCATACTCCTTGCCAACACGCTTGCCGGTCTGGTTGAGAGCTGGGTTAGGCGACTTGAAGCCCTCTGGGTAGCTGAATTGGTCGCTCTTGATCTCGAGGAAACGAGCAGACTGGAGTGACTGCATACCAGCAGTGGGTTGTGCGGGCTCGACGTTCTTGGTGGTGTCGAGCTTGAGGTTGGCAGGCTTTGACTTGGCAGGTGCAGGCTCAGCGGGGGCAGCAGCCTCCTCAGTGGCACCAGGACCAAGAGTGGGCTTCTTCAGCGAGGCGAAGAGCTTTGCGTCCTCGGCCTTTTGCTCGTCGGTCTTCTCAGCCGATGCCTCACCCTCACGCTCCTTCTCCTTCTTGAGCTCAAGCTCCTCGGCCTCACGCTCCAGACGCTTCATCTCTTCATCGGCCTTGTTGGCGGCCTCCTTGTCCTTTGCGGCTTGGGCTTCCTTCTCCTTGGTTCTCTTTTCTTGGAAGGCGCGCTCGCGCTCTTCCTCGGCACGCTCAGCCTCTTCCATCTCAGCGATCTCACGCTCGAAGCGCTCGTCCTCTTCGCGCTTGAGACGGGCAGCCTCATCTTCATCGGACTTGGTCTTGTCGGCAGCCTCCTTGGCGCTTGCCTCGTCGGCGGCCTTCTTATCGGCCTCCTCCTTGTCCTTTGCAGCCTTAGCGTCAGCCTCTTCCTGCTCCTTCTTGGCTTTGGCATCGGCTTCCTCTTGATCCTTCTTAGCCTTGGCTTCGGCCTCTTCTTGATCCTTCTTGGCTTTGACCTCGGCCTCCTCCTTCTCTTGAGCGGCCTTCTTCTCGGCGTCGTCCTTGTCTTGGATAGCCTTCTTGTCGGCATCTTCCTTGTCCTGGACGGCCTTCTTCTCAGCCTCTTCCTTTGCGCGCTGAGCCTCGAGTTGACGCTTGACCTGCTCCTGGAAGGCAGACTTGGTTTCGGCATCAGTCTTCGTGCTCTTGCTCTCGGTGCGGATGTGCTGGACGCTGGGAGTGCGAGGAGGAGGTGTAGGGGCGGACGAGACGATAGCGGGCGATTGAGGTGCGGGTGACTGCTTCTTCTCGAAGTTCAACTCCTCACCCTTGTCGTTCTTGATGACAATGGCCTTGCTCTTAGTCTTGGTGGGGATTTGGAAGTTGGAGGACACGGAGGTAGGTGTGCCAGGGGCGGGAGGAGCTTGAGAAGCGCCGGGGGCTGGGGCGCTGGGTTGACCGACGCTGGAGCCAGGTCGCTCTGAGATTTGAGAGCCGCTACGAGACATGGGGTTGTGGTAGGGAGAGTTCATGTGTGCAGGCGGGCCACCGTAACTAGCGGGATATGGCTGGTTGGGACGAGGGCTGGGAGGAGCACCCTGTTGGTATTGTGCGCCCTGAGGGTAGAAGGGCTGGTAGTAACCGCTGTAGGCATCGTAAGGAGGTTGCATACTATACAGAGCCTGCTGCTGAGGGTTGAGGTGAGGCTGGCCGGGGTACATCTGAGGCTGATGCTGCATACCCTGGGGCATGAAAGGCTGTGCGTGCGCCATTGCGGGACTACCGTTTCTGCCGCGGAAAGCGCCACCGGGCGACGAGGCCATGGGCGCGCCGTACTGGTTCATGCCGCCTTGAGGAGGCATGTTGGGGCCGCGTTGCTGGTAGGGCAGCGGGCGGTGGTTCTGAGCGGGCGAGTGAGGGTTGTAGCCGGGGGTGAAACCGCCGCGACCACGGCCGTTGCCGGGCACAAAGTTACCGCGCATGCCGGCGTCACTGTGTTGTGATTGCGAGGAAGGACGGCGCATGTGGACGGGCTGACTGGAGGGAGTCAGAGGAGCTGCGCTGTTCTGTACGACGTGGGTCAGCTGCGGTGCTACATGGACTTGGATTGTGTCGTGACCGACTTCACCGTTCTCGGCGCCGAAGCTGCCAAAGTTGGGGGCATTGCTCTGGCCGGGGAGGTTGGCCGGAGGCTTGCCACCGCTGGCGGCGGGCTGGGGAATAGGTGAGGGCGAGTGTGAAGGCGAGATGATGTTGGGGTTTGCGGCAGCGAGACTGGGAGTGGTCTGCTGGACGGGGACGCTGGTGGCGATGGCGGGAGAGCCGGTGGGACCGTTCATGGAGCCAAAGTTGATGTTTGGCCTCGAGGACTGCGTCTGGGGGCCGCCGTTGGGCATCTGTCCGGTGGTGCCAGAGGCGCTGATGATTACTGAGGGCTTTCTGCCGTGGTCGCCATTCTGCATGGTGGATGGCTTGGAGGGGGGCTGCGTTTGGGGCGACTTCAGTTTGCTTGCATTCTGCGACTGCTGGGCCGTCTTGTTGGCGATGCTGGCGTAGGAAAGCTGCGCCTGCACAGCTTTTTGCTGTGTGGATTGAGCTGCGGGAGCGGCCTGGGGCTGATTCTGCGCAGCGTTTGAAGTTTCGCTGGTCATTAGACTGGCGGATGTGACTGTACAGTCGAGGGTGATGAAAGGGTCGACAGGAACGTAGTTGGCGATGAATTTGCTAGCCTTTCCCGCCGCGTCGGAGAGGACCGTGCACGGATTTTCGTCCTTGTTCACTGCAATTTGATCAATTGCCTGTGAGATGCTCGCTATCTTGAACAGCTCAAGCACGATCAAGACACTGTAATTGAGGGATTCTGTCAGACAGCTATTGAGACAGGAAAATGCTCTGTCTCGTCGACTGGACTGCGTTTGTCGGTTCGGATTGAGGAAAGCCGCTAGAGTATCGCACACGACACTACTTAACGAAAAGCTGTCGTTTGATAGTACGAGACCACGACAACGAGAGGATAGTGATGCGTCTTTTTCCGAGGCTCGGTTTCGAGTATCGCACCAAGTGATTGTCTTGATTGAAGGGGTGAAACTCTTAGAACAAAGCAATCTCTAAATGTCCGTCTGGTTGCAACTTGCTCCGATCCTCTTAAGGCACTCCGCAAATTCACTCGAAGTCACTTTTTTGCTTTCGACCACTCAACATCAACCTTGGCCTTCAATGTGAGTCTTCACTTCAATGTCGGACTCATAGAGACCGGTGTTAGTCACACCAATGGTCCTTTTCTACTCGTCAAATCTGCTTGTCTTTGCATTTCCAGATTCGCGGGAGAGCGAATATGTCTTCAGCTGCACACTGCCGTCATACAGTACACGCATCTCTCCCGTTCCAAGTTGCTGACAGCGAATCATATTCGGGCGCAAAAATCTTGCCGTCGTTGAGAACGGACGTGTTGGGCATGGCAACGAAGATCATCTTCCAAAGGAGATCAGTAAGTTGATATCACCAATGTCATTCCTCGTGATTGATTGCTACACAGTCGATGGACTTGACCTCCTCACTGATGCCAAGGGTTTTTAGTTTTCTCCCACCAGAATGTCTATCAGATTGATGTTGTTACCTACGAACAGAAATTTGAATGTTGTTCTTGACCGTTGACTTTCATGTGATCAGCCAAGACGATGCTTCTCTCAAACGTCCCGTTCTCCGATTCGCTGAAGGGCAACGAAATCATTGTGACTCCAAGGCAACAAAGCTCTAGCCAATGGACATCTCGAATTACTGCGTGCATCATATAGGCCTCGAGCATGACAGATCGCTTCTCTTGACGGCAGCAGTCAACGATTTGAATTGACCATTGTTTGTCGCTCTCATCATTCCACTCGGTTGCAAACTTGGCCGCGGCAACTTACATGTCAAACTGATGTTCGTCAAACGGTCGTTTGGTGTGACCCTGTCGCAAACGCATTTGTCAATACTAAACTCATTCGAGAGCTGTTTCGGCCGGCGCAAGGATGCTGGAATACCGGGCGTATGTAGAGCTTGTGCCAGAATATCAAGCTTACGTGACCAGCGAGTATTCAAAGGTGGACATCTTCTGTGTGACCTGCTCTCCTGCACGAAGTGCGGGAAATTTTGTCTTCTCCATTACCAGTGCTATCACTACTGCCTCCTCTTTGGAGCATCTGCTGTCTCTTGTGCTGTTGTACAGCAGATGCGAGTCATAGAGTATGTTCCTATGATATTGATATCACGGAGATATGTATATAATCATAGCATCCTGCACATCTAACTAAAAACACAAGTGTCTTAGACCTCTTTTCGTTGCCAATTCGAAGTTTTTCTGGGAGTTGAACACAGAGAAAGGAACACAGAAAAGCAGTGAAGCATGCCTTGACGACATACAATATGCTGAACCTACATGATAGTCACGGATAGAGGTCTGGCTGTTGACTTTGGTCACGATCTTTGAATACCTTGGAAATTGTGCGTATCAACTCGGCGTTGAAATGTTTAGGCACACACAAAAAACAAAAGAAGATATAGGGAGAAATATCAATATGTGCATCTGTAGTCAGTAGTCGGATGGCTCGAGCTGATTCCTGAAGCTTTCGAAGCATCCAAGTCGTGCCGCCTTCCGAACAAATTTATCACAACACTGCAATTCCGGAAGAGGCGTGAAGGATTAACAAGAATTCAGACAAGCGAAAAAGTGAAAGAGATGCTTTGCAACCATTCCAGCCCACAGACCGCCTGTTCGGGCCAGCACAACCGCAAAGAAGACATGGCGACTCAGTCATCCAACGCACAGATCTCAGGCCTACCAGCAAATTTCAATAGATCGCATTCCACGGACACTCGAGCTTTTCGGCCTTAGTTGAACGGCTGTGATGTCGCCTCGTCCAGATCGCACTGTCGTTATCGCTTGGGATGGCGAGTCAGAGGAACGCCTGGAGCAACGATTGGTTTTCGGTGTGACCGTTGCTAGCTGAGCGTATTCTGACGACAGGTCGTCCTCATTGACGCCGCACAACAACTCATCTCGTCTTCTGTTCGCCATATACGGTTTCCCGCCTTCATTCTATTGTCCCGCTCTTGCACGTATAGGGTAAATGGACCACACGATTCAGTCTTCAGCTTCAAGGCTTCCAGCCGGCCAAAATCTTATCCTCTTCCTCCCGTCCTACGAGTCACGCGCAAGCAACAACGATATACGGTAACTTTGTCTTTCGGTCTCCCGTCTTGATCTTCTAAATATACAGCAGCAGTCTTTGTCGAGAGCAGACTCGCGCGTGATTTATTTCCGTCCTTGATTCGTGGGAGATCTCTGCGTCGGCTCCTGCCTGACTTGCAGAACCGAAGTTGACCAAATCTAACAGTGTTCAATATAGCAACAGCACAGAGTCAACGGAGTCAGACAGCGCGAGATGACCGACCCTTGCTGTCTGATTAGCTACAACTGTAGGACTGCCATCTCTCTCTAGAGAGCAATCCGGGATTCAATCCGCCCGCAGAGATGAATGTCGGCATCTGGGAGAAGAAGAAGCAAGTGCAAGAGAAGCTTGGATCGTGAATCTGCTTGCCCTAAAAGCATCACTCGATTGGCAAGACCATCTCCTCGGTCGCTGAAGCACGTGTACCTCTGCCTTCCGATTGTCGAAAGCCGAGATACTCTGAGCTTCGGTTGTGATTACTGACCAACAGAGCACACGTGCCCTCGACTGCTGCCTGAGGCCTTTGTTTTCCCCGAGCCGTCCGCGATGACTACATTCTGACTCCGCCCTGACCGCTTTTGTGCGAGCAAGCATATCCAAGTTGCCTGCCCAAACTCTAATATCCCATAACGCGCAATGCACGCAGCACAAGGTAGGCTTTTTTCAGGCGTGCAACTGTTCCCCAAGCATCGCGGTTCTACCCAGGCAAAGATAAGATCTTCCCGTTCAAGCCTTTTCCCTCTCGCGTCTTCCTTGTTGCTATTCCTCGGCGTCGAATCATGCACATGGCACCCGTCGGCTGACAAGGATGGTGTGTGCATGCAACACAGACGGAGCCAAGAGAAGCAACGCAAGAAAAAGCAGCGAGCACTCGGTGTCAGTGTGTCCACATCCCGAACAGCAGCATCAAGTGCCGCCCATCAAGAATACGCGTGCGTGCGGCGGGCTTCGGTCCATACAACAGAGCTCCACCGGGGCACAGCGGATGAGCCAACCGCCCCCCCCCCCCCCCCGCCATTGGGACCACCACCACGACCCAAGCGGACCACCTACTGACCCCTTGCTGTATGGGCAACCTCCTAGGGCCTGTGGGACCACGCCCTGAAAATTTCAGGGTCATACGCCCAACACGACCCCCCCCCCCCCCCCCCCCCCCCCCCCCCCCCCCCCCCCCCCCCCCCCCCCCCCCCCCCCCCCCCCCTTTTCAGGACCCAGAGGTGCCAGCTTGCTCTTTTTCTGTCTCTTCCGTCGGCGAGCGGGTCTTTCCACAATCCCCCCTGCATGCTTGCCTAACCCTTGTTCGCAAAATGTCTCAAAGCACTCTCGCCTCCGAGGGACTGGTTCGAAATGTTGCTACGGCAAAGAGTTCAGCAGAGCACCCAAAAAAATGGCCCCACGGTGTTAAACACCAAAGTAGAAAGAAAGACCTGGGTTTTGCACATCATACACTCATGTCTCAGTGCCCCCCTGCTGAGCTCTAGGTGGTTCTTTTGTATCGCTTTTCCCCCCTCGGCTATGGGATATTGTGAGCGACAGTGTGTTGCGTGTCTATGCGTAAACGAGGAGCAGCATCCGTCCACGTACTGTTCAGACATGCGGCAGAATCGACCCCCCCAACACCTGTCACGTTTTGAAGTAATGACAAGCGCGTGCCTGTCTTGTTTCGCTGGGCAGGTGCACTCCTCTGTGATCCAAACGCAAGCTTGTGCTGCAATGCAACTCTCCCTGGTAGCAGACCCACACATGCTTTTTCTTATCCATTTTGCGTTTTCTCTGCTGCCATGCACCCACGCTTGATTTCTTTTCGAATTCTTCTCATCTCCATTGGATACATTTTGCCCTCAAGGAAATGCTTGCATCAGTCAATATGCACATTCGTCTAAATTCCTTGGCTACAGTATCCCATCTATGCATGTAGATCAGAGTTCGAAAACCAATTCCTGGAATCAAGTTCAATCAACCTTGCAATCTGCAGCTCAGTGCAGCTTGTCTCTTTTCCGGAAAACAAACTTGGCCCAAAAGATGATGTGGATAAAATGTTCAGACCTGGTGAGATCCAGAAGTGAGCAAAAGCAGGCGTTTCTGTGATGATCGATGCATGAACACACTCATTGAGGAGGCAGGCATAGTGGAGAATGATGATCTTTTCGTGAAAAGGACTCGGCAGTTGGAAATCGCTATCATGGCAAAGGTAAAGGATGGCATTGGGGCCATAGGTGCTTTTCCAAGTCTGGCAGATGGGAGGGGCCTCGGAAGTCGGCTTGGTAGGAGAAAACAAATTGAGGTCTCGTCAAGGCTGAGAAGGAGCAGAGAGAGAGAGAGAGGAAAGGTACACTTTCCCATGACACAGAAGAAATAGGGCTACAGAGGAGAAACAGCTTATACGACACCTATACACCACTTGTTCATTGTAGGGCCAGGTGATAAGTCTTAATCCGTCTAACACTATAGCCCAAAGATACTTTTGTATATTTACATATTCAAATCATCTATATCTCAGATCCAGAGCCTACGATATAGGAGCAATTTGTCCTGCGATTCACCTTCCGTTGCGCCAGATTGATGCTTAGTTGCCCCTATGTACCCCAGACAAACGAGTACATGCAAACACGCAAACAGATAAATGCAAAGCAACGCGATATTGATGGTATGTGATAATAAACATTGGTGTTGTTTCTGCGCTCTCTCTCCTCCATGCCCGCTCTACGGTGTAAGGAGCAAAAAGAAGCGCAGAAGGAGAAGAAGAAAAGATATACAAAGAGGTCCTTCCTCGCCATTCCTCTATACAAAAGCGACGACCTCTGAGGCGCCGCGGCAAAGAATTGAAAAGATGATTTTGCGCACCGCATATGGGGAGTATCCGCTAAAGAAACGAGGAAAATTGACAAAGAAGATGATGTTGATAGTATGGCGGACATATTGTTGCGGCGAAGACTTTTCTGCTCCAGAGACGTTCTAATAGACCAGACTGATATAGGGCTTCCTAGTAGGAAGCGCCGATAGCAACGCCGCTATCGCTGTGATCGGCTTCGGAATCGTTGTTGCGGTGTGTAGGGTATGGGGACCGCTGAGCCGCGCCGGATGCTACCGAAGTCGGCGGCTGTTGCGCTTGTTGGGGCTGCTGATGGATTTGCGGCTGAGACTGTGCCTGTTGCTGCTCCGAACGCTGCATATAAGGGCCAGAGTATGAAGAAGGGGGCGGGGCGAATTGGTTGCTGAAGTTGGCGTAGTGGGGCATCTGAGGTGTGGAGTAAGGAGTAGGGTTGTGGTATTGTTGGTATTCGGGGAAAGAGGAAGGGTGTTGGCTGAGCAGTTGTTGGCTGTCTCTGTGGTATGCATTGATCATGTCGATGCTGGGAGGGCCGCTGGTCGGTGCCTGAGCTGGGCGCACGCTAGATTGGTAGCTTGGGAAACCATCTAGTCGCGTGTTAGTGAGCTTACTCGACTTCGAGGCGCATGTAAACTTACAAGGCGGGATACCCAGGCCATATGGTCCACTTGGAGGAGGCATGTTTCTCTGTGCATCCTGTTGAGAAATGTATCCCTGGCCTTCTGATGTTGGTATGCCTGGAGTTCTTGCCTCCGAGGGATGTTGTGAGCTTTCGCCGCTCAGGCTACCATAGGACATGCTCGATCTCAAAGGAGATGAGGTAGCAGTCTCTCCGCTTGCGCGTCTGAATCTATCGTGTACGGGAAGTCGTGGAGGCTGTGAGTATTGGCTGGTGTATGAAGGAGGTCCCGGGAACATGGCTCTCTGAGGACTGTCCAGATTCGATCGAGGAGTGTATCCATAAGCGGCACCCTCGGGTGGTCTAGAGACTGGAGACATGGTGTCTGTTGCTGAGTGGGGCGGGGTGTATGCCATTGATGTCATACCAGGAGGAATGCCGGTCGGACTGATGTAGCTGGGTCCCATTTCTCCTCGGCGAAGTGTGTCGAGAGTCAATGGACGAATGTGCCCGGGTTGGTGGATGACAGTGCCGTAACTGGCAGGAGATGCGCCAGGTGTAATGCCGCCGGGGGCTGAGCCATAGTTGCTGTGAAGACTGGGTGTCATATCAAAGTTGTCAGGCAGAGCTCTTGACTTCATCATCCTTTCGCGGTCCTCGGCTGTCAAACGCTTCAGCTTTGCACGTCTGTTTCTGCGGTCAGTAGGTGTCGGGCTGATCAACTGTTTGTGAACTTGCCTGTTTTGGAACCAGACTTGCACTTGTCTTGGGCTCAAGCCAGGAATCTCTCTCGAAAGCCGTTCGCGATGCGCAGCATCGGGGTGAGCTTGACGACTGAACTCGCTCATTAGGAATCTTGTTTGGTTGTGGGTAAGTCTACGACTAGTTAGCATTGCCGTGTATGATTGTTCGTTGAATAACACCGTACCTGAATCGCTTCATCTTGCGCTTTTGATTTCTCAGCTCGGCTGCGGTCATCGGAGGCTTGTCACCATCTTCAGCATCTCCGCTTGCATCTTGATCATCTTCATCTGCAATCTCATCATCGGGGTCGATTCCTTGTGAGTGTGGGCTCAAGTGAGACGATGGGCTACCGGGTAGCGACTCGCTCAGAGTCTGCTGTCCAGCGCCTGCACTCGATTGAGGGGTCGTGTGAGACTTCGAGTCTGATGATGCAAGTTGTGAGTATGAACTCGGAGCAGTGCTACCTGCAGAGTACTGGGCGTTGAGCGGGTATGGGGAAGTTTTGTATGATCTCAACGAAGGACCTTGAGGCACGCTCAGGACATGGCTGTTAGGCACAGGTTCCTGAGGAGCTTGGTATTGGCCTGGTGCATGTGCATACCCCTGCCCATAAGACGACTGATGGTCTTGATGCGTTTGCCAACCAGGTAGTACTGGCTTGTAGTCTTGACCAGACATGCGAGGAGAGCTCGGTGGTGACAAGGGCACAATGATCTTTCCTGGAAGCATTTGATTGCAAGTCTGTGTATAAGGCAATCAGGTTAGGACGCCTTTATTGATGCCGCGTAGATTGGTCAATAAGAACTGTGATGGACAGACCGGGAAGCTGCCGTGATTTGCAGAGCTCCGTAGAAATGCTGAAAGGATTCCAAGACTCCAAATTGATAGCCGCGACGATCTCTAGCAGGAAGTGGTCAGATCCTTGAAAGGTTGACAAATTAATTAGTCGTAGAGCTCTGGAGGCAGTGAGGAAAGGCGCAAGGTTGATGGAGCAATAAGGGTACCGCGGGTATGGCCCACTGCAAGCTTGAAGCTGCCACGAAGTCGGTTGTGGGGATGGCAAGAGTCGACAGGAAGGATCGCTCGCTCAATATCAAAGCAATATCAAGTAGATGCGTGACCTTTGTTGAAGCCGCGCACAACGAAGTTGCGCAAGCCCTGAGTAAAGAGTGTTGTATAGAGTGTGACAATACACTGACCAGCCAAAGACTGTGAAAGAGGTACTGTACTGTAGGACGGAGAAAGTTGCGGCAAGGCCGAGAAGATCAAGGCAGTGGGCCGGATGGTCTGGTCGACAGTTCGGCGGAGCTTTGCTCACCGCAAGGGAAGGTGTCAAGAAGGTTTAAACGAAGGGAGATGAGGCTAATAGATTGGCAGTTGCGCAAGCACAAAACTTGACTCGCGCAAGAGGGTGAGGATCTTGACAGGACAAGACAATCAGATGATAGGCGACTTCAGGACTCTGAATGTGGGGTGTCAGCAGGTATTGCAAAACCGAATCGGTAGTCGATGGTGCAAATGAAGGTGGTATCCGGCCTCTTGAACCTCGGGAGTTCCAAGCACCATATGGGTGGCTGCAGGGTAGGAGCGATGGTCGAGTCAGGATGAGAAGTGCACACGGTAACTTCATCAAAAGGATCGCACGGGGACGAGGGCATGTCATGTCAACATCGACATGTCAAGGATTCAAGCTCACCTGCTTGCTTCTGCACGGTGCGTCTCGGCAGCCAATGCTCTTGTTAGTGCCTGTGGGTTCGACTAAGGGTCCACACAACCAATGATAGGGATACGAATCGGCGTGTACCTCGGATGGAAGCCTCAGGTGGGAATATCCAGCATGTAAATAGCCTTGCGAATGAAGCAGCAGGCGGAGATTTATTCCACCTGTTGCATCTGACCAAAAACTCCAGATGTGCACTAGTAAGATGCCCGGGAAACTTTATGCGCTGCGCAGAGCAGTCTCCGAGATGGCTGAAGCACATATGGCAACTGCCGATGGGGGTGATTCGAGGTTATGGTAGTGGGACCGGACCCTGTCAGGATGTATCCCACGTTCACCGCTAATGGTTGGCTGCATTACCACTCACGGATGAGGCGCTTGATGGCGCATGGTTGCGGGGGTGGTAGGACTAGTCGTCAAGTGACATGCGTGCTTGTCCTGCCACCAAAAGACGCATGGAGTGTGGCCGTCGCGATGCGCATGCCCTCTGTCCTTTCGATAGTTTCCTGCAGCCACGAAGGTTCGCAGAAGTCATTTTGGACGCCTGTGAATCTTTTGCAAGACACTCACAGAACACCGCACTGTCTATTGTGATGCGGCCCAAACCCTTCGGTTAGGGTAGAAGCCTAAACGCGCGGTTCTCTCCAATGGACATCGCTTCTGCTTTTGACACCCACCTTTCTGATAGTCCTCATCTCGTCTAATGGGACCCCCCGCCGTAGTGTCTGACGCTGTCTAAAGCTTGGACTTGGCTTCTTCGGCTCTTCCCTGAACAGTGCATGAGGGCCAAGTTGGACCTGGCTCGACCAATCCAAAGCGTTGTTTTTGAAGCATTTCCAGAACATCTATCAACCGTTTTTCACACGACCTCTTCTTGCGGGCCGCTCCGGGGCGTGGCAGGTTGGCACTTCTCGTTTGTCACAGCTGTCAAGCAGGGATTCTAAGACACGATTAACTTATCCGAGTCCAGCGATCTGATTTCTTTTCTTGGCCCGTGATATCTCTTGCTTGCCTTTGTTTGCTTTTGCTTCACGGAGCAACGAGCTACAATTCCGCGCTTCTCCGCTGTTACTTTTGGGTATCTTAACCGAAAAGGCAGGCAAAGCCAGATCGTTTGAGGCAGGCGCTTTCTGGCGGGTGCCACGAAGGGCATCTCTCTGATGATCAGCAACCAGGGGCCGGCGATAGGTACTGGGCCGGTTTGAGAGGAGGGCTGTCAGGATTGCAGGAGTCAGGCCTGAGACGAGTAGGTTGTTGTCAATCACCGGTGAACACGGTTCGCCCACGGCCACTCCGGCTACTCACACAACCGGCGCCACGTGCAGGCGATACACCGTCGCGATCAGGCAGCCCCTCAGACGACTTCATCGCCAAGAGAGCCTCAGGACATGTTCTGTGTTTCGAGTCGGGCGGCATCACGCTTGCGAGTGGTCCTACCGTCGGAACAAAGGGCGGCTGGAGATTTGCTGCTCGAGCTCCCAGGCCTGAGTTTCCGAGATGCTCGTGCTGGAAAGCTTTTTACGACCCAAGAATTAGGACCATGTTGCTGCGGCGTGCCTGCGGAAGTTGGTCTGCTCGGGCCCGACACGCGAACAGGAAGACGGCGGTTTGATCTACGCAGGGTGCGCTTTAAGCGAGCCGCCATGCGAGTCGAGCGCGCCCATGGTTCGCCAAGCCCATTGCAAGAACCCCTCCTCGTTCACGAATGGCTCTTGCGCGATGGCTAATCTCGTGAATGTGGATAAGGAGGCTCTGCGCAATCGGTCGGCCATGTCAGGCAAATGAGACAACAACAACTATCATGATTGGGTGCTTGTTTGATCGCATTGCGATTGTCAACACCGACAGCTCCAGCACGAAGTGAAGTCGGTCAGGAATCAGGATCAAGGTTCAAGGCTGTGCGGAACGTTCAAGGGGGCGCCCGGCGCACAGGGCAAGATTGCAACGGCGATGGCTGCCGTCTCGGAACATTACAACCAAGCAACCGTCTCCATCTCCAACCCTAGGTGCATGCAGATCGAGGGAACGTGATCATCTTGCATACCAACAACGTGTCTGCAGTACGTTGTCGCACTGCTGATAACTCAATAATGATAGATATCAAGAAGGCGCATTGCATTGGTATTTAGCTATCCAGTCAACACCTGTTGCTCTGCCTTGCGACCCTTGTCCCATCCGCGTCTCCGACTACTCACCCACTGTCGTTCTCGGGTGCAGATGTTGGGTCGTGAGCGGCAGTCTCTTCCTGGTTCTCTTCCTGCTTGAACAAGGCCGGCAGGCGTGTGGAGGGATCCACCTTGTCTAACAGCGCCAGTGATGTTCTGGATGCAGCCCGCAGCGCGCGCCAGGTCTTGCTCTGCTTGGCAGCCTCCAACGAGTTCTTCTCTTCGTCCGTCATGGCCATTTCTAGATCCAGGTCGTCTCCTTCAATTCCCTTGACGAGCTTCTCGGGTGACGGAGCCGTGAATCTGTTGCAACATGATCAGCATCTATCTTTGGAAATCACAATTCCGTTTCTGCACAAACCTTGAAGCGTCCTTCAAAGCTTCGAGCCCCTTGGCATTGTCCACCTCTGCGAGGAAAGTCACGTCGATAGCCCCCATTTGTTTTGCCTTGAGACGCCTATTGGCGGTCGCTTGCCGAGCACCAGACTTCGCTTGTGCGTTCTCCTCTGGAGTAACAGCATCTTTGACGATTGGCGGACAGCTCTCCAATTTCCATCTCACCCAGTTCTTATCGCGGGAAAGCACAGTGTCGACCATACGGTAGTAAAACTTGCCTTCTGGTCCTTCCTGCAGATAACCGGCAATCTTGGACCGTGTCGAGGTTACCCATTTCTCCTACTGTGTGTCAGTACGCGCTCATAGTCGCTTGCATTTCTGGTACATACATTTTCCTCGTTCAATGTGAAGCCGTACAGAAGACCCCTGTTTGCTGACTTGGGGTTGGCCTTCTCGACGTCCGCCCACTTCTTCTTTGCTTTGTCGGTAAGCGAAAGCAAGAAGTCGATGAGAATCAGGCCTTGAACCAGAATGTGGCGTTGGAATGCCAGATCACTCAGCTGTTTTCTGTTAGCATGACTCCCAGGAGCGGCAACTTTCACGAAGACATACCTCGAGTTCGAACAGGTCGCGACTGGTCAAGTATTTTGGGTTGTAGTTGCTTGCGTATTGGTCACCTGTCTCGTCACCGAGTTTACGTTTGATGCCACGTTGAGCATCTCCGGCGTTCTTTGTCTGTGCGACTACTGGTGTTTTCTTGAACTTGGCCAAAGTCTTCTCGATGCCATCCTTGAAAGGACTGAAGTTTTCGTCTTCGAAGAGTCGTGTCGGATTCGAGAAGTCATGCTGTAACCTCCAGAAGATAGGATAGAACTCCGAATTCTCGTCCTTGACCTCGTCGCCTTTCTTTTCGATGAGAGCCTTTGTGTGTTCCTTGTTTGTAGGGATATCGTTCGTGTCGTCGGCGTCTTTACGTTGCGATTCATCTGCGGCGTCTCCTCCCATTACAACATCCATGGGTTCTGTCACCTCGGCATCAAGCGAAGGTTCCTTTTCGAAGACAGTGACATTCTCTGTGTGAAATTCACCGCGCAAATTGACGGAACTTTTGTCGCCGAGAGGGAAAGTTTGGAATAAGAAGAAGAAAACACGTCCGCAGAAGACGGCATCTTCGGCTCTGGAAAGTCGGCGTAGCAGTTCATTACACGAGCGAAGGAGAGCAAGATGGGTCTTGTGGAAGTCCTTTTGGATGAGTCTTTCACGTCTCGACTCCAGATAATCGAAAACTATCCGGCAGCCTTCGGTGGTCTGACTGTCAAGGAGTTCTTCGACGAGCCAGAAAGCAAGAATAGGTTCGCACTGTCCAAGTTCGCCGCAGAGTAGTAGAAGATCCAGAAAGTCCCACATACGAACGAATCCAGGAGTTCTGATATCAGTTGATTGCTACTAAGGCATTAGTTTGGGAGGGTCCAGATAAGGTGACAAGCGCAAAGAGGCGTACAATGGTTTCGTAGAAAATCTTCCTTGCGGCCGTCTCGACGACTGTGAACTTGTGCGCATCAGGCTGTGAGCCAAAGACATCCTTGCCAATTGAAGAAACACCCTGTGCCAGATCTGCGACGGGTAGAGGAGGATCGATGGTTTCGACTGATTTGATTTCTCTGGCGCGTTGCAACAGTCCTCGAAGTCGCTCTAAGATGACGCCGACGGATGGCGGATCACTCATTGCGTCGACAGCCATGTTGATTTTGGTTATCTTGAATGCGCTTGTAGCAGTTGTTCAGGCAAATCTGATGATAATTGATAGTTGGCAGATAACAGATGGTGGTGCCGGATGAGATAGAATATTGTCGCAAGGATGATGTTGTAATGTGTGGTGCCTCGGACTCGAGCGCTCTTCCAGGGTAGATTCAGAGTAAGTAGCAAACCTAGTCCAGCGGTGTTGTTGAGAGGAGTATTGCTATTGTCGCACTCATCAATAGCCTCTCTGAGCGACGGAAGTTTGCTGGCGCATCGTTGGCCACGACTTTTGGCCGCACGGCATCACCCATCGGCTCAGCCAATTTGGCGCGAAACGCGCTCAGTCGCGTCTTCCACAATCTCCGTGCATGCTGTCTTGGGAGACATCAACATCCAGCTCTTCAATTGAGCCAAGTCCAAGAGTGTCCAGATATGCCGGGTGCAGTAAGACCAGACGTCCAGCCTACTGTCGAACGTGACGACCTGGACGACATCTTCAACTACGATGCCGGCATCGATGCAACCTTCAATCAGCCAGCCCAGAATTGGAGTGCTCAAGACGACGCGAATAACAACGATACCAATCGACGGCAACATGATGTGCCCGAGAACATTGATGAGGAAGTCAAGGTGACAAAGAAGCGCAAGCCCGTCGCCAAATTAGATGAAGAACGGTGCGTACCCAGCTACAACACGTTCGAGCTTGACCACTGACCCTTCCACAGCCTTCTATCGCAACAAGGCATTCCCAAACTTCGCAAGATCGCCAAGGATCGTCTCATCATCAAGGGCAAAGGCCATGAGTTCTCGGACATGGCACGCCTTCTCAACACATATCAACTATGGCTCGATGATCTCTTCCCCAAAGCAAAGTTCATGGACGGCGTGTCCATGATTGAAAAACTCGGTCACAAGAAACGCATGCAGATGATGCGAAGAGAATGGATCCAAGAAGGCAAACCAAAGCCACCGCGCGATGATGACGAAGACGGTTTTGTCATTCCAACCGAAAACGCTGTACCAGAAGACACTGGTGCTAGCAACACTGAAGAACAGCCCAGCAACGTTGAACCAAGGGTGGAAACACAACAAAGCGAAGGAGCACAAGCGAGAAACAACCACAACCCATTTGGCGAGGAAGAGCCTGACGAGGATGAGCTGGATGAACTGTTGGCCGAGAGCGAAGTTGCCTCTGCACCTGCACCAGCCGCTTCTAAACAACCTGCAGAAGATCAAGAGCCAGATGAGGACGAGTTGAATGCTCTCATGGCCGAGGACGCAATGGACGACAGTGCACCAAAGAGTTTGTTCGGTGGCCCAGTCTCATCAGCCACAGCTACCAAGGCTGCTCCAATAGCCCATGACGAATTTGACGATGATGAAGAGGCAATGGCTGGTATGGATTGGTAGTCTGACTGTAATGATATCTTTTGCTTTGGTACACTGCTCCACAGCCTTGTTCCGCTATGCTCCCTCTGCTGCCATATGTTTATTCATAGCCCCCTTGATCGATACATGCATTCTGTACCATTTCGATCTCATCTCTCAAAACCGGCTTAGAGACAGGGTCGAGGGCCCGACAACAGATTGAAAGATATAATGTGATATGTACCGCCCAACACCGTATCATTTTCGTCGTCTAAACAGTGATGGGTAGCCTGAAGCTATACTTCATTAGTGTTCCATCCTCGTTGGGCATTATCATAGTTGTTGATCGAGATATATCGATTTCGAGGTTTGAAACGGCTCACTTTTGACATCTGTACTCAAACCCACGAAGAACACACAAGCTTGACTGGCTATAGATAGCCGTCGCACAAAGTCTCGTTTATGAGAGCTATAAGCATACAATAGATATGGGAGTGTATCTGCTGCTACGTTCTTCCAATCCTCAGGATATCGGATCTTGTCTTGAATCATTTCCACGACTAGGCTACGATACGCAGATACTGCGTGATATATCCATAATCAATACATGGTAGAGCATCACGTGATTGTCGATTACTCCACGTCGCAGTGGTTTAGTGGTAAAATTCGTGCTTGCCATGCACGAGCCCCGTGTTCGATTCACGGCTGCGACATACTTTTTTGACAATTGGTAGCAAGATCTGGTGTTATCGCACGAGGATTTACAAAATGTCGAGTGATGGATTTCTTTTCCCGTTGTTGACTACTGGAGTCATCCCAATCATTTCAATGGCTCATTCGTAGATATCTTTTGTTGTCATGGCATCAGAGTTTCTATGAGCTTGAAGTTGATGCCTCCCGACCCCATTTTTGCAATGCCCCTTCGACGTTGTTGACCAAAGTGGCAGCACGACCGACGCTGTCTTCCTTGAAATCGAGACCATCAGTCCTCCATTCTAGCCAGCTCTGTGCCAGAGATCCCTCAGCTGCATCAAGCAATCCCACAGCCACGTTCACGATACCGGGTCTTTCCTCTCTGATGTAGAAGATCGTTGCACCACACTGACCACAGAAGTATCTTGACGCTTCGTCAGACGAGTGATATTCTTTGAGCGTGCCAAAGTCGCGAGAAAATGGCAAACTGCCGTCGGCAGCAAGAGAGATGTCTGTGGTTGGGATATAGGTCCATGGAAGAAAGTCACAGCTGCTTGACAGACGGCAGGAGTTGCAGAGGCACACCTCGGTGAAGAATTTGGTCCGGTTTGCGCACAGCCACCAAGGGTTGTTGACATCGTAGTCTCCACGGTCAAAATTGTGCTGGCGCACATCTGACTTGGGGTTGTCGGGATTGGCAGAGGATGTAAGTGGACGAGAGATCCAGAAATCTACACCGCTGCAAAGACAGTGGGCATGCAGTCGATCGGATGGGTAGGCTGCTGGTTGGTGACCCGTTTGGAGCCAATCCGCAGGTAACCTGTCGGACAAAGTAGCATGTGTCTTGATCGGCAAGTCTTTGAGCCAGTGACTGAAGCCACCATCCTGGGTGTCCTTGACGAATATCTGACGTTGAATCTGTACCGTGTCGTCAAACTGATCGAGGGCTCCTGTGTGGATAGTGACTCGGCCATCAATAATGTCGACAATGGTGCTGCCACAAGTAGGGCAGAAGTATGTTGTTCTGCGACTTGACCATTGACTAGCCTTCAATTTGGGAAGGGACTGTTGCACGGCCTCGAGGCAACTCTCGGGCACATAGGCTACGCAAGCATACAACGATCCCAAGGCGTGACGACAGCTATCGCAATGACATACGGAGGCCGCAAGGGGAAGTTGATCTTTGGGGACTGCAAGGGACAATTGATAATGGCCGCAGAGGCACTTGGCCTTTACGTCTCGAGTGGTACTCATGTCGATGAGTGACGAAAGCTGTACTGTCGCTGTGGAATGTTACTTGGAGGAATGGGATCGCGTGAGATATATCACAGTCAAGACGCGTGAAGTTGATAGGCAGCAATCGCGTGAAGAAGCATGATAGGGAGTACCGAGGCCCGTAAAAGCCCTAGGTACTTACCAGACAAACATGTGATGCAGGGCAATCCGGCACTCACAGATCAGAACTTCGAAGACAATCAATCTTTATGACAAGTTCACCTTGACTCGAGAGAAGTGGTAGACGTTCGGCGAGGCGTGAGGGAGGGGGGGTTTCAACATTGTCAGGGTCTCGGCAAACCGCCCAATGACGTGACGCGCATGATTTCGAGGGTCGCTGTTTCCTCGAATTCGCGCAAACTCCGAAGCAAGTGAAGGCGTAACTTCCTTCTTTGCGCCCACTTCTTTCAACGACAACGTCGTCAGACACGCACGCAAAGATGGACCACTACGAGCCATCGTCAAGAAACCAACGGACGTATCCTCAACGCGATCGTCCACCTCCTCCGTCATATCACGACGTGCCTCCGCCGCCGTCTGGTCCTCGCGACATGTTCCAATTCCGCGGTGCCGCTGCTGCCCGCCCCTCCGGTGACAACTACCGCCCCGGACCCAGAAGAGACGGTTTCAACTTCTCAGCCGGCAACAATGCGCCGTCGTTCGCGCCCTCAAACAATTACCCAGGCGCCAGAAGACCCCCTCCTAGAGACTCGCGTCGCAATGCTCAGCGTAACGGCCGCGGCCGCGGTGGCCCTCGTAGATTCGGACCCAAGCCTGCTCACGAACGCGATCTGATGCGACACCAGCGCGAACCCACTCCCGATCAGTTGGAGGGCATGAACGAAAGCAGAGAGTCCCGCTTCAAGGTCCTTGATGATCTCTCCGACAGCGATATTGACGATGACGACAGCGTTATGGATCTCGAGACTGATGTCCAACATCCCACTGACGCGTCCGCTCAGCCTTCGTTCTCCAACCGTGCAAGCCACTCCGATGATGACTCCGAGGAAGAGCACCCCAGAGCCAAACGCGCTCGCATCAAGAGTAAGAGCCCCGAGTCCGAACAGGCCAAGCCCAAGTGGTCAAATCCCGACCCTTACACTGTGCTGCCTCCGCCTGGCGAGTCCGACGCCAAGAAAAAGGACGTTGTCAAGCTCATCCGCAAGGCAAAGGTCGAGGCTGCAAAGCCTGCCGCCACGGCTGCCGAGGGTGAGGACTTCATCTCGCTGAACTTTGATGACGGCTTTGCCCAGAACAACAGCGAAGACGATGGTGGTGTCTCACTCTCTGGTTCTGTCAGGGGCGAGCCTTCGCTTCCTCACAAGCCTTCCTTCAGTCATCTAGATCACCTCCATCCTGATCGCAACCTTCCTCCACCTCCTGTTGTCGAGGAATCGAAGGGTGTCAATATGTCAGCGCCTGTTCCTCTACCTCGTCTCGATGTCTGGCCTCCGCCAGCAGATGTTCATGGTGACCCGTCAGGTCGCAGCCAATACCATACCGGACTTCAGAGACAAGAAGCCAAGGATGCCGTAGCTCCGCTTCGCAAGGAGAACAAGAAACGCAAGCGTCGCGATGACGTGGCACTTGGCGATACTATTGAGGAGTGGAGGGCCCCCGAAGGTACTGATCCCGCTCCGTGGTTTGCCAACAAACTGCAAGGCTCTCGTGCTGAACATTGGCTCCACAACGAGATTCTTGACTTCTACAGTTACGTCAAGCCTCGTGACTTCGAACATCAGGTTCGCGAGGATCTGATCAAGCGTATCGAGAGCGCAGTCAGAAGACAATTCCCTGATCTGAACGTTCGTGCCTTTGGTTCCTTCGCCTCTGGTCTCTATCTACCGACTGCCGACATGGACCTCGTCGCATGCTCAACTCGTTTCCTGAACGGCGGCTTTGCCAACCCCCAGCCAACTAAGAATTGGATGTACAAGTTTGCCAACTGCCTCAAAAGAGCCGGCATTGCCATTGAGTCGTCAGTGACTATCATCGCAAACTCCAGAGTGCCTCTCGTCAAGTTTGTCGAGAAAGTGACTGGTTTGAGGGTTGATGTTTCGTTTGAGAATGATAGTGGACTTCTCGCCAACAACACCTTCCAGGTCTGGAAAGAGAAGTATCCCGCCATGCCCATCATTGTAGCCCTGATCAAGCAGTTCCTCGTCATGAGAGATTTCTCCGAGGTATTCAGCGGCGGTCTTGGTGGTTATTCGGTTATTTGCCTGACCATCACTGTACTCCGCGTTCTTGAGGATCGCAATGGAGCAGACTGGGACCCTATGCAAAGTCTGGACACAGTTCTGATGAACTTCTTCGTGTATTATGGTAGAGACTTTGATGTTCAGAAGCATGGTATCCAGATGGAACCTTGGAACATCGTCACAAAGGTAAGCATTGATGCTATGATATGACGCACAGTTGAGACTTTGCTGTTTTTGAGCATATCTGCTCGAAGCAGCGTCGTCGAGTGCTTGTGACGGCTACGGGTGATTGGATCTCTCTCTTTGAGCTATCCGATACGTGACATGTCTTCTCTGAACTCAAGCTAACTCTTGTCAGAAATCGTGGAGAAATACCAAGGGCCAACCATCCAAGCAGGATAGACTGCTTATCATCGATCCTAACAACTACTCCAACGACATCTCTGGAGGCTCTAGTTCAGTCATCAAGATCTTCGAGAGATTTGCCGACGCTTTCAGAGAGCTCAACATCTGCATGTCAGATGCTGAAGACACCCATAAGGAGAATGGCGATGTTATTAGTATCCTCGAACGTGTATGGGGTGGCAACTATGCCCTCTTTGAAGCTCAGCGTTCCCGTCTGAGAGCTGTATGGCAGCAGAATATGGCAAGGTATGCTGCTGTGCACTCAAGATCCAGAACATATCAATAACGGTAATGTCAGCGGCATCAGAAACGGCAATGTCAGTGGCAGTAACTTCCCGCGTGGCAACGGCCACAACAACAACCAAGGTGGAAATGGTCATGGCAATGGTCATCAAGGTAATCCAGGAAATCCACCTCCTGGAAACCAAGGAAACCAGAACAATCAGCCAAAACAGGGCAAAAGGCCCGCAGATGGTGATTCGAAGTCAAGCAAGAAACAAAAGATGAATAACGACAACGAGAACAAGTCGGCAACATCGATGTACGAATCTTTTGACGATAGCTGACTGGTTACAGGCGTGCACCCCTGCACACGGAGTATGATGACCCTAGGCCTGCAGATATCGATTCGCAACCAAGCAAGAGCCAAGAGATGGACAAAGACAACGAGAAGAAGACATCAGCTTTGTCGGGCCCAGCAGGGGCCGCTGGAAAGAGGAAGAAGTCATCTGACGCAACAGCTAGTGTTCCAGGACCTGCCGCAAAGAGGAAGAAGTCTGATGCAACAGCCGGTGTTTCAGGACCTGCTGAGAAGAAACACAAGCCGTCTGATGCCACAGCTAGTGCTCCAGGACCTGACGGCAAGAGCGAGGGGCAGAAGATCCACGAGGAGAGAGATCGTGCAAAGAGTTTTAAGAAGAACCATCCTGGTGTGAACGGCCTACCCGATAGGATGGACAAGGCTTTGTTCAAGCAACTTACGGCAAAACACGGCAAGAACACCAACCCGAAACCGAAGTCCAAGAAGAAGCACAACTAGCTGTTCGTCGATGGACCACAAATCGGGATGGTCACTCTCTTGATACAACCTTCTGACTGGTATGATCGCTTTGTCATTCTTCCGACGACACGATTTTATTCGCTATCGGCAACCTTTCACGTACATATTACTTTCTGCAGGGATATTGCATATGGAGTGGCGCACCTTCGGAATTGCCATGATACCCCATCACTCATGGCCTTGTAACGATAGCTTCTCATTCTACACATTCACAGCGACAATTGTCGAGCATTCCCCTTGTACTTTACTTATTTGCGGTGCCTGGTAGACTAACCTCGAAGCAGAGTTGCCAGAGTGGCACCAAACAGGCTAACAGGATTGCAGACATATACAGCGGGCAAGTGGGATTGAATTGATGTTTCTATGAGAGACATGGACAAGAATTCAGAAGTGCTACGAGTTGGATGTCTGCGGACTGTAATTCGATTAGCAGAGTTCTTGATCCTCCCCTTCTGTGTTGCGCAAGCGACACAGAGGGTCTTTTCTCATTGGATAGCTTGCTTTATGCAAGTGTCTGAAGAGGATGGAGAATATCAGGTTACAGCAATATAGTAGAAAAGCTAGCAGAAAAAGGAGCAATATAGGATGGCAGTCCAAAGAGGATGAAGATGGGAGAAGGGTTTATGCTCAGTGATTGGCGGGGTGTGCCCCGCCTTCCGTCACCGCCCTCGTTCTTGGCGCTCAACATCAACAATCTATTCCAGGAGACAAGGCCATCTTGGACACAAACCACTCAAGAATTTCCATCTCCAAAACCTCCACGACTCTCGCGCAACCCACTCCTCCGCCTCCAACCCTACACACACATCTTCACATCCGCAAGAATGTCGTGGCAAGGTAAGCCCTTTCCGCTCTTTCCGCAGGCTGATGGCGAGCTTGTCGGCTGACTTTTGGAACTACAGCATACGTCGACCAGAGGTACACCCCGCAACTGTTACTATCCGCAGGACCATCACTGACAACATACCACCAGCCTCATCGGCACTGGCAACATTGACAAGGCCGCCATCTTCAACAGCGAGGGCAACAGCGTCTGGGCCACTTCCGCTGGCTTCACTGTGCGTTTCCCCATCATCTATCGCTGAACAACGATTCAAGAAAGAGCTGCGTTATGGGCATCAGTGGTCGGGATCAGTTGAAGAAAGAGCATGGACTGATACTGTGCCTTCTAGGTTTCGCCTCAAGAAATGGCCGAGGTCGTCTCTGCATTCAAGGACACCGGCGACGTCAAGAAGGTCCAGAGCACCGGTCTCCACGTTGCTGGCGAGAAGTTCATTGTCCTCAAGGCCGATGACAGAAGCTTGTACGGAAAGAAGGTGCGGCTCGATACACAACTTTACTCCCGCACATCAGTGAGCTGACAACCAGCCAGGGTAAGGAAGGTCTGATCATCGTCAAAACCAAGCAAGCTCTCCTCGTCACCCACTACCCCGAGCACGTCCAACCTGGTGTTGCCGCCAACACCGTCGAGCAACTCGCCGACTACCTGATAAGCGTCGGCTACTAGAGATGATGCCTCAATCCGCATCTTCTCTAGCATGTCCATGTCCTTTTGTCTAATCTCCTTGACGTTGAGATTTGAGGCTTGACTCCCTGTCTTTTCCTTGTCTGTGCAGGGTGCAGAGGAAAACATTGGGTGATCATTCCAACCAAAAAACAACAACAGCAATACTGTTACACCAATCCAAGACTTGTGCATAGCGAATATATCTACTTTTTTGTTTATCTCATTTCTACATCTCTAGTAGTACCACAACCAGATTTGTCAGAGTGCAAAGTCAGATGCATCACCCGTGATTTTGGTTGCCTATGATAATGATGCCAGATGATAGGCAAGCAAGAATTCTGCCGATTGTTCACCGCCTTGGACAACAGCCGCTGCCCCCCCGTGCCTGCCCTGCATGAGCACCTACCCTCTGCAATAGATCTAGGAGCAGGTGAATGCATCAACAATGTCTCGTAAATCATCACAAACCATCATAGGCCACATCCGGGCTGCAAAGATATGGCTTCTCGTATCATCCACTACACGAATCATTCCAGCACTAACGATGCTCGCTTGCCATGCAGATATCTGTCGAACATTCCGGTGCACGGAAGCAAACAAGTGGGTTGAGATTCGGTTCGGGATTCATTGGGCCTGAGCCTGCAGAGCACATGTGTGGAAGTTGAGAGTCCAGCACATCTCTGATGAGACACTGCCATTTCTGGAAAACACTGTGGCCATCGACAGCCAATAGCGAGTTGTTCCAAAAGCAAGTGAAAGAGTTGATCGACGGAAAGCTGCAGAACTTCACGCATGTGTTGCTTTCACTTTCCGTCGTTCAGAAACACGCAGTCGTGTCTTGCAACACCTAAGTGATCTTTGTTGACTTTCTTCTTCTTCTTCTCCTGTTTGCGCTTCTGCGACTTCACCTAATTATTCGTTCTCTCCACCTCCCTCCCCACCCGCCTCCATCTCCATACCACCCTTATCGAAAAGCTCACCGCGCATGACATACGCCTGTCAGATCCATCATGCAGCGTAGAGAGGCAGGCATCTGCTTTGACTTTCAAAAAGGCAAATGCAACAGTGGTGCACATTGCCGTTTTTCTCATGACCTCACAGTACGCAACACACCCAAAGGCCCCAGAGGAGATGACGATGCTGTCTCTCCTGAGCTCAAGAAATGGAAGGACCAAGTTTTCCAACGATCCTCGCTTGGCTTCGGCTTAGGAAACTTCCTCGGTCAAGCATCGCGCCTGGTGCAGATTGACGATTCCTGCCGTCAAGAAGTCATCAAGAGTCTCGCAACCGACCGCGGTCTAGAGAAGGTCCTCGAAATCGTTAATCAGGATTTCGCACGAATGTCAGACAAGGCTCTGATGCACACTTTCGACACCCGCGTTGTTCCCTTCTTCTGTGTGCTTTCCGATGAACGCGTCATGTCCTCACCTCTTCTCGAGCGCCACCTTGGCGAGATCTGCCAGTACATCTATGGCGTTGGAGGTAGCAGGAGCGAGCTCTTGTTCGCCGCAGTCGTTCGTGCCCTCAGCACATTGTCGGCCAGATCCGACCTCAAGTTTTTCACCTCGCTCAAAGCAACTCTTGCGGTGCTTATGAAAGGTGTAGAGTTTAACAGCACGGCAAAGGTCACTCCATGTTTTTCAACATATGCAACCACCCTGGCGGCCATGCTGGCGCCTCAATCTGATCCAGATGCAGATGCGCTTCGCTACCAGGCCACAAAGCATCTAGACAGCATCAACAAGCGTTTAGGAATCGGTGCAGCCATTCCCAACATGGACTCAGTCATCCAAGACAAAGGCATGGCATCGAGGCCAGTTTTCTCTCTCACACGAAGTCTTCCTGGAAGACTTGCTAATGGACGACCTCGCCATAACAACGACTTCGATTCGATTCACGACATCCAGATTATGCCAACTTCAGAGGAGATCCAAAGTACTCACGCAGAGTACCTTCCCTCACAAGACCCTTCCACCTGGCACATGAGAGGTGTTGAAGGCCTTCTTGATCGCCATTCCAGATTGCTACGCGAAGATACTATCGGCCAGCTGCGTGACAGCGCTTGTGTCGAGCTTGAAGCTCTCCAAGGAATGGAACCTCGGCACGGCGAGTCAACACTTCGAAAACACACCTACCGAAACGTCCTTGTCGAATTGCCTAAGTTCGACTCCCTCAGAGGCTTGGGGTTTGTCATCAGCTTTGATCAGCCACCGGAGCTCAGATCAAAGTCAAAGAAGCAACGTCAGGACTGGTGGGCACATTCAAAGAGATTGGACGGCGATGCTCTCATTTGTCTCATCAGCTCCACTCAGGTGTTCGTCTTCTGCAGCATTTGCTTTCCACACGACCCATGGAAGAGATCTGGAAAAGACAAGGCAAAAGGCCCTGACCCACACCAAAACATTGTTTCACACGCCGACGACCGCATTCGTGTAATCGCACGCCCTAGTGAGATGAATGCAGAAAGCGTGGCAAACATTCTTGGTATGTCCCTCGAGCCCGTTAGACTTTGATAAATAGTGCTGACCAAGTTCTCCATTCAGGTGTCTTCTCACAGAAGGAATTTCAAGGTGGTCGTTCGTTGGTCGAGTTTCCTGGAGTACTCCTCCCTGCATTCATGCCCACTTTGACCGCACTGAAGACCATCTTTAAGAGTGGTGAATTACCATTCTCAGACTTCCTTGCTCCTTCACAAGGTAGTGGAGAAGAGACTGCCGTCATTCCACCTCCGACTTACACACAGAGAGCTGGATTTCGCTTCAACTTGAGAAGCGTGGTTCAGAGCGGAGACTTTTCGTTTGATCCATCAAGTCTCAAACAATCAGACATCAAGGACCTACAAGAAGCGTCTACTCTGGACGAGACGCAAGCCTCTGCACTACTCAACTCGCTCTCAAGGTCGTTCGCACTGATTCAGGGACCTCCTGGCACGGGCAAAAGTTATACCGGTGTTGCCTTGATGAAGACTCTGGTGAGCAACAAGAAAGCAGCTAAGCTCGGTCCTATCTTGGTCGTCACTTTCACGAACCACGCTCTAGACCAGTCTCTTGAACATCTACTCGATCAGGGCATCGGCCAGATTGTCAGAATAGGCGGCAACTCAAGATCGGAGCGGTTAGCCAGTGTCAATCTGAAAATCGTTGCGGCAAAGGTTGAGCGGACAAGGGCCGAGAACTCCGAATATGGAAGAACGAGGAGTCATATGGACGAAGATACAAAAGCCATCGTGCAATGTCTGGACGATCTTAGACAAGATACGAACAACATCAAAGAGTATCTGGCTCAAAGAAACCGCCACCACTATGTTCAACTGTTTGGCGCCGATCGTGACGAAGACGGATGGCAGGCAGTGCAGCACGGCAAGAAAGGCCAACGTTACAAGAAATGGCTGCGTGGAGGCAAACATCTCAAAGGTAGCCGGGCGCTCAACATGATCGTCAAGACTACTAGTTTGTACGACCTCTCGAACAGCGAACGTGGCCTGTTGCATGACTACTGGCTTCGTATGGCTCAGAAGCCGATCCTGAGTTCTCTTGTTGACAATGTCGAGGATTTTACCTTGGGACTTGACGCCATCAAGAACGAAACCGACCTTCGTGCATTGAGCGAAGCAAATGTCATTGGAGTCACTACTTCTGGGCTTGCTCGCAACCTGGAATTACTGCGCAAGCTTCCTTCAAAGATACTTTTGTGCGAAGAGGCTGGCGAAGTGCTTGAAGCTCATCTACTAACTGCTTTACTGCCGTCCATTGAACACGCAATCCTCATCGGCGATCACCTGCAGTTGCGTCCACATGTCTCATGCTATGGACTCTCGCAAGAAAGTGTCAGAGGTCAGCAATATGCCCTTGATACTTCTCTGTTCGAAAGACTGGTTACTGCGACTGCTGGAGGTGTCCGTCTTCCCTTCAGTCGTCTGGACACCCAGAGGCGTATGCACCCCGAGATCGCCGAGTTGGTTCGCAGCACTCTGTATCCTGAACTTGCTGATGCGCCGTCGACCCTAGAGCACCCTCAGGTCGCGGGGTTGAAGAAGCGATTGTTCTGGCTCGATCATCAACAACCCGAAACACACAACGATGTGCATTCTACTTCACATTCCAACGATTACGAAGTGGAAATGACGACTGCCCTTGTATCTCACCTGATCAAGCAAGGAGTATACAAGTCTGGGTCAATCGCTGTTCTCACTCCATATGTCGGTCAACTCAAGAAGCTGCAGCATCGTATGCAGAGTGCTTTTGAGGTTGTACTAGATGACCGCGACATCAAGGTCTTGGAAGATGCAGGTCTGGATGATGCCGCGCAATCAAGAGCACCACCTGCGCCAGGTGTTCAGAAAGGTTCGATGGCCTCAGCTGTTCGTCTTGCTACGGTCGACAATTTCCAAGGCGAAGAAGCTGAAGTCGTTGTGATATCACTCGTGAGAAGCAATGATCGGCACTCATGTGGCTTTTTACGCACTTCGAATCGCATAAATGTCCTTCTTTCTCGTGCTAAGAACGGTATGTACATTATTGGTAACTGTTCAACGACTCAGCACGTTCCTATGTGGACAAAAGTCCTTGAGCTTCTCCAGATGAACGACTGCGTTGGGGAACTACTGGAATTGGCGTGTGAGAGACACCCAGACGACATCATGCAAGTCACCGTACCTGATGACTTTGTTCGACTCGCGCCCGATGGTGGTTGCGCCCTTCCATGCACTCAACGCCTGCTTTGCGGTCATGCCTGCGACAGCTCATGTCACTCACAAGTCCTTCACGATGCTGTCAAATGTCTTGAGCCGTGTCCTAGGCAATTAGGAAACAACTCCTGCTCACATTCATGCCCTAACAAATGCGGTGAGGTTTGCCCATCAAAATGTATGGCAATCGTCAAGGATATCACTGTTCAGCTACCTTGCGGTCACGTCGAGACATCTCTTCCATGCTGGCTTTACTATAAACAAGATCAGATCGTTTGTCATGAAACTGTCACCCGCACGGTTCCTGGATGTGGACATCAAGTTCAAGTCGAGTGCTGTCAGGATGTGAACAGCGACAAGTACTTGTGCTTAGAAGAGTGCGGTGAGACACTGGTATGTGGCCATGTATGCAAAAAGTTCTGCAAGGACTGCAAGAAGAGAGTCGAGTGCCGTATCGTCGAAACTGGCCATGGTTCTTGCCGTCAACCATGCGGCCGCGACTTCCTGAACTGCTCTCACAGCTGCAAAGAGTCCTGCCATGATGGGTCTGACTGTGGTCTCTGCGACCAGCCATGCGAAGTCAAGTGCGAGCATTCTCGATGCGGTCGCTCATGCTCTGAGCCATGCGCTCCATGTGCCAACGAGAAGTGTTCTTCTTGCTGCCCTCACAGTGAGTGCAGTATGCCCTGTGGAGCTCCATGCGACTGGGTTCCCTGCTCTCAGCGGTGTACGGATACTCTCAAGTACGGTCATCAACGTCCAAGCGTCTGTGGTGCACCTTGTCCGGAAGTCCGTTTTTGTCAGGAGTGTGCTGATGAAGATACCAAGTCTCGCGTGGTGGACCTGATCATGATGAGCCAGTACAGCGACATTGATTTGGACGAGGACCCTTGCATCTTCCCAACCTGCGGTCACTTCTACACCATCACGACAATGGATGGCCATCTCAGTCTTGGCGACCATTACGTTCTGGATGCGAATGGCATGCCGACTGCTCTGAAAGCTCCTGATGGTGGTCTTGACGTTGATAAGACTCGGATCATCTGCCCGGACTGCCGCCGTTCTCTGCGCGAGATCCCGAGATATGGCAGAGTTGTTCGTCGTGCTCTCCTCATCCAGAGTACGCTAAAGTTTATTACTCGGTCGAACAAAGACTATGTCATGTTCTATGGACTCTTCATCCATGCACAGAAGAATCTGCAGCAAACTCTGGCAGAGGCAGTGCCGACCCAAGCAAACCTCCATCTGGCCGAGTCTCGAGACAAACAAATTCACGTCATCAGGAGTGGCATGTCGAAACGTAGATATGGAGCCATCGTCCATCTAAGAAACCAGATCGACAATTTCAAGGGTCTTGTTGGCAGCAAGGAGCAACCATTCAAGCGTGTACAGACACTGGTCCGCCACGCTCGTCTGAATCAGCGTACCGCAGAAGACTTCACCTTCGACGAAAGCGTGATTTTGCAGACTAGATCATACTCTCTGGCCACGTCGCTATTGATCCGTTGTGATCTTACAATCCTATCGGATGTCCTCGCCGTACGTTCATCCAAAGACCTTCCTGTCGGTGTGACTACTACGGTAGACTTTGTCAAGAATCGTGTAGACTGCGAAGCTCTATTCAAGATTGCTGAGGAGGGAAAGCACTATCTTCAACAAGCCGAGGCTCTTATCTTTTGGGCACAATTCGCTGCTCTGGAAGTCTCATGGCGCTTGAAAGACGACGCAGGAAGGTATGTTCAAGACCTCAAATGGCAGAATGCAGAATAAGCTAACACTCATACAGTAATGTCAATGCAACCAACGCTCTTCGCTCCCAAGCCAAACAACGCCTCGAACAAGCTCGCATCTTTTGCGCCGAACATTCTCAAGCTCGCACTGCCGCCCACGAGATTGAAACAGTTGAAAAGATGCTGCGCGAGAGCACCTTCTACAGCCCAGTCACCAACAAAGAGATGGAGGATGTGGTAAATGCAATGGCCCGTGAGTTCAGAGGCACCGGGCATTGGTATCGTTGCCGTAACGGTCATCCGTTCACCGTAGGTGAGTGTGGTGGTCCCATGGTCGAGTCGGTATGTCCTCAGTGTGATGAGCCAGTCGGTGGACGCAATCATCAAGCCGCTGAAGGTGTGACCATTGCTAGGGATCTGGAAACTGGCTTTAGCAACATGAGATTGTAGAATCATGCAGCTGTGAGGAACCAGCAGAAGAGAGTGAGTACATCATCGTAGCACTCGAGGTGGCTATGTAGTATAGCTCTGTCCATGCATTGTGGACTCATCCGTCGACTTGCTACACTAATACCACTGTTGTCAATGACAAAACTAATCTGTATCTACTCGCGTGTAATCACAACTGCGTGAGTATACTTCTCGACGTCCAGGAATATCTGCATCCTCGCCTGGATCTCACGATGCTTTCTAGAACGACTCAAAAAAAGGGAACAAGTACCGTGAGTAGGATTCGAACCTACGACCTCCCGATCCAGAAGAGAGTGTGATAGAGAACTTAGGCGAACGAGCGAACGTTAAGGAACGTAGGTTACTAGGATCGGGTGTGCTGACCACTGCACCACCACGGCTTTCTTGGCTTGTTGATGTGACCAAAAAGTCAGTTGTATATAAAGGTTTGGTGAGGAGGGTGGGGAGAGAGCTTGTGTGAGGGAGTTTCGGGTGGTTATGGGGGGGCTGCTGAGATGGCAACTCGGAGAAAGACTCGGTTTCCAGATGAAGTTGTGAGAAATCGATGGTATCTGTAGGAGTGAATGAGGTCAGGATCAGGTTCATTCTCGCTATGCCAAATGTCATTGAAAGCTTGGGTGATGGTGTTGTATGGATCGTGTCATGCAAGATGATGGTCCTCGTTTGGCTTCGTTGCTTGGTCTGCTTGAAGATAGTGCGTCACCTTCCAATGTTTCTCGAGCATAATATCGGGGATCCATAAGATCGTACGTGATGGGGAAGCGAGTCAGTCGGAGTGAGAAGGTCGACTGCTGTGATCAGAGCATCCCGAACGGGCGGGGATGCGACAGAGATGGTCATGGATGTGTGCCACGACGAGATGTGGAAGCGGGACGTATCAACTGATTAGTGCAATATGTTTTGACTAAGTTGAATTTCAGACATCAATAGCTCTGCTGGCGCAATGGTAGCGCGCAAGACTTCTACTCATCTTCCCGATGAACAGTAATCTTGAGGCTGTGGGTTCGAGCCCCACGTGGAGCTTCTTTTGCACTTTATCAGACTGAGATACGTTCTTTTTGCCTCAGAACATTTGTAGATATGATCAGAAATGAGGTTGGAGGTGTTTTGGTGATTTTGTGGTGTTTTTTGTTCGTATATCAGCAGGCTTGGCATCGCAGTGTATGGGCGTCGCGCACTGACTCAAGCTAAAAGCTGCAGCCCGGACCCTGAATCGCTAATTCCGCATAAATGCCGCCGGCCGAATTGAACCTCCAAAAGACATGCTCATCTTCAACAATTTCACGAGGAACATGAGAGATGAGCAGGGTCCTGCGACATGTGCAAAGTTGCCTTGAGAAACAAGTGCAGTACTCGGAATTGAACGCCTTTGTCACCTGCGCCAGGGCGACAAAACTTCAGGATGCAGCCAGTGCGATAGCTGATAGCGAGTCTGATTGTATGTATTCTTGTGCATCATACTCTAGGACGGAAATTGACAAGCATAGGCTCAGCTCTCGTAGGAAAGACAGTCGCCATCAAGGACAATATCGTCACGAAAGACTATCCAACCACAGCATCTTCAAAGATCCTCGACGCATACAATTCATCATATAATGCGACTGTAGTCGACAGACTCGCTGCAGCTGGTGCCCTGATATGTGGAAAGACAAACCTGGATGAGTTTGGAATGGGATCACACACTCGGCCGGTTTTCACATCGACAACAAAGAGTCCGTTCACGCGCAATGGACAGGCTCTCTCGGCAGGTGGAAGTAGTGGAGGTAGCGCGGTGGCAGTCGCAACGGGTCAGGCGTGGGCTGCTCTCGGAACAGACACTGGAGGTTCCGTCAGGTTGCCTGCTGCATATACTGGCACTGTCGGCTTCAAGCCCAGCTACGGCCGATTGAGTCGGTGGGGTGTCATAGCATACGCCAATTCACTGGATACTGTCGGCACCTTGACCAACACTGTTGAACATGCACGGGAGATATTCAACGTGCTCGATCGCTTCGACCACATGGACCCTACGAGCTTATCAAAGACGATCCGTGACAGAATCGCTGGTCAAACCACTGCCTGGTCTAAGGACAGGCAACTGCGTATCGGCATTCCGCTGGATTACAACACCGCTTCACTTTCCCCAGAGGTCCGACAAACATGGTCTCGATTGTTGTCAACACTGCAAGATGCCGGACACTCGCTACATCCTGTATCACTGCCTTCGACGCATCAAGCACTTTCAGCTTACTATGTTTTGGCTCCCGCAGAGGCCTCGTCCAACCTTGCCAAGTACGATGGGGTACGCTATGGTCATCGTACATCGGGCCCTGATGCCAACCCAAGGGACAACCTTCCGTTGTTCGCTGCTACAAGAGGTGAAGGCTTTGGACCCGAGGTTCAGCGTCGCATACTTCTAGGTGCTTACACATTGAGCTCGGAAGCCATGGACAATTACTTTGTCCAAGCACAGCGAGTGCGTAGGCTAGTACAGATGGACTTTGACAAAGTGTTTGCTCTGCGAAACCCATTGTTGGATGCACGGACCGAGCAGTCAGATGACACAGCCAGTGTTGATGTCCTGATTGCGCCCACCGCACCGACATTACCACCCACGCTGGCGGAAGTGGAGAAGCTGAGCCCGGTTGAGATGTACATGAATGATGTGTTGACGGTACCTGCTAGTCTGGCAGGACTGCCTGCTTTGAGCGTACCTGTCAAGCTACAGGGTGGTGCAAAGGAGGCTGGAGACGTTGACTCTGTTGGCATGCAGGTTATTGGACAGTTTGGCGAAGATGAATTGGTTCTTCGAGTAGGACAAATTATCGAAGCTCTGCAAGCTTAGAGTATCTGAAGCTGCATAGACGAACAAAATCAGCATTACCTCTGCTACACAGCACAGTAGCTACTCGTAGAACCTCAACTTGCTATCTGCCCATCAACCTCTTACCACAGCCACTCTCCGCCTTGGTCCGCTTTCTAGTTTCAAGCTACAACAACTCAGACATGTATCAACATCTTGACTTTGAACTCTCAGGGACCCATTTCCCATTCCAGCCTGATCGTAAATCTTGCTGTTGAGATGGCAAAGCTGAGTGGACAGTTGTTGGGAATACCATGTGGCTACCACGAGCAGAGGCCCGTCATCCTGACGGACTCATTCGAACCAAAACTCCCTCAACTCAGTTCTTGGTGCTGACGGGGGAGCGGGACATGGTGCCGCCTCGTTCACGTTCTTCTTTTCTTCTTTGTGGATACGTTTGCACACTGTTATAGCTTTGCTACAATAGCAGTGTGAAAGTACTATTTGCTCTACACGGTCTTTTCGTATTTTACCATCGGATCGTCATCACAATCCCATCGTGAGCTATTGTCGACCGCACTGCTTAAAACCCATTCAGCAGAACCCCATCTTTGTAAATCACATTCATCGGACTCCCATCCATCAATTCCTCATTCATCAACACATCATCTGTCAAAGCGCTGTCGAGCATCCATCAGCCGCCATAAGAGAGACACATACTCAGACGACTGTCGATCATGGCACATAGCGATCGTCTACGACCCTCGCCACCTCCAACGTTTCCAGATGAGGATCTCGACACAGTCGACATCATCACCAAGAAACTCAACATCCACAACCCATACCGCGGATACCCTCCTTGTGGTGTCCCCTGCCCCGAAGGCTCGAATACGTTTCATCTTGCGTTACGACGCGAAAAATGGTGGCAGATGCTACAAGAACACGCTTGGAGAGAAAAGGCCATGATGGAAAAGATGCGTAGCGAGGATGAGAGGAAAGAGAGGTTGCGACAGATGTGCCAGAAAGAGGAAGAAGAGGCAAAGGTAGCGGAAGAGATTGAGCAGAAGAAACAGAGGAAGGATAGTCTTGTCGTTGAGGAAAAGCATGTCGAGTATGCAAATACTGGTGACGGGAATGAAGCAGATGCTGCTACATCTGCTATCTGCAGCTCTCCAGAAGAAGGAAATGGCGAGATTCCGGCTCAGCAGATAGAGGACATCAAGGGAAGGAAGAAGAGTGCGGACAAGGGCAAAGGAAAGGCATACGCGCATGAGCACAAGGTACGGAGAGCGAAGCCCTTGAGTGGTGTCCGAACTTATGCCAGGCAAGGATCTGGGGCGAGTTGTTCGTCTTCCAAGACACCTAGTTAGTCGGATGGATGTGAAGGTAAGGCTGCTAGCAGGCAGTGAGTAGTCAGCAGATCGAGATAGCGACTCGGGAGCTTGCAGTTCTTATGACTGGCGCTCCCTTGTGCATTCACGTGTCATTACGTCTTGTTATCTGTTCGAAGCGGAGCAGTGAGAACAGAGCATGTTCGGATAAGAGTGAGATGTAGGCAATCAAAAGTCGGTAGGAGCCGAGGGCAATCAATCATGATGATGCGCAGGTCTGAGCTTTTTTGATGGTCGTCGCCGGCGTCTGGAGTCGACGCGACACATGCAAGATCGGTTTGCATTGCACCAACAGAACAAGCTCGGAATCCTTACCACCACTTCACTTTTGCTTTTACTTCAACCTCTTTCAAGTCGTTGCGCTGCGTAGGCGCCGCTACCATACGCAATCATGGCCAAAAACAAACAGCAACAGGAAAAGCCCACCCTCTCTTTCGATGATATGATCAAGGCAGGCATGTAGCGCCCTACACCATCCACAGAACACCCCATTGACGTCGCATTCATAGATCGTCAAAAGCGCAAGGCAGAGAATCTTGCCCAGGAGATCTTTGGCAAAGACCGTCGCCAAAGTGCTCCTCAGAACAACTCCAACAAGCGACCGCAAACGCCCTTGGGTGCAAGTCTGGCCAGTCGAGTCGGCATCACAAAGGCGCGTTCTGGTATAGACAAGGGATAGACAGGCCATCTTCTAACACTCCAACAGCGCTCATCCTCGGCCGCATCCATCCCGACGCTGGGCAAACAACAGCAGTCTCGTGGAAACCAGAAGAACCGCAACAACCGTCAATCACAAGGAGGTCCAGACACAAGAAGAGATGCAGCATACCAATCCGCAGCACAACAAGCCCCGCCCGCTTCGTTCAACATCAAGTCGCGATCCTTTGCGCCTGTCGACAGCGAGATCACAATCCGTGGAGCTGCTGGACCGTACTGTGTTGTCGCCAGCAACTTTGCGCCAGGCACAACGGCCGCCGACATTGAGAGCGTCATGGCTCCCATCGGTGGTGACATGTCTGGCTGCAAATTGATCTCTTCTTCGCCTAACGTCATGGTCGAAATGCTCTTCCTGGACAAGGCCGGCGCCGACAATGTTATCAACACGTTCAACGGCAAGAAGGTTCGTTTTTGATCATGTTCCTGCTCACTCTAACCAGGCTAACTCAGTACAGGCTGACGGAAGGCTGTTGTATGTCTACCTTAAGGAGGCCGGCCCATCACAATCCTTCCATTCTGCCACGCCACGCATCGCTTCACCAGTCGTCGTGGCACAAGCCGAACCTGCTCAAGAACAAGGAGCCGAAGACACGATGGAGATCGAGCAACCATATCCCACCGAGCCCAGCCCTCTTCCACCCCATGAGCCTTCTCCCCGCCCTGCATACAACAATTCACGGTCTCGCGACGGTAGAGCCTCGTACCGCGAAGACTACGACCGTGGCGATCGTCACGCACAACCAGACTATCAAGATGGAAGATATGGCTTCAACGAGCAACGCTACAACGAGCCGCGCTATGATGATCGCCGTCCCAGATACCGTGACGAGGGTCGCATGTACTCGGACGACGTGATGCGCGGTGGTTCTCGCAGAGGTGGAGGAGGTCGTGGCGGCGGTCGCTACCGTGGATAGGAACCCGAGTAGCACCGGACTGTAACGACTCGCACGTATCGTAGCGTTTGTCCCAGCCCTGAATTTTCTAGGTCGCTGGGTCCGTAGAGCTTCGGGCTATGAAAAGGGGGTGCGTGACGCTTTGCTCATGCCCAACATTATACCTAAGTATTACTTAACTTATACCCACAACTTCTTCGAGCCATGATTCAAAAGTAGAATAGTGCGGCTCTGCTCTCTGCAATTCTGTAGCTGTGCCCATTCCTTCTCATGAGCAGATCTATTTTGCAGCATTTCTCCCAAGTCTGAACGTACTGTGATGCAGGTGAGAGATACACGAGCACAAAACCATCTCCATCTTGCATCTTCCATCGACTTGTTCTCCACCATCACATCTGCTGTCATCGAAAGCTTGATCAAGCATGTGAAAGCGGCGCTTTGACCACCGGTTCGTCCTGCGGCCAACCCTTCGGTATCCCCATCTCTCCATCAAACACAATACACCACGCTGTCGCACTTTCTAAATACCGTCGGCGTGAATCGACGCTCAGGTACAATATGGAAGATCAGTGGACCGAAGCAGAATACGAAGCAGCCCTCGCGAAACTAGAAGCTCTCACCGACAAGGTACGCCGTGCCATCCATGTCCTCCACCCGTCCACCACGAGCAGAACTGACGATCCCACGCAGTTGACCGCGCTACGAACGACTATCCCTTCCATCGTCTCACCCCTCACGCGACCCGCCACTTCCAAACCCGCCGCGTTTGCTGGACTGAAAAAAGCAGCGATCGGTGCTGTCACCGGCGTTAGAGATCTCAGGACGGAGTGGGAGAGCAATGGTGTGCAGGACTTGTTGAAGAGGAGTCAAGCGAGTTACGAGAAAGATGGGAATCTTGGACCTGCGGTTGAGGTTCCGGCGTGGGGATGGGTCAAGGAGGAAGAAGAAGGGAAGAAAGAGGATGGGCAAGGACAACAGGCGGATGTTGTGAAGGAGGAGAGGAGTGCTGGATGAAGTGGTTGATGGCATCTCTTCTACGATCACGCTGATTGCCGTCATCTTTCGCCGCTGCGGCCCTCGCTATTTTTCTGGACTGGAGTTGCTCGAGAGGAGCAGAACACGATTGCTACCGACCACACTTGACCGGCTACCTCCTACCATCAACCGGCATCTAGCTGGACTCCGTTGGCATATATCTGTCTCTATATGACTTGCTCTCTAGTGCCGACAGCACAGTTGGCTGCACCGAATCCCTCGACTGGCCAGGATCCGGACGAACAATGCTTCTACCACAGATCGTTATGCCGACAGATCGATCATCGACTTCATCGCTCGCTCATTCACAACACAAAAGCATACATTCGATTCTCACTCAGCCCGAGAAACTGCAGTCGTTTCGTCACACCTTACCAACATTTACGTTGCTGCTCACGAACTTGCGAACTTTTCCTCAACATGGAACACATCCTTGGACCTCGAAAATCCTGTGCTATGAAATCATGAGCCAGTAGATGTGTGCGGATTGAAACTCAACAAAGTCGGATCAAGCCCGACCGCGAAGATGAGAGACACTGCAATGAATATGTCTCCCACGATGAAGAAGACCGGAGATTCGCTCGCAAAACAAAATAAGATAGTATTTCTTCCAGGTCAACAATATCGCAACATATACTATCCTCCTTCTGACGTCCACTCGTTATGTTTTTATTGTTGCGAAAGTCTCCTTAGACGGACTCTGTAGGCATGGTTTGCTGGACTTCAGGGTCGAGGAATAGGTAAGCATGTTTCGAGAGCTATATTTTCCAAGATTGAGTCAATTCTCAACAAGCCTCTTTAGCTCAGTTGGTAGAGCGCGGCACTAGTATTCCTGCCATGCCGAGGTCACCGGTTCGACTCCGTTAGGAGGCAAATTGTTGCGCGCTTTTTTTGCACTATGTCAGACTTCCTTTTGCTCCTCTATCTCGTGCTGAATCCGAAGCAAAAAACCCACTAGGTTGTGAGAGTATAATTGTGGTTGTAAGGAAGCGAGGTGAGCGCATTTCCAGTCACTACTCAAGGCCAAGAAATCGAGACAACGGTGATTCACTTTGAGCATCCCTTTAAATATGGGGAAATTTTGGAAAACTTACTGTGCATTTTCTATCGTGAGAAAGTGGAAACGTAGGTTGTGGACATGAAACTCAAAGCATTCGCGGTCTTAGGATTGATCATCGGTCAGGGATTGTGACAAATGGGTATATGGCATAGTCGATTATCAGTGTAGGGTATATGCTCAATATATACTGGCCTTGTACTTGTTTGCAGTGATCTCTCTATGTTTGCAGTAATTTTCTATGTTTGCATTGATTTCTTCTATGTTTGCGTAATCATGATGGGCACCAAATTTTCCTGCCAGGATGCTGCATAGTGAGTTCCTGCTGCAGTAATCCATGGCATCTCCGATGTGCAAAATGGGGTTTCTCAAAACGGGTAGCTATAAACATGCACAGCAATTCTCGAGATACCGATAGGTTTCCCTCGTAAAACGAGATTATATCGTATCTCTTTGGGTATACGTCTCTACTTTGGAAATGATTGTGCATTCTGATGGTGAAGAATCTCATGGGAGGAGAGTGGGAGTTGCAAATTTCAGCACCCTGTAAGGTCATATCTTGTGGATGCTGGAGGTGAGGCTCCTCCTGCACCGTCTACAAGATCACACGACCATCTGAGTTCTGATGGTGTATCGCAAGAGGTAAGACTCCGAAAGTTCATCGTGATATCGAATGAGTTTGACTTTTTTTCCAAATCGCTGCAACTATCTGCAGTGCATGTTGACAAGAGTCAAGAAGAGAAAGAAACCAACCTTGAACTCCAATCCTTCTGACAAACGCCTTGCTAACAAGATACCCGTGTCCGATTGAAAACATCCTGAGCAACCCAATCTTTGTATTTCGTTTCCATCCTGTTTGCAGCAGGTCTCGTGCCAGACGAAGAACCTACTGATACCATTTGTACCACTTGAGCTTGGGCTCAGAATCCTACTTCAAGCCCAAACCCACGTTAGCAGCACTCTCTCCCACACGGATAGAGTCTTCTCTTTCGAGTCCCTCTGGTCTTCTGGACGACGTAGTTGTACTCTGACTTTCACTCCTCTCCCTGGGACCGGCAACACTAGTCATTCCAGCCATGTTTGCAGCCCAAGCACTGACGCTGGGAAGAGCAACGGGTGCTTCTACGCGAGGATGAGTGGTGTTTGTGTTGGCGCTTGCATCGGAGGTGACGCTGTTTCTACGACCGCGGAGGGCGCGTTCGAGGGCTTTGACACGTTGACGCAGGGCTTCGTTTTCTTGTTTGACGAGGTCGAGTTCGGCGCGCGATGAAGCGATCTCGGCGGCGCTGGAGGTGGATGTGTAGGGCGAGGTTGAACCGAGGGCGAAGGAACCGGCTGTGGAGATTTGGCTGGCGGCTTGCGATAGCGAAGGGCGATGAGGAATAGAAGCGGCAGAGGCTGGAGTGAGGGCTGGTGTGGAGTGGCCTGAGGTGCTGCGGATGGAGGGATTGCGGCTGATGGAAGGGTTTGCCGTGGTGGAACCGGCAGCAGCGGCAGCACGATCGAAAGAGGCTTGCGAGACACCGGCGAGAGGAGCGGTGGGTTGAGGGTGTTGAATGTTCATATGACTTGAAGCAGCCGAGGGAGCGCTGAGGCTACGGCTCGAAGCGTTTGACGATGAACGGTGTTGACGTGTGGGTGTTGGGTGCGAGAGTCCAGGATCCAGAGCCTGGTTGGAGCTGGTTTGCGAAGTGTTGCTGGCCACCGAGGCAGAATGTTGGGCGCGAAGTGCGGAGAGCTCGCGTGTGAGACGGTTGACCTGGGTGGACATGTTAGATGGTCTGAGGCGGTTTGGAAGATGATGAAGTAACATACGACGGCTTCCTGCTCCTTCTCCAACTCGAGGTGCAGTTCAGCAGCAGTCAGAGGACGAGGGTGTCGCATGGGCAGGTTTGCATCTGCGCTACTCATGATGCCCGAGGCACCGTCGGCTCCATGCGAAGGTCTGCGCGATGACATGTTGGAAGAGCCTCGTCTCAGCGACGGACTCAAGTTGCCGGTGCTCGTCATGTTGTGTGATGTCTGTGGGTGAAGCAGGAGTCAAATTGTCAAACTAAAGATGAGTGTATACAACGCCAAGACGTAATGACGGGTTTGACATGTGAAAAGGGTAAATATTCGTTGGCTGCTATGCATTCCTATGGCCTCGTCTCTTCTGCTCATAAAACATTGCAAAACATGCTTTTGTTCTCGTCCCTTGGGGACTCCCTCGTCCACCAAGTCCGCCCGTCCTTTCGTGATCCGCAACGCCTATGCTCTATTGAGCAACACTTTCCCAATACATTGCCTTCCTGCTTCGGCTCGGACGGGCGCCGCTGCATCTCCTCTTTGTTTCGTGTGCAGCTTAGGAGTCAGAGTCTTCTGTGACTCTGTCTTCCGTGTACTTTCTTGTCCTGACCATCACTTTCTCTGTTTAGTAGGTTCTCGACAGGTTGCGGAGGTACCAGTCCACCAGTTTACGTCCGACCTTGGCTTCTGACACGTGGATCAAGTCCTGTAACTTCATATTAGCACTAGTCATAATTATGGACTTTTTCCTGCAACTTACTCCTTGCATGGCATAGTCGAGGTCGTTGGTAGTGACGACATCACCGTCAAGCAGACCACCTTCGGTGTGTCTAACCTGCTTGCTTCTCTGCTTGTTGACCAACAACCATCCTCTCAAGGTATCGGCATCAATCTCGAGGAAGCCAGCCAATTTCTTGATGTCCATTGTGGTGTACAACTTCAAGTAAGAACGGACAGTAGGGCTCCACATGTTGTTCTTGACCTCCTCCATGAAGATGGAAAGGTGGTGCTCGATGGGGTCGACGTTGATCGAAGGGTTCTCAAAGTCCGGAGGAGTGGGAGAGATGAATCTGGGGCAGGCCTGACGGAAGAGCTCCTCAAAGATGGGGAGCGACTCGGGCCCACCGAGCTGCATGCGGGCAAACTGCTCACCATACTTCTCACGGAGGGCAGAGTGGACCGTGTCGTCAAGACGAGTAGGGTTGAGGGCGACGCAAATGGCGACAAGAGCGTACATCTGGTCGCTCTTCTTGGCGATGCTGTCGTATTGAGCATTCTTCTGGAAGTTCTTTGTGCGCGAAATGTAGATGAGGATGTGGGTGAACATGCGGATGGCGTCGGTGTAACGGTGCATCATCATGTACGAGAAACCGACGTAGTAGTAGGTGCTGAACTGGGCGGCCATGACACGGGCGAACATGGACTTCTTGTTAAGCTCAATGTTGTCCAGAGTCTTGAGGGCCATGCTAAAGTCACCGAGCAAGCAGTGAACGCGGAGGAGACCGATGAGCGAGAAGTATCCTAGCATCTGGTAGAGAGGGCGGTTGCCGTACTCGCCGGCGTAGGCGGCGGGGTCCTCACCACGCTTGCGGGCCTCGAGCTGCTCCTGGATCTGACTGCGCTGGATGAGCGAGTAGAGGACGTTGAGGACCGAGTAGCATCCCCAGGTGTTGGGGTTCTCGCGGAGGATCTGAGCGTCCTCGTCGTTGTCCTGCTTGAGGGCGACCTTTTGGCGGTAGGCGCAAAAGCTGTTGAACTGGTAAATGAACTCGTCAATCACCTCCCAGGCCCAGTAGTACTGTGTATGGTCAGTCTTCTCTTCTTGTTGCTGAATCTGCAGTTGTATGGCGTGGACACACGTTGGGGACCTCGAGGTCAACGGGGCCATCGGAGTTGAGGATGTAGTGGAACAGGTTGCAGTAGCTGTCGTAGCTGGCAATCTTGGTCTCGAGAGTGGCACCGTATTCAAGAGGCTGGGCAGCGGCGGCGAGCTGAGCCTGGAGATCCTGAGGGCCGCTGGAAGCGACTCTCTCGAGTTCGTCGTCGTCGCCGTATTGGACTTGATCCTTGTACTCGCTGGCCAGAACCTCGTCTTCGACGTCCGAGTCGTCCTGGGCTGCGCGGGCGGGGGCTCCCTGCTGGTATGTGGCGCTCATATTGAGGGTATGCGGTGTGCTAGGATGCTGTATCAACCTCCAATTGCTCTTTGCGCGCGCCGCGACAAGTTCTGGCTTCGTGCAACTTTTGCAAACTCGCTAACCACTGCCAAGCTAGCCACTTCGAGTGAGAAGTGCTGTAATTTACACTTGTAAACCGCACTAATTCTGGCGGGGCATCCACTTCCTATCGATTCCATCATTGTCAGTCATCGACAGATTCTCCTTTGTGATAGCTTATATTTACTCGTATATCCCATAGGAAAGCCGAGGAAGATCGTTCCACAACCTGCATCATTGCGATTTCTAAGCTTCTGTCTTGGTTTGAACATCTACACTCACCTTCTACATCAGAACGGCTGTCCCGGAACAACCATGGCTCCAACCCACAAGATCGCTGTGATCCAGTTGCACCCCAAGGTACGACCACTGCTATGTATTGTATAGCTAATTTGCTGACCTGTATAAGCCTCTTCATGTCGAACAAAACTTCCAGAAAGCCGCCAATTTTATCAGATCAGCTGCCCAACAAGGTGCCGAGTTGGCAGTCCTACCAGAATACCATCTCACCAACTGGCTACCTCACGATCCCAACTTCAAAGCATCATGTGCAAGCTGGAAAGAGTATCTCGAAAAGTACCAGGCCCTGGCTAGAGAGTGCAACATCTGTATCGTCCCTGGAACCATAGTAGAGCTGCACACCGACGCAGAGCATGACAGTACTGGCATTCTTACCGAAGACGATGAAAACAGTGAACGTCTTCTCAATGTTGCCTACTTCATCTCTTCCACTGGTGAGATTCTTGGAAAATACGTCAAGAAGAATCTCTGGGGCGACATTGAACGTTTGCACCTCACGAGCTCGTCGCGTGACCCTCATCCAGTTTTCGATACTCCTTTTGGAAAAGTTGGTATGCTGGTCTGTTGGGATCTTGCCTTCCCAGAAGCTTTCCGCGAGATGATTGCTCAAGGAGCGAAGCTCTTCATCATCCCGACCTTCTGGACTCTAAACGACTGCTCTCCTGCCGGCTTGGCCAGAAACCCAACTGCCGAGGCAACATTCTTGGACGCCATGCTCACAGCTCGCTGCTTCGAAAACACTTGTGCTATTGTGTTCGCAAACGCTGGAGGCCCACCAGGAAAAGGCTATGCTGGCTTGTCACAAGTGTGCGCGCCTTATGTTGGACCCATTGTTCGTCTTGGAAGCTCTGCTGAGGGTATGGCTGTTGTCGACCTGGATATGCAGATTGTCGAGGACGCAGAGGAGAACTATCAAGTCAGAGCTGATCTGGCAAGGGGTGACTGGCATTATGATTATCGTCACACCAAGGACAATGAATCCAAGCTCTGATGTAGGTAGCATACATGTATCTCAGATATACATAATCTCACAATCGGCGAGTATATCCCAGTTTCAATCCTGACGAAACACAACACTCTTAATCCAACATGACAATTCATCTTGCGCTTTATAACATGCAGGGTTTTCGATATTTTACTCCAAACTGTCGGTTCGTAAGTTTGAAGCGATGGAGGGTCTAACATAATGCCATTGTCATCTATCAAAACTCTCGGAGCCACCATTGTGGCTCGTTTGGTTGGTTTGTCTTAGAAGGAATCTTGAGAGGTCGTCACACGTCCCTTGTTCACAATGCCTAAAACGAGTAGGATGTTTATCACAACTTCATCGTGAGAAAGGAACAAAGCAGGGAACGACCATCCGAAGACAGAGGGCGATCAGTGTTTCGCGTTCGTGGTAAGAGCACCTCAAAACCAGCGTCGCTTCCGCCTAAGCTCCTTTCCGTATTTTACCCTGTCGACAACTGCAAGCCGGCGCCACCAACTTGTGAGACCATCAACTACATCCATCTCTTTACCAACTTACCATTACATTCTACCGTTGTATTCTCATTGTTCTCGAACCTTTTTGATCTTATCCTTTGTCGAGCTCCCCAACTCACACCACAATGGATCTCCGACATGTCTTCAAAGAGGGCACGACTGTGCAGACGTCGGACGTTTGGGAGGAATATCGAAGAACTACCGGAGGCGATATCCCGGTCGAGAGTGAAGAGACCGAATCTGAGCGCAACAACGACTCCCTTTCTACATGCGTGGACGCCCGGACTTCTGTAGACCCGACCCCTGTCGAGAGTGACGAAGCTGAACCTGAACCCGTCGGCGACTCCTCCATAGAGAACAATTTCAAACTTGTCTGGGTAGAGAACAGCCCGAAATGGAATCCTCCAACGGAACTAGCTCTGCGCATGGCCAATGCATCTTCGTCAACCGACTGGACAGAAGCATTCCGGAACATGAACGCGATGGAGCTTCAATCGCGTATAGGAGACTCCCCTGTGACGTTGAAGACTGAGAACCTTTTCACGACTATCCACATCAAGCCCAGCAGAGCTGGGTTGAGACAGCTGAAGCATGCTATACGCCAACCAGTACAGCCGCCCTACCTGCGAGAAGTCATCTTTGACTGCCAAGCCATTCGTACAAGAGAAGATGTTGACAATCTCAAAAAGTGCCGGGAGTCACTTGTCGAGATCCTCGAGATACTGTACAACCAGACTGGCAATGCTGTCCAACCGATCAGAGACGCCTTGATCATTCTTCTGGAAGCTTCCTTGTGCGCCATTGGTACCAAACAAGAGGTCTGGTGCTGTTGGAATACGGGAGACCCAAATACCCGCGACCGTTCAAATGAGATGGCATGTCACTGTGGCTTCTTACTCTCAGGCATTGGCGCTTGGATAGACGATGTACCAAAGTTCGAAGTTTGTTTTGATTATGGCCTGGACATTGGACAATGGACGGTCACGGAGTCCGGTGAGAAGACGGTCCAAGAAGTTTGGTTGTGCGTTTTCTAGGATGAACATGAATTCGACTTTGGCCGGCTGATGATCGACGGCTGGCCTGGGATGAAGCAACAAGGACTTGATTACAATCTGGTCGTTTTCGAAGCTATGCTCATGACGACTGCTTTGAGAACGATCGAGTTCCGCAACTCGAAGGTCCATCTCGGTGGTTTGCTGTCCCTTCTTGACCGCAATAGGGATACACTGGACATTGTTATACTGGAACAAGTCGACACTGACAACGACCCCGAAGCGTAGTTCGATTTGTTTGGTTGGATCGCTGACACGCTCGTACTGGATTACCTGAAGATTCGGGGGTGTTTGTGTAATGGTCGCACTTATGGACATCTCTTTGACACCGAAGCTGGCGACGAGTATGCCAATCTCTTAGATCCGCCCGAAAGACGTGAGGCTTCTATAAGCACCACGAATTTTCTAAGACGTCGGTATCTTCAACTAGAACCGGCGGAATCGGCTCCAAGTCTATCTATTCCAGAGGCACCGCTTTCCCTCTGGTAGATCTGTCGCGATGAAGAGTCTGACTCAAGTCTTGGTCTTGCCCGCTCAGACTTGCAGAGGCGATGAATCAAGATCATACGCATCTTCAAAGTTGTGTTGTAGGCGCTCGCTGTCATGCTCTAGGCTTACGCAGGGAAAGACATTACTTTCATCTTACTATATCCATGTCAGTCCTTTCTATTCAGCATCTGCGTTGCCCGTTAAAAAGTGATCGTCTAGACTTTCGATTCCTGAGAATCAATAGTGCCATGTGGTGATCGGCGAAAATAGCTGACGTGTTTTCTGGCTGTCCGCAATCATCTCCTGATTCAGATATCGGCAACACGGACGTCTTGTATGAGTAAACAACAATTTCCGCTCTGCTGGTTAACAGTTCGATGGCGATAAGGTTACGAAGAGGGAAAGAGTTGACGTTTCAAGTCAAGGGTCGTCGTTGACACAGGACATGCCTGCAGATACGCAGAGAGACTGACAACTACGCAGCGAGGGATTTGAACGTCTCAGACAAACCGTTAGAACGGTTGTCAACTATAGACAACGTCTTCAGTCGTCTTCGGCCCTGAACTTGCCTAGTTCGTGCGTGTCAATACTGCCGACCCTCGATTACTGAAGCCAGACCAGGTCGAGAGAGGAGCCGCCATCACACGGTGAGGACTCGCCCTGGTCGTATGGCTACGCGAGCCGCTGCAAACACCCGAAACCACCATGCGCGTCCAAGGCAGGCGTGAAAGAGTGATAGTGTGGCCGTTGTCGTCCAGTGTCAAAGTATTGCTTATTTCTTTCGTTTTCTGGCCCTGATCATGACAGTTTATTCTTTTGATCCTTCTTGCTTTTGCTATGACCTCGACAGGCTTCTAGCAGTTTTGAACTTTGTCTACCTTCTTCCGAACCTTCTTCTCCTCTTACACTGCCTGCTTTTGTTACACTACCACATTCTCTTACCCTAGGGCTGATGGTATTTGTCTGAGGAAACTCTGATTCCGTCAGTACCAAATCATTCCGTCGAGGGACCTATTTGTTATCTGACACATACCGGGGAAAGAGCAAGGAAAAATGTCTACTTCTGCGTACAATCTGAGGACGGATTACCTCAGCGAAGCCTTTGGAATCGACAACCCACGGCCGGAGTTTTCCTGGAGACTGGAAGCTAGCGACCCTTCGGACAAGAATGCGATAGTGTTCCAGAATGCATATCGTGTGCAGGTTGCCCTGCTCGACACTTTCAGGCCTAACAGCATCGTTTGGGATAGCGATATCGTACGCTCACAGGATCAGTTCGGCATCATCTATGCTGGTGGCCTGCTGCAATCAATCACAAAGTATTACTGGCGGGTCCAGCTATATGATATGCATGATGGTTGCAGTGGCTGGAGCAAGACTGCAAAATTCGAGACTGCAATCATGGATGCGAGGTTGTGGAAGGCCAACTGGATTACTGGACCTGTCGAGGATACAGAGCATGCCATGTACTTTCGCGGCTGCCTGACCGTGCCGACTGGAGTGCTCAAAGCTAGGGCATTCGTCTCTGCTTTGGGCTGGTATAGGTTGTTTGTCAACGGCAGAGACTTGACTGGGAATTGCTGTGTACCAAGATGGACGCCAATGAATTCTGTAGTCGAGTATCAGGATTACGATATCACAGGATATCTCAAACCTGGACTCAACCACTTCAGCGTCGTGGTAGGAGATGGCCGCTGGAGAGGAAGTCTAGGCCTCAGGGATACCAGAGCCAAACACCACGATCCTGTTGCTACGTTTTGTCAAGTGAACATCAACATGAAGGACGGCAACAGGATTGTCCATGGCAGTAGTGAGGAATGGCTTGCCGGTACGGGAGCCATCATCCGCTCAGATCCAAAGCTAGGCGAAGAGCACGATCTTCGCATCAGCAGCGATGAGTGGCTGGGTGTCGTGGCACCTACGCCCCCTACTGTCAAGGGCTCTCGCTGGACACACGCTCGTCTTCTTCCACAACACTACTCGCGCAAACTGATCGCTGAGGAAACACCACGTACAAAGGAAATCGGCGGACTACGACCAAAGGGAATCCTCCGCTCACCCACCGGCAAGCAAATCTTCGACTTTGGACAAAACATTGCTGGATTCGTGGTCGCAAAACTCAAGGGTAAAGCTGGCACCAAAGTCACCATTACGTACTCGGAGTCAATCGGCCCCAATGGAGAACTTGACCTCGATTATACATTACCCATCGATGGCAAAGCACAGCAGGATTCGTGCATCTTGAGTGGAAAGGATACTTGGTTCCAGCCTTGGTTCACTCGCCATGGTTTCCGCTATGCTGAGATTGGGGGCTGCAAGGATGTCGGCTTCAATGACATCAAAGCTTTGATCGTGTCTGCGGATCTGCCAGAAACCGGCATGTTTGCATGCTCGGATTGGAGGCTGGAGAGATGGAGAGAAAATGCTTTGCGGTCCATGCGAGCGAACTTCGCGGACGTGATCACTGATTGTCCGACACGAGAACGACTATGCTGGATGGGTGATTTGCAGGCTATTTCACCCACTTCGACCATGTTCTTGGACACGCAGACTTATCTCAGAAGGACGTTGAGGAACGTTGCTCTCGAGCAATTGCCTGACGGAACCGTACCGCCGTTCTTGCCTGGAGAATGTGCTCAAGTTTACAAGGGGCTGTGGTGGCCGATGTCCCTGATCACGACATCGGTGGGCTGGGGTGATGCCTGCGTGTTGGTGCCCTGGACATTATACCAATACTACGGCGACAAAGCAGTCCTGAAACGCCAATACGGGTCCATGAAACGCAAAGTCGAGCAAATGGTTCGCGACGCACGCAACGGCAGAGGAGGCTATGGCAAATACTTCAAGGGCGAGCGCAACGAACATGAACCCTATATCCTCGACAGCGACAAGATGTGGGGAGAATGGTTGGAGCCTGGCAGTGGTATGTGGGGACTTTTCAAGTCTCTGATGATACCTAGCCCAAACACCGCGACGGCATACTTTGCTCATAATGCTTCTGTGCTTGCAAAGGCCGCTGAAGCACTGGGATATGCACAAGATGCAGACCATTACCGACAGCTGTCTGAGCGGGTGCGCGTGGCCTGGCGTGCTGCATTCGTGTACTCGGACTCGCGCATTGGCGACGACAAACAAGACGACTATGTGCGCGCCCTCGCTTTCAATCTGATCCCAGAGACCACACGTCCGGATGTGATCGCACGCCTGGTCGAAATAATCGAAGACTCAAACTTCCACTTCGGCACCACCCTGCTCAACACGGCCATCCTACTCACCGTGCTCAGCGACAACGGCAGAGCAGACATCGCCTACAAGCTTCTTCTCAACAACCAACCTCGCACCTTCCTCAACCAAGTCGAAGCCGGCGCAACCACCACCTGGGAAACCTGGACCGGCTACGACGAAACCGGACGCGCAAAGGGCTCTCATAATCACGTCGCCACAGGCGCCTGCACACGCTGGCTCCAAGAAGGCATCATCGGCATCACACCCTTGTCGCCCGGCTACCGCAAGATCAAAATCAGACCTTTGGTAGGCGGAGGCCTAGATCACGCATCAGGAGGCATCGAAACACCGTTTGGTCTTTGCAAAGCCACCTGGCGAGTCCTCCCCGCAACAGCAATGGTCAAATTGTGCGTCAGTATCCCAGCAGGCGCATCAGGAGAAGTGCATCTCGGCAATGGCGAGATCCACGATGTACCAGCCGGCACCCACTTTTTCGAATGGCTGGATGCTGCTTCAGCGCCTGCTTCACCGGCTGCTAGCGATTTATCTGTCGAGACGGTAGTGCTGGATCGGGCTAGTGTGGCTAGTCCTCCTCAGAGTCCTGGTGGCACTGCAATGCCTTCGCCACTGAACCCTGGTTATTTGGATGCAGTGGCGAAAGTGACGAGTAGTGGAGGGAGGTTGCTACCGCCTTCTGTGCCACTGTCACAAGGAGTCCCCAAGTCGAGGACTGATAGTGTGGTTAATGCTGCAGGGGTGAGCAAGGCTGCTGCGTTGAACAGGAGGAGTTTCCAATTACCGCAGAATGGGGCTACTATCTCTTGGCCGCCCACGGCTGCTACTTGATTGTAATATAGCGTTTGTTATTCTCTCCCTTGGGGTTTGAGGATTTTGGTCAGATTAAGGAGTTTCTTCGGGGTCACATCATTAGCTGTTCATTGGAGGAGTTTTGGTGGCATTCGTTTCGCATTTAAGCTATGAAAGAGTTCACAGCTAAATCTATATTTTGACCATCGAGGTCTAGTTTTTGAATTCACAGTTCGATTTGATCTTTGATTGTGCCATGTTTTGAGTGATTGCCGAAACGTGTGAGCTTGCTTTGGTAGAAGGCAACCTGTTGCATTGCATTGCATAGGGTCCAGTGAGGAAGACAATCACATGACGACCGATCAACTAGAGGAAGCAAAGACGAACGTTTGGGGATTGACAGAGCTTCTGTAGGCGTCATAGTCATATTCGCTGTACCATACTTTGTAGCAAACACATCCTATGAATGTGTCCACTCAGCCTTCTTCTTGTTAGCAAAAGCATTCATGCCAATCTTTTGATCCTGGCTTCCGAAAAGTCCATGGAAGAGTCGTCTCTCATACTCGACACCCTCCCTGATACCCAAATCCTGACTCTTGTTAACCGCCTCTTTGCAAGCCTTGACCGCAATCTTGGAGTATCCAGCAATCTTTGCTGCAGTGTTCAACGCACCTTCGACACAAGCCTCTGCAGTATCAAAGCACTTGGCCACCAAACCCCACTGCTCAGCTTTCTCGCCCGAGAAGTTGTCGCCAGTGAGAATGATCTCCATAGCTTTTGCCTTGCCCACCGCACGGGTGAGTCTCTGCGTGCCTCCAGCGCCAGGAATAATCCCCAGCTTGATCTCGGGCTGACCAAAAGTAGCGCTCTTGGATGCGTACAAGATATCGCACATCATAGCCAACTCACAGCCACCTCCCAATGCATATCCGTTTACAGCTCCAATGACGGGTTTCTTGATGTGAGTGAGGTTGGACCAGGATTCAATGAAGTCGGAACCGTAGGCGTCGGAGAAGGTCTTGGGGGCCATCTCTTTGATGTCGGCGCCGGCGGCGAAGGCTTTAGGGGAACCGGTGAGGACGATGGCGGCGATAGAGGAGTCTTTGTCGAGAGCGGATGTGCAGGTGTTGAGTTCATCGATTAGAGGGGAGAAGAGAGCGTTGAGGGCTTTGGGTCTGTTGAGGGTGACTATTGTGGACAGTTGTGTCAGCTGTTCTGTGCGGGAGGCTATTGAGCAGGAGACTGTTGCATACTCAGGGCGACACCAGGTCGGGGAGTGCTGAGTTGAATGTGCTCATAGTTGTGCTCGGCTGAGGGTGTAGAGTACGGGCGTTGTATACGTGGAGCAACCGTCTTCACAAAGCGAGAAGGAAATGGTCTGGCAACTCGTAGGCTTTGCATGGTGATGATGTTTGGTAGCTCAATTGGCTGTTGTTTGTGAGGAAATGGAAAAGTATCAGAGTTACAGATCAAGGTGGAAGGTGGAAGCTCAGCCCCACATATGTCATCGGCTGCACACTTGCCGAGGTTTGTTACGCCACGGCCTTTGCTCCGATCGATGCTCTCCTTACAAGGCGCCTCTCTTTGTCACTCACGCACTCAGTCTTCGACATCGTAAAGGGTCGTGATATGCAAAGTCTACTCAGAGTCCGAGTCCCCAAACACAGCCAAGCTTCCTCTCTTCTTCTCCTTGACGGCCTCGGCGGGCTTCGCACCTCCTCCTAGTGAGAACTTGCTCAAAGGTGCACTGCTTCCACCAAGCGAGAAGCCCATTGCAGGAGATGCCCTTTTTACCTCTTCAACAGGTGGCGAAGCTGCAGGTGCTGCGTTCAGCGACATACTGAAATTGGACAACTTGGGCGCTGGCTTCGGTGGTGGTGCTTCGCCGTCTGCAGTAGCCAGGATCAGGTCTGCCGCCGAAGGTCGTGCTGGCTGGCGCTTAACCGCCGGTTGCACCTGGACAGCTTGTGCAGGCTGTGGTGTAATCTCCTGAGCCTTGATCTCTGGTGTAGCAGCAGCAACCTCGGACTCGCCATTCTTCCAACGCTTCTTCAGCTCCTCCTCCCTGTCCTGCTTCTCCTGCTCGTCTTTGATCTTCTGTTCCACGTCCGTCAAGGGTGGGCTCAAGAACACCTCTTTGAACCTCCTGTGACTCTCCGGTGCGAAGATGCTTTCACGCTCCCAACAGTCCAAAACTACTGTGATGCGGCTCTTCCATTGTTCACCACGCACACGACCCCATCCGCATTGCTTGGGCATACGACCTAGCTTTTCAAAAACTTGGCGCGAGGTCAAAGCTGACTCGAACAGCGATCGGTACTTCCAGGCATCGCGTACGCCGGAAACTGCTGTGGCAGCCAAGGCGTCGCTTATCACATATAGACCAACCAATTGCGCGCCAGAAACGTCTTTTCCCGATGAGGCTTCCGGCTTGCTATCGTTTGCATGATCTGCTTGCGTATCGGATGTGTCCTTTGGGGCGGCCTCTTCTATGTCTGTATCATCATTACCACCTAGCATGCCAAAGGAAGCCCTGGGTCCATCAACTTCAGGGTCGTAGTTGTCGTCATCTTCGTTCTCTTCGTCGTCCTTCTCATTTGCAGGGCGATCGATCTTGTAGTTGACGGAGAAGCGGAACGGATTCTCCAGATTCGAAACAAGCATGTCAACAACTTCTTCGGCACCTTGACCAGAGAACTTGATTACTAGATCAGTGACGGCTTGCACATCACCTTCACACAAGTAGCCGGTGCTGTCCGGCAAATGATTCAGGAAGAAGGTAAGCTTCGCCTTGCGGTAGGGATTCAAGTAGCGTGGTCGTGAGATGTTTGGATCCTCGGGAGCGACACCCTGGTTCTGAACAATGTGATCGTCTTCGTCGTCGGTGTCGAGGTCCGAAGAGACATAGCCAGAGTCCGACATCAAGTCGGCTAGATTCTGAGCGTGTTCGTACTTGGGCTTCTCTGGTGGAGGTATCCAGAAGGGACCGTCATCGAACGGACGAACATGGCTGTTCATGCGAGCGAGCTCATCCATCATGGACCATTGATATGTATCTTGGCCGGTTTTTGCAGGCGGCTGAGAAGCATAATATTGATACACCAACCAGCGATACCAGACATGACCTTGACTGGTATTGTCGAACAACCAAGCCCAGTGTTCTCCATGTTGAACGTCTGGTTGAGACATGAGCAGGCACTCCCATTCGGGACCATATGTGATGAGTTTTTCGACCGTCTTGTTGATGATAGCGAGCTGCTTGAGGTCGGAGGGTGGTGTCACGTTGACGACTAGAGGAGCAGGACCTTGGTGGCGTAGTTGTGGTGGAAGAGACTCTGGCGGAGGGGCGTTGCGGAAGTTGTGTGACGGAGGAGGATCGCGAGGCATCTGTTTGGCGCCAAAAGGATGTACCAAAATAGCGGAGGAGGCGGTATGTAGGACCGAGAAAACGGACGAGGAGATGGTGATGTGTTTGGAGATGTTAAGGTAGCAGCCAAAGCCCAAGTACTTCTGCTGTAGAAGGTTGATTGCGCTGTCGATGTCGCTTGAGGCAGTGTCTGGTGTAAGAGCAACAACGGCAGTCAACGAGTGACCTGTAGGTGAAGGAGCGAAAGCCATGTCGTCGACTTTCAAGTTGTTGGGTAGCCAGTTACGTATCGTCGCTGCGGTTGTGTTGCGCGGTAACGATGACAGCAGCATAGTTGGCCGCTTAATCACTGCCTCTGGACTCGCTCTGCTGTCCCGTTGGCTTCTTTCTCTTTCTCGTTCTTGTTCCAGCTCCCTCTTGCGCTTCAAGGATAACGGGGCGGGTCCTGGTGGTGGGCCGAGAGTGCCTGGTCCACTGCTCCTCATGGGGGCTCCTCTGGTATAACCACCTCCATCCGCAAGTTTTGGGCCACCGTATGCGCTGCGACCAGCAGCTACTTGGGCAACAAAATCGTCCTCATCCTCGTCGGCGAATGAGTCCTCAAACTCTCGCAGAGCAGCTCTATTCTCGGCTTCTTCTCGTATGCGTTTGGCTTCAGCATCCTGTCGTTGTTTTTCGAAGACCGACACTTTCTTGGGCGCGTTCAGTTTCGACGACAAATCCGGCTTGTCTGACATGGTGTGTGTAATGAAGGTTGGTGCTGGCGCATTGCTCGATCTTCTAAACTTCTTGTCTCTCATTGAACCCTTGATCAATGCGTCAAGCCTCTTTTGTGGGGTAAACATATACCATCATTCCTCACTTTTGACCAGCCCTCCTAGAATCCTGCCATCAGAACACTTAAGAAGTCATCATGGCAGACACTAATAACCTGTTACGATTCTTGACAGCCGAGGCAAAACTCCCTTTGGCCGCCGCGATAGCACAAGCTGCTGGCCTCCAGAAGGCGAATCTGGTCACGTAGGTGCCATCCATCTCTTTCTATTATCAATGTCATCATTCCTTGCGCCTCTTGATCATATCACAACAGCGTCGGATCGTTGGATGAGTCTCGCAAGTCCACCTCTGACGCTTCAACAGCATCGAGGATCTTGCAAAGACCGACTTTGACACTCTCAAAGCAGCTTCCGCCACCGACAAAGCCGCAAAGGCTACTCAGGCTGCTGCGAAGCGCGTCTCCATCAAGCGCAACAGAGGTCTCCCAGAAGAGACTAACGCTGTGCCCTCCAAACGCTCAAGAGTCGATCCTACCGAGATCCAGTCTCCTGCTGATGTGGAAGCTTCCCTGACTCTTCCCACTTCTGATCTTACAGAGGATGATCTTGCTGGTATTGCACTAACGACCAATCGCGCTCCTTTGCTGCTCGTCTTTGCTGCCACCTTGATCAAATACACCATTTCTGATCAACCTCCATCATCGTGTTTGAGCCTTGCTCAAGCTGTCACTTCTCTCAACGCACAAGCTAAAGCCGCCAACATCGGCTTGGGGAGTTCTGCATCGGCTGAGAAGGAAGGCTGGGGCCAAGGCCAGTCGCAGGTCAAAGTCATGACAAGAGACGTTCGTGTATTGAAACGCTGGGGCTACGAGTGGAAGTCACGTTCCGAAGATACCCTCAAAGACATCAAGACAGAAGAGTCTGATCAAAAATCCTCTACTGATATTAGCCACGAAACATCGACGATGAAAGATTCGCCTGCACTACTAGCACTCGATCTCGAGCAGCTCAAGCGTTTGGATGCACCACCAATTGTCACAGCATCAGCAAGCACCGCCGATCTCCCTGTATATCACGCAGGCCCTGCACGCAACTACATCTTGAAAGCCTTTGATCCTGTTTACGACGACAAGGTCGAGACGAAAAAGAGGAAACCAGCGGCTGAGGTCGCGGCCGAACGTGAGGCAAACCTAGGACATCTGATCAAGGCTCTCGATCTACTGTTTCAGTCGTGGTCCAATCTTGCTTCAGATGATCTCGACAAGCGTGCCTGGAGCTGGTACGTCAAGGTGCGACCACAAGTTGAAGCTGGTCGTGCGGGATGGGGAGCAAAAGGACAAGTCAAGCTTAAGGACATTCTGGACCTGAGACGACTCAAATGAATGCTCTAGCAGACGGAGTCAAAGAGAAAGAAGACAATTCATACACACCGAACCATCATGATCATAACAAAGTGTTACATTTCAGATTATTCTATCCCTGCTTGAATATGCCGGCATAGGCACTTAAAGCCGGTGCACCACCAAGATGCGCATACAAGACCTTACTTCCTTCGGGAAATTCACCCTTTCTGACCATCTGGATCAAGCCGTCCATGCTCTTGCCCTCATAGACCGGGTCCGTCAGCATACCTTCAGTCCTTGCAGTGAGTCTGATGGCATCCATTGTTCCCTCATTCGGCAGTCCATACTCAGGGCCACCAAATCGTGTATCCAAGATGACATCGTCGGCGGTGATTTCCTGACCCAATTCGACAAGCTCTGCAGTGCTCTGAGCAATGCGTAGGATCTGCGCATGAGTCTTCTCCGGCTTTGCCGAAGCATCAATACCAATGACACTCTTCGCCCTGCCCTCAGAAGCAAAGCCCACAACCATACCCGCCTGCGTGGATCCCGTGACCGCACAAACCACAATATAATCAAACTTGAAGCCCAACTGCTTCTCTTGCTCCATGACCTCCTTTGCAAAACCCACAAAGCCCAAGCCTCCATACTTGTGCTCTGAACACCCAGCAGGAATAGCATAGGGTTTTCCTCCTTTATCTTTGATTTCCTGCATTGCTTCTTCAAACGAAGGTCTGATGCCAATGTCGAAACCAGCTTCATTGAGTCGCACATCAGCACCCAGGATCCTGCTCAACTCAATGTTGCCGACGCGATCGTATACAGAATCTGAATAATTGACCCAGTTCTCCTGCACCAACACACATTTCATGCCTAGTTTTGCTGCTACGGCAGCGACTTGACGGGTCTGGTTTGACTGCACGCCACCGATTGACACCAAGGTGTCGTAGCCGCCTGCAATGGCTTCGGGGATCACATATTCGAGTTTGCGGGTCTTGTTGCCGCCGAAAGCCAAGCCGGAGTTGCAGTCTTCGCGTTTGGCGTAGATTTGGACTTTGTTGCCTAGTGCTTCTGAGAGACGGGGCAGGTGTTGGATTGGGGTGGGAGTGCCGAAGGTGAGTTGTTCTTTTGGGAACTTGTCGAGCTTCATCGTTGCTAAGAGATGGTGTGGTTTTGGTTTCTCGGGTGTTTTTGGTGTATATGTTGTGGAGATGTGAGGGGTTGATGTGCGTCTGATAGCCAGATTTGAGAGGAAGGAATTGATGATGATTGGAAAATCACACAATGTGGACAATACGTTTACTTATAACTTTATATGTCGTCCTCCTACCCAGCAGCCATGTACTTATGTATCCTGTTTGGTGGTCGGGTGCTTGGCCTACCTTTGGACTAGCTTGGCCGAAGGCCTGCCTATCGTGGCTATCACTCCTTGCCCGATATCGTATCCCCGGCCAACACGCCGGAGGGTCGCAAGATCTTGCCGATCTTGTAACATTATCCGGGTCAAGAATCAACACCGGCGGCTGTCTCCAACTCATCTGGCAAAGTCTTGGTGTACTTCATTGAATGCTTGTAGCAAGAAAGAAGGAGCCAGCGACCGCGGCCAACAACAGCTCGCAAAGCAACAAAGTCTTGGCACGACCAGGCACCAACCATCGATACCCATCTGGATTTATACAGCAAACAATTTTAATCTTCATCTAAATAAAAAGACACTAGATTCCGAATGGAAGAGCAGACCCCACAACATCAAGATTCCGCAACAATGAAGCGCAACCTCCTCCTCTGCGTCGACGCCTTTGGCACTCTCTTCCGCCCTCGCAGCCCTATCGCCGAGCAATACGGTACAGTGGCCAGAGGGATGGGTGTCAAGATTTCTGATGACGAGGTTGCCAAGTCGTTCAAGAGTGGTAAGTTCGGATGTTGTTCCTCTAGAAGTCAAGTCAGATTGAAGAGGAGAGATATGTATGGGTAGAGGGTATAAGGGAGTAGCAGAGGCTGATCTTGAGACGGAAAAACAGCATTCAAAGAGACTTCAAAGGCATATCCGAATTACGGTAAAAAGACCGATATGGGGGCGAGACAGTGGTGGACAGAGGTATGTGATATCTTTGCTTCTCTTCTCTGATTTTCTATTTTGCTCTCTTGGTCTTGCTTCTTTTGACATTGTTTGATCTCTTGTTCCTCCTTCCTCTGGTTCCTTCTCAAAAACTTGCTTGTCCCATGATTTTCTCTCTCCTAATACTGCTACTATCATCAAGAGATATGTGTACTCATCTCCTCTTCCTAGGTCATCACCAAAACCTTTACACCCCACCACTCAGGCCCTCTACCTGCTACCCTCACCTCAACCCTAATCAACCGTTTCTGGTGCAAAGACGGCTACACCCTCTTCCCCGATGTCTCATACTTACAACAACTCTCACACACACCACAACGCCAAAAGGACGCCAAGCAAAGATTGGTGATAGGCGTAATCACAAACTCAGACGACAGAGTGCCAGACGTGTTGTCAAGTCTAGGTTTGAAAGTCCATGGTTTGCGATACAACAACTCGCAAGAAACGATGATCGAGACAAGTGAGAAGGAAGAGAAAGATCAAGCACAGCAAGCACAGGATATAGATTTCTGCATCATGTCCTACGATGTGGGGGTCGAGAAACCCGAGCCTGAAATCTTCAATGCTGCAATTTCTACTTTGGAGTCGATGCTCGTTTCAGAAGGCAACAGTTACGAAAAAGAAGATTGGGGTTTGTTGTATGTGGGTGATGAAGTGGCCAAAGACGCAAAGGGTGCTGTGCAGGCGGGTTGGGATGCAGTGTTGTTGGATAGAGGAGCAGAAGTCGATGCGGCATACGAGGGCGATGCTCCTGGTGTTGAAGGAGTGATGGTAGTCGAAGGCAAGAAGGTCCCAGTGCTCAAGGGGTTTGAGGCATTAGGGACATACGGGGGCCATGAGCTGTTGAAAATTCAATGATTGTGGGTTCTGTCAGGCAAGCGATGCTCAAAATATCATCAAGTCGTATTTACCAAGTCTGGAATTCATCTATGCATTCATCGTCCGCTCCAGATCATCATGTACCTTCCTCGACTCTTGTGGGTGCCCAATTGCCCAGCCATTCTCTGGCTCTATCAGCCTGTCCACTCTCCGCTTCCAGAGCGCCTATGCACCAGGGCAATGAATACACCTCGCCCTTCATACCACTCTCCTCTTTCATCAGCTCGGCTAGAGTTCTTCTAGTCTGGCTAGCTTCGTCGACGCAGAAGTGTACTGGTTTGGCTTGATCCGGCAGGATACTAGCGTCCACAAAAGGCTTGATCAAGGGCAGAGCATCTTTCGTGCTCATCGCACCGCCTTGGCCAGTATTCGTTCGTCCAGTCTTGCAGAATGTGTTGCGACACCATGGTTTGCCGCAACCTGTTAAGAGCTGTGTCAAGTATCGTCGCTCGATCCTGCGTTTTAAAGCTTTGTTTTCAGGGTCGTAGTTACTGACGTATAACGGACCGAAGCATGCTGCGCATAAGCCTATATCGTTGCCTACATCTCTGACCGCTGCTCTGGTATTCCCGTCGCGGGAAGTACCATCCAAGGTTCGACCACAGACTGCGTTTCGACAGATTCGAGGCTGTGAGCGCGACTTGCGAGTCAAGTCATGATGCTTGAGGTGGGTATCCATATCTCGTAGACGCACGATCCGTGAACAGAGGTGACACTCTGTAGTCCTGCTACCATCTGCTAACTCGTGAGGTGTGAGACCTGAAAGTAATGCTTCTGGATTAGGAACATCAGGGTCTCCTTCTTGCGGTACCGACAAGTGACAGAAACGACACAGGATCGGCTTGGAAGGGCATACAGAAATTTTGTGATGTGCAAGCTGAGGGAGCGAGGAGAACGTGCTAGTGGTGCTGCATGAGGAGCACACGAAGGGTGACGAGGGATGGTAGAGGTGATTGTGTTTTTGTTGTGAGGTAGTGCTGTTGCCAAAGAAAGTGTCATGCGGACAGTGCCAGTGCTTCTCAAATGCTGGGGATCGCTTTTGGAAGACCTGACCACAGCCGTGAGGACAAAGGATGTTATTGCGTAGACAAAAGTTTTCGTGGAGCATGAGTGTTCGTTGAGGCACCCACTGTCCGCAGTTCTTGCAGCGCACGTCTCCTGGATTGTGTGGCTGCTCGGGTGCTTTTGCTGGGTTTGGTGGTTGCGAGTCTCCTACCTTCACGCGTAGAGTAAATTGGCGATGTCCTAGAGAGCTCTGGCTGTCTTCGTCACGGAACGCATGAACAGAAATCCACAAAGCCTCTGCATCTTCCAGTTCGACATTGGACGGTTCTAGACGAATGTTCTTGGTTGAACGTCCGCTGAAGTCGCCAAAGACGTGTTCGTCGATGCGAGGCCTGTTCCGTTGGCGTGCCGTGAAGGGTGAAACCAATATATCGACATCATCGTCTGTATCTGCGGCTTCGAGCTCAATCTCGAGTGGTTGTAATCTCGGCCAGGATGGCAGCTGATAGTCGATGTAATCTCCTGGCGCAATTTGACCCTGTCGAGCGTTGAAGACGTCTAGATCGCCGCCAGCAGAACTACCTTCTCCACCTTGTTGCTTCTTCTGTATTTTCTGGGCAATTTTGGCCAGTGTTTCTCTTGCTTGGTCCTCGTTCAAGGCTTCAATGTCAACCTCGAGATCAGTGTCTACCACGCAGACGGCGTCTGACTCTGGTTTGAACGAGTCAATGAGGAAGCGAAACTCTTCTCTTGCAGGACCAGGCACAATCAGGACTTCGCCACGAGTCAAGGTGGTGTAGTTTGAGCGTAGATGTTGTTCTAGCAGGGCCTTCCAGTCGTCGGGATCGTAGCCGGCCTTGAGCGGCCTTAGCTTGACAAAGGTGCCTTTCGGTATTTGTCGGGCATGTATTGTGACTTGTGCTCCGTCTTCTTTCAGGTCGAGGGCTTGTTGGAGAAAGGTGCTCAGAGAGGCGCATCCTTCTTCGGCCGAAAACTCGCGGATGCCTGCATAGACGACTCGACCATTGGCCGCGTTGACCAGACGGAAGGTCAGAGGATGCGGTAATTGGTTCTTTGCTTCTTCGTGGCGATGTGACGATCGTTGTGCGCCGGCATAGTAGGACGAGTAGGAGTGGAAGTCGTCCGAGTGTTGTTCTGTGGCGGCTGCGGCTGTAGAAGCAGCCGAAAGTAGTTGTTCAAGGGCGGATTGAGGCAAGACAATCTTGTCTCCGGTCAAGTTGCTCGTCGAGGACGCTGTGAACTGTCCTGACCACTGTAGTTCGTTATTCATGATTCCAAGTGACTGCAAAGAACGAAGCGGCGTGCGAGAACATGGTCAACTGAGGAAATGGCGACTGTTCTAGAAGTTGCTATCGCGTTGCATATGTCATCAACAAACTCGCGGCGATTGTCGGAGGAGAGATAAGATGATCTCGAGCTGCCCCTTTGAGTGCTACCCGTCACACCCTGACATGTAGTTTGTGCACTCCTATCTACCATACCTTCGCCTCTTCTGCGGGATGATTGCCCAAAAAAGCCTTCTTAGACATGCCTCAACAATCTCAGCTGCGTAGAAGGTGTCTTCTGAGGATAATCGGCCTCGAGACTCGAGACAAGCACCTCGGTGTTTCTTCGTCCCTGCTGGCATTGAAACAAAGACAATGTTTCGCAGCCACCAGTTCAGATATTTCTTCAGAGACCAAGGAACACGCCAGACACCAGAACGGTAATTGCAGATCACAGGAACCGATTGAATGAAAATGCCGAACAAAAGATGGTCAAATATGATCGATTCTGTCAAAGGTCGTCGCAAAGATTCGCGGCTTCAGAAGCATCCAGAATTTTTCCACATGATACACACGCAACAAGATTACGAGTCTCTCAACATGCAATGCTCTTCCCCTTTCATTTGCTAGACTCTCTATATCGTGAGGTAAGTCTTTCTGTTACTCTGATCTCAATCATTGCAGCAATCATGTTTTCAACATCACGAGTCGTCATTGTGGCTCTGGCCCTGGTGACCATCATCTGTTTCTACTACCAAATTTCGGATCTCCCGCTCGTCAAGAACGTACTACAACAGACACCGCAGGACGAAAAGTATACTTCAGTGATACTTGCATCAGGAGATGATTCCTCAAGTCGATCGGCTCCTGGGTTCCAGACATCTCACACAGTCGTCATCCCAGAGAGCAGTCAGCCAGAGGACAGTGCCATAGGCGAATCTTTGATCGATGGAGACAGAGCTTTCAGACTACCGAACGACAAAGCTGTGGTTATGGGTGCTCTCTCGACTGACAACGTGGCCTGGGCGACAACGAAGCTCAATGGGTGGGACGCTTTCGTGTATACCGTGGACAACACCACGATGCCAATGCATACAGATCGCAACAAAGGCAAGGAAGCAAACGCCTACCTGACTTACATCATCCAAAACCTCGACTCGCTTCCGTCAACAATCGCGTTCGTACATTCACATGAGTTCGGCTTCTCGAAAGCATGGCACACAGATGCCAAGGGCCACTCTAATGTTGAGAGCCTTAACTCATTGAACGTCAATTTCGTCCAGAGGAATGGCTATGCGAACCTGAGATGCTTGCACAATCCCGGCTGTCCAGACGAAGTCCAACCCTTCAGAGAACCCATGGACGAGAGCAAGACCACCGAAATAGTGTTCGCTGCTGCTTGGCGTGAGATATTCAAGAACAACGACGTTCCAGAAGTCGTTGGTGTAGCTTGCTGTGCTCAGTTCGCAGTGTCAAGGCAACAGATACTTAAGAGGACTAAAGAGGAATAGCTTCGCATGCACCAATGGTTGATGAATACCGAATTGGACGATTCGACCTCAGGACGGGTTTTCGAGTACTTGTGGCATATCATCTTCGGCCAGGAGTCTGTCTAGTATGTATTCAGGTCCGCAAACATGGATCATGAGCTGACGTTTGAATAGTTGTCCGAGTCTAGCACAGTGTTACAAAGATGTGTACGGCACTGAATGAACCAGTAGCATCCTGCTGATCCAGTCAAGGCAACCACTCCAAATACGATCGTAGCGAAGAGCATGGTCAACCAGCGGCTTACACTTCTGGAAGTCACATGAATAGTACATACTATACCAGCGACGTACGACAGCATCGCGAACGCGATGATCTTACGCTGAACAATACGGACAGCTGTTTGGAATTTGCGCGGTTGTCGCGCTTCGAAAAAACATGCGCTCGCTACGGCAGCACGACGGAGCGAGCGCCGGTGCAGACGACAAGAGATACCTATCGGCACAGCCGTCAGTGATGTTTTCGAGCGCCTCGCTGCCGTCCGTCCTAAAGCAGTAGATCGTGTTCGATGCAGCCATTTTGCATCGCGGCGACTCAGGCCGAGTCAATTCAGAGCATGCCACTTCAAGAATAGATAGAGGTCGTCAGGTTGCCGCAGGAGAACCATTGATCGGTTACCTCGGATTCCTGCCAAGTGCCGCTGCGCGTCTCGCTTCGTTGCATCCTCGCTCGTGTCGCGTGTTTCTATCTTGGTCGCGTCTCTATTCTTATGATTCTCGTGACCATCACTCGTAAAGACTACCTGAATAGCAGAGAACAGAAACATGATTTTGACGTGATCTGCAAGTGACGAAGAAGACACAGAGAAGATATGCGTCATCAAGAAGACGGTTGGTTGCAACAGACAACCGGCATGAACGCTGTTGTCAGAGGAGCGAACCTCTTCGCTACGCAGCCCCCACATCAAGGAGAAAACCAACAACCTTGCCAAGCTCCAAGCTGACTGTTTTGTTGTTTTGTTCTTGCTCCTGTGCTTTGCAACCGTTTTTTCCACATAACGGTGCAGCGCGTTGAGAAAACGTATTCGCAATCTGTGCCGGAAACAAACGAGTGTACATGCTATACACCGCGGAACCGCCTGAGATCCTCAACAAAGAAGTGGTCACAGTATTGGAAAAGCTGAGGGAGACAAGGACTGAGGCTGGCGGGAGCAATGACTCGGCGATCCTGTCAGTAAAAACCACGCAAGCGCTAGCCGAGAACCTGGGGGGATGAGGCTGGGAAGAAAACCCACTCCTGAGCTAGCGATGCCATGTCCTGAGACTAGCTTGAGCTGCATGCAAGGTACAGAAGCATGTTTTGGCTCATCAAACCATCACAGCGTCTCCTTAACCATCCAAGATTTGATCACAAAGAACGAAACAAGAGACTGAGAAATCACATCCAAACGGTGCCAGGTTTACGAGCATGTTGTTGGTGGAAGAGCATCGTTATCGATTACTTATACGAGGAAAACTCCCCGAAGACGAATCCTTCGTCCGTGCAGATGTTCTATTTGCGAACTCAAGCATCCATAATTCTGTTCCTGATCCATCCAACAGCTCCAAGTCCTGTCTAGCGCTGTTGCATGACGGGCAGCTGTCAAGAGTTGAGAACAAACCGGGGCCTTGGTGTGCATGGGCTGCAGCTTACTGAGGCTTTCGTATGGGCCTCGCATGCATATAATCAGCCCTGGTGGCAGGTAAGTTAATATAGCTATCCACAGATCCCCCGCCATCGTTTTTCTCGTTACCTTTCTGCTTGCTTTCCATATTAGAAGACTTTGATACCCCTGTGTTTTCTTCTCTTGCATCCTTCTCTTGCATTTTAATACTCCGTCACCTTCAACCCCCCTTCTCATCACGACGTACCCGCAAAGATGAAGTACACCACTGCCCTTCTCTCCCTGGCCGCCCTTGCCGTTGCTCAGGACTGTGTCTCCAACTACGAGTCATGTCTTCTTACCAAGGATGAGCCTTCTTGCAACTCTGAACTCGCTTCCTGCAAGAACGTCTGTGGTATGTTTACCATAGTGCCTCGATATTAGTGTGATTCAGCAATACTGACAACCCCCAGCCGAGGACCTCGACCAATGCAACCAGAGCGATGCCGGCTCCGTTGTCTGCCAGAAGAACTACAACTCATGCCTGAACACATTCCCCATCATCCCCGGTGGCTCAGACTGTGTTGCCAAGTTCATCAAGTGTGGTGAATCTGGCGAATCTTCCGAGAGCTGCAATGCACAGAACGCCGTCTGCAAGGACTCATGCACCAACATCAACTCTGCTTGTCTCTCCTCCGGCTCCGCTGATGTTGCCGCCTGCACAAAGCAATACAACGCTTGCTACTACTCTACCTCGGATGTCATCACCCTCGACACCGTCGCCAAGTACCAGAACTGCTTGAACGCTGGCACCAACGTGACTGCTTGCAACTCTGAGCTCACCAACTTCAAGGACGTAAGTAGATGCTTGTCTTGTCATTGCATATGCAAAGTATATCTAACATCCAACACAGGCATGCACAACCATCCAAGCCACCTGCCTCGTCTCCGGCGCCGCCGACGACGCCTTCTGCTCCTCCATCACCGCGGCCTGCTACTACAACGGCAGCAAGTGGACCCGCGAATCCTGCTCTGCCTCCTTCGCCGCTTGCACAGCCTCAGACTCCGAGTGCCGTGCCGAACTCACCATGTGCAAGGACTCGTGCACCAACGCCGAAGCCTCCTGCCGCACTGCCCAGAACGCTGACGCTGCCGCCTGCGCTGCCGTCCGCAGCTCTTGCCAGGGCTCCCCCAACGACCCCATCACTGACCCTAACGTTGTTTCTTCGTCCTCGTCTGCCTCTGCTGCTTCTTCGAGCTCTGCTGCTTCGAGCACTTTGAGCGCTGTTGTTGCCGTCAGCACTGGTGGCTACGTGTACAAGAACGGCACTGCTGTTGTCGGCAAGAACAGCACTTCCACTTTCACCCCTATCGCTTACACTGGCGCTGCTTCCAAGGCTGGCGTCTCGGCTGCTCTTGCCGGTGTTTTCGGTGTTGCCGCTTACCTTTTGTAAAATGTCAAACAGCGTTTGGGGATTTTTGTATGAAGTATCATAGACGATGAGGGATTTCAATTCTTTGGGTATCGGGGTTATAGAATGTGGATATGATCATCATGGGTGGAAAAAAATGATCAATTTAATGTATATTTACGCTGCTCTCTGCAAAGAGCATGAAAATCAAAAAGGTTGTAAACTTTATCATACTTGTCTGTCTCCTCAAATTATGGTGATCTTGTAGTGAGTAGCTCGATGGTGGTGTGAGGGCGCCAACTTCCCACTCGAAGCAGAACAGCGGTGATCTTAGAGTATGTATCCCGATCGAGGACAACAACATAGTATGATGAACCTCTGAAGATCCACGTGAAAGCTAGTCGGACCCGAGGGATGTTCATTGATAGCCACCAGCTCGATAAATACCCTCGATCATATATCTGGTCCAAAGACGGTTGCATGATTGCCCGGCTCATACGTTCCTTCTGCGTTAATCTAGTCATCGTTGGAAAGTGGTGTGCTTCCCGGATGAGGGACCAACTGTAGATATATATCAGCAGCGGAAATAGATAGCTCCAACAGACCAATCGACTTACATGTCCTGCTTTGATATGTAGCGCAGATTGAACGTAAGTCCATATCTTAATGGGTGTCTATACCGTCGAGATGCAGATCTGATCATTTTCATGGTGCAGCGAAAGATTACGCGTCTGCCCAAGGTGAAGACTCATCAGAAGTCAACCCAAGGTGTAGCACCATTGATCAGATTCGTAAGGAGAATGAAATGCCCATGTCTCCGTCGGGACTGCATATGAATTGCATGAACGTAGGTGCAGACAGCAGAACTGACTAAGCATCTCGCTATCCCGGAAGCCAATGATAGGATTGAGCTGTGCTTGTCGCTGATAGGCAGGCTGATTCGTGTACACTCGGAGGGAGTACGTGCACACAAGTGATCACGACGTGCTTCTTGCCGCCTATCATGTGCTGTCCTTATCCTCCTGTTTCACCCCGAAGGCCTGTTCGATGAAAGATTCGTAACTCTGCATCGAATCTTCCACAGCGAGCCGGTACTTTTTGCTGTGACGATTCAAACAGGCTTCGCGGACGTCTTTGATGGTAGGTTGGTATCCGTATATGGTCTTGAATCGCTCACATCTTTCTGCGTAGTCACACTGTATCTCAACATGATCCATTTCGGCCTGAGCGAGGTTCCTGTAAGTATCCTCGAGAATACTATCACGGATCTCGATCTGGGCATCGCTCAAAAGATGGTCCCCAGTAGAGTCTCCGTTTGGATAGAAAAGATGCTGATACTGTTGGACGGCTTGTTCGGCATGCCAGCTATATCTTTCGTGAGCAAATGAGCCCAATTATATTCAACAATTGACTCACAGAAAGTTCCTGTCACCAAGCGATAGGATACGATGACATCCTGCCTTATGAAAAGTGCTAAGGTCGGTGTATGCCAAAAGCAGACGGCAGAGACGCTCGCTTTCCTCGAAGTCTTCCGCGTCAAAGGTATCACTAGCTCTCTTGAACAGGCTCCTGAATACATGCTCCCGAGCGCTTGTCTCATAACCAGCCAACATCCTGAATGATCTCGAAGACTCAGGACTGTCAAACGAGTGGAGGAATAAGAAAAATCACAGCTTATACGACACTGGAGGAACAAGGTAAACAAGTCAATTCCCCCACAGTCTGAATGACGGAGCTCGAGAAGATCGAGTTCTTGACTTTTTGCAGCAATTTCGAGAAAGGGAAGAAGAAACCGCTTTAGGTAGGGGATCGCAGGCTTCACAACCCTATGCGACCACATAAAGACACAGTCCGGCCAGTCTCTTGACTCATAGCCCTACCTTGTGAGGTATATCAAACGTACTGCAAGCTCTGGAGCTGCTCAGGATGACGCTGTAACTCGGATATCGCTCGTTCAGGTGCTTGTACGGCGGACCAGCTGATCAGCTCCCGGAGCGGGTCGCGTGATGACTGGACAGTTTGGTCTGAGGGATCGTGAAAGTGTACGAGAACGGATACTCGAGCATGTACGATAGCCAGCTTCCGAGCCACTCGACGAAACGTGTTTGGTCGTGTCGAGAGAGGAGCGACAAGTGGTAGCTGGAAAGGCTTCAAGGCGGGCCAATTTGTAAAGAGCAACTTGACGCGAGCAACAGCTGAGTGGACCGACTTTACCCGGCGGCGTAGACCACCAAGACTTCAACCATTTGATGATTCCGTCCTTGCAGCGATACATCAATATAAGATGAGCAAGTTTCGCGTTCCAGGACAGCTAAGCGATGGTGACTGATCAACACCGAGCATTGTTGTAGTAGTGAGGGCGGCCACGCTGCGAGCGATCTGTGCGGTCTTGCGAGGTTTGTGCTGTTCTTGTTCGGCTTTTAGGGTCCTGAGAGATTTGTGCCTACTGCGAGATTGGCTTTCTGCGCGACTTGTGCTTGTAGCCTTGTAGAGCTGCTTGTAGGTTCTGCCCAGCTTATACATCAAAGACCCAAAGTACCTGAGGCGGGGCAGCACAGCGCAGCAGACTCTGGTTCTCGACCTTGAGAGGATGATCATTCGCTGGATTTCGTTGGCTCTTGTCAGCCTCGAGTCTCAGCACAATTGACGCAGGGTCCTTCCTTCCAAGGTTCACTGCCCCTCCAGCTCGATCCCCACTACGCACAAGTCGCGCAGCTGGTATATATACATCATCCACCACCACCACCACTACTCTTTCTCATCCACATCAACTCCCATACTAGTCATCTTCCTCTCGACTTCAAGTCTTCAATCATCCATCACCACTCTTCTTCAAACACCAACTCATCAACTCAACATCAACAACAATGGCTGGTGGCTGCGGCAATGCTTCTTGCTCTTGCGCCAGCTGCGGCTGTGCTGCCGGTAGCTGCACTTGCGGCGTAAGTATCTCTTTTCTGAACACAAGATCTTCACTGCCGTCACTGGCAACACTCAGGACTCTCAACTACGCTCTTTACATTCACCTTACTCTGTCCATGACAAAACTGACAGATATCGCAGAAATAAACCACTTCACTCCAGACACCACAGGCTCGTCATGATAAGTCCATGTTCATGATTTTGTTCCCTCGAGGCCTCACTGGCCTGAATGGATCGAGCCTCTGGCAAGTGGACTATCTATTATGAAACCTGATCACTATGAGCTTTTGGATCATCAGTCTCAAAGACCTCAACCACACCTATCGAGAAAAAAAAAGAAGCCACAAAAAAAAACACAAGATCTTTTTGGAACAAGCTTGGCAGAGTTGGAGCACATTATGGAACTCCTAGTTTGGGAAGAAGAAACACAAGTTCGTTTGATAGTCACAGGAGAATGATCGTTTTTCTACTCATAAGACTAAGGAAGGATAGTTTCCTGCACAAGCCATGTAAACGTACGAACGAGAATGAGACCGAGAACGAATGGATCATATATCATCCTTGTCAACTACTTCCAAGCTCTTGTATGCCCATTCTCACGTGCAAGTCGCAAACGTTCAATGTTCTTGTGAGCAGTGACGAACGCTCCAGCTGAGCTCAACGACTGTCCAATGTCACGAGCTGGATAGATGACATGTTGATGACATTGTTGGTTCTCTTGATTGATCCTGTTGTCCTCAGCATTCAACCCGTGATGATTGATGTCGATCATCTTCACAAAACATCTTGTGCCATATAAACGTATTTTCCAAAAGATGGTCAATGCTCGCTCGTGTGGTCTAGTGGTATGACATCTCTCTCACATAGTGTCTTGACATTGTTGGTTACAGAGAAGATCCTGGGTTCGATCCCCAGCATGAGCATTTTTTGCCCGATCAGCGGCACATGTCTGTCTAAGGTGGCCTCGGATAGTCCTGTAAGTGACTGTCCGGTCCGGGACGACATGTTTTTGCAGGCAGGCTTCGTGAAAAGGATCGCAGTCCAGGCATTCACACACAGGCGGATGCCTCGGACCGAAGAACCGTTGACGAAAACTTGCTTGGCATTCACATGCAATGACGAAAGGGGTCATGCTCGTCGTCCGGATCTTGCGCGGCATGTGGAAGTCGAACGAATGAATTCTCCTTCTTCGAGTATCAAGACTGTGAGGCGGTATGCCCAAACTCAGCGGCAGTAGCCCAATGTATTGTGCCGTTTCATGGCAGCCTTTGGTACGTGTGACCCCCGGAGCGAGTTCCATGGGTTTTTGTGTTTTGGTTTCCCCGCAGAGATGACATGCTCTTGATGGTACAAGCGTCCTGGGCAGCAACCGGGCAAACAACAGGAAGCACGCACTAACATGGCTTGAGGACGACAGACACACCTTGGATGAGCTCCATGTCGGATACATCGTCCACGTCCGCGAATGCTGGCCACTCAGCGCCTGAGAGGAGAGAATCCAACACGACAAAGCCTCCGACGGTAGCCGCCTTTTCACCCACCTCGCACTCGTTTCCTTCAACTCGACAACGCTCGACTATTCTCGTCCACCAAAAGTCGCCTCTACTGCTCGCAACGCCTCCGCAAGTCACCCGGGCTTTGGCATATTCACACCCATTCATTGTCCCTCTCAACAAGCTCGTTGGCCTGCTGTCATGGACGACTGGAGATGCCTGGGAGAGCTTCCTATTCGTGGCTGCCTTCTGGTTCACCGTCCTATATGGCGGCTATATACTGCGGTATATGGGCCCGCTGATATTGGTTACCTTCCTCATAGTGGGCATGTATCTTCGAAGGTACTCTCCGCTGTCGTCAACAGGCTGGACTGGTGAGAAAAAGAAGGGACACAAGAGAGATCACTCGGATGGCATCAAACATCGAAAGTCTCTAGATGAAATCTTGTCGACTCTGCAGACTTTCACGACGAGATGCAACATCCTGCTTGATCCATTACTTCGCTTGACCGACTTCCTGTCGACTCAGCAGACAGCAACATCGGCCACCACGCAACCTGCGCTCACAACCCTGTTCATCCGTATCATGCTCACGTGCCCTGTATGGTGGGCATTGACTCTACCTCCTCTCCGTATCATCACCACAAAAAGAATCGTTCTACTCGGCGGCACTATCTTCTTGTCCTGGCACTCACGTCCAGCACGTATTAGTCGCACCATTCTCTGGCGCTCAAAGACTGTCCGCGAGATTTGCACCATAATCACCGGTCTTGATCTCGGCGTTCCCTCAGCCTCGGCACCACCGCTGCCTCCACGACCCGGAACAAAAGGCGCTGTCAACGTGAACGCGAAGCCAAATACCGACTCGGGCGAAAGCATCCGGTTCACCTTCACACTGTACGAGAATCAGCGAAGGTGGCTAGGTATAGGCTGGACAGCGAGCATGCTGGCCTACGAACGTAATTCCTGGACTGACGAACACCTAAACCCAACATTCGATCCCACGCACTTCGAGCTACCTGAGGTAGAAGGTGGCATGGCAAAATGGCAGTGGGTAGAAGACAGCGAATGGCACGTCGAACTGCCCTCGTCCAAGAAGAACAAATCCAAAGACGCTGCCATCGATGACGATGACGCCTGGATATACTACGACAACAAATGGCGAGACGGCAGAAGAGGACAAGATGGCTGGGGCCGCTACACTCGCCGCAGAAAGTGGCTACGCGATGCCGAACTCGTAGACGTGATCCCTGAAGAAGAGAAATCCACACTGGCACCACCGCCAATCGCCACAGAGAAAGCAAAACCACCACCCACACCCCCACGTCCTACACACTCTCGCAACCACAGCAATCTCACCCAGGCGCTTAAGAATGCGCCACAACATACTCACACACCATCCATGACCACCGCCTCAACCATCACCACAAGCAGTGATATGGGTAGTCCATCCAGCAGCTACAAGCGCAAATCGTGGTTACCGGGTTCTGCGGGCAGTAGGAACAGAGCCAATAGCGGTGCCTCTGGGAGTACCGAAGGCAGAATGAGCAGAGGTGCTTCGAGGGCTGATGATGTCGTGCCTCCCGTCACGAGATTGAAGAACGATGAGGCGGATTGGGGATTAGGTGATGATGTTAGTATGGGTTTGGGATGAGTAGTGAAGAGGGAGAGAGTCGAATACGACTCAGAAATTATGGATGAAATGAAATGCTATTGGTTTATGATAAGATACTGGATACTTTTCCTCGTTCTTTCTGTCTGTTTGTGAATGGTAGTGAAAATGTGCCTGTTTCTGGAAGAGACCATGTATCTTGAGTCCCACGATGAAAGGAAAGATGGCCGATATCCTTTCCCCAGCCAATGTTCTTTCTTCGCTCATGGCTTTCTTTTGTGGTAGGTCTGCCACAGCCAGATTGTGCCGAGCCGGAAATCTTGAGGCGTCAGATGAAATTCCCTTCAGGTGGATATCGCGTAGTTGCAACCTTTGATAGCAGCATACTTGTGTGCAATGTGCTCCAAAGCTGCATCCAGTTCGCCCACAATCTCCTCTGGGCAACCTCTTGATATGCATTCCATCGCAACGCTTTCGTTGAAGGGTGACGACCAGATGATCTCGACCTGGATGGGGATGTGGCTGAGAACGTGGCACACAAGGTCGACCAGGCGAGGTGAATCGAGATATTTGGACCGGTCTTCTGGGATCAAACTTAGGCCTGCAGCCACGTGAAGGTCCAGGATTTGGAGTGATTTCAGCCTGGTGAAGTCACCCAGCGTGAACGCTCTGACAGAGAAGTCCGGCTCGTGTAGATCGACGCGCGCAGTCAGTCTAAGTTGTTGGATCTTTTCGGCAGTGCCGTCAGGCATGAGGTCCAAATGACGAGCGCAATCGAAATCGTAACCGAGATTCCATACACGATCAGTGTAGGCATATTTGACAGCCTCGAGGTAAACCTGTCTGCAGACTCGGAGAATGTTGACGCCCACATGAGGCCTGATCGTGGGTCTTTTGTGATTGATGCGTATGCCTAGCAATCTATAATAGCTCCATGTCTCATATTTGACGCCGCCGTTCTTCGAGAGGTGTAGCTGGTAGATGCGGTTGCGCAACTCAGATGGCAGTCCCAAGAAGTTGAAGACGTCTGATGGAGCGGTGACGATCGGCGTATCCATGTTGGATATAGTGAGGTGTTGGTGAGAATATGGTAAGATGTTTGGTAGTTGTTTGTGTTGCAGTCGGAGATGAAAGTGTTAATGCGCAGGGAAGGGAAGTGGTGTTGAGATGTGGGACGTTGTGGTGTGATCGGAGGAGAAGTAAAAGTTGGCGATAGTTCTGCAGACGCTTCACACGCCTCTGTCTGCGAGCTCCGTCAGTTGTAAGCAGACTCAGCTTCGAGACAACCATAATACTCAGTGAAGGACGTATACCAGAAGAGGACCAACGCGAAGTGATATTTCAATGTGTTGACTCACCTCTGAGCAGAGCCCTCACTTTCCTGAAACTGACTTTGTTCAAGTCATATCGAAAAAGTCCTTGAATCTGCTAGGTGGTATAGCGGCTAAACTATCTGGACTCAGAAAACAAGACTTCCCGAGTCTCGCCATGTACGGGTCAAAGTATGTGCAGACCCCTTGCCGCCAGTCACCGCTACTTGACACCCTGAGATCAAGGAACTTGGAAAGTGTTTTCTTCAGGAATAGTTTTTTGCTCTTTTGCTTTCGAGATGTTGATGTCTTTGCCACTTTTCTTTTCCAGTTATCGCTTGGGGTCGACATGGCTTCGTTGTGCGAGACAAAGCCAGTAGATGGATGCGTGCTCGATGGTTCACGGAGCTTATCTTACTGCCATGACTGGTAATCCAGTGCTCCATTCTGGTTCCAAGTCCTGACCAGCACAGACCGTGAGGGATTTGACCTCTTTATCTCTCAGGCACATCCGAGATAATGTCCTTGAGAAGAGGTACCTGATTTCTTAAGGTCGTTGCAGGAGGTTCATATTCCCTGATAGCTATCATCAGATGCTCCTGTCATCGTTGTCGCCAGTACCAAACACGTCCACTCATTGCGACAAATCGGCTGGATATATCATCATTTGCATAGGCAGTACTGCCTCCATCGTGTCTGGCTTGTCGTTTGGTGAGTTGATATCACTGTGGAACATGATGGCGATGCGACTCGGACCCGATCAGTCTATCGACATTCGACGACGCAATATGCTTGTCCTGCGATATGAATCGTGGAAGCTCTATTTCTACTGCGATCAGGTCCAGAAGACCGTACTCCCGACGCTTTATTTGCAGGCTGAACATTGCATCAACGTGTGTCGCACGCCTTTACCTGCATGGACTCAGGACTTTTGCCTCTGTACGAGCACGAAACATCCTCTTCGCCGCTATTGACCAGATTTACCCGGACCCGAGACCCAAGGATAAGACAGTTCTTTGCTCGCAGGTCTCCTGTACAGGAGACGACGTTGAAGCAAAGTTTACCAATGACACACCCCATGCTGTCACGACGCGCTGTGATTGGCTTCTCCAACTCTGCTTGGCGCACCTCTCCATGACTTCTCTACGACACATGCCTCGCGTTCTTGCCATCTATAGGTCCATGATCAGAAACGATCTTTCACGCCGCCGTGTCAGGTACTGGAACTCAACTTCCGCTGGACCCTTGATCTTCACCCTGCACCTGCAGCTTGTCCTCGGCATGTGTCTGCATCTATAGGCTGACGATGCGTCTCCTGTGCTTTGAGAAGGGGATACACCGAGGCCAGGAGGGGTAGCGGGGTGTTTGGCCGCATGCGGAGGTCGAGGTTTGCGACAATGTGCCATGAGCCTGTTGAAAAATGTTGTAGCTTACGTTGAGCACGAGTCGCACCCTCGAATGCTTTATGACAACAGGTAGGCCCTGATCCTTGCGTCTGCATCTCTTTTTGTCTATCTGCATACTTTCGTACCTTCGTCTCTGTATATTCACTTGTCGTTGTGACAATGACTGTTCAAGGAGTGCTTCAAGCGCTCACTGAGCCCTTGAATCAAATCAGCATTGCTACCGTTTTCTTGGTACTTCTTCTCATCACTTACTTTACCCTCTCGTTCACCGAACTCGAGACTGTCGGCAAGCTATTCAATGCTGCCGCTACCTCTGCAAAATTCGCATACTCTTGCTTCTTGAAGCCTCACACTGGAGACAACACCGGCAACCAGCAGGATGCTCTCGAGAGTTTCTACAGGACCCAAGCCAGCATTTACGATGTCACACGTTCTAGACTGCTCCACGGAAGAGAAGATATGCTGGCTATGGCTGCTGCTCAACTCTGTCATCAACTAGAGCAGGGTCAATACGCTCGCAAGCCAATCTGGGTCGTGAGTTATACTTCAAATCTGAGTATCAGTCTTTGGGCACTGTGCTGATTCTGCTGCTACTCAAAGGATGTCGGTGGCGGTACTGGCTGGAACATCGAACAGATGGAGAAACACATTTCTGTCTCTAGTTTCTTCCACGCAGTCTACCTCGTCGACTTCTCCCCTTCTCTCTGCCAGGTCGCCAGAACCAGATTTGCCCGCCTCGGCTGGAAGAACGTCAAGGTCGTCTGCCAGGACGCTCGCACTTTCAAGCTCAGCGACTACGAGGAGGGTCACACCGACGAAAGTGCTATCTTCAGCATTGGCAAGAGTGCACTCGACGAAAGCAGTGCAGTCGATAACGTCGGTGCAGACCTTTTGACTATGAGCTACAGCCTTTCCATGATTCCCGAGTTCCACCCTGTCGTCGACTCACTCGCCAATCTGCTCGCACCTAACGGTATCATGGGTGTCGTCGACTTTTACGTGCAGAACCAGATTCAGTTCCAGTCTCGCAACTATGTCGGCGGTGTCATCGATCGTCACTGCATGTGGATCTCTCGTATCTTCTGGGCTGCATGGTTCGAGATGGATAGAGTGTTTTTGGACTCGTCTCGCCGTGTAAGTGCTTACCACCGATATTTTGATGCAGTAGCTGATTCTTGCAGGACTATTTGGAATATAAGTTCGGAACAATCTTGAGTTCAAACGCCCGCAATCACTTCTTCGGCTTTAGAATCCCGTATTACGTCTGGATTGGTTGTGCTAAGCAGACCAAGTCATCCATGCACAAGCTCGCCGCTCTCGATGCCGCTGTAACAGAATCACCCTTCATCAGTGCTCTCGACCTCCAACGCAAGTCCGTCGGAGGTGCAAGAAGAGGATCGTCCTCCGAGCGTCGCTCAAAGGCATACGAGTCGGCCATTGTCAACTTGTCGGCAAGCCTGCCCCTACCTGCAGCATGGTACCAGCAACACCACTGGCGCATCTACTACGATGAGCAACTGCAAAAGCACAAGCAGTTTGGTGACGAGTACATCTACGCCTTCACCTGGGAGGACGCCAGAGTCGATGCACGCCTCCTCAAGATCACCTCAGAGGATGTCATTCTTGCCATTACAAGTGCAGGTGACAACATCCTTGCTTACGCCCTTGAACAACCCAAACGCATCCATGCCGTCGACCTCAATCCCAACCAGAACCATCTTCTCGAACTCAAGGTCGCTGCTTTCACAGCTCTCGGCTACACAGATGTGTGGAAGCTGTTCGGTCAAGGCAAGCACGACGACTTCCGATCTCTATTAATCAATCATCTGAGCCCCCATCTATCCTCTCAAGCCTTTGACTACTGGCTCCACAAGGGCAACGCTACCTTCGGCGAAAAGAGCCGTGGCCTGTACTACACCGGTGGCTCTCGCCACGCAATCCAGCTAGTCCAATGGCTAGGCCGTCTCCTCGGCATCCGCGCCGACCTCGCCGCCATGTGCTCAGCAGCCACTCTAAACGAACAGCGCGAAATCTGGTCCAAACGCGTCCGCAGAGTCCTGCTATCCCAATTCCTCAACTACACCGTCATCGGCACAGAAAAGTTCCTCTGGAAAGCACTAGGTGTGCCAGCAAACCAACGCGCCATGATCGACGCCGATTACCTGCACCAAACCGACCCAAAGTCAAAAGTCAGCGGCGTAAAATCCGGACAGGCCATCTGGGAGTATGCGGTCAACACCCTCGATCCGGTCGTCAACAACACACTGGTGTCGGAGGAAAACCCTTACTACCTCATCTGTCTCCAAGGCCAATACACCCAGCGCTGCCACCCTGATTACTTGGCCCCTCGCTCCCACGTCAAACTCTCCAAACCCAACGCCTTTGACGGTTTGCGCATCCACACAGACGAGCTCTGCGAGGTCATGGCACGCATGACGCCCGAAACCCTGACCATCGCTGTTCTCATGGATAGCATGGATTGGTTTGACCCCGCGGGCCCTGAAGCAGACGCTCAAGTCAAGATAGTGAACAGAGCACTCAAGATGGGAGGGAGAGTGCTGTTGAGATCTGCGGGCTTGAAACCTTGGTATGTGGATACGTTTGAGAAGAGGGGATTTGTGGCCAAGAGGGTTGGCGCGAGGATTCCGCCGGGGAGTTGCATTGATAGGTGAGTTTGCTGCTGACGCTTTGAACTTCGAGACTTGTGGATGGAGTTGCTAATGTCGGAATACAGGGTCAATATGTATGCTTCTACATGGATCTTGACAAAGGTTGAGGCTGTTGCGCAGGACTGAGTGGGATCTTCGTGCTCCACCCACAAGCGGACGAAGAGAGTTTGAGGACGGTCGGGTCTGCTAGCGATATGATGATGGATAAACGAATGTGTGGATTGCTCCGGGATTGTCGATATGATGGGATAGCATGCACGGGTTGTCAGTAGAAAACAGCGTTAGGAGAATCGGCAGAAATGAATATTACGAGTGTCAGTAAATATAGAAAATGGAGAACCAGGGTTTCAAGTGCACTCGCTCAACGAAAAATGGTCCGAAGATGTATATATCATTTTTACCGATTGTGTAAAGCGCCAAAGAAAAAAAACGTATTTGAACATCTACCAAAGCAGCAGACGCAAAGAAAAGAGAAGCCAGCAAGCGGAATTCGTATGAGGGGTTGGGTTGGGTGGGAGGGTATAGATATATTGGCTCAAGCCTTCTCAGCCTCGAGCTCCCGCTCAGCCTGTTGGTAGTACTTTGCCGTGTCGACACCGTGCTGGTTGTGGTTGACAAAGTTGAACCAGGGCATCACGTGGACCCAAACGCCCGAGTAGCGGGATTGGCGCGAGGCGACGCCTTGCATGTACTCGGTGAGTTGGGAGGTACCGTAGAGTTCCTCGCCGCGCTTGACCTTGTCGACCATTTCGCGCATGTCCATGTCGATTTCGCGGCGGTTTTCGGTGAAGCCGTAGAAGCGGTCTGATGGAGAGTGTGTTAGTCTGTGTTTTTCTACAGAGCGTAGTCCAGATATCGTAGCGCAGTGGCTTCCAAGCTCTTTTCATTGCGGGGGGATTCTGGTGTAGGAAGAGAGTAGAACGCACTGATGGATCTCGAGTAGCAGAGGTAGAAACCGGCAAAGAGACCGATACCACCGGAGAGACGCATGACACTGGCGAACATGCTGCGGGAGACACCGGTGGGAGAAACGCGCTCCATGAGGGTCATGGTAGCGGGGACCGAGGCGCCGAAAGCCACGCCGTACAGGTAGTCACCGGGACGGGCATAGGAGAGGACGCGCTTGAAGTGGCTGAAGAGACAAGAGGTTAGGCGGGAGAACGTTCGAGGTAGAGTCGGAGCTGGGTCGCTTACGGGTCACTGTCAATGAGCTGCGAAAGTGGTCAGTGGTGGTGGTTTGGCGAGCGATTGTCTTTGGTGTCATACAGGGTAGGGGGTGTTCAGGGCCTTTGCGGGGACCTGCTGCCTCTCTCTCATTGGCACATCGGTATAACTCGGCATGGCGGCGGTGTGTGTGGTGATATGGTCGGGTTCCTACTCGTCGATGGTTGCTTGAATGTCTCATCCGCTGCCCGTCGACTGCTCTTGGCGTTTGATGCGCTTGGGCCCCGCTCTGATGACCACTGACAGGGTCACCTCCGACTTCTTCCCCACAACATCTTGGCATTGACATCCAACACCTTTGTCCACGCGCATTCACCTTGTCGCAAACCACGTATCAACTCATCACTCCCGCCAATCTCCACTATCTGGGTCCAGCTTCAGCCTCTAGATCACCCTTCACTTCACACACGCAAACATGGCCTCGCCGGCCACCGAATACGCTCAGAAAAGCGCCTCAAACCCTCCACAACCAGCACCATCAACCACACCCGCACCACAACAAGCCCAACCCGCTCCCTCAGACCAACAACCCACCAGCACCACCGACGACGGTCTGTCCCGCCGCCCACGCGACGCCCGCCTCATCCACCTCATCCTCTCCGCCCAAGGCGTCCACAGCTACCAAGAACGCGTGCCCCTTCAACTCCTCGACTTTGCATATCGCTACACCTCCTCCGTCCTCGCCGACGCCTTCCGTCTCTCCTCAGAAGGTTATGCTTCCGCTCCCGGCGCTCCCGCAAATTCAAAGCGCTCAGAGGCCACCGATGGAAGTAACATTACTGTCAATGCGTTGCGTCAGGCCATAGCCTCGCGTCAGGATTACCAGTTCCAGGGTGCGCTGCCTAAAGAGTTTATGATGGAGCAGGCCGTGGAGAGGAATAGGGTTGCTCTGCCCAAGGTGCAAAAGGCGTGGGGTGTGCAGTTGCCGCCGGAAAAGTATTGTCTCACTGGCACTGGATGGAGTTTGCGGGATCTGTGGGAGGAGGATGAGGTTGTGCAAGGTGAGGAAGAACAGCAAACTAAGCGAGAAGGCAATGGAGATGTGAGGATGGAGGGCATTGCCGATGGCAAAGTCGACGAAGGCGAGGAGAAGGATGCTATGGACAGCTTCGAGGATGTCTTTGGCGGCGATGCCCATGGAGATGGTGACGGCGATCAGGAGATGGCTGAGGCTTGAGGGAAAACATCACAACAGTGCAGAAGGCTATTCGCACAAAGGCAACGGATCATGCATGGTCAAAAAGGCGTTCGGGAGGAATTGAGGTTGGCGCAAGGCTACGTACGATATTATACCCTGCATAGACGACATGGAGATTTTCTCTCTATAAGACGACAAGAGAACACCAGACTCGCCGTCCTGCAAGCCACATGTGTCTACGGCAATAGAAACCAGAGCGCCAGGGAAGGATGAGGTTATTTTCTTATGCTCTGGGAAAGTGCAATAGCAAGCAGGATTGCAACCGAGGTGGCTTGGAAGAACTGCATCCAGATAGGTCTTTACAAGCCCTTCACCCAGACATGTTTCATAGCACAACAGGCTTGAGCCCCGTAGACACACTATGATCGAGCGTCGCGTCAGAACGGGAGAAGCATGGTCGCGACAAGACTGGTACACGATTGCTTGTAAGCTACTGCCGAGCTACCGCATGAATCATGGCCACCGAGAGCTGGCTACGACAGAAAAGGGCGACAGCGAATATGGGTCCAGCATCAGTCAAGGTTCTGTTGCTGGCTTGTCCGACTTCTCTTGGAGGTTCGACGCGTTCTGGAGGTCTGACTTGTCTTTGCCGGCGGCAAGCTCGGCTTTCCTTCGCAGGTAATACTCTCTTGAGCGTTGGTTTCTAGCCTGCCTGTGTTCAGGATCGTTGGCATAGCGCTCTCTCATACGTTGGAGGACAGCCTGTCGGTGTTCAGCATCACTGGCATATTTGTCCCTCAAACGCTGCAGCAAAGCTTCTCGATACTCGGGATTGTTGGCATATCGGTCAGCCAATTGTTGTAGTTTCGCCTGCCGGAATTCAGAGTCGCTGGCATATTTGTCCCTCAAACGCTGCAGCGAAGCTTCTCGATACTCGGGATCGTTGGCATAGCGCTCTCTATTACCTTGGAGGACAGCCTGCCGGTATTCAGAGTCGCTGGCATATTTGTCCTTCAAACGCTGCAGCGAAGCTTCTCGATACTCGGGATTGTTGGCATATCGGTCAGCCGATTGTTGTATATGACTCTGGCGGAACCCAGGATCGTTGGTGTACCGTGTCTTCATGTATTGACAAGAAGCGCGAATCCTCTTCTGGCGATATCCGGTGTCAGTGGCATATCTCCATCGCGCATAGGCATTGCGTTCGTCTCGAGTCCAAGATGTTTGTGGTCCAGGAGGGCGGACAAAGTCAGGAATGGCAACAAGGCTCCTGACCCAAGCTTTTCGAAATGTCCAGATTGAGGAAAGTATTGGGCGAGTATAGGGCAGTAGAAAAGGCATTGTGTGAGACAAAATGTCCTTATCAGAGCAGATTGGATGAAAAAACTGTCAAGAGTGCTGTCAGTGATCAAAGTGGTACCAACCTTCATATCGAGAGTGAGACATGGTTGTTAAATTACATTTGTGCACGATCAACCCCGCTTACATTAACTCAGAAGCTTTTTATAAGGCCTGCTACAAGAAGTCATTGATGGTGGATGATCCAAGGCAGGAGGAAGTGTCAGTGTGAGCCTCAGGTCGTGGTTGGCCAAGACTTGTTCTGACCTCGACTTTTGGCCGGGGCGGGTGTTGGGCGAGCTCTCGTCTCGCTGTGACGGCTGCCGGCGACTGCGCGCTGGCTATACCGAGCACAACCACGCCTTTGTCCAATCCTCTCCACCCACACACACCTCACCGCCGCCATGTTTGTCCGTCGCGTAGCATCCGGTCTCGCCAAGCGTGCCGCCTTCCGCCCCGTCGCCGCCCGCCCTTTCTCGTCGTCCTTCGCTCGCTGTAAGCCGCAACCAACCAAAGCGCATACCAGTTGCATGACCAAAACCAAAACTCACCCATTGAACCCTGCCAGTCGACGCCCACAGCGATCCCAAGCCCGGCCAACACTCCAACAAAGTCAAGCCCTTCGAGGGTGCGTTCCACCTGCCTCCAGCCCGCGCCGCCCTCGTCCAATTGAACTGACGCTGTGCTCGTTGCGCAAAAACAGAGATCCAGAATGAGCACGACCTTATGCCCGCTGGTGCCGAGCCCGGTACCGTCCCCACCGACATTGACCAAGCCACCGGTCTCGAGCGTCTCGAAATCCTCGGAAAGATGCAGGGCATCGACGTCTTTGACATGAAGCCTCTCGATGCAAGCAGAAAGGGTGCGTTTGGATCTCTCATATCACACCCACCCACAATACAACGCAAAGACATTGACCCTTTTCGCTCGTTACAGGCACCATGAAGGAGCCCATTACCGTTCGCTCGTTCGGTGACGAGCAGTACGTTGGTTGCACCGGCTGCCCTGCCGACTCGCACGTCGTTGCTTGGTTGACCATGTCGCGCGACCGCCCCATCGAGCGCTGCCCCGAGTGCGGCTCCGTCTACAACATGGAATACGTTGGTCCCGAGGAGAGCCACGACGCCCACGGCAACCACGGCCATGACGTCGGCCGTACGATACTCCCCTTCTATCCTCGACACTGTTGCTCTTCCGCTAATTCATCACAGACGCCGACACTGACGGTTCCCACAACTTCGGCGGCGAGCCCAAGACCCTCGCCGACTTTGTCCGTCCCGAGTACAGATAGACTCTTGCCTTTTTTTCCACCCGCGAATGCTTGGAAGATCAGGGAGGGATTGCAGATAAAAACTGTATCATAGCGTGCAATCTCATCCCCGGCTTTTGGCGCTGTTTTATTCCTCTTCACAAAAGAAATCAATTATAGGTTGTAAACCATCTCATGGGATATCATCTCCGGATGTGTAATTGCAGTGACACAGAGGTTTGAGCGACGATACACAGACAAGACACAAAGGCACAAACATCAGAACATCACAGGTAAGAAGAAGACAGAAACAAAGGCACATTTAATCAAAAGGGGAGAAAAGAATTCGTTATCATTTTTCATAAATCACCTTCCCACCCATTACGAGCGGCAGGTCGAAGAAGAAGTCAAGTAGCAAAGCAACCATATTCGCCTTTGCTTCACCCCACAGCAAAAGAGCACTCCAGACACTACAAAGCACAGCAAAGCAGAAAAGGCCACCCATCCATCACATCACATCCCCATGATTCCATTTTCCATTCCATTTCCGTCATATCATCGCATCGCATCAGCCTCTTTCAAGCACCAGAGCGCCAAACCCTCGATCTACCGATCAATCCCGCATTGCCAGCCTCATCAGGCACGGCAACAACACTAGGCAACCCCTGCAACCCCGAAGCAGTACCAACCGCAGGCGCAGGCACAACAACAACGCTAGCAGCAGCAGTGACATAACTAGTCATAAAATCCGTGACGGTCTTTGTGGTGCTAGGCGTAGCAGCAGCTTTGTTGGCAGCAGTGACTGAATTCGTGACTGTAACCGTGACGAAAGAAGGGAAATTGAAGGGTGGATGATTGACGCCAGAAGGTGGGCTGAAGAATGGAGGGGAAGGGTTGTCGGAGGAGGGGTGAGAGGGAAATGGGTTGGAGGGGTTGTAGGTGGGTCCTGAGGTAGAGAGAGAAGTGTTAGCGGATGGGAAGGGTGGGAGGGCGATGGTGGGGATAGGTGGGTACTCACTGGAGGGTGTTGAGGTGGTGGGAGAGGAAGCGACAGAGGAAGTAACGGAAGAGGTAGTCGCAACCGACGAGGCAGCAGTTGAGGTGGCAGCAGAAGAGACAGGAGCAGCAGTAGCAGAGGAATCATCAGCAAGAGTGTAGAGAGCGCTTGTGGTCAGCGCAGCTCTGTCCCTGAAATCACTGACAGCCAAAGTCTGAGCATCCTGCTGACCAATTGTGTGGACGGGAGCTGCATTGCTAGGCGAGTCGACAATCTGAATCTCGGCGCACGAAGTGTAGTATTCATCCTTGCCATTGGGGTAGACGCCAACGCCAGCATCAGTAGGCCATTGCCAGACCCAGTAGACGGTAACGGTGTCACCAGCCTTGTAGGTAGTAGGAATGTGGACGTCGGTCTCGCACCACTGCTCAACGTTGGAGGTAGGTTGGCCGAGAACATGGTCGGGGAACTGCTGTTGACGTTGAGTGGAGATGGCACCAGGATTGATCTGATGACAGCGACCATCATCGTAGTTCTGAGCAGCGATTTGAGAGCCACGGGAATCACCACCAGTGCCAGCAGTGTTCCACTTGAGGACATCAACAATCTTTTCAGTATCCGACGGCTTGGTTGTGGCGTAGACAAAGACAGTACCACCCATCTTGGGCTTGCCAGGTTGATTTTGAGGCAGAGTGACGTGGCCGTTCTCAAGGTACTTCATGGCAACGTAGGATCCAGGAGCAGCTTGGAGACGGGGGTGAGTGTTGTCGTAGTTGGATGTGCGCTGACTCGGGTGACAGAGAAGATTAGTTCCATCGATGCGGGTGCGGCCTGTGCTAAGGGCTGGCAAGAGGTAGACAATCGATTGCTCGTCAAAGCCGGGAGTGGTACGATCAACGTAGCCGCGAGTGAAGCCATAGTCGCCAGTGTAGTTGCCAGTGGTCGAGTCAATAACCTGCATCTCCTCGACCCAAGTGTGAGCGGATGCCTGACCGAAAACGGCGGTGACCACAGCAGCAGAAAGTGCGAACTTCATTTTGAGAGATGTTCGGGTTGATGTAGTGTTGAGAGATGTGTTGTTTGGAAAACAGACGTGTTGTAGCGGAAAAAAGGTGACAAAAGATCCTCGAACCTGCGAAGAATATCTTTGTAGAGTGTGTGAGATGACTTGTCGTTTTTGTTTTTTTCTCGAAGGAACCTGATGTCTTTGACGATAGTAGAATTGTCTGAGTCTTGCTCGTGGTTGGACGGCGTCAAGTTCTTTCTTGTTGTTATGTCTGAGATGGATTTTCGAGAACCTTCAAGGCTGGTCGAGGGAGTGCTTATGTAGAAAGATAATGCCAGAAGACGCACAGAAACTTGAAAGAAGACAACAAGGGCGTCTGGCGCAGGTTTGATGGACAGGACTAAGAGTCTGCACAAAGAGAGCTCAATGTGGCACAATGGCGACAATGACCTCGAACAATGCAAAAACAAGGAAACAATTGTGGGCAAAGCGAGCGGCGATAACCAGTATTGATGAATGAATGAGCGTGACGAACAATTGGACAAAGACTGTTGACAGTGAAGGTGATGTTTGGTGGTAAGCGTGGTGAAGTGAAGGTTGTTGGCGGTGGATGTTGTTGTTTGCGCTTTGGTTCCGTGACGCGCCAGATCCAGCTAGCGATGCAAACGAGCAAGAAGACGACAACCGCCGGTGATTTTGAGGCTGGAAAGAGAAGAAGCTGGCTGCTAGTAGACACCTGAACACTAACCGATGCAAGAAATGGTTACAGGAAAGGATTAAACTGCCGGCAGCTGTGTGACCGGGGACAAAAGGCTCAAAGGACAACGACAGCTGGGCAACCTCAAACCGGGGACGTGGGATCTTGTATGTGACACTCGAGAGACTAGTTTATGTGTATGGCAGGCTCATGAGATCCTATTGAGGTCGAGCAAGGTCGAGACTCCGAAGCAAACAAGCGTTTCATCGACTACTAAGACCGGGCGGCAGTTTTGACATGTCGCGCGCGTGTTCAATGGCTCCTGAACTTGCATTTGTTTCTTGATCTTCCGAGACACATGCAGCAGCCACGTGTGTATACCAGTATGCTCGGCGAGTTGCTATGCCTAATTGCTCTCCACGGGCGCTGAAGCCATGTGAATGTCGCAAGCCTCATGTTAAGGAGCCTCGCACGTCACCCAGGACTTCAGCGACAAAGGAGTCGGATGGCCATTTCTTTGTCTTTGCGATACAATCTCACATACACTCGCCTCCAACGAGTATGAGACTCTTGAGTTTTCATGCAAGACATTCAGTCCTCGACACTTTGAGAGACCGTGTGTCGTGCACCACGGTTTGACAAAGCGCTGTGTGCGACCCGAGAAAGACTACCGACTTGTGGAAGGAGGAAGAAAGAGGGAAGGGACGAGGTGAGCTTTCACGCATTGTCCAGACCCGCGCTTGCGACGCTGTTCTGATTGGTCACCTTCAACTTCCCACTTGCTCTCCATCTCGCGCCCGAGTCACAGTTGGCCATTTTCAAGAATACACATGTCTTCTAGGCGCGCGCCCGAAGTGGAGAGAAGCTAGGTCTGAGATTTCGGTGTTCGATGCATGCATGTATGGTATGCGTCTGGTCTCATGATCATCGAGAGAGAGGGACATTACCCGGTTGAGAGAACGGGTGGGACAGGAGAGACCTTTCTCCCTCTCGATCATATTTGTTCTGCAATCTGCCCTGAGCGGATACTTGCACGTATACTGATGTGTCTTGCGGACGTCGAAATAGTGACAAGATCAGATGTCAGGATGTACATTCATCGGAAGTATTTCTCCGCTGCCAGCACCCATACACGGATAGATGCATTACCGCTTTACCAGTCGAAAAGAAGTAGTGGTTGACGTATACATGTTCTTGAAGGAAACTCATGCTGTGTTGGTGCAAAAGAGACGACACAGCATATGTATCAAGCTTATTCATAAGTCTAGACAGGTAGTGCATGTAACGATCGGCACTGCAAAGCTCGAATTTCGAAGGATGGACTCGCGGGAGGATCGAAATGCGAAGCCAGGAGATGCTAAAGCGGTTTGCGTATGAGCGTGTCATATGATTATGTTATAGTATATATGATCGTCAAGCAGTGTTTTTGCCCAGCCCCTCTTTATACCGCGCAAGACACCGGTCCCTACAGACCTTGTGATCGACCATCGGTCGGGGGTAACCAGCCTTCTCAGCCTCCTTGGCCGCTCCTCTGCCATAAGGATCGTGTATGGCCTTTCCCTTGATATTCTTCAACTCCGGCAGCCACTTTCTGATGTATTCACCTTGCTCATCAAACTTCTCGCTCTGTAGCAATGGGTTGAAGACACGGAAATATGGCTGTGGATCCACACCTGTAGATGCAGCAAAACCCCATCCGCCATTGTTGGATGCGAAGTCGCCGTCAATAAGGTGTTCCATGAAATATCTTTCACCCATGCGCCAATCGAGCAGAAGATCTTTGGCGAGGAAGCTGGCGACGATCATTCTGCATCTGTTGTGCATGTAGGCCATGGAGTGCATTTGGCGAATCGCTGCATCGACAATTGGGAAGCCGGTTCGGCCTTCGCACCAGCGTTTGAACTGTTCATCATTGTACTCCCATCTGACCTTCGTGTACTCGTATTTGAAGGGCTTGGACATACACACATAAGGCCAGTGAGCTAGCACATGTTTGTAAAAGTCTCGCCAGGCGACCTCGGAGATCCATGTCTTGATGCCCTCATTGCCAGCGTCCAATTTGTTGGACGTATTAATGTTACGAGCACTTCTAATGGCCGTCCTCGCTGCAAGCGTTCCGGTTGATAGATGTACAGAGATAACGCCAGTACTGTTGGCAGCAGGAATATTACGAGCATCCTTATAGTTATTGCTCTTCTTCTCCAAGAATTTGTTGAGGCGGTCGAGAGCTTCATGCTCACCTGGCGGCCATAATGCCTTGAATCGTTCTCTTTCTTCGTCGCTGAGCTTCTTGTTCTCGGGAGCTGAAGGTATCTCTGCTTTGAATAAGTCCGCATACTTCTCACGAGCCGAGACAGGATTCTGATCTGGCGCGGCAAATTCATCCAGCATAGTCGGGTTCGCGTGAAGGTGTTTGACCCAGGCCTTGAACCATGGTGTGTAGACTGAGTATTGCTTGCCTTGGCCTGTTGTGAGATCGCCCGGTGGTACTACAACATCGTCATGGACTGCATGGAAATCGATGCCTTTTTCAAGACACGAAGTAGTCAAGCCAGCGTCCCTCCTTAGCTCGTCGACCTCATATTCTATTGCGCAGAAGACGTGTTTTGCACCCCAATTCTGGCACAGCTCGATGATGCGACTCGGCACATTCTTGCGTATCTCAACAGTTTCGGTGTACAGAGGAATATCTTTCTTGGCCAAGTCCTCCTTGAGTACTTGCAAGGTCCTGAGCTCGAAGTCGACACGAACGGCAGCAGTCAAGTGAGCCTGATAATCCTGCGGACTGACGATAAACAAGCAGATCAGAGGCACACCCTTCGATTTTGCCTTCTCGCTCGCCAAATGAAGGGCGCGATTGTCTTTTGTACGCAGATCGCGTTTGAACCAATGTACCACCGCGTCCCCAATTTCGATCTTTTTGCGCGCAAAGGCCGTCTTTTGCACGGCTTGAGTGAGCAACTCGATGGGCCGTGGAATCTCGTTTGCGTTGTAGCGAGCGCATCGTTCATTTGACATCTCAGCCGGGTAGAACTCTCTCTGTATGACACCGTATTCTTCCTCCTGTTTCTCGCGATCCGGGTCTTCATATTCTGGTGCTTCCGTCTTGATCTTGGTGTCGGGCTCGCTCTTCACTTCAGGCTTCACGGATGGTTGCAAGGCGTCGAAGGCAGTCTTTTTGAGAGCAGGAGCTTCGGTTGGTAGACTCGAGGTGGCTTTGCGCTTGGGAGGCATTTTGTAAGAATGAAGGGCGGCTGAAGTTGTTCGCAAAGGCGTGACTGGTTTCGCAAAGGAGCTCAATCTGGTGCGACGGCAGGCCTGGAGGGCAAAGTGTCGCATGTACGACGGGACGAATAGCAATGTAGATAGTACGAAAACATGGCGATGGGTATTGTTTGGACCATCAGAGTGCTTCTTTGTCGCAACGGCCGATCAATAGGTTAACGCGTAGAGCGTGTCGATCGATCGCCAACTCGCTGACGTCGTTGACCCTTGAATCAGTCCCTCCTCCAGCGTACAAAGGCCTGGATCAACAATACCACTATGAGAAGGCATAACGATCTTTACGCCAGAGATGGTTCCAAAGAGAACCGAGAGTACGTCACTTCTCAATGGACAGTAGCCTGTTTCCCAAGACTATGGTGCATCTCGACAGCTGTCGCGGACCTGAGCACATGTCGAGGAAGTCCTATCATACTCGGATCTGCACCGATTGTCAAGTATATGCTTGATATTATAGACACTATGAACTAAGTACCTACACAATTACCCCCTTTGCACTCATCACTGCTCTCATGCTCACGTAGTCATCGTTCAACTAAGCACGCCAGCAGCTCTCCACACAACACCCTCGATGATACCAGCCCATCTGTAGAGAGCCTTCTTGTCGCCTGCCTGAACTGCCTCAACGAGTCCAGGGTATGTGTCTCCGGCATATCCGGTCCATTTGCCGGGAGCAAACACAACGTGCTTAAACCAGCTTCTACCATCAAGACCCTTAGGAAATAGGAAAGCACGTTCCAGTACCTTGTACTGCGTGTTGACAGCGCGGATCTGGGCAAAGAGTCTCTTGGTGGCAGCAGCGTTAGGCTTACCCTCTGCTGCAGTGGCTTTGACAGCCAGATCAGCAGCGTGCGCATCAAACTTATGCGCAGCACGCTGGAGTTGCTCGATGGCCAGGTCGAGGTTGGCGAACATGGACACCTTTTCATCCTCGTCGCTGAAAGCCATGCCGGACGAGTTGGCCATGTGCTTGACACTGTCGAGATATCTCTCGAGGCTGAAAGCGTAGTCGCTGGCATTGAAAGGAACCACCGGGCTTTCGATCAACGAGGCTGCGAGGAGAGACCACACCTTGGCCGCTGTGACATGGTATTGATAAGTGGGGTCGCCGTACTTGACCATCCAGGCGTAGCTGTCGTAGTTGCTGTGGTAATGATAGATTGGGTCGAGAGGGCCAGTCTTACCGAAGCCGAAGTCAGCACTGGGAATACCAGCAAAATCCTGGAAGGCTGTGAAATCGGATCCAGATCCCATGGTCCCAATGTGCTTGTCCCAAAGGTCATACACAGTTGATCCTTCGACTGTCTGATTTGGCGACTTGATGGACTTGGTAACTTCGTAGATGGCTTGGTTCAGCAAAGGTGCCGCATTAGCGTTGAACTTCGTGCCACGAGTGCCGACATCAACGTTCAAGTACGCCACAGCAGAGTTTTTGAGCCAGGGCAGATAGTCTTCAACCCACTCAGTGGAACCGACAAGACCGTACTCTTCGCCATCCCAGCTGGCAAAGACGATTGTCCTTTGTGGCTTCCACCCTTTCGACAGAGCAATACCGAATGAGCGAATCACTTCATTCAGTGCTGACGACCCCGAGTTAGGATCAGCGGAGCCGCCGGCAACCCACGCATCTCTGTGGTTACCGAGGATGATAACTTCATCTGAAATGGATCCATTGATGACACCGATGGTGTTCCAAATAGGAGTGATTGTGTAGTTCTGCAGGTTCATGATATTGATGGTGACCGATGGTGGTGAAGGGCCGATGTTGTAGGAGACATTTTTATGTTCAAGACCGCCCTTGTGCCAGCGAGCAGGGAAGGATGACGCGTTTGGCCCGTGACCGTTCAGTGCCTGGAGCAGGGGAATGGCTTCGGCATAGGAAATGGGCAACGATGGGATAGAAGGGGTAGATGCATTTGCGGCTTCGCGAGGCACACCAGGCTTCGAGGCGTATCCAGGAGTAGTAGGGTCACCAGGGAATTGACCTGCACATACGATGTTAGTATCTTTTGCGGAACAACAACAAGAGGATGTTTACTCAGGTATTGGACGCTGCCTCTTTGCACAGAGCTTGGGTTCCGGGCGGGTCCGTCGGGGTATGGCTTGTAGCCATTTACTTCGGTGACAAGACCATCATCACCAGGGTCGCTGTAGATGATTGTTCCTACCATTCCGAGCTCTTGGGCTCTCTTGACCTTGAGACCTCTGAAGATAGCACCGTATCTCACGAGCGCGATCTTACCCTTCAGCTCAACGCCTGCCTCGAGCAGATTCTCAAAGTCAATGAAGGTACCGTAGTTGCAGTAGACATATTGCGCAGTGACATTGCCGCTAGCAGAATAGCCGTGGAAGGTAGGCACACGATCTTCGGCGCCAGTTGTAGGGTCCTCTTCTAGGACATCTTCCTCGAGAGTTGCTTCGAACGAAATCTCACCATCCTTCAGCAGAGCAAGTCTGTGGTCCAAAGGATAGTTGATGTAGACTTCATATGGTACGACCTCACTCTTGACACCAAACTCCTCCCATCTGTTCTTAGTCCAGACAGCTTGACTGAGGTTTTGCCCAGCAAGATGAGGGCCTGCAGTGTAGAACTGGGACCACTCTTTGGCCTTCTTCGGATCGGGTGTGGTCGAGAGGATGTCTTTGAGATCTGCGTAGCTCAGGCCCTCTCCAGCGGGCCACTTCGAGTGGGGTGGTAGGATGGGACCGGATAGACTGTCCCATGGCACGACGTGATCTTGCTTGTCGTCTCCGAAAACGTCACTCTGACCAAAAACGAAGGATAGAAAGGCGAGGGCGAGCGTGGTAAGCGGTAGGACGACCAGGGCTATGGTGCAAAAGCGGCGAAGCTGTGCTGTTTTAGCGACCGCCTTTGCTTGATTCCAGCCTCGAGAAGAGTCTTGGATTTCAAGTCTGCAAACGGACTCACTGTATGATTTCCATATCGATCACGGTGAGGTCGTACACCAACGACTTGAATGAGCGGGGTTTGCTCGTCATTAGAAGCCATGCTTCGAGCTGTCTTCTGCTCTCTCATCTCTTTCGTCGTAGCACACCAGCTCTAGGGTGAACACGAGTTGCAAGGAGATGATGAGCGTCGATAGGATGACGACTACGCGCTGGCAGGCATCCTTGCGGCGGCGACTCCACTTCTGCTCACAGATCTAAGATAGGGCGTTCGCGCGACCGACGACCTTCGACCTTCCCACTTGAGCTTCGGTTCGCCGATCGATGTCATTGGTCTTGGCAGTCCCTCCTTCCCGTGTGCTAAACTTTATAACTCCAGTCCCTTACGCTGCTCTCTCCTATGAAGGTGTAGAACACAATGCTCGCTATCAAAAGGCACAGTGATCTCTAGATCAAAGATGGACCTAAAGAGAGCAATAAAGAGCACTGTATCCCGATGGAATCGATCCAGTCCTCCAGAACATTGTGCGTTTTGATAGGTAGCCGCGTTACAAACCTATGCGCCCGGAGAGGTCGGACTTCACTGCCGTTTGTCTCCGCTCCGAACGACGGATGTCGTGAGAATGCCAAGGATACCTGTTGGCAAGGCTGTGAGGTCGTTTTGGGTCTGTCGGGACATCCTCCGATCCTCCATAACTTCGAAAGAAAGAAAAAAAAAAGACTTTTTCTCATCTACCTGCCCCATCAAAATCATGCTACATGCTGGAGACAACATCGGGACTAGTCTGAGCGACAGCTCACAGAGATTACAAAACATGGGTCAGTGGTGCGCTTTGAGGTCAAATTCTTGCTTTGCTTGGCTCCAGACCAGCATACCTAGCTGCTTTCTACCAAACATGATTCTGCTGAACTCCGAGTATCGGGATCCTCATGGCAACGACCACGAGGAATTGTCCGCTCCACGTCCAGGTCGCTGAGGAAGTTTAGCTTGGGTTTCCGAATTCACAAGCGAAGATCTCCCTACTTGAGTGGCGACCAAGTGCTGAGCCCTGGAAAGAAGGTCGTTCGATACGCCACGAGATTGTATCTCCTGAGCCATCTTTTGTGCCTGGTCCCGGTTTTCCATCGAATTGAGCAAATAGATCAGCGCTTGGAGAGTACGATTTTCGTCCTGAAGCTTGCGCATCTCAGCCTCAAGGTTGCGCTGATAGTTCAACAGCTCTGCTTCTCTGTTGACCGTTTGTAATGTTGGAAGCGAAGCTGTGTTGAAAGGACCAAGAGTGTTTGTTAGATTATGACCAGAAGCAGAGCCACCGGGTTCTGGAGCCGGGTTCAAGAGGAGTCGCATCGGAACTACTCCTCCTGAAGCATTGTGAGAAGACGAGGGCGCTGGTTCAGACGCTGATATCCGAATCGCACTTCCAGGGTGGAAGGGAGACTTCTTCAATCTCTCAATCTCTTCTTCTAAGCTCTTAATGCTGGAGAGTTGTTGCTCGATCTTCTGCTTGTAGGCAGCGACCCTGGACTGATTCGGTTCCAGGTCCTAGTGGGACGGGTGATTAGCGTGATTAGATGAAGATGGTTGACAATGACACTCCATCCTGGCTGAGCAAGTGCGCTTCATGCTGTAAAACCTCCTCCTAGACGATTCTTCCACGAAAGACGCCGTTGAAGTTTTTGTATAGGAATGAACAGACGTGGTGTTCATGATGTCGTACTTACATACACGCAGGACTTTATGCCTCTGCGCCCGCAATTGGAACAGGCAGGCTTCTTGCCATCACACTATTGGATTATGTCAACGAGAGCCCGGACCAATAAATCCGACGGAGATGAAGCCGACCTTTGTTTTCCGTCTTCTACAGTCCTGGCAGGCAACACTCGCTAACGGCGCTCGCTTTCTTGGGGGTGCAGTGGATCGGGACGCGCTCGCGATCGATTCACCAGCGTGGTCACCTACTTGAAGGGCCGCATTCGCAAATTGGGAATCTGAAGTAGAGGCAGAGGAGTGCTCTTCCTGATTCATGGTTGCGAATGGGCATACCAGAACAGTCGAGACTCTGCGGGCTAAACGGCAAAGCGGGGAAAAGTAGGTGAGAGAAACCTTATAGGGCTGAAAGAGAAAATCGACGGCAAGTGATCGATATATAAGGATCGAAGACGAGTAGAACCCCTCTGACAAGGCCGGGACCTAGCGGAGGACGTTGATGCAGATTAAAGTAAAAAAAAAAAGAACACAGAGTTTGTGGCTCAGAACATGGTGAAGAAAGGTAGAAGGTTGCAGAAGCGATTTGCCTCCCAGAGGATCTGCGAAGACAAGCTCTCTGGTGAGATGCTATCTGTCCAAGGAGTGGATCGTCGGTCAAATGTAGGGCAAATTAGGCGGCTGCGGGGTGGCAAGAAAGTGGCCCATGAGTACTTTGTACCTGAGTGTGCTGTAGCGCGCAAAAGGCGTTATCCGTCTAAGAAGGAGGTTGTTCAGTAATCAGAAGGAGTGAGCTCCGACTCCGAGGATGGGAAACACAGCCGCGACCGCTTTCTCTCCGCCCGATTATGCGGACCATGCGAGGGTACAGCATTCTACACGAACGCGACACTGATTCGAAGGTCTTTTGAACGCGACGCTGCAAATTGGGTAGCACATTGAAGATTGCCATCCGCGTTAAGAATGTAGGCGTCTTGCGGGCGTTCGCGACAACGTCCGTCTTATTCCGTTGCGCCTGTGACCACAAGACCAGGATGAGCTCGCCATCACTACCGTCGCTGTCATCTCTACAGCCGGTACCACGCCCGCAAGGGTTCGTCACCGCAAGGTCTGTTCTTGCCGACCTCGAACCACAGGAATTCCACCATACCGAGTCTCTAGACGTGACTGCCGCTCCCGAGAAGCCTAAGAGAGGGCGACCCAAAAAAGCGGCTGATGCAGATGATGCTCTCATCAAACCGAGGCCTCGCAAGAGGGCGACGACGACGACCACCACCGATGCTGGCCTCGATGCTGGCGACGTAGACAAGCCTCCTTCAAAGCCGACAACGCGTAAGAGACAGGCCGCCACAACCAGCGAGCAGGAAGGAGCAATAGACGCGCCTCCTGCTCCCAAAAGAGGTCGTTCAAAGAAGGCAGTCGCGATTGAGGATGATACAGCTGCCCAAGATACTACCAAGGTCGCCAAACCTGCAGCGAAACGAACAAGGAAGAAGTCTGTCGAAACTGCGGATGTCCTGTACCATGATGCTGCTGCTGCTGCTGCTGAGAAGCCAAAGCCGCCACCCAAACCTCGCAAGACAAAGGTCCAGGCGAAGACCAAACCAGTCGCCATTGATCCGACCGCGGCCTCAGAAGTAACCAAGGTCGACATCTCAGAGGCAGTTGACCCCGGTGTGAAGCCTGTTCTCCATGTTGAAGCTCCAATTGAGCTACTTGAACTGGATCCCGCCCCAATTCGTAGACGAGATTGGACGACGCCAACAGAATCAGCCCTTCCTCCTTCCTTTCAGCAGAGCAGCGATAGTTCGCCCATTTCCGAAACTCCTGCCACACATGTCCCTGCCGACGTTGAGGATGCTGGTGATGCTCCCGCAGCACTGGACTTTACCAAACTGATGGGTGACTTTGCCTACCGACAAGACGATACCAGGCCTCTTCCAGCTCTCTCTCGAACTCCGAGCGATGGTCCTACCACCAAGCGAAAACGTCTGGATCCTGTCGATGTGTCTGCGGCTGCTGAAGAGCCGAAGAAGCGAAAGAGGAAAGCTGCAGAGCCAAAGGAACCAAAGCAGCCAAAGGAACCCAAGAAGCCAGAAGAGCCGAAGGAACCAAAGCCTAAACCGCCTAAGAAGCCAAAAGCGCCCAAGAAGAAACCGCTCACCATCACTGCCCTCGCTACTGCTGCATACCTCCCACAACCTGCCGCCACCGACGAGGATCAGACAAGGCTCATCTCGGACTTTTTCCCACAACCACAGACTGCTGCTGTAGATCTGCCTGAGATTGACTCTGCCCCTGTCAAGCCAACAGGAACAACGACGGGTGGTCTCGCTGAGAACAAGCCAGCTCCAAAGCGTAAAAGAGCCCTCAAGAAAGTCCAAATAAGTGTGCCCGAGATTCACATCAAGCTAGACTCTCCAGAAGCCGCTCGTGAGAATGCTAGGAAACAACAGTGGCTGTTCGGAAGCTCAAGCCAACTGGCTGCTGCAGAATCTCCCACCGAGCTTCGCGACCTACAGCAGGCACTAAAGGAGTCTGAAGACATGATATCCTCACAGCAAATTGACAACTCACGTGCCGCAAGTTGTGCTCATGTGCCGTCTGCTCCGCACGGGACCAGTCTATCTATCGGACAGGCCGACAGAGTCTTGTGGATGTCCGCTGCTAGGGACTTTGAGGACTCTACTTTTGCTTCTGACGAGAGCCGCGATAATGACGACGCTGGTCTACCAGACTATGTGCTTCCACAAACACAGCACCCATCCAGCACTGCAAAATCTGCTCCCGAGTTTCGTCTCACTGAGACTAAACCGGAGATTGAGGTGTTGACGATATCATCGTCAGCCCCCAAGGAACTCGAGTCGCCAGATTCTGGATATGTGGATGTCGATCAGATTGGCGGTAGCCCACCTCGAACAACTCATGTGCCTGGAAAGTCTTCAGCAGAGGAGTTGACATTGGCATCTGTAGTTCCCATCATGCATGAAATCATCTCCTTGGATACGACCCCTGAAACAGAAGCCGTACCTCGACGTGTCCTTGGTACTCGCGACCCAAATACCAATATCACAAAACAGCTAGTCGATCCCGAGAGCACGAAGCCGGACAGTCTCTCAAAGGAAAACATCGCCGAACCACATGTGGTCTATGTAGATCCTCCAGAGAAGCGATCGGTTGGTCATCTACGAGCAACGACAGGCATTGCGGCTCCAACAAGATCGCCTATCGTCCCCAAACGGATAGTGAGCGTCTCTCCAGCTTTGTCAGCACGAGAAGAGGCTAGAGAGAGATTTATTGCCGCCAGCCCGACTCGGAACTCTCTTCGTCCTTCGCAAGCAAGACCGCGAGACATGGCTCACAGCCCTATTCTGATATCACAAGTCAAACCGAAGGGTAAGCTTCTGAAGATTGGATCTGCTTCCAGTCTCGTGTCACCAGCGCCACGCCCACGACGAAAGTCCATCAGCCCTAGCGGGTCGCCCATGATCTCACCTTCCAAAACGAGAGGACGACCTCCAAAAATTGGACCTGCTTCCAATCCCGCCTCACCAGCACGACCAAGAGGTCGACCTCGAAAATCATCAGTTGTCGAACCCTCATCTGATTACCTCGATATTGACGCTATATCAGATGTCGAGATACCGTCTCACGCACCCTCTCCTCCAAGACGTCTGCCCACCTCTCCACCCAAAGCCACACTAGACTTTGACAGACCGCCTCCACCACCTTTACCGGCTATCGCAACCTCGACCGCGCGATGCAGTGCTAAACAGCTTTCGGCAGAATTTGCTAGTCTTGCGCCAACACTGTTTCCAAAGATAACAAGTACTGTTCGCTCCACGCCACTAAGTCGTGATCACAAAGCTCCCACTTGGCATGAGAAAATTCTTCTTTACGATCCTATTGTGCTTGAGGACTTGACAGCGTGGCTCAACAGCCAAGGCGTGCGGTTAGAAGTTTCAGTGCCACGGCCGGTCAAGGGGAAAGGGAAGAAGAAAGCTGGCGAGGTAGATGATGCAGAAGGTGTGATGGATTTGGTGCAAGAAGAGTTGCAACCTTGGATGGTGCAGAAATGGTGTGAGGAGCACAGCATTTGTTGTCTGTGGAAGGAAGGATTGAGAGGAGGTGTGAGGCAGAAGTATTGATTACGCCCTGCTTTGTTTTGTTTCCCACGATGAGCTCTTGCGTATATACCTTTGCATCAATGAGGGAGGCATTGCGGTTTGCATTGTATGATCCTGGAGATTCCCGTATCGATCATCACATGAAGCCGCATTTCTTTTTTGTTCACAGTTTGGTGACACGAACAGGTGAACTGTGTTTACCAGCCTTGCATTTCTACGAAAGCTACTGGGACGCACTATCATTTGCTGATACCTGCACGATCAGTTGTGCGGCTCAAACAAAGACTTCTAATTCTCCTCGACTGGTTGCACGATGATCAATTGATGATACAAGGTATTGCGGTGTACGAGAAGAGTCAAGAAGATACACGACAGGGTGGTCCCCACTACATCTCGGTATATCATCCATACGAGAGCCCCGAGGCCAGGATGTCATGAGGTTGTTCCTTATTAATAACCTTTCTGAATTCATTTTGGACACGCTTCTCATCGAAATGTGTCATCGATAGATCCCATTAAGGGGTACGAAGATCTTGAGTTGTACAGAGACCATGATCCAAGCCTGTGGTACTTGTTTCTGTCTCAGACCATGAGAGTCAAGACATCCAACACTGATGTGATAGAACAAAGAGCAGTGAGCTCAGTGCACACAAGACATTGGTAGACACGACAATGGCAGTGAAGTCCATATAAAAAGATGTCCCATCACTACGAGCTTGAGCACCACACTCAGCCAGATACTTCCATACCATCGAACCCGCAAAATGAAGGCCTTTTTCAGAAACAGACAACACAGCAAAACCTCATCCCTCACTCACAGCATCGCAGACTCAACAATCCACCTAGATAACACCTGACTATTATGCCAATCACGGGCCGAACGACTACTCCAGTTGCAGACCTCACATCACGAGCGAGGAGCGCGTCGAGTGGAACATGAACATGTTCTAAGCAGCCAGCATGTTGCAAGAGACACGGGATGTCGAGGGAGAGCGAGGGAAAAAAGGCAGTTTGGTCAGAAGTTCCTGCAAATAGTGTAGAAAGAATTGCCAGATATGCGAGCATTTATCCAAATTGCGTGAGTGAGAGTTCTTGGAAGTCATATGGATGACTAAGTGCACTTTGATTGAGGATGATCCCCAGCCTCGCGGGATGGCATGTAGAAGGTGCGAGCCGCGTTTGTTTTCCACTTGCAGTCGGCAGCTTGTATACAACGATATCGTCGTCGTTCGACTCGCAAGTATATCACGACTGGGATACGCGCGACATGTCACAAGAGTGATAGCAAACCAACAGAGATGGCGGTAATACTCGAGTGGAAATAAAGTGAAGGTCTTCGAACTGCGGAGCGGGGTCAGATGGTGAAGCTCCCCCATTGGGTTAGCGCCAACTGGTTCAAACGTGTCCTCGCCGGCGATAAGTCAGTGCAACTCGATGCTTTAAGGACAGTCTGTCTTCACGACTGCTTCTTGTTCGTCTTTGTTTGCTCGACCTGAACTGATCAATCCACATTCAAGATGAAGTTCCAGAATATCCTTGCTGTCGGTCTCTGCGCCGCCGTCTCTCGTGCCGACGTGCTCGAAGACCTTGAGGACTCCGCCGTCGAGGCCTCGTCGTCTGTTGCTTCGGTTGTCGAGTCTGTGACTTCTTCCGCTGTCAGCAAGCCCACCTTCACCCCCACCACTCTGAAGGCTCCTTTCCTCGAGCAGTTCACCGACGACTGGGAGTCGAGATGGCAAAAGTCCGAGGCCAAGAAGGAGGGCACCGAGGAGGAATGGGCCTACGTTGGCACCTGGAAGGTCGAGGAGCCTTCAGTCCTCCGCGGCATGCACGGCGACAAGGGCCTGGTGCTCAAGGACAAGGCCGCTCACCACGCCATCTCGGCCAAGTTCCCCAAGGCCATCGACAACACCGACAAGACTCTGGTTGTCCAGTACGAGGCAAAGTTCCAAGGTAAGCATGAACCACCCTTCTGTACTACACAAACCTCTCTGACACACCTCCAGCCGGCCTTGAGTGTGGAGGTGCCTACATGAAGCTCCTCCAGGATAACAGCGCACTCCACGCCGAAGAGTTCTCCAACGCCTCGCCCTACATCATCATGTTCGGCCCTGACAAGTGCGGTTCCACCAACAAGGTCCACTTCATCTTCCGCCACAAGAACCCCAAGACTGGCGAGTACGAGGAGAAGCACCTCAAGAACCCTCCCATGGCCCGCATCAGCAAGCAGACCTCCCTCTACACCCTCATCGTCCGCCCCGACCAGACCTTCGAGCTCAAGATCGACGGCGCTTCGCTCAAGACCGGCTCCCTCCTTGAGGACTTCACTCCCGCCGTCAACCCTCCCACCGAGATTGACGACCCTGAAGACAAGAAGCCAGCCGACTGGGTTGAGGAGGCTCAGATCGCTGACCCCGAGGCTAAGAAGCCTGCTGACTGGGACGAGGAGGCTCCCTTCGAGGTTGAGGACACCGAGGCTGAGAAGCCCGCCGACTGGCTCGAGAACGAGCCTCTCCAGATCCCCGACCCTGAGGCCGAGAAGCCCGAGGACTGGGATGATGAGGAGGATGGTGACTGGATGCCTCCTCTCGTTCAGAACCCCAAGTGTGATGACGCCTCTGGCTGTGGCCCCTGGAAGTCTCCCATGAAGAGAAACCCCGAGTACAAGGGCAAGTGGTCCGCTCCTATGATCGAGAACCCTGCCTACAAGGGTATCTGGGCTCCTCAGAAGATCTCTAACCCCGACTACTTTGAGGAGAAGACTCCCTCCAAGTTCGAGCCAATGGGTGCCGTAAGTCTTGACCTTTGTAACTTCTTTGACCATGCACGACACTAACTTCTGTAAAGATCGGTTTCGAGCTTTGGACCATGCAGAACGACATCCTCTTCGACAACATTTACATCGGCCACTCCGAGAAGGATGCCGCTGCGCTCGCCAAGGAGACCTTTGAGGTCAAGAACGCTGCCGAGAAGGCTGAGGAAGAGGCCTCCAAGCCCAAGGAGGACGAGAAGAAGGACACTCCCAAGTCTCCCATGGACCTCAAGTTCGCCGACGACCCCGTCCTCTACGTCCGCGAGAAGCTCGACCTCTTCATCACCATCTTCAAGCGTGACCCCATCCAGGCCATCCAATTCGTTCCCGAGGTTGCTGGCGGTCTCGGTGTTCTCATTGTTACCGTCATCGCTCTTCTCCTCGGTGCCATCGGTGGTGGTGCCGCTGCCGCCCCTAGCAAGGAGCAGATCAAGGCCAAGGCCGAGCAGGCTAAGAAGGCTGCTGTCGACACCAAGAACCAGGCCGCCGAGGCTGTCAGCTCTTCCGCACAGACTGCCAAGTCTGAGGTTCAGCAGAGAAGCGGTGCCACCAAGTCGTCTTAGGTCGAGGCTTGGTCACCAATGCCTCACTAGGCAATGGCAGGAGGAAGAGAGAAGAGTGGTTGAAAAGAAGATGTTGAGATCATTACTATTACCCAGCCAAGAGGCTACGTTTTTTGCTAGTTTTTGTGAAAGTTGAAAAACTTGAGCTTATACGATATGTTACCAATACCGTTGATGATTCAATTTTTTTCTAGTGATTCATTCGTACCTGTCTCTATGGTTGTGAGTCGTGACTTGCTTGCATGACTTGTAGCGCCACGTTGCCGCGTTTTTACAAGATCCGAAATCCGTTGTGCAAAAATCATCCCCACTGTTATGCATCGGCCGTTCGGCAGTTGCATATAGATTGCATACTCCGACTCCCGAAAAGAGCAACAACCTTGATGAAACCTCATACCCTTTCTATAATCACGAATACTGTCCTCTTAGTCCACATCCAACGACCTTGACTTCTGGGTTGCACACATTGTTGCCGTAGAACATGGCAGCAATGACGCCCTTGACAAACCCGGCCGAGTTGTGTCTAGAACGGCGTGTGGCTACGGGCGAAAGGTACGAATAGGTAAGAATGTCCCTTGGGCTGACTCGCCAGAGAATTTAGCAAAAGGACACAAGTCACGAAACAGGGTCTAGGTTGGGAGTCGAGTAATTCAAAGGCAAGAGATGTGCTGAGCACGCGACCTATTGCTCGGGTTTGCTCTGAGGATGAGCGGTCTATCCCTGCGCACTCGTCACAAGTGCCACGAGTCTGGTACAGGTAGGAGCCGGAGTGGTTGATCAGCCGGACCGTGGGAAGAGCATTGACGGATCAGCCCCCACAATCAACACAGGTACCTTCACGAGCGATTAGCCCTGCACAACATCTTGACGACTTCGAGCACGACGGAGGAACAGAAAAACAGAAGCGTATTCACGGACTGGGTTCATTGCTCAGATCCAACTGCAAAACCACAGGAACCATGGCTATGTGCTGTTCCGATGCTCGGCAGTTATATTGTTGATTGGTCGAAGTGAATAACCTTCGACGGGTGCAACGTCTACTAACGTTTCACTGGATGTTCCACTGTCTTTTACTGGATGCTCGACCTTCGGCTTGCCAGACTCGCTGAGACAGTAACGGAACATGACTCTCTGTGCCTTTGATTTCTACTTGTCAAGGCCCATGTCACTTTCATTCTTCAGTGGCCTCTCTGGCAGAGGGTCGAAGTTCACAACCAACCTTTGTCGGACAGCATGCTTTCGCTGAGTGTGCCCAGCGAGTCGCTCACCATTGTTGCGGCTGTATGTCTGTCACTATCGACGGCCTCGGTACTTTTGAGAATCTGGGTTCGATCGCGCTTTTTGACCAGCGGTCTCCAAGCAGTGAGTTGGACAACCCTAGGGCTGCGTGTCAACGCAGTCCGCACCACCATGCCTTGCCCTCGTTGTGACCTCGCTAACTTAGCATTCCTTTACAGGACGATTGGACCATCCTCATTGCCCAAGCTGGCTTCGCAGCCTTCTGCATCGTCGCATTTGAGGTTGCCCGCAAGGAAGCCGCGACACCCGTCTTCTCTGCCGAGACTGGCAATGGCGTTATCACCACCATGCTCGTCGGAGAAGTTGTCTTCCAAGCTACCTGCCTGGTCTTCAAGCTGTCTCTGACAATCTTCTTCCGGAAGTTTCTCATCGTCGAATGGCAGCGATGGCTTGTGCTGGGCTGCGGCTTTTTCTATTGCTCCACCTGCGTGGTTGGTATTTTCCTGGCTACCTTCCAGTGCGGTCTGCCTGTCAACATCATGCACAAACATGTGACCGGCCAATGTGTTAAGCTGGAAGCCTTCACCGCGCTGTTGTATGTCCACGGGATCCTGTCAGCAGCAACAGATTGGGTCTTCGCCTTGTTGCCCACTGTAACACTATACCGTTCCAACCTTAGTCGCGCAGCAAAGATTTCCTCCTCTTGTCTGTTGCTACTCGCTTGCGGTGGCTCTGTAGCCGCTATTGCGCGAACAGCAACCACTGGCGACTACTTACTCCGTCCCGAATACCTTGATCCCAATCTTCGACCCAACTACTACGCCATATCAGCACCCATGATCAACCTTACTGTCATCGAAGTAGGACTGGGTATCACTGCAGTCTCCCTGGCATGTTTGCGGCCACTCATGAGAAGCGTAAAAAGCATCGGACAACACTTCACCTCGCGGCTCATGGGCACGGACATGTCCAAAACGGAAATCACGGATGAGGAAGCGACTGTGAATTTGGTCGTGGTCGACACGAAACAAATGCACGGTCCTGTGCCTACTGGATCCTGCTGGAACAGAACTCCAGCTGTGGATGAAGCGCCAAATGCCCCGATGGACCTCGAAGCCAGCTGGAATAAGACGCCAGCACTGGGCGGTACAGCAAATCCGCTCGAAGCCAGTTGGAACAAGACACCGGCATTGACGGGTGTAACGAGTCCACCGTCATCCCTCGGAGCAAGCTGGAGTAAAACACCGCCTTTAGGAGGAGGCGCGACCATCCTGCAGCCCCTAGGTGCAAGCTTCAATAGAACACCAGCGATAGGAGAGCCCACGCCGCCATCGTCTCTTGGCGCGAGTTTCAACAGGTCCCCAGCCATAGCAGAAACGAAGCCTCCAGCTTCTCTTGGTGCTAGTTTCCATAGGACTCCAGCTATAGCGGGTTCAATAGATGACTTGCCCCCAGCTAAGGGATCCAGTTGGAGAAGAACGCGGCCAAAGAAATAAATTTGTGCCTAGACAGATTAACGAACATATGAGAACTACAGTATCATGATGAAAGTAATCAGCACCCACGTTCCACAATCTAGAGAATGGTTAACTGTTCAATAACGTGGCTATTGCACGCGTCACGGATCTATCCTTGGCGCATCGCATGTATCAATCTCAAGTGATCTGAGATCGGAATGAGCAGCACTGTAGGTGAGGAGCAAAAAGTTTTGGTAGGATGCAAACAAAACGTACAGCAGCAGGGATTCCCACGTGGTCACCCACCGTAGTACTAATCTGCCGTTCAACTGCTTATGTATGGCAGAGCGGACGGGATGCCCAGTTTTCAGCTGACTGTGGCCGTACGTGCTGAAGTGCTTTTCTTGATCAAACATAACTTCACAGAAAATCAGAAGTGGGAGGTGTGAGATGTAGACTCGAAGGCATTGGACATCATCTCATTCCGTCGCTTGAAGCCTCTTTTCCATCATCAGTAGAGTTTTGGTGACGTGGAACTTCTCGAAGGCTGCCGACTTGAAGACCCGTCGGCGATGATACGTCAAGGAAGCCTCTACGAATACAGCTTTGGTGGGTACGCGCGAATTGCTGTCCTACCGGTCGGCCGTGGAGCTCCAGTGCAGAGCGACAATCGTGAAACCTTCGAGCTTGGTACTTACCACCTAAATCTCAGCCTCGATCTGCCGAGTTGAGAGTATGGCATGTGAGTAGAATGTGTATGTTCTGTTAGCTGTCGCACATGAGGGACGTCAGTTGCAATGTCTTGGCTGGCGAGCCCGGCAAAGACGGCAGCATCTCATCCTTCCTGTGTACAGGTAATTCGCGCCCGACAACTCGAAGGATCATCAGTTGCCAGGGCACTATGATAAGATAGAGTGCCTACTGGTCGCTATGTGCCTCAGTTGCGAGAATTAAAGCCTCATGATCACGTTCGCGGTCTGGAACCAGTTGTTCGGGTGCAAGGCTGTTACGAGGGTACCCACCCACCTTGATGATGCATACAAATACAACGCGGACCCTTGATCTTTGCCTCAAATGATCTTTTGGCCGCGTTTCTGTGATTGAACCGCACACGATACAAGGACTCGGCAATTTACGATGGAAAAGAGTGCAGCAGTTACTGCCCGCTTTCCAGCGGTCAGACGCGACAGTGGCAATCAAGTCGACCCAGACCTCCCAGCTTACAGCGCAAACACCCAAAGCACTCAAGACATCGCAATCCCGGCTCACGTAGTCTCACGCATGCGATCACCTTCCTCAGGACTCTCAAGACCTTCACAGATCCCAGCATACTCAGACGCAGCGCTAGACACCACCACCCGTCCCATCTACAATTTCGTACGGGCCTCTGTCATAAGCTCTAAACTTCTTGTCCGAAGCAACGATATAGACCGGTATTGCTTCGTCACCGACCACGCTTCAGACTCAAAAGTGTGGATTCATGCCGGAGCCTCCAAATCCAATAAAGCGCTAGGATGTCTCTCCTTCCCAGAAGCTCACAATACATTTCGCATCCATTGTGCTATCGTGGGACAGGGAGATGATGGAAACGAAGCTATTATCGGATTGGACAATAAGAACTTTCTGAACGCGCCATTAGTGGATGTGGTTGCTGGCATTGGATATCCGCATCCAAAAACATTCACGCTGAAGGTGCCTAAGGGGTTGAACTTCAGAGCTAAAGAGTTGGTGTGGACGTATCAGGGTGGTGATGTGACTGGGCCGACGCCAGCAAGATATGATCTTCGTGATCTGAGTACTGGAGGTGCATTGATTGCGAGTTTGACGACGACGAAGGAGGGGAAGAAACGGACGGCTGTGCAGTGGATGATCAATGCGGAGAGTGAATTAGAGCAGGCAGTGTTGATCATGTCTTGCATTGGCGTTGTCACGAGGTTGTCGAGGAAGGGAAAATTCTACAATGACAAAGGAATGTATGGGAGGTGGCGATACTTTTGGTGGATGTCGATGTTATCTGGAGTGGGAGTTGATTAGATATTGTACGGCCTATCAATTATATTACACGACTTCTATGGTACCGGTACTAGTCCATCTGGACCCTTATCTTGGCCTCAGGTTATATCTGCCTTGTTCTCCTGTATGCGTCCCTTCATCCATTTCATCCTCGACATCATCTACGTCATTGTCGTTGTCGTTATCTTCATCCTCTTCTTCATCCGCATCATCAGCGATATCAAGATCATCATCACTGTCGACATCGTCCCAATCGTCAGAGTCGGAATCCGGCGCGTCAAGTACAAATTTTCGATACTTCTTGGCAGCGTCCGAGTCTTCAAACACGGCCGGCACTATGAATTGGCCTTCCTCAGACTCGATTCTCAGCTCCAAGCCGTAGTCTTTGAACAATCTCACTGTGGATGATAACGAGATCATTTGCTTCTTCTCTGCAGCGTTTTTCGCCTCGAATGTCTCGTAGGTGACTTGTAAGGTCTTGAGCTTGTTGTACCTACGTCTTGCTTCGAGCAGAAGCAAAGCATACCCTGCCATGCCTTGGTCGAGTCGGCAGCATTGTATGTGCAGCTGCTCGATGGATCTGGGGAGGTTCTTAGGGAATTTGGGATTGTACCGGTCATCTTCTCCCGGTCGCGACTCGCGTTCTGAGAATATGATTGCGTAGTCGATAGAGAGGGTGACGAGGTTTGTGAGTCGATGCAGATCGAACGGAGCAGTGATGTTTGAATGGTGATTGCGTAGCTTGAACGATGGCGGCAGGAGCAGAGTCAATCTTTTCAGAGTGTCTTTGCGCAACGCCAGAGTGACCAAGAATGGCATGCCGAGCGTGACTCCAGTCCAACGGCTCCACTCTGAATATACCACATCTAGACACTCCAGCTGCTTACAGTCATCTACTATGCAGGCCAGAGCATCTTCTGATACTCTACAGTCGTCGAGGTATACTCGTTTGAGGTGGGTCAGTGGTAGACAGATATCCTCACAAGACGGTTGTTCCAGACCCCAGCAATAGAATTCCTTCAGCGTTGGTATCGTTAGAATCTCTTCAACGATATCGATATTCGGCGCATTCTCCTATGTCGATTTATCGGCTCTCGCACTGGAATACTCTAAGCGTGACAAGATTGCGGGCCTTTCGGCTTGCGATAGAAAGTCCACATGGCTCTCCATGACAAACCCGTAAAGCTCTCTGGTTTCCTTCGATTGTGAGCCGAGAAGTTGGCGCCAAAGATCCTGGACATATGCGCCAAACGTTTTAGACGATGTCCCAAGATTCAGGAATCGGATGTTGGGTGATAGGACCATCAGCAAGGCAACCTCTGCAACCTCATCACCTTCGCGAAGTTCGTTGCGCCAGTCTTCCTGCCATTCTGAAGGATAGCGCCATTCCCACGGGGTCTTTTGCGGTGGAACTTTGAGACTGGCATTATACATTGCCTCGCCCAGAGCCTTGTTGACATCGGTGCGCCCATATGGCCGACGTTCACTCTCGTCCCAGTAATTGCTGATGGATAGACATTCGACTTGCTCGGCAAGGTCTGGTCGTTCCAATATCGTGCGAATGAACATCTCGAGCGGAATAGGTTTTCGATAATCTGTATACTCGAATTCTTCTTCGGGTATTTTCGTGATGTCCATTCCTTGGGCCACCATGGCGTCGATCTTTGCTTCATTGTATTCATCGTGATCGATTCCTATGTCGGTCTTCTCGGTCTTGATGTAAGTTCGATACAGCAAGGGTTGAGCGATATCGCGCCATGCTTTTGAGACAAGACACAGACTTGCGAGTGTGTTTTTCACGATGTTGTATTCTTCCAAGACGTCGTCGGGATCTTGGACTTTGGTGATGGGTGGATAACACTTGGCGATCTCCAGAAGGATCTCGAAGGGAAGGGTGACCATTTTGAAGATACCAGAATTTGGTCTACTTGAGAGTTCGAGCTTTCAGAGCCATAAGGTAGGCAGAAAATAGTTCGGTGGTTGGCGAGGTTGGGCAGCTGCTGTCGAGCTCGAAGCATACGTCATGGGGCGGTCGATTTCGACCATTCTCTCTTGCGTACAAGTCCTTGATTTCTATCGTTGCATCCAAATTCACAACGACACACAGCGACATGTCATCTCTGTTCAACAACATGGTCGGCATACCTTGTAAGCAGGAAGCAGTGTGCGATGGACTTGATGATGAAATTGCAAGAGATGCCTGAAGCCGTGACCGCCGAGCGCGTCAACGAGCAACCGTCTTCGTCCGCTAAACAAAGCATTCGTCTGGACCGCAATGTCGTCTTGTGTGGTCTCTTTCCAGAGACACCTCGTCGTGCAGGATGTTGGTTGTCACTTACTCTTCGCCCCCCAATATGTCATTCGCTCGCAATCCACACCACGATTGTATGTAGACCGGACAAGACATCGCAGGTTCCCTTCCACCAGGCTACAAATAGATCTAATAATGCCAGCCGGATATCGATGTTTCCCGCTTGCACGTGAAGATCAGCCTAGATCTCACAGGAATGAAATCTGCAGAGGAGTTCTAGCCAATATATTTGGCTAGCGACCAGCCACCGCAGCTTGATAATGATCCGCCATGTCTCGTTTAGTGGAACGTTGCATGTATCTTCAGGTTTTTCACCCGGTGTATGGTATGCTGTTGTCCGGAATCAGCATGCATGCATATGCATGAGCTATCCCGATGTGGTCCCGATTCGTGATGGCGGTCCACAACTCTTTTCTCCTCCAGCACTGAGAGATCACAGGTACCTTCAAGGAGTGCAGTATGAGGCTAACATTACCGTCGGGGTCGATAGCCAACTATTTCTAAACGCGCCGTGGACGCCTTTTTCTGAAAGCCAATCGCAGCTTATTGTGCGACTATCACGATACAAGTCACGCTGCGCCTTGCACTTCTGGCTGCAGTGAAAGTGTCTGCACCCCTCCTAGGCCCAATAATGCTTTCCTAATTCATCATTGATCTTTATCTGCACTAGCTGCAGCTTTAGCTCGGCCTCGTTCAGGTCTCACAGATAAATGAAGCGGTCTTCTGTTTTTCGACGGCTCGGTCAGCATTCCTGTATGCAATATCTTATCTTATCAATATGCCTCTACAAGCTACGATCACACCATATTCGCGCCTTGAGTCGAACGACCCTGTCTCCCGATCATCTGTAGACCTTGTTCAAACTGTTGGAACCGACTACGAACTTGAGGATTTAACACCCAAACACTCTTGTAAGTTGCTTCCAAGATCCGATGGCACGTTTCTAACAGATTCGGGTAGCTGTCTTGACTACTTCAACCAATATTGAGTCAGTGGACTATGTCTGCCCAACTAACGACCAGGCGGAGAGTAGTCTTGTCACAAGCGGCTCAATCTCAAGCGAACGAGGCGGGCCATTCCAGAATAAGCAGCCGCCGACAAACGCACACAACAGCTTTGGCAATATCTTGAGATCGTGGTGGCGAGAAGTGCTAGCTATCAGTATCAGTGTTGCTTCGCTTGTATCGACCGCTGGCGTCTTGCTTGCCTACCAGAACCATCCGCTCTCATCGTGAAATTTTCGGTACCTGCCAAACTCCGTCTTGTCTCAGTTGGTGACGATCTCGCGAAGTGCACTGATGTTCTCCACAGCCAGTTGCATCGGTCAGCTGTCATGGCTTCATATAAAACAAAAGCCTCAAGCTCTGTCTGACCTTCAAGCCTTCAACGATGCTAGCAGAGGCCCAGCTGGGGCAGTGTCTATGCTCGCATCTCCAATCAAATACCGCTTCCCTGTGATCATGGGTTCTGTGATCACGATTGCAACACTTCTCATGGAACCTTTTAGCCAACAAGTACTGCAATTTCCCCTACGCCCTCTCTCAGTCAAAGATAATGCGACATACCCAACCACTCAGTTCTACGCCCCCGCACCTAGTGCTGTTTCAAGTATGTAACAAGATGCTAGGTAGAGCATTTCTTATCGATGATTGTATCACTGACATCCCTCGAAGATGGCCCACGCTTCGCGGGAATCGACACCAATCTTAATGCGAGTATCCAAGCAGCCATTGTCAACGCGATATTCGACAGTCCTACGGGTGATACATGGATATGTCCCTTGAATTCCTCTTGCATATGGAATACTTTTGCGACACTAGGCATCTGTTCATCATGTACTGATGTGACTGCCGAAACCGAAAAAGCATGTCCGAAAGGCGGGTCTCCTTTGTACAATAAGGGGATGGCCGACTGGACCTCAGGAGTGGTGTGCAACTACACCACGCCTAACAACTTCACTCTCCAATCACACTTTTATGACTCGAGTGCGCAGATGAGCTTCGTCACCAGAATAAACACTACGGCTCGGACATCAACCATTTCGGACACGGGCGAAATAATCAGCTTCGCTACACTCTTGCTAGATTGGGGCCATTCATTGGACATACATGAATGCTCTCTTTCTTGGTGCGCGAAGGTACTCCACAACGCAACCGCTCAAGGCCCAAGCTTTTCTGTTCATATTGAAGAATACGCCTTAAGTCCCAGAGGAAGTTGGAACAAACCCGGCGATGTTCCCTACTCGATCTACGAGGCCGAATCTGGTTTCCCGACCTGGTTGAATTCGACATTCACGGTTCAATCTACCAATGCACAGACTCTCTCCAACTTTCTCGTCAGCGTACTAGACACAGGCTCTTTCATTGAGTATCTCCTCGGTGATGCTGGGCCGTCATCGACGTTCTCACTAGGTCCTGCGATGCTGAACAGCCCTTCTACTCCATACATGGCAAACAGTATTGCAACAAGCTTGACCAACACTTTCCGGAATGTTACATCAGATTATGTTATACACAATCTCGGCGACTCTTCCATTCAAATACAATATATTCGAGTTCGTTGGGAGTGGCTTGCATTCCCTGCAAGCATTGTGCTTCTTGGTGTCATACTTCTTCTAAACACTATGATACAGAGTCATCGAGACAAAGCTTTAGTGTGGAAGTGCTCATCCCTAGCATTATTATTCCATCCACTGCAAGGTTGGGAAACTGGAGAGATAGCCCGTACTAGTAAGAAAGAGATGGATAAATGCGCGGAAAGCATGCGTGGCCAACTGTCGCAGAGTGACGATGCGGGTCTTAGGATCATCAAAGCGTGAAATGGCAAGATCTCCAAGAGTCGGTCGCCGGCGTGGCAAGAGCCTTGCCAGTGTGAGTCACAACACTCATAGAGGACAACCGATGCATATATCGAGTGGAACTGCTCATGGGAACAGCTTGAATGTATCGATTAACGTCTAAGCGCTATTAGTTTATTTTCATCGAACGCCATGTAGCTTGTAAGACGCACGGTGTATAAACTGTCCGAGATCATCATGCATATGTGCTAATACTACTAATATTGAAGCTTAGAATTCGTAAAGTCTTGAAGACGTGATAGTTACGGAGTTGTCTTACTAGCCGACCGTCTATATGTACATGCACATGCACATGCACATGCACGGCCTAGCCTGACATGGTCATGATCCATGGAGGCGGTGTACACAGCTCTTCCCTTCCAAGCTTCGCGATTATTGTGAGCAAGTGCCACCTTAAGGGGTCGCAGGTCGGGTCCATCAGCCTTACTCGACCAAGCACTTGCTCAAAGACACCCTTTCTTCACAGCCTCTTATTATGCGGGCTATGAAGACTCCGCCTACCGCTCTGCTCGCGCCTAGCTTCTCACATGGCTTTGAAGGTGCCTGGCTGTATGCAAAGTATGGTGAGTCCATTGTGTATTTCTCGCTAATCGGGCAATACTTGCCTTGTGGTATCCTTGAGCTGAGCTTGATGCATTCCTTTGTGGGTGGCCCCTCAAACCTTGTACTTTTACCTTCTTTTTGGCCACTAAAAGTGTCTCATTCCTTCCATCAACGGCTAATGATATCACTTGCATGCAGAGCGAGGACTTTCCGCAAGCGAGAGCGTTGGGAACGTAGAGATTTCATCCCGAGACTCAGCCTCCCAGGATAATACAGCCTTGTGCTCTGTTTAGTCATGTGAATGCATGAATGCGCAGTCTGGATGGGATGCCCACCTTCTATATACATTGCCTCGTCGCTGAGAACTGGTGCTAAAAGATCTTGCTCCTGACTATAAAGCCTCGCTTTCATCTTCATCCATATCGTCAATCTTATTCTGCGAGAACAGAGCTGATTCACCACAACAGTTCAGACGCTTGAGATGGCTGAACAAGCAAGATTCGAACCCATACCAACAAAGATAATCGAGTCCGAACATACATCCCTTAGCAGTACCGATTATACTGGACATGAATATGGAGTCGAACCTGGAGCTCTGTCGCTGTGGCAGGCAGGCAAGATCTTCGGGATTGTGATGGACGTACTTGCCATAGTCCTCTCTTGCATGTTCTTTTCCTACGCTCTCGCGGTCAAGACCCACGAGAAGAAGCCAATGGGTAGCCCACAAGTGAAGCTCCTTGTGAGATTGTCCAATCTAGTAAGTCAAGCAATCGAAGGCAATTCTTCTCTCTCGAATCACGGCCTTCGTTGACCACGACTAATCGAAAATGACGACAGGGTCCCACCATATACCCAATCCTTTTCGCCGCTGTTGTTGGTAGAGCTCTCAAATCTATCGCATTCTGGAAGCTCGAGAAAGGCGGGAGGATCGGAACGCTCGACCGATTACTTGGTAGTATTACGATCTTCCAGACAGTTCTTACACAGATCCAGATGAGAACCTGGAGCTTCCTGGGCTTGCTACTTGTAGCAGTCTGGTCACTCTCACCATTAGGCAGTCAAGCTTCGCTACGCATCATCGACACAGCAACACAACCGAGCAATACCTCAAGGCCACTTCAGTATGTCAATACCACTTCAGACTTCTTCAACTTCACATACGCAGGCGTGCCCGCTGCTTCGCAATTTGTACCGGTAAACGTCCTTTTTGGAGCAGCAATGCTGGGAAGCTCGGCTAGTTCGTCATTCTATGTCGACAACTGGGGTAATCTAAAGATACCCTGGGTCGAGGGTCTGGATACCATGACGGCAGACGGAGATGGGTGGTACCCTGTGAAGGAGCTCAAGTCGACCGATGATTTTGCATCTTTGATCGGAATACCGTTGTCCACGATCACGCTAGCGAACAATCTGACGACATCCTTTTCCATCGAAACATCTTACTGGACTTTCGCATGTCCTGTATTCGAAGACTTGGGTGACGGGGTCAACGCGAGTACTGGTCACTTTGACAACCGTTCGTACGCGGATTTGACAGCGTCACAGGGGCTGTTCATAGATTCCAGTGAGTCAGCAGTTGAGAACACAACATCTTATACCGCACAGAATCTCTATCTGTACTCGGTGAATACGCACGATAATTCGGAACCTTGGGACTCTCCTGTCAATACGAGACCGAGACACATCACCTACATGGACAACAACAATGATCCTGGTCACTGGATCGCTGCAAACTGTACCATCAAGACAACGTATGTCGAAGTAAACGCCTCTTGTTCATCGGACAATTGTACAGCTGTCGCAATCAGAAAATCGCGATGATCGCACGCGCCGGAAAACTGGACGTCATTCGACCTTTGGGAAGGTGCATTCTACCAATTCGCCATCCCTCTCATCGAGGCCCTTCCGGCGGGGACACTAGGGGAGGCGAGCCCGTATCAAAAGTTCATCATCGATCCATCGAATCCTTTCAACCAATCTTTTTACATACCAGCTGTCACGGTTCTATCGAATGCAACGTTTGCGCTGCGTCTAGGTCAGCTATTCAATACCTTTTGGATGGCAATGATCGCCCCCACTGCGATACCTAAAGGCCTTCGAAATTCAAATCTCACCGCGGACATAGCAAGACTGAGAAACTCATCGTTGCTCACTGCCACGGCTACTGAGACGAGAGACAATTTGGTCTTGAGATGTAATCTGGTCTGGTTCGTGATACTTCTGGTATCATCCGCCATCACGGCCGTTATAGGTCTTTGTGGGCTGATAGCAACTATCTGCCGTCTTGGACCAGATATTGGGTTCAACATCTCATCGCTGGTCAAAGACAGCTCATTTGAAGACCAAGTGTTCGTGCCAACTACGCTTGGTAGTACGGACAGGTCCATACTGATGAAAGACTGGTATGCCAAGTTGGGAGATACAGCGTCTGAGGAGGAGGCTGGATATATTGCTATAGGCAGCGGTAATGTGGCAGATCTGCAGCGTGGACGTTTGTATAGGTGATGTATGGTGCGAGCAGATGTTGGAGAGAAACGACTTGGGTGTCGGGCATCAATCATCATCTCGTTAGTATATGTTGACAATTCAAGCAAGCGTTTTCTGCGCCCACATATTTCCCTCAGCGTCGAATCTTAGACCATTGAGAAGCAAGTCTCCATGTAGCAAAGACTGACTATTCCTGTCTCGCACGCTCTGCAGCGTCGCCTTCAGCAAGCCATTTACTTGCAACGATCAGTTGCTGTATATTGATGTATTGCTTGACCAGCATCGGCGGTACGGAGAGCCACACGAGTATCCCAGGTATAGAGCTTTGTATCTTATTGGTCCTGTGCAAGAATAAATGTCAGCGACGTCATAATTTGCGGTGGTGACATCCTTCTCTTACCGAGCAATCTCCATCGCTCTTGCCGACCGTGGCTCGCTTCGGGTACTCTTAGTCATCTGAGAATCCGCCAGTAAGTCCTCCTGCGCAGTAAAAGCAAGAAGATACAAAGCAAGAAAGAACAACTCGTTCATGAAGCAAAGCATGAACAACACAATCTAACCACGTCAGCCTAGAAGGACAGCCAGATCATCTGAGTCCTACCTTGTTCGAGTAATACAGATGCAACAGCCAACTCCTCTTTGCATCAACATCCTTGTGACTGCCTCCACCACCCATACTCAACGTTGCATACATATGCACGTAATGACTTGCCAAATCAAGACTTATCAGCAATTGGAAAGCCATGGCATATCTAGGCATCGCCGTGGCCAGAAATACAAGTAGACAAGTGATGGTGCATCGATCAGTCACCATGTCGAGAACAGCACCGAATTTCGTGTGCTGGTTTAGGATGCGTGCGAAATAGCCGTCGAGGGCATCCAGGAGGCAGGAAACTGCATAGATGAAGCTGCAGCGGAGAGGGTGCAAGGGCATGAAGTAAAGGGAGATCACAGCCAGGATGATTCGAGTATAGCCTAGGTTTGCTGGTCAAGACCAAGTCATTGAAGAGTAGTCTTGCAGATATACCTATAAGATTTGGGACGAACAAAAATATGTTCTCTTTTGTGTTGCTAGCTGAACTTGGTTGTGCAGTATCTGCCACTTGGTCAGGTGTTTGGGCCTGCATACCGGCGATTCTGTGACGCAAGGCTTGATGATTCATGGGTACTGATGCTTAGTTGCAAAGTCATGTTTCCAGCAAGATAACGAGTGTAAGTTGAGATTGAAGGATTGCTGTTGCCTAGCCGGTACGTCACGCTTAGTTCGGCCGTAAGAGGAAATATACAACGTCTCGGTATTAAGACAAGACTAATCTCGTTCCTAGTATTCAGTCTGCATGGCCTCCTGGAGGTCATGCAAAGGCGTGTCCCTCTAGGTATAAGTCTTACAATTAGCTGCTCTATGGGAAATGATTTAAATTCTATCGAACGGCATCCTACACGCCGACTCGCAGCTTGCGTCAAATACATCATACTTTTCTGCTCGAGAAAGCTCTTGATTGACCTCAAGTCTCCCTTGTTGTGGGCATCTTGGTCATTGGCAAGACATCTGCTTCCTTGGCCTTCTTTTCGTTGATCTTCGCATAGGCATACACCAGACCACTGACAAATCCAAGCGCGATAGCAGTGCAACCGCCGAGGGTCACTGGGTTTCCAAAGAAAAGCAGACCACTGATTGCCAGAGGAAGCTTGTTCAAAGCGCCGACCATGGAGTATGTAGTCGAACCAGTGACGCGTACGCACCATGCAGATGTGTAAGAGATGAAAACCGAAGACAATCCAGAGATGATCATTGCACTGATCACCCATGTACGGTTGTCGGCGGGGAAGTTCAATGCGACGTTGGCAGAAGACCAATCCTCGAACAGAATGGAGAACACTAGCAAAATGGGAATGCTCAAAAGGTTGTTGTAGTACATGGCTGCAGGCTGAGTCAGCAGAGGTTTGTTCGCTCTTGTGTCTGTCACTCACTGTCGAAATCCTTGAAGTTGGTCACCTTGATGCGAACCTTCATGGCCAGAACAAAGACGGCGTTACAGATGCAATTGAGTGCCATCCAGACATATCCAGGGTTGAACATGGAAAGGAAGCCACCGTCACTCGCACCACCAGCGGGCTGAGCAGGGGTCTTCGCATCTGCGTACGCAGCAATTCCAGAGCTGAGCACCATCAAGCCGAAAGATACAAGAGCCATGCGCGTCACCGAGCCTCCGAAGCAGAGCACTTCGCCATAAGCAATGCAGATGATTGTCAGGTTCTTGAAGATGGTGTAAACCGGAATCGTGAGATATGCAAGTGCTTTTGATCCGGTGTAGATCATGCCGACCAGAAGTGCAGAGATGGGGAACCATTTCTTGGCTTGAGCCATGTTGAATTCGCGATAGGTGATCAGACCGCCGCGTTTGCAGCCCTCAATTGTGGCCAGACAGATTACACTCTGTAGACAATCAGTCACTGAACCATCTGTAGTATTTGGCCACAGCATACCTGAACGCAGAGAAGGAAAAAGTTCAGATTGAAGTCTCGTCCACCCAGAACATATTTATTGGTTACAGTCATGAGAATCGAACTTCCACAATATGACAGAATAGCGACCATCGGTGAGTTGGTAATACTGGCAGGCGATGCCGTAGACGTCGACGTTGTCTGATTCGTTGCTTCGACGCCATTGCTGTACTGTTCCGCTTCTTCATCGCCCGGGACTTTCGCGTAAGATTGATTGGCAGCCATTGTTGGAGCTCTTTGGGTGGTGTTGAAGATAAAAATACGGAGAGTTCAAAGCTACCGCAAGATCTTGTATGGCAAAGTTCGACGAAAGGGATGAGCAACGTCGTTCGCGATAAGAAGATTGCAAAACTCTTGTCAGGGGTTAACTTGTTGCTCTACTCCTGCCCGCGTCCGGAGAAGGATCGATCGGGAGTGGCTGAGCCTCCTTGCCACGTACTCGGCTTCTTATCTAATCGATCTCATCAAGGATCTAAGCCGAGCAGGGTCATCCTAGTATCAACGAAATTCTCATCATTTCCATATATCACATGGTCAAAAGGATTGCTTAAGACGCCGTTCATTGGACAGATAGATCTGGGAGTACTGTGTCTCGCTTGGTGAAGGTCTCGGAGCGCGGGTGACACCTTGAGGTGTCTTCGTGGATTTATTGCTCGTTCTTGTTTCTGGTTGTTAAGCGAGCTGCGCTTGTGCCGTCTGGTCTCAAATTCATTGGTGGAATGTGTTGTTCACTTGGACTCGCCTTGGACGACGGTTCTCAGACAGCTTGAGTTCGACAACATCTAAGCGATGCGCGTGCATGCGACGATCAATAGTCGGAGGTTGTTCGCGGTGAATAGATTTGCCGTTTCGCGACAATCCCACAAGCTCGTCACAAACTGCATCTAAGGACTTCTTTTTCTCTTCTCTCCCGTCGCAGTGAGCGGATTCATATTCACTGTGAGTGCAATTATTGACCATGGCTCATGCTTCTAGGTCGAATTTGTTCTGACATGGGACAGCCTGGCGACTGATTTATCGTGTGGTTGATAGCCTAATACGAGGTACATCCATATATACCTGTGACAAGCCCTGAACTACATGCTGCATGCACCTTCACATAGCTTCCATGGTCTCGGCTGAGGAGGCCTGGCCGCTTCGAGGTCGGGATCTTGGACTCTCTATGGTGGTTGTCACAAAAGTATAAGTACGCTCTACAACTTCTAGCAAGTATCGCTTTATCATCAACTGTTCATCTTCATGTGCGCCATGCAGCACAAACATCTGCTTAGTCTTCTCACCATCTTCCTTGCCCGTTCGGTGCTAAGCAGTCCACATGTGTTTAGATACACTAACTCGACAGGGTCGGGGGTCGTTTGCAATGGCACATCCTCTCGTGTCTCGGCTCAATCTTGGGTAGATGGAATCAATCCTGGTTGGAATCTGGGTAACACTCTTGATGGAATTCCAGACGAGGGAGATTGGGGAAATCCTCGAGTTGTGCCCTCGACCTTTGATGATGTGAAGAAGGCGGGATTCAAAGGAGTTCGACTACCAGGTAAGATGCTTTGTCTTTCTGAAACACAATCATCTAACAACCACAGTGACATGGGCATATCACTTCGATACGGAAGCCCCTGATTACATAGTCAACCCGTCCTGGCTCCAGCGAGTATCCGATGTGGTCGACATGGTTCTCGAGCGTGACATGTATGTTCTCATCAACGTTCATCATGACTCCTGGACATGGGCCGATGTCACCCAAGCCAGTGCAAATTACACTCAGATTGAAGAGAAGTTTTACCGGCTGTGGTATTAGATCGGAACCAAGTTGGCATGCAAACCAAGTTTGCTGGCTTACGAGCCCATCAATGAACCTCCGGGCACGACCGCAGCACATGCAGCTGAGTTGAGAAAGCTCGAAAATTTGTTCCTGAAAGCTATAAGCGATGCTGGTGGTTTCAATCCCGAGCGTGTGGTCACCCTCAATGGTCCACAGGAAAACAGCGACTTGACCTCACAATACTTCATCCGCCCAACAAACATCACCAATTCTTGGGCGATTCAGTACCACTACTACTCGCCTTATCCATTCATATTTTCTGCCTGGGGAAGCACGATCTGGGGTTCAGCTGCAGACAAAGCTGCTCTTGAAGCAGATATCGCCAACATTCGTTACAACTTCACCGATGTGCCTCTCATCATCGGCGAATGGGCGGCATCACCAGTAGCCACTGAAATAGCAGCCCGCTGGAGGTACTTCGATTTTCTTGTTCGTACAGCAGCAAAGTACAACACTTCGACGGTGCTGTGGGATAACGGCGCCGACTTCTTAGACCGTGCGAATCATATCTGGCGTGATCAGACGGCTATCGATATCTACATGTCCGCTCTTGGTGGTGAGGCCAATGCTCTGCCCGACAGCACCACCGATCCCGATGCCATGACACAATTTACCAATGCAGACCTATTCGTGCGTGTCGGTCAGAATGTGACCTCTCAAAGTCTTCCTTACATCATCCCTCTCAACACGAGTTTGGTCTCAATTACAGGCGACGATAACAATTTGTTGACAGGAGGAGCCGACAACTCGATTTTTGGCAAAACCATTGTCTTCTCAGCCTCTTTGCTCCGTTCCTACTTCACATTTTCCGCCAGCCCCGGCTCCATTGCAAACTTGACTCTCGAGTTCTCCTCCGGTGCTGACTTGACCTCGAATCTCGTACTCTGGGACACACCCACCATAAACAGCACCTCGAGCTCCGTAGCTGCGGCAAACGGCCCGAGTATCTCCATCCCCGTTCAATGGAAAGGTATCAACAAACCCGCGACCGTCAAAGCAGTCACTGCGAACGGGACCTATCTGGTCGATGACTTTACAAAGTACTACGGACCTTCACAGAATGCTAGAACCGTGAGTCACAGCTTTAGTATATTGATCACGACACTAACATGTAGACACAGACGTACAACTCTCAGTGGAACTGGGACACGAACAATTTGATCATCACAGCTGCGGCTGTGAATGCTGTGAAATCTTTGGGTGAGGATGTGATCTTCACTTTCGAATTCTACCCAAGGGTGTCCGGCAATGCAGTAGACTATACTTTAACTGTCTGAGGATAAACTATTGTAACGACGATATTGGGCTGCAACGTTCATACTCGAGATGTCTGAAAATACTTTTCCTGTAGCGAGTGATCTAGTTGAGCAAAATAGTGTCGTTAGTCGCAGTGGCAGGATGCATGTCGAAAAAGACTAGAAACCATCCCATATGCAATGGCATCAGGCAAAAAGGAAGCTCTCCATCAGGGAATCGAACCCTGGTCTCCCGCGCTTGACGAGATCTGACTCTTGACAAGCGGAAATCATGACCACTAGACCAATGAAGACAAGCCAGCTGAGCTGGTATTGGTTGATGTGACTGTTCCTGGTGGCCTTCAATATGTTCTTTTGCAGTTGCTCATGTTCGTGCAGCGAGGGTCATCAGCCTCACAACCTTCGCAGGCTGCTTGGTTTTCCCGTCGCAATCGTTGCAGACGTCCCAAACTGTGAGCAATCAGCCAGTGCACGCAACAATGCGACACGATCTGAAGAAGATGGCGGCTTCTCACGACCGGGATTCGGCCAACATTTATATCAGGAGGAAAGCTCCGAGGGAGAGAGGTCGCCGGATGAGTTTCCGATTGCTCACAACTACCGACGTTGATGTCATCGCACCCAAAATCTTTCCACAAATCTAGCTCGAGATGGGGTCAACAACGGTGTGCTAATTCCTCTTTCGAAACAGCAGACCCGGCGGCAGAGGTCGAAGAAGGACGAGACGATTTCCATTCAACGGGGTGGCTTCCAGACCTCGTCGTCATTGGCAGCGAGTGCCATTTTCGATCTTCAATTTCCCATCTTGCACGTGAAAATCGCAGTCGTGGCTATCGTTCATGCACGCTGTTTCTGCATCTTACTTGCAGGTACTACTGCTAACTCGCCGGCGCTCAACGCTGTGGTAATGCGACAAGAGGTTGAAATATTGCTGTCACTCCCACCACTCATATCTCACGTCAATGTCGAGTCCCTTAAACGTCTCAAGGCTCGCTGACGTAGGCATTCTTGACCTTTTACGAAACGACGATCGCCCAACTTTTGTCCTCGGACCTTCTAACAAGAGTGTCGCATTACGAGAACAGCAAGAGATTGTGTTTACGAATACCGCCCTCGATACCCTTCGAGAGGAACATGCACAACCAGGTGCGCTGGAAACCTGGTCTCAATCGTTGCTCGGTGGCCCAGAAGAAAATGACAAGATATGGACATTTGCTGGAAGAGCATGGGCAAGCACATTGATCGGTGACACTTGGCTAGTTGTATACTGTGCCCAAGCAACTGCAACAGACACGAGCAATCACAACGTCGCGTTCCAAGATGCTCGTTTGAGCAAGCAGAAGGCGCCATCATGGGACATACTCTCACCTCCACCGGAATTGCCCGCGAGAGTTGTGGATTGGACCAAATTCGATGTACCGGGCATCTCTCCTCATGTTCAGTTCATCAAGGGCTTTGACTGGTCGTCGACTCCCTTAGGTCCTATGTGTAATTGGCCAGGCCGTTTGAGCTCAATGGTTCTCAGTATTTGCACGAATCCCGATCCGCGCGTCGTAGTCTGGGGCGAGAATCTCACGATGATATATAATGAGGCTTGCGCCTCGTTGCTCGGCGAGAAGCACCCCTACGCCATGGGAAAGAGCTGTTCCGAGGTACAAGCAGAGATATGGCCTCAGATGTCGAAGCTGTTTCAGCCTGCACTCTTGGACGGGAAAGCGATAAAATCGACCGAAGAACTCTCCTTCCAAGAAAGAAACGGCGTCCTCGAGGAAACCTATTGGAATTTCACCATCTTTCCAATCATATCCGCACGAGGCTACGCTCTTGGTGCAATAAATTCTCTGGTCGAGCTGACCTGGCATGTAATCAATCAACGTAGAGGTGACGTGGTTGGAAAACTAAAGGAGCGGGTCTCCTCTAGCGCAACAATATCTGAGATCTGGAACCAGTGCTTAGGCTGCCTCGAGGCATACCCGGAGGACGTTCCCTTTGCAATGATATACTCCAACGAGGATGATAGTGTCTCTTCAACTTCTAGCTCCTGGGCGAACTCACTGAGAAGATACCAGCTTCATGGCGCGCTCGGCATTGATCAGAATAATGCCGCTATTCCTAAGGCATTCGATCTGACAGATCGAAAGTCAGTATATGGTTTGGCGAGGGCCTGTCGAGACGCCATCATTCGCAAGAAGACCATGGTCCTTCGCCGCCACGATAACACGTTGCCGGCCGACCTCGCTACGGCAATACCTGGCCGCGGCTGGGAAGATCCCATTGAAGCTGTCTGCGTAATGCCGATTGCTGTGAATGTTGCTGGGGCTCTAGCATTCTTCGTACTTGGACTGAATCCGCGAAGGCCGTTCAACGAAGACTCTCTACATTTCGCCCATAACCTTCGTGACGTTCTGACAAAATCAAGTTCTCTACTCAATCAAGCCAGGTTCGAAGAGATCCACGACAACCTCTCGACACAACTGAAGATCAGCACATTGAAAGCAGCACGAAACGAGGAGAGGTTTACTCGCATGGCTGAGTCGGCACCAATTGGTATTTGCACTTTCCGTCCGGACGGTAAGCCTCTTTACTGTAACGACCAATATCTCAATCTTGTTGGTGTGCCACGAGAATACGACTGGAAGAAGCTTTGGGACTCAGGTGCAACCTGGCAAGAGCGTGTCCACCCTGATGATATGCACGGTATCCAAGCAGCCTGGAAATCGCTTCTAGACAAGGAGAAGACATCGTTGACTGTAGAATATAGGGTAACGACACCCTGGCGATCTGTGGATAAAGCTACTGGTAGCGAACTCACGGGAGAAACCTGGCTTTGCAACAATGCAGTGGCTGAATGTGACGAGAACGGTGATGTGGTCTGTATTCATGCGTGGCTGCATGATACCTCTTTTCGACATTACACGGAGACATTGTTATCCGCTCGACTCCAAGAAGCGCTGGAGACGAAGCGTGCCTCGGAGAACTTCATTGATATGGTCTCACATGAGCTGCGCAATCCGCTCTCGGCGATTTTGCAATCAGCAGACAGCATAATCACAGGCCTTGACGACCAAGAAGCACGACTAAAGAAAGATACTGAAACGCTCGATGGAGTTCTCGAAGCTGCTCAAACTATAATCCTGTGTGCACAACATCAAAAATGTATCGTCGACGACATTCTCTGCCTTTCGAAACTCGACTCGAATTTACTTGCTATCACCCCGGATAAGGTCTCACCTCCTCAACTGATTGCAAAGGTCCTAAAGATGTATGAGGCCGAGCTCTCACGAGCATCTGTGAAAGGAAAACTGGAAGTCGAGCATAGCTACCATAATGTCATGAACTCTCATGAGTACGCGATGCTCGACCCAAGCAGACTGCTACAAGTTGTGATCAATCTGCTCACCAATTCAATCAAGTTCACTCAGTTCTCGGAAAGACGTGGGTTGACGATTTATCTCGGTGCATCTTATGCCAAACCGACGGGAGCCCATCACGAGATAGCGTTTATCAGTCCTCGCAATGCTCGACACGAACACTCGACATCATTATCTGCCGAGTGGGGTCGGGGCAAAGACATCTATATCCAGATTGCCGTGCAGGACACAGGTCGAGGTCTTAGCAAGGAAGAGATGAGCCTCTTGTTCCAGCGCTTTTCCCAAGCCAGTCCAAAGACCTATAAACAATATGGCGGTTCGTATAAGTTCTTCTACCTAGATGAACCATTCCCTCTGACTGACAGGAATTACAGGTTCTGGACTCGGCCTGTTCATAAGCAGAGAATTGTGCGAGTTGCAGGGAGGTCAGATTGGTGTCAGTAGTCCTGGCCTCGGGCATGGTACCACCTTTGCCTTCTACGTACGTGCTCGCCGCTGTCCGAAAGAAGCCAATTCTGTTCCCGAATCACCGATATCTCTACAACATGTCTGGAACACGCCTGTTACGGGATCGACGGCTATGCCAGCGCCCGCTGACTCCAAGGACGCCGGAAGCATTCGGCCACCGCTCAAAACACATACATCTTCTTACGTGAAACCAGAAACTCCAGCACAGCCAAAGAAACCGGACAGGCCGCTACATGTACTCGTAGTGGAGGACAACTTAATAAACCAGAGAGTGATGTCGCAACAACTACGCAAGCAGGGCTGCATAGTACACATCGCCAACCATGGTCTCGAAGCACTGACTTTCCTTGCGAGCTCCGCGTTCTCCTCAACAACTCCCTCGACGCCACTGGATGTGGTGCTCATGGATCAGGAGATGCCCGTCATGGACGGCATAACCTGCGTACGAGAGGTTCGAGCTCGACAAAAGACCCAGGAATTCAATGGACACGTGCCCGTCATCGCTGTCACTGCAAACGCCAGAAGCGAACAAATCGCCGTCATGATGCAAGCAGGCATGGACTCAGTAGTCACCAAACCCTTTAGGATTCCTGAACTTGTTCCGCAGATGAGAAAACTGGTAGAGAGGACGAACCCATATGAGGCAACCGGAGATGTCGACACAGAAGAGCGGCCACCGATGTCTCCCAAACCCCAAGACTTGGGAACTGCAACCCCAATACCAGAACGCCCCCGAGTGTCTACGAAATTCTCCTCCAGTTGGGAGAAGATCGAGGGTGACCAAGCAGCACATGATCTCTGGTAGATCAGGTGACGAAACTTGGCTCAGTACATATATCCTTTCTTATCATACATTCTCTGCGGTACCTTACAATATAACGATAAGCGAGTGCCTCGATCTACTACAAGAGCAGTAGCTTTCAATCGTACGTTAGGGTTTGACGAACAGCCGTGTAGAATAATTACTCTATCCCCGTCATCACACTCGTATGTGTCGCTACCAAGCCAACGTCTGTTCCCAAAGAACAAGTGTGACCTGTCGCATGCTGCCTTTACGGATCTCCGCGACGCAACAACTGAGCTCGTTGCAAGCCGGGGTAGAGGCGCATTGGTCGATTGAGGAAGCTGCGAAGTTTACTACCTGCTTCCTGTGTCACGCATGGTGAAAGCAGACAAGAGAGAAGGAACACAAGTTGGCGTTGTTCCAAAAGCGGAAGCTCAGGAATCTGGCTTTGACCTCACCTCCCTCCACGCATCTCCATCTACAGTTCTCTTTCTGTCGCATATTCTCAGCACTCACCTGAATCTTATCAGAGGCTGCGTGACAGACGACATATTTAGCTGTCTCAGGCACACAGATCTCGGCATAGGCAAATATTAAGGTGCACCAAGACGTCCCGGAACTGAAAGTGTCCGCCGGAACAATGCTCGCCATGACGTGCTGGAGACAGACTCAACTCGTACAACTTCCGTTGATGCACAGGTGATGACTGTGAAGCATCCTTGACTTGGATAGATATTAGTATCCGAGATCAGATGGTGCGATTGATTCGCTACGGACCTCGCTGTCATCTTATGAGCACCCTGGTCAACTTCTGCATGACGCTCGTACCATCGACATGACCGACATAAATCATGAAATCGTGTATGCTTGCATGAATCAAAGTTGTATTAAGTGTGAGCCTTGAGAAGAAGTAGGTCGAACCTCAAGAGGCGCTGGATCGGGGGCCAGAGTGGGCATTTCCATGGCGTGGCCGACCCATCTTTGAGCACTGAAGTACTTCAGATCGTGAGACGGTGTCGTTACCTCTGAGATACCAGTAGTCCGCCAAATTCTGTCGTGTTCCGTTGCGGCGCCGAGTCGGACCCTGGTTGTTTATATTGACGCGCTGCTATTTCACGCCTTCATCCTTCTTTTCCACGACCGTGACCCCAAAATATCTGCTTCACTCACATCACGCAGAGCACATAGCATCTGAGGACACCCAATCATCATCATCTACAAGTCTTGTCAAGAGCCAACTCCATCCACAAGACTTGTCCAACAAGCAACATCATCCACAATACCATCCACAAGACCAAGCAAGATCCACCATCTACAAACATTGGCCACCACAAACTCTTCAATCCACTCTCTCCAGCATCGCATCGAAACACGCTCGACGAAGTCTCATCAAAACAAACCACACCTCTCCCACACGCTCCAAGCAAAACCAAACAAGACCACAACACAAACACAATGCCTGCAATGGACATCAAGAAGCACATTCTCCGTAAGTACTCCAGCCAGGTTCCCATATTCCATCCTCCCTGTGTCCTTTTCATGACGCGCCTTCCATTGTGACCATCTTGCTGACTCGCGTCAGTCAACCTTCAGCTCGACTCCATTGAGCTCGAAGACTTCTCCATCACTACTGCTACCACCAAGCGCGGTACTCAAGAGATTCACACCGTCTACGTTGTTGCTAGCAACCCACGTATGACCATCGCTCGCGCCTCAGGCAACACTCTCGACGAAGCCATGCAAGCCCTCCTCAAAGTCACCAGCAATTGATCGCGCGAGTATGCACCCAAAGAGAGCCATCGAAGCATCAAAAGAGCACGAAAAAGTGTGATGATCATGGGCACGAAGGCTGTTTGAATCACATCCAAAGCTGTATGCACAGACACTCCAAGCAGAAGATCTCGCAACAACAAATCAAACGCTTGCAAACACCCATCTTGTCTTTCCTTACTTCTTGTATCATGTCCCAGATGTGCTTGCGTGTCGTAATATGCTAGTCATTTGTGCTCAAGGCTAAACCCAGGTTGTGTCGAACAACGCATCTCCCCCATTCTGACCTCCCGATCCTGTCGAATGTGTTCGGGACGCTGATTGGCAAGCATGGATAGCCAAGTACTTGCGGAACCCAAAATTCACCTGTCTCGCATGTAGAGTAGCGGATGTGGCCGGTCAACCTAGCACACATAGGCTTGAACCAATTCTCAAGACCAGCGTCGCGTGAACCTCCGTTGCGATTGTGTAGCGCGATCACTGTTTAGATCGTCCTTGGGAACGCAGAGAATGACATCGAGCAAACCACATATGCCAGCGTATGATTGCATGAAGCGGTCAGATCCGGTTAAGTTGTGGGAGAAGGCGTTCTGGCCCATGCAGACAAACACGGGCAGGAGGCCGGTCATCTATGCGTATAACGTCGACTTGGTAATGGCTTCGGTAGATCTTCTGGCAAAGACAACGTTCTGGTACCAGCTCGCTTGAGTCCTCTTAGCGTATTCTCCTGGTGGGAATTGATAAGTCAGCTCTTTGTTTTGATCTCTTGGTCTGAAATACAAGATGGCACATGATTGCCCCTGATGTTCTGGTCAGCGAGCACTACGATCGGCTGGCTTTCCATCTGCTTGACTCGCTTGACGTGTTTCGCCTGTCGTCTGGCTCTCTCACCGTGCTGATCTCTGTCGACACGCTGGCAGACTCTGTCCTTGACGCAAGAGCTCTGTCTGAAGGCTGTTGGTGACTAGAAATGTGTACCATGATCGTAGAGCACGTCAGACATCTGTGGAGAAGTTGATACTGGTGTTTGAGGTTCGACTGCTCCGTGAAAAGCTCATGTGGACTGCGTCTTCACTTTGTAGCATCACTTCACTTCACTTGCTCTATATACCAGCAGAATTCTGTTGATAACAGAGATCGGTACTGTGGCTCACATGTACCACTCGATAGAAAAACACAAATTCTAGCGTAAATAGAATCCAGGGGTTGTGAGTTCAACTCTCAGCCTTGGTTGGTCGCAATGATGACTTTGGAATTTTCCCCCAAGATGCCTCGTGTGTCTAGGTTCTTTTTGCATGACTTGAATTCATGAGATTGGCAGTTATCTCTACAGTATACAAGGTGGGAAACGAATCAGGATCCACTAAGAGTGCTTGTCATGCGAGATCATGGAGGAAGTGACTAAGGTTGACGGACATCTCTTCATCTGGAGCTACGGACTATCCGATGTTCCTGTCAACCCGAACTACCATTCAATACCTAGGATCACACGCGGCTGAAGATTGGTAGCGGACATGAATCTTTTGCCAGCACGCCTCAGTGATGAAATGATAACGTGGTATAGAGAAACCAAAGAAGAACTTTTATCATTCAGACACCCAAGCTTTGTTGTGAAAAGGAAAAGATGCCTCCCAAAAGAAACTACAACAAGCCTCCGACCTCCAAACACCACGTTCAAGCATCCCATATGCATCCTGTATGATTCTCTCCAAGCACTAACCCGCCGCGAATCTCCTCCATGTCATCGGTGACCGTTCAGGCCGAGGTACTCGCCAGCAAGATCTGTATCAAGAATAGTTCCATCCAGAAGAGAGAGTTTCAGATCACAATCTAGTCCGAAGAAACATCATCCTCGACATGAGCCTGATACTTGACACAAGTCTTGTGTCTAGCTTGTATGGTACGTGTATCTTCGGCGCGCCGTCTGTTGCTTCCTGCTCTAAATACGTGTGTGCCGCGTGCAACATCGACTTCAATGTCATCTCTGCTTCCCGCAAGGTTAAGCTCGACATGACCGTCTTCGCGTCTGACAACGAATTTCGAAACTTCAAGTTCGGCCAAGAACTTTTGAAGCGCGATTTCAGCTTCGAGTTTGCGGAACTTGAAGTCTGCTTCGTCTCTAAGGCGTTGATGATCAAGTTCCTCTTTTCGGAGATCGACCTCAGCCTCGTCTCTACGGCGTGCAGTCTCAGCTTCCTCCTTGCGGCGTGCGGCCTCATCTTCCTGCTCACAGCGCTTAGCGAGGTAAGCGGTGCCAAAGACAACAATAGTCACGAAAGAAGTGATGGCGTTCATGGCTGGCCGATTGAGTCCCGTGCTTTGTAGATCGTGGACGTTGATGGTATCGATGCGGTTGATATTGTACTCTGACGCCGTGGAGGGAAAGATGTTCGAGGGAGATCAAAAGTTATCGATGTGGTGATGTCCAGTAATGATCGTACAGAGATGTATCGGCGGCGACGGTAATGCTTGCTAATGCTCGATTTGTTGTTTTGATGAGATGATACGACTTGTTAGGCAAATCCTCAGCTTTTGTATTCAACGAAGAATTCTTTATGCGATCTTTACACAAACTATTGTATTGATGTGAGACAGAACTAAAGACACGAGTAATGACACGAGGATTACGAGGAGACAGTTCTGTCTCAGACATGCATGTCCCCCATCGAGGCGTCTCAGACGACACAAAGAATAGAGAGAAGCACATAGCAAGTTTTAAGAAGGGATGATGCGGACGAGTCTGTCTAAGACGATCCCCGTCAGAATAGAACAAACGCTCGTACTTTGGTGGTCTGGATGTGATCTCGACTAGATATGACTCGATTCCAAATCTTCATAGATGATGCGATGACCTCGATAGAGACTTAATGTCGTACATCTGATGCTAGCAATCATGAATCATGGTCCATATAGTCGGCAGATCTGATGTATGGCTAAGCGTAACAGGGATGGATGTAAACTTACAGTTGGATGTCGGGTCGAAAAATGATAAGTCAACGACACCTTCAGGGTTCCTTGAGAATACCGTGGATTCATAATGGCAGATTCTACATAGAAACTGACTTGTGACTATTGTTCAACAGTCATAACCATGTTCAGGGTCCGTGACTAATCAGCAAGGAGAGCCCTCAGTCATCCAGTATATCCATGCCAAATGATAAAGTTTTCTGTTACCTCAGCTTATTGCCTTGCTTGATTGACATTCCTCCCTCCGACATGATAATACTCGTTGCTCACATCCATTGTACACACAAGCTGTCATGTCGCTCGCCGTGATCGGCCCGAATAAACTGTGCTGTCTCTATTGCTTGTTGGTACAGTCGCTGTCCCAGACAAAGTGAGACAGACCGTCGGAGCTCAACCAGTATCCTCAACCTTGATCTTCTTCTCGATACCCCGTTCAACTGGCGATGCAGATAGCTCACGTTTCGCGCGGTACTGGGTTCGGTGAGCGGAACCAACAGGACTGCAGGAGCGACGATCAGTAGAGGGACTGTCGCTGAGCTTGGAGCGATACTGGCCAAACACTGGAAGGGTTTGATTTTCTTGTGAGGGGAAAGCGTTGATACCCTGCTTGGAGTTGCCGGAGGAGAACACGGCTGGATGATCTACTTTCCATGGAGGAAGTGCAGGAGTCTGCCGAAAGTGCGTTTACCGAAGCTAGAAGTAAACCCCATGTCTCCTGGGAGGGACTCGGTAGGTTTGGTGGAGAGGAAGGGTGCCTGAAGAGTGCCGAGTTTCTGACGCGCTGGCGAAAGCGTTGCCTTCTGCTGATCCTGTCCCTGGTGAGAAGAGCTAGGAGGAATGTAGTTGAAGGTGTTGACCTGAGTACTGGAGTCGTGACGAGCTGTTGACAGGTCTGCCGTCTTTTGAGCCTGCTTGCGAGCGACGCTCAGCACATGTGATTCCTCGTTTTCATCCGTCTCGATACCTGCCTCCTTGGGCTTTTCGTTTGCTCTCATCTTCGACAGAACAGAATCTCGAGAGAGGGATGCCAGCAGGTCGTGCGAAGAACCGAAGCGAAACATGTTTGGCACGGTAGGGTACCTCTCAGATTCACGGCTAGGCGCGTGTGTGGTAGGATTACCGATCGGTCCAGATGAGTTCGGTGTCAGGTTACTTCTGGGGCTCGAGGGACCACGAAGGTGCATTCTCCATTGGAGTGGAGCTACGCGTGTGAGGGTGCCGTCCGGCATGTCACAATCGTCCTCCTCGATCGCAGATACACAACCAACACCGGTGGTTGGTGTGATGTTGCGAGGCTGCAGAATGTGTGCTGGGTTGGGTAACTGAACAGTAGGAAGAGCTGCAGATTCGATTGGAAGGACGGCCGGACCAGCTGGGAGATCTGGAAGTGAGACGAACACACTCGGATCCCAGCTATCCCATGTCTTGGAACGGAGATTATAATCGTGCACGTATGTTGTTCTTTGCTCCTCAGTAGCTGCCAACTTTGCCAGCTTCCTCCTCTTGTTCTTGGCCGCCTTCTTGGCAAAGACCTCCTTGTCGGTAGTCGAAGCATCGATTTGAGTCCAATGCTGAGGACCCGATTTGAGCTGGCCATAAAGACTTGTCATAGCATCCTCGAGTGTTTTGCCACTCCCGACCACCGAGGGACGGACTCGAGGCTGCACGTAGGCCCACCACAGGTTGTGGTTTTCATTCACTGGACTCTTGCAACAGCTTTCTTTGTCGAAGAAGATGACAGGTTTTTCCTCGGCAGGGTGTGCCCACTGGTTTTGGTATACATCTGATGAGGTTCGTAAGTGAATCTGTGCATGTGGCTTTGGGAGACGAAGGTCATACTTTCGATGCGGTGGATCAGGCTGATCAAGTTGGTTGACCAGTTGTTGACAGAATCCATGGTCCGAGTGAAAAGAGGTTGGACGTGATGAAAGCGGTGAGTTTGTGATGGTTACCGAGGAGGATGTTGGTCTTTCAAAGCGCAGATGGTTGGAGTGCAGAGTCGATGTAAGTCCTTGTTAGTGATGGGTGAGGTGCAGAACAGGCATGGAGGAAGTCGACACTGTGGATTGGCAAGTGCTTCAGACAGGCAGCCGCGATGCTCGACGCGAACTCAAAAGCCCGCGAGTGCTCCTTCCCTACCACATGTCTTGGCTTGCGCGAAGACAGTTGAGGAATTGGTCGACTGGAAACAGCGACTGAGTATGAGAAGTATTTCATTGCTGACATTCACTCTACCCACAAGTCCCCAACGCCATGCTAATATGACAAAACCACAATTCCCGTGAGCTAGACTTAGTCCGCAATATTCTTGTTTGCTTTCCTCTCTTTGGCGAGGACTTCCTTCAACGACCCGTTCTCCTTCGCGATTTCTACAATCATATCCAAAGCCTTCAACTCCTCAGCGTTCATTGCATGCAAATCATCGCCCTTCAGACAGCACATGTTGTCCGCACCGATGGCCCACTCAGCCCATTCGTTGTCCTTTCTCTTCTCTCTCATGAAGAATTCGAACGTCGAGATATCGGAGCTGGCATCGTGTTTGTTGTTCTGGATCCAGCCATTGAACCACAGAGGTCTGCCATCGCGGGAAAGATGCAAGAGCTGTGGAGAACAAAGGATGATGTTTTGACCAGGCAAATCGAGCATACCGGGACCAGTCAGATTCGTACGCTTCGTTTCCAATGCGGTGTCAAACCAGCTGTCGCGCTTGGTCAGGTGACGGCGGGAAAGTGATCGACTGCTCTTGACCGCTACCGAGGCCACAGGGGGCTCCTCTCCGGAAGAAGTCGGCGTCTCGGTAGGAGTGACTGATTCAGCAGTGGCAGAGTTGTTGGAAGGTTGGATGTTTTCCACCACCGGAAGATAGTGACCCTCCTCTGTAGGCAGGCGGGCCGCCCTCACAGCCTCTGCTGCCTTGATGGCATTCATCACTTCGTCTGCATCTGGGGCAGGGGAGAGGAACTCGCTGCTCGCTTCTTTCTCGATGTCTGGGATGACTTCGCCTGAGAGTCGTGCTACTGCAGGCTCTTCGCTGTGGTCAGACTGTTCGTTTTGCAGCTTTGTCAAGGTCTGCTCGAACTCATCGCTGTCAGAGTTGTGCGGGTCCTTATCGACCGCCTCTTCCTTTGAAGGTCTGTTTTCTTGGTCGTCGTTGTTCTCTTCCTTGTTGTCTTCCTTCTTATCACCTGGCTTCTCCATCGGTTCGATATTGCTGACTGTGCCCATGTTGCCAGTGCCGCCTTGGTGGAAGTGGTAGTCTGTGTCACCAGCGAGCTCGAACCCAATCCACCAAGTCTCCTTGTCACCCCACCAAAAGCTATAGGTCCCTTGACCAGCATCGGTGTCGCGTCGATCGGGCCCATTCAATCTGGCGGTCAAAAAGATACTCAAGAAGTGTCTCCACTTGTCGACTACAACAACGCCAGATTCCTGGTTCTCACCGGTCTCGCCTGACCACCACCTGCTCGCCTTGATCTTCTTGGAGACAGGCTTGGGCATGATCTTGCGCAAGAAGCTCCGCTTGTCCTGAGCGAAGACTGTACGATCGGTGAAGAACAGGGCACCAGTGTCGATATAGCCAGGCTCTTCGAACATCAATGCCGGATCATTAAAGAACAAAACGTCGGCATCAAGAAGGATCACCTCACGGAAGGAGCTCAAAAAAGCAGCGAAAGCTTTACCGGCCCAGCCTTCGAGTTCCCAGCCTTGATCGTTGACCATCTTCTTGATGTCGCGGGTGATGACATCCGGAATGGCTTCAAGCTCCGTGCGTGCGTCCTCGCTCAAGTCAGATTCACCAAGGTACATGATCTCGACTGGCAAGGTACAGCCCATGGCGCGGAATGAAGCGATCGCGGTCTTGATGTACGGAGCTTGGGAGTCGCTGCCAGAGATGACAATGCCGCGTCCAGCGTTGTACATATGTCCGTGGAGTGTCATGTGGTCGGAGAAGTAAGGGTTGGTCCAGGGAAAAAGTGTCGATGACATGTTCGACAAGAATGAGCGGTAGGTCTCGTATTGTCGCATAGCCTCGACTCGTGATCCGGAGGTAAATGGAGAGATATCTTTCGAATCTCTGATATGGCGCAGAATGTCGTCTCGTACGAAGGCCGTGTCGGAGAGACTGTCTGTTACCACATGCAACGTTTCCCATGCATCAAAGTATTTCTTGAACATGCGGACTCGGACGCCTGTCTCCTGGAGCTTGGTCTCGCCACCCGACGTGATAGGCTTAGTCAGGGCGTTGTAGTAAATCTCATCCGGACACAGGTTTAGTACCGTGCGGAGAGCTTCATCGATGTCGTACGGTTCATTGCTGTGGATGGTGTAATACTGCGGCTTCTCTTGCGTCCGTAGTGATTCTCCCTCCTCTTCTCTCGATTCTGATGAAGTCTCAATCACTATCGTTGGTGTTGTGCTGTTGGTGACTGTGACGTTGGTAATTGTCGTCTCGGTTGTTGTGTTAGTGGTCAGACTTGACGGAACCCGATTCCAGTCCGAATGAGTTGCCACACTTGTGTATAGAAGAACACAGAATAGAGCACATCCTGTGAACGCAAGTCCTCTCACAACCTTGAGGCATCTTGATGGACTGCTAACATAATTTGTGAAGTAGTCAGGGTCGAGCTTCTCGAGCCGAGGGCTCAGTGATCCGGTCATTGAGTCGAGCGAGTCGAGTCCCCTCATCCTAATCGGTTCCAGGTCCGTGAGTGGTAGATGTGCTTGTTTCCCGAAGCCAGTTATCGTGTTGCTGATAAAGTCGAATGCAAAGGAGCCAAAAGAGTTGTGGAATTAATCCAGGGAACAGCATAGAATATACCAGGACTCCGGTGATCCCGTAACCATTCTACAGTTTCGGCTCAGCATGCAGCTGAGAGTATAATGACGGTCGCTAGATCGAGACAGACCCAACTAGAACACATTCGCTGTTGAAACGGGTATCGAAGCCTGCCACAACCGATCATGGTGCGCACATGCTGAACTCAAAACCAACAACGGAGACCATGTCAGCCGCAAACGGCAACAGGACTCAGCTTCCCATGTCGACCACTGACCACATCTGGGAGAGCACCATGATCGATCAGCTCGCGCGGAGTAAGCACTCGATAGGATCCTAAAACTCTCCAAGCCTTTGACTGGCAAACCGCAGTGAGTTCCAACTGGCTCAGCTCCCATGTGAGGTGCGCATGTCTCAAAGAGAATGACGAGCTGAGGAAGCGTCGTGGAAGCCGACGCGTGGCTGAAGGCAAAGGCTAGACTTTCAACAGTCCGAACCAACGAATTTGCTCGCGGCTGGCAGACAAGCACCGTTGCTGACAGGCACTGCGTCTTATCCCTGCATCTAGGGTTCTATATCTGGTTCCTCAGCTCTCAGCTACTGCATGATTCGTTTCGATATGAGCGTTGTGGAAGGGGAGATGTCGTTACGGCAAAGGAGGAGGCAGCATCTCATCTTTGCGGTGCGCAAGCGAGATGGCTTGCGAGCTCCGTTGGCAACAGCTGACATCCCCAGCGGTTCGAGTGTGTTTGGAACACCACATCTTCCCGCGTGTTCTAGACTTTGTCTCGTCCCTATCCGCAAATCTCAACGGACAGACCTATATCATCGCATTCGTTGACGCAATTCCTATGAAACCGATTCGGACAATGCTGATCTGCGAGCGGTATGCGTACGCTTCTATCCTCTTGTATGTTGTCACATTTGAGCACAACACGTCTGTCTCAGATGTCCTTTGACTCCTGTCCACCTACTCTCAACATCTCCATGGTGCCAATAACGTCAAGCCAGCGGGCACGTTTCCATCTCTGAATACAGCAGTCATCTGCTTCGTAAACGAGACTCACGTTTTGCCTCAACAAACCCTGTTGATACTGAACACGATATAGCACCGAGACCACACCAGCATTGACGTCGTCTATCGTAACTGATCGATTTTTCGAAAGCGCAATTTGCCTTTCGATGGATCCCGAAAACGATGCATCGCTCTGCGTCGACGGTTGAGGGGTATCAAGTGCCTGATATAACGTCGCTTGTCTTTTGTCCGCACCTCGCTCATCACGTCGCAAACGGTGTCTACATCCGACGTGAATTCAAAGCCCACGGAGCAGCAAATTTGCTGGCTCTCTACCGACGAAGAACAGCTCCAAGAAGAAAATAAGCCTGCTCACGCCATTGGTGGATCTTCTCTAGCACCTCCAGCCTGCAGATCATGCCACATCCCCACCTTCTCCCTCCGCAAACCACCCCAGAAAATCTCCGCATCATGCTCCTGGTGACAGCATCGTTGGCGGCAGTAGAAGATGTTGCTGGAGATGCGATGCGGAGGTGACCTCGTGGCTCAATAGATCTTCCGTGACTGCATCCAGGTATAAACTATAAGAACAAGCATTACCGCCAAGTCTTGTAGGTACTCATCCTTCTTTCTATCAAGATGGTCACTACAAAGTTCGTCCTTTCCTTGCTTTCCTTAGGCCTCCTGGGTACAACCCAAGCCTACAGCCGAGGCGAATGCCAATACCCAACTCAAAACCCTCTCCAAGGTTGTCCACAAGGAACACTTCTGGTGGGGCCCAAAGCAGAATTCACCAGCATTCAATCCGCAGTCCTCTCAATCCCCAACAACACAGTCCCATACTACATCCTCATTCTCCCAGGCAACTACACCGAACAAGTCAACGTCACACGCCCAGGCCCTTTGACTCTGCTTGCTCAAACCAAATTTCCAGATGACAACACCAAGAACACAGTCAATGTAATTTGGCACAATGCTACAGGAACAGCCAGCACAGGAAGCTATGATAACGCATATACATCTACACTTACCGTAGCGCCGACTTTCAACAGCAGTTTGACTGGCAGCGGACCCACTGGCAACCACGTTCCCGATGGCACACCATTCGGCAACACGGATTTCAGAGCCTACAATCTGAACTTCGTGAATGATTACTTGCCCTACTCTGCTGGGCCTAGTCTGGCATTGAGTGTGAGCTACGCAAATACTGGGTTCTACTATTGTGGCTTCTACAGTTATCAAGACACCGTAAGCTCTTTTCTTTTCCCTTCCTTCTTTGACAACACCACTGACGTTCCAACGCAAAAGGTCTACATCGGAAAACTGGGCAACGTGTACATGTACAACAGCACCATAGCCGGCCAGACAGACTTCCTCTACGGCTTCGGCACCCTCTGGATCCAATCCTCACTCCTCTCCCTTCGCGGCTGCGGCGGCGGCATAACAGCCTGGAAAGGCACGAATACCTCTTTCCCCAACGCTTACGGCGCATACATCCACGATTCCTCCGTCAAAGCCGCAAACAGCTCTCTTTCCATCGTCGGAAAATGCGCGTTGGGTCGCCCTTGGAATGCAGCTCATAGATCTATCTTTGCGAATACGTATTTGGACGACTCGATTGAGAGCAGTGGGTATATCAAGTGGAGTGCTACTGACCCGAGGTTTGGTGTCAATACGACAATGGCTGAGTATAAGGATTTCGGACCTGGGTGGAATGCTACGGGGAGAGCAGCAGCGAATATTACGATTGTGATGACGGATGCACAGTATGCTCCCTACAGCACTTTGGAGAAGGTATTCCAGTTCCCTTTTTCGGGAAAGTTTGGAAATACAAAGTGGATTGATAGAAAGTCACAGGTGCATGGTAATTGAGAAAATAGGATGTAGTCGTGTCAGAATGTCATTACGTAGGTTACCTCAACCTCTTGACGCTTTGTTCCTTCTCTTGCGTAAGGCTTCCTTTGAGCTAGTGTGACCAGTGCTGCTCTCCAAGCTAGTTCCGAGACCTGAGTCGAAGAAGTCGTCACTCTCGTCCTCATCGTCAGCTTCCAGAGCAGTGGCCAGAAGCGAAGGGAAAGGTTCGGGTTCCGTCTCCTCCTTCTTTATGGCAGGAGAGGTATAGCGCATGGCAGGACCTTTGCTATAGGTGGGATATGTTCGCTCTGTGTCTGATAACCTGGGAGTTTCCTCCTCTTCAGAGTCCTCGGCTTTGATGCGTTTATAGTCGTCTGCCTCTTTCTTGATCGAGGTGTCGTCGCCGGAAGAGAAGATCCAGACACTCAAGATAGCCCAGCAGATGGCAGTGAAGAGGACTTCTGTACCCCAGAAAGCGCCGATGAAGACGAATGCACTGGTGATGCGGTGGTTGTACATGATCCATCTCAGACCTTGAAATCGAGCCTTGAAAATGACATTGGCCTCGTAGATTTGCATGCGAGCAGAACTTTGGACCTGAATCTGCATGGTGTCTGGGACATTCCTCCATCCTTTTGCGAAAGACACGCCGTTGAAGACGGAAATCTCGAGTGTTTCTGCTTCGAGCCGCCAGCCCAGAATCAGCCAGTGCAGCTCGGTAGCCTTACGAGCGAGATCAACGACGGGCGAGTAGTATGTCAAGATGGCAGTTCTCCTCGAGCTGGCGAGAACCTTGGTCGTGGTAGGATCTTTCGCGACAGGCATACGCGAGTCGTCGATGACGGAGCCCTTTTCTCCAGGAGCAAACAGAGCAGTCTCGACCATGAAGTTGCCAATCTCGGTGTTTGTCTTTGTGCGCGGCAGACGTATCTGGATCTTGACATCATACGGCTGGAGACTAACCAGCTCGGGAGCTAGGCTTGCGACACCCCATGGCGGTGATTCGAGACTATCGAATTGGAGGTGGATAGGGCGGCTGAAGCCTATGCGCGGGATGTAGGACCAGTAGAAAGCGAGGTAGGCGGCGATGGAGACGATTAGGAGGAAGAAGCAGGTGCTGAAGAAGAGGACGGATGTCAGGTATGCACGCTGGGCGGGTTTGGAGACGGCGATGCGTAGGGGAAGGAGAGCCGTGTTCTGTTCACTTGTCAATTGTGTTCGTGTTGGTCTGGAGCGAGATGGCAACCTTAGCACGGGTCATCACGCCCTGCGACTCGTCATCAGCATAGTCGGACATATCGCATGATGGTTGTGATATTGTAAGAAGACAGAGGATGCTGATTTGGTCCGCCCAGTGTTCGCAACAACGTCACTGCTCTCACATGAAAGGTCCGAGCTTCCTCTCTTCGATTGGAACCAGCATGTCTGTCCTCCATGAACACAGTGTATCTCTGCTGTCGATAACTTGATTGTTTCCCTCCGCAGACCGTACACGAAGCTATCATACCCGAGATCACTCTTGCTTAGATGGCGAACGCGATGCTGCACATGACCTTTGATGCTGCGTAGTGACATCTTTGTTCGTTGCGTTGGATGTTGAAAGTTGTGTATGCATAATATATGCACAGTTATGACGTTGTGTTCCTTCCTAAATACCAACGCGTCCCACGAGGACAGTTCGATCATTGTCCAACGACCATTGTTATCATTCACCACGCGTTATCGCCGAGACTATTGTAGAACACCAAGATCCAGCCACGACTACCTCTACTTGTCGTGGTTTGGTACCTTTCTCGAAGGACTACGCTCTACATCGCGTCTGCATCGCCCAAACGCGACACTCGCAAACACGTTCCTGAACGTTCCCCGTCATGGCTCAGATCTTTGGACTCAGAGAGCGAGCAGATTCTTGGTATATCATGATGATGGAGTTCTTGTCTGATCACGGTTGACGTCTGCAGCCAACTACACCTTTATGGGATATGATAAGGCGTCTTCCAAAGTTGATGTCGTTGTCAGATATGTGGACCAGAAGTATTACCAGGCTACCATCGCCGACAAATCTTCAGGCGAGGACATCTGCGTAGAACCCCAAAAGTCAAAGACCGTCGAAGCTGCTTTGGAAGGCCTGCTCGCTCACACTTGCTCTCATCTTGGAAACCCTCCCAACTTGATCGGTGCTGGTGCTACACAAAAGGATAGTCCGCTTCTCAAGCGCGGTCGTGGAAGACCTAAGAGCGTTCTCCCTTCTGCCATCTCATCTGCCGTCAAGCCCAAGGCAAAGAGAGCTGCTCCCGCTGCAAGTACCATGGTGGCTGATGTTACTCCCGGAGCCAAACGTGGTGTTGGAAGACCCAAGAAGCAAGATGCCGCTGCACCCGCATCCATTAGTCGTCCCAGAGGAAGACAACGCAAGAGTCCTACGGCACCCGTGTCCACTGGTCGTCCTGTCGGCAGACCGCGCAAGAATCCTGTCGCAACTGCTCTCGCAACCGAGGTGACGGAGGATGGTACCACCGCACTCATCAAGCGCGGTAGAGGTAGACCCAAGAAGTCCGACTCCACTCCCGTAGCTGCGACTGCTCCAAAGCGTGATGCATCAGCCCTTGAGGACGACGAAGACGAAGAGCCCGCAGTCAGAAAATCACGCAAGATCACCACGGACGACGATTTCCAGGAGCTTATCGGTGCATACGACCTCGGCGATATCGAAGAAGCAGGTCAGGCTGCTCCTTACACGCCCCAAGTATGGTTTCCAACTTACGTTTCTAGAATTGCTAGGGTTGTCTACCAGTGCATTGCAGATGGAGCTGATGGAGGTCTGACCGAAGATGAGATTATGGAGGACACAGGTCTCGCATACAGCGACATTAGTGCTGGTATCTCACAATTGAGTGAAAAGGGTGGCATAGAGCCAGCTATCGAGGATTCCGCAAGATGGGTAGTCATTGACGAGTGGGAGGATGAAGACGAGTGATCCTGACAAAGCGCCTTCAAGCATCTTGAGCATGAGCGGATTATGCTCTTAGCTCTCTTGTTGTGGCATCTTTTGAGCCCGGTTGTCTGTATACATAGTTTGTGCATAAAGTCTTCAACTTGCACATCTTGCACAGACACCAAGCCGCACCTCCCGAAACGCATCACAAACGTGACTTGCACCACTCTTCCTCAACCATCAACCAGCATCAATCATGTCAGGAATACATGGTCTACGAGAGCAGATCTTAGGTAGGTATGGACGTTGGTCATAGCATCAACTATCTCGCGGCCAACCACTTTTATAGCCAATCTCGACCACGTTGAGCTCATGACACCGACTTCGGAACTCAACATTGTTGTCGAGAATGTTCGCGGTACCGAACAAGGCTACAATGCGTTCATCAGCGACAGGGTCTCACGCAAGAGACTTTTCGACTGGTCCGAATGCCATGAATCCGTGGCCGCGTCACTAGAAGTACTGTTGGAGTACACCTGTCTCATGGTAGAAACTCACCGTGAAAATCCTGAAGATTGGCGAAAACAATCCACGCATATGATCAGACGTCGCCTAGAGCAATCCTCACCCCGGACCGAAATTCCTAGCGAAGGGGAGGACGATCGAGCGTCGTCTGTTCTGACACACGGCCAGAAACGAGACGCTTCTGCTATGGAGTTCGTTGAAGACGATGAACATTTTGCTGGTTTCACACGTATCCCACCAAGACTCCGTCTTCCTCCGGACGTCATCGATATCTACAGAGAGGAGTCCGCCGGTCGTGGCCCTCTACTGCCGCCTGTGGGCGGTTCATTGGTTGCGGCCAGAGTCTGCGACTTGCTCCCTTCCACCGCCTCTGACGGAGCTAAGAAGATGCTGTTCGAGATTGTCACGAGTCCTCTATATTCATCTCCAGAAGGGGCGGTTGCTATAACCCATCTGACCTACAAAACCGGTCTGGAATACTCAGAGCTCAGAGGTTATGCCGAAGAACTCGAGCGATCGGGTCACGCTGAACATACTAGCCTGTACTCATGGAGAGCGGTTCATTTCTATTGCAGGTCCATTATGACAGTTGTTGGAGCTCCCGGTCGCATGACTCTCACTAGAACGGGACCATCGGGTATACAAACATTTGCTGGCTTTGCAACTGTCCCCTCACCTTCGAGGTTACAGTGTGGAGAAGTCAGTATTCCAGAAAGAGGACCTGCTCGCAACGCGGATCTCGCACATGTTGTTTGCGAAACACTACCGGCAGACATTTCCGTTGGGGCGCAAAAACTGCTTTACGAACTCATCACGAGGCCTCAACTTGCTGCTAGCGGAGGAATCCGATTGTCCTCTATTGCTTCTGATCATGATCTGGACATGCGCCTAATGCTAAAGTATGCTGAAGAGCTTCGTGCGGCAGGCCATGCTGAGGCTATTGATCCGGATGAGGCCGTATGGCGCCCAACAAATCTTTCCACTGCACTTTGAAGTGCTCCTCCTCCCGATCGACGTAATACCAGTCACAGAATCTGGTTGTTATATCAGTTGTCTACGGACATGTAGACATGTGAGAAGCTCTTGGCTCAGACTCTATTTCAAGCATTATAGGTATCAAGCAGAGACGACTGTCGTTATATCAGCTTGGTCGACGAAGCTTGCTCACCAAAACTCTTGATTCATGATACCTTTCGAGATTCCATTGGAGAAGATCTCCTCTATGTTCTTACATCAGCCACAAGTGCGAAGAGGAGCGTCGAGAAAACAGATTGATTTTCAGCTGTGGCAACAAAAAGATGTCCCAAGATGTCCCACACAACCCAGCACATTCCCGAGTTCACGTAGCGAGAAATAATATACGACAAGAAAGTGCGAAAAGACACATCGGACGGACGACTTGAACCGTAGCTCATTGGACCAAAAAAAGCACACACTGCCCAGGGCCCCCTCCGCCACATCAGCTACTCATACCAATATGTTTTTGGATTTTGATTGTTTTCTTCCCTGGGCCAGCGGCGAGGAAGTTGAAAGGTGAAGGGTAGACAAAGGTTTGTGGTTGTGTGAAGGAGATGAAGAAATAGGATAGATCATGTGAGCGTTTGTTTCCACTCCATACGTAAGTGCGAAAAAACCGATGACAGGTTAGAACATGGCCATGTTTGCTTTGACTATCCGATCTAGCATTTGATTGCTGCTAGCAAAGTTCGCTTACCGCTGAGACGGTGGGCAGCAGGTTCTGCTCTCGACATTATTCTCTAGAAGAAGGTGCCTATTTCATTTGATTGCCAACTCGATCTCGTGCTTGTGTTCTGTTTGCTCAACTGTCTCTCTTTCCTCTTCTTGTCTCTAAGCGTATCGTATCGTATCTTCCTCGTAGGCCTCAACACTTCCTTCTTGGTCTTCCGTTCGGTTCTCATCTCCAAAGTCAAGCGTATCTCACAAAGAATCAAGGGCGACTGCCCTCCATCTGTCTGAAGCCTCCTTATGTTGGCTGGTGACCATACACTCATCAAGGATCCCCCCTGCATAGGCAGAAAAAATCTTTTCCAAGGAACAGAGGTAAGTCAAATATCTTTGATCACGAAACTGTCTGCAGTCCGTGCATTGGCAGGATGCTCAACCGCGTGTCACTCTAACTATGACAAACTACTACTGTACTCGTTGTTGTATCGTCAGACCACAACGACCTGAAGAGTTGAGATGAAAACTTCTTATCATATCATCGTCAATCCGCCTGCAGATCGATCGTTAATGTCCTACCACCCGCATCTCCAATCCATACTCACAAGCCACGCCGATCCGCCCGTGGATTAACCCATTCTACTCGGTCCGCCATTCCCACCACTAACTGCCTCTTCTAGACTGATACCCATTATTGCTCCCGGAACCATCACTGAAGGAGGAATTGTTTCCCCAGTTATTTCTCTGGTCATTGTCTTCTTCGTCATCAGCGAATTGTCCATAGTCCTCGATGCTCTCTCTTCGCTCGGGGTCGTGTTGTTCGTGGCTGGGACTGTAGTTGGGGCTTTGTCCGTAGAACCATTGAGGCTAGTCGAGGTGTCCTGTGTGTGTTAGTGATGGAACTAGATGGCGGAAGGAAATGGGAGGGGAGCAGTGAGGGCTTACCGGACATTTGCTGTGGTTGTTGCTGTTGCTGTGATAGAGTGTGGACAAGATAGAAGAAGGGTTCTGTGATCTCGAGTGTTGTCTTCGGGTTGTGTGGTGAGGAGAAGTTCATCCAGTGGTGTTCTTGCTTGCTTTTATACAGATCTGAGCCTTTGCAAAGGTTCAACGCTCGTGTACGGGAATAGCAGTATTTGAATCTGTCTCGGATACCTTTATGGCAGCTTTCTTTGTGTCAGACTTGCCAGTCGAACGGGGTGTCTTAGACAGACATCCTGGATCAATTGCCCTTCGTTCAATATGTTTGATGAGGTCATGGAAGTCACCAAGAAACAATCCAAAATACTTGTAACAAGCGGTAGAATCAGAGTGGCCAAGTTTCTTGTCAGTGAGAAGAACTTCGGAAGAGGCAGAGCGATCCGAAGCATTATCCGTTGGAATTTGCATAGCAGAAGGTTAATGTTATCGTACATGTTGTATGATGTTATCGTACATATTGCATGCAGGTCATCGAGCCGGCGACAAAGATGATCTCGGGTTTTTGAAGTGCATTTCAATATTCAACGTAGGTTGTTTCTACATTCCGATAATCTACTTGCTGGGTGTATCAGTCAATCTTGATCACCTAATGCCAAGCGACCCTCTCATGATCAATCATCAGCATCGGCTCCTGAGATACAAGGCACACCGATATCTCCTTTGATGTTGTTGCACACAATTTCCGCCGTGCCATTTGGACTAGTCAACTCGATACCCTCCAACAGGATATCACTACAAGTGGCACCAGGACTACAAGTCAAGTCTGCAACCACTCTGTTGTCCTTTCCGGACGACGAGCCAGTGAAGTTGATGAACTTGATATTAGTGATGTTGACGTTGGATGGGTAGGCAGCACAGGTGGTCTCGTTGATGTTGAAGTAGCATTGATCGAGAACGATGGGAGCGTCGGTGTTTTCAATGTGCACGTTCTCGTAGGTGATGTTGTCGATGTAGCCGTAGCCTGCTGTAGGTCCTGCCCAAGCCCTGTCGAACAGGTTAGTAGGGCCACTTTCAGAGGATCTTGATCAACACTTACTTCAGTCTTGCGCCGTTCTGGCCGTTGAGCAGAGTGATGTTCTTCATGTAGGCATTGGAAATGTAGTCCTTGACACCAGGGTATTGACCGATCGAGCCCATCGAGACACCATGAGTGCCATTACACCATAGATTCTCGACGTAGATGTTGGTCGTGTTTGGTTTGGGCGAGAAGCAATCGTCGCCAACATTGACACGAGTGTTCGTGACAGTCAGACCATCAACATTGAGCGAGTCGAAGCCATCGGTGTTCTTCGGTAGAGCCTGTGAAGGGTCAGTATTGGGTTCGTTGGAGAAATGGTGCTTGAGCTTACAGAAGCATTGTTGCTAAATGCCTCGATGTATACATTATCAAAGGAGACGTCCTTGGTACGGACCAAGAAGGTCGTCCAGCACGGGCTGTTCAAGAAAGTGATGCCTTCAACATCAACGTTGGTGGCATTGTCGGTCAAAAAGAGAATCGGGCGGTAGTAAGTGTTGCTAGCATCCTACTGCAAAGTCAGTCACCGAGTCACTGGTCATGATCTAGATAGCTCACCAGGATCTCGCGGCCAGCAAAGCCATTGTACCAAGCCTGTCCATTTCCGTCCATCGTTCCTTTGCCATAGATCTTGATGTTCTTACCGCTCCAGACCATAAAGGTAATGCTCTTCTGGAAGGAATAGTAGAAGTAGTTGTTTTGCCAATACTCGACATCATCGGTGAACTACATCGATTGTATTAGACAATATTTCCAAGAAGCACCTTTCTCTGCTTACCTTCAAGGTACCATCGAGCTTGATGTAGACATCATTCAACACAGGCAGGTCAACCTTCTTGCCAATGATGTATGTCTTGCCTTCTTCGAGATGCACGAGGCCTCCATTTTGGGCCTGTTCCAAGGCCCAGACGAAGTCTGCCGAGATGTCGTCGGTATCATCTTCAGAAGCACGAATAGTGATCTTGCGACGGTCATCTTCGATCTTGTTTCCCCACTTGTCTTTCTGGTTCCAGCCAAAGTATGGTCGTCCCGTATGCTTCCAAGGTTGAGAAACGGATGCACCGTCCGGGATGTCGAAGGCGAGAGCCGATGTGACGATAGACGCAGCGGCTAGGAGGCAGGTGACTAATCTCATACTGATGATTGAGAGTGTATATATAACCACTTGCTTTTGTCGCGAGTGGGTGGGCTCAACACAGATTAAGTAGTCTGACCTCCAGGTCTCGATTGAACAGGGAAGGATTTTGGCAAACATTTCTCCATCTTGGCTATGCAGGATTGACAGCCAAGGCGGACAATAGTTGATGATTGTGGGATAAGACCTTCTGCCATCTCAGTGATGCTGACGTCGGTTGACTATATTTGCTAGTAAACATGGAGTGGTTGTTGCGGGGTGACCAGCCAAGACATGCATGCAGGATGCGGAGGTAGCAGGTGCCAGCAAAACTTGACCGAGCTTGATGGTCCTTATGCATGAGCTTAGTTTTTCCGCCAATACCATGGCATGTCTTGAATCATGATATGTCTCTATACCGGCTGATATCCAGGGATGTGGGGTCATTGGTATGGGGCTCCACAGATGATATGGCGGGGAAAGGTGGGATGAATGATCGTCAAGGTTATCGGCTTTCCGGCCGAATGTCTGTCAGCAATCTTGGTCCATCCCAGAGTCATGGACTTCCTGACGTGGATACATTGTGGCCTTGGTCAATTGGCTGCAGAGTATGGGTGACGGCTGTGGTCATTGAACAACCTGTGCAAGCCCGGCCAAATTCATGGCAAAATCCATACTGCACTGACATCAACCTAGCTGGTTGGAAAGATGCGACTGAACCCATAGGCAAGTTTGTCGGCTTGACCTCGTGCACTGTGTTCGTAGTCAAACGCCTTGACGAGACCGACAAAGTGAGATGCCGCAGCAATTAATACCAAGACATGGAAGATCTGATGCGAGCTGCCCCAAATGTCGAAAGTGCCAGGTCTCAGACGTTCTGGGAATCGAGCCTTTGTTTCTGATCAGTATCTCTCGATGATGCCATGTCAAAAGCAAACTTACAGCGTAAATTGCAGCTCCAGACACATACAGTACGCCTTGCAATACAAGCCAAGAGAGACCCATTTGTCGCTCGAGCTGAGTGATTCCGAACAACGAGATGCCATGCAGCACTGGAATTACAGCACTTGCACCCATGGCAACAAACATGCCTGCCCGGAATGGGCGCCATTTGGGTGTCCTGAAGCTGGGCATGATAGACACAACCGCGCAGCCGATACCGATGAGGGTGATCTACAAGAACTGGTAAGCCATAGATCAACATAAGACAAGGTAGGACCTACCATTGACCAATACACAGCAATACACCCCGGCTCTCCAGTAAAGCCATAAAAAATACTCGGGATAAAGCTGCCCCAGATCAAACACACTATTCCGACGTAGTCGAGTTGATTTCCAATCTTGTTGACTTTTGGAGAATGGTTGGAGATGGTATGATAAGTGGCACTCATGCCTAGACAAGCGATAGCACCACCGAAGAAGCACCCAAAGACGACAACGTCCTCGAAAGTCGCTCTAGCATACCTCGGTTTGATGAGTGCATGTAGATAGACAGAACAGACCAAGGCTGCGGCAGCGCCCAAGAGATGGGTGTAGATGTTTACGGTCTCATTGTGGATGTATGACAGAGAGGAGAAGGACTGATAGAAGGAACCGCTTGCTGGTCGATAGCCCGAGTGGATATAGTGATTGTCTTGTTGCCATGAGGGTAGATCTGCCCAGAGGACTGTCAAGGCATGGGAAACTTTCTTCTCGACTTTTGTGACAAGGTCATCTTCTTGTGCTTCATTCTGTTCCTGGATAGAGGTGAGAGGAGTGGGTCTCCGGTGGTTCATCTTGGATAGGTATTCGTAGTGCTGATATGTTTTGGTAGTGGTCCAGTAGGATCACTATCACGACTCCAGAATATTGTTTGAGTTGATTCGTAGTTGTATGGAATCCTTCAGATGGTCGAAAGTCTCGACAGATAGATGAGTTGACTTGAACGAAGCCAACACAAGGACAGATAACAAGGAGATAAGAGGTGAATTGAGATGCTGCTGCCTGATGATTAATTCGATGCGACAGTGGAGTGATATATGGTTTACTCGAGATTGACGGACCCCGAAGAAGGAAGCTTTCGCAAGACTTTCCTTTCTGGGACAGCCGCAACCCTACGTCAGCGTAAACAAGCAGCGACCCCTCCATCGCAACGACAACAACCACGACCCCATTCATGTCGGGCTCGAATACACGACCGCCAGCCCGTCGAGGGCCCTCGGGCGCTTGGGGCCGTCTTCGCCAACCGCAGATTGATCCACTCGAAGTCTATGGTCTGCCTTCCAAGGGCGAGACGAGGTACAATTGACCCTCGACCATATACGATGCAGCATACTAACATACACAAGACTGGCAGACCCCAAGACGCAAGAGACATACTTCGAACGAATAGTCGCCCGCTACATGAAATTCTGCGCTTCCCACCCAAGCGGCGAAAGCCTCGAAGCCGCCTTCCACTCCCTCGATATCAACTCTAGCTCACCATCACCCACACCTCCACCCCTCAATCCAGCAAAACCCCAACCCCTCTCTACAACCTCGGAGCCTCCGCAAGAAATGTCGACCATACTCATGGCCATGCGCAAACTCCGCGAAGCCCTAGTCTCCGGCCACCGTACCGATGCTTTTGCCCAACGAGTCTACACCTTCCAGATCCGCGCTGCGATACTCTGCCGCCATCTCGAGACCTATCATCCAGCACTGCAACATCTACTCTACAGAATCCACCCCAAGACTCCTCTATCACGACCGGAGTTGCAGGAATTTGCAAGGTACTTGATTCTGGATGCGGCGTGTAGGCAAGGTGAATTCGTGGATGCGTATCGCTTGAGAAGGGTGTATCGAGTCAGGGATCGGAAGATTGATGCTGTGCTAAAGGCCTTGGTGCATGATGACTGGGTTTTGTTCTGGAGGACAAGGAGGGCGGTGGATGGTTATCAGAGGTGTCTGATGAGTTGGGCTGAGGACGGGGTGAGGTTGCATGCGTTGAAGTGTTTAGGAAGGAGTTACATGGTGGTGGACAAGAGCTTTGTAGAGAGGAGTGCTGAGAGAGGATGGGAAGAAATGGTGGAGAAAGACAAGGTTGGATGGTTGTTGAGAGAGGATGGAGGGGTGGTTATCAGGAAACCAAAGGGTACTTGAGGTTCTGGGCATTTCACGAAGTTATGACTAGATGCATTGATGGCGCAACGGTTGCATTGAAGGTGTTAGAGAAGGCTCTCTGATGGGTATAGAACATGCATTGAACAGAATCTTTCTCCCTCCTCTTTCAATAATCATCCCCATCACCACCACCATCATCCCCACCAAACTCATCATCATCTCCACCATCAAAGTACTGCTCCGCATTATAATCATCATTATCATCCTCGTCATCCTCATCAAACTGATCCGGATCCTCCTCTTCCTTATCCTCATCTTCTGCTCCTTCCACTTTATCCTCATCGTTCCCATCATCACCCTCACCATCCTCCTCGTCCTCAATATCAGCATCAAATCTATCCAACCTCGTCCGCGTAGACAGATTCAGCGATTTCTTCGTCACTCCCGCCGTACTGCCCGGCTCCACAATCGCCCACAACTCCTCGGGGAAAAAGGACTTTACAAAAGGTCTGGAGGAAAGTTTTGGCAGTGTGTTTTTCTTCTTGGTGTAGCGTTGCGAGTAGGTGGGCATGGATTCAAAGGGATCGTAGTGGGCGGTTGGGGGTGTCTTTTTGCCGGACTTGTGCACGCGAGCGGAGGAGTCGAGGATGGCGTAGAAGGGGCCGTCGTGGATTCTTGCGCGTAGGGTGCGGTAGTGGGATACTAGTTGGCGTTCGAAGATGGAAGGGGGGTCAGCTATGGGTGGTTGGATTGGCTGAGAGGAAGAGTGTTAGTGGTGTGCTTGTGTCAAATGACGAGTAGGAGAAAAGCCAGAAGAGAGTTAGCAAAACGTACAGGAAACTTCTCGCTGGGCTTTGTGTTTAGTTTTCCTTCGAGCTCTGGGTCGTATTCCCAGGGCAGCGCTTGGCCGCCCATTTTGCCCAGGTCATTCTTTCCACCGCCGCCGCCCCAGCCGCCTCCTCTTGACATTGTAATGTTCTTGTGATTGTGATTTGTGTGTGATTCGCTTGTCTATGCGACTAGTGGTCGTGCAATACAAGTTGCGATTTGCGTATCGCGTGTTTTTGGTGTCCGGTGCTGAGTTGCTGGATTGTTGGGTTGATTGACTCGAGTGATGATAGAGGTGCGCGACAAAGGTCTCGGTAGCTGTACAGGTGGTTTATCGATCGGTCGATGGAATTGTGGGTTTGGTATGCGCGGTAAAGCAAAAGTCGAGGAAAGTGAGCAATCAAGCAGTTTCGCGCAATCGCAATGCGCCGGCTCATATTCAAAAGTTACCGATCAAAATTTTGGTTCGCGTGGTGGGGGACCCTGACATGTGATAAACTAGGTATACAGATTACATCTTTTTCTGCTCCAGCCTCTTTTTACATACTTCTTCCAGTGCCGATCAAATACGATACTGGCCATAATGTTCTGAGGCAGTCCTTGGGGATGGGTCATCTGCCGCATGACTTACACGCCTGAATCGGAACACGAGTGGCCTCAAGTCGTCGAAGCCATCAACCCTTATCTTGTGCACTTCACTCGCAAAGCTTTCAAAAGAAACGAGCATGACTTCGAAGAAATAATGGCTTGTCTTGAAAATTACCCAATATCCAACTCATCGCTAGACCAAGCCTCTCTCGACGACCTCCGCATACATTTTGCATCATGGTGTCAAACCCAAGACAGGCACCCCGATGAGGCCATTGCACGCTTTACAACCTTTCTTGTGGTCGACGGGGTAGCTCTGAACAAGATTGCCAGCGCCCCTCGCCCAGATGATCCTAATTTCAGAGCTAGTGATAGACTAGATGCTCATGTACTAGTGGTTTCTGCCAGCCATGGAGCAGGATGTCGACTACGTCCCTTGACGTCTGCTGGACAGGGTGTTGCTGTGCAAGAAGGTAAGCTGTTCCCTGGATACATAAAGGTTCCGCTTCAGTACCTGCGAGAACTCTGGATTGCTGCTGCAGAGTATATGGATCTGTATGAAATCTGTTCAAGCAAATCTGACAAGGTGCCCGAGTGGACGCCTTGATTGTGCTCTCACGAAAGCGTACATCTATGTCGAGCGAAAGAGTTTTGGGAAGGGGTTCCCCAGAGAAATCATTGGACAAATTCTTGCTTGAAATTGTGCGTTGATAGGACGATGCTACACCAATTTCAGCTGGAAACCACCACCGATCTCTTCATCATCTCGTCCCGCAAACAACCCACTAAAATCCGCAGCAGCAGCACCGCCTTCACCACGCATAGGCGCATTGGGCGTTCTGTGTTTCCTTCTCCTCTCCTGACCAGCTTTACTGGGAAAAGTAGGAAACATAGCTGTGCTCTTGGGCCGCGGGTCTTCGGTAAAGTAAATATGTTCCAAAAGCTCCTTTGCTGATGGTCTGCTCGCTGGATTCAGGGACAGCAAGGCAGATAGCAGATCTGTTCCTGCTTTGGTGAGGAAAGGAAATTTTGAGCGTATCACTGAGCCGGTGGTTTGTGCATTTCTTGGTAGCCGGAGGGAACGGGCGTTAGGTAGGCGTTTGAATCCAGGCCATGAGGCATCGGTGGGTACACCGCACAGCTCGAAAATCTTGCTGAGCTCATCGACCTCGTTCTTGCCTTGAAGCAGTGGAACGTTTGTGAGAAGTTCGCCGAATATGCAGCCCACGCTCCACATATCAACACTGCTGTCGTATGTCGTGGTGCCCAGCAGGAGTTCCGGGGCTCGGTACCAGAGAGTGACGACCAATTGCGTGAGGTTCTTTGGCGGCGGGTCGCCGCAGAAGCGCGCCATACCGAAGTCGGCAATTTTGATTTCTCCTCGGTTGTTCATAAGGATGTTTGAGGTTTTGAGGTCGCGATGTAGGATCCATCTGTCGTGCAAGAACTCAATAGCACTGCCGAGTTGTAGCATCAATGTCTTGACCTCGCTAGGCAAGAACGGCTCTTCCATGTCGTCCATGAGTGTTTTGAGGTCGTGTTCCAGGAAATCCATGACGAGGAAGATGTCGTCGACGTTGCCTTTCTCGCCTACGACGACCTCTCTAAGATCTACAATGTGTCTGTGTTTGGCAGCAGACAGTGTTTGGATCTCGCGCAAAGCTGTGACTGGGAAGCCATTCTGAGCAGCTCCCGGCTCCATTTTCATCTTCTTGATTGCGACGATTTCTCCGGTAGCCAATTCTCTCGCTCGCGACACGAAGCCATAACTGCCTTCTTCAATGTGGTTCAGTCGTTCGAAGCTGTCGATTGTGCGAGCGGGCTGCCACGACGGGGCATTGAAGCGGACGAGTTGTCGCGGTTGGTCACCCTGCTGTGAAGGCGATAGACGTCTTCTCTTTGACGGTCTGTCGTCGGCGTCTGCGACTTGTTGTTGTTGCTGCTGTCGTAGTCGGTCGGCTTCTTGTTGCTTGCGTTGTTTTTCCGCTTTCGCACGTTTCTTTTGCTCCTTCTCTTGCTTGCGTTGTGCGTCTAGGGCGGCATCGTTTTCATCATCAGCCCAGCGCGATGTCATGATGGAATGAAAAGTGGTTGATGTGTGTGTTATAGTTGGAGGGAATGCCGAGGAGTGCGTCATGAAGTTGCGGCGAAGTCGAAGACCTCCGAGCTCGACCGCTCACACTTTTTGTCGCGATGAACATCATCCACAACTTTGCTCAGTCGGACATCGGAGTACAAGTATGAGACGCAGCACGATTCAAATAGCCAGGCGCGTGGCTGACCATCGGCTTGCACCATCACGACGAGCCCTGGTGTGCTCCGGCGCAAGATGTTCGTCGACAAGCTCAAGAGAGTGGTCCACTCCTCTGGCAAAGACATTAGGCGAGGCCATCACTGTATGTCCACCTTTGCAATGTCATGCACCACCAAGTTCTGACAGCATCTGTAGACGACCGGTCCCATCTCAGTAGCGGCATACATGCGACAATGCCTCACCTTCCCCGAAACCGGCTACTACACAAACTCGACCGAGGGCAAAGATCCCTTCGGCAAGAAAGGCGACTTTGTCACATCCCCAGAGATCTCTCAAATCTTCGGCGAACTCATCGGATTATGGTTCGTCGCAGAGTGGATAGCTCAAGGCAGAAAGAGCAGTGGCGTCTACCTAATGGAAATGGGCCCTGGACGAGGAACCTTGATGGACGATATGTTGAGATCCATCCGCAACTTCAAACCTTTGGCTCAAGCCATCGATGGCATTTATATGGTTGAAGCCAGTCCTGCGTTGCGTCAAGCTCAGCATAAGCTTCTCTGTGGCGACAACCCTCTGCAAGAGATCAATATTGGTTACAAGAGTACTTGCAAGTACACTCCTGACTTGAGCATCATCTGGTGCGAGGACATACGCTTCGTACCCAGAGAGACAGACAGCTCGCCCTTCATCGTCGCCCACGAGTTCTTCGACGCTCTTCCTATCCACGTCTTCGAGTCCGTCAAGGCCCAAGCTGCGCCCAAGCAGATCCGCACACCCACTGGCATCCACAAAGTCGACCCCTCAGCCACTGGATCCGCCAACACCGTCTCTCAATGGCACGAACTCGTCGTCTCACCCACTTCACCCTATGCAACCCACGATACCCTCCACACTCCAAAATCACAGCGCGATCAACCCGTCCCCGAATTCTCACTCACCCGCTCTCAAGCCGCGACACCCCACTCCATCTTCCTCCCCGAGCAATCGAATCGCTACAAAAACCTCAAGAATACCGAAGGTTCCGTCATCGAAGTCTCTCCTGAATCTCAGACCTACGCCGCAGACTTTGCCGTCCGCATCGGTGGCGGCGTGAGTCCATCAGCACTCTACACGAATCATGCCGACCAAACACCTCCTCCAGTAGGCCGCCGCGTGTCTCCCCGTCGCGCCGTCGAGGAAATTGTAAAGAAGCAAGCCTCAGGAGCTGCTTTGATCCTCGACTATGGCACCCCCGCCACCATCCCCGTAAACTCTCTCCGTGGAATCAAAGAACACCGCATCGTCTCCCCTCTCTCCGAACCCGGTAAAGTAGACATCAGCGCCGACGTAGATTTCCTTGCTTTGGCCGAAAGTGCAATCAATGCATCTCTGCACGTCGAAGTGCACGGTCCTGTTGACCAAGCACGTTTCTTGACTTCCATGGGCATCGAGCAGCGAGCTGCGCAACTTGTGAAGCTGGCTGTTGATAGAGAGCGAGGCAGTGTTGTGGAGAAGACTGAGGGCGGGCAGAGAACGAAGAGTGATTTGACGGAGACGGTGAAGAGGATCGAGAGCGGGTGGAGGAGGTTGGTTGATGTGGGACCTCAGGGCATGGGCAAGTTGTATCAGGTCATGGCTATCTTGCCCCATGTGCCGCCGAAACAGGGCGAGCAGCCTAGGAGACCAGTGGGTTTCGGTGGCGATGTGGCTGTGTAAGATGTATATTACAGTATATCTATCTTGTTGATACTTTGACTTCTATATATCCCGCCAGAATACATGCATTATCTCACAATCAGGGCGGGAATCATGGAAGAGTGGGTAGAAGGCTTTTCATGTCGAAAGAATGTGCTATCAAGGCATGGTCGTTCTGCGTTCTAATCTGAGCGTGTCGAACGAAGTGAACTTGACGGCTTTCGTGTTGGAGAAAACAGCTACTGAAGGCAGGGCCTTGTCTTCTCTTTTCCATTCGTAGCTCTTCGTTGACTGAAGTCACTTGCCTCTGAAGCAGTATTATTGATGCACCATTCGAAAGCCAATGGGAAATAGTATGATTGAGTACACGAGAACGTCGTCCAATCTTACCACTGCCAGTCCGATGTCATGCTACCTCACATTAGTCCTCCCCTCAACCCCTCTTGCCTGCACTTTGTCGGACTTTCCTCTTTCTCGCTCATGTTCTCTGGCCCTAGTCTTCTCGGAACGACAAGACTCTCGGTTCTCAGCTCTGGAGTCAGAGCCAACGACTCAATGGCTGGGAGTCAGATCGATGGCATGACCATGTGGCTGGGGGCATCGTTTCAAAGCTTCGATCTTCTCCTCGAGCGGTTGCATTGATCTGACATCGCTCTCGCGATCGTAGTCCTTGGTGACGCTCTGATCCAGAAGTCTGACTTGCATAGATTCGACTGGCATGTCTTTGGTCACAGACCCGACGCGGACGTCGGCCAAGCATAGCAAGTTGAGCAGTGCCTGCTCCAAGGAGGGTTTCAACAATCTGAGAAAGATTCTGTCGCTTTGACCACGAGATTCAGCGATGAAAGCGTTGTAGAATTGCTTGTGGGAGTGTGGGTATGGCTCAAACGAGGTGATGATAACCACATTCGCATTGTCTGGGTACACATAGCGCCAGTTCTCTGACCTAAATCAGTATACGTCTCTGAGTCTGACTATCTGATTAGACACACACTTACCAAGGATTTGGGTACGGAGGCCCAGAATGGCAAAATCGTGGGTTTGCCATTTGTTCTGGCCGATAAGACGTGCAAGGAGCGTAGAGAAGGAGATGGGAGATCGAGTGACTCTTGAGTGATAGGTAAGATATGCTTCGCGTTTGCTCAGTGCAAACGGAGCTTACTGGTTGCGATCATTTTTTCTGCGACGTTGATGGTGGGTTTTTCTCATGATCTCGTCTCGCCCGACTTAGAAACAGATGGCATGAATTCACACTTATCACGAAGCAAAACTTCGTTTTCAAAGGGTACACCATAAAGTTGATGTGGAAGATGTGGTTGATTCTGAGTGTCAATCGTAATGGATGTCACACAAAAAAGGGGCAGGCGGCGTTCGACTGATTACAGCAACGGCGAAGATTCAGCCAAAGTCTTTCATCTCCCTCCTCTTCTCTCACCTCACTATTCCTCCATTTGTTCCGTCCTTTTGGTCTTCCGTTTACTTTTTTTGCTGTTCTCACCCCTCGTTTCATCTTCTTGTTTCGAGATATTGTACACGTAGAGAGACGTCTTCAACTCTCGTCCCCAGGAGAAGGTTCAACGAGCCAGTTTCTGGTAGCGTAGATTGATGACATCGCAGATAGCATGGTAGAGGTTGTGCGAAACCTTGAGTTTTTCGTCCTTGGGCGATTGTTGTGGCTTCTTGACTTCCTTTCCAGACGCATCTCCATGGTCCTTGGTCTTGAACTCGTTCTGATTGAGAGGCTTGACACTCAGAGGAGTGACGGGGGTGATTCTGATTACTGTTCTGACCAGATCCGTAATCTTTTCAAGCAGGTCACGCAGAGCTTGCTCCTGGGATTCGGTGACGTGCGACTTGAGAAAGATTCTGTCGCCTCGGCTACGGTCTTCTGCAACAATAGCTTGGACCCAACGGCTGCCGATGGTGCCAAAGACAGACTCGTTGGTAGTGACGACGACTACACTGGTATGCTCCGGGTGCGCATAACGCCAGTTCTCTGATATCGAATCAGTGGGCTGTATGTTGTGTCACACTACAGAGCTTACCGAGGATTTGAGTACGAAGTCCCACGATGCTCAAGTCTGAGGTGGTCATGGTGGTGATCGATGGCGAAAGTCTGATGAATATCGAGCGTTGAGGGTGTCTGGGAAGACATAAATAGGGCAGTGAGCGTTTGCTCAGCACGAATGGAATATATCGATTCATGTGCCTGGCACATTTGAACGTTCCAGGAGGGTCCAGGCGCCAACGAGATCGTACTGGTGATGGAGAGAAAGGACGTATATTTTGATGGATGATTGGACAAAGCCTCAGAAGTGTCTGGATCGAGAGCTGTAGCGAGAGCTGAAAGACATGGACCAGACAGTATCGATATTTCTGACTAAAGTCCTTCAATAAAGCCACGCGGAAGTGGAAGTACCAGAAATCCTGTCACTGGAGTAGACAAAGTCTCTTTGTTGGTCCTCATGAGCACTAAGTACCCTAGCAAAGGGTTTCGACATGCCATTGTCTTTGTCGGCTGAGAAACTCTGTAGCGACGGTGAGCTTATGTAGTGGTGCAGTTTGCTTCTCAATCATTGCACGTTTTGGTATAGAGCAGAAGTCACAAAAGTACGAAGCACAGGGACAACTTGTATGGAACGATGGGTGCATAATGAATTCAATTGATTGTACGATAGCTCCTATTCATTCGAGCTCCTTTTGCATGCCTCAAAGAAAATCACAACGATTGGATTCTAGACGGCGAGTCTTCTGTGCAGCTTTTGATCTGGTTCCATGTCAGTATCTTGGCGCGGTCCTAAGGTGCACTGACTTACAAGTTCATGGCTTTGAGGTCCTCCTTGCAATAACGGGGTTCAATAAAGCAGGTACAGGCATAGCCGTGGATGTTTCTGCCGCTTTGGTCCGATCACTTGCTGTGACCCGACATCTTCTCGCCCAGGACCTTGCAAGTCTGGTCGTACAGTCTGGTCATAGCGGAGATGCTGTTGCTCCAGGGACTGGACGACTTCATCAAGATCTGGTAGCCCTTGTCGAGGGAGGAGAGGATGACAGCCTCGTAGACGTATTCAGTACCGTAGGTGACGGGGGGATACATGACAAGCTCTTCGCTGGTCTTGTTGCGAAGAACAGTGACCAGGAGTGCGTCACAGTTACCAGGATCAATGACACTGTAGTTTTCTTCTGAGAGTCAGTTTTATCCATAGACATGATATGCGATTCTGCTGACCGAGGATCTGCTCGCGGAGGCCGGCGAGTTCTCTGAGATCGTAAGACATGATGCTTTCTGTTTGGTTTCTCTTTGAGACAGTCGATGTTTGTGTTTGCGCGGTGTCTTAGATGTCTGACAGCTCTTCATGTTGCTCTCAGAAATCGTGCTGTGTTTACCTTCCAAGCACGCGAAGGCGCCTTACCTAAAGCGGAATCGAGCCAGAGTGGTGGAAGAGCTGGATGCCCTGAATTCGCTGATGCTCTCACTCAGGCGTATCGACCATCAGTGACGACCAGGTAGTCAATCATCCAACCACGTGCCGCTCACCAAGACTCATCAATGATGGCCGAACTTTCCAGCTCCAAGATGGACCTCCATGCTCTGATCAAAGGTAAGTACTGCCTGCGCGTTATATTACCTTGTTGGAAGTCATCTAACAATGCTTCTCAGACAGCATCAGAGCCCTCTATCACGATTGTGCAGACCCCACTGTCACCCTTGCTACTCACGACAAGCTTTGGTGGGTCGTCATTTTCCATCGATCCAGCGCCATCGACCGCATGCACTCTGGGCAAGGGTTTGCAACCAGAGAAGCTGCATTGGAGAACATGTTACGCTACTTCGAGGAATTGATTTGGTAAAAGCTCAGGAGAGAGGGCATCGCACTTCCCAAGTGATACGGTTTGTATTCATGTCAAAGCGTTCGATAGCATCAACACTGATAATTTGAAGCAGCGTTTCGGCAACTTCTCCTCTATCCAACGACTTGAACGACTGTTTCACTCAGTTTCGTCTAGAGCGTCTGAAATATCTTGCGAAGGAACATGGAGTCTCGAGTGTCTATGTTTGAGACGACGAGTTTCCCAGGCCATAAGAGAAACAGGTTCAGACATCTGAGACATTCTTCTTTCTATACCGAGTACAGTCTTAGAGGTTTCTCTGTCCAATCACCGCTCGTTGTTTTTTAGATAGAGCATCTTACTTGTGATTTCCACCATTTGCTCTGATCCTGATCTTTCGTCTTCTTATAATCAAGCTCTTGCGGTACTTCACAACTACGGATTCTAACCACTCTCACATCTTACAAACAACGAATCATGGCTGCTTCCTCTGTCCAGAACTTGATGTCGCTGCGCGCCCAAATCAAGGGTATAGCAAATTGCACGCGTACAGGCAACCTCTGATCGATTCTGACGCCACTGATAGACAACTTCCGCTACATCTCTGGCGCCTCCGAAGGAGATATCGCCGTGGTCGTCGCCACACACGACAATCTCTTCAAGGCCCTCGTTTTCGCAACAACTACTTCTTCATACTGGAAGTCTTGCAAAAGTCACAAGACCGAGGAGGATGCCCTGAAGAGTATGGCGCTAAGTTTGAGCAATGAAGCCTGGCAGAAGGCCAAGGAGGACGGCATCCACATCACTTCCCAGGTAGATGGTTCTTGGTCCAAAATCAGACTACTCCTCTTGTTCGTGTTAAATGATATGAATTCTCAGTCAATGCGCTAGGTTCGAGACAACTTGGTCCAATAACAGATCCGATCTCTACTTACATCATCATTGTGGTGATCATCGATTGTCATCAATAGTTTGTCGATAGACTTCTCCATAACACGACAGAATCCAATCAAAACACCTCTTCACACTTGCCTTCTTACCGTGGTGATGTTAATCCTACACCGTGCTCGTTCTTGAGAACAAAACACCAAAGGTCACATACTGAGACATCTGATACACTGCGGTTTTGGAATCTCATGATTCAATGATCTATTCTTGAACAATGACAACGTGAAGTTGGTGACACGTAATGTCTCAGACATCTCAAGATAGCACATCGACTCAAGGGTTAAAAGAATAACATAACAGGGAGCAGATTCGAATATGCGTTTCCGAACATCTACACTCACTACCAGAGACCTCAACATCATGCCTTTCTACTCCACGAAAATCAGCCCATCCACCCTTGCCACTCAACGCTCCATCCAGCGCAAGTCCCCGTTTTGCGAGTCCTACACCTTATTTTCTTCTTCTAACAAGATCGCAGGATCACTCCAACATCTTCTCCCAGAACTTGGTATCGTCAGCATATTTATCTTCCCTATTCATCTCCCTCAATCAACTGTACACTGGAACTGCTATATACACAGCGAACATCGAGGTGTACTTTACTGTACTTCGAGACTGTATCAGACAGCTGAGCAAGCTATGCTGGGTGTGTACGTGAGGTATCGAGAGTTGCTGCTGGATTATGGTGCCACACGTGGTAGTGCAAGGTGTTAGTGGTGTGATGGGAATTGGGATGAAGAGAGCGAGGATGAGGATGAGGGATACAGTGAGGTCTAGCCTTTACTATGGCGACGCCTGGATGGTTTTGGGCGGTTTGGTGTAATGTCATGTCTTTCCTCTACTTGGCGTCTAGAGCAACAACCTGTTCGATATATCTCTTGCATCCCGTCTTCCGCTACTCAACATCTCCTGTTGCATCCCGTCTTCCGCTACTCAACATCTCCTCTCATTTCTCCGGTTTAGGCGATAGTTCCTCGACGATGTTGTTTGAGTCCTTCCAAGCGAGGGTCACGTACCTGGTCATTATCAGCCTGTGATTGGCGAGAAGAGAGAATTCAACAAAATGCAGGATGACTGGGGGGAAAGTGCGAGGGAATGAGTAACAGTGAGAGAGGCAATGAGACGCTGCTTACTTTGTGTGGCTTCCTCTGGCAACCAACTGTTGCTTGTCGTTGTGGAAGTTGATGGATGTGTAAGCAAGAGTTTTGCCGACTGTATGGTTGCGGGGTGCAGATATCAGTTTTGAGTGTCTTCGACGTAGGGAGAGAAGTGGTGGGGGCTTTACATTTATCGCAAGTGACTTCCTATACAACAGCAACATATCAGTATCTTGTTTTCGGAGAAACAGATGAAGATTTGTAATAGTATGACAAGAGGAGAAGTGGATAGACTTACCGCACGAATCACATCTCCGATCTTGCCGCCTGAGTTTAGGTAGGTGACTTTACGTTGCCAGATATGTCAGCTCAAGATTCATAGTCGGAAAACATCTTGTATGAGATGTGGAATCATGAGACGATACCATTGAGATCAGTAGAAACGCCTGTAGCGAAGAGTCCACGGGAAGCCACGGCGAGAGAACCGCCTAGATCTACCATGCTGGCTATAGTTCCACCATGAAGGATGTTGAGACGGTTCTGTATATTATATCAGCATGACTCAAGGGGGAAGAAAGCGGAAATGGAGATGAAAAAGGCGAGGGAAAGGGAAGACAGTACAGTGTGGTGTTTCTCAATGGGAAGCTCGAAGTTCACGACTCCGGGTCGTGCTGCTGTGACGCGGAGCTGTATTGCAGAAATCAAGTGTCAGCAGGACTTCTGAGTAGTATGTGTAATAGATTTCTGTGTAACGGTCTTCTGGTCGGGATGTGTAGGAGAGAACTGCTTAAGGATTTCGATGGATAGATGACGATAGCGGTGATTATCGACCGCATTGCGTCGGGCGGCACATTTCACCCTTGAGCTGCTTCTGCCCGAGATTCCGATATAAGACATGAACATCACTTACACCATTGAGAAGCCTTGAACGCGACCAATCAGTCTGTCACCCTCGCATTGATCTGTTGTTGACGACAACTCACCTTGGCTCCAAACCAGAATTGGCCTGGAAAGATTCACTAGGGATATCAGGTTCAAATCCATAGCAAATATCAGAGAGATTTCGGAACTCACAAGACGCTCTGGACGAATTTCAAACACCTTTGCGAAGACATTGTTGTGTTGTATTCGGAATAATGCTATAGCTAATGGTCTAGGGATGATGTAGATATAACGAGTTTACCCGAACGCCGAGGCCTGTAAAGAAAACAGAAGAAAAAAAGAAGAATTGTGGGGCAAGGGACAACCCTGTTCCCAAGCATCAAGAAGTAGTCTTCGTTGTGGCCGTCGCCTAGCATGCTGTTGGTACCAATTTTCAGAACCATTGACATATCCTTTGTGGAATGGAGCTAGAAGGGGCTGACTTTCCGAAAGAAGGGCTCGTTATCGAGGCGATGCTGAGCAACGGAAGGTGAAAAAGGTACAGCATACATACTCGGTTTTGGATATCATAGAAACAAGGACAAAAACGAAGACAACACAAGTTTCGAGAAATCAACCCTCGTCTCTGTCCATGGCATCTCTCTTGCCCTTTGCTCTCGGCCCGCCTCTACCGCCGGCCTTTGTCTTCTCATGCAAATCCTTCATCTCCCTGACAGCCACGCGCTGGGCCTCAGATACCTTTTCGGCGAAGACCATAACCTGATCCCTGGGAGCATCGTGTTGTGGCAACTTCTTAGCCAAAGCCTTCTCTATTCTTTGATATACCTCGACATCGTACTGTGTGACGAAGGAAACGGCTCTTCCTGACTTGCCAGCACGAGCTGTACGTCCGACTCTGTGGACGTAGGTCTTGCTGTCCGGCGGAAGATCGAAGTTCAACACGAGATCCACCGAGGGAATATCCAGACCACGAGCAGCAACATCGGTGGCTACCAGGATGTTACGGCTTCCAGCCCTGAACTTGTTCAGCGCACCCAGACGTGCTGACTGCGAGAGCTGTCCATGCAGAGGAATAGCGCCGAATCCGAGAGCTCGTAGTAGGAATGCCAGACGTTGTGTCTCGTTGACAGTGCGGGTGAACAAGACGGTACTCTGGCCAGCGAACTCGTTGAGAATGTATACAAGGTGAATGTCCTTGAACTTGTGGGGAATGAACAGGTATGACTGGATCAAAGTGCTGACAGTTTGGTAGCTGGATGAAGAAATGCTGACTTTCATGGGGTTCGAAAGCGAAGCACGTTGCAGAGACTCGACTTTGGAGGACAGAGTAGCGGAAAAGAGGTAGGTGCGTCTCTCCTTGGGAATGACCTTCAGAATCTTGTCAAGAATGGGACCGAAGTCCAGATCGAGCAGTCTGTCGGCTTCGTCCATTACCAGATACTTCAATGTGCGCAGAGAGAAACCTTTTGTGTTTTCAAGATGGTCCAGTAGACGTCCAGGAGTTGCGACAATGATATGAGGCTTCTTTCCGAGAGCGATTGACTGGGATACCATATCCATACCTCCGACCAGAACAGCACATTTGACGCCGATGAGTGAGCCCAAGGCTTCGAACTGTTCACTGATCTGGTAGGCAAGTTCTCGTGTGGGGGCCAGGACCAGACCAAAGAGAGACGAAGGTGTCTCGATCAGAGCTTGTAGAATGGGCAAGGCGAATGCAGCCGTCTTTCCTGAACCAGTCTCGGCCAAACCGATGATATCTCTTCCTTGCAGAGCAAGCGGAATGGACTCTGACTGGATGGGCGTGGGCTTGGTATATCCCATGGCTTCACACGACTCGGCCAGAGCATCGATAACCCCAAGGTCGCGGAAAGATTTGGGGGCGGTTGTCTCGTCTTCGCCATCCACAGGTGCAGCGGCCTCGTCTGACGCTTCTGCTTCCTCCTCTTCTTGTGCCTTGCGCTTCCTATCTTTCTTGTCCTTCTTTTCCTTGACATCGTCGGTAGCGGCCTTTTTCACAGCCTTCTTGGCCAGGTTCTCTTGGGGTTCCTTGGTGTCGTCTATGCAGTCCATGGTCTTCTTGGAGGGTTTTGACTGTCGCGGAGCTTCTTGGCTGAAGCTGGAGCGTTCATGCTGGACCTTTCTCTTTTTGAGAGCCGACATGGTAGAAGCGATATCTCAGGCGTGAGATGATGGGTCTAACAAGTCGAGTAGATGGTGAGTTTGGCGTGGCTGCAGAATAGTGGTTTGCGCAGGAAGGGTTCGTAAAAAAGTTCGAGGAAGGCGCTCTAGGCTATTTTGGCGATAGCTTCGGAGACAAAACCTGGGGTAACTCCGAGGCACAGACCAGCTAATCGCAAGTTCGCAGCAACTTTAAAGAAATTTTGGGCCGTCCTTGACAATCACATATACCACACAACATATTCAAAACATGGCCAAGAGAAGAGTCAAGAAGAGAACCCATGCTGGTGCGAAGCCTCCGGCCGCTGGTATGCCCGGCCATCACAGCGCCGCCGCCTTGGCCAGTGAGACAAGGGCTCCCAAGAGCATGGTTATCCGTATCAACGCTGGAGAGGTCGGCCCAAGCATTTCGCAGCTTGTCAGAGATACTCGTTTGATGATGGAGCCTGGCACTGCAAGTCGCCTGAAGGAACGCAAGTCAAACAAGCTGCGCGACTTCATCACAATGGCTGGTCCTCTTGGTGTCTCGCATCTCATGCTTTTCTCTCGCTCCGACGCTGGAAACACGAATCTGCGCCTCTGCACTACCCCCAGAGGTCCTACCCTACACTTTCGTGTCGAGAAATACTCGCTCTGCAAGGATGTCCAGAAAAGCATGCGCCGTCCCAAAGGCCAGAACGGTGCCGAATACCTGACCTCGCCTCTCCTCGTCATGAACAACTTCATGCAATCCGATAAGCAACAAGATGCCGCCAAAGACACAAAGTCCGAATCGAACCCTATCCCCAAGAACCTCGAATCCCTGACGACGACAATCTTCCAATCGCTTTTCGCTCCCATTTCTCCTCACACCACATCCCTCAAGACCATCAAGCGTGTCATGCTGCTCGACCGCAAGCCCAGCAACGATCCCAACGACCCTCACGCCTTTGTCCTACAACTTCGTCACTACGCCATCAACGCTGTCACTCCTAAGTCCGCACTACCGAAAGCCCTGCGCAAACTCGAGCAGGCCGATCACCTCAAGCGCGGCGATAGCTCTCGTCTACCCAACCTTGGATCCCTGGACGATGTCGCCGACTACCTTCTGGATCCTACCGCTTCCGGCTTCACCACTGCCTCGGACACAGAGGCTGACACTGACGCCGAGATCGAAGTTCTGGCCGTCGAGAACCGCAAGGCCATGTCCAAAGACGAGCGTCAACGCATCCGTGACGCACAGCGCGCAAAGGTGACTGGAGCCAACGCCGAAGGTGTCAACCCCGAAGGTGCCGCACGCCCCACGCCCCAACCTCGCAAGTCAAAGACACAGAAGAAGGCCATCAAACTGCAAGAGCTGGGTCCTCGCATGACTCTCCGTCTGACAAAGGTCGAGGAGGGACTTTGTGGCGGCAAGATCTTGTGGCACGAATACATCAGCAAGAGCAAGGAGGAACAGAAGCAACAAGACAAGGCATGGGAGGTCAAAAACAAGGAAAAGGCCGAGAGAAGACGCATCCAGAAGGAGAACGTCGAGAGAAAGAAGAAGGAGAAGAAGGCCAAGGGCGAAGAGGTCGACGACGAGGACGACGAAATGCTCGACGACGAGGACTTCGACGACGATGTCTGGCACGAGGATGCTGATGCTGGTGCAGACGATGACGATGAAGATGAGGAGGAAGAGTCAGAAGATGATGAGGACGAGGACATGGAGTAGTCCTCTCTGTACTCTTCAGCTTTATCTGTCTTCGTATCTAGCATGCCTGTCTTTTGCATAAAAGTATGGAGTTCGTGGCGTCCAGGGAACATTTGGTTGTGATATCCAATAGTTGAGTTTGTAGGCGTATTCGAGAAATCCGTTTCTCTCCACCAAAGCTATATGATACGAATATAATTCAGGTGGCTTGCCCGAAGTAACAATCTGCTATGACCGACGGACATCGTCCAATTGTGGCTGCTGTGATGGTCATCGAAGCCCACGAAGTCTCATGGCACGCTAACCGCTCCTTCCACCAATTCCGTCCTCCAGACCATGGCTTCAGAGTCATAGCCATCCTTATCAGTTCTTGAGTATGATCACAGGAAAGTTAGTGCTATGATCCTCCTCATACTGGAATGTTACTGGCTCGGCGCAAGAACACGCCGATCTGCAGGTCTGTCTATATACATGACGCGTAGAGTGCCAAGACACAGCAATAAGGGTTGAAGGCAAGACCAACCTCATGCTCTCTCTCAAATCTGTCAACTTTCAAACATCTAATTCCAATTCTCTTCTGGTGCCATCGCAAATATGGTGGCGATCAAGAAACGCGCGATCTTGGTTGCGGCAGGAGCTGTGTCGTTTTCGCTCAAGACATATGCTCCCGAACAGCTGCTACACGGATCCACCTGGCGAACAACAGTAGCGATATCCTTCGGTGTACTTGCCGTTCGATTCGTTTGGTCCTGTCTCATCTATCCATTCTTCTTCAGTCCTCTGCGTCACCTTCCGCATCCCAAACAGACGTCGCTACTGTTTGGACAGTTTTGGAGAATCATCAAAGAGCCCACTGGCTTGCCTCAACGAGAATGGATGGACGAGATTGAGAACGATGGACTGATCTACTACAGAAGTCTTTTCAACATCGACAGAGTGATGGTCACAAATGCCAAGGCACTCAGCGAAGCAGTCACTTTGAAGAGTTATGACCTGATCAAGCCAAGGGCATTGACCAAAGGTCTTGCACGTATTCTCGGATATGGCATTCTTTTGACCGAAGGCCACATACACAAAAGCCAGCGTAAAAAGTTGACTCCGGCATTCAGCTATCGTCACGTCAAAGACTTGATGCCAATCTTTTGGGAGCAATCTCGCAGTATGGTTCTCGGCATCGACAAGGATATTGCAAACAAGACGAGCGAAGAAAAACCCGAGAATGTAGAAGAAGCTAGTCACGAAGTCAACGTTGATGGTTGGACTTCTCGCGCCACTCTCGACATCATTGGTGTGGCAACCATTGGACAATCTTTTGATGCCATCGAAGATCCCACCAGCAAGTTATATCAGACTTATCAAACACTATTCAAACAGGACTGGCAAACACAACTCGTTGGACTCCTGAATGTTTTCTTACCATTCTGGTTCATCAGATTGTTGCCGATACCACGAAACTTCAAGGTCGAAAAGGCTCGCTTGTATCTTAGCAAGATCTGCTTTGAGATGCTCGAAGATAAGAGAGCGAAGATCTCGGCTGCAAAAGAGAAAGACGCATCGAACGAGACTGCGGGTGGTATTGATATTCTAGGTGTCGCAATGCACAGTGGCGGTTTTACCGATCAGCAGATCGTTGATCAATTGCTTACCTTCCTCGCTGCCGGCCACGAGACTGTATGTTACTTCTCAATCCTTCAACGTTCAATAGCTGACTCACTGCGGCACAGACGGCTACTGCCATGACATGGGCTGTCTATGTGTTAGGTAAGTTCCCTGACGTGCAGCGAAGGCTGCGCGAAGAGCTACGTGCCTCGGATCTTCCGGATGTTCGCGACACCAGTGCGCAGATTACCGCCGAGCAGATCGAGCAAGTGCCATATCTCCATGCTGTGACCAACGAGGTTCTACGGTACTATTCTCCTGTACCGATGACCATCCGTGTCGCGGCAAAAGATGTTGTGCTCTGTGGCCAAATGATACCCGAGGGCACGACAGTCATCACACCTTTGATAGGCGCAAATCACGACTCCAAGATGTGGAGTGAGGATCCCAAAGTATTCAATCCAGACAGATGGATGGGTCCCGGTAGGGCGAACACTGGAGGTGCTGAGAGCAACTACTCGAACATGACATTCTCTCACGGACCCAGAGGGTGTATTGGAGCCGGTAAGTGTATTGAGAATACTGCCATCTTGACAACTATTGATTCCATTCAGGTTTTGCCAAAGCCGAGTTTGCTTCCTTGCTCGCTGCTTGGGTCCTTGGATTCGAGACCACGCTGGTCGACCCTGATATGAAGACCGATGTGACTGGCGGCATCATCAGAAGGATCAAAGGTGGCCTTCGTGTCAAGGTTGTTCAAACATAGTCTTGAAGATGATCACTAGACGAACAGATTCCGCGGCAAGTGCTTCCAACACCACGGCACAGACTGAACAGTTCTATAGAATTCAATGATTAGTTTTGCCTTCAATATGTTGAGCTTTCGGCTACAGGTTGCGAGAAAGCGTGGCGTGATCCCGAGCACTTGGTAGCTTAATATATACCACAGCGGAATATTCTCGGCATGTCAATCCTCCAGAGCCCAACACCCACATGGTGGTTTGAACGCAATCAACACTCTACCGTAGCGCGGTTATGTATCCAAAGGGTCTCCCGGAACACGAAAGATAGACACTGTTGCCGACTTACGAGGACTCAACGGATTTCAACCGGAAGCGAGACTCAATCAACATCAATAATTTGCCTACACTATACTATAGGGTTCGATCCTTCCAGCCATGTCCATATGCTAATGAGTGGTCTTGTTATAGTCCGTCGCATGATTCCAGCCACTTCGCCTCACAATATTCGATAATGTAATAGCAGGTAAGCGAAGTCGTATGCTTCTGTCTGTCCTAATCTCTTTGTGATGGATGCTCAAGTCATGTCTACCACTCAGCGATTTCTTCCTATATACTCCTGAACGCTGTCTTGAACGCGCGGGTGATTCTCAGGTATGGGTTACGATATCTTCGGTGAAGCTGTCATGGTGAGCTTACGCTCGTTATAAATCATTGCCGGGTTGCTGACTCTTTGCAGGCCATCGAGTGGACACTTTTTGCTCTAGCATACTCGCTGGTGGGACTCCGAATTGGCGTGCGAGTTGCTCGGAGGCAGCAGAAGCATGTAATTATCTCGGACTGCCTCTTGATAGTCTCTGCGCTGAATTGTCTGGGGCTGATCATATGTGATTACGCACAAACGTGATCGTAAAGACAAGGCTAACAGTTGAACAGGTGACACATGGACATATGCTTTGGGCGGGATGCGATATATACCACAAGGTCAGGGACTATCAGCAGCCGACATAAAGAACTCGGTAACACTGGACAAGGTTGGTTTCTCGCTGTTTCTTATATGGCATATACTGACCAGTAACCAGATCTCCTTTGCATCCAACTACTTTTACGATACAGGGATGTATTGGCCTAAAGCTGCATTGATTGCCCTGTACTTCAAGATCATCCCAAACACCATGCCTCGACTACGAAGTTCGTTGTATGTTGTCACTGGATTTGTGGCCGCATGCGCCGTTTGCACTTGCCTCCTCGATACTCTGTGGTGCGCACCAGATGTTTCGAGCAACTGGTCGATGGAGGAAGGTGCATGCTCCACATTCAACTCACTGCTTGTGCTGCAGATCGACTGGGCAATGAATTGCTTCTCTGACGTTGCGAGTAAGCATTCTCGACATCTCACCACGCCTCCAAGATGCAACCACTGATCTTCTGCTTCTCAGTCTTTGTCTTGCCATTCCCTCTGCTGCGCCATCTGCATCTCAATCGCAACCAGATATACGGGCTCCTGCTGACATTCACTCTCGGTCTTGCCACGATCGCTGTCAATCTCGCCCGCTTCATCACCATCCAGACTGGTAACAACTGGAATGCTGTGTTTATATGGTCCATGGCCGAGATGGCAGTAGCAATCATGGTCGTCTCTCTACCCGCGCTCAAAACCCTACTCCACCGCAAAAATAAGAACTCGATATTGGCAAACTCACTTTCGAATGGCCATCGCTATGTGGTCACAGCATCGCAGCGAAAGAGTGTATTTGGAAGGGGAGAGATATTGGATGACGGGGGCAGTGAAATTGAGCTGAATCATGTCGGGAAAGATGTTATATACAAGACCAAGGAGGTCAGTGTTGACTCGAGGCCCATCGAGGACAGCGATGATGGAGGACCGCTCGCGCTGGCGTGGACGAATAATGGGTATGATGGAGGGGTCAGTAAGAGTGGTGTTTGATATGCTCTACTTGTCGGAAAACAAATCGACTTGATTGGGCTCGGGTCGTTGACTATGCCAGAGTAAGACGTGGACTCCAAACTCGACCACATCTCTTGTGCTCAATTCGGTCTGTCGACAAGGACCCACTGATTGTCACCGCGAGCAGCGAGTTTTGAATCCTATCTCGAACATCCAACACCTCTGCGTTACAGATATTGAGAAGCATTGGATGGACATCTTGCAAAGCATCAAACAGACAACTCGAGCCACCAGAATATATTGAGTAATGCTCTCGGTACCAACAGACCGGATCGCCGAGCACACGGACACCAGGTCCGTGTGTTTCAACTCCACACTTGCGTCCTCTGAAGGATCCGCCTCCGTGACACCAATCAAAAACACGCAATCTACGAGACTGGTTCCTCCTTCTTCATGAGGCACCCACGTCGGATGCTATGGGTCAGTTCTCTGCTCCGGGATCTATATTGTGATGGGCTGATCTGTTCTGGGCTTTTGCGGCACAGATCAAGCGAAAGTGATACACTCTATGCGTAGATGCATAGACTATGTTCCACCGCTCAACACACGAGACAGATGAAGATCAAGGGATTGGCATGCAGTGCAGGTCGTACCGGTGAAGGGATTGACAAACTCGCATATGTAGCTATTATCCCCTTCGCGGTCATATCTACTCTCTCTCTCTCTCTCTCTCTCTCTTCTCTTCCCCGTGTATATCAACGAGAGAACGCGGTCGCTTTAGGATCTCACAAAAATGGCGAACTCGATTACCGGCAAGGATTGTATGGTCAGTTTACTGCACTTTTTGTCCCTGCAGCTTCGTTGTTCGAACATTCACTGATCCCTGACTCGGAACAGATCTCAGAATGGATCTTGCTACTTGCTGCATTTGCTCTTGTGGGCTTGCGAGTTTATACACGCTTGTTTGTGCAGAGGCAAAAGTTGAGATTGTCTGAATATGTGCTTCTGTTCTCGGCCTTGATTGGTCTGGGACTTATCATTTGCGAGTGAGTTATTTCTGCATACATGGGAGATCAAGAGTTTTGTTCTAATATGATGGGTCACAGCACACTGACTTATCGACTTGGAGTCATGGATGAGTGGGAGTCTTCCGTCACGTTATCGAAGATCTCATTCGCATCCAACTACTTTTACGATTTTGGCATGGTGGGTCCCATCCATTCGTTTGAGCCGTCAAGTTATCGTTCGTATCAAGATCACTGACATGGCTCGTATAGGGCTTCCCCAAGCTAAGTATGCTGACCTTCTACTGGGGTGTCTTTCCCGCCGACAGACCTGCACTACGCAAGGCTCTATACATGATCACCGCCTACCTATGCCTTGCTTACACAGCCATTCTCTTTGACGACACCTTCTACTGCGGAACCCCCGTTTCAGTCCAATGGAGCCAGGAAGATGGAGCATGCAGTGTGTTTTACGCGGAACCGCCATTCTACTTCAACACCGCAGTCAACTTGTCAAGCTATATCTTCAGTGAGTTCTGCCCTACCTATTTAACCTTTCGGAGACAGAGTTGTTGATCAATTACAGTCTATGGCCTTCCTCTATTTTTGCTCAAGGGAATGAGCAAGGAGCACAAGACTGCTATTTACTTTACCTTTTCTCTGGGTATCGTGCCCGCATTGACGACGTTGATTCGCTTTGTCACACTCAACACCGACTCTAATGAGCCCAACTTGGTTTATATCTTGAGTATGGTTGAGATGGCCACTGCTATCGCTGCTGTATCGGTGCCTGGATTGAAGCCTTTGCTTGATAGACGTGTGGCGGCTGCTGCTGACGACCAGTCCTTTGTCAGTGGAGAATTTGTCCGAGAGAACAAGCATGACAGTGACGTTTGAAGTGTATTCTAAGAAGTTCAGGCAAAAGGTGAATACCTTCGTCCTAGGGCTTAGGGGAAATTATTGAAGACTCTCGAGTTCGAGAATACCATAACTGTTATTCGCAGTTTATTAAAGACTGTAAATTTTGCTATACAATCACAGATATCTCCGTATCGCTTCGCTTTTATGACCTGAAAACTATGCGCCTAGAAAGCCCACTATTAGTTTATTTATATAATAGCATCACTTATATGCTGCCACTCGTAGCGCTTACGCCTTATATCGATGAAGGTCAAAAATCGCATCGCGGATCCGCGGCCTCTCGAAATTCAAACTGACCGACCCTAGGCCTTTGCCAGTCCTAATGCTTCCAGATAGGGTAATCACAAGATTTCTCCAAAGCGAAGTTGAGGATGGAAGGAAGGCGCAATCGTCTCTTTGGTGGGGGAGGCTTTCGTGCTTCGACCTCGGACACGCTTCATTTTCATTCATCCTTAGCGCATCGACTCGATGTTCGCCACGGACAATCTTCAGACAGCAAGTGTCTTCGTAGCTGATTTCAACACCGCTAGTTTGCGCTGACAGAATAAATCTCAAGCCTTGATAGGTCGCGACCGTAGAGGATGCTCCAACGAAGTGCATCGCAAGATGCATACTCCACGCGTGACTACGGACCTCTAGTTCATGCTTGCTTATACCCGTCTTCCAGATCATCCTCTTATACCTCTGATATGGATATCCAGCCTACGTTCGTGTTCGTACGACTTGGGTCCATGGTCTCAGAGTGTCTTTATGCAAGCCACGCTGCATGCCCGGCGCTTCGGGGATCGACAAGCCATAACGCGACTTTTCTTTGTTCCAATGTCCCTTGACGCGCGCCAACAGCTTCTTTATATATCCTGGCGTGCGTGAATGGCTGTTTTGTCAGGTGGCAGAATCGCTCGGTCAGCACCGCCCACGATCTCTGATGCTTTGACTGCCGTCTTTGGTTACTTTGCACCGTCGCTTGCAAACGGCAGTCACTACGTGCTATTCTGTTGGTCGCAATACTCTCAATCATGCCGACAGGAAAATCAGAAGACAGTGTCACGTCGAGTTCGACCAATTCGGCTGTACCACTCGTGTGGAAGAGCCTGGCCGTATATGGAGAGCCGAACATGTTCTACCAGGACGACTTTTCAGAAATAGGTCATAATGGCTCCACTAGGAGCGTCATGATTTGGTGCGTGGGACATACATCGGTTTGCTACATATTGCTAATGTCAGCAACTAGGACTGGGCCAGATTCCAAGGAGACTTCTCCAGCAGAGACAAGATCGCCTAGACTGAAGCAATTACTCGAGGCAATGATCAGAGATCCCAAACACGACTTCGATTATGAGCGCGCTGGTCTCCGGGCAGAAGCATCTCGAGCATCGCTAGGTTTCGACGCAGATGAATTCGAAGCTATCCTGCACAGTCGAGCAGGAGGAGCACATCACAGTCGTATGCAGGATTCGAGAAAACTTTACTCGGAGAGGCCAGCTTCCGGCGAGACTCGGATGTATTGTATGGCTTCTTTCATGTTCGTTTCTCCTAATGATGATTGGCCATATGTCTGCTTCTTCGCTACTTGTGCAGGAGTGGGTTACCAGACTGTCCCCACGACCGAGACAACGACAACCGGATCCCGCAAGGACTACGAGAACTTAACCTCTACGTTTGTTCAAGTATCCGACAATCGTGTACACATGGAAAAGGCAGAGTATTCTTTCATCACCAGATATATCAGTCGCCATATCGACCAAACTTTGAACAAGCTCGACAGTCTAATCTCGATCGTCGAAGATGTTGAGCGAGTTGTGCAAGGAGCCAGTGATTCTACGATACTAGCGGACCTGATCAAGCAATTGCACCTTTGTAATGTCCAGCACGTCAGACTCCAACGAAGATGGGCCTTCCAGAAACAGCTCATGGCTACGGTCAATGAGGTCCTGTCCTCAGAGAACTATACTAATCTCCTAGGCATCTTACTAGAGCGTGACTTTGAGAAGATGAAGAAAGAGATGGGCTATCGGAACCGGCTCGTTCAAGCAGCCGAAACAGATCTCGCGGTATTGCCTCGCCGGATCGAAAATCAATTCACCGCAGTATGAGATCACGATACATTGATGAAAGAAAAAGGAAGTAAACAACTGACTGTTTCCAGCTTTACAATCTGAGCAACCAGAGGGATGCCAAAGCTTCCGTGAAGATTGCCGAAGAGTCGGCGCAGGTGGCCAAAGAGTCGGCTCGGATAGCCCAGGCGACTCTAAACGACAGCTCTTCTATGAAGACCATTGCGGTCATGACCCTTATCTTTCTGCCTGCGACATTTGCATGCGTAAGTTGACCCCTCCCTAACTGCCGAGTCCAGCTAACGATGAGCGTTTTAGTCATTCTTTAGCATGACATTCTTTGACTGGCAGAAGACCAGCGACCGGACTGTGTCCAAAGATCTTTGGGTCTACTTTGCAGTCACAGTACCAGTAACTGTCCTAGTACTTGTAGCATGGGCTTTCCTCACCAAGAAGAGCCGACAGGAATCTCAATTATTGAGGCGTAGGACGATGGAACGTGGTCGTGATCTGGAGAAGAACGACTAAGTGGAGGATGGTTCAAGTCTGGAATCGAACCAAAAGACCTCGGATCTAAACGTAGTGTATGGTCATGGCTCTATAGATTGTCTGGTCTTGTTATGTAGATAATCATCTGTTCTCTCGGAGGTGGACAACAATACTCTACAAACCGGTCGAACGACCCAGCGACGACAATGTCTTCACTACTAATAACATGATGCCTTGATACCGCCGTTGAGATATCTTTCGCGTCGTTGCTTTTTCGCTTTTGTTTTGACTTGGCTACATTGCTCTCTCTCTCTCTCTCAGCAATGCACAATATTGTCAGCTATAGAAAGGCACGACTAAGATTGCTCGCGGGAGTCTGTTCTTTGATCGGGAACTCTCTGTGAATATACCCAATCACTGATCATGAAGCCAGGAATGATAAAGGAGTAGTGAAGAAGCACATAAGAAATCAGCATAAGCGATGCAAGTCTGTTTATCTACCATCACTCTGCTTGATACTTCGCGTCATCAAAATCCCCATCCCCATCTGCCTCTCCTCATAATCGCCTTCCTCGCCAGCGACAGGCGTGACAGAAACCCTATACTCGCCATCCGGCCCTTTACCAGCTAATCCCGCTTCCTCGTTGCCACCGCTGCGATGGCTACTCTTGTGCTCTAGATTCGTCAAGCGCACTACGCTCTCAGTGCGATGCAAGCTTCCCGATGCCAAAGAGTTTCTGGTACTGCGGCGACCGAGCATGCAGGAGACGAGAGAGCGGGCCCAGCGTGCGTAGTCGCGACGGAAGGGTCCGGTCGAGCCGAAGACGATGAAGATTAGGAGGCCGAGGGTCACTCCTGGGATAAACATCACGAGGGAGATGGTGGCGCCTCCTGAGGACAAGTCTAGTTTTGCGGTATCGGCGTTTGCGGTCGATCCGAGGTAGCGGGCGATTGAGTAGTAGATGAGATAGATTTGCATGATGCTGTGGCGAATATGGTCAGCCAAAGAGTACATGGAGCAGAGTGTTAAGGACATTCTTACCAAAGTAGCACGAAGCAGATGCAGAAACGGATCAAGAGCCATTTGTCGTAGATCGAGTCGTTCTTGCGCTGGGCAGACTTTGGCTCGCGAGCAGGAAGTTGCGATGCGTTTGTGTTTTGCATTTGGCTGTGCATGCCACTTTGCATCTGGCTTTGGACTTGGCTTTCCATAGCTCTGCTTCTCTGACTCCTCGTCTTTGAGGAACTGGGCAGGGAGAATCTGATGCGCCATCCGAGGCGTGCCCAGAAACCTTGATTTGCTGATGATGTGTCGCTGAGGTATTTCTGGATGGAAACATATTTGTAGAAGACGAGCACGAGGAGAACCAGACCGACTGCGACACTACTGGCCACTGAGTTACGTGTTAGTGGGAATTTATCGGCCGACACAGACTGACGACTTACACAGGATATTGCACAGGATCAAGGAGATACCAGGTGAGCGGTCGACAGAAGACGCGTTAGCGATGCCGATGAGTATCGCTGGCACGACGATAGCAGCGACTTTGACGGTAGTGGAAACAAGATGGCCACCTCTATCCAGAAGTTCGAAACGAAGACGCCAGACATGACGCCAGAGTCCAGCGATCCAGGACAAGAAGAGTAGTGACTCGACGTTGTAGCAATATAACTGAATCTCGTACAGTGTAGTGTCCAGGGGTGTACTTGTTCCAGTAAAAGCGGGCTTTCCAGTGTAATTACCGCTGATCTGGTAGTTGTAACTGGCAGTCTGGATCTTCTCAAAGCTGGTAAAGAAGTGTATCTGCTGGACAAAAGCGGCCATGATATTGACGATCATGAAGCATGCACACAGAGGGACATCTGCGAGCACAAGTGTTAGTATATGTGAGATCGTTGGCTACTGCAGAGCAAGGACTCTTACATCCAAAAGGATCGCCATGGCGGCAATGCATGAGGACCACCAACCCGGCTACCACAGCATTGGCGAGTGTGTAAATCAAGACAACTATAGCCAACCCCTGGGCATCAGCAGGGAGCATGCCTCCATCAGACATAGCTTCAATTGATCGATGCTTGATGAATCGATCTGATGATGTTGAACAGAACGACTACCAAGAAGAAGGAAGAGGAAAGGCTTTGTTTCGAATAAGGGAGCAGAGCCCCATATAGATGAAGCGAGGGCAGAGTGCCAGATTATATCTGTACCACATGTCATGCACTTAGACTTTTGGTTAAAGCTTCCAGAAAAGCAAGCCCGGGCGGAGGACTTGATGGAGTTAGACCAGCCAGTGTCAGAAGAAGTCGTGTCAGTTCTGCTCAAACACACCAACTACCGGCAGTACAAGGCTGATTCTACTAATTGGTTCATGGCGGTACGCTACCCGCGGACGATACGGTAGAGCGTGCCCGAGCCAAGGTTGGCTGAAAGAATACGAAGCGAAGCTCTAGCCTCCGAGTCGACCCTGAATCAAGCTCACAAAAGCATATATCAACGATGAGAGAACGTACATACATGACAGACGCCGAATAGTCAGTCGGGACTGATTGTTCATCACGACGTAGACAATAGCGTGAGAAGGTCCATCGTCCGGCAGACCGATGTAACTGCTTGCCGTAGATATCGAATGGCGTCGGAGTGGGATCTTGGCAAAACGTCCCACAGCTTCTCGAAGGCGAAGCGAAGGTGATGGTCCGCTGATAGTGCGATGATTGGAAATGTGGAAAGGAGGGAGAAAGCGCTTCTCCAAAATTGGCAACACTCTATCTGATCTCCCGGTCCGCTTCATCTCGCGTTTTCTTGCAGATCGCTCACATGCCCTTGTAGATCACCCTACCCTGCTGTCGGAGCATTCAATCGTTCTTGCAGAAATACCATGAACTAAAGAGCGCAACAACAGACAGGAATTCGAACAGCTGGTAGCACCGTAAACTGCAACACTGGAGCAAAGCATAAAACTTTGTCAAGGGTCAACCGTTGCCACGGTCTAACTCTGCTTAAACTCCACAAACAGGATTTCCACGTGTTCTGCGGCTTTTCGCTCCGCAAGGCGCATATCCAATTTCTCTTGATTCGATCAAGCGGTGGGGTCTCTCAACCTGGCCAAAACCGATATCATATCCACCTTCCTTTCGCAATCGGCTCAGAGTCAGCGACTCCATTCTTTGTCATGGAATCGGAAGCAGTATGATCCATAGCGGCCCGGTGCCTGGTTCTCAGTCTTTTGTTCTTGAGATCCACTGTGAATTTTTGCAATGTTGCTCATCGGACTAACCACCGAGAGACATCATGGCAGGTGAAATCGAGCGAGCCGGAGGCAACCGTGAGAAAAGGATCATGGATATGTTTCTCAATCGGAGCATGCTAGCCAATGAGACAGCGTGGACGGGTTTCATCAAATCACCTCTTGGTGTAGGTTTGTCTGCGCCCTAATCATTCGGCCGAACCGGATACAATTGCCTTGGACCCTTCCAGCTTCGAGTATCCTGGTTGTTCTTCCTAGTGGCTTTCTCACTGGTCAAGCTTTATGAACTTTGATAAGCTGGCTTCTCTACAGTTGGGCATGGCCGTAGGCCAGAACCCGGAGAATTCTCCTCCACCGTCCCGATGATATTCTTGACCCGATGCGTCCTTGCCGACAACATCTTGGACAAGCTTTGTAGGAGCTGTTTGATCTTTCCTTTGGTTCACCTCCGCAGCATCGCAATCAACATGGGTCTAAGATCTACCGTCACCTTGGACTGTGCAGTCCTGAAATCATGGAATTGTTCGAACTTTGGTCACAGAGTTTCCTTGATGTTGATTGCTGCCGCTGTCTAGGGTCCGGAGAGGCTTCTCCGTTCCTATTTCTGTCCCGATTCGTCCTTACCGACAACATTTGAGCAGACCTTCGCTGACGTTTAGCTGTGGTCAACAGTGCAGGATCGCATCCAACAAGAATCTCCTCTAATGCAACCAAGAACCTTGCCGTTCTGTGGACAATGAAGCATCGAACACTGGTCACGATGTCTCAAGCCGGGGGATTCTACTCGTACATCGAAGTCGTCGTCATCGACTTTACGCAGTAGCGTTCTCAGCAGGGGTCTCGACGGTGCCGCTCTTATCCTTTGCTTCCTGGTTTTTCTTGTTGGCAGCCAATTGCCATGCAGGTATAGCAGCACGTCCATTCATTGAGCGGCCGTATGGGCTTGAAGTTGAAGAACGATCCGGTACCGAGGATTTAGTCTCTGGAGTAGGTGTCGATGCGGGCTCAGCTGGCGAGGGTTCTGATGCTGGTGTTGCGCTCGCGGCTGCAGCACCGCTTCCCATGTTAGGGTTGAAGGTAGGAGCAGAAGGATTAGGGCTCCTTGGTGCCGGGGCTGACATGCGGTTGTTGATCAATGTCTTCAGACTCTTCATTTCGGTAGCAAGATCGGTCAAGCGCTGGTCAGCAGACTTCTTCTGTGCTTCCATGGCCGCGGGTATCATGTCCTTTAGACCACGGATCTCATCGTTCAATCTCCTTCCTTCATCATCTCGTCTCCTGGTCGCATCTTTGAGCTGTCCAATGACCGACTCGACCTCGGAGAGGGCAGTATCAAGCTTCTCTGTTCGAGCTTGCTCAGATGACTTGAGGTCCTGTGTATCTGTCGCAAGTTGATCTAGAAGAGCAAAGGCCTTCTCAAAGGAGGCATCGACTGCAGCCTTATCTTGTTCAAGTTGTGGTGGTGTAGGGGGAGCAATCAGAGGATATATATAACGCTTTGCGACAGTGTAGGCGCCGAAACCCAGACCTCCTACGACGGTTGCCATGATGAACCAATCACGCCAGTCGCGTCTTGGTAGCTCTGGAGGCGGCGGCGGAGGCTGTTGGTAGTAGGCATTTTGGTTGTATTGCTGAGGCGGAGGGGCCTGATAGGATTGTACTTGTGTTTGTTGAGGGGATGAGGTGGGAGGTTCTGAGCCGGCGCGCTGTAGAGCAAGATCGATCTCTTCTTGAGTCAAGTTCTTAGAGCGGAGGAATGCGATGCGCTGGTCGACGGGAGCTGAAGCAACAGACGGGTCTTGGAGAACTGGAGGATCTCGTCAGATTTGCAGTCAGATACGCGGAACCTTGGATGCATACACGAGACCTGGAAGCAACAGTCAGCTTATCGCGTACGTTGAGTTTGGTTTGATGTGATTAAGAGGTACTTACAGCACTGACGATAAGCTGTTCGCGCACCATCTTGCAGTCGAAAGGTCAAACGGACCAGGCTTTCGATGGAGAAAGATAGGCAATTGGGTGTGCCGCGACAAGAAGTGCACAACGACAGAAGGTGACGGCAAAGTGTCATAGGCCGAACGAGGCCGAGGCATGAACCGAGGCAGGCATTTGTGGGGAAAGTGCTCTTCCCTCATGTGCTCGTGTCCGTGCCTTTCGGCCTTGGCATTGTTGTGTTTACTTTGTTTGACATGCTTCGCGCGACGACTTTTGTTTGCTGACGACATTCTTGCTGCCCTCTCTACCGCATCTTCCCAGCCGCCGGCGCATGCATACCACGTCTCTTGACAGCACTGCATAGAATCAACATCCACTAGGCGGCACCATGTCGCAAGAACAAGGTCCCTTCTCTGTGCGCCGTCCGCGCGAGGTCGGTCAAAATCGCAAACTGTTGCCGTTACTCACGAGCTTCATCTGACATGCGCATAGACACTCGGCCCAATCAATCACAATGCATCCGCCATTCCCATGCCCGCCTCAGCCATGAAGCGACAGAGTTCCTTCGGCCTTGGTCAAATGCAATCCGCCTCGCACGCCCGTTCGACCTCTGGTTCCCGCATGTCTCTCGCTCCAGGTTTTCCTAGGCAGCCCGACTTCCAGCGCGCTTCATCTGGCACCAATCTGGCTGAAATGGGTCTCTCTACCGTCAAACGCCCCTCAACCCAGAACATGTTCAACAGCACTGGCGGCAGAAAGAGTTACGCACCCGTCGGCAGCACTCCGGCTCCAGCTCTTCAGTTGGGCGACAGCTCCCAACGCCGTAGCAGTGTATACAGTGCCCGTCCCTCAGCTGCCTTTGGTGGTCCCATCGGTCACCAGTCCTTCTTCGCTACTGCTCCTCCATCGAATCAGCCTCCTCAAGATCCACGCAGATTGCGCGACCCTGCCACCCGTCACCAGATGGGTACCGATGTCATGGAGTTCCTCACCCAGCGCAACTTCGAAATGGAGATGAAGCACACCTTGACCCACAAGACCATGACTTCGCCCACCCAAAAGGACTTCAACATGATGTTCCAGTTCCTCTATCACTGTATCGACCCCGCATACCGCTTCCAGAAGAATATCGACCAAGAAGTTCCTCCGCTCCTCAAACAACTTCGCTATCCATACGAGAGAAATATCACGAAGTCACAACTCGCCGCTGTAGGAGGCAACAACTGGTTCACCTTCCTTGGTATGCTCCACTGGATGATGCAACTCGCAAAGATGATGGAACACTTCAGTGTTGGCACCTACGACGAAGCTTGTATTGAGTCTGGTCACGACGTTACAGCCGACCGCATCACTTTCGAGTTTCTGAGTGACGCTTACCGAACCTGGTTGTCTGTGGATGATGACGATGGTGAGGATGACGAGGAAGCCATTCAGAGGCTGATACAACCACATGTTGAGGCTATGGCTGCCAAATTTGACGCCTCGAACCAACAAAATCTTGAGCAGGTCAAGGCTCTAGAGGAGGAGAGTAAGCAACTTCAAGAGCAAATTGACGAACTCGGCAAAACTGCTCCTCGTATGGCCAAACTCGACGAGCAGAACAAAATCCTCGAGGAAGACAGAGTCAAATTTGAGAATTACAACAACAGTATCGATAAGAAGGTCGAAAAGTACGAAGACCGACTACGCATGCTGGAGAGTGAAACGCAACGTCTCGATCAAGAGCTTGCAGACGCTGAGCAAGAACGCAACAGCTTGCAAGAAATGGTCGATCGACAGGGAATCACCGTGCAGGATATCGACCGCATGACAGCTGAGCGCAAACGACTTCAAACTGGTGTCGAAAGCACGAACTTGCGACTGGAAGAGACACGAGATGCAGTGGCCAAGAAGGAAGCAGAAGCAGCACAAAAGCTCGAAGAGCTTGAGTCTGTGATTTCCAGGTACAACCGAACAGCCTACGAGATTGGAGTAATTCCACCAGATGCGCCAAATGCGCACGGTCAAGAATACGAGTTGATCCTCACCACCAACGAAGGGCCTGGATTTGGATCATCGCAGATGGGGGAGCAACCACAAGATTCTGATCGGCTGTTGGCCGAGGCAGGCACCGGATACCAACCACATCACCTACTCAACCTGGACGTCCGAGGCAGTCTCAAGACTAATATGATCAACCTGCGAAAAGAGATCAGCGAACGCAGGAACAACGCTCTCGAGGTGGACATGAACAACCAGGATCTACTTGACAAGATCAAGGAGGCCATTGGAGACAAGAAGGCCGAGACCGAGACTCTGGAGCACCGCGTTCGTGCAGCCGAAGACGAGTTTGAGAAGACGAAAGAGGTCAGTTCACACGCAGTACTACAAAGATGAATACCACAACTGACGTACAACAGATCACCAATTCGCAAAAGATGGCATCAGACGCTCAAATCGAGAAGATGGAAAAGGAGCTTGCCAGGATGCGTGCCGGACTCACAGAATCTGTTCAGCTGATGGAGCAACGCGAGATGAACACCAACCTCGAGTACGAGCAGATGACAGTGGCATCATCGGCACTTCGAGAAGAGCTTCACACGGAGCTCGAGCGTATGCTGAACGACATTATCAAGTTCAAGGTGCACATCCAGAGCAGTCTCGAGGGTTACGAAGAGTTTGTGGCTCAAGAAGTCGAAAGAGAATGCGAGGAGCAAGAACGAGAAGAGATGGGGGCCGACGACGAGAAGTATGGTGAGTATCTCGAGACAAAGGTGGAAGAAATGGATCTCGACGAGTAAGGGAATGTTAGTAATGGCTTCACGTTGGATGGTCTAGGATGGTGGCGTTTGGGCTGATTTGGTTGGGCGGTCTGCTTGATGATACCTCTTCTGTTGTTACTTGGGTTCTGGGTGGATGTTACGAATACTCTAGGATGATGAATATTGCTGCCTGCTTTCTTCTTTTCTTTGCTAGACAGATGGTCATCAATGCTCGCACATGTGGCTGAGGGCCATGTGGCCTGTGCGTGTACCGCCACGTAGTTGAGGCTGAGGGCTTTCGTTGCTAGTTCCAGCGGTTGCCCGCCAACACCTGTTCACATCAACAAACCCCTGCTTTTCTGTCGCGACAACTTCAACACCCTCGTCGCATACGCACTGCGATAGACCCAAGTCAAGATTCAGCCGGATTCGCATCGTCTTCGTCCCATCATGGACAGCCCCGAACCCGATACGCCCTTTGCGGCCGTCAGTGCTCAGACGACAAGAGCTGGAATGGTGAGCATCCTCGCCCCCTTCATCCCCTAGGCACCTGGATAAGAGAAGGAACATATGTGTGCTGGATTGCTATCGTCGTGCAGATGGGCATATGTCAGGATACAGGCTAAGATTTGTGTTTCCAATACAGCTCTACCAATCGTACCTGGACAAGTCAACGCCGTACAAGACATACCGATGGATCGGAACTGGCGTTGTCTTCTTGATGTTTGGCCTGCGCATTTTCTTCGCTCAAGGCTGGTATATCGGTATGCTCATCCCACACGCCATGCCCAGGTGCAGCGTCCCTAACCCTCTCCACTCGCAGTCGCATATTCTCTCGGCATTTACCTTCTGAACCTTTTCCTCGCATTCATCTCGCCCAAGTTCGATCCCGGTCTCGAGTCCGCCGAGGACATGGAGGAGGGCAGTAGTGGTGACCTTCCCACAAAGTCGACCGACGAGTTCAAGCCATTCGTGCGCCGCCTCCCCGAATTCAAGTTCTGGCACGCCGCCACTCGCGCAATCGTCATTGGTTTCTTGTGTTCATGGAGCGAGATCTTCAACTTGCCTGTCTTCTGGCCTGTTCTGGTCGTCTACTGGTTGATTCTTGTTGTCTTGACCATGCGCCGCCAGATCCAGCACATGCTGAGTAAGGATATCCATCAGACTACACCATATTGGAGCTCAGAGCTGACCAAACAAACCAACAGAGTACAAATATGTCCCGTGGGACTTTGGCAAGAAGAACTACGCCGGCGCCAAGAACAGCAACTGATTTGCACGCGGCGTCGCATGAAGAACGAACATCCGCCATTAATGTTACACGAAGACTGTATCGACTTGTATGAACAAGGGATAAATTCACTGGTTCGAAAATCGAACGGAAAAGAATCTGGTTGTGGGGCATTGATGCAAAATGGAGCGTAAAGGGGCTTTCTTGCTGTTTGCCCTTTTCGTGTTGTAGCGTACATTGTTCATTTACTACCTACCTATTCCCGTTCGGACATGATGCATGCGTTCAAAAGAACGTCTATCTATAATCTTGATTCGCTGCCGCTTCGTTTTCGGAACATGTAGGCACGATCACACTCATCTCACTGCAATTCTAGGCTTAAAACTTGACACCGCTTGAACTGACGGTATAAGACGAGTTGGTGATCAGCAGCCCGTCCAAGTACATGTACAACAAGTTAAGAGCAACGCTGTGTGTAAAAGTGTATATCAGATGAGTGCTAGGGCACTAGTTGATAGTCAATGATCAAAAACAGGTTCGATCAGGGTGCCACGCGTAGCAACAAATCAATGGTATAGACCAGAGCGGACGATAAATGGCATGGAATAAGTAGAATATTGGCATATGCCACTGATTTTGAGTGGAATATTCCACGTAGTTGGCATGGCATAGAACGGGCAATTCTTGTGGAATATTCTACTATTCCACCTCTTGATATAGCTAATGTCGATGGTTAGATAGGTAGCAAGCTCGAAGTTGGCGCGTGTAGCGGTCAGGCATAGTAGATTCTATAGGAAAGCTCGCTAATACGCGTGTTTCCATTAGTAGCGAGTTCAAGACCTCTGATTGGCTAGATCTAATCTTGGAGATTAGATCTAAGTCTCCGATTGGTTAGTTAAGGCTTTAGCCACGCGATTTATCGCGCGTCGTTCTTGACGCGCATTAACTATTCCCTCTTTATACACTTAACACCCTAACTACCACTCTTTTAACCACTCTTTACTAAATATTAGGGCTAAGCTCCTAGCTGTTCTCCTCTCTTAGTTAGCATACTAAATAGTACTAAACCTAGCCCTTATATCATGTATTTACCTACTAATATAGAGTTATAAAGCCAATTAAACTCTTAGACTCCTTAGGGCCAGTCGCTACGCGCCTCTAGACAGAGTACGCTCTTTAAGTTCGCCTCTAACACTCCGAAAGAGAGGGCCTTCCTTCCTAATCTAGGCTTAGTAGATCGTATACGTAGTTCTATCGCTAGAGATAATAACCTCGAGAGTGACGCTAGCGCCTCTAATATTGACTAGCCATTACTTCCTCCTCTAAAGTAATAGCGACTAATACTATCTACCTTAAGTAATATCTTTAATAAGTCTAAAGCTACGTTAATATAACCCCCTCGTAAGCTTACTCCTACCTATAGCGATTCTAAAGAGCTCTAGTCTTATACTAGAGCTCGCCGTCATAGTAAGCCTAAGCGCGAGCGTAGGAAGAGGATCTAGTACTATTTCTATAGCTAGAAAGACTGTCCTCGTCAGTACTATACTACTAACTACGACAACGTTAGATCGCACTTAAAGAGGAGGCATAGCTAGCGGTAGGCTACCGGTATACTTCTAAGGATGCTAGTAATAGTAACAGCACCCTTTAAGACGTCGTTTACTATTGCTAATATCGACAAAGCTCGCCTAAATAGGCGTCTTATCGACTATATCACCTTAAGCAATATCCCCTTCCGAACTGCTAGTAATAAGAAGCTTTATACGTTAATTGACGAGGTACTTCCTAGCGCCTCTAGTCTCTTAATTAAGAGTTATTCTACTATCGCCAATCACGTTAAGAAGGAACATAACTTCTATTAAGAGTAGCTTAAGGCCCTCCTTATAACATCTTAATTATTAATCTACTTTACCTACGATGCTTAGACAGCTAACTACGGTAGCTATAAGCTACTTAGCATTATAGCTCGGTTTATTACATTAGACGGTAAATTAAGTAAGGCACTACTTACTCTCTATAAGCTATAGTCTAGCCATGCTAGTACTTAGTATGCCCCTCTCTTCTTCGATACTATTATTTACTACGGCATCGAGCAGAAAGTTAGATATATCACTTCTAATAATGCTACCTATAACGACACTATAATAAGCCACCTTACTGCTCTATTTAGCGAGCGCCTATCTATCAATTAGGACCCTATATAGCATCAAACTCGCTATTTTAGACACTAGATTAACCTTACTAGTTAAGCACTTATATTAGCGAGCTTAAAGGACGCTATTACTACTATGCTAGCTTAAAGTTAAGACCCCTTAGAAGCGATATTAATACTTAGCTAAGGTACTGGCCTTACTAATCATAAAGCTGTTAACTACCTCTATTAATTCTTTAAGTGGATTATAAAGTCAGCTTACCGTCGTTATAAGTTTAAGGCTACGGCTAGTATATCTACTATGCTTAACAACACTATAAGGTGGAATAGCTGGCTATCTATAATTAAGTAAGGGCTTTAATGCCGAATAGTTATACGGCATATCTAGCATGCCTATAACCATTTTAAGTATACTATCCTCTAGCGGCGTTACTAGCAGTTCCTTAAGGAGCTTATTAAATTTATAGAACCACTATAGGAGGTAATAAAGTTATATAAAGGTGATAATGCTACCCTCGATTAAGTGCTAATGTTAATAGACTTCTTACGTAAGCATTATAAGAGATACGTAGAA